AACCCCAACCCCAACCCCAAACCCCAACCCCAACCCCAACCCCAACCCCAACCCCAAAGGCCTAAAAGCTATTAAAGAAAAAATCTCTCTAATAAACCCTTTTTTTATCTACTATTCTTTTAATAAAGAATTCTAGCTCTTTATTAATAGCTAAGCGGCTATTAAGAGACTAAGAAAATCTTACTTAGAGGGTAGAAAATACTATATCTTTAGGATTAAAAGAATAGCTAAAGAGTTAAAAAAAAGAGACTATTAAATTAAAATAGCTTAGAAAATAAAAAAGTAGACTTTATAGCTAAACTTAGGGCTAGAACTAGAGACCTAGAGGATATCTCTAAAAATAAATATACCTCTCTAGCTAATATTACGAGATATATTAAAGAAGTAGGGCTAGAAGAATAGAATTAAGACCTAGAGGAAAAGAAAAAAAGAAATCTAGAAAAGTACTATTTACCCTTTAATATATCTCTAAAATAGTAAGTATTTAAAAATTAGTAGCCTAAAAGAAACTAGTCTATAAGATATTAGCTTAAATTAGGATATAGATACTTTAAATCCTATCTAAGAAGGCTCCCTAACTATAATAGCTAAGTCTATTAGGCCTATAAGAGAAATTAGAAAGAAAACTCTAACTACCTCCTACTTACCTATTTCTACTATAAAGAGATTAGAGATAGGCTTAAAAAGGAGCTTAAGATAAAAAACTAGAATCTAAAATATATTTTTTAGACTAAAAAGGAAAGAAAATAGCATCTAAGTTATTTAAAAGAAATAAAAATAGCTATTAGAAAGTAGCTATTAGGAGAAATTAAAATATAGGGTAGTAAGCTCTAAAAGTTATTCCTTAAAAAACTATTTCTTATTTAAAACTTATTTATTATCTCTTATTTCCGTATCCTTTTTCTTTTACTAATAACTATACCTAGTTCTTTATAAAAGAGACTATACTATATTAAATTTTTTATCTTTACTAGATAGTTAGAAGATTGCCCTTATATATTTAAATTTAGCTATAAAAGGTTAACTTAGATTAACTTAGGTAGTAAACTCCCTATAGTCTTTGACTATATAGGAGTATAATAAAGAATAATAATAATAATCAAACTTTACTAGATAATATAGAAACCCAAAGGGTTGAGCACGTGACCTTGACGCTGGGGGTCACGTGGGGGCCTCGTGGTCACGTGGGAGGCTTCTGGATACACTGGCATGACACGGACTCTATCTACGGTAGAGTCTGACTAAGGGCCGATTATCTCAACATTCTGTTCTGGAACTCTATCCAATGAGCGTTTATCCTAGGGCTGCGCCGCAGATGGTCTGTAACACCAACGCGGGGAAGATGAGTTATATTAAGCTGACGCGCTCCTGCTTGTGCTCGTCACTTCTATATTCTTTATTGTACACTATTATTCATCTTCATGTTACCACCTGCAAATGCCGCTATGCTTCAAAAGTCCCTTGAATTAACGACGAAGCTGGTTGCCGCCAGTAGCAGCGCTGTGACCACGGTGACGAGCGAAGGTAGCCAGCTAGTTGCGGCTTACGGTCCACAAATGCTGGAAAAGGCATCCGGTATAACTCACGTTGTTTATCAGGGCGCTGGCGAGGTTAGTTATGCTATTCCCTTATTTTATAGGCAAAAGCTGAAATCTATAACTAATCAAGGCCACCGAGTGGGGAATTGAGAACCCTCTTCTGGCTACAGCCGCCGTTGTTGGCAGTGCAGGCGTTCTTGTCATTGCTGCCCCAGGCATAGTAACTATGCCGGCTCTTGCAGCCATGGGATTCACCTCTACGGGGGTTCAACTTGGTAAGTCAACTAAGGACATCCAAGTGTTTGCTCCCTCTAATAATTGCCGGTTGAATTCCAGGTTCTGCCGCTGCTGTCGTTCAAGGAACTATTGGAAATGTCGCGGCTGGCAGCCTGTTTGCAGTGGCGCAGAGCGCTGGCGCAGGCGGCGCAGGCCTGGTAGCGATTAACGGGGGTGTTCAAGCTGGGGGAGCGTTGGCTGCTGCCGGCGGAGGGCTTGCGTGGCTGAGGTCAAAGGTTATGGGGTAAGAGATAGAATGGCCCCTCAGCCCCCACGAGGCTCAGTTCTTAATTGTACATTCAAGCTGTTAAACGCCCTATGTTACAGCTTGTCGTAGTTATATTACGTTATCTATATGACAAAGGTACCTTGCGGACCCCTAATAGCTAGTTATTAAAGGCGACGCCGCACCAAGAGGCAGTGAGAGGCGCCAGTTATTCAGCATATATATAGCCTGCTGCCCTCCCAGGCACCTGAGAGAGTCTATCCACGTTCCACTTGATATATACAAGCATATTGCATAGCTATGGGGTCTGACTATTACTCTCGTTTCCCGGGCTTTCAGTCCAATCCAACTGCGTCTTCAACGAACGAATTTACCCGCCTGGCACGTCATATGGGCTGGAGCAAAAAATCCAAGACCTACAAGAGGGAGCGGGCAAGTTTCATGGCCTCAGAATTCGGCACCCACTACGGCATAGACGGGGCAAAGCTACAGAACTGGCAAGCTCTTTGCCTTGAACTTCAAATCAAAGAGCCCATCGACACAATCACTAAATGCCGGAAGGTCTGTCTCCACTGATACTTTGGATTTGACATAGCTAACAGGCTGAAAGGCGCTCAGCAAGGTCCATGTTAATCTGGTTGACCTTATCGACGCCCGTCGAACCGGCAAGGCTCCCACGAAATTTCCGAATTCCCAGTCGCTTAGGAAATATACAGTCTCAGAGGGCAAAATATTTCCCAAAGCAGCCGCTAAGGAGGAGGGGTTCCTCAAGGCCTTGCTCCGACGCATTCTGTAGACTCTTAGGGGGCGGTGGAGTTATACTTGCTCTGACGGACGGGTGAGCATGGAAGTGTACAAGTCGGGAGATTCAAAACATTTCACGGTGGGAGGAATCTATTAACGCTTTATATAAGAGTTATATTATTATTTAAATCACTATATCTGATTTTTAGATTGGCCTTTTAGCCACTCAGGCCCCTATTAGCTTATGGCGGTGGTAGGGGTAGGCAATATACTCTTTTGACAAATTTTTTGTATAATAGATAGTAGATATCATGAAGTTGAATTAGATTTAAGGGGTTTGTAAACCATTCTACGAAACCCAAAATCAGGCTCAGAATTCCCCTACCGAAATCAGTTCCCCATTTAAGATCCATCCAAGGTGACTCCTCCCAAGACTTTGTCCTTTCCTTCGTAGATTCAATAAAATTTTGAGAAATGGTATTGGGCTTCTTGTAAATCGGCACTCCGTTGCCATGACTCCATCAAAAGTTGCCCGGCTCGCCGGATCTACGAACCCGTCGCCGTGGACCTTTACCCCGTTGTCATTTGGCGCGCAGGAAGTTAGGCCTAGAAACCGGCAAAGTAGGAGGTACTCTTCGTGCTGTCTCAAATATAGTTGGCCCGCGAACAGATTTAGTTGCATGGTGATGGCTGGTTTTAATGGCGACGTCGAAACAGCCGGGATGGTGAACGCGGTGAGGTCCTCCATTGACGGTGTAGAGGCACTTATGCGCGGTGAATAGACATGTAGCGTGACTGCTTTGTATTTCCTGATATCTGGGAGTAGCTCGTTCGCCTCAAAAGGGCTGAGTATCACACATTCTCTGGGGTCTGTGCCTCGACTACATGCAATCCATTGTACGGGCCTCAAGAACATCCCAAGATCCATGCCCGCCGGGTCTCGGACGGTACAGGCAAAATCTTTGGATGCACGTAGATAGTCTGACCACGCGGTTAACTCCAGCGATTCACTAGCAGTGGTCTCTTGCAGTGTTCGAAAGATAGGCTGTAAACCCTTTGAGGAGCGACTAAGATATCCCACTCTTACAAAGTGCTTGATTTCCTTGCTGATGGTATGCGTAAGGGGTTTTGCCGATGACGGCCGCTCGACCTGCTGTTCTCGTTCATTCTCTGGAGATAATTCGCGTTCCTGCTCTTCATGTAGAGCTGTGCTGTTAAATGAAAAAATTCCGAATCGCTGACACTTTTCTCGAATGGCATCCAGCTGACTCCACCTTTTGGATAAACTCTCATTCCGTACGTGGTCTAAGAGTACTTCTTCTTCGATGGACTGTCGATCAAACCCGTATCGTTTCTGCAGACTCTGTGCCTCCGGCTCGAGCAGTGACTCTACAGCATCTAACGGGAATGTCGCTGTTGAGTCACCTAACAAATCAGACCACACTGTATGACGACGTTGATGCCGTACCCCCTGCGTAGCCCACAGCGGAATACTTCTCTTTGTGTGGGCGCCGGTCTCTTGGATACTCCACCTCAAGACGTCAGCTACCTCAACACGGTCGCCTGCACCTTTACCGCTGCAGTCGAGAATTTTCCTTTCCACCTCCATCGGGGCACAAAACATCACGGACTGGCCTTTTCCAAGCTTCCGCATACGCATGCACGCTGTATCCTGTAAGCCTGGGAGCGCAAAAAAAACCTAGTGGAAACAACAATACCTTGTACGAGCCGGTCTTTGGTAAGTCCAGGTCCTAGCGTTACAGCTGCCCGGTAGTCTACCGGCAACTTCAAATCCGTACCCCGAGTGTGTGCCTCGTCTAGATACACTAGACACTGATCCATCTGCTTCGCATATGGGGAGACCCTGAGATCCTCAGTGATATAGTCCCGAGTCAAGACTGTTAGTTCGTTGTCATCGTTGAAGAACACCGCCGCACATGCCTTGGTGGGTGGAACACGCTGAAGCCATGAGGCTGCAACTTGTTCATTCTTTAATTCCAGGACCTGTGCCCCAACGTCAAGAAGAACCCTAACAGGGGGATTTGATGCGGCTACTACGCGCAAAAGTGTTTCGGCATCGAGGCATTCGTTTGATGGGCCTCGTGGTATATGGTAGTACGAGTTCTCCGGGAGAAGCAGACAAACGAGCTGGGCTGCATTTGTATGTCTCTGCTCTTCGACGTCATTCTGGCAGATAGACAATGGCAGCAGATATCGACTGTCATTAGTTCCACTAAAACCTGTGGTCGGAAAAGTCTTCTTCCGTGCAATGTCCCATCCTGAGGATGAGAGTTTAAATGGAAATTCTTTCATCTCCTTGGGAAAAACGATATTTGACATATAAAAATCGATGACGCCTTTGGCAAACCGAAGAGTGGGAAATATATATCGAGAGCATTGATCATCATCGCTCAGGTTTACGCCTCTCAGTTGTTGGTAGGGTAACGGCAATCCAGGGGCATCTCGGACCCAAGCGTTGTACTCCTCTTGTGCGTTGTCGGATAGGAGAAGCTTCTCAAAGCTGAGACGAAGCTGTTCGTCATCAAGCCCGCCATAGTAGTACGACAGACAGGTTAAAACAATGGTGGCATCGGGATGGCTAAATTCAGCTCGTGCGGCCGGGCTGTCTTTCGCTCGATATGGAACAGCGAGCATGGTTCGTGATGGGTCAAGCCCATAGTTGACGCGCCATCTTTTATTCCTTAGAGCAAAGCTCAGAACCCCCCCGGCAATAAGGCCCCTGAGAAGGAGTACACCTGTTTTAATTGATTCTGCCGTAAACACGGTATCCTGCAATGGTTTTGCTTCAGCTTCCGTCATGGAGATATCAGTGAGATACCTGAACAGGACTTTTCGTACATTATGAGGAAGCGTCCACACAGGTATGCCGCGGAGTCCTTTATCGCATATTTCATGGGCTACAGTATCTAATAGCGTTTTAGCTGCAGCCGCATGGAGGATTCGAATGCGAGGGAAGGCCCCTTGACGCGCATGGTTCACTTCCAAGCCTTCTGGGAGCAACTTGTGAACCGCATGTATGCAATCAGAAATCGTTTTCAGAACAGCCTCTGCGATCAACCAACGATCTGGGCTAAACTCGACTGCGCGCTGAGTTCCCATGGTGTAGATCAGTTCAAACCGGACGCTTAAGATTTCGTCACTTTCGTCCAGCACATCACGCGAATATTCGTCAAGCCATCGTTGCGTTCCGATGATAGCGTTTCCAACCCCCCAATCTCTGGACAGAAGACGATCAAACCCCATCAGTTCAAAAGAAAGAATATGCTCCGGTTGCACGAGGAGTACGCCCCCGGAGCATTTGCAACTTTCGAACAGCTCTCTAACCCTGGCTACACTCTCTGCATTTAACCGGAGAGATCGCGAGATTGGAATATAGTAAATACGCCGGTTGATCATACCGCCTAGTTTCTGAGCGAGTAGGTGGAACATTTGGTTCGCTAGTGGTTTAAGAACAACAACCCGGACCATCTTTTCGGTGTCTGCTAGAGTGGCAGCGGCAATTGGGACAATAACAGACGATTTACCTTCACCCATGTTCAGCTGCAAGAGTGAGTTTGCGGGGGACGAGGGGGATATCATCTCAAGCGCGACCTGGGCTTGGACTGGGCGAATGAGCATGTCATTTTCTATCTCAAGGAGAAGCCAGTCCGGATACTGCATGGGTTCCCAGCCAACGTGACCGGGGTTTTGGAGTTCGTCGAGCAGATTTGCGACGTTATCGCCGCACTTGACGAGCCGGTGCGCACGTTGGAGAGCGGATATTGCTGTTCCATAACTAACAAGAAACCGTTTCCAGCCTTCATTTAAAACGGGCAGCTTGTCTCTAGCTAGGTGATGGAGGAGTGAAGTTGGAGACAGCCTTGGCCACATCCTTGCATCATAGGCAAGTTTCTCTGCGGCTGACGACCGGGATTGAATGTGATTGTAGAAGACTCGGTAGGTCTCGCCGACATTTTGCCTGCACACCTCTGCAAAGTCCTTCACTTCGGGCACAACTTCTTTCAGAGGTTTATGAAGCACGAATTGCTCGTTTTTGGGGAGCGATCCGAGACTTTTGAACAGATCATCCGCATACTGTTTTTCGAACCCATCCGCTGGGTCTGATGTTTGGCAGGCTAATAAAGATTTGACGGCGGTCCGATCCATCTCCTCCCCGCATCGTTGCCCAATCCACATTTGACAATCGCTAGAAAAAGCGGGCAGACTTTGTGGCCCTTCACAGTTCATGATATGGTCGAAGCTAACATGTCCAAGCCTTGGCCTATAGTCCTCTGGAGGCTCAGAGAAGGAGTATATGCAGGGGGTCTTTATACGAGTAACCAGCCTGTTTAAGATGCCTTGTGCTCTGTGGGTGTAATTTTTGAACTCAAAATTACAGTACCAACTGGAGAATAACGCCTGTGCAGTTGATAACGCTCGTTCTGAGTCGATATATGTGTTGTGGTCGTTGTCACTCCGCCCACAAGGCCGGATTGAAGGCCACTCTTGAATAAGAGTGTCGGTGAACGATTCGACTCGCTTTTCCCTCTCGCACATATATTCTCTTCTGCGACGATCTTCGGCTTCGTTGTATGTCTCGCCATCCAGCGCTGGCAGGCTGCTCTCTGGACACTTGTGGAACGACTGACAGTGGGCCTTGATCGCACTTTTCAACCTATGCCTGTCAGGGTGGTATCCATCGTGAAGCACAAACCGCGGATGGTTGGGTGGCTGCAATGCACGAAGCTCGGGAGAGGTTGCGAATGCCAGCAGAGTTTGCAAGAGCTCCTTTCTCCATCGCTGCGAATACGCTAAAGTGGATAAGAAAAACATAATCTTGTATTTGTCTCTCTCCTGACTACTCTGCGATAGACTGGCCTGTAGTGTACACCACCGGCCCGGGAGGAGGTTTGAAGGCATATCAAGCCACGAGGTATCATAGCACAGCGGAAGGGGTTCTCCGCTGACACCTTCGAGAGGTCGTGGCCAAGATTCGATCTCGCATAGCAACTGTGAACAATCTCGTAGGTCCGCAGACCAATCATCTACCTGCTTTGCGATGCTACAGACATCAAGCTCGCGTGTCGAAATCCGACCTCGAGGTAGATAGATACAATCAACATTAGTCTTATGGTCCTCAGCGCCGAAGCCGTGTACACGATATACGGCTTCCCGGATGGCTGCCCTCTCAAGGAGGTGCCTGTCTATAAGTATATTTTCTGCTGGAAGTAGACCTTGTATATCTTGAGATTTGGCTATATTGAAGACCGAATCGACAAGTTTACTGAACGAGGGATGCTGTGCGAGCGGCGAGATATTTTGGTTCCACGTAATCTTTTGCATCACTTTTAGGTGCTTAGGATAGTACTCCCGCCGTGGCGTCAACTTTGCGAGAAGCTTTAGTATATCGATTTCATCACTATCGAGTCTGAAGAATGACTGCGTGGATGCTGACTCTAGCCCTTTGAGAGCTTCCTCTGTCCCTGTCCTTCCGGTGAGTCTATCAGCTAGACAATGACTCGCCATCGCATGGAGGTAGAATTTATATAGCCTGCTTTTTAAACTGCCATTATCAAGTAAGCGACCTAGCGTCAAATCCACCTGGTACAGATGGTAGGAGACATTCTGCAAAGACGGATCGGATCTAATTCCCACGGATACGTGCTGATCTGTTCTTTCAGATATGACATCGCCATGGGGAACAATTACGCTTCGTGACGAATCGCGGGATCCACGAAAGATAAGCTTATTCGTCAGCCCAGTTAGTGCCCCTAGTGATTGGTTTTCATCCACGACCATTCCTCTAAATTGTTTCGATTCAAGTCGCAAGGAGTTTGGCTCCAAGAAAAACTCAAGTTTCAGGCGTGGCAGGTGAACATCCAAGTAATCCTTCTTGTGGTTGGTGAAGATATGTATATGGTTTGCGCTTTCCAATGGACTCAGGACCAGTGATACCGCCTTTGCCGTTGGACTTCGAATATCGATCAATTCCAAGTCACCTTTGACCAATGTGTAGTGGCACCCATCCTGTTTCATGAGCCAGCTACTTGAGGAAGTCTTCCAAACATTTCTCAACAGTCTCCACTCAACACGCGCGGTGGCCACTTCCAACCAGTGTGCATAATTTTTAACAAAAGCATCGGGGAAATCCTGAGTTAAAGCAGATTCGGGAATAAGCTCGTAAATGCGCCCGCATATACTCGTTCGAATAATAAGCTCCGAGTTGTGCATCCTAAAATGAACCTGGCACCCCTGTGAGCAGTCAAATTGTATAGAGGACCAAAGGAAAGATAAGCAGACATACATGATGGCCACATTGCTTATCCCGCGTTTCAAATACCATGTCGGCCATTGTTGAAGGGACAACCTCAAGGATTTTCTACGCAATTGAATTAGCATATTACCACCCTTTGTCTTTGCAGAAAGTGGTGCTGATACCTCACCGAATATCCGCCGGTAAGTTGCATGCAATGTATACGAGGGCGGAAGCCGTGTGAGAGGCAATCCGTTAACTAGCAAGCTTCCGTTGAGGATATTGTAGCTAACCACCATTGAGTGAGCACCAGGTTCACTAGGCGTCTTAGTCTCGAGCCAGCGATCTTTAGGAGCAGCTAGAGCCGTCCAATCACTAGTAGAGTTGTACCCTGTCCAAAGGCGACTAATTGTCTCATTAAGGCCGTTACTTAGCGCAGGGTGACACCGGATAAACGATTCAAGAAGTTGGCATAATCTTGAATACCTTCGCAATAGAGACTTGATACTTTGAGGCAGGCTATCGGTTGACGTAGGGCAAAGGTCATGCACCGCGATTGCGCATTCTGTTAATGTTGAAATATCGCCGCTAGAGTTTAGTAAGTGGTGAAGGTACTGCGATTCGACGTCGAAGGTCCCGTGGCAGCTTAGGGCCATTTCAAGGGCACGCTTGTACAAAATTGACCTCGTTTCCTCCTTCTGTTCAGCCTGTAACTTTTTAGTTAGCTCTCGCACCCATCCTAGCGTAATTTCCCGCGCTCTTCGTAAAGTACGGTAGCAACCCTGACGGACTGAATCATGGCAGGAAAGGGAAAGTAGTCGGGTTGCTATGATTGTAAAAGTACGGACTGCCGGCGCACCTTGCCAATTGCCTTCGATACGACTGAGAGAGTCATCCAGAGCAGAGAGCAGTGATATGCCAAAATCTTCTTCTTCAAGGTCGACATGGGAATCTCGACATACCATTCTACCACTGTCTGAACCGGCTTGCCATATGCTCTGAGCAATCAAGATGTGTGTCTCCTCGTGGCTAAAGTTTATTGAGTGAGTGAATAGCCGGACCGCAATGTTCCTCCACTGTAGCCGATGACCTGCACGTAGCGTGCAAAATTCATAGAATTCATGAAGCGTTAATCCCTGTGGACATTTGTGTTGCGCTGCAAGCACCTCGTTGGAGGTATGATCTGTGCTGCTCACAGCATTCTGCATCCCGCAGTACCTAGAAGATTGAAGATCGTGCGTGCATTTTTCGCGGATGCTGCACTTGCCAAGAAGGTCTGCTGCCCAATTTTCTGTCTTTGAGTCATATAGCGAGTAGCTCATGCCGTTGTTGACACATATATTGTCCCTGCTAGCTATGGAAACTTTCCTCGAATTATAATGCGAGACAACAAATGGCTTTGGGATTGACGCTATCTGAAGCCTCCCCGCGGCTGGTCCAGAAAACTTGCTCAGGTCAGTATAGCCGTAGAGAGTGTACAGTTTCCCTGTAATTTTGGACCTAGGGGGTGTAAAGTCAGGGTCGCCAGAGAATACGTCTACAAGAATGCCGTATGTCGTGTCACGCCATGCAGATACTACTAACGGTACACGAAGCTCAAACACCACTGCCTTAGCCTCCAAATCTTTCGAGGGAAGTGGCCACTCGTGGACTTTGATTGATAGGTTCATAGCCCTTTCCTCGAGCGCACACTTCTTGCAGCTATGGCTGTGGGAGGTGACTTCGCGACGCTTTTTCCATCGGGTTATGAATTCACAACTTAGCCCATTTGAATCCTCTATCAATTGTTGGTACTCTCGTTTCAAGTCTTCAAGCTGTGATACTCTCCTGTCTCGTTCAGTTTGTGCCTGCGCTTCAATCTGAGATCGTAGTGACTGGTGGTTCGGAGACTGATCAAAATATCGGATAGGGAAGCTTCCTGTTTTTTTAATGGGCCCAAAGACGGATGGAAGATGTGGGTTGGAATTGTCTCTCCTTTCAGAAAGATATCGCTCAACACGGAGTAAGCGTTCCATATGAAACCTTTTTGGAGCAAGCAGCGCCTCAAATAGGCTTGGTGGAAACCCTGGATCATAGTCTCTCAGTAACGGACAGTGGAAAATGGCACACTTATCAAGTGCTACCCACAGATCCATTAAAGTAAGCAACATCAAGGAAATATCCACCGGGTTGCCCCTATAGACAGAGATGGCGTCGCTTGTATATGTATCGATCACTGACTTTAGAGCAGTGCACGATTCTTCTCTAGAGAGGTTGAGGTTCAACCAGCCATCAAGAAACTCTTGAACCCAGAACTCCAGGTCCGCAAGAAAAATGAATCTCTCATCCACAGTGGTACCCCGCGGACGCGTGAGGTCTGGCAGCACTGTGCTGCACTGTAAGATACGAAAGGCGCATACAGGGATAGAACCAGTGTGACTTGGCGATACCCTTTTCCGGGAGCGTACGGCGGCAAGATGTGGGCGTAGATTGCTAAGTGACAGCCGTACATCATCGACAAAGCAAAGAAGTCGCGGATTCCATCCGGACTGCGTCCCGCCGGGATCTAGATTGTCTTGAATCGCATTCCATCGGTCTGCCAAATATTGTTGTACGTCCCGTAGTATACGCCTTGTATAATAGAACCAACTGGATTCCTTGGGAACATCTAGTTTTAACACACGACGGCTGATTTTCGCTGTCATAATAAACAACAGATCATCCGGGAAAGAGGACGCATGAGCACTCTCTAAGAGGTGGGTCATGAAGAAAATCATGAATGACTTGTACGGGTAATGAGAGACTTCCCCGTGATTGTCTTGTAAAAGGCTGGTCTGTAACGCAACGCGGAGGAGAAGCCATAGCGGCGACCTCCGCCAGGGATGAAGCGTGTTGTTCCATATAACGTCGTCTCGCGTGCGTTTATGAACTCGAGGAACGTCGTCAAGCGGTTGCCCAACTGCACGGAGAATGCCAGTAAGCATTTCCGTGACAAATCTAGGGTCAACCGTGTCTCGAGTCTCTGGAACTTCTGACTTTGCTTTCATTACTATCGGGATTACCTCTTCATGAGTCTCGGCATCCAGCCGCGAGAGAAGTTGGGTCAGAGTGGCCCGGAAACCAGTGTCTGCTAACCGGTCATGTTCAACCAACACTGCCGGGCCTGGAAAACATCGTCGAAGTCGTCCCTTAGCCTCTATCACGCCTTTTGTAGTTGGGGAGAGCTCCATTGACTCGAACGAATACTGAGAGCGAAGTCTTCGCACGATGATCCCAGCATTCTGGCCACGGATGTGTAGCGAGAGAAGTCCTATTGACAATTAGCTAGAGCTCTTCCATCTTGATAGCTTGCGTGCACCTTTATCTTTCATGTTAATCAGTACTTCTCCCAAGTTTTCTGCCAACAACCCTCCGGAATCGCTGCGTAGGGTAGACATATCGCTAACCATCTCGGCACATGCCCTCCATCTTGATTGCTCGTGCGCTGGGCAGATATCGCAAAATTCTACCAAAGCATGAAGTAACGTCTCTAGAAGAGTAGCATTTTGCTCGACATCATCGTCGTTTGACTGAGGCAATTTAGGTGGGAAGAAGACATGATTGAAAATGTACTCTAGATTTCGTCGGTTCGCATGCGGCGGTCCTCGATGAGAGTTAGCCATCCCAGAGCAAAGTACTGGGCCCGCTATTTCTCCGGAGTTTAATAAAGAAAATATTTTATATGAAGGGTGTGAAGAGCAATATTATGAGCCTGCGTATAGCATAAAATCTCCGATATGCGGTATCCCTCCAGTTTCCAAATGTTCGCAATCCCAACGACCAGGTCTTTATACTGTTGGTCCACATCGATAGTAGTGAAATCGCAAGATTTGAACCAACGAGATCTTGACAGTGGTTGAATAGGATGGATAGTAGCAATCAGTCGTTTTCTCCAATATTCCTTCTTTTAGGAGAGTATGTGGTAGACACTGATAGGATGCCTCCCCTCTTCCCGAATGCATCAGACGTACATCAGGTGTGCATCATCTTGTCAACAGGACTGGTAGTGCTCGCCAATCCTGTTTCAGCAAGAATCCGGCTGGATGCCATAAATGCAAGGACTAAGAGATAAGGCAGCTGGTATAAGTACTATCGTTGTACTAAAGGAGAGGCCAGGGTGAAATAAACCGCACATGCACACGAACGTATACATTGAATCTACTAAACCTTTTCGAATGACTCGTAACCTTGGATTATGTATTGTACCAGTACCAGTACCATCATATACGGGTAAGGGTAGCTGGGTGTGTTGGTCCATGTTCTTATCACCACTTGATATGGTTCTGACTGAATGGCTCCCTCCCAATTACAAATCCATCTGGTAGATTGTGTTCCTCGACATTTCGGTAAACTTTCCGTTAGAATCTAGCTGGCGGTCGTAGATGCGAGAGTATCTACAGGCGACCTCCGTGACTCACGGGTTTCCAGATTCGGGAATTGTACTTTCGGCTGATCTTGCATGACGCACGAATAACCCCGGCAAAATCTCAATGAGCATGCACAGTCTTGATGCAAAGATGCCCAATTACGAATGGACTGGTAGGCGGATTATCCCCAAATCGACAGTTTTGGGGCGAACAACTCAATTTCATTTTATATTCGGTTAGAACCCATCACGATATAGCACTGATTTGCCACATTTTATTGCAGAGTTCGATTAACATCTAAAGTAGTTTTTACTAAAGAGTTAACGGTCGAAAATGCTGACTATAAAAAGTTAGGCAATCCAGCTATGCCAGACAGAATTGATGATCTTTTCGCCTGTTAGGTTGGAGAATATATCGACCTGCCCCGGATTGTTGTTGTTGGTGATCAGTCAAGATAGAAGAGTCCCGGAAACTAGGGCGGTAAATTGGAGACAAGAAATAAAATTTCTACATGGGGATGGTCGGTCGGCAGACAACAAATGACGGCGCGGAATCAACACCAAGTCGGAATGTATTCTTGCATAGGATTGTAGTAGGTTGGAGCGCGGCAACTGGTAGGGTTCGATGGTGAGGTCGACAATCCTCAGTTCATTTCAACGAAAACATACTTCCGAACGGCCTATAATCATATCAGCGGAGTAGTAGATACACCGAGACTCAGTCCTCACCGTACGAAGGACGTCCGGGTGTTGCTGCATGCGAGCATAGACCCCTCGATACTGCTCGATAATTTCGTTAACGACCCGAGTCTTAGTCGTTTGTCCATTGCATATAGCGTTCATCTTTAGCTCCATCTACGCCTGTCATCAGCAGCCCATGACGGGGATTGATCAAGAATGTTATCTTACCTCCTTGCGTAAAAACGGCTTCGTCAAATTAGTCTCGAACCCCATATTCTCGTGGCCCTCAACCAAAGCGACCCCAAGAGTCGTGGGTATGAACTCCCGAACACCTGTGATAGCGCCACCGCGGCCAGCACCGCTATTCCTGCCGCCACGACGAGGGGCTACTGCAGTTCTACCTCTACGACCAGTTCCGCCTGGCAACTCCTCGGACTCTTCGTCATTTCCATGCCGCGCCTGCCTTGGCTGAGCTCTGGCTTCGACGTATTGTCGGTTTATAATTGTGGCAATATGGTCGGCCATGGTGGCATCAGTGCCGATACCATTCGCGTTCATTAGTGCAAGCAGATCTGGTTCAGTTAGATATCCAGGTGGTGACGTCTTACCTTCACCGAGAATGGCTTCGGTCGGCTCGAAGACCTCACCTTCGACGAACGGGGGAAGTTCTTGGTTGGTCCACCGATCGTAAACGTAAACATCGAGATAGTTGCGCTCTAATATTATAAGGCCAGATGCATGGAATGTTTCCGGTCCATAGAGAATACTAATGTCGGTCTTTAACCCCTGGGCATCTTTGCTGCAGCATGCCAGAAAGCGCCGGACGACGAACTCATGAACACGTTGCTCTTCATGTGAGAGCGTAGTTGGATTGACGAAATTGACCGGGTGGATAGGCGGGTGGGCCTTATCATTATTATGTCCGTTACGGGGCCACGAAAAGCCTCCTTCGACCAGCGCCGTTGCATAATCCGCCCAGCGGCCGCCCTGCGCCTGCTTCTGGACGAGTCCGCGAAGGTCCATACCCTGATCGAACTGATCTGTCTCGGTTCGAGGATAGCTAATCCAACCTTTTTGATATAGCTTTTCTGCAAGCTGCAGAACCTTTTGACTGTCCATTCCGAAAAATCTGCTACCGCACTTCTGAAGCTCTAGAGTAGTCAACGGTAAGGGTTTCCACTTGCTCGTCGGCGTGGTTTTGACCTTTTGGACCTGAGCATTCTGCGAAGTGAGACACCGCTCATAGAGAATAACAGTTGTCCTTTTGTCAAAGAAATTTTTACGAGCCCAACTAAAGTGCACCCTTGTTCCAGCTTTTTGATGCATCAATTTGATGCTCCAGAATGGTTCCGGGATGAATTTCCGAACGCGCCAGTAGCGCTCGACGATGAAGCCAAGCGTAGGAAACTGACAGCTCCCGTAGCTGATTAATTGAGAGGCTTCTGACAGATTGCCTCGCTGGAGTACAGGACAAAGGCTCAGAGTGAGGTGCCGGGTGAAACTTGCGCCCACACGAAGATCGAGCTCGATACGTGCAGCTACTGCGTTGGCTTGCGCTTCGTCGAGATCGGCGGGACGATGAGCGGCGTGGATGATATGCGTTCTTTCGATATTGGAGAAATGTGCTCTTACTGTGCCACCAGCGCGACCCAGAGCCTGGTTGCTTTGTGCTGCCACCGACCGAATCTCGGTACCTATATGCTCACCTTCGCGGTCGCAATCGGTCCAGATAAAGAGCACGTCGGCCCGGCGAGCGTGATGCTTGATGTTGTCCGCGATAGGCTCGCTGTTGCTACCAACGAAAACCTCGATGCGAGCGTCAAAAAGCGCAGATGGGTCGCATGAAGTCCAGCTCTTGTATCGCGGCTCAAACTCGTGGCTAAGGAGGTGGCCGAGCACAGAGGTCATCGTGACACTGCAATGACCCCATTGCGGAAAGGTGTAGTCGAATTCGTAGTTCTTCACATACGGATTGCCTTGGATGTTATGCTGCACGTCCATTAGCTCGACTAAGTAGCTAGCGGATTACGCGGGTCTGCGCTCACGAACGGTAATCACTCGATCGCCCAAGTGGTTTGCAATTGCTTTCGCAATCGATGGCTTTTCCGCAACGCATAACACCGTCTTCACCCCCATAGCGGGTCGTGTGTTTCGCGTTGACACAGTTCGGAAAGGCAGTGTGTATATACTACCCCCAAACGACGCGTCTCCAGACGTGCGCAGGCCTAAGGTAAGTAGCTGTATGCGAGAATCGTGTTAGCCCATCTGGCAAAACGCCAGTCGACAATGCCATAGGCACTGTCTGTAAGCATCAGCCCGTATAAAGAATAATATGACTGTCTAAGCTAAGAGTCTTCCGAGTTGAGGATGAGAAGATGAGGTCAAAGCTAAGTAGTCACATGATCATGGTTACATAAGGGAATGGGGCATGACTTGGGGTTTAGGGTTTAGGGTTTAGGGTTATTGCAAGAGCTACCACCCGCAAACTGTCCTTATATACGGAGTATCTTCCACTTCAACTATGTAAAGGCCTTCGCAAAGCCAGGCTTGGCTGGGACAGCTGGATTAATCTATTCACTTCCATTTATTCTTCTTCCACCTTAGTTTTCCTTGTTTTCCCCAAAGCTCGAATTCCTAGAAGCTCTACTTCGAGTTTATATCCTGGAGTGGTGCGATAGAGCCCATTAGAACCGTAGCGAGTAGTCTCCCTAACCTCTACCCATACAGCCCTTTCATCGCCATTTGTTTTCTCGGCAATATTCTCGTGTTCAACTTGCCCTATATCTGTCAACATTACGAGAATCTGACGATAGAATTCACGATCAATAAATTCCACGACTTCGCTGCCAGGCTTTGTTTCGGGGGTTTCTCTAGCGTTCTTCTCATCCTGTGCTTTGACTGCTGCTTCTAACATCCTCAAGTCTGGTCGCCATATATCAAACTCATACATTTGGCGAAACTGGTGTATGAGATTTTCCCGCCAGTTCTCTGTCTGGCGCGAAAGTTCGTATAGGATGGCCCATCGATCCTTATCAGGCTGTGTCTCCGCTGTAAACCCAAGGAAGTACAGGTCCGTTATATCCCAGCCGTCTGGTTGATTGAGTTCTAAAAGTTTTGTGTTTGGCGGTAGCGCTCCAAGCTCACACGCTCGCTTGCCCCCGCGGGACCGCAGCATATGCAACACCCCTGGAGCACCAGAGTAGGCTTCAGCCGCCCGCTGGGCTGACTCTGCCGTTTTACCGTGGACATTTCCGTCGGCCAACGCCCGCTTACGGGCAACAATTGAGGTATAAGATGCGAGTGATACTAAGTGGCTTTCTCGCCTGGCTTCAATTTTATGCAGCGCTGAATCCAGTACGGTGTATAATGGTCGCGTGTTAACGAAATTGTTTATATTGCGCTCAAGACCTAGATCAAGAAGCAACTTCACCGTTTTCACTCGACCAGCCTCTGCAGCTGCGGCAAGCGTTTGGATTGCGCCGGAAGCTATGAGGAAGTATTTCTGGTAGGCCTGTTTGATATCTGTCATGTCGGGCTCCTTTTGTATAAGGTGGGATAATAGTTTGACGATGAGATCATGGCATTCCTGGTCGCTGAAAACGATGTTGTATGCGATCGGGAAAAAAATATCTTTCTCGTCATCAGCATGGATGACAATATTCGCCCCCTTTTCAATCATGTATAATGCCCGGCGTTCGGGGTTGCTTTCTGTATAAAGTGCCCCAAACAACGCAGTCCATCCGCGGCGATTTCGTGCATCAATAACCGGCGGCGGAGAATGGGCAAAAATAATATCAGAGGCTCCTTCAAGTTCATCTTCAGGACGTTTACCTAAAATAAGGGTATGGAGGGCAGTATTTTCGTCAAGCCTCGCTGGAGCATCGATATCTTTCGTCCTCTGACAGACACTTTCGAAAACAGCAAGAAAAGAATGGGGATAGCTAAGTTTAGAACCTTGAATCCGTGCCCATCTATGAAGAACTGACAGATACAATTCATGTTAGTTCCATAGTTCAGTAGAGAATCGGGACAGAACGGCCTCACCTGAATCGCCATTGCCTGTTTCGACATTAGCTCCCGCTGCTGCTAAAGCACAAACCACTCCTCCGTCACTCTCCTCTGAAGCCATGAGGATCGGAGTCATTCCCAGGGGCACCCGGGATTCTGCATCAATTTCCGCTCCTGCGTCTTCCAAGAGCCTCGCTACCTTTGTTGTCCGTTCTAAATGCTCATTCCAATTACCATGGCGTATCCAATAGTGCCAAGAGTAATCCAAACTACCATGATGGGCTGGCGAATAAAATCCCATATAGTGGAAGATATTTCGACCCTTGGGATCTATGGCTTTCACATCGGCACCTCTGGAAAGGAGGAGTTCCACAAGCTCAGCCTCACCATTCCGTGCTGCAAGAAAAAGTGGCGACGAGCCCATATCCGAGTCCTGATATGTAGAATTGATATCGGCGCCCAAGTCCAAAAGAGCGGCCACGGCTAGCTTGCTGCGTGAAAACACTGCCCAGTGCAATGGTGTTCCAAGTGGGAGTTCGAATGGGCTGGGTGGTGCATCCATGTCAGTTTGACTCCAATAACTAGTTGGGTGATGATGGGGGCGAGTTGTGACTGAAAAGGAATACTGAGAGCAACGAAACCTACAAATGTGGAATTTGAACTCTTTCTGACGCTCCTCCGCTGTTATCCCCCTGTATTGAAAGCATTTGAGAGTCAACCACGGCCCCTGCTTCGCGAACCAACCTAATTGCAACTCTGTGAATGCAGTCCTCTGGAAGGGTAAATAGCCAATGAAGGGCTGTTAATTTCTCTTTTTTGGTCGCAACCGATGCTTTCGCGCCCTTGTTGATAAGGTAATCTATAACTCGAACATGACCTGCTTGACATGCTTTGATTAGAGGCGTCTCGTGGTTATCATTTTGGATATCTGCTGGAAATTTCGCATTTTCAACAAGACTTTGCACGACGTCGAGAGCACCTAAAGCCGCTGCAATATGTAGAAGTGTGTTTCCTTTACGATCTACCACTTTATTGCCCTCTGCCAACCATGCTGCCGCTTTCTGCACATCTCGTGCCATTTCAACGACGCTTGGCTTTCCTAGAGCTGGATCCATGGCGAATCCGCCAGCATCTCTGAATTTTTGTCGCGCGGCTTCAAGCTCATCCTGAGTTACCGTTGGTGCTGGTCGAGAAAATAAATATCCTTCAGAAATAGCTTTCAATGTCCAGTTATCCAGGACCTTGTTGTTAAACACAGACTTCCTGCCGTGAGCATGTATAATTTGAGCATACACAGCTCGCGCTGGCATAAAGCCACCCCTAGCAGATTCTGTTACATACTCCAGTAGCGAGTCAATATATGACTCTCTTCTGGTGATACTCTGAGCTAACCCAAAGAGAGCGTCTCTGGTCAATGAATCTTTGGAAGTCCGATACTGTTCTTCCAACTCCTGAACAACCGAAGTGTCAAGACGCCGCCAGAAGTTAGCGCCTTGGTTATGCATCTGATCAATAGACCCAACATAGAGTGGACCGCTATGACGGATTTCGGAGACGAAAAACCTATTTTCAAGTCAATAAACGGCTAAAAGCCCTCTCGTGGGAAGAAATATAGTGGCAATAAAATGAATTCTACTATACCAAGATGAATATGCGGAGGAATCGAATTTAAGAAGGTCAGGACTCGGCCTGGCTCGCGACCAAGGATCCTCGGCGAGTAAAGTCCTAAGAGCTCTTGTGATATGCATTCGAAACTGGAATGAAAGTGATTTCTCTTCCTTGAGAAGATACATGGCGATATCTATGGGACTTTCACTGTCCATATCCAGATCAACTGGTTCAGCCTGCTTGGTGAATATAGATAATATCACGAGGCCAAGGCTATAAGAGTCGTATTTGAACATGATGTCGGGTTGAAATGGACCCTTAGTCCATTTAGAAAAGTTTGGAATTTCAGGATCAATCCAGCCTGGTGTACCTCTATAATCTTCAGATGTTAACTCACTCCCAGGAATCTCCATGTCCACGCAGACACCAAAATCACTAATCTTGCCACAAAAAGGAACTTTATCGCTTCGAGATTCCTTGAACACGAGCACGTTATCAGGTTTTATATCCCCATGGACTATTCGAAGTGAATGAAGCGCTTCAATTCCAGCGGCGACGTCTAGAGCAAGCTGGTGCTTGATATCTAGTGGATTATCGCCAGAGAGTGTCTTATTTTTCTCTTTAAAGAAATCGGTCAAGGTCATAAGGGCACATTCCATAAATAAAACTGGGACGGGCGTGTCTGGTAGAGGATAGTCATATCCCCAGGCGACCAACTTGGCTAGATTTCGATGATTGCGAAGCGAAGGGTTGCAAAGCGCTTGCACCTCAAGCTCCAGTGTTCGTAGCTGAAGGCGATACTCATCCCCTGCGGCAAACCTCACACCATCATCCCTCGTCAACGGCACGTTCACTCTCTTAATCACTAAGCCTTCTGTTCCAGTAAAGCCAACGTTATCGCGGAAAACAGTGAACTGGGCACCGGACCCTATCTTAGCTGCACGCATCTTCAAGTTGAATTGCCGCAGATGCCGTGGTCCGCTGATCCCGGTTCGTGAAAGGATGCTAGTAAAGTGAGATAGGGTGCTCATGTATTGATGATCCATATTGCGAATGGATGTCACCTTTTCTTCCAGCGGGTCAATCAACATGGGGATCCCAGCGTCACCTGAAGTACTCTCCTCATTAACCCTCAACGCGTCCAATGCCTCATCCAGTATGTTATCGCCATCGTAGTCATCCTCGTTGCCAAGATTAAGATCAAGGTCGATAAGATCTGATGCGAGGACACCGTCTTCTAGGGTATTTAATGCTCCCGCGAGCAAATCTTCACAAGGCTCATCAAGTTGAAGTTCGTCGTTTCCTAAGGTATTTAATGCCCCCTCGAGCAGATCTTTACAAGGCTCGTCAATTTGAAGTCCATCATCTCCTAGGGTATTCAATGCTCCCGCGAGCAAATCTTCACCGGGCTCATCAAGCTGGAGTCCATCGTCCCCTAGGGTATTCAATACTTCCCCCAGCAAATCGTCACAGAACTCCTCAGGTAGAATCTCATCGACTCCTGGGGCCATTTTGAAAACAACCAGCGCCAGTGAGCCCCACGGTTGAGGTTATAGGGAGTTTGCTAATGATTCTAACCGAAGCAGCCCAACGAACCTTGAGAGACAGATCCTCTATACCTAGCAAAAGGGGAATATGGGAAAGAATCGCAGGCAGGAAAAGGTACTCCCTAGATTGTAGTAAAAAAAATACCCAGCATCTTTTCCCCCGTCGATGTCAATGTCTCTGTGCCTTCGGGGTGGTAGTCGAATAGCGATATCGTAGGTGAATACGAAAATAATATTTTTTTCGATCAGGCTGAAGGATTCAGGCTCCGTTTTCCCAACTTAAATAACGAGCTCGACCAAAGAACTTGCAGCACTTGGCAAGGCATGTAAGAGACAGGAGGATTTACCCCTCCGTAGAGCAGAAGATATCTCGAGATGGCTCCCCGTGTGAAGAAACAAACGAGTTGCCCCCCATCCCAGTTCTCACGATCGGTTTGTGACAAAGATGGATATCTATGGTACAGCCGCTACGGCGCTGCAACACGTCGTTCAGGTAACCATCTTTATCAAGGGTGTGATTTCTGACATCAGAGAGTATGATAACGACCGAGCCACCATCGACCTCAAGCTCGACCTCCAACTGACTTCGCTCGAGTTTTTCCGCCGGAGATTCCTGCACGAGAAACATGGCCTGATGCTTCCGGGAAATCTGCCCGAATGGATTGCCGATACCATCTGCAAACTGCTGGTGAAGCTGAACCGGGTGCTAGCAGAATATCAGGTCGTCGTCGGGCGGTACGAGGATTTTGACGATAAGATGAGGGAGATGAAGGTCAACGACGAACCGGAGACTGTGAGCAAAAGGGAAAAGTGGAAGAAGTCCTTCTATGAACGGGCGAAGTCTCACGCCAAATCGCTCAAGGTGAAGGGGTACGACTGGTCGCTTTTTGAAAAGAAGAAGCTGCTTGCTATCATCGAAGAGTATCAAGGGTGGACAAGCAGTTTGCGAGACCTGATGCAGCACTTCTCCCAGGAGACAGTCTACAACATCGCAGACTCTTCCACATCGCCGTCACCTTCATCCGACCTTGAAGGCACGGGCCTGGAACATGTTGTTCAACGACAGAAACTGGCGTCAGCGCTCCCGCCAGACGACTTTCGCCAGCTCCAGGGAGAGATTGTCGAGGAAGACGCAGCTTCCAGCCGCTTCCGGCTCACCCGCTGGACGCACAACGGAGAATCAACGCAGGTTCTGGTCGAGTATCGGGAGTATGACCGTCGCCTACGGTACGATGACTTGGACCCCGAGGAGATTGCGGAGCTGAAAGCGCCGGTGCGAAATCTTGCATGGCTCTTACAGAGCTGTACCTTCCAGGATGCAGGCGACCCCGAGTCGCAACTCCAACAGCCTGCCATCTACTCGCTTCAGTGTCTTGGATTCATGGATCAGGCCGAAAAAGAGCGATACGCCTTTGTTTACAAGCTCCCGTTCCGCAAGCCCGACGCTGAAAGTAATGAGCTACTCACACTCCACGATCTGATCACCAAAACAGATCCCAAGACTAGAAGGCCGTTGAAAACGTCGCTGTCAGATCGCTTTAGCATTGCACACTGTCTGGCCCTGACCCTTTCCAACATCCATGCATCCCTCTGGCTGCACAAAAACATCTGGAGCCGCGGCATCCTCCTTTTCCAGCAATGCGATAAAGAGGGCATCACGCCGCTTGAAATTCAGCGGTCTCTCCCTACTTCCACCGACGATGCTGAGCGGCCACAGGCCGTCGCTTTTATAGGCGACTGGGGATATGCCCGTCACATCGAGGGGGCAACCGACATGAAGGCTGATTTTGAAATTGAGCCCAATCTATACAGACACCCGGAGAGGCAAGGCGCACCGACACGTCAATTTGCACCACCGCATGATATTTATGCCTTGGGTGTAGTGTTGCTGGAGATTGGGCTATGGAAAACTGTTTCTCAGCTATTCGATGCGCGTATCCAGGTTGGGCAGCGAACAGGCAAATTGCCCAAGGCGAAGGAGGTGAAGGCCGTTTTGATAGCACTCGCACAGACGGAACTACCTCGAGAAATGGGGAGTGTGTATGCTGCTGCAGTTATCAAGTGTTTAACGGGCGACTTTCGAAAGAATAGCGATGTAGAACTGTCCTTGGACTTTAGAGAAAAAGTAGTAGATAGCATTTGCTTGGGGATGAAGCTATAATACTATAGTCTAGCCAGCCCTTAACTGAGTCAACAATAAGCAGGTATATGGATTAGCTTGCTCGCTTTGGATACGGCATGGCCTTTCAAGTCCCAATCATCGTGTGCCAGGGAACTGCTGACCCGAGCAATTTGGCTTCTGTGACGGCAATTATATTATGTGAGTTCCTATATACATTGTTTCGTCAATGTTCTATCTTTACTTTTATCTTCCTTAGCTCGAGGTTAATAAACTCTAGTTATCTACCACGTACAGCGATCTCTCCTAGATACAAGACCCATGGCGGCACAGCTGATCCGGGCGAACTGGGATCACTTGGATAGACTGAGAGGTTAGTTGTGGCTGTCAGTCCCATCCTGATTATAACGTGAAGACGGCGAAATCGTGCCGCCTGCGTTCCAACGGAGCATCTTTAACAGCCTGCAGTCGCCACAAAAGAAGTATGAGATTGTAAAGTGCAGAGGCCATATGAACTTTTTGAAGGATGTGAACCTTGATGAGCTCCTAGGCAGCCAGCCGGGATTTCTCAAGGATCTTATGAAACTCTCACTCGGATTAGGCTACTCAAATCCATATACTCGAAGCTTGTGACGAAATAAAACTTATTGCTTTATCTATTGAAGATTCTAACATTAGTATGCAAGGGGGGTGAACTTAACTTTAAATTCTACATAATACACAAGAGGCGCAACCAAAACGAGGTAGATATAGCTAGGCTCATTCTCTATACTAATCAAAACATTCAACGCTTACTCTAAAATAGGAAATGACATCTAATGTTCTTTCGCTCTATTTTGTAGCACCTGTGACGAAGTTAGTTTATATCGGTTTTAGTTGGGAAAAAAAGAAGAAGCACACTTACCTAGGAACTTCTTGATATCGCCGTAGATGGCGAACTGGCCAGCAGTGAGGCCACCAACCATGAAAAGACGGGTCGGAAGACCGGCGAAAGATCCACGCAGACCAAGCTCGCCAGCAATCTTTATCAGCCTAGAGACGGTGCCCTCACCGGGCAGGCCCTTGGTCTTATTGATCTTGGACAGCATGGTATCGGCAGGCTGAGACACGATGGCAGCCGCAAATCCGCCAATCAGGCCAGATCCCAAGTTCACGGCAGTCGAGGCGCCGGCTGACATTTGGAACTTGTCTTCAAACTGGCTCAGGATGGCCTCGGAAACCTTTTCGAAAGCGACAAACTTCGTTATCGTATAAGGAACCCTGTGCGTAGGTTAGCCTTCGCTCGTCATCATGTTGCCTTTGTTCGACTATGAGAAAGTCTTTAATCAAATCAACGTACTGCTTGAAGAGGATGGGACCAAAGCCAGAATAAAAGGCGCCGATGCCCTCGTTCTTCAGGATCTTCCCAAAACCACCAACCAGGCCATTAGCGAAGCCGGGTGTGGAGACAAGGCGAATACGTGTTGCTTCTAGAGGGCACAGCGCAATCGAGGCAAAAAACTCAGCACAGCCAGCAGAGAGCATATAAACAGCTGTGCGATTCTGTTTGGCCTTCTCTGCACCGAGAACATCGATAAGCCTCTGTTGGAAGAATTCGTAACCGCCAAATTTAAAGGCGCCTTGCATGAAATAGCCCGCAAATGTCGGGCCGAAGCCCGTCGCTAGAGCGCTGATGCCTTCATTGCGGATAACCTGGCGGAAACTACCGATCATGCCATGGTTGTAGGTGACGGGATCTAGCTGGATCCTCGTCTTGACACTGTGTGGGAGTTTTCTTTGTTTTAGCCGATAGTGGGGATGAAGCCAAAGCTGGAGCGAGAGCCACCCGAGAACACGTACACGTCGACCGGAGTAAAGGCGGCGTGGGTGATGGAGCAGCCCAAAGCACCGGCAAGCGCGAAGCGAGCGTAGAGGTTGATGCCCTCCGGCTTGCTCTTCGTCGGCTTGCTCTTCGTGAGCTGGGAGACGGCAACAGGGGCAGCCATTTTGATTGGTCGTGATAATGAGTGCGCGACACAACGATAGAAATAGTTATAGGGAAATTTGTCTTGACAGCGAGTGGACTTGGTGTAAACAGTTCTATATATCTATAGCGGAGATAAGCATCCACGGCGGGAATAAGAGGTCACCTGACTGCTTACCCCTGAACACCACGTGGCCTTATATCCGTTATCTCCAGATGAGCAACAACGTCCAACAACATCCAACATCCAACATCTATGCAGTATCAACATTTACACAGCTTTCTCTTCTCTCTTCTTGGCTGTGATTGGGTTAAAAGAGCCATTTACGGCTGTCTTGGGCTTTTCGGCCTTGATAATTGGCTACACTGACTCATTATGCATGGATATTGCATGGGGCGTGAGTTCCCAACATCCAACGCCCGTGTCTCTTGATACCATTGGCTATCACCCCTTTATGATGGCTTTAAGTGAGACTGATTCAAAGTCAGCAACGGTATACCCATTCAGCTTACTCCGTATAGGTCCCTGCGTATCGTGGGGCTGCGAGTTACAGGACGAAAGGGTGTTCTCCCAAAGTTCGCTGTCTGATCTCTTGTACTTAAATCAGGGAGCTAACCATGCATGACACAGGGCTAACCTTGTTAACGCCCGCCCTGTTGGCCTGCTAATTTTATCTCGCGGCTTATTGGGTAATTCAACGCGCTATGGCAGACAAGCCAATATCTCCGGATTGTCCACGTCGATTGGCTTTGGTCGCCTCGGAGGTTAATACGGCCGCCACTCGGAATATTAATTGGGGCGGCATCCTTGTTTTGGAGTGGACGTTTTGTTGCACCACAAGGGACAAAACGGCCTAGTGTCCAATGGGAGCCATCAGGTATAAGGAACGAGTCGTAACCACAGCACAGAGAATCTCACATATTTCCGTTATGATGGGATGATGCTCATGAGGGCGTTTGACCCAGGCTGCACCTGAAATCATCCACCGATGGCTGCCTAGGGCTGCTATTAAGAAACGCACGGGACTACGCCAATTCATTGTTCATAAAAGTTTCGTTGGCTCCCGGTAGCTCGGGTGAGCGCAGACAAGGCATCTATCAGACAATAATCTATCTGTGTTGATGAGAGACAGCTCAAGTCATTCGCATATAACACCGTTTTACCATTCCTCCCTGCCCGCTACCAAAAGATCGACCCTTTCTGTGGAGGGCTAACACAGCCCACATCCGCGATCTTGAGCTGAAATGCATTATTTACATGAGAGTATCCCTCACCATTCATATGAGCCCCTCCACCCTGAGCAACTTCGTCACTGACAATCCCATATCTAACTGTCCTCTCGCCAATTCTCTCCACTAATGTTCCTACGACTGCATTAGAATCCTCGCAGTTTAGGAGCGGAGAATCAAAAGCTTTTGCAAGTTCAATGGGGCTCATAGTCACCCGCCGTCCCAAATGCCAAAACCCATGGAAGGTGAGCGTGACGGCAATAATCGCGAGTGCGGTAACTAATAACGCGATACCTAGGAATTGCCAATGCGACTGGTAGACAGGGCGGGTAGCTATCTCTCTTGACATCACTTGTTGAATGTCCGAACTATTTGCGGCTGCAACTGCAGTCCGAAACATGAACTGCCGTGCCTCCTGAAGCAGCTGCTGAGTCGGATCTTGGAAGTGAAGGTGACACATCCCACTGTTAAAGGCATCATTGGCCTTCAGCATATCCGCTACAACTGCAAATTGGGAAGCAGTGGAGCCTGTGCTGAGGACCTCGTAGCCCACCGCCCCGATGAAACGCATATGGGATGTGGAGGCGAATCTGTTATTGAGTGCAAACCACAAGCCCCCAAGGACGGTTGGACCTTGTCGGGGTCCATAGAGGTTGGGATCGACATTGGTGTGAGACTCGAAGACGTCGTCGAAAATGGTGGATGATGGGTCGAGGGATATGGTGGATTTATTACCGTCTATGATGACGGGGTATTGAACTATTGCACTGCTGAGAGAGCAATTCCGAACTGTCAAGCGGCCGGAGCAATCAGGTGTGTCTTTGAATTGGATATTAAGGCTCATATTGTTTGGCGCGGATGCCGACCAGCCAAAGGAAGACATGAATGCATAAGTCCCGTTGACTATGGCTGGATCAGAACCGGGGTCAGAACCACCTGCAGGGAGAACGCTGAATGGAACATCGTATGACGAGCAGTTGACTGCGAAGCCAGCGCCTCTCATGCCGGCTGTACATTTGCCGCTGGAGCTGCAGCCCGTGTTTTTCATTGCGATCTCGGTTCTGCCGTAGTAGTCCTGGACGATAGGTCTGAAATTCTCGCTAATCATAGAAACGGCATATCCACGCCCGCTCAGATACCCTGTTGGTATGTCTAGGTGCGTCGCAACTGACAGATTCAAGCGAGCATTGGATACCACGCTAGCTACCACGACGGTAGATGCCCGCTGCAGCAAAGGTCCGTTGATAGGGACCATCGCTATAAGGATACAGGCCAATGCAATCACATTGAAGCGGCGGAAACTGGTGATTGCTCCCCAGACGCTGTTGCCAAAGGCCCAGGAGCGGTGAAGATCGCCTAACTGGGTGTCTGGTTTGAGGGCCTTCCTCCACCAAGCGGTAGTGACGCCCTCGGTGAAAGCAAATTGGAGTGCGATGTTCGTTATAGTGTAAGCAATAGACAGGTAGACTGTTGGTTGGTATTTCCATTTTGAGATCGGCTGCCCGTTGGAGGCAACGAGTATTCCGACTGATGCTCCCCCTCCGAGTATTGATACCAGCAGAGCACCAAGGCTCAGCCATGGGAGTCGAGCTGCAACTCCTGGGCGCCAGGGATTGCCTTCGCCAGTGTTCGTTGAGGCAAAATGTTTTGAATAGCGAACTTTCATATTGACATGAAGCGTGGATTATGGCTGTAGAAGTAAATTAGAGCAAGTGGACGAGGAGACGCAAAAAGGGCAGATAACTGCTTCCAGATCACTAACAGAGTAAAGGCGGGTGTCCAGGGATTTCTAAATACATCATGCACGATCTTTGGCCTCCGCACGACAGTGGCTTTGGCTCGCGGCTCGCGGCTCACTCCACTGGCTCGTCTGTAAAGCATGGCTGAGTTCGCAGGAGATGGATGCCGGCTACAAGCTTAAACAAAGGTTAAGTGGATGGCTGCATTTGATTTGTTTGACGGAAATAGTGAGGCTTGAAGCTTAATATTAGTTGAAAGTCAGTACAAATATGAAGAACTGGCTGTTCCTGCGCAGATAATGAACCAAGTGGCCCATTCTGGGTCAGGAATCGAGAGTCGTGTTTGCCCGTGTATTCTTTATACTCTAAGAGTATGTTGTTTGACCGATAGAAGCAAAATAGCAGAGTTATGCTCAGTGATATGTTGTGTACACCAACCACATGGTTTTTAGTCTATCGATTATTGACTTTGTCTACACCTCTTTTTAGTTATATTAGGCTACTAAAATACGATATATCAGCCTTAAACAAAACGTCGAGAAAGTTAAACAACTCTATATAACTAAATACTGCGCCTGTTGTTTTAGCGAGTGCTCGGTGCCCTTCATTGGCGAGACTTTCGTCTAGAGCCGCAAGGCTACACTCAGGAGTCTGCGGATTTGTGGCTTTGTCGAGAAAACATTCCAGATCAGGTGCATCAGTGCCAATATTCACCGTCTTCAAAGGTCGTCGCTGTTCTTACTGCGACCGCCGGACCCATTGTCCTTTAAGGCGTTCCCAGCACTCAGCTTTAGACCTGCTACAAGGCACAGCATCTTGACCAGAGAAATGACCGCTGATACGTGGAGCTTTTGCAGCCACGACTGTTATAGTTCTATGGAATGGCTGCTCTCCAATTCGATAGGTAACAAGTCTCTCTGCTACCAATCAGGTTAATTATAACCTTTATTTTGACTATAAAGTCGCGACCAAACATCCAATATATTCACAATTTTAGTTCCTTTTTAAATGTTAATAGAGTCTGCTTGATCAATACGAAGTCTCTCAAGAAGCAATCTCATAACGTAGTTTTCTCCGCTAGCACTCTGCTCAACCCTCTATAGTTCAACATCAATCGCAGCCTCTAACCCCTTGATTACCCGCTCGACATAATGTAGGCTTCCGCTTTCGCGCAGCATCTTCAGTATCAGCTCTTTCGCCCCCTTCTGCAATTTATCACCCTTGCGCCTTCGCTCTTGTAGCATGGCCTCAAGGCAGCCATTATATTTCCGGGACACCTTCAGAGCATGGATTATAGCCAGCGAGAACTTCCCCTCATCCAGATCATCGCAGAAGCCTTTTGAGGAAATATAATCGTCAGAGACTAAGTTACAATAACCGTCGCGAATCTGAAAATATCGACCTAAGAGTATTAACAGGTTATCGAGATGAATCTCGTGGCCACAGCTCGCCTCAGCATGCATCAATCCAGCGATAAGACTGAAGAGGCCACCTGTCCTGTGGTCGACCATGTTGACATATTGAGCTGTAGTTGGGCGGGCGACGTGCCGAGTCCAGTATAAGTCCATACTTTGGCCGACATGCAAGCGCCGAAGTTGGGCATCATAGATTGTGGTGGCCTTTGGGCTGCGAAGCTTTCGAAGTTCTTCTAGAGAAAGCACAAAAAGAAAATTTGCCGAGTTGATAGTTTGTGCTTCACCAAAAAGTAGATGGACTGCCGGGCTCCCTCTACGGAGGGCAGATTGATCCTGAATATCATCCAACCTGGTTTATACAGAATGTCAAAACGCTGAATTTTATGCAGAGGATGATACCCACAATCCACTTACATCAACGAACTGCTATGGAGGTAATCAACAATGTTCCGGATTGCTGTTAAGGACTCCTCGGGTACATCTAGCCAGATATTCAAGGCCTCAATTGCTGCTTGACGGACACCCTTTGATCCCAAAGAGCAAAGGTACTTATATGGGGCCAGTACCGCCTAGTAGTTACACGGCTAGAATGAATTATTCAGCTTAGTTATCGGACGTTCTACATACTTCAGTTGGGAGATCCCGCACTTTTGTATTCGCGAAGGAGAACACTTCCCCGTTACCCAGAATTGAGGCCTGAGATGATAAAACCTCGTCTAGGCCGGAAACGGGTGGTATAATCCCATCTCAAAGGCCTAGACATGGAGCTTCTGCAAGTGCGGTATATTCGGGCTGGTGATATCGAGATGCATAAGAACAGAAGAAATGGCTGCCACCACCCAATACGGCGGTGATTTTCAGCCAATCCTTTGCTCCCTGGGACAAATCCGGATTTTTCCGTTCATAAACCTCCTTGCTCTCTAGGAATTCTCTCTCGAGGGAGGTTATCGCCTGGGCAAGTATCTTCTTTGCCTCCACCTTGTCGACTTTATGCTGCCTCATCAATACCCAAATGGAGTTATGGATTCCGTTCATACCCTGGCTCCTTACATATACAGCATACTCCTTCTCATAACTGTAGTAGTCGTTACTCAAAATAAGAGCCATTAGGGCCTTGTCGACGATAGGTTGCAATTCGACTCTTTCCTCATTGCTGATTTTCACTCCTGACACAAAGCGGCAGACTTCCAATGTCGAGCTGGCGCCGGTTAGAGTAGGCATCGCCAACGGATGGAGAGCAAACGTACTAGAGCCCTCCATCTTCGAAGCGATATGGCATCCACTCCTCGAATGTCGCAAACTCATTTGGTACACGCGTTCCGCCTCCTCGATCCAGCCATCGATGCCATTGCTTCATGACCCAGAATGCATCGTCTCGATCAATCTCAACCGCCTGCATAAACATCCTAGCTTCCATCTGCCGTTTTCCCCGAATACCCTTGACTATGTGGCTTGGGAGGGCAGCGTCTGTTCCTTGACTATACGAATCGGCAAGGGTATGGTTCAGAGCCACGGCCTTGTACGCATCAGCTGGATATACATCTTATAACTAGTCAACATGAGGCTCACCTCATCTATAGTATCAACACCATCGATCAGATCTGCAAAAGTTAGTTGGCTCTTCCAGACAATGTAATAAGGAGCGTATGTTCTCACCATCATGAAGAAAACCGAGTTCTTGCATCCGTGTCGCGATCTCGATTCGTTCCGGTATTGCTTCAGCGAAAGTTATAGCGACTGCATGTCCCCTGGGGTCACAAACACCTCCAGCAATGTCTGCCTTTCCTACATCTCGGTTATATTCCTCGAATACCTTCTGTGAGGTAGCAACCGTCAGTTGTTCATACCTGCTTCTCCGGACAGGAAGCAGAGTGAAGCAACCTCTGCTTGCCAGTGTGGAGGCATCAACAGGAATAGAGTACTTATACTCCATAATGGTATATACATTGATTCCTCTGGGGGAAAAGGCAAGCCAGAGGTATCAAGTCCTTATTTATGGAAAATAATTCCAATTATTGAGGCTCTCACTAACGCAATGGGGCCTGAATCTATCAACGCGACGTGGCTGAATTCGTATCGACTGGTGGCCTTTACTATCAATGTTAATGAACCCTGGAGGTGCATGAGATCCAGCTATAGGCTAGATCAGGCGATGAGTACCACTGTATGCGGCATCGTTGGCCCCGGGGCATCTGGATAAATGCCTCCAAGAGTTCTGCAAGCGCAGACTTCTCCAGGAAATTGGACACGGGGGTATGCTAGGCTCCCTAATCCTAGACTATGGAGGGGCAAAGGCGATGTTGTTCGCGACATGCGACCTCTATACCAAGCTTACACTGAGTGAGCAATCACAAAATTGTGCAAGGTTAAATCGGCACCACTGTATATGGGAAGCCTAAATACGTTCGAGGCGTGATACTTTCCAGTTGAATTGTACTTGCTTTGATCACAACATCCTAGCAAGGGGACCATAAAGCTATACGAATATCTATCATTCAGTTTGTTAGATAAAAACGGAAGTGAAAGCGGCCAAAGGCAATATCACACTGTAATTGTTCATGCAGATAATAGATACTGGCTTGTGTTTGGACTCAATTACTTCATGATCCTAGGGGTATTACGACGCAGTCCGGAGTCAATTAATGGATACTGCTTGAGATATGTCTATATAACTTGGCCCTTAACCTGCTTCAAGTTCTTAACGTCTGTGTTCCGCCAGAAGGCAACAGCAATAAACCCAACAACCCAGATTACGGTTCCCGCAGTCAACATCATCGATTGTGCGCTTGCGTATGCGCGCTGGATAGCAATTCGGGTTGGTGTCCCAATCGGATAGCTGAGTTGAACTTCCAGCATACCGTAAATACTGAGAATATTTGCCTGTTCCTCGGCGGGTAGGTATTCGGCAAGCTTGGCCGGAAAGATAGACTGCCATATAGCGCCAGCCACAGTAAGCCCGATGGCACCACCAATGGATGAGAACATGGACAAAATGGCGACAACGACCGCAATGTGCTGGTGGGATGCGGCGGACATGGCAGCAATTGGTGGAGTAATGATAAGAATTCCACCAGCAAGGGAGATGAAAATTTGGCACATAATTATGTAGCCAATATTCACGTCCGGCTCCCGGAAATAGATCATGAGACCCATGAAGAGAGTATAGATAGGCATAGCACAGTACAGTGTAATGGCCTTGAAACGCCCAGTATATCGAATCGCTATACCGGCAGCAATCCCAAATAAGCTGTTACCAAGGCCATAGATCTGGACAACGTAGCTGGCCTTGGTGATGCTGAGGCCATTGACAACCTGGAGAAAAGAGCTGAAAAAGCTGTTCCAGCAGAAGAAGCTGATGAAGAGAACGGTACCGAGCACGCACGCACCGATCATATTCCGATCAAGTAGCAGGGAGTATGGGATGAATTTGACGGGGGCAAAGAACTTTTCCCACAAGACGAACGCGATCATAAGGACGACTCCAAACACCAGTAAACAAATAATCAGCGGCGAGCGCCATCCAAGGGGCTGCAGAGTATAGAGATTGAAGGGCAAGAGGAAGAGAGTCAGCCCGGTGGTGAGTAAAAGGAGGCCGACGGCATCAAACTCGCGGCAATAGTGTAGAAACGACTGCCAGGGCGTCCTTGTTCCCTTCTTCACCACGATGAGACCCTTCTTCTTAGCCTTGTAGTAATTCAGCATGAGTACGCCAAACAGCGGAAGACACATGATGGGTACGATGACGGAGAAGGCTCCAAAGCACCAGGCCCAGCCGGGGCCCTTGAGGAAGGCTTCCGAGATAGGACCGCCCAGCCATATGGTAACGATATTCGGGGATGCAGTCAGCGCCGTCATAAGGCCACGGTTGCGTAGGCTGGTTGTATCGGCGACGAAGATATTGATGCTGTACAGCAGAGCGTTGGTGCCCACTGTCCAAAACACCTGCGCCGCGGTGTACATTTCCACGTTTGTAGTCGCCGCCATCATGATGAGGCCAACGGTCGCAATGAACAGGGACATCGCATATCCCTGCGGCCGACCGAAGACGTCGAGTATCTTCGCGACGGTCAGGTTGCACACCCCCCCAATAACGCTGCTCAGGATCCCCACTGTCGGCGTCAGGGAATGGTGCTGGAAGGCGGAGGTCACGAAGGGGTTCAGCGCCGTCACGACGCCCTGCTGCATCAGCACGATCAGGTAGACGATCCAGATGAATATGTAGGCGACGACGAGGGCGGTTTTCGACCAGACGGCGGCGATCGCCTCGACCTTCTGGACACCGGCCTGAGCCTCTCTATCGACGGTCGCATCTTCGTCTCGCGTCGAGTCCGACTCGAGGCCGGCGTCGTTGCCCTGGTCCTTTTCGACGTGCGCATCCGACACCGTCGGGTATTTGGCTTCGCCCATGATATACGCCTGGAGTTGGGGTGGAGCGAGGAGGAGGAGATGGAGAACGGAGAGCGTTCAGCCATAGTCCACCGAACGAGACTCCATGATCGCTTTATCCCCCGAGAATGCAGCATGGCCGATGACCAAATAATCAGCGCAGCCCGGCGTATCTTTTTCTTCCCAACCCTGGACCGGTTCCTTGCTGTTTGATGTTTGGCGCTTCCCCCAGCCGCATGAACCCCATATCCCCTTACCAATGATAATTAGCTCGATTTAACTCAGCTCGACTAGTGCGGCCAGGGGACAGAATCCATGCCCTATTTCTGCAGTTCTGTTCGCGACGCCATGGCGACTATTTTCCGCCGTCTCCGTAGAACCAACTATGAACCAAGTACTCCGTATGAACCAAGTATATGCTCGAACCAACTATGCCTGGCCATGAGGCATATCTTCCAGGGCATCTCATCTGCTCGGTGGGACCGGCCAGAAGCAACTCAGGTCAAGCCTCGGCGTACTTCGTACATATTCACGGACATACGAAACGGCGGGACTCGCGCTCGGCGTCGTGTAGGATGGTGAGATGCGACGAATCTCTGCTCGAGGTGATACGTTGGTTCCTGGTAGCTTGTCTCCAGGCATGATAGTCGAACGACCGTTCCGGCGACAGCTCTGTGCTTGAGGGTGCGCTTTTGCTGGGTCAGCATTGTGAGAAAACTCTTCATCGCCTCTTCTGACTGCCATACGTGTCAAATTGAGCTCAACTCAAAGCAATAGGGCTCCATCATAGCCGCAGGTTTAGGGTCATGGAGCATGGAACCGTGAATCAAGTTGTCTCGAGGACGGAGGGAGGTTATGTGCCATTTTCTTCCTCCTTTCCCATTCGTTGCCAGACACTTAACAGTGGGCGAAAAAGCAATCATGCAGCATTGATCGATGCGCTTTTCGAAGTGGGAATATCAACTTGCAGCTGAGGTTGCAAGGCCACCCAGGCACCATATCGCGCCTTTTATATAAATCATCGATATATAGTCAGATACAGGGGGTATATGCGGGTACCGGCATGACTTACAGAAAACGTCGCCCGTCTGGATATCTCCTACGCTCCCAGATGGTTGGGTATTCCACCGATCCAGGACGATGTGGGCATCGTACTTCCATGCGCAACTGCATGTCTGGCAAACAAATACCGAGAATATTCGGATTGCAACCAAGGCCACGAGCTTGTTGGGGCTACGCTACTACATACCCTGCCTTTGGCAATCAAAGGTAGCCTTACTCCCGAGTTATCAAATACATGATACTCCCCAATGATAATATCATTGGGCCTCACAATAAGCAATATACTCTATAACTGCTTCTTCATATTTTTTAAAGCATTTCCTTGCCCGTCTCCATGACAGAGGGCTCGCTCAACGAATCTAACGGAGTGAACTGGCAACTCCCCTCATGCCTGCTGGAAGGTACTTTATCTTTCACCAGGCCCTCCAGAGTATCTCAAAACGCATCGTGGAAAATCAGGCCGGAGATTTCACAGCGACTGGCAAGGCGCTATACCCTTATTTGCAATCAGTCAGTATCGTGCAGCCTCCGGGATGGCATCAGGATTGGTGTCCTCACTCATCGGACCAGCTACAAGGTGGATTCGTTTGTGGAAGCTAAGTCTTGGACGGAGATCAGTTATAGGAGAAAAATGAACTATTAGGTAAATTTTTATGAATACGGATGGCAGAGGATATGTGACTTTGCTGACCACATCTCCGGCCGCCGTGGAGATAACACGACATGGCTCTGAGATAGCCAGTGGCTGCAAAGCCGCGGCATTCGCGTATTAGGAGAGAAGTTGTTGAAAAATCCTTGGAGATTATATGAGCAGTTTGCTCTAATTGTCATGTGGCGGCACACCAGCCGCGGGCGATAAGGAGGCTGATTCTAAAGGCTTACCTGGATAACAAAAATCTCCAATATCTTGATCTACCGAGGGCCCATCATTCTCAAATGTTTCCTTAATTCCAGGGCTCGGGTTAATACGGTCGATACTCGATGATCCGCAAGATCAGTGGCGGGAGTTGAGCTTATTTACGAGGGCCGGGTAGGCGAGGGAATCTATCGATGGAGCAATGTGTCGAGAACGTGGCGAGTCTGGAGAAGTTCAAAACCCAGGGAACGGAATAAAGGTTGCTTACAGGGTCAACCCATTTCCATGCCCCTGGTGAGAGGGAGAGTCCAGAGGCCCTTATATGGAGTACGTCATCGCTTCGATCAAAGGCAGGGGCAACAGTGAGCACTCCAGAGATATTATTTTATTTTATTTTTACAACAAGATGGGTGACCAGCATCCAGACTGGATTTCTCTCAAATACTGGATACTATTCGGATAACGTCCTTCCACAATAGGTTCGTTCGCCGGGGAATGGAAGTTTTCGCCAAGCATAATCAGCTTGAAGACTCCGTATATATATATCGAGTTCTCCACAAAGGCCATGGCCAGCAGCATTGATAACACTGACTCGCTGAAGTGGTCACGCCTATACGCATGCACCTCGGGGCGGACGTTTGGAGGGGGGAAAAACAAACGAAAATAAGCTGCAGTTCAAGCACACGCTGAGATGCGAAGAGGCCTTCCTCGCTTAATGAAGTGCACGGATTACGGAGCAACATAACCCGAGCGGAAATAGAGAGCGTGAAGCTGAGCCCGAGGGCGAGCCTGCCGAGTTGCCTGGGGCGAATGGACCCGGGGTTCCTGGCACTTGTTCTTGCGATAAAAATAACATCGGGCCCGGCTGAAAGCCTAGCATCACCGGAAGAACCCAGAAGTTTCCCGTGTTTGGACAGGTAACTAATCCTTGTCGAACACTGACTTTGACATGGTATAAAAAAAGTTTAAGTCATGAAAAGGCCTCGTACTGGTGAGAGATTACGATCTGAGAGGCCCGTCATGTTTAGCTTGACGAGGTTCCCGTATGTACGGAGTAATGACAGGTGGTTGAAGTCAATTGATAACTTGCCGAAAAGGTTAAGCAAAGGCCTAGGATAGGACCAGTGCTTGTTACAACGTTAGCCCATCTCACATACACCCCGGCCACACGTTCAATAGAGCAGTCCACAGTACTCCGCTCTCCATATGATACTCTGAACCTCTCTACCGTAAACTATATTATAAAACTCCGCTGTTGTCATGTCTCGTCTTTCGGATTAGTGACAGGTATAGTGGAGTGCAGCAAAAAGGAATGTTCCACTTGCCAACTTAATATTTTCTTAGCAGGAAGCATAACTTCCTAAATTATAGCCAAAATGGTAGATGATGTGGCCTCAGGTCACTCCATAAATCCCATGCTATATCACTATCTATATATGGGCGCAAGCTAAGCCGTCTTCCCCATCGACAGCAATTGTTCAAGGTGCATTAAGTCCGCCATCCGCGGGAAAGATGAGTTTGAGTTGGGTATTTTTTGGTAGCCGCCGACGCTCTCAGCTTCCGTACTTAGGCTTTCCCGGGCATCCGGGATCGATCCCATTACTGCCATGTAATTGACGGTGCACGTAACCACCTTAGAAGTCAACCCACCATCCTCTATACTCCGTACGAGCCTATAAGTGAGTCCGGGAATCTGAGTTTTCATCCCCGTTGTGAAATGCCGATTAATGGTAGCTCCTAGATAGGTTATTCACTACCATGATACAGAAACGCTACACTTGTAACCCCTCCTTTGATATCGCCAATGCCGATGGGATAAGCAAACAAATTGATATCCTTGCACCCTAGTAAGCTGCACCTGTCTCTTCCATCTCGGGAGGGGCAAGCGGCTACCTACATGGTGCGTATTTGACGTATAATATATTCCGCCTACCAAACGTGTCCCTTGTTTTGCTTGATACCGATGACGTTAATGTCCCGCCAAATGGTGACTCCGACGAAACCAGCAATCCAGACTGCGGTTCCGACGGCCAGCATACTCATCTGAGCATCCCTATAGGCATGCTGAATGCCGAGACGAGTCGCAGACCCGACCGGATATGACAATTGAGTCGAGATGTTTGCGTAGATTTTAGGTAGATTTGGAAGCTCATCGGCAGGAATATAATCCATCAGCTTCCTGGGGAAGACGCTCTGCCAAATGGCGGATGCCACCGTTAGGCCGATCGCGCCGCCAATGTTTCCAAACATCCCTAACACGGCTATGCAAACGGCGACATGCTGATGCGAAGCTGCAGCCAGGATTGCAACCTCGTCGCAGACCATGATCGTGCCAGCTGCTATAGAAATGAAAAGCTGGCACATGATGATGTAGCCGACACTACCATCGATTTTGCAGTAATACATCATCAGGCCAGAGCCCAAGATGCTCAGCGGGATTCCAAGGTAGAGACAGACAGGTTTGAAGCGTCCAGTATAATGAATCAAGGAACCGACCGCGATGGCAGACACAACGGAACAGACAGTGTATGACTGTACAACGTTGCTAGCATTCTCGACGCTGAGATCATTCACAACTTGTAGATATGAGCTAAAGAAGCTATTCCAGCACCAGAAACTAATAAATAACGTAGCAGAGAGAATGCAGGCGCCTAAAACCGTACGGTCAAGGAGGATGGAATAGGGCACAAATGTGATGGAGGCATAATATCCCTCCCACACAACGAAGGAGATAATAAGGGTGATGCCTACAACTAGCATTGCAACTACACGTGGTGAGTTCCAGCCTTGTAATGCATATAGATTGAAAGGGAGCAGAAAGATGGCAACGCCGGTGGACAGCAGGATGAGGCCGATGGCGTCGAATTGCCGAGAATAATGGAGAAAGGACTGCAACGCAGTGCGATCGCTCTCGTTCTCACCCTTGCTCTGTACAATGAGGCCCATATTCTTAGCCTTGAGGTAGTTGTGTAGCAGAAGCTGAAAGAGTGGGAGAGTGATGGCTGGCACGAGGATCGTAAACATCCCAAACGCACAACGCCAGCCAGGCCCATTCAGGAATCCCGAAGATATCGGGCCAGCCAGCCAGCATGTAATCAGGTTAGGCGAACTAACAATAGCCTGCATCAAGCCCCGATTGCGCAGCGAAGAAGTGTCGGCAACAAAAACTGTTAGGCTATACAGGATACCGTTGTTCCCAACCGTTTGGAAAACCTGCGCGGCGGCGTAGGCCTGAACACTGCTACACGCGGCCATCATTGCGAGCCCGACCGTGGCTAACACAATGCAGAAGAGGTACCCTTGTGGTCGGCCAAAGACGTCAAGGATTTTGGCGAGGGTGAGATTGGTGACACCACCGATAACGCTGCTCAGAATGCCAACGGTAGGCGTGAACGAATGCATCGCGAAGGCGGACGTGACGTAAGGAGTCAGGATCCCTGTAGTGGCCGAGAGCATGCCCTCAACAAAGTAAATGAGCCAGATCATAATGTAGGCGAAGAGTAGAGCGGTGGCAGTCCATGCTACCGTCACCGCTTCAATGCTCTGAACACCGGGCTGAATATCGGGGGCGGGCGTAGCCTCGTCGTCGACGTCAACATTAACGGCGGGATCCTCGTCATGGCTGTGGTTGTCGTTGTCATCGCCGAGAAGATTCGAGTTTTCTTCGCTTTCTAATGCCGCGTAGGAGCCATGTTGGGCACCGGCGAGCAGCCTCATGATCTGCTGGGCCTGTTGCGCTGTTTGGGAGGCAGACAGCTGGTGGTTGAAGCAGAAGGGTGGAAGAGGCAGGCTAGCTAATCAGTGGAGTTGTTCCTCTGCCGCGTTGGTGGATATAAGAAGAGTTGTCGGGCGGAGAATCAGAGGATGCGCGCGTCTTCCTTCCTGTTCAGCCTTGTTGGCTTAGATAATATATTCCCCCTGTTTTAATTCTCCTTGATCCTTTCCGAGGAGACGAAGCAACGGTCTCCCAGAAAAAGAGGAGAGGAGCGGAGAGGAGAGGTCAAGGGAAGTTCCTGTTCCTAGGGAGATCCCGGCCCCCTGTGCAAACCAGGACTCTAGAAGAGCACTATCGTATAAAAATAGATACGCTAAGTGGCTATCCTATGCGTTTCGAGGCAGGAGTAGCGGTCGCGAGCGTTTGGCTACCTCTCCTTTCGGTGTTCGGCGCCAACGCACGTCCTGCAGAGCTTTTCCATCCTTCACGGCTTTTCATCCTGCACGGCTTGCAAATCCTGCACAGGTTTCCAAGCATCGGGATCTGTGGGATGGTCGGTATTGGCAGCGACGCACGAAAGTCCGGAGCACCACGTCCGCCTTGGCGACGTCGTAGCAAGTACCCGACAGCTGGCGGTGGGCGAGTTGTCGATGTTTCGATACGCCTCTGCTCGATCGATGCCGGATAGCCCCCGCATGGCTAGCTTCTACTATGTACCCTGGGAGCTCGAGAGGCGACGTCTGCATGGATTCGACTTACGCGAGGCTTACCATATCGCCACGCGACCGACGGCCGCTGAACTCCATGCCAGAAGCGAAAAAGAAAGGCGGAACAGACGCAGACCGTGTGAGAAAGCATGAAGGTGAGAAGCAAGGGGCAAGGGTAGCCTATCAGGGCCTGCAGCTCTGATCTCCCTCGCCGTGGTCGGGCTTAGGTCATGTGACATCGGCTCGGGCCGCGAGTTCTTCTTTAAACGTCGGGAAGCTTAAAACAACTCTAAAACAAGTTCCCTCGCGGCTGAATGGCTGGCAGCGACAAGCAACCCGGTCGCCTATCGTGGGCAGCATGGATATTCAGACCGGGTCTCTCGGTTTTTCCTTTCTTAACGATCCATCTCGCTTGTGGGATTAGTCGTCTTCCTCGGTGCAGTGCCAAGGACAGAGCCCTAATTCGAATGGGGAGATTGTTGCTGACGGCTGGATCCTTCATCCTTGGGTGCATGGGTGCATTACGAGCTGGCTCCCTTCGCTGCAGATCGATCTCGCATCCTACGTTCGACTCCTACGGCCTAGCCTAGCCCTGTTGGCCTGATGCCAAGAAAGCAGCCCCTGTAGGATGCCAGACGAGAGCTTGGAGCCCGTCTCTATCCTCGGATACATGGATGGATACGAGCTGACAAGTTTTGCTGCAGATCAACTTTGCTCCTAATCTTATTTCCTGGAGCTTAACCCTATTGGGAAATTGCCAAGGACTGGCTCCAGTTGATGATATATCGACAAACAGCTTCAATATTCCGCGATTGTTGGGCGCAAGGATGAACACGAGCTGATTCTATTTTAACGAACAGGCCAATTCTGTTCCCCATCAGACACGGAGACCCAATCATCTGCGCCGGTTATGGCCTCATCCTGGTGTCCTCGAGTCACGACTCGCATGTGGGGGCGGGGAGGGGGACTCTATACCACCATGATTTTGTCGGAGAAATATGATCGGCTCCATCCAAAATTGTTTTTTTGCACAATCACGAAAGGAGCCTTCTCGCTTGCACAAGGCTTCGTGGTCGTGTTCGTGAGCTTACGTCGAAATACACTAGGCTCTACACTATTTTTACCAACACCTGAGGAAGAGTTTGATATCAGATGCCCTTGACCCTTGGGGTATATATGTAGGCATGGCCCCCGTTGTCAGGAAGGGTCTTGCAATTCCATCTGCATATCACTCACCACTAGACCTGGTCTGTCCATCCATCGCTTGCCGATCAGGCCTGCGTTGACGCTCCAAATAAATAAAGCGTCAAACCCTCCAATTGCAGCCCTTCGTTACCTAATTCTCCGATACCGTCCCTAGTCATGCCTCACAAATCCACCATGGACGTCCAGCCAACGAATGGCAAGTCCACCGAAGACCTCGCACTGAATGACGACAACTCTTCAACAAATACACCACAAACGAACAAGGACGTCAGGAGGGTGTCGCGACTGATCTTGGATATCATTTTCGAATATGCACTCAACAAATTCGACGACTCAAAGGACCGACTGGAGGCTGGTGCGAGTAACTTCTTGTCAGTCATTGATCAATTCGTTGCAGCAGGGAAACGTGTGGACACATGCCTTCCAGCATTCCCTTTCAAATCAGCAAACAAGGTGTACAAGGTGCTGGGTAGTCTACCAGACATGGCTGAAGAGCTAGCTCTTAACCGGCTGAATACCATGTGCACGCGGATACGCGAAGTATACTCACCTGGCGCCCAGGTTACCATTATCTCCGATGGTATCACATACAATGGTAGGTAGCCTATCTCAAGTTCAACCCTGCCAGACTCGTTCCAATCAGAAACATGGCTAATCAAGGCGGTACCCGGTTTCTATGCGTTATTAGATCTGTTGTCCATATCTGATCAGGATACTTGGGCCTACGGAGAAGCTCTACGTAAGATGGCTATCCAGAAGAAGTTTGGCTACATCAACTTTTCTAGAATGAGAGACCTGCTCGAATTTCCTCTGCCAGAAAAGCTGACGGAAATCACCTACGTTGCCAACTGTACGACCTTCCGCCGATTGCTTATTAACAGGTACGGCCGCGACGACCTCAACATCGATCATGAGATTGCGACAAACCCCGATACGAAGCTGACTTATCTCGGCTACAAACGATTTTTGGAGTCGGATTTGAAATACATCTTCCCTCGGGGCGCGGATCGAAGTGCCCATAGCTATAAGAGGGATTGCAAGTATCTCGCCAAGCAGATGCTAATGCGGGGATATGTAAGTGGAACAACAACCCAGTCGTTGTAGGTCTCGTTGATTGCTAACTAGTAGTAAATAGGCTTTTGCAGGCGCGGTCAAAAATGCTTTCCCGAACTACTTGCGCCTTTCTATCCACGAATCGGTAGGCCTGAACAAAGTATCGATATGCCTGCTTAACACCAAGACCGGATTTACAACCCCATGGCACTGCACCGTAGCTCAGCTGGCCGATGGGGAATGGATAAGCGCCCCTATGGGCGAGTTCGCCAAAGACAGCCGGCTGGAACTTATCCATGTAGACGGCCAACCCAGCTACTACAAGGAGAAGCCACGCGATAATGGCACTCTTGCCATCAGTGAGTCAACGGCAAGTTATTTCCAAGAAGCTAGACCACTCAGCGCCAGTGGATATCTCAGCGGAGCGTCCACGCCCGGTACAGCATCACCCAGCCGCTTCTCCGGTTCACCGCCTAGGACGACCACGAGAAGCAGCGAAGCCACCACTCCAGAGGCTCAATCCCCTCCCACGCTTGCACGGAGCGGCTTAGGCGTCGTGATGGAGACAAGTTCGAGTACTATTTCCTCCCCAGCGGAAACCAATGGGACGCCTTCAAAGCCTTATGGCAAAAGGCTCATCCCTCGGATCATGGATGACCTCGCAGCTGCTGAGCCAGAACGCATTGTCTTCTCCCTAGCGACACTCTCCGGTGATGCACTCCAGTTTAGAAAAATTACCGCTCACGCCTTCAACAAGGCTATCGACAAGACCGCTTGGTGGCTTCGCGGTCAGATTGGCAGCACTGACTCGGTCCAGCCTGTTGGTTACATTGGTCCTCGTAAGTTGAAAATAAGTCCACTGTGGTGAATGAATCTACAAGAAATAGGTACTGACTTTATGGTTTACAAAGATGATCTTCGGCACGTTCTGTTAACATATGCGTGTGTCAAGGCTGGATATGCGGTATGTTTATGACATCAATTTTATTGGTTACGATTATATTCAATTTGCTAATGCCACTTTCTCTCCCACAGGCCTTATTTCTCTCGCCCAAAAATAACACAGAAGGCGCACTATCAGTACTTGAAACCACAAAATGCAATATCTGGGTCAGCGCTGGCGATGAACCACAGGAACCTTTGGTGGAAGAGATCTTGCAAAAGCGCTCTATGACCCATTTGCAGCTGCCTCTCCTCGACGAGCTGCTTGACGCCGAGTCTTCTGAGCCGTTCCCCTATACCAAGTCATTTGACGAAGCGATAAACGAGCCCTTCTGTTACCTACATACCTCTGGGAGCACAGGAGTGCCCAAGCCTATTCCTTGGTCTCACGGATTGATTGGAACTATGGATGCTGTTCGCCTGCTGCCGCCTGCGAAGGGCTACGAAGGTCTGGCTCCATGGACTACCGGCTGGGAGGAAGGCGATACGATCTACTCGTCATTCCCTATGTGTCACGTATGTAACTTGGCAATTCATCACTGCTATAAACGGGAAAGATACTGATTTGCTGACTAAAACCGCATTATTTAGGGCGCTGGAATTATCATGAACATTCTGATGCCAGCCTTCTTTAACTTGCACTGCGTATTGGGACTCGCCGGCGCTCTGCCCAATATTCGACTGGTGGAAACTCTTGCAGACAATGTTAAGATTGATATCTGGAGCATGGTTCCATCCCTTGTCAACGAAATTGGTGAAACACCTGAAGTACTGGCAAAGCTCAGGCCGTCCAAATTTATATGCGCATCTGGCGGCCCCGTCAGCCCAGTCAGCGCCGGCAAGGTCAATGAGGTGGTACGAGTATTGAACTTGACCGGTACAACAGAGGGACTATTCATTGGTAATCTCGTGACTTCACGAGAGGATTGGCACTGGTTCTGCTTCCACCCCTACTCCGGCTTCGAATTCAAGGAAATTGGGGAGAATACTTACGAGCACTGGGTGCATCGCAATGAGCACTGGCCTCTCTTTCAGGGCATCTTCCACACCTTCCCAGACAAAGAGTCAATTAACTTCAAGGACTTATACATTCGACATCCTACGAAGCCGAATCTATGGGCCTTCAAGGGAAGAAGCGATGATCTAGTGGTGCTATCTAATGGATACAAGATAACGCCCCTAGAAACAGAGGCAATGGTCACTGTTCATCCTGCAGTCAAAGGATGTCTTCTATTTGGAACCGGAAAGCCCCAAGCAGGTCTGCTTATCGATCTAAAGGACCCATCGGAGAAGTCCGACGAGCTTCTTGACAGTATATGGGAAACAGTCAAGAAGGCTAACTCGATGTCTCGCCATAAAGATCAGCTTCTGAAAGACTTTGTTACAATTACAAAGCCTGGGAAGCCCTTTATCTACACCGATAAGGGAACCGTAAAGCGAGCGGCTACCCTAGCACTCTATGCCGACTATATCGACCGTTTCTACAGCTCACTTAGTGATGAAGATCTTGAAGATATCCCCCAAGTTGATGTCAGCTCAAATGATTCAATCCAAAGTTACATTCGCGAAATCCTGATCTCCTCGCTCCCCAATATCCGAGAAGCCTCTCCAGACCTGGACTTGTTTGAGCTCGGGCTAGACTCCCTCGGCGTCTTCGCAGCTATTAAGAAGATTCGGGCTGCTACGGGTCTAGGTGAACAGATTGCTCCTCGCCACGTCTATGCCAACCCTACCATCACCAGTCTCTCTGCTACTATTGCACGTCTAGCGGTCGAGGCGAAGGCTGAGCGTGAGACGGCCTTGTCCGACCAGCCTGTCGACAACGAAACTGCCCAATTGAAGACCATTCTGGCCCAACACAAGGCGCGGCAATCATTCCCATTGAATGCCCTCGACTACGTCAACCCAAATCACAATATGGGCCTAGTGTTCTATTTCTCTCTGCGCGATGGCGTTAGCTTTGAGCGAGTATTTACCAATCTACAGGAGGGGCTCAACCGTACATTCGACCTAATCCCGGCGCTGAGTGGTAAGATAATGAACCGTTCAGAGCAAGAGATTGGTTATAGCAAGGGAGATCTCTGTGTCACCATCCCCCCACTGTCCATGGCAGCCTCTGCCCGCAATCGTTTGGTTTACAAGGACCTCTCTGATATTCTCCCGCCCTTCGACGAGTTACGCAACACAGACTTCGCGCCGTCTACCTTCAAGGACAGTCTCGTTCTACGAGATGATCCGATCACCAAGATTCCTGCTAATATCTTCGCTGGACAAGTCAACTTTGTCCGAGGTGGTTGCATCCTTGCCGTCGATCTAAACCATTGCTGCCTAGATGGCCTCGGCGCCATGGTCGCTATCAAAGCCTGGGCTGAGAACTGCAGATATCTGCAGGGCGATAAATCGGCAACATGCAACTGGTACGATCCAGAGAGTTTCAACCATAGCCTCCCAGAAATTCTTCATGAGCAAGAAGGCTGGGTCAAACCGGTTGATGCGGTAGATCCAGGTACATGGGGCTTTCTTCCATTCTTCCCCCCAGACGACGAGTCTGTCCCTACGAAACTTCCGAAAGACGGAGCTCTGACCCCTCGGCCCATTTTCCCCCTGCACAATGTCTGGCCGCTACCTCGCGCCGAGAGATGCATGAAGACGACCTTATTCCTAGTCACACCTGAGAAGCTAGAGAAAATGAAGCAGGATGTGATAGCTGACCCCCAGGCCAAGGGTGTCATCACGTCCATCAGTGACATTGTACAAGCCTTTTTCTGGCGCACTGCCATCAGGGCACGATATCGTGTGGCCAAGGAGATGCGCAAGGAGACTTTCGGACCGGATGACATGTCCATTCTTGAGCTGCCCACTGACGGTCGCCCATATTTCTCCTCAAGGCTACCATCGACATACATGGGAAGCGTGCTTATTCTCAATCGATGCAGCATGCCCGTTGAGACACTCTGCTCCCCTGAGACAAGCATTGGGCATGTCGCCTACATGCTCCGCCAGTCTACCGCCCGCATTACCCCGTCGCTCGTGCATGACGCCTTCACGATTTTACAGTCCCTTCCTGACCACAGTAGATTCTCGACTGCTAACATGGGTCTTGAGCACATGCACGCCATGATTTCCAATATGATGCTATTCCCGACAAGCGAAATCAACTTTGGAGACAAACTCTTCGCCAACAGTGGCTCGCCTGAGTCAATGCGTCCGCAAGTTGAGCGTGCTCATGGGATTTTCCGTTTCCTGGCCATCTATCCAATGAAGAAGGACGGAGGAGTGGAGCTGGTCTTGGGAACGCACCGCGAGGAATTGGAGATGTTTAAGACGGACGAGGAGTTCATGAAGTATGCGGATCTTGTGGACACCACTTGCTGAGGGTTTATGGGGGTAAGGTTTTTGCATGCTGGTCATGGAAGTGAACCACTGCTTCCGGGGATTGATAGATGGACATGATTTGGGAGTTTCTGTACATGTTAGGATTAAAATATTTCATTGTTTATTCATTATTTCGTTTACTCTCGATATGGCATGATCTTGCTCAATTGTATGTGTAACAATTAAATCTCTATTTCGACATAAAATTCTCTTTGGGCCAAAATGCGGCATGCCCAACAAAGTCAAGTGGTTTTGAATAAAATATTTACACAAAGCATGGTCAGTTTCCGCTATACAAAATTACATTGGTTATTATCAGTCCGTATGTAGGGTTAACTACATCGAGCTACCGTTTTCTCATATTTACACTAGCTCCAACTCCCACTCTAGCCCTATGCAATTGGTGTTGACATGCTGTACGATCACACAGGCACCCACTGGTCATAGCCTGATAACTAGCTGCTTGAGATAGCAGTGAGGGGTGACTACTTAGTTCATTTTTATATCATAAATTTAGTATTAAAACAAACATCGAGTTGTGAGCATAGTGGAGAGACGACACCCAGAGCGATAGCCTCCAAGAGCAAGGCACTAGCATAGCCGTTAAGTGAGGAAGTCCCCCGTTTGGGGTTTAGCATTTTGATACTAGCCGCATCGCTTCCTTGGTCAACAGGAGTGGAAGTTTCTGGGCCAGGAACTTGTTAACATGCAGATATAGAGTGTGCAAGGGGCTATTATCCCTACTGGATATCACTCAATCCAGAAGACTTTCGGGACTGGTATTAACGAATCTCATTTTGGCCTGAGGCGATTGTGCCTACCCTTTAACAGGATCATCTCAAGGAGGAATGCCAAATGGCTTCTATCGCCGGAAAGATGAGTATATTATCTTGAGCCGGGGCCACATTATCACCTTGCAGGAGGAAGCACAAGCGAACTTCCTCATGCGGTCTCCAGTTCTCCCATGGCTCTTTCGAGGAGCTTCCATATTGCTTCCAGATGAGGCTGAGGTTGCCTAGCATTTGAGATGTGATTCCGAGGCGCACGAGTGGGCAAAGCAAAGAAAGGAGTGTAAAGCACAGAATAATTAATTGACCACCAGAACAGCCAGAAAAGGACTAAAGAGGAAGAGGAAGAGGAAGAGGAAGAGCGGATGTCGAGAGAAGGTGCAGAGAGAAGAAGAGCCCACTTGCCTCGGCTGAGCTCGTGCGTTGCCAAGCTCTATTATGGGTCTAACTCCGCCCGTTGCGGCTGAGAGCCAAGTCCGCCAAGTCCGCCAAGGGGCCGATCATCCGCCAACCTTATGCAGCAGGTCAGGTGATGTCCATACTCCCCCGTGACGAGATAGGAACAGGGAATTAGCACCAAAACTGTCGATAGCAGCGGCAGGAAAAATCATAGCCTGCGAAAGTAGCAAAGGAAGGGAGCTAGCTAAAAACTGAGCATGTATATCTCATGGCCGGGAGCCATGTCATCTCTTTATCTGTAATTCCTTTGCCCAACGCTCTATATCTATCACGCAATAAAGAATAAACAGACAGTGAGGACTATATTCCTAGGAAGATATCCCTCATCACTGTTTCCTATAATTTCTTTAATATTAACCTGTTGTAAGTAGGTTTTTGGATACCTTAAATTCAGGGTATATGTACTAATATTACTTAGATTTCATTAGTGTATATATATATATATATTGCCTTAGAATCCTCCAATATAGTAGCTTTTACTACATCTTTATTTAACCCCAAGGGTATAGCAAACATTGTTGATGAGATCACAGTTAAAATACAAATTTTATTTCGGGGCTTTAATAGCCTTATATATTGATCAAGCCAATTTGTGATCATAACCAAGTCAGGTGAGAACATTAAGTCTACCACTTCCCGCAGCTTTAAAGTAAACTGAAATTATAGCAGCTGCATTATACACTATTGAATTATGGCTATGGGCTTTTGGCTTAAAGTTCGCGTCGTATGTTCCCACCCTGTCGTTTTTGTCGTTTTTATATTCCCCTTCGAGGGCTAACATCGGTTGGATAAAAATCGGGTCTTCGCTGAAAAATTGGTATACCACGGCTTTGATTATTTTGTTGATATGCTGGCAGAGGCATTTCCTAGGCCAAGATACTCATTTGAGAGCTTCTTGGTACCTCTATGTTTGGGAAGTTTCAAATTCGGATGTCATGTGCGAGCAACCTTGTTAAATAAAAAACCATAGAGCGCTACGCTCCGTGTTTAGATGCAAAGAATTTTCGACAAAACTTAATGTCTAAGCCATAGGTTCCGTAGATGGTAGAACGGCCTACAGTTAAGGTATTTTTTAATGCCAATAATTTTGGTGTCTAAGGAATAGCTAGCAAGTGCGGCTAACTACTAGGTACATAATCTAATTCATGGATGAAACCAGGCTTTTATTATATTCTTCGAGACCTCTGAGAAGTAAAGACAATAGGAATTTCTGCGACGGAAGCTAGATGTGCTCAGAGGGCAAGGTGTGCAGGGGATATATTTCTAAGAAACTCGTGCTGGAAGCCGATCTGGTGGAGAGAAAGATAAAACTATCACCTGCATCTACTCAACGCTACACATCCATAGTTATTAATATATGGTATACATTTTACAACAAGGGTCCGTCGGGGTCGTTTCTTTGAGGGCCACGAAGGACGTTCCATAATTCTTTGCATTATAGTAGTAGAACTAAATATTACGGCGTCTAGTGAAAAGATTCCCCCTAAGCATGAACGGGATAATATGCTTTGTATTCATCCTGTTGTTTCATACCTATATATGGAGTAGGACAACTTACAGGATGAGACAGTGAATTACTAGATATTAAGTTATATTTATGAAGGAAGGATAGCTATTGTTATCCAATGGGCAGCGATACCGGATAAATCTCTAGTAATTGGCATATCTATTATTTCAGCTCCCCTCTTCTAAAGAGACCGTAAGTCGGACTAAGCGGCTTAAACCCCTGGAACATCAAAGCCGCCCGTCGCAGGCCAATCTCCCAGTCGCCCAGGATCTCCCCCGATACGAACGAAAGAAGCCACGGATGGCGTTGGACCATCCAAGACAAACAGCATGAACCATCCGGGAGGACTGGTGTGGCTATCCGGTGGCGCAGTGATAGTACAGGTGGTTCCGGAGCAGGTCATGTCTGGGAAAATGGTCCTCGTACCCATGCTATTCCCATGGGTGCTAGAAACCATACCCATCAGGGATACTTTGATATTTGACATGCTTCCGGAGGTTATATTGATCTGGTACTTTCCACCGTACGCCCAATCCTTGTCGACAATCGTGAAGGTCGGACGAGGAGCACCCGACAGCAAATAAGGAGGCAGGAAGACTTCAACGCGGTATTCCTGGGGGAAACGCGGGTCTTGCGGGTCTGAACCAGAAACCATGACACGTCCGTCTGGCATAAGGGTCGCTTCAGAATGATACATTCGCGCAATGGTTGTATTGGCCATAATGCTCATGCGTTGGTTGGCAGGTTTTGAGGGATCATACAGCACAGCTCCGAAGTTGGGATTTTCAGCTAACCCAAAGCCGGCAACTCCCTTCTTCGCTCCGTTGAGAATAAGGAAGGTTCCATCTGGGAGGCCGGCCATACATGTAAGAACTCTCCTAGAGGGCTATGGCGACTGTATTAGAAAGACTTCAACAGATGAGGGGCTTATAGCAAGTACGTACCATCCGTTCTATCAACCATTTGCTGTTTGGCACTTCGGGCTGGATAGAAACACAATTATCCAGGGCATCGCCGCCATATGGCGTAGAACCACCGCATATCAAAACGCCTAAGGGTTCAGTATATGGCGCATCCTGCGGTAAAAGCACCATGGTTCCTTCGAGAGGATAGGTGCGTCCACCGGCATCATTGTTGACTGCCCCTGGTATATTTGGTAAGGTTCTCACTGTGTCGAAAGTATTCTCGTTCAAGATCCTGGCTTCATTATAGTAGGCAACAAAAATGTCACCGCTTGGTAGTGGTGTTAGATACGGATAAAGGTTGTTCGGGTCTGTCCTCTTGAGCCAGTCCATAAATAGAACAGGGCCAACCCGTGGCAGGATCTCAAGCGTCGGTACAGGTGCGCCATTTGACCCTTCTTCACCTCCCACGATCAAGATCGAGCCATTTGACATCGTCATGGCCGTAGGGTACCATCTTCCGTCCTGCAACTTGAGGTCATCCGGGCTCTCGTGCCAGTCATTTACGCTAGGCTTTCCTGGAGAACCATCTGGCCAGTAAAGCCTAACACCATGAGTTGATATACCAGACCATCCCCCAACAGTTAGCTGTCTACCAACTTTGTCGGGGAGGACAAGGCCCCCGGCGCAGAAAATATCTGTTTTGACGTGCATGGGACGCCATGCTTTGCTGAAATCATTGTCAAATGCAGGATCGAATTCATACGCTCCAGTGGTGTTGGGGTCACCTGTTCCGGACTTCTCCTGGAAAGTGATCTTGCCATTGATACCAACGGTGGTTATGAGAGGGACAAGGACTCCGCCAATGAGAAATTCATAGCGACCGGCATCTATGCCAGATGGACGATCCCATGTCTGTAGCGCGGGCCCTGTCCATTTATAATACGTAATCAAGTTGCCAGCGCCGCAAATCGCGGTCGCATTACCAGTGCAAGATTGACTGCACATACTTTCTGGTACCAGCTTTGCACCGGCTGCAGCAACGTCCTCAAAGTCGCCGCAGACTATAGAGATGTTAATATGAGGAAGCTCTAATCATGGAGACGACGATGAACCTACAGCATTCTTCTCCATATGTCATCCCACCCGCTCCAAAACCAAACATCGAACAACGGCTGAGGCAATTTGTCGCAGTGTTGTTTGTTTTATCGACTATCTGATACGGGAAAGTTCGCTTCCTGTTGATGTTGTCTCTAGAATGACGTTAGTATAGTATTAAGACTTGTCCTTAGGGAGGGGCCAGAGTTACTGAAGACACCCCTGGTACTTCCAGGAACCTGGAAGCCCTCCTGTCTGCGGGACTGGTACAGGTAAGACTACCAGATCGCCCTTTGAGTATACGCTCAAGCGGTCCGGGCCACCGCACTTTTGTTGGGTATTCCCACTGCAGGCCATTGAGCAGTCCGACTCCTTCCCCAAGGGAGAGGCATTTCGGAGAAAATTATCACAGAAGCACTGCCGAGAATACTCGGTTCCTGCTACAGCATATCCCAGCTTGACACACATAGCAATACACGACTCGATGGTGAGGTTTGCGCTATCGGGTTGCTGTCGAGCCATGACACGCCCGCCGTTGACGTTATCCGTATAGCAGCCAGCATAATTCCAACCTTCTGGCAGGCCCTGTGGGACGGGGTCGGGGGAAGATGTGACTGTTGACGAATCGGTCATGGTCGTAGAGGACGAGGGACCTGGGGAAGAAGTACCGGTTGGGGTTATCGCAGTATTTTGGTACATGTTCAATCGGCCTGGTCCTCCGCATTTTTCTTCAGGGTTGCCGTTGCATGGCATTGTACACATTGCTTCCCCGTCAGGTGCTGGGCCACCGTTGTTTCTCAGCTGGTTATCACACCAACACTCGCCGCTGTATTCGACACCTGCAAACGAGTATCCCCCGGCGGTGCATCCAGATTTACAATTCCCGACCGTCATGTTAGACGGGCCGCCCAGCGTGTAGCCTGTCTGGGATAGGGTCCTTGCTCCCACCGAATCGGTGTAGCATCCCAAGTACTTCCAGGCATCATTGTCTGCCCTTGGAAGTAGTACTGCTCCATGTGCGAGCTCTGCAATCAAACAAAGCTACTCTTTTATTAGTCTTATTGTCCTTTCTGCGAGCGAGATCGATACTGCAAACTTACTACTAGAACTCTGGCTATGCGAACAAGGGTAGATAGTCGAGCCATATTGGCTAATATCAGATGCCCAAACGTAGTTCCCCCGCGAGAGAACGGACTATGGCTAATGGCAATCAGTCCGCAATGTAGCTTCAAGATCTCAGGACAAGACAATGATCCTTACCTCACGTGGGAAAGTATACACACTCTTCAGAGACCCGTTCTGATGCCCCCAAGAGTTCCAAGAGAACGTTAAAAATTGCCCCGAGGAGCCAAATTTATAACTTTTCCCTTTAGCGATAATACCTCTCCTCTGAGGGTCATGCCACCCTCCCTCTCTCTGCGGCGGATAGCAAGGCTGTTACCCGACCACTACATAGGCCTGCCCTTCGCCAAAGGACGCGTGATGGCCCAGCATGGTTCACAATCCGAGCTCGTGCATAATGTAAGCTCTGAGACACAGAGATGAACTGGATGGTCGGTGATGGATTTCTCGTTCAGGGATGTTGCTGGTAATTGTTTGTCATGGAAACCAGCCGCAGGGACCACTCAGGCCTGGACAGGATAAAGGGCCGCATCGACATATGGCGACGGGGTTAAGGCCCGTATAACGCTCCACAGCTGGTCCTCACTCATGGGATGGCTCGGGCCAGGATGTGACGTCGAGCTTGCTAGCTCTTGCGATGCATCGATATGCACGACATTCGCGGATCCAGTCAACGATGATCCGTAACTATATACGGAGTAGCTATAGCCGAAGACGTACTCCGTACCCCGTCACTTCCAGCCACAGCCCGTTGACGCGCGGAGATAGAGCAGTCGTATCTGAGTGAAACAGCGCTAGACACCTGAGCCAACGTCTCCGTCAACTTCATTTGAGATGGCGGGCCTGCCCGATGCCCGTGAGGCAAGGAAACAGAGCCTAACAAAGGCTGTACCTCGTACCCCTGTAGACCCCCCCAGGACAAGGTTTCTCTTCTCTCTCTTTTCTTTTCCCATTTTAGTCTTTGTGGGATGGGCAGGGATCTCATCGGGATTCTGTGAGATGATTCCGACGTCAGGGCTCAGCTAAGCTGGCTGCCTGTCTCTTATCAATTCTACTCCAGACAGCTTGGCATCGTTACAATTTAATACGAGGGAAAATGGATATCACGGTGATAACTCAATTTATTTCAGCCACAAGCACCTTCCTGCCACATCCGGACTGATTTCACGGTCATGCCGCGGCTGCTATCTTTCGGCCAGGTGGGATAAAACTTGCTGAGACCTGCTGGATGTTTAGCTATGTCATTGCCAGGAGGGGATCCCTGAGACTTACTTGAGTAAAAGTCCGAGGCCGCTTGGCCCACGTCAGTCCACGGTTTGCCGCCCTTGCCATCTGGAAACCAGCCATTTGTACTCCCGACGGCAACGTTCATGACGAGGAAGAATGGCTGGTCAAAGGGTGTGTTGGGATTTCCGGTCTGAGACCACGGATCCTTTACCAGGGATGAGTTTACAGTAACTCCCTCGTAGTGGCCCTTCTGCCACATCGTTTGGTCCTTGTCGAAACTCCAGTACAACACCTGCTGCAGCGGGCTATCGATGTAGGTGAACAGGTAGTCCTTGGACCACTCTATCCCGAAGGTGTGGAATCCCTTGGAGTAGTCGGTTCGGCGCAGAGATTTCCCCCTCGTCGACCTCCAGAAGGAGTCGGTCTCGGGTGTCGGCCCTGCGGAGAGGCTGATTAGTACAGGGCTTCCGGTCGTCGCTGAAAGATGGTGCACTCACCCCAATGTAAGGAGCTTGACATGATGTCTCTGCCTCCAACAACATAATCAACATCGTTGCCACGGGTCTCGACGATGTCGATCTCGCCGCTTGTTGGCCAGGCGCCGTAGGTCTCGTTCACAGGCAACATCCCTAGACAGTCAATACATATATCACCGGTGGCATGGCTGGGTGCTACCTACAGATGGCCGGCCAGAGCCAGTCTCCCTTTGGCATCTTAGCAACAACCTCGACTCGCCCGTATCGTATGCTTTTCTTCCCCTTTGTATTCAGTCTTGCTGAACGGACAGGTGGGATGATTGCTCCGGTTGTTTTGTTGGACCGGATTGAACATGCGGCGTTGGTATCAGCAGTGCATGTTCCATCTCCGCCAGCTTTGGTCAGGTTCAAGGTGTAACCATTCAGAAGCTGTTCCTCGTTGATCGAGGTGGTTTCCGTGGTAAGGGTCGGAACTATATGAAGGCCATCGCCATCGACAAACGTGTTCTTCTCATCCGTCGTGGTCCAGTCAAAGGCACCAGTGCCAAATCCGCCAATCTGCATCCTGCCTTAGCATTCATCTATGTATTTATATTTTTGTACAGTCACTCGGAACATTGGATCATTTACATACCTGAACCTCCCGGTTCCATGTGTCCTCGTTGAGGGAGGTAAAGTGGTCATCGAGAACAAGACAGTACTAGGATTGCAATTTTAGCTCATTAGACTGGCCACGTTTATTCGATAGTATAAACCAACCTGATGTTTCGACACCTTCTGGGTGACGGTAAAGTTGATGTATGCACTTATCGCCAATCCCAGGACGATGAATCCCCATATTATATAGGTGCCGACCCGCGATCTTTTGAGCCGGCTGTCTGCCAGCCACGGTCTTTCATACTCGCCATTCAGCCTATACGACTTGAACTGCTGGCGCCTGGCCGGCTGTCTGTCCGACGGCTGCGAGTGGTATGAAGCAGTCCGGAACGACGCTGCAGCGCTGTTGGAGAAAGGGTCTTGCGCGAGGGCCGGTTTCTCCATGTCAGCAGCAGGCTTGTCTCTGATCTCATCGTACTCTTGAGGCTCAAAGGTTCCCTTCCGATCAAGAAATTGAGATGCCCCGGACGCATGCTTGCTTCCTTATGTCTGAACCCGAGCCAGCCCTGAAGCATATCTCGTCATTAATCTCGGAGGACAGCTCTGCCACGCTCACACATGGATCCGGACGCCGCAGGTTTGCCTGCACCTCCAAGGATCGCTGCAGTGGGTTGCTCCGTCTCGCTGACGTCGCAAAATTGAGGCCGTCAACAGCTGTGTCTCACGCTAGAAGGGCTCCGGTCAATCGACAGGGGCAAGCCAGCATAGTTTCGGCCAAAAGCAAGTTGCAGTATCCCCGTAGCGCCCTTGGCGATGCACACAGCTCGCCATGCACGGAGAACATTTCCCCCCTTCTCGCGGCCTTCCATGATGTTTCGATGCTACGCTGACCACAACGCATGAGAGTCTCCCTAGCGAATACGACGACGTTTGCTCGGCTGTGGCGAAAGACGTTGGCTTTCCCCGCGGATCTGATCGACGGGCTTCGATCACTCTTAAATATGCCACTAGTTGGACGACCTGGATAGTTGTCTGTCTCATATCCGCCATGCTTAAGCTCCCGCATGATTTCGACTTCTCCTGCGCCGGTTGAGAGATCGATGGAGAGGGGCCCCCAGGCTACGGAGCACCAGGAGGGGGGCAGCGTTCACTCTCTGCTTATTGCATGAGCTATTGGTAGGGGTCTCTTCGGCTAATTCCTGTGAACCCTGGGGGGTAAAATCTGTCTGATAGTCTGATAGGAGTCTGGCCGGCCGGAAATAGCATGCTTCCATACGTAAATTATGGTTGCATTGGAATTGGAGGGCCCTCCCCTGTTCCGATGCACAGGGTATACCGGGCCTTGTCCTTCGGAATTTGGCTCCAAGAGCTCTTCTCCATTCTTCGCTAGACGAGACGCGTATCTCGTTGGCGGGCTGCCAGGGTAGCCATTGGAATGGACCCTTCCGGTCAAAGAAGAAGAAGAAAAGAAGCAGAAGCAGAAGAAGACGACGAAGAAGTCGTACCCGCGTATCGGTAGCTCAGATACACCAACAAGGGCTTTGCCACGCCTTCAAGCCCGCTGCAGCATGTCGCAGATGGCTGATGCGGAGCCCATCGACTGACAGGCATGTCCGATGGAGAGGCCTGAGACAGATGGAGAAATCTAATAAGCTAATGAGGCATCGACATGCCTCCAGCTGCTGGCAGGGAAGCAAACGAGAGAAGAAAGCGAGCGGGAGTCTTTCAAAACTACTTGAGAGATAGCCGTCGCATTGACATCTCTCCTTGTCTAAACTCCCGGTCTTTCGTCTTTCTTTTAATTGGGATTCTTTTCTTTATCGGTCCGTTGTCCATGCCTGCCTGTATAGCTATATAGCAGGGATGTTCTGGCGACGTTCAAAGGCAAGCGGCCTACAGTCCGCCGCGCCGTCTCCGTCTCCAAGGCAGTCCGGCCTGTCCTCTGCTCCAGAGTCATATAGTCGACCGATATCTCAGTCTGGGAGCAGCCATGCCGTCGCAGGAATTGATGAAGACTCGAAATATAGAGCAGTAAGGCGAAGTGGCCTGCATCCCCTAACGACTACAAAACTTACCCAGCGTTATAGATAATAAAATACCTTCACGCAAGGCTTGCTACCAGCAAATGGTGTCCACCGCCGACGGACCCTGCCAGCGAATATCATGGCCTTCTCCTACGAAAGACCCGAGGGGCCTACATTTCCGAGCCGGAACTCGTCCACCCGCTGTTGCTGGGTGCAGTGCAGAAGATCAATGTCACCGTCGCTTTCACCATGACCACAGAGATCACCAGAATCATATTCTCGATCTTGCAACCAGATCAAACAGAATTGATTCTACCCAGTGGTTTCCAAGTACAGGTTGTTGAGTCCCTGGCCGACATTGCTTGTTCCCCGTCGAGTGCTATAAAGAAGTTCCAATACGTTGCACTCGTCCGGGAGGAGAAGCTTCTATTAGTGTGGCATGACGAGCTGGAGAAGATACTTGTCCACGCAGAAGATGTGGAGGAAAAGCTTCTTGCATTTGTACGTCAATATACCTTTCACTCCAACTTGGATGAGACTAATCTTTGTAGATTTGCGGGACACGCATCTCTGTGTTTGCTCCATCTCAATCTGCTGGCTACTCTCTTCCACATTCATCTATTGGATCACCGGCTGCTTCGACTCGCAACTTTGTCCCTGGCTGGAATAAAGAAGCCAGCGGCATGGCAAACAAACCACTGCACATCTCTGACGAGGAAGCAGCAAAACCGATTGAATCGTTGGACCGGCCGCTCGCATTGACGAGTTCAATATTCGTCGGCCTGGGAATGTGCTTGATCGTTGTACTTCTCATGGGATTTGGCGTCTCCAATCTTTTGCTACAATCTCTTGTAGATCGGACATGGATTAGATTTGCATTGGTTGCATCTTTACCGATCTTCATGCTCTTTAGCGTTTTCTTCGTTATTGTAATATTCTCCGATATTTTCCAAGCGGTTGGTCCTATAAAGACGCTGAAGACAAATTCCCGGTTCTATTCCCCTGTTCGACCCGATCTTTCGCAAGCCTACGCCTTAGGATTTAAACCGCCGCGCATCACCATTCAGCTTCCCGTCTACACCGAGTCATTGGCTGGAGTTATCAACCCCACCGTCACAAGTTTAAAAGCTGCAATATCCTATTACGAGTCTCATGGAGGTATATTTTCACGCTCTTCCGAATGTCAGTTCATTGGCTAATCAAAAATAGGGAGTGCAACGATTTTTGTCAATGACGACGGCCTCGCATACCTCTCAGAAGAGCAACGGGAAGAACGCATCGGTTTCTATCACGATAACAACATCGGCTGGGTCTCACGCCCTAAAAACAATGAGGACGGGTACATTAGAAAGGGCAGGTTCAAGAAAGCTTCCAACATGAACTTTGCCCTTAATGTCTCCAATAAGGTTGAAGATAGGCTGCTTGAACTGCTTGCAGAGACATTGGAAACCACTGAAATGATCGATGCTTCCCAGGAAGAAGCCTTTTATAAACTAGCTTTACAAGAGGTTCTTGCTTCCGATAGCCGAATTAAGGCGGCAGGAGACATTCGCATTGGAGAAGCGATTCTCATTGTCGATGCGGATACTAGAGTGGTATGCCTCTTTGCCTTCAACTATAACTTAAAACCCATGCTGATTCTTCCCAGCCGGTAGATTGTTTACTCTATGGAGCCGCCGAAATGTTTTTGAGTCCCGAAGTTGCTATCATTCAGCATTCCACTGGCGTCATGCAAGTCGTTGGTGACTATTTTGAGAACGGAATCACCTTCTTTACAAACTTGATTTACTCCTCTATCCGATTTGCGGTCGGTAGTGGCGAGACAGCACCGTTTGTTGGGCACAATGCGTTCCTTCGCTGGAAAGGTAACCCTTCCATTCAATAGATAACTTAAACGCTCACTAACTTGAGAATAGCCGTTCAATCCGTGGGCAAGCCGGACGATGGCTATGTAGCCTACTGGTCTGAAAGCCACGTGTCGGAAGATTTCGATATTGCACTTCGTTTGCAAATCGCAGGCGATATCGTGCGCCTTGCCAGCTACCATGGCGATGAGTTCAAAGAAGGCGTGTCTTTGACTATCTATGATGAGCTGGCGCGATGGGAAAAGTATGTTTGCTCTATCCCTTATTCTGCTTAGCAACGATTCTAATTTCTGCTTGAAGATACGCATATGGGTGCAACGAGCTAGTGTTTAATCCGATCTATACTTGGATTTACAAGGGCCCGTTCACTAGGCTTTTCATGACATTCCTCTGGTGCAACATGCAGCTATCATCTAAAATTACCATTTTGGGATACATTTCTTCATGTAAACAGTCCTAACCCGCTATCTCAACGCTTCCAGCTGCTAACTTATATCAGATTATGCCCTCGCATCAGGATTTCCGTTGACTATCCTAAATTACTTTTTGGTCGGCTGGTTCAATGGTTACCTGGACAAGTTTTATATCGAATCGTGGAAAGGTATTTATGCCCAACCCCCTCCAGAATGAGAGACTAGCTAACAGTTCCAGTCCTACTGAGTCTTATCGTCGTATTTTCTCTCCTCGGAAACGTAACCCTCGCTATAATTCGCTCCCGCCTCTCAGAAAAGAACCTGTGGTCCGCTCTCGTTGAGAACTTCAAATGGATGCCCATGATGGCCATCTTTTTCGGCGGTGTCTCGTTTCATCTCAGCCTAGCTCTCCTTTCCCATATGCTATCTATCAAGATGGAATGGGGAGCAACAGCCAAGGAAAAGGTTGACTCCAATTTCTTCAAAGAAATACCCAAGATATTCAAAAGCTTCAAGTGGCTGTATGTTGTCCTCCTGCCCTTGCTTGCTGGCATGGTGTATCTTGGGAATTTTGCTCCAAGGGGCTGGGAAATCACAGAGGTCGCAGCGGTCGTGCCCATGGCAGTAACCCTATCTTTACACGCTCTTCTTCCCTTACTTCTTAACCCCTCACTGATGATCTTTAACTACTAATGTATATTCCTGGGCTCACAAACGGCGTTCAAGAGGTGCATATCCCATTATTATTATATTTGACTTGGCATGTCCCTTCATTTTTCGGGCCTGTGGATTTAGCTCTTTTTGATATTTCCATGCATTAGATAGAGTAGTTAGGATTTTGGATATTGTTGCCTCGATGAAATGATTTTCGGTGTCAAGGGGGCTTTCAACTAATGGAACAACTAATAAAATTTCTAAAGTTGATACATGACAATTTTAGTCATCGATTGTAGCTAGTTCCATCTCGTTTATTTAGCCATATTTAACTAGCTTGAAGGTGAGAAAACACACAAGTTTAACTACAACTACGAGTCAACAACGTTGACACGGAGTTCATTTTGTTTTCTTTTGCCGCACAAACACAATGCATCTGAGACAGGCAGAATACCCCAGCGTTGATAAGGGAAATTATTGCTCTGATGGGTTAGCTGTGGACGCTGGGCTAATGCATATTTTATGCATGCAACCTGAGACATGGGCAGCCTCATAATACCAACCGGGGCTATTTTAAGTCGGGTGCCAATTGACTAACCCATGGCCTTAGAGTCTGGATCTATAGGGTCGAATCTTAAGTTATCCCTTTGGCCTCCGATTCCCAATCCCTGGAAAGGTCAATTTAATCCCTGAGGGCCGGAGCAACATGGATCAGGGATTATGAATTGGGAGATTGCATGGTATCGTTTGATGCGAAGGCAACAAGAGATTTTTAGTTGCCTTGCTCGGCCCATCCAGTAACACGGTTTCGATCCTTTATTTATATAGCTAACTATATGCAAGACCAGTTATTAAACTGCACCGTCAGCCTCATGCTCCCTTGGCGAATATAGGGAATACACGAACGTCAACGTCAACATTGATATCTCTCATTCGGTTGACAGCGTCAATATTCGAAGAGATACGCGTATGGCACGGTGCTCGTGCGTGCATCGGAGGCCAGATATTAGCAAGGGTCAACTCTTTGTTTGCATGATTGAACACTGACGTACGCCCTCCTGTCAAGGTTGTCGATCGACGACCATATCTATATATTTTTACGCTTTCCCCGCGAGCAACCGGCTCACCGATATATATCATTAAGACGCGTGCACGGAGTCTGAGAAAATGTTAATCGCCTCTCCTTCCATCCTAGGGACAGCCTTTTTCCTGTATGGGGCTTTGGCTTTGCCAACTTGGCCCTCCTCCATCGATGAACTCGAGGACCTTATGTTTCTCAATACAGGCTACCATTCCCGGGGCTTTTCCGCAGGCGTAACTCCCTGCTCGTTCTTTAAACAGGGGCCGTCCAGGACCGCATCTGCAGAATGGATTCGTACTGCATTCCATGACATGGCCACAGGCAATGTCTACACTGGAATTGGCGGCCTTGATGCCTCGATTGTGTTCGAACTAGCTGGGAATGGAGGAGAGAATATAGGGGCGGCGTTCAATACCACCCTAGAGACTTTCGCACCCTTTTTCTCAACGAGGGCGTCGATGGCTGATTTGATCGCCCTTGGAGTTTACACGGCTGTCCGGTCTTGTGGGGGGCCGATTGTCAAAATCAGGGCCGGAAGGGTTGATGCGACTGAACGGGGTGCGATTGGTGTGCCATTACCGGAGAACTCACAGGGGACATTTATCAACCAGTTTATACGAACCGGGTTCAATGTTTCGGACATGATCGCTGTTACAGCGTGCGGCCATACTGTGGGGGGAGTTCATGCATCCAACTTTCCACAGATCACAGTTCCTGGAACGGTGCCAAACGATTATCAACTCTTTGACTCGACCACATCCTTTGATGAAAAGATCGCCTCGGACTTTGTGGGCGGAGTCGCTGGAAATCCTCTCACTGGGGTTACGGCAAAGAGGAACACGCGAGATTCAGACACAAAAGTGTTCACGGCTGATCGAAATGTCACAATCACAGCATTGGCCGACCCGGCCACCTTTCAGTCCACATGTGCCAGAGTGCTCCAGAAGATGATAGAAGTTGTTCCATCGAGTGTAAATCTTACAGCCCCCATTGAGCCTTACGAGGTCAAGCCGGGTAATCTCCAGCTATCCCTGGCTGGAAACGGCAGCACGATCGATTTCTCTGGTGAAATTCGAGTTAGAACCACCACGCGGTCAGCTACTACGATCACAAAGACGGAGCTTATGTTTAAAGACCGCCTCGGTGCCTCGGACTGCGGAGATTGTCTCATTAGTACTGAATACAAAGGTGCTGCGGAAGGCTTTGACGATACTTTTGCTGTAATTAATCCACTATTTCACTCTATCACACCCTTATATCTTCATATTCTAACAGGAGCAGTTTTATGGATTCTCCGCGAGCCTTCCAGTTGAGACGTCTATCTCCAAATTCAACGTACGAATAGTCTTGAATACGGGGGAGGTGATTCTATACGACAACAACGGATCAGGATATGCCGTCCAGGATACAATTATGCTACAGCCTAAGCAGAGCTGCATCGTCGAAGGCAATACCCCTGGTAACTTTGTTGTAGTGGTTGCTGTAAGAACATCATCCCTACCGCGTACAGACTCTAAGCTGATAATTCTAGGTCCGAGATACTGTAAAATCTCCTATGGTTACGCTCTCTCTGACTTTGAAAACTCCTCGAAGTTGCTGTGTTGCCCCTGCCCTGTCGACTAAATCGTTTACAATGCTAGCACAGGCGACTATCGGCTCATATACGCTCTACTCGGGAAATTACTCACTTGAGGCTTCATATAAGTCAAGCGCTAAATTCGACGTTGCCGTTTCTAGTGAAGCTACTATAGTTTCTGATTCCTTCAAGAGCACGACTGATTTAGGGTCAATCTGCACGCCCTTCGGCTCCAATGATACTAACCTGCCAACTTACTCATTCGAAGGCTGCTATACTGACAGTACGGAGTCAAGGACTCTTACTGGAGGTGCATCCGTGGATGATAAGATGACCGTTAAGGCGTGCTCCAGCCACTGCAAAGGCTTTCAGTATTTTGGCCTTGAATATGGTAGAGAATGTTATTGTGGTAATTCAAAGGGTGCTGGTAGCATGCAGGTCTCAGAGACCGAGTGCAAAGACCCATGCGGTGGTGATAGCTCAGAAACTTGCGGCGCATCATACCGTATCAGCATCTATAAGGATACCACTTGGATCCCCACGATCAACCCTAAAATTCCAGGGTATGAGTATTCTGGATGTTACAATGATTCGGCAAGCAGTCGCACCTTATCGGATAGCTTTGTTTACAACGAGAAGATGACTGTGGAATTGTGCGCAGCCTTTTGCAATGGGACAAACTATTTCGGCACTGAATATTTCAGCGAGTGTTATTGCGGCGCCAGCTTATCACCGGGTAGCACCAAACAAACAGAGGACGGATGCAGCTTTTTTTGCTCGGGGAACAGCACTCAATACTGTGGTGGAAGCAACAGGATAAATATCTACACGAAGAGTTAAACGCCTGAAAGAGAGGTAAACATAATATGGGTCAAATTAGCAATAATCAGAGTTTATATCATATAATTACTGAAATATTTACTACAAGTTTTTATAACGGACATGTTTGAGCTGACCTCAGGGGCCGATGATGAGATGTCAGCACAAGCACAAACCTTTATTAAACGTCGGAGGGTCAGTTATGTTGCCGTCATCGACACTTCATGGCTTTTACCATCATACTCCACCAGGGAACCTCGCAACTAGAATAATACGAGTTTCCGGGCCATTTACCACAAGTGTAGGGCGGTAGAAGTGATAGAGGCTCAAAAGAGGCCATTATCCAATTTAATAACGACCTAAAATTTCTATATACACTTCTCGTTCCGGCGCATGCCCAAGATTTTTCAGGACGGTCCAGGGTGGCATTTCTTGCCTTGACTCTGGTCTACAGTGCCAATAGAAGCGGACTGTTCATCGCAATATCGAGCCATAAGGGTATCTTTCAACGACAGCCCGCGAGGATGATGGGTTGTCCAATGAATATGAACGGAGCCAGTTTTCTAAGGAGCAGTTAGTAGGATAATAAATGTTGACATAAAGACTGGAGCGTAAATTTTTACAATTGTCATTACTGAGTGGTGATTCTTTGCTTTGCTCCTTATTGCAACAGTATTAAAGAAGTCCTATGTTGTCAACTCTCAGTAAGTAGTCCAGAGGCCAGTACCAACATTGACAGCGACTTTACCTGGCATTTTGTGTATGTTTTGAAATAGTAGATCTTCTCGATGCCGCAGCGCGTTTCGTCCAAAGACCATCCGGCGTTCAGTAACGGATTCAGCTCGTCGGTGATCTGGCTCACACTTGTGCCTTCAGACACACTCGGCATCACGGCGGTGCTGAAGAAGCACTGGCGACCAGGAGACGATATCCAGGCCGGGCGAGTGGCCGTACACCGGAATAGAGCTTTGGCAGGGCGAAAGCGAGTTGCAGTGGTCATTATATTCACACCGGGTGCTCCAAGATCAAGCAACGTTGGTTACTGCAAGAGGTCTGTCTCAATTCTAGCTAGTTTGCTAATAATTCGGCTAATTGATATCCCGCTGTCAGGATCGTCGGTAGTTAACGTCCAGCTTTCTTTTTCTCAGCCCTGATGAAAATCATTCAAATACAAATCCTCCTTCAACAACCAAAGTAAAGCTGAGGTTTAGCCTGTCGCATCTTTGGGCCCGCCAATAATCGATGTCTACTCCATACTTCCATCGCATTAACCTATTTTAGTGGTGAATATCACTGGCTGCAAAAGACAGACCATACCATCTTGCGTAAGCTACTGACAGCCTCGCAGGTTCACCGTATTCAATGTGGGACTGGTCGCAAAAATGATAGAAACTCCTTCGTGAGAGGGGTTATATATACTCCCCAGGAGTCCTCGTCCCATTTCATCAGAATGTTACTTGGCTATCAACTTACGGAGCACTTCTCGTATCAAAATGATTGCCAAAAACGACATCGGAAACCCCGGCGAGATAATTGTGTTCACTGGGGCACAGCGCCCGGATCTGCTAGCTCGTACAAGCAAGGATGACTGCCCCCTAATCGACCTCTGGCCTGAATTTTTTGATGGCGGGGCTTCCTCCCAACGGTATTTCCCGAGGCTATACGAGCTCCCCCAGCTTGCGAGATTCCAGCTCATTGCCGTCCACACTCTTGGCGGAAAGGAGACCATCGTTGGCAACGGGAACTCTACTCCCTTCTTCTGGACGGAGTTGGCAAATATCGGAAATGACTGCGAGTCACCACGTTTTGGGGCTGTCTTGCGGACCCTTCCAGACGGAGGGTTTGATACCATCCTCGCCCGAGGTGTTAATCAGGCGGTTGTTCGAAAAGGAAAGAAGATAACTCCAGGGGCACTCACACAGGACCAGGTCTTGGATATGCCGACATGGACTCTTAAAAACACGCCCAATGCTCTGTCTGCCCTGGCTATTGCCGTTCTCCCTGAGTGGAGACGCTACAACGTTGCAGAGATGCTCATCAAGGAAATGAAGGAGATCGCAAAGAGGGAAAGCCTCGCCATTCTTGTCGTACCGTTAAGACCTACCAAGAAAACCCTGTTCCAGGATGTCGACATGGCAACCTACGCTGAGTGGCGTCAAGAAGCTGCGAGCGTGCCGGGACATGGAGAGACCACTGTGAAGAAGAGCGAGGCGCTGAGAGAGGAGATTAACGGACATCAGCTGGCGGTGATTGAGAAGGTGGACGAGGGAATCAATGTGGAAGCCAATAGGCGTCTTGATGGAGATATCAGAGAGACGGCCAAACGGAGGATCACTGAAAAGACAGACAAGGACTCGGATGGCGTAAGCAGCGATAATGATGCAGTTCAGGGCCAGCCAAAACTCGTCCCCTTTGACCCATGGCTGCGCAAACATGTTCGTCTCGGGGCCAAAATCGTCAAAGTTGCGCCGGTTAGCATGACCTTCAGGGGAAATGCCGCCCAGTGGGAGAAATGGACAGGCATCGACGTTCGCCAGCGTGCACAGGAGATGGTTAAACTCCGAGAAAGCGTCTGGGTCCAGGACGACAAGGAAGTGCCCGTTTCTTTCCAGGTTAAGGGGTGTCTGGCTCCTATGAAGTACTATCCCAGCAGAGATATCGGCGAATACGTAGAGCCGAACCTCTGGTTATTTCACTCTGTCGTCTGAAGCTCCGTGTTCACGATACGCTGGATACATCTATCAAAATAATAAAATATTAATAGATATATGCACTTCATAGTATCCGTAGAAGCTACCCGCGAGTACTCAGCGCAGCCAGGGCGGCTTTACTGTACGCTTTAGGTAGAGTGGCCGAGCGGTCCAAGGCGCTGTGTTCAGGTGACTAAGCCTACTTCGCAGTATCGAAAGATGCGTGGGTTCGAATCCCACCTCTATCACTTTTTGCTCCATCGACTTTTTTTTTACTTTACTTGTTTATTCCATACTCCTAATTATTGTTTTTGATGTGTATACTTCTTTGGTGTACTTCTTTGGTATACTGTAGGTCCTTGTTAATTTATGTGGGTGGGAAGATAGAAGATATACATTAAAATTAGTAGACGGCACAAATACATGGAGATAAGGAGCAGAGTATGGAAATCTAGGTAACCGGAGTGAAGGAATGGGAACAAATGGACATTGAAAGAGCAGGTTCCAAAGCTATCTATCGAGGGCTTGCGATTCACACTGATCATTATTAGCTGGAGCATACACGGTAGGCAAAGGTTTAAACACACCATTTGATAATATACACCTCGTTTCTTGAGGAGACTATGGTGGCTGCCGCTCTCGACGATGCCTCCGTCGCCAAAAACGAAGATGACGTCGGCATTCTGTACGGTGGCGAGGCGATGAGCGACAACCAGCACCGTCCTGCCCTTCGCCGTCCGCTCGATAGCGGCCTGCACCAGCTTCTCGGACTCGGAGTCCAGACTCGAGGTCGCCTCATCCAGCAAGAGCAGATGGGGGTTCCGTATCAGGGCCCGGGCTATGCATATACGCTGTTTTTGGCCGCCGCTCAGCTCCAGGCCCTTTTGGCCTACTTCGGTATCGTACCCTGCAAGGCATGTCAGTTGATTGTTGAGCTCAAGGATAGGAAAGAACTAACCTTCAGGAAGCGAGGTGATGAAGTCATGGATCTCTGCATCACGGCACACTTGCTGCACTTGCTCTGTGGTCACACTCTCTGGGTCTACCCCCAAGGTGACGTTGTCTCGGATAGAGCCTTGGAATACCGTTAGTTTCATCCCTCGCCATTAAGAGAGGCAATATGGGCAGTACCTTGATACAGGGTTGGTTCCTGAGATACCAACGACATGGTTCGACGGTAAGACTTCAAGTCAAGTGAGCTAAGCTCCGTACCGTTTATGCGAATGTGGCCTTCTTGGTAGCCATAAAACCTGGACCCTGTTAGCTATTATTACAAACGTAGATGAAGGAAACCACCTACCGCTCGAGAATCGAGATCACGGACGTCTTCCCGCAGCCTGGAATATGATTAGAACCCGAACCAACCCAAAAGCAACCGCAAACTGCTCACCTGAGGGGCCAACGAGGGCGGCGAACTGCCCCTTTCTGACCTAAGATAGATACCATTAGCCCTGGAACCAAGAATGTATGGGTGGATGGCTTACTGTAAAGGACAGGTCTTTGAACACCGGTACATCCCGCGATGGGTATTTGAAATCCACCGATTTAAACTCGATCTCTACTCCTCCCTCGCGCGGATCAAATACATCTTTATTATTGTCGTCATCTGGTCCCGGACGAATACTTAGAATCCGATTCGCAGCCGATGTTGCCTGTGCCAAATCTATACCGGTCACGTCAGTCTTAATCCTATGTGGCACAAGGTGAGAACATACTCGGGCTGACACTCCCAAAATGGCCTGCGGCTTGGCCACCCTGTACAACATTAGTAACAGTTAGATATTCATAGACCGTCTGGGATCGACGTACCAGAACCACCGCTATATATATCACGAAAAACTGTAAGACATCATACTCGTGTGTGCTCAGTAGCTGGCCACCATACCTAAGAAGAATCAGTCAATACATCCTAACCGGCCAGTTCGTGAGTAAGTCTCACCAGAAACATAGCGCCATGCAAGGGAGCTCCAGGCTGTCTGATGCGGCATATATAAGTGCGGCGACTCTCGCTTTAAGGAACGCAGACCGCACATGGTGCTGTAGCAAACCGGAATACCTCTCTATGATAGTATCCTCGAGAGTGAGAGACGAAACCGTTCGGAATGCCCCAATGGCTTCCGAGGCAAACTGGGAACTTTCTTCAAAAACCACAGCATTCATCTTGTCGAACTGAACCTCATATCGTACCCGAACGAACATGGCAATGATAATCAAGGGGAATGCAGAGAATATGGCGACAAGAGTCAACTTCCAGCCAAACGCAAATGATATGGCAATACACCCCAGCACATTAAAGACGGATATAAGTGGAAAGGCCATGGTTGGGCCAAGGAGTTCTTGAAGCTGTGTGGAATCAGCCGATATCCGCGAGGTCAGGGAGCCCGCAGAGTTTTCGTCCTTGTCAAAATATACTATAGGTTTCCGAACCATGCTGTCAAAATATTCCTGCCGGTATGTCGTTGAAATGTACTATGCAGGTTAGCCTAGGATCCAGGAATAATGAGGTGGGAACGTACGGTTGATATAGACATCGACATCCAACCTAGGATGAAGTAAAAAAAGGATACTGCCAGCGCAAGGACGAAAAACATCAAGGCCCAAAAGTTCGTTCGCTCTATGAGTCTGGATCCTGTGAGTTGGAACACCGTGATAAGTTGCGAGAACAGATAGCTCTGAATAGAATACGCAGCTATCCATACATGTTAGTTATTGTAAGCGGTAGGAGAAGGAGGAATACATACCTCCACATCCGGCAGCGCCAACGAGGACACCAGCGTACATGACCCAATACTTCCGTTGCTCCCATAATAACAGGCCCACCGAGTTGAGGAGCGACTGTTCTTTGTATGAATCCTCGGGAAGGCCCTGCTCGATGTCTGTGGCACCGGTAGCTACCGCAGACTTTGTTCTGGATATGGTTAAGTCAGCAGTCTCTTTCCCAGGCTCAATCTGCGAATCTTCCTTTTCATCTTCCATGTCCAGCTGCTGGTTGTGCACTAGGCTGTGATATAGGCCCTCCTTGGAAAGCAGTTCATCATGGGTTCCATATTCCACCGCGGCGCCCTTCCGCAGTACAATGATTTTGTCGGCCTTTTTGATGGTGGAGAGCCTGTGGGCAATAGTGATTGTGGTGCGGCCTTTGGACACTCGATCCAGGGCATCTTGAACAATGCGTTCACCACGCACGTCGATGGCACTCGTAGCTTCGTCGAGGATGAGGATCAGTGGCTTCTTTATGATGCTTCGAGCAATGGCAAGTCTCTGGCGCTGGCCGCCACTAAGCTTGATTCCGTTCTCGCCGATCATGGTATCGTAGGCCTATACAGTTAGCTATATCATACTGACTCGACAGGGTATCCGAATACCTCACCTCCGGTAGTTTATCAATAAACTCATCTGCAAAGGCTTCTTGACACGCCTCCTTAACTAGCTGCCTCTTCACCTCCTCACTCTCGTTCTCCCATCTGGACCCAATAAGACCGAAGGCGACATTTTTGAAAATAGAGGTGTTGAACGAGAACGGCTCCTGCTGGACAAAGCCAATCTGGGATCGCCACCACTTGAGGTCGAGCTCGTCGACGTTGTGCGGGCCGACCATGATTGATCCACTGTTTGGCTTAACAGTCCCTTCTTCAGACGCCTGTTTTTCATCTGAAGCCTGCTCTTTGTCAGTTTTGTCCGTTTTGTCCTTTTTGCCCTTTTTGTCCGTTTTTTCCGTGTTCTGAGGTTCCTCGGCCTCCTCTACTTGCTTCGAGATCTGATACCATCTTTCGAGCAACCCGATGATGGTACTTTTCCCGCAACCAGACGGGCCAACAAGGGCAGTAACCTTGCCCATTGGGAAAACAAGGGAGAGATTATCTAATATGGTCACATTGGCTCGAGTGGGGTAGGAGAAGGTGACATTATTGAATGTCAAATCTTCAAACTGGGAGATGTCGATGTCCTTGACGCCCGAGGTCTTCAACGGCGGCGCATCAATCACGGTGAAGTAACGTGCAGACGCGGAGATGGCTTTGGACAGTGCAATTATCGGGTTAGCAATAAAGGAGACAGCGGACACTACAATGATGACGGAGAAGATGACACTAGAAGCAACGTCAGTCGGAAGTTCTGGAATATCACACCAGGGAGACGCACGTTGAGACTGGGCCAGCACCGGAGACGTTTCCAGAAGTGTACTGCCTCACTCCGAACCAGAAGGTGAGAGCAAAGTTGCAGTACATGGCAAAGTTGGTAGGCCCCAGCTGAAATCCAACGACGGGCGAGAGCTGGAGCCCCTTGCGCCGGGCCTCGCTGATGTGCTGACCGTGTCGATCGATCAAACGCGACTCGGCACCACAGGCCACGACGGTTCTGATCGAGCTCAGGGTCTCACCAGCAACCGCAGTGGCCTTTTCACTGGCCCCCTCGACCGACTTGAACAGCTTGAGGTAGAAGGGGATGACCACGGAGTAGATGAGGAGGATGAAGAGCAGACAAGAGCTCGAGACGAGGGTCAGGGACCACGAGCGGGTGAAGGCGACTGCATATGCAGAAATGAAGAGGGCCACAGACTGGACGAGGACGGCAAGCCTGTCGGAGATCCCAGCCTGGATCAGATTGGACGACGCGGTGATGGTGTCCGTCGGCCGTCCAATTGGCATGGCATCGATGTAGCCGACCGGCTGGTTGAACAGAGCGCGAAGGTAGGCAAGCCGCAGGTTAGCTGATATGCGGATTCCAGTCGTACGGAGACAGAACTGCGGCAGGTTAGCGAATGCTGACGGCGTTGGCCTGGAGCTGGTACCATTGATATATAGCTAAGCACGAACTTGCCGATGAATAGGTACACGATGTACAGCCTGGAAGAAGTCAGATACACATCATTGATGCAAGAAGGGATCTGAACATACACATTCTTGTTGACGCTGCTCTTGAACTGCTCCCTGGTGACGGTCGTGTTGGGCAAGAAGTAGTCATTGAAGTCGGTGACAAGGGCGCCTGGAGGTCCATCAGCACAGCCATACATGCATAGATGATAGGGTATATACCAAAGACGATATTCATCAGCGGGAGGGCCTATGCAGCGTTAGACATGTATCGTATATCGTGAGCAGGCAGCAACATACGATGCCAGCTCCAGCCGAGCAAAAGAAGGCGAGCCCCATGAGGGAGAGATCGAGCTTGCTGCCATATGAGAATATTCGCTATACGTCGACGTCAGTATCTGCATCAATGTCCCGGCGTAGAGACTCACCCAGAGGTTGCCAAAGGGGGCCTTTTCCTCTTCTTTTTCCTTTTCCGTCGAAGCCTCCTCGGCCATATCTATCTGTATATATCTGTCTGTGTATGACTGTTTCTGTCTGTGTATGTCTGTGTATGTCTGTATCTCCTGTATATCTGTGTCCGTATATATACCTGTATATCTCCTGTATATATCTGTGTATGTATATATATCTGTATATCTTATATCGTGAATGTCATACGCGTCGGCCAAGGCGAGCTAGAGGACCTAACTAACTGTTCACGGCGAGTCTGCCTGGAGCTGATAGATCTTCCTCGCTGTCTGATCCCTGAACATCCCTGGACATCCCTGATACGAGCCATCGACGGGCTTCTCGGGCGCGAGTCATGGACTCCGAGGGCCCCGAGTTCGCCTCCAATCATCTTCTTCTGACAAAGGCTACTTTAACATCTTCAACAACCACTTAACTAACTCTTCCCTACCTTTAACCAGCCTTTAACTGCCTTTAGTACCTTTAGTACCTTTAACCAAAGCTTGACCCCTAACCAACCCTTAACTACCTTTAATTTCCTTTAACTACCCTTACCTACCTTTAACCAACCTTTAACTAGCTTAACCACCTTTAACTAAGTCTTTAACTACCTTTAACTAAGTCTTTAACTGGCCTTTAACTAAAGCTTTAACTAAGTCTTAACTAGCTTAACCACCTTCAACTAAGTATTTAACTAACCTCGGCTAGGCTCGGCGTCGGCGTCCGCCCCCGCCCGGGGAAGCTTCCACTCTCTATGCAACATCCTCCGGACACAACACGACTTACTGCCTGGATATACACACACACTGCTCAATGCTACAAGAGATGGCCGCCAGGATGACGCTCAAGAGGCTGCTGCCGCCCTCTGCCCGCGCCTTCTCGTCCTCCGCGTCCCGCAATGCCACCTGGGGCTTCATCGGGCTCGGCCAGATGGGTGAGTACGCTTCCTCGCCCGCCTCAATTGACCGGCTAACACGATGTCTCTGCAGGCTACCCCATGGCCAGGAACCTCCGCGCGAAGATCCCGGCGTCAGACACCCTCCTCATCTGCGACACCAACGCCGAGTCGACCAAGAAGTTCGTTGCTGAGACCGAGGGCAAGGTCGAGATCGCAGCTGGGCCCCGCGAGCTGGCCGAGAAGTCGGTACGCTGTCTGATAGATATATATATATATGTGCGTGTGTGTGTATGCTGACGGAGTAGGAAACCGTTGTGAGCAGCCTGCCTGAGCCCCAGCACGTCAAGAGTGTCTTCCACCTGATCCTGAAGGACGGCCTGCCCAAGCTGGGCCAGGAACGGCTCTTCGTCGACTGCTCGACCATCGACCCCAGCTCCTCGCGAGAGGTGGCCGCCGCGGTACAGTCCACCGGCGCCGGCCGCTTCGTCGACGCTCCCATGTCCGGCGGCGTCGTCGGCGCGACGGCGGGCACGCTGACCTTCATGCTGGGCGCGCCCGCAGACGTGCCCGGCCTCGTCGAGCGCGCAGAGAAGACGCTGCTCATGATGGGCAAGAAGGTCTGGCACCTCGGCGACCAGGGAGCAGGTCTCTCCGGCAAGCTCGCCAACAACTACCTCCTCGCCGTCGCCAACATCGCGACCGCCGAGGCCATGAACCTGGGCATCCGCTGGGGGCTGGAGCCCAAGGTGCTCGGCCAGATGATCAACTCGTCCACGGGCAGATGCTGGTCCAGCGAGGTGAACAACCCGGCGCCCGGCGTCATCGACGGCTCGCCCTCCTCGAGGGGGTACACCGGCGGATTCGGCGTCAGTCTCATGAAGAAGGACCTCCGGCTGGCCGTCGAGGCGGCCAGGGAGGCCGGCACCGCCCTCGAGCTCGCCGACAAGGTCCAGGAAGTGTACGATGCCACGGAGGAGACGCACCGCGGCAAGGACTTTTCTGTAGTCTATCAATATCTGACCGACAAGTCAAAGTAGAACTATCCTTTACAGTAAGAATAGATCGTATTCACTTACAATATTATATCGTCACTTACAGCATAAGAAATAGATTATATCGTCACTTACAGTATAAGACACATATTTATATTCATCATTTACAGTATAAGACACTTATAATATTCGTCACTATAGTAAGGGTTCCTGGTCAAGTCCCTCTTAAGTAACTGTTGCGTCATCTGGAGATAAATATTAGTAGAGCAACAACTCCTCAGCATCTCACCAGGAGCAACGCCCGACATGGCCTATATCGCCCCCATCCACAGTGCCAGCAGCATCCGGAATGCCCTCAAGGCCCAATTTATGAAGGCCGGCGAGGACTGCCTGGTCGTCGGGTCAGTTCAGCGCATCAACCGCCAGAGACAGACAGCTAACCAACGCGGCCAAACAACAGGAAATCGAACCGCCTCGAGATATACACCCAATCCCTCGACGGGCTGGTGCTGCGGCACTCCAAGGCCGTCTACGGCAAGATCACAGTCCTCCAGAAGCTCTACCGGCCAGATCCCGCGCAGACCGACCTGCTCTTCATCGGCACCGATCGATGCGCCTACTTTACGGCCAGCTGGGACGCGGACGCCAGCCAGCTGCGGACAGAGCGGAAATACATAGATCTCAGTGACAGCTCCTTGCGCGACGCTCAGAATGGCGACCGGTGCCTTATCGACCCGTCTCGCGGCTTTCTCACGCTGGAGGTCTACGAGGGCGTGGTTACGATCATCCCGCTGGCGTCAGAGATACACAGACGGCCCAAGGCTGCGGCGTCAGACCAGTTCGTCGGCTCGCTGGGTGAGCCGTTGCAGGTCAGGATAGAAGAGCTGCTTGTCCGGTCGTCTGCCTTTCTGGACCAGGAGGCCACGCAGACGCCGCGGATGGCCCTTCTATACGAAGACACCCAGGGCAAAGTGAAGCTGAAACTGCGAGACCTCAAATATACCCACGCCGTAGTGTCGGGGGACGGGGGCAACGCCGTCGAGCTCAAGGACGTCACCACGCTGTCAGACGAGCTGGATCTGGGTGCAAGCATTCTGATACCCGTTCCGAGACCGCTAGGTGAGGCTCCCACATACATATACTCATAGGCGAACATACAAGTCCAGGCTGACACGTCACGTAGGCGGCCTCTTGATCCTAGGCGAGTCGTCCATCAAATACGTCGATGTGTCCAGGAACGAGACCATCTCACGCCCGCTCGCCGAGTCGACCGTGTTCGTCGCCTGGGAGCAGGTTGACGGGCAACGATGGCTGCTGGCAGACGACTACGGCCGGCTGTTTTTCCTCATGCTGGTACTGGACGCGGACAACGCTGTCGAGACCTGGAAAGTGGACTTGCTGGGTGAGACCTCGCGTGCTACCGTGCTTGTCTATCTCGATGGCGGCGTGGTCTTCATCGGCTCCCACCAGGGCGACTCGCAGGTCATCCAGATCACCGAAGGCAAGTTTGAAGTCATCCAGACCATCTCGAACATTGCGCCCATCCTAGACTTCACCGTCATGGACATGGGTGACCGGTCAGGCGAGACCATGGAGTTTTCCTCAGGGCAGACACGCATAGTTACTGGGTCAGGCGCGTTTGGTGACGGCAGCCTCAGAAGCGTCCGTAGCGGCGTCGGCATCGAGGATCTCGGGGTCCTTGCGAATATGGAACACATTACAGACCTATGGGGTCTCCGAGTTACCTGCCCTGAGCCATTCTCGGATACACTCCTGGTCTCCTTCGTCAACGAGTCAAGAGTCTTCCACTTCTCTCCCAACGGAGACGTAGAAGAGAAGGAGGAGTTTTTGGGCTTGATATTTTCTCAGAGCACATTGCTCGCCGCCAACATCCCCAATAATCGGATGCTACAAGTCACTGAAAATGTGGCTCAAGTCATTGACTTGGACAGCGGAATGGTGACCTGGACATCATCCCACGAGGTTGCCATCACCTCAGCATCTACAAATGATGATTACCTTGTGCTGGTGTTGGGGGGAGTGGAGCTGATATGTGTCTCCCTTTTGACCTACGAGCAGGTAGGAAAGAAAAGCTTTGAAGCAGACAATCAGGTCTCTGGCATGACCATCCCAGCATCCCCTACCCAGGCTTGCATAGTCTGCCTCCCACAGTCAGCCGAGATTGTCATCCTCGACCTCCCCAGCCTGGAAGTGCGGAATAAGCAGACCCTAGGCGAGCCGGGCGATGCTATACCTCGCGCAGTCATAGTGGCGGAGATACTCTATAACCAACCGCCGACCTTGCTTGTTTCCATGGCGGATGGGACCGTTTTTTCATTCTGCTTCAATGTAGAAGATTTTACTATTTCCAGCCCTAGCAAAACCACCCTTGGCTCTGAGCAGCCTTCGTTTAAGAAACTCCCCCGAGGCAACGGCCAGTTCAACGTTTTTGCAACCTGCGACCATCCAAGTCTAATATACGCGTCAGAAGATAGAATCGTATATTCTGCGGTTGATTCTGACAGTGCGAGCCGGATATGCAGCCTCAATACCAGAGCGTACCCTCGCTCAATCGCACTATCCACCAAAAATGAGCTGAAGATTGCCATCGTGGACGAGGAGCGTACCACCCAGATCCACACGCTGCCAATGCATGCCACCGTGAGGAGGATAGCTTACTCTTCCATTGAGAAGGCATTCGGGCTGGGAACAGTAAAGCGAACAATTACCAACGGCGTCGAGTCAGTGAGCAGCGCGTTCATTCTGGCCGATGAAATCTTGTTCCGGCCATTGAGCACCTTTGATCTCAACCCTGACGAGTTAATTGAGAGCGTTATCCAATCTCAATTTGCCGACGGCGAGGATGAGGTTGGAAACGCACTATACAAAGACCTGTTCTTTGTTGGAACTGCTTATTTAGACGATGTAGGGAACGATAATGTCCGTGGCCGCATTCTAGTCTTTGAGGTGAACAAGTCCCGAGAGCTGTCCAAGCTGACTGAAATGCCTGTCTCGGGGGCGTGTCGTGCTCTTGCTCTTATGGAAAATAACATGCTGGTTGCTGCACTCGTCAAGACGGTCAGTATAAACCTCTTATCTATCTATCTATCTACTCCCTACTTGCTACGCTAAGCAATGCTTACTTCTCGGTTTAGGTCATTGTCTGCAAAATCAAACGTGACTCGTTCGGAGCTATTACGTTGGTAAAAGGCGCCTCATATCGAACATCCACGGCGCCCATCGACATAGCCGTGACGGATAATGTAATTGCGGTAGCCGACCTGATGAAGAGTGTTTCCCTTGTACAATACAACAAAGCCGAGGACGCCGCACAGGAGGACGAGCTCGAAGAAATGGCACGCCATTACCAGACACTCTGGACTACAGCCGTTGCTCCGATCGGGGAGGACGCCTACTTGGTAGGTGACGCGGAAGGGAATCTGATCGTTTTACATAGGAACCTGAGCGGCGTTACGGCGGCAGATAAAAAACGGCTGCAAGCTACTAGTGAAATCCGACTGGGCGAGATGGTCAATCGAATACACCCGGTATCCGTTCAGGCATTCCCCAACGCCGCAGTCACGGCACGAGCAATGCTGGCAACGGTATGTTAAGCGCCCATCAAACACACTGCATGTGCACAATCTAACTCTCTCTTTTTTAACCAGGTTGACGGGTCCATCTACCTGTTTGGCATGATTAACCCGGACTTCGTAGATCTGCTCATGAGACTTCAGGCAGCCATGGCCAGCATCACAGTAAGCCCGGGGGAGATACCGTTTACCAAGTACCGAGCATTTAGAACTACTGTGCGCCAGTCTGAAGAACCCTTTAGGTTCGTGGATGGAGAACTGATCGAAAAGTTCCTCGCATGCACGCCTGATGTACAAGAAGACATTGTCAGTCGGCTTGACGACACAAACGTCACCGTCGGCAGCTTAAAAGAGATGATTGAAGAGCTAAGGAGAATGCATTAGCACGGCTGGAGTTGGCGACGAGCAATCATGGATAGTATTGAGTCATGGCTATTTTGTTAGCGTACAGGCCTGTATCTTCCATGTATCCCAACACCGATTGAGCGCGTCAATATATCCCCTTCGCCGCTCTACGTTCGACTGGTAGTCAAATAGACCTCATTTGACGGCCATACTAGAGTATCCATTAAGGTGGTCCCCATTATAGCATAGACCAGCTGTCAGCTCGTCGGTTGCCCTCTAAGGATGTACGGTCTGGTTACCATGGTGAATGTTCTCCTATGACCGCTCGGCCAGCCTTGGTTTACCAAGACAGCCATCTCTTCGTGTGAAGACCCAGGTATCAGTGGGCGCCGCGGTTTGTAGAACTGTATCCGTAATGTAGACGAGATGTTTACTCCGGCATGTAGGTGTGTATTGGCATGTTGTAGTTTAGCCATATCGCAGAACTACCTATCCTTCGCGGTACGCTGCTCCCTTTCGGCTTCTAAGTGGTCGCCATACTCGCGCAGGATAGATTCGAGGCCTTCGTTACGCCTTGCCAGGAGCAGGACATCCGACGCGTTAATGGTCGAGCGGCCGGCATGGCTGACAAGTCAGTATATCAGTATCGGCCTCGCCATAGGGGATGGTAGACATGTTCTAGATATGAACGAAGCCTTCTACCCACTTTGCAAACATCTCTAGATCCTGGCCCACGGTCTCTATTTGATAGACGTTAGCCAGCAATCCAGGCCAGCCCCAGGACAAACGGGCCAACATCCTGATATATTCCGGCATACGCACCCAGCTGCGCCCAGGTAATCTCTACCAGCCCGGCTATGAATTGCGGCGTTACCTCTGTGTCGAAGAGGTCTGCGTGTTTGCGCGTCAGGTTGCCCAGCGTATACCAAAGCATCGCTTTCAATTGCTGTCAAGTGTTAGCCAGCCATTTCTCTGCAGCGAGACGTCCAGCTTACCTTTCTCGTCTCTGCATCATCGCCATCGGTCGCCATCTTGCTCGTCCTTGTATACACCTTTGCTGCTTCGACAACGCGTAAACAACTTAAGGTCGAGGACCGGAAAATCTAGATATCCCGGTGCTTTTCTTTTCTTTTGCGCCTTGCGAGGTTGGATGCCGACGAGCAAAAGGAAGTCTTGCGGGCAGACATCGCACTTATATGAAGCGATGTCCCACTGTCTCCATTGATCTTAGACACCGTCTCTCGCGTTCCCACGAATCGTACACATATCATACCTCCGAGCTGACCACCACCAGGAGCAGACAGGCATCTCGAGATATACTCCTCACCGCATCCTTCTCTACAGCGAGTTCTCGCGTAACTGCTCGATAGACTAACAATGTCGGGCATTCAATTGGCGGCACTGACGGACACGCTCCATACCTGGTATTCCAACCTCACCACCAACGTGTCTACGTCGGTCACAAACCTCACACTGAGAGACTATATCCGACTGGTCTGGATAATTGGTGGCTACTATTTCCTTCGACCCTACCTCGACAAGGGGTTCAAGAAGCTGCTTGACTCTGGTAATAAGAAAGCCGAGGCGGAAGAAGCGGCAGCAGAAGATGCCGCAGTCAGGGCTAAATTGTCTGCCAATGCTTTGAGGGACGGCGGCAACCTGGAGGAAAGCGAAGAAGAGGACGACGAGGGCGAATCTACGGGGGTGTCGAACTGGGGAAAGAGTGCAAGGAGGAAACAGCGGAATTTTATGAAGTTTCTTGAGCAGGAGGGCGAGAGAAAGCGGGCGGAGGATGACGATAAGGATATTGCAGATTTACTGGAAGATTAAGCGACAGTCTACAGTGACAGTGACAGTTGGAGTTGGACAGATTGCTACTATGCGCCTATCTACAATGCGTCTACGGATGTTTTCACCGAGTGTTTTACCATTACCTCCCATGGATGATATTGATCAACGCAGCTAGCCTAACCCAGCCATCTACCTTCTCCAGGACAAGTCTACCCATCCGCACCTATGATAGAGCGAACGATCCCTTCGCCCTGTCCCTCGCCCTGTTCTAGCTCTGTTCTAGCTCTGTTCTTCGCTGTTCTTCCGCCAGCACTTTGATATCACAGTTCGATATCACGTGATATGACATCACCCCTGAGAAAGGCCCATGGACGCCGTTGCTCTTTCTTTTCCGTCTTGCGAGTTCCATCGACGGAGGCGAATTTGCTGCATGTTGACGATTGAGAGAATAGAAGAAATGGAATCCGTTTAACCCTTGTTATTTTTCTCATCTTAAAAACTATTCCTGTTGGGGGGTAAGAGAGCATTCAATGACCCCCTAGCCGACTCTGTTTCAATCTATATGGGTTCTTTCTTCCACGATATACTCGGTCTTTAGTCTATCAACATGGCTGCGACCGGCCGAGCGATTCGCCTGGTGAATTTTGGCATCAGGCTGCTTCAGCTTTTCGCCTCTGTCATCATCTTCGCAATCTTTAGTTACTTCCTAGCAATCCGCGCAGCCCCTAACACGAATAGGTATGGTGAATGGCATAAGGCGGTTACCGGGATTTCCGGCGCCGCAACATTTTACACCCTTCTTGCCTCGGGCTTCACCCTCAGCATCGGAGGAGTTCCATTCTTCTCCTTTCTCGCGGTTATGCTTGACCTGTGCTTTGCCATCGGCTTCCTAGCCATCTGTATCATGACTCGGCACGGGGTACAGAGCTGCTCAGGCCGAGTGGAAACGCCAATAGGAGACGGCTATACCACCGTGCCAGGCGAAGCCCATGGTGAAAGATACCCTCCTAGGCGCGACGACCCTCATACTTACATGCCGGACCTAGCTACTGCTTGCAGATTAGAGAAAGTCGTCTTTATCGTATCCATCATCGGAGTGTTCGTCTAACCCTATGCTGTCATATAACACACCCTCATCTCACTGTCTAGAGCTATGAGCTAACGGTGTCGTGTTTCAGTTTCCTCTTCCTCTTAGCTATCCCTGCCCAGAGGAAATATACAAAGTACCACCAGCATACAAAGAACATCACCGGCAATGTCCCGGCAAAGCGCACTTCAACCAGATTTGGCAACCGTCTTTGGCCGTCGCGGACGTCCCAGGCACCAACAAAAGGCCTGACTGGAATCGAATACAGCAAAGGTAATACTTCTACTGGGGTTATTCCTCTGGAGAATAGACGGGATATAGACAAGGCTCCTGGTTACACCAGCATATCCCAGCCGCTCACGACGAATAGCAATGTCAATGCATACCCGGAACACAACTATCTACAGCCCGGCGGCCAAGGAAGGGGTAATAACCTGGCAGGATTTAACCCAAGTTACGAATATGGGAAAAGGGCGTACACTGTCGGCAGTCCTCAACCACCACTTTCCCCCACCTCTACCGAGAACACAAATCCTTGGAGATCGGATTATGCAGAGTACGCCTATGGCCAAAGTGGTACAGAATCTTACGAATACGCTCATGGCTATGGCAATACCTTGTATAAAAAGTGATGAAATGGCTGGACTTGCCCGTTTTTATTCTTCGGCGTCTAGGTTGCATTTTGGGCGTATTGGCAAATCAACTCTTGGGCTCGAAATTTGCTGGATTTTGGCTGTTTACGATAAGCCGTTAGTTCCACAGCTCTACACTGACGTTGTATATCTTGGTATTCCTAAAATGCATCTTTTTATCATTCTCTAGTGACAATTTATTGAACAAGGGATCAGCTAAACGCAAGAAAATTCTTCACTGGCCAAAATAAACAGGCTTGTGCACTCCCCATAAGCATACTCTTATGATTCTCATCTCCCCACAGCTCTATGAGCATGGCCGCTAGTCATATGCTAATTTTGAACTGGTAGCTGCCACTTTGGTTGTTTGAATGGAATTATTCAAACACTGAAACTTGCCTACAACGGGTCCTATTTTAATATATCCCAGCACTGGGCCAGAACATAAGAAAAATGAGTTCTCAGACTCGCATCTTATAGCTCCCGGAACACACGATGTGCTATTGCCTGACTCCGCTGGTAGAGCAGTCGGATAAAGGGGTGGTTGTGAAGATCTGGTGGTGGTTCGACGACGGCACACTTTGGTACCGCTTCTCACAGCGGTTGGTGAAGACGCTGACTTTGATGCAACGCCCTGCGTACTGCTAGTTGTACTTGAGGGGCAAACGCATGACGGCGATCCTTCAGTTGCTGCAGTCGTCGTCGAGGGTGGCTCTGGTCCTGGCTGCGATGACGATTGAGGCTGAGGCTGGGGTTGAGAAGTAGGTCCAGGCGATGGCTGAGAGGGTGGCACTGGTACTTCAAATTTGCCAGAACAGGTATACCCCTTTTCTGAAGAGCCCTTCGATCCAGAGCCGTATTCGACAGATTCCCCAGGAAAGGGGAACACAGGATCCTTGCCGGGGTCTGTCTTGCACGCAGGTGGATGGTTAATGTTTGCCAGAAATATATTCGGAAGCTCCTGGAGTGCTGCTCCTTGGGCAGATTGAGCTAATTTGTTGTTGCCAGCTGGACTCGACCCTGAAATTGTTACGTGAGCGCAGTTCATATACATCTCACGGTTCCCAAGGCGGTTGAACCATGTCCAAGCAAGCAGGGCATTCCCACTCGGTGCGGTGCTAGGGATGGTGAACTTGTATTGCTTGGATAACGGACAACTTCCAATAAATGATTTTATAACTTTGAAGGTCTGCCCGGAGTCGTAGGACAAGGATATCTGACATGATCCGCCGCCGTGTGATGCACCTCCAGCTATCTCGATGGAATATTCCCCGCCGGCTTTGTATTGCGCTGTTGGGCTGAATGGATCCTTGTGATATCCTTTACAAGGGTAATCCGAGCCATCTGGACGTAAAGGAGACGTATACGAATAGTCTTTGTTGGTATTTTGCTTGTTCAGGGGGCTTCGAATCGGGAATGGGTTTGCCAACTGCATATGGCCATCGACAGCATGGCAGATGTAGGCAAGTAAAACATGTAACATGACGAAGAGCTTCATCGTTATCACTCTAGGAGAGGAGATATTGTTGAAAAGGGCCTGTATCTGATATCAGTTGCTCGTGAAAAGAAATTATGTTGCAGAGGTGGGTTTGGAGAAGGAATTTCAATTTCATAGCATTTAAATATCTATTAGCCGCTGCAGAATTGAATAGAATTCCCCACGCTGCAGTCACATTAAGAATCACGGTGAAAGATCAATATCAAGCTAGTCAAATCTAAGAGCTTAGAAGAAGGGGGATTAAAGGAAAGACAGAATAGGTGGCAATCTCATTCATCGCGTTAAGTCCAAATTATTACAACAGGTATTATTATTACATACTCCTAAGTGAATTGAAAATGGGTTCCAGCCGTCAATCTCCCTCTCCATTGGGTGGCTAATTTTTATACTCCTTCTTTCCACGACCGTTCCGTTCATTCTTTTCTGGCCCGTCCTGTTTGACCGGCTTGCGTCGAATATACGTCTCCCTGATAGGGCAGCCCTCGTTGTTCAGCACATCCCATTCTCCGATCGGATGGTCTTTAGGTAACCTCCGGACTCCCCTACCACCGCCGCCTAGGATGAGATTTCCAGGCCTATAGTCATCGCGGGCTTGAAGCCGATGTATAGCACTCACATGGATCTGTGCATCATCAGGAATATCGCGGACTTCGCCTCGTGGCAACGGCCAACGAATTGGCTGCCAGGAGCCATCTGATTGAAGATCCATACGCCTGAAGGGAAGATATTCCATAAGTGACCATAGGGTCACCGAGAGTTTGGGCACGCCCATGTTATAGGACAAGCAATCATGTAGTTGTCCCTGGGTGCTGGAGAGATGAAGAGCAGCCCGGAAGGATTCAGATGCAGTCACCTTTCTGTTGGGATCTTGAATCTCGTCGGCATTCAGGTTGCTATCAAACAGCCCCGATGCGCAAACAGTCTTTCTCTGGAGCTCCTCGTTATCCGTAAACTGGAAAGATGACCGTTGGACCGGCGAGACGTCTCCGGCATACATCTCGTCACATTCAAACTGTTTCAGCGCACGCCGGCTGAACCGCAGGCCTGCCTTCTGCGCCTCGTAGACCATCCAAACCAGAGGTGCATGACTGAGCTGCCAAAGCTCGCCTGGAGCAAGCTCCCAGCCGCCGCCGATGTCTGCATGTCCGCCGGGGAACCAGACCTCCTGGATATCTTGCTCCTCGCCGTTGAGTCCTTCAAGGCCAGGTGCCAGCATCGATATTTTGGAATGGCAACTTTCCACAATAGATATATTATCATCTGCATGCAAACCTGCCGGCACTGACAGGCCAGGCATTCCAGAGGTGCTAGGACACGGGGAGGGCGGCCTGTATTTCTCCTGGCGTCGTGGTTTGGAAGATATCTCAGGGGTTTGGGTCTTCCCGTTTGTTCCCCCTTTTGTCACTCCGTTCTGTTCGGCGCCGTTGGACTGCTTCTCGCCCTCGGGACTGTTAACAACCACGCTGGGTATATCATTCCGGCGTTTACCAGGAAGCCACTTGCGGAAGTCCCATTTACGTGGATGGGTATGGGGTTTATGACGAGGATGATGGTGATGGTGGTGATTTTCTTTATAGTTCCTCATCTGAGATATCAGGTCCTGTCGGAACTTGGCCCGTCTCTCGTCAATACCGACGGCATGTCTTATAACTCTGGCCGAAGTCTTCGCGGTGTAGGGGAACTTGCTTCTCTGCATCCAGGCCGACTCAAACCTCGGGACGCTGTTCACAGTGTCGAATATGCCAATAAATCGAACGGGATGCACCGGCCGGCTAAAGGTTTCACGAAACGCCTTCATATAGCTATACATTGCTAGCTTCTCATCTTGATATTCGTCGCCACGGCCATCCCTCTGCTGCCATTTGGCATAGTTTTTCCAGGCAAACCGCACCAATTCCTCATTCCCGGTTGTCAGGAGACCGACATAGTCGAGCATCTCCGCGAGAAATCGTGCAATGTACGCGCCTCTACTAAAGCCGAAGAAATACATGTTATCCCCCGGCGTGTAGTATCGCATCAGAAATCGATACCCAGCCATGACATGGTCAGCAAACGACGAGCCAACGGCTGAATCCTTTGCTTTGGAGCATGCAGATTTTACCCTCGAGAAGAATCCCTTGTTCGAGAAAGTTGCAGAGGATACATATGTCCCTATCCCCGGCTGGTAATAGTGAAACTGATCTCCCTGGCTGCTATCCAACATCTGGGGAGGAAGGTGTTAGTTCCTGACTTTATCTGATACGACGATTGATGGTATATTCGACGGTTGCAGCACTGACTCGGAAGATTTTGAGGACATTGGAGTCCGCCTCTGTGCCTGAAAATTTATTTCCTGTGCCATCGAAGCAGAGAACTAGAGTCTTGGGCTTCGTTAAGGGCCCGGCAGTCGCCATGTCGAACCAAGACCATTCACTTTGCGCGATACTCCTTGGAGACAGTTGTGTGAACAGGATTTATACCGTTACTTCTTGCGGGAAACGGGGTTGGAAAGCAATTATATGAGTCTGCAATGACAGCTAAAAAGGGCCGCCCCTTGGGATGGCTGAATGGATGGATGGAAGGGATGAAGTAGCACAGATGGTGTTCACTGGCAAACCATATCCGTATATCTCTGGGGGAATATTCCTTTTCTACGAATACCGTCATCAACATCATGGATGGACGGATACTAGTGCAAAGATCGAGCTGCACCCGAAATTTATATACGAAACGGAGGTCTTTTCCACCCTCCTGGCCGACTGAGGACCTCGCAGACCGTCACATAGAGAAGCAAGCAGGTTTCGGGGAATGGACTTTGTAGTTCCATGGCTCTTCAACTGCCCGCTAGAGTATATCGCCGTGGGGATCACTGTCGTTTGGACCTCGCCTTCGGTATATGATCAGCCATGAGTGATGGGAGAACGCGAAGGGTTACTCAGGGTGTGCATCGTTAGTGGCCCTGAAGCCAGCCAGCCTCAATGTGGGCTCCCGGTGCAAACTAGAGACAAGAAACGCATGGCCATTCGCTGGCTGTACGATCGCCAGTCAATATCAAAATCGGTGCTGGGATGTCGAAGCGAGGGTGAAGTTCAGCTTTGGATCTGTTTGGCTGCTCGCTGCCTTTTTGCCTTTCCTCCACACGGCCATATCACAGCCAAAGCCACTCTCCACGGCCGGATGTCAATCTATAAAATCACGAGAAAAGTTCCACAGCAACAAGATGAACATCGCACAGGAGATGCACGCTCGATTGAGTTGTGCACCCTGGACGACCATTCCCATTCGCCTGGACGTCTCCGCAGTTGATGGAGTTTTCCCTCAGGGATGTTTAGAGCTGACATTTCAGCCTTAACCTACGCCATGGACTCGTATCCACGGAGCAGGAGATGCCCTGCTACCCGCAGGAATGCAAGCTCCTCATTGGGCTAGTCGGCGTTGCTTCTAGGAATCCCGTCAGCCTTCGGTTCTCTGCCATGCGTATGTCTTTTATTGGGGGTACCAGGGCTTGGTGTCTGTCACGAAGTTGCTCGATGGGATTGACCAACCACAACCTCTCGAGTGCGCCAGACGGGGTCTGCCAGAATGGCTAGTCTGGCGAAACTGGTATGCTCTTGTGTAGCATCCATGCCACCCAATTTTTGGGATCTCTGGGCGAGCAATGAACGGCTGGGGGCATCCTAGATTCTGCATAAACGAAAACTCAATGGTGGCCTGACTCCACCGAGTCTTCGTGGCTGCAATTGGATCAATTGGATATGGGCTGATAGCCCCAAGGGAGGAAGTGAGCTGTTGCTGCTCCGTGTCGTGCGGGACCAATGCTCGCCATCTCCCGAAGCATCCAGTCATGTTCCTCGGATTACTCCAGACACAGGCTGGGCCAATACAGAATACACAAGCTATCCTTCAGGATGCGGGTGGGTCGGCTATATCTTGAGGAATACTCCCCTCTCAGCTAGGACAGTGGCTCACGGTACTCCGTACGGTCTACTATTTACATACCCTTCCTTTTTTGACGGAACAGCTCCGTTTCCGTGGATAATAGCAGATACTGCCCCAAGGGTTCTCCTTATAACCAACGGGTATCCCACATCACTTGGAATATAGGCACACTCGGCGTACCGTTTTGTTCTACTAAGAAGGATCTAGTACCAACGCCCAATATGGCTGGGGGCACTACAAATGGTGTCAACGGCGTTACAAATGGCGCCCGTGAAGCTACAAACGGAGTTACCAACGGGGTCACGAATGGAGTTACGAATGGAGCTACGAATGGTGTCAACGGAGTCACGAATGGGATAACGAATGGACAAAAGGCGAAGGACAAGGGCCCCTCCAACAAAAGCAGTGCTCCTCCAGCTAAGAGGGGTGACGTCGAAAGCACATTTGCAAAATACGCCCAATTGATCCATGCTTCCAGGCGTCCTCTTCCAACACAGTCCGGAGATGGATCCTACCTCAAAGAAGATACACAGTATACAACCACTTTTCAAGACCTGAGAACAATGGGGTTCAAGGGAATCTCTACATTGTTGGCAGTGAGGAAGCAGAAGAAGAGCGGGAAGCTCGACAATGACAGAGAGTACCATATGGAGCGTGTCATTCAGGTAGGCGATCTTGAGATGTCATTACCTTCAAGTGAGGGAGAAGCTTACATCTGCTATCTAGCTTGTTGCTGGCCTGCCGCCAAATTCTAAAATGCGCAAAGACTTGACAAACACTTTCGTGAAGGGGCTCTGGGATTCCATTCTCCACCCACCACCATCGTATGATACTTGTTCCAGCAATGCAGTTTTCCAATCGATGCTGATTTTTATATTTTAGGTACCTCGGTGACGAGTTCAGGTATCGTAGCGCAGATGGTTCCAACAACAACCCAATCCTGCCTCGCCTTGGAGCAGCGGGTACGCCCTATGCGCGCTCTATAGTTCCCGAGTCGATTCAGCTAGGAGCTCTGCCCGACCCAGGACTCATCTTCGACAGCATTTTCGCCCGCGAGAAGTTTAAGCCCCATCCGAACGGAGTCTCCAGTATATTCTTCAATTGGGCTTCCTTGATCATCCACGGTGAGTTTATATGGTCTTTCAGAGTATACTATCCGCGAAAGTATTAACGTGCCCAAGATCTGTTCCAAACCGACTACCGGAATCCTCACATATCCGAGACCTCGTCATACCTTGATTTATCCATCCTGTACGGAGACAACCAGGAGGACCAGAATAAGGTGCGGACGTTTAAAGATGGAAAACTGAAGCCTGACTGCTACTCCGAGCCGCGACTACTTGCCTTCCCCCCGGCGTGCAGCGTTATTCTCATCATGTTGAACAGGTATGCAGTTTCCCTCAACTATTTTGAACCATAATTTCTGACCTGGTGTATTGTAGATTCCACAATTACGCTGTAGAGCAGCTCGCCAACATCAACGAAGGTGGCCGATTTGCGAAGCCCAGAAGCGGACTTAGCCCCGAAGCGACTGAAAAAGCCTGGGCTAAATATGATAATGATTTGTTCCAGACTGGACGACTGTAAGTTGGCCCCCCCAAAGCCACCATACGTGGATGCACGCCTAACAGAAAGTAGGGTTACGTGTGGCCTATACATCAACATCACCCTCTATGACTACGTGCGCACCATTGTCAACTTAACCCGAAGCAATACTACATGGAGTCTGGTTCGTTATAAGCAGTCTAAACCTAGTTGAATATAACAGGACAGTATTGACCGATTTTCTACAGGATCCACGCGTGGGAATGCGTGAGGGTGCTACCCCTGAAGCCGCCGCTAGCGGCATTGGCAACCAGGTGTCCATGGAATTTAACCTGGCCTATCGCTGGCATTCTTGCATTGGTGCCGGTGACGAGGAATGGACGAACCAAAGCTATCAGAAGATATTTGGAAAGGCTGGCGAAGACCTGTCCACCCTTGAGCTCGTCCACGGACTTGGAAAATGGCAGGCAGACATGCCAGATGATCCTGCTGAGAGAACCTTTGCGGACCTCAAGCGAAAGCCTGATGGAACCTTTGACGATGGGGAACTCATGCAAATTATGACGGAAGCAATTGAGGAAGTCGCTGGTAAGTCTCAATCTAATTTACTTTATTCTACATGCTCTCCAGGCCCCTTTGCTAAGTAGTTCAACAGGATCTTTCGGGCCCAAGAATGTTCCCAAAGCACTTCGTGGCGTTGAGATTCTCGGGATGCAAACCGCCCGCAAATGGGGCTGCGCTTCTCTTAACGAATTCCGTAAATTCTTTGGCTTACAGGAGTACAAGACGTTTGAGGAGATCAACTCTGACCCAGAGATTTCGGAAGCCCTTCGTCACCTTTATGAGCACCCCGATCATGTTGAGCTATACCCCGGAATTGTTGCAGAAGAGCCAAAGGTTCCTATGGTTCCTGGTGCTGGTATTTGCCCAACTTATACGATCTCTCGGGCTATTTTGTCTGACGCAGTCGTGTTGGTGCGAGGAGACAGGTTCTACACGGTATGATCTCGGCGATCCGCCGCTTCAGGGGCTCTATTTTAGTTTTGCTTGCTAATTATACATCATCACAGGTGGACTACCATGCGAAGAATCTCACCAACTGGGGATTCGCTGAGACCCATTATGATCTCAACGTCAACCAGGGCTGTATGTTCTACAAACTGATGCTCAGGGCATTCCCCAACCATGTGAAGTCCGATTCGATCTACGCCCATTACCCGATGACCATCCCAAGTGTAAACAAGAAGATCTTCAAAGATTTGGGCAGACATGATGATTTCTCCTGGGACCGACCATCATTTATCCCGCCTCGTGTCAACATCACCTCATACATTGGCGCGAAGACTATCTTGGAGAACTCCAAGGACTTCCGTGTGACTTGGGGTGAAGCAACTGGTTTCCTGTTCGGAAAGGGGGGATTGGACTTTATGCTTTCTGGAGACTCCTCGTTCCACACGCAGCAACGTAAGACTATGGGCAAGGCGCTCTACCATAACGAGTGGAAGAAACATATCAAGGAGTTCTATGAGGACATTACCTTGAAGCTTCTGAGGCAAAAGTCTTGCAAGATTGCAGGCATCAATCAGGTTGATATCACAAGAGAGTAAGTTCAAACCACATAAGCTGAGCCACGTACTTAGTGATAGCTTTGAGGCATTGACCTGGTGAAACTAACATGGAAATATAGTGTTGGTAACCTCGCACACGTACACTTTGCGTCCAACATCTTTGGTCTACCACTGAAGACTGAGGAAAACCCCAAGGGCGTCTATACTGAACATGAACTATTCATGATCATGTGCCTGATCTTTACCACGATCTTCTTCGATCTAGATCCCGCCAAATCGTTCCCGCTCAGACAAGCATCCAGAGCTGTCGCCCAGCAACTCGGCCAGATCATGGAAGGCTACGTCAAGTCCGTCAAGGCAACCGGCTTCATTTCCGGCTTCATGGACCGCTTCCGTGAGAACAAGACTGCACTGGCTGACTATGGAATTCATATGATCCGACGTCTCCTTGACGCCGGACTCAGCGTCGAGCAGGTAACCTGGTCCCAGGTTATGCCAACTGCTGGAGCTATGATCCCTAACCAGGCGCAAGTGGTAAGCTTATCATTAAGTCAGATTCATGTTGTGCAACGTATGCTTATCAATATGTTTTTAGTTCACTCAAATCATTGATTTCTATCTCTCCGAGGAGGGCAAGGTCCACCTGCCAGAGATCAACCGCTGGGCTAAGGAGACCTCTGAAGAAGCCGACGAGAAGCTGCTCCATTACTGCATGGAGGGCATTAGATTGAACGGTACCTTTGGCTCTTACCGCGAGTCAACGGCCGCCTTGAACATTGACGACGATGGCCGCGACGTTTCAGTTAAACCTGGAGACAAGGTTTTCGTCAGCTTCGTAAGTTTTCTGGCCTGACTTCTAACATGACATATATCTAACGCTAGACATAGGTCGGAGCTGCTCGTGATCCCAAGATATTCCCCTCACCGCATGAGGTTCGCCTTGACCGACCCCTTGATTCGTACATCCATTACGGTGAAGGCCCGCACACTTGTCTTGGAAAGGATGCCAACATGATTGCACTTACATCCATGTTGCGTGTCGTCGGCCGATTGGAAAACCTCCGACGAGCTCCAGGACCCCAGGGTGAACTAAAGAAGATATCTCGCCCCGGCGGTTTCTACATCTACATGCGTGAGGACCAGGGTGGCTACTTTGTCTTCCCCATGAGTGAGTGTTCCAGTTTTGACCCTATAATTGCTCGAGGATTCATGCTTACGCTTTACTTTCTTCACAGCCTTCAAAGTCCATTACGATGGTGAACTCCCGGCCCCGAGGCCAAGAAACTAGGAACTACTCCTAGATATTGGCGGGGATTAGTTGGGTAATAATTTTGCACCGCGATGATACAGGTTGTATGTCCGCAAGATGTCTGGATATTCCAAGTGTTTTGGTTTCCTTTGTACTGTACTTGATACCCGCTGTATCGTTTTCTCACCACCTATATATATAGGTATTAATTAATTAATCTAGTACTCTCATCAAAGTCTTTCTTGTGCTGTTATGTAGAATAGAGATATTCTATTACGAATCTAGCTATCTCCATGAAAAGCCTACATTAAGGGCATTTGTCAGAGCAGCCCTCGCTGGACTCTGAAAGCGCAGTCTAGAGCCGGCCAGCTGTGACACCATGAATGCGACATTTCCATATGGCCTGACGTCCAAAGCTGATGGCCAGATCACCCCACGCTCACAGACGCCCACAGGGGTAAATCGCCAGGGAGGAGGATATACTTCATACTGGCCAAGGCGTGGATCATCTTGGGCTGGGGCTTGCATGAGTCCAAGCGACACGGGTTATTTACTTAGAACTCTTCATATGCTACCTGTCCAATGTTATTTATAGGCGGCCACTAGTCTGATATTCAAGCGTACAGCTAAGATCATAAATTCCAGCAAGAGAAACATACGAGTAGAGCGTTAATGTCGGCCGCACCACAGGGAGGAAGCAATACTCACTGTCTGATGGCCTGCGATCACAGGAAAGCGAATACCTGTTGTTACGGAGACAAGGATATCACTGACCATTTGGAAAGGGAGGACACTGAATGTTTAGAAGCAGCAAGCTAGGATGGCTCTAGGGTCAGCCCAGGGTAAATGGTAAATCGTGACCCCAGGATGGCTGCAGAGTCCGAGTGTCAGAATAGACCCCAGTAGAGAGATTAACATGCTACAACATGCTCCAACATGCATCGTGCCGTTCTCGCCTCCTCGCCTCCTCCTCTTGTTGCCTTGTCGTCTTGTCCGCCTCTTCATCGTCTTCCTCGTCTTTTCTGTCTTTTCTTCTTCTTTTCCCTCTTTTGGCTTTTATACTCACGTGATATTTACTCTTAGTCAGCATCTTCCTTCAAGAAACATCGCGAGGTCGAAGATGAAGACGAAGATGAAGATATTCAGCTTGAGCCAGGTTGGGGACAGCAATTGCGAGTTAACGCGTCCCTAGAAGCTCCCGAGGACGACTGCTGGCCAAGGATGCTCCAAACGCCGACGCAAAGGGCAGACTAGACATTGGTTTTCTCATCAGGGGCTGCCACCATGCCGCCCAAAGCCATCAAGGGAGAATATATCGAGACGGTGAGGCTGCTACCCTGTGTTTCCCACTCTAGGACAGTGCTAAATGTCGATATGGCAGGATACCGGGAACAAAGTGTCCCGCCGCAACCAGGTACACGGCACCCAGCATATCATCCTGGGCGGGAAAACAGTTATCCAGGCGGACGTCTGTATACGCGGCGACCTCTACCGCCAGCAATCTTCGTCCTCCGCAGCAGCAGCAGCTAGCACCGCTGGCGCTGCCGGATCCAAAGCAGCCGCAAACCCCAACACTCCCTCAATCGCCGTGACGATCGGTCGGTACACCTATCTATCTCGCTCATGCCTTCTACGGCCCCCGTCCCGCCTCCATCGCGGCGTGCACTCGTACTACCCGCTCAAGATGGGCGACCATGTGTTTGTCGGGGAGAGCTCGGTGGTTGAAGCTGCGACAGTGGGCAATCACGTCCACATTGGCCGTGATGTCGTTATCGGATCGATGGCCATATTAAAGGACAACGTGGTGGTGCTGGACGGAGCGGTTGTCCCCGCCGGAATGGTCGTGCCTAGCTGGTCTGTCGTTGGCGGTGCGCCGGCGAGAGTAGTAGGCGAGGTCGGCGAGGGATACGGCGTTGAAGGCGCGGAGGGTGGAATGGCGAGGGAGAGATACAGGCTCGTTGGCCGGTAGCATCGTCGTCTGTTGAGACCTAGATTTTTTTTATATTCCTCTGTAGATACCCAAGTACAAGCGTTTGTCTCTTAATCCAAATCACCGATCTTACGAGACTGCTCGCCGCGATGCTCTGACGAAGAGGCTACTCGCGGCCAACGCAACATTATCCCGGCGATTCAAATGCCTGCTGAGCTGAACCCATGATACATAGCTCGACCTTTTCTCCGTAAACGATAGCACACATTATAGGCAGGAGAGTGGAGATAAATCCCCGTCCACCCATCAGCTTGCAGCGTCGAGTCGATGCATGGTTGTTGGACGGCGGGGATATACGCACTCCATATCGCCGGCCACTTTATATCATGTATCAATTTCTCTGTCGCGAATGAAATGGTCGAGGCGCTAAAGACGATCAAGCATCGTCCATAGTCCAACAGATCCACGGCTACGCAAGCATACTCCATACGGAGACGTCCGAGGCTTTGATGAGTCGCGGCTGCGATAGCCTTGCCGAGGTCTTGTATATGTCCGAGAATGCATGTTATATTACTGTCCATCCATGTGGATAGGGATCACCGTCGAGCGCGCGCGTGCGGCATCTTGTCTCTGCCTGTCTCTTCTTGTCTCCTCTTGGCCGGAAATTCAGGAGCAGAAGACGCGGACGAGGTGGATCTCGACGGCTAACCGGCAGGGCGACAAATCTTGCATGATGACGTCCGTGGCGCTTCGGCCGTGAAGTCGAAGATGGCTGTGGCCGACGATATAAAACTGCTGGAGGCCAGATTTACGTAACTCCCGGCCATAAGACGTGCCACCGCTGCGCTGCGCTGCCTGCTCAGTATGCTCTCGGTCGTTATCTGCTTGATCGTAGAGTAGATAGAGTTCCATGCCGGTTTATCAGTCCCTTCTTTGTTTCGAGATGGCGCCACCGTAGGCTGATAGAACGGTCAAAGGCCCAGGAACCAGGCGAGCGATACCAGCGATTGCTCGCAGGCGACTGGCCAGCCGGTATCTCAGCATCCATCTCATGTGAATCCAGGGCCAACCAGGTCCACGACCGAGAAGAAATAAGTTTTTTTCCCGCGCAATGGAGAAATTTTCCCAGGTGGATGCGGCGGCCCCCATGCCAGTGGTTGGATGCCAGTATAAACCATGTCGGCAGAGGACGAGGATGAGCCAGCGGGAGAAGTGCTGACGGGGTCGGATGATTGTCCACAGAAGGTTTCCTCTGGCTAAGAAGCGAGCATCGAACAAGGATTCCGTATATTAGTCTATCGCATAATCCGTCCAGTATAAGGAATCCAGAGCTGCCCCTGCCCTGCCGTCATGTGCTTTCTCCTCTCCTCTCGCCTTATCATCGCTTCTCTTCTCTTCTTCTCTTCATCGTCTTCTTCTTCATCTTTATAGTCTTCGTTGTCTTCATCGTCGTTGTGTCATCGTTGTCTGTCATAGTCTCGGTGTCAGTTCAGTGTCAGTGTTCGTATACGACTTGCCGGACGCCACCAAAGCCTGTCGATGCGCCTGAGGCCGAGCATAGTCTACCTGCTTGACATCTCCGTTGACATCTCTGTAGAGGATCTCATCTCGTCTTCGTATCAACATGGCGCCCAGCTTCTTTGGCGGGCCGGGGAGTTCCAGTCATGCGAAGTACTTTGATATCAGGTATGTCCGTAGTGTCGTCGACCCCCGCAGAGATATACTAACACCCCGTCAACCAGACTGGACGACCCATATGTCATATTTCGCGGTAATGAAGAGGAATCAGCGAGCGCACATCTCAAGGGGACTCTGGTGCTGTGTCTGTCGGAGCCATTGACCATCAAACACCTCAGGCTGCACCTCACGGGCATGTCCAGGATAAGGTACGTTGACATACTGCGGGCATCACAACATCCGTCTCCTGTGATACCGGACAATCTCTGACGTATATCGCAGTTGGCCGTTCCTGATTGGCGCCGTCCCCGGTGGGAAGAAGCACGGCAAGGAACGAACGTTCTTCGAGAAGACCTGGAAGTTCAGAGATGCCGGCAAGGGGAAGACGGAGATCATGCCTGCGGACAACTACGAGTTCCCCTTCGACGTCGTCTTGCCTGGCTCGTTGCCAGAGAGCATTGAAGGCTTGCCAGATACTTGGATCATCTACCGGTTCAAGGCTGAGATTGGGAGAAAATACACCAAGGACATCCAGATCAGGAAGCCCTTGAGGGTTATTCGCACTCTGGGTCCCAGTGCTCTAGAACTATCGCATGTTATGGTACGTATATGTCTCCTTGAAATAGTATATACAGAAAGCTGACCCGTATAGTCGGTTGAAAACATCTGGCCCAACAAGCTGGAATACTCTGTTTCGACTCCCAGCAAGGCCGTCATCTTTGGAACATCGGTGCGAATCGATTTCCGTCTGGTGCCCCTTCTCAAGGGTCTCAGGATCGGGACGGTCTCGACCCAGTTCATCGAAAGCTACGATGTGATGAGCTGCCGTGACGACTCGCAGCTGCTGCCAACGTCCCACAAGTCCGTCAGAGTAGTCGTCGCAGACCACTTTCGTCTGGGCCCAGAGGAGGAACGCCGTTACCTGGAGGAAGAGGACGAGGGCTACCAGTTCTCGCGCGTCCTCGAGCTGCCAAAGAAGCTGTGCAAGTGCATCCAGGACACCGATACCAGGGGCATCAAGATACGACATAAACTGAAATTCAAGATTCAACTGCATAACCCGGATGGGCATACATCTGAGGTATGTATCATCGAATGAATATATATATTCCAATTTGCTAACGTTTGATTCACAGCTACGAGCAACACTGCCAGTATTCATATTCCTCTCCCCAAACCTGCCGCTGGATGACAACAACAACCTGGTCGATCAGTCGCCGAGCTCGCCGCAGGTCGCTGAATTCTGCATGGCCCAGCAGGCACCGCCCTTGTATGGAGACCACCAGTTTGATATGCTGTACAGTGAACTAGACCCTCACGGCTACCGAACCCCGGGAGTGTACAGCGGAGCCGCATCGCCTTATGGCTCGATAAGCCGAAACCTGTCTGCAGAGAACCTGTCTTCCTTGACCACTTTAGCAGCCGGAGGTGATGTCGCAGCAACCATCCTCCACAACCGTTTAGTGAATCTCGACATCGACCGAACCTCGCTCCGTTCTCCCGTAACGCCCCCATCCGAACTCACAGTCCCTGACCACCACGACAATCGCCGGTCGTTGACCTTCCCCATCACGACCTTTACAGCCGCCACCACTACACCGGAGATGTCTCGGCGAACCTCGGAGGAAGAGCATCTTCCGTCTGGGATAATGACGCCTCACCATCTGCGACCTAGCGAGGTCGAGGACCTGTGCCGTGTACCGAGCTATACGACCGCCGTCCGGTCGTCCTGTGCGATGTCCACCCATAGCGCTGGCCTACCAAACTATGAAGCGGCCACTGCGGGCGATGTATCGCCGCCCAGGGAACGCACGCCTTCCCCTCAAAGACACTCGCATAGCGCATTCAACCGACTCTCTGCCACTTTTGCAGACGCCCTACCGCAGTTCTCGATTCATCGACACAGTCACAGCCACGACCATGACTCTGATCGCCGCGTGCGAATTCTCCAGGCCCGGTCGAGCTCATAACTCAACCCCCAACTTTGCCTTTCTTATTTCTTTTCCCCACTCTTCGACGTATATTCTTTTATTCCTTTTTTATATATCTAATTCACGACTGGGACGACTCTGGAGGAATGCATTATTGGGTGTTTTTGGTTTCCTTTTGGTGCTCTTTGGGCTCTTTTCTTTAGCAGTGGGAAGCACAGTCCCTAGGCATCTTCTTCTACTTCTCCTCCTCTATATCTCCTTGCCGTTTGATCACCTTCAATACTTTATCACTGTGTAAATATGCAGATAGAGTGCCAAGGCTTAGTCGTCATGACGCAACTTCAACGCACGGACCATCACTTAATTGTACTTGGACTTCCTCTTTGGGACATGTTAGCATCTGGTAGTGAATCGTATTAACTATTAATATAGTCAGGTCCCTTTAAGGGCGAATAATTCCCAAGGTGCAGGCTTGGAGAAGACTTTGAAGTAATCTATTCTTATTCTTACACTAAGTATCTACTCGTTTTCGTCAAAGTCGTCAAATGGCCAGTGCTTCTCAGTCATCTCCTGATCAAATTTGTTGTCTGAGACGGAGGCAATTGCCATCATTTTGAATTCTTGTGCTCGTGCAACTGTATCTTCAAACGTTTCGTTTAATGTCCAACCATCGACACTTACTCCAATCGCATCTCGAATCCGAGAGAGCTGGGTGTCCATCTCTTCATACTGCCCTTCAATGCGGAGCGCGTCCTGTGCTTCTACTGGGTCAAAGGTCACAGGGCATTGAGGTGTACACGAGTCGTCGTTGCCCACCTGTTGACTCTCTGCGCAAGCAACAACAGTATTCCAGTTTTGAATGATACGTACCAAATCCGCTTTCAGTTGGGCATTATTCCCTTCCCAGGGTGAAGCTGCATGAGAATATGTTTTCTGTTCCAGCAGGCGGCTTGAGTCTAAGTCAAGAGCGTTGAAATGATCGGGGTTAAAGCGTTGCGTAAATCCGAGATAGTAAAAATGTAGGTGTCGTCTTCGAAATGTTTCCAGTGCAGCAGAACGCTTAGCAGGGCTCATTTCATCTAGATTATCAGGCAATTTGGGTGGGGTGAAACGAAGTGATTCCTCATCATCATAGTTCTGAATATATTGTGGAATTCCGGCAGCGAGGAAGAGGGGAAGGGCGGAACAGTACTGCCAATCTATCAGGCCAACAATATCCAAGTCCTTGTTGACAAAGATGTTATTAGGTTGGAGATCGGGATGGCGCAGGACCGGCCGCTGTAAGCCTTTGTCCTTCGGGACAAGACAAGGCGCGATCTTCAGGTACTTCTCAAGTGTTTTGATGTATTCTTCCGGGGCCGATTTTTGATAATTCGTAGCTTCTCGGTATGCTCGTTCAAAGGGAAAGCGTGGTTTGGCGTACGACTTCAGCCATGCCAGTTCCTTCTTCGCCACGGCCTCCATACACTGAGCAGCGTCCAAGTCTAAATAGCGTATTAAAAAAAATCCACCTTCCTAGTATTTACTATTCGGAGATAACTTACGGGGCCCACGACTGATGTCACTAAGCAAAGCGCGCTCCGCATACCACCACTTCAAAGATACGTCCGGCCCAACACAGAATTCCGGGTATTCAGTAACACCAGAACCCTGCGGCAGGTTGACGGCGACGTCCTTAAATTCTGGGAGTAAATCATGACGATAATATATACTGCCAGCTGCCGGGAGCTGGACAGCAAATAACTGTGCCTCAAGCTGGACTAATCCCATCAGGACTTTTAATCGTTGCTTGTCTGAAAGCGTATACCATGAATCCCCGATCGGGGCTCCGTTGATGTTCTCCATAAGGATGTATTCAGCACCCACAGAATTATCAAAATCGGCGGAGTAACCAAGGACCTTGGGCACCGGGATATTATGGCGGCGGAGCAGGTCCAGCGTCGCAACCTCACTCGCAACAGCAAGCCGTTTGGGGACGGTAGAAGGATAGGGTAGTCGGGCGAGAATCCGGGTGTCGTCGTCCTTCATTGTGATTTCAAAGACACGATTAAATCCACCTTCTGCAAGCTTCTTCAAGCTCTTGATATCGGTCTCATGCCGATCGACCGAGGCAGCGGCAACGCGTTTGAGCTCTTGGACGTTAAAGACTAGGGTTCTCTCACCACGGCGGAGCGACTCGTTATATCTATAAACCATTTGATCTTGTCACCACCCGTCATCTTGCCTGACCGCAGCGAACACTCACATCCACCGGCCAGATGTGTACTCGAACAAGTGTTGATCTGTTTCATCACCTTTGGTCGCCATCCTGAAGGCCGCACAAGAGCTAAAACAACGTATTCTAATGGTCTTTTGGCCGAAGGCCCTCAGGGCAGGCCGGTAGAACATGATCACAAGGCAAAAGGCGCAGGGCGAAGTCGAGCAAAACCATCGCGACGTTGGTGGTTGATATAAAAATGGTTTGCGCCTAGCTTGATTTTGTAAGAATCACGCTAGTTACGGAGTACGGAATTTAAACAAAACAAACCTCTCAGGGCATATCAATAATGTTAAGTTGCTACAAGAATATCGCCCTTCTTAATCAATTTCCCTTGTCAACCGAAGTTCCTGCCCGTGCAGATTCTGGTTGTAAATTTCCGCTCGGTGAAGCCTTTTGCTGCTTCATACGATATAGAGATACAAAGGCTTATTCTGAGATACGAGATATTTGATTGATTTGATTGGTCAGGTGGGTCTGGAGCAATCTATGAGATTTCAATCTATCAAGCACTGATCATCTAAATACACGATATTGAGCTCCTATTTATGTTCCTCATACGGCCATGTATCTTGCCATCGCGGAGATGCCAGCTACAGCTGAAACAGGCGTTAAAACGCCGGGCGTAGCATTTGTTCGATGATGGAGAGCTGACACTGATATTTAATGAAACGGCGTAGTTGACTAACGTGTTTCGTACGATCAGGCAGTATTACACCGAATCTCCGTTCAACACTTATGGATATAGGAACGAGTGATACGAAACACAGAAAATCTGACATAATATAATTTGAACTTCCTTAGCCTTTGGCATTCTTCTTGTTAATGTAATTCTAATGGCCGGAGTTATGCTTCGCGCCGGCGTGAAGCTCTTGCCTGTGTCCTTTGGCCGTGTACTTGCCTCTCAGCTTTCTCATCCGATATGCAAAGATACCCTCAGAGCGATGTCTTCGTTGCCGTCGCCAGCATGCGAGTTCGCAAAATCTGGATTTCCCGAATTGAGTGCGAAGGAATTGATTGAAGAGGAAGATATTCCTTCATACAAAGCAGAACAGTTCTACCCAGTCCAGATTGGTAAAGTATTCAACTCAAGGTACCAAGTGGTCTCTAAATTGGGATTTGGAACATCGTCGACAGTTTGGCTTTGTCGAGATCTGAGGTTTGCCCCCATCATTATAGATCATAAAATGGCAAAGCTATATCTGATTATTTCAGTAGAGACCATCGGTATCTCACTCTCAAAGTATGTACCCGAAAAGATGGAAAAGAGCCGCGTGAACAGCGTGAGATTACAGTTTCCCAGCATCTTAACGATTTTCCAGTCGAAAAACATGCTGGAGAAGACTTAGTCCGGAAAGTCGTTGATTCCTTCGAAGTTACAGGCCCCTGCGGAGTGCATCAGTGCCTGCTTTATAGGCCGCTTGGGATGAGCTACACTAACTTCCTGAAACTCTTCCCAGAGAAGATGTTCCCTAAGGATCTCGTGCAGAGAAGCATTCAGTTCCTCCTAGTTGCCGTTGCCTATTTGCACCAGTGTGAAGTTGTGCATACAGGTAATTAAAAACAATTCCTGGTTAATACTGGCCACTGACTTCATTCAAGATATCTCATCCAATAATCTGCTCCAGGGTCTGCATGATGATTCTATATTGTCGCGACTCGAGCAGGATGAAATGGATCATCCAAGTGCTCGGAAAGTACTGAGCGATCGTACTATATATATCTCTCGACATATACCAACATGTACCGGTTTACCGGTACTCTGTGATCTTGGTGATGCGCGAATTGGTAGCCATAAGCATCGAGGAGATATTATGCCTGGTATATACCGAGCACCGGAGGTGATCCTAGGCATGGAATGGGACTGCAAAGTTGATCTGTGGTCGGCTGGCGTGATGGTGAGGACATACTACATTCCCCAAAGATTGGCTGCTGCTATTGTTGAACAGTGGGACTGATTTATAGCTTCAGACCTGGGACATATTTGAGGGCGAACGTTTGTTCTTTGCTAAGAATGACGGGATTTTAAATGATGAGCAACATCTGGCAGAAATGGTCTCGCTGTTGGGTCCTCCACCTCCGGAATTCATTAAAAGAAATGACAAATGTCTTCAATACTGGGACGATCAAGGTAATTTTTCCGGGAATCTTTAATTCTCCACGTTTACGAGTCCATGAAACTCATTTTTTGACAGGTAACTGGAAGGGATCTGTACCCATCCCGGATCAGTCCTTTGCAACACGCGAGTGGCGTCTAAAGGACAGAGATCGCACTCTATTCCTTAATTTTCTTCGGAGGACGTTACGCTGGATGCCAGGGGAGAGACCAAGCGCGGAGGAGCTCGCTTATGATGAATTTCTCATGCAGCCGCTAGTGGAGTCTGGTGCCGTTTCTTGAAAATAGTGAGATTATATTTGTTGGTAGAGCTAGCTCTTCGTCTTAAATAGTATTTTACTAGTTAATATATGACTGTAACCTCCGCTCGATGAAACGTTCATATGGCTCAGATGAGCGACATATCATATTTCGCCTTGTGCTGCTCATGCGATATATGTTGGGTATACGACAGAGCGAATATGACAATATATTAATTCGATTAGTACGCAGTCGTGACTAATTGGTTGCTCTCACTCTGCAACACACTTGGGCGCCTGGCATTCAACGCAGGCATACGCCATTCTTACCCCCAAATACATCCACCTTGGTCAATTCTTGACTGCTAAGTTACCTGCTGTGTGCTGTGTTTGTGATGCCCTGACGAAGTCACCTGATGCCGAGAGTGGTACCTTCCACGTGACTTACTAGATGAAGTGCCAAGGATTGGTCATCATGACGTCACTTAATGCACGGGCCAGCCCTTAATTGTACCTGTATTTCCTCTTTGGGACAAGTTTGTGTCCTTTTTGCATCTCGATATAAATTTACTCCGTGCAAAGCGCGACAACCACCCGATCTCACGATCTCACGATCTCGCTCGGCCAGGGATGCGCCATCAGGCGGGATATCGTGGTCGGGCGTCCACCAGATCTTCCCTGCACAGCTCATTGGCCTGGCACTGCTTATATCTTGATTTGCGAACTTTGTTTTAGTGGCTCAGGGTGGGGGTGTCTATCATCTTGGATATAAGCAGCCCCCTCCTCCTCATGGTGCTTCTTCTTCTGTCTCGCCGTTAACAGAGCGTTGCATCCGTCTTCGTCTCCCCGACCGTTATCTGTCAAACCGACGTCGTTGATACAGCGTCCGACATATACCAACATTTCTCAATTGTGGACTGTTGTCTATCGACCCCTGTTAGCTTCACTACTCGTCGGTTTATAGCTGGCAATTGAGACAAGATGGCCTTCAAGTCAGTATTGCCCCGTCGGTCCTCGACCACGACCACGGGCAACACGACGAGAACATCGACCACCACGTCGTTGGGCGATGATGATGCCATTCCTGATTCAGACTACAAGGATGTAAGTGGGACAATGATATTCACCGCTTAGGCATTCGCCACCGCCGGCGAGGGAGCATGATATTGGCTGAATTACTGCTTGCAATTGTTACATAGATGCTGACATGTTGGCCGTGAATCTAGACCACGAACCTCCTTGTCGAGCGCCTGCAGGCATGGAAACATGTATGCGGCAGCTTGGAGGACTACATGACCACGACGATGAAAGTGCAAAAGTCCCACGCAAAGGAGCTTGAGAAGATATTCAAGGTAGGACTGATATCCGTATAGCTTGGAACTTGCTAACATACGATTGGGCAGACTGTTTCCGAACCGATCAAGGAGGAACACCACTTTGACAAGGGCGCCAGCGGTATCTCTGGTCTCTTTGAAGTCCTGCGCAGAAACACACAGGTATGTTCTGGAGAGGAAAGTCCGAAAGTATATGCTAACGTCGATATAGGGACTGGCCGAAGCCCACGCAGACGCGGAGAACCGGCTAAAACGATCTGTCGTCCCCGTCCTTGAACGCCTGCACACGGAGATCAAAGCCAAAGCCAAAGAACTGGGCTCGGGGGCCATCAAGCATGGCAAAGAGGTCACCAAGTCTCGCGGGGTTACGCAGAAGCACATCGAGCTGCTGGGCCAGTGTACGGCAACGTACGAGACGTCGAAGACGAGAGTCGAGGCCGCCCACGACCCGTACGTGCTCTCGCGCGGCGTCACGTACCGTCTGGGCAGACAGGTAGCGGACGAGAACCTGCACTTCCAGGAGATAATGACGATCCAGAACTCGTTCCCCGTGTTCGAGACGCACATCATCGAGACGATCCAGCGGGCGTTGAACGAGTTCTACCAGTGCATGGGCGCGCAGGTCGACCACCACCGGAACATGTACTCCAACATCGTTGCGCACTCGCAGCACATCCCGACGGACTTTGAGTGGGCGAACTTCTTCGAGCGCAACGACGCGACCTTGCTGAACCCCAACTTGCCGCCGCGAGACCTGGCGACGATCAAGTACGCGAACCAGGACCACCACGCCACCAAGCCGCTGGTCGAGGGTATCTTGGACCGCAAGTCTCGCGCCGTGCTCAAGGGCTACACGGGCGGCTACTACGCCGTGACTCCGGCCGGGTACCTGCACGGCTTCAAGGAGAACGACGACACCCGCCACGAGCCCACGCCGGACATCTCGCTGTATCTGCCTGAATGCACGATTGGCGGGTTCAACGACCTCAAGTTCAGCGTCAAGGGCAAAGACATGTCGGGCAGCAAAGTCGGGAGCGCATTCCACATGACCAGCGAGTTCAACTTCAAGGCCCGAACGAAGAACGACCTCGAGCAGTGGCAGGCCGTCCTCAGCAACCCTGCCGGCTGGAGCGGCGCCGGCTCCGTCGCCTCTCCCGTCAAGCATGCCTCTCCTGCCTCTCCTGCCTCTCCCATCTCTCCGGCCACCACCACACCGAACCTGGAGCCTGCCCCAGCCCCTACCACCGTCCCTACCACTGAGCCTGTCCCCGAGAAGACCACTGTCCCAGCCCCTACCACTGAACCTGTCCCTGAGAAGACTACTGTCCCTGAACCTGTCCCTGAGAAGCCTACGACCGAGCCTCTGCCGACCACTGGGGGCACCGTGAATCCTGGACAGGAAGAAGGCGTCGTCTCCGTCCCCGCAGAGAAATAACCATCCCCTTATCCCCTTGTCCACCTTACCATCTTAGTCTTAGTACCTTACCATCTTATAGTAGTAGCATGCAGTGTTCATTATAGCTTCTATGAGCGTGTATATACACGGTAGCATTAACTCCGTCACCCCTACTCCGCTAAAGTACATAATGGTATCCATAAGAAAGAAAGAAAAAGACTAAAAATCCTCTGGAGACTCGAGGTCGGCCAGCTTGTTACCGAGGAACTTGCCCAGGGCGGCCGACTTGGACTCGAGGGCGAGGAGGATGTGCGGGCTGGAGGCGAGGTTCAGCCCAGCCAGCCGGTCGAGGTCGTGGCTGCGGTCTATGGCCCACTGTGCCCTGAGAGCCTGGTCTATGGCGTCTTCGTCCTGCTTCACCTCTGCGCGCTCGATCTGCTCGTCCGACCGTCTGCCGGCCAGACTGGAGAGGGAGAGGGAGGCGGGGTTGGGCGCGGACGAGGCCAGCTTGCTCGACGCGAGGTCTGACCCGGGGCTCTCGAGGGTGCTGGAGAAGGGAGAGTCCCCTGCCTTGACCGTCCTCTCCGAGTCACTGGCCGCCGAACCGGCGACCATCCTCGCTCGACCAGGTGTCCCGGCGCCGTTCCGACCTGACGTCCTGGCGGGCTCTTCTACGTGCGTGGGCCCTACAACAGCGAGAAGAACCTTGTCTGCGATCTTGGTGACGACGGCGACCATGTCCTGCAGCTCGAACATGATGGAGCCCACGTTACCGAGCGGTATAGACGGCGCGGAGGAGAAGGCAGACGGGTGAACGGAGGCGCTGACGCCGGTGAGGTTGCCCTGGGGCGCCTTGACGGCATACGACTTGTACGCGGCGCCGTACGTCGCGCACAGGTTGCGTATCCTGCGCTGGGGGAGCCCCGACGCGTGCGCAAACACCGCCCCGTTCGCCGCGAATATACTACAACAGTTAGCATATACATAAAGAATAAGTATAAGGAGACTCACAAGATAGAGGTAATCTCTGGAGGGGCGAGGTTGTCGGCGAGGAGGCCGGCGAGGGCGGCGGTGTCGAGCATCTTGATCTCCGGGAGGGCGGGCGTCATCTCGTCGGGGAGGCTGTCCGTGTCGGAGGCAGAGTCGGCGGCATCCGGGTTGCTGGCGCAGTCTGGCGGGTTGTAGACGCAGTCCTCGGGGAAGAAGAAGCAGTTGTCGCTGTAGTCCTCGTCGTCGTCGTACTCGACCGGCTCGTCGCTGCACTCGAGCAGGTTCTGGGCGTACTTCACGTGACTTCTTGCCCACACGGGGATGAACGTCGGGTCAGTCCACGCAGAAGTTGGTGTTGATGTATATGGTGTTGTAGATGTAGAGGTAGATGTGGTAGTGGTCGAGGCTGGAAGAGAAGCCATGGGTCAGATAGAGCGTCGTGGAACCCCATCAGCAGCAGTAGCAGAAGTAGTATACAATAGTAGTGACAGTAGCGTACAAGTATACAGATGGATAGATAGAGAGATAGAGGTATATATAGAGAGAAAGGGGAAGGCAGACACGTGTAGGGCGGCTAGGGAAAAAGAGGAAGAAGAAAAGAGAGACCTACGTTAGTCAGAGGCGTCCCAGGATCTCCATCCCTCGTCCTGCGTCCTGCGTCCTGCGTCTCGTCGTCTCGTCGTCTTCCGCGTCTTGCGCCTTGCCTCGTCTTTTCGCCGTCTCCTTCCTTTTGCTCTTCCTCTTTTGTATTTTCTGTCGCCAAACGCGCGAAGGGAGGAGGTCATGTGATGGGTACATGGGGAAGGTGGGCACGTGATACACACACTCACACTACACTTACACAGAGGAAGACATACATACATAGAGGAGAGAGGTAGAAGAGAAGGAGGAGAGAAAAGACACGGAGAAAGTGGGAGAGACGAGAGACCCGGAAGAGGAAGAAGAGGGGTAGGGTAGTTGTATAGGAAGGAGCTACATAGGGAAGGAGTAGGGAAGTACTACATGGAGTAAGATGGACAGAGTAAGATGGATAGAGTAAGTACATAGAGTAAGTACTGAGAGAAGAGTCTGGACCTCGACCTGACATAGATAAGTATATAGATAAGTACATAGATATACCTAAGATGGAGTATGTAGTATGTATGTAGTATGTAGTATCTACGTGCGAAGGGCCTCATTCTGGGCGACTTCCACCCAGTAGCCGTCCGGGTCAAGGAGGAAGGCGATGTTGTGCATCCGCCCGTCCGTCAGTCTCTTCTTCCACCGCACGCCCAGTGACTCGAACCGCCCACACGCCGCCTCCACGTCGTCCACCGTGACGCCTACACCTGTTAGCATATATATATATAAAGATAGATAAAGAGGGACTGACAGATGTGGCCGAAGCCCTGGGGATGGGAGTTGCCGTCGTGGTAGACGGGCCCGTCCTGCTTCTCGGTGCCGTAGTTCCAGGTCAGCTCGAGGAGACCCTCCCAGCCGGCGATGGGGTTGCGCGCGGTAGACTCTGCGGGAGGGTTGGAGGCAGGGTAGCCGAGGAAGTAGAGGTTGAAGCCCGCCTCTGGTGCCTCCGCTGTTCGTAGCAGCGTCATGCCCATCGTCTCCTGGTAGAACTTCAGCGAGGCCGTCTGGTCCTTGACACGCAGCATCGTGTGGTTGAGGCGGTAGGATGCCGGGTCTGTGGCTGCTACAGCCTCGTCTGCGTCTCCGCGGCGGATGAGCTCGACCCAGTAGCCGTCAGGGTCGAGGGCGAAGGCGATGTGCTTCATGCGGCCGTCGCTCAGCTTCTTCTGGAACGGGTGGCCTGCTTCCTCCAGGCGTCGACAGGCCAGCTCGATGTTGTCGACCGCGATGGCGATGTGGCCGAAGCCGCGGTGAGGCTCCGTGTTGCCGCTGGAGACGGAGAAGTGGTCGTCATGTTCGCTGCCGTGGTTGTGTGTCAGTTCGAGGACGCCGTTCCTGTCCGTCCACGCGTTGGTGCCGGAGAGCGACTGGGGGCCGTCGTAGGCCAGGAAGTAGAGGGAGAACTTGTTCTCAGGGAAGTCCAGGCGGTTGATCTGCGACAGGCCCAGGAACTTGTAGAAGGAGACTATCTCTTAGCGGGGTTTATGTTTGCGGGCTTGGTGTACTCACGCGATCGCTCGGGGTCCTTCACCCGCAGCATCGTATCTATCCTGTTAGTACATGTCGTCTGTATATGGTGTGGGTGTACTCACGGTTGAGCTTGTACTTGGAGGGGTCGGTCGCCATCTCGTTTGATGTGGTGATAGTACTGATGTGATGATAGTAGTGATGATGATAGAGATGGTGGTGGTAGAGATGGTGGGTGAGGGGCAAGAAGTATGATGCAACGCCGAGCTCCGACAGGCATCTATCGACGACTCTGTATATCAGGCAGACCTCTCCTGTATGGTGTACTCTCGTCTCTTCTGTGGTGTCTACTTGACGCGCCGCCGCTTCTGCTCCATGTCTCGCTGTATGATCCGCTCGATCTCGGTCATCTTCCTGGGCGCGTCGGGCTTGTCGCTCGGCTGCTTCCGCTTCGTCCCAAACACATTGGGCTTCTTCGCCGGCTTGCCCGTAGCTTTCTGCGTAGAGACCTGCTTCTCCGGCTCGACCGGCTTCGGTGAGTTGGTGGACGACTTGAGGTTGAGGCTAAAGTCCGTCCATTTCTCCTTGGCCAGCTCGGCCGGCTGCTCGGGCTCAGGTTCGGTCGCGACGTTCATCTTCTGACGGGCTCGCTCGACCTGCTTCAGTATTTCCCTCTGTTCAGACACCTCCTGCTCCTCCAGCCGGTTGGCCCTTTGCAGTACGTCTCGTCGGCGGACGGCGTCAGGGCTGTTATCGATCCACTGCACGAATATACCGTCATCCTTCTCCTCTACCCGACATATCCCTTCCCGGCCAAGGTATTTCGCAAACTCCGTCAGGCTGGGCCACTTTGTACTGTTCAGGTGGACGTGTGTCTTGTCGGAGATGTACTCTTGGTAGAAGTGGTTGAGCTGGATGGCCTTCTCGCCGTGAGACGTCCGTAGCAGCTGTAGAAAGTCGCGCTGGAAGTCTCTGCTGTAGCCTTCGATGAACTGCTTCGGGTTCTCCGCCACGACCTGCATCGCCCGGACGTGTCCTTCGCTCAGCGTGTGCTGCTTGAACCCGTTCTCGTCGCGCGTCTGCTTCTGGCACACCTCGCACCACCACCGCAGACGCTGCAGGCCTTTCTAGTCATCCGTCAGCATGCTATCTACGTTGAGACTCTTCTCCGAGACTCTCCAAGCGTAGGTTCTCTCTTACCAGCTTCTTTTCATGGCGGTTCGTCCTGTCTGCCGGCGCCATCTTGGTCCTTGATACTGAGATCGCGACTTGACTGAGATCGCGACTTGACTGAGATCGCGACTTGACTGAGTTTGATATCGATGTCAGCCTCTTGAACTCGTTACCTCACGTGATGCATCTTACTTCAACCTCAACATTTCAACGTCCTCAAATAAACAGGCCATAGATATATATGTTCCTATAGTATATACTAGCATGCTCGGGGCTAACTTATGAATACTTTGTAACTTCGTTCCCATCTTAACCCGCAACTCCTCCTCGCCCACCACCGCGGACAATCTAAACCCCTTGATTCAACGGGTCCTTACGCACTACCGTGGCTCTACCATCTATGGGGTTGGAGGCCATTCCGTTCTACTACCTATATCCGATGACCTTGCTGTAAAGGTTTCCTATCAGGCTGGCGGAGAACATCTGCGCCATGAACAGTCTATCTTTGATCTATTAAACAGGGAGGCTTGTCCGTATACGGTTCATCCTTACCTCCACGCGCCTGATCTTATCTTTATAGAGCTTTTGAGGCACGGAACGCTGTACGAACGCTTAGAGCAAGTCAGCAAACCGCGCCCTGTTCTTACATGGATGCAACAGCTTTCAGAGGCCGCGGCGGCTTTAGAGAACGTGGGGTTTGCTCATGGAGATATCAACCCTCAAAATATCCTATTTGACGAGAGCTTGAAAGAGAAAAAGAGACTATGCGAGCAACATTATATGATGCTTTAGATAGAGGACGCGACACAGTGCCAGAACGTTTGAATACCGCATTGTAAGTACAGATATATATGAAAATAGAGCTAACTACAGACGCTTCGCAAAAAGGATGGCAATCAACTAAAGTTCGTCGTGCCCAGAGTTCGCAGTACAAACATCATTCGTTTCAATGCCGCCCATCGGCGTCATCTCTCCAATGATCGAATCCGCGTCCTTGGTGAATGGTGCGATAGCCCCAGCCGCCAACGTCACCCTGTCATAAGCATTATATGCCTGGAAGTTGAGCCCTGGCGCAGCCAACAGTGGGTTGGAAAATGGATTCCATCCGCCCAAATAGCAAGCAACCTGTTCATAAATCCAGTCGAACTCGTTCTGGTCATCAGTGGTGAAGTAAACGTCCGGGCTGTTGACATTTCCAGGGTCCGTTTCCATAATAAAGTCGAGACCCCCGTTATCAAAGTACTGGTTGTTATATCTGTGCGTCTCCCGACTTTTCAGGCGGCGTCGGTTGTTTTCTGTCTCGGGCCCTGGTCCATGGCCAAATCGAAAGTAGCTGCCGTTATTCGCCTCTCCCATATAGGTGAAATGCATTTCCCTGCCATTTAAATTGGCACCAAATATGTGACGCGGAACAGGTTGGGCACCTCCACCACTTCGTCTTGATAAGGACGCGCCATCCCAGATACCAATATGTCGAACGTCAGCGGAGAGAACTGAGGAAAGATGGCTTTCGAGCTGAGAGACTTCGCCGCGCTTATTGAACCCGGGGACGTGCCACCCGTTATCATTGAGCCTTTGGCCTATATAGCCTTGGAACATCAATGCGCGGTCGAACGCAATGCCGAACCCAATCACGGTACCAATAGCTGACCAGACGCAGGTAAAGGCTTTCGAAGCTTTTTCGTTCCACTCCTTGCAGTCGTCGATCATGCTTTTAAATATGACGCCTACATTGGCTGCTGCATGCGCTTGCACGCCTAGGTAGAAAGCTGTTCGGAGGTCAGTATGATCAATTCTTCGAGTCACAATATCTGTCCCATCTTGTTTAAAGTCAGCGTGGTTCGAGTCACAAAAGGGAGAATACCCCGTACTTTTCATATTCTCGTCTCCATGGCTAGTTGACCAATGGAGCTCAGGAAGCTTTCCATGCCATGGTTCCTTCGTGTACTGTGGGGGGGCGGGAACGACCGCCGAAGGAATATGATCTCCTACAACAGAAGAAGTGCTTGGGGGAAGGCCTTCTGGTGCAGGACGAGCAAAAGACCCAAGAAAGAGCAGCGGCAGTATCAATGCTTGAAGGGGCATATTTGGCAGTGGCTTGTAAGGTATGTTTGAAGTATATATATGAAGTGTATATATTGTATATTGGGAATGTTGCTAATGATGGATGTGTGATATTTTATGACAAAATGCCAGCGGGCTCTTGCTCTCTTATATCCTGTCCCCGAGAACCTAAGTCCTCAAATTCATAACACAGCTGTTTTCTCATGACTTGAAATCCAACTACAACATATTCATTTTTTACGTGAAGCCATTCATAGGCCGTAAAGATGTTGCTATTTCTGGTAGTAATGCTATTTCTAATTGTGGTAAAAAAGGCACTATGCTTCTTGTCTGGGACGCTGTCCTAGACCATCACGTAGTATGCAGTCATATGGAGTATAGGTTGGAATTCTCTGGTCTATCAGAAGCTAAGAATATAGAACCTAGGACAGAAAGAGTCAATGCTTATGGTAGGAAAGCTATAGCACAAGGATATATATCAACGAAAATACACAACAGGGCGTCTTTCACCAACGCAACACATTGATATGATGGTTGTTTTTAGATCAAGGCCAATAATCTTTTAACATGGGCCAATTAGTTACAAAAGAGATCTTATCGTACAGAGATTTTGTGAGTGTTCAGATCTTCATAAGGCCCCAGCCGATTATCCAACTATGCTCGATCCCGATATGAAAGCACCAGAAGGGTGCCATAGCCGGATACGGTAGTAATCGCGAATACCATAGAGATAGCCCCCCAGATGAGATGCGTCTTGTCAGTAGTGCTAGCAGCTCCCCAGCTTTCGAACTTCTGCCAGGCCTGAAACATGAGATATGTATTATGCAACATGAACGGGAGGGTAACACAAAGCATAACCCAATCCTTTCGGCGGAGGCCATCTGCGCCATGTGAGCAAGGCTATGTTGTTGATTGTAGGATTTAGGAGACACCATACCAAATGGAGGTTCAGCTAGCTCCTCGCTGGAGAGTTTTTCCGGGTCGTTTCCCATATTTGAATAACGGTGGAGGTGGAGATGAAGTTGCAGGTTGATACCAGGCGTGAGGTAGCGGTGACGGATATCTGAATAGATGCAGTTGGAGGTGTAGAGAGGTCTGTCCCATAAGAGGCTGGGGAAGGGCTTGGGCTAAATATATAAATCCAACAAAGCGCGTTGCTTAGCCCCCGATGGAAAGGCTGTACCAGGTTGGCTTGTTATGGCTCGGCTCTGCAGGAGCTGCTGGGGTATATAGTTGTGATATTAGTAGTTAACTGTTGGATAACTTAGCCACGATTGATATAGACCATCTGCGGCGTAGGCCCAATTCCAACCTGACAAGATAAATTAAAAAAAGACATGAGGATGGACAACGCAGAACCCAGCGTCAATAGGTCCATCTGTGTAGGAGTTGATGTTGATATCTCGGATCTACGCCTATGCGCACGTGACATAGTTAGCCCAGGTAAACACAAGATACACGATAGAGTAAGTTGAAGTCGAAGATGATGAAGATGAAGATGTGATGAAGATGAAGATGATACTGACACACCACGCTTCTCGATTATAAGCATGATGGTGAGTCGGCTGGCTACGAGTTGGCCTTTGCAGATCTGCTGCATGCACCAACCAGTCAACATCCATGAGATACATATCATGACATCAGCGAAGGCAGTTCAAGCGATGAGAGACCGGGTTGCAGATACGGCCAGTCTGCAGTCGACATCCATGCGTCCGGCTCGACTGCCGTCGTAGTAGCTGTTCCTCGAGACGTTACGGCGGAGGGTACCATCTCGTCGTTGGCAGGCTCTTGCATATTTACCACCTTTACGCTGACAAGTACAACAGCAGAGGCACAGGTACTTTGAGAGCTGAACGAGTTACTTGAAGGCTGGACGAGTTACTCAAAGATCTGAACGAGTTACTTGAAGAGCTGAACGAGTTACTCAAAGAGCTGGGCCAGTTATGAGCTTGCTGCAGTAGCGAGAGCTTCAAGCCTGTACGACCGCTTGTTCTACTCCCCAGCCTGGTCTGTATCCTTCACGGTAGGAGATATTAACTCGCGGCCATTTCTCTATACCCTTAGCCATGTGGCCTATCTTCTTCTATGTTGCCGCTCTTCTGGTTGTATCCCATACAGCCGCTTCACCGGCCTCGTCCCTGGTTTCTTCGGCAGGACAGTGCGAAATCATTCCGGGATGGCACTTACAATCCGAACGCCGGCTTTCGGGCGATATGTCTAGCCTCTCTCTGCCAGGAGTTGACGTCTCCTCATGGTATCGAGTCGGTTCCCGCGGGACGGTGATGGCTGGCCTTGTAGAGAACAACGTCTACAACGAGACGACGCTCTTTTTCTCAGACAACTTCAAGACGGTTCCTGACTCCGAATTCCGCGATGTTTCCTGGATATACAGAGAGCAGTTCAAACTACAGCCCCGGGGTGGGGAGCATTTTACCCTTCAGACGCATGGAATAACTTCCAAGGGCGACATATACATGAACGGGTATAGAGTCGCGTCCAAGGACGTCCAGGCTGGCTCTTACGGCGGCCACGAGTACGATGTGACCGAATATGTTCGACAGGGCGACAACTGTATCCTGGTTAAAGCTTATCCTACCAACTACCTGCGAGATTTGGCCATCGGCTTTGTCGACTGGAACCCTTACCCGCCAGATAACGGCACCGGTGTTTGGCGTAATGTTGAATTCTCACAGACTGGCCCCGTCCGGCTTTCTACTCCCCGCATTACCACCGATTTCGCCCCTGGGGTAAAGATGAGCAGCGTCAAGGTATCAGTCAAAACGGACGTCCACAATATTGGCAAGGAGTCCGTCAAGGGCGACATTAGGGGGACGGTCGGCGAAGATGGCGATAGCCGACGACAGCATTCCATTTCTGCATCTTTCGACCTTAAACCCGGTGAATGGAAGACGATAACCATGGATATCAACCCTAAAAATCCAAAAATATGGTGGCCTGCTACGTGGGGCGACCAACCGCTGTATACTGCACAAATATCGGCATTTGTAGGCAAATATACCTCTGATGGACCGAAGAAACGCAGGTTCGGAATCAGGCATATTCACTCTCGAGTAAACTCCCGTGATGCTATCGAGTTTGAGGTTAATGGAAAACCGTTTTTCGTTATGGGCGCAGGCTATACCTCTGATATCTTCCTACGATTCGAAACTGGACGGATCACTACCATCTTTCAATACATACTTGACATGGGTATGAATACGGTCCGTCTCGAGGGGAAGCAAGAACACCCAGAGCTGTATGAAATTGCTGATCGCATGGGGCTCATGGTTATAAGCGGATGGGAATGCTGTGACCACTGGGAGGGATGGACATACAACAAGGATGGATTTGGAGAGCTCTGGAAGGACGAGGACTATCCAACTGCAGCCTCTAGCATGCTCCATGAAGCTGAGATGATGCAAAGCCATCCTAGCATGCTAGCCTTCCTGGTAGGTTCTGATTACTGGCCTAACGATAACGCAACTCAGATTTACGTTGACGCTCTTAAACGTATGGATTGGAACGCTGCCATCGTCTCCTCGGCCGCAAAACGGGGGTTTCCCAAGCTTATTGGCCCTTCTGGTATGAAAATGGATGGGCCGTATGACTGGGTTCCGCCATCCTACTGGTACGGTGATAAGCTTGGAGCTGCCGGTGCAGGGGGATTCGGCTCGGAACTCGGTGCTGGTGTAGGGACCCCAGAGATCCGCAGCATGAAGAGGTTTCTGTCTGAGGAAGACATGAAAGACCTGTGGACCAAGCCTGATAAAGCTCTATATCACATGTCTGCTGGTGTGTCCCAATTCCGCGATCGTTCAATTTATAACAAAGCCCTGTACAGCCGGTATGGCAAGCCGGAGAGCTTGGAGGACTACTCCTTGAAGTCTCAGCTTATGGATTACGAGGCGACTCGGAGTCAATATGAGGCGTATTCAGCCTATCAGAGTAATGAGAATTCAACTACTGGCCTGTGAGTTCCCCAAACTATTCTATTGAGGTGTGTTCACTGATAGTTAACGATTTCACGATAGGATCTACTGGATGCTGAATCCGGCCTGGCCCAATCTACACTGGGCACTATTTGACTACTATCTGAAGCCCATAGCTGCTTACTTTGGAACGAAGACCGGAGCGCGTATAGAACATGTCGCATTCGATTACCGACAGCAGGCAGTCTACCTTATTAACCATTCTCTTTCGCAGAGCGGCGCCCGCAGTGTTACCGTAGACCTCGTCGACAGAGACGGCAAACCACTAGGTCGCGCCGTTATCAAGACGACCACATCATCCCTCCTATCCAAGAAACTATCCAAAATCCCTGACCTAGATCAAATCGCAGACGTCGTTTTCCTCCGCCTGCTGCTCAAAGATGCATCGGGTAAAGTATTGAGTCGAAACATCTACTGGCTTCCCCACAGGGATGACGTACTTGACTGGGATGCCTCGACCTGGTATCATACACCAGTGAAGGAGTTTGCGGATTTCAAGTCATTAAGCAAGCTACGCAAGGCAGATGTCCAGGTAGATATTACCGCACATGGACGTGACGTATCGCTCGGTAGGACGACGGCACGCATCGTTCTGCGCAATAAATCTAGCCACCCGGCTTTCTTTATACGGCTGAGTCTGCTAGATAAGGCGATTAATGATGAGGTTACGCCGGTATTCTGGGAGGATAATTATGTCACGTTATGGCCGAACGAGAAGCTGGAGCTGGTTGTTAGTTATGGAGGTAATGGTAGGGTTGAACTAGAAGTTTCGGGGTATAATGTGGAAAAGAAGATAATTCAACCATGAGAATGAGATCGAGCAATGCAATAGTATATGATGGTATATCACAATCCTACTCTATCTCGCAGCTATCGATGTGATCAGTGAACACCCCCCGGAAACTACGCAAACTCCATGCTCGCCAATCCTTCATAGCATCATAAGGCATTTATAAAACATTACATAAATAAGGGCTCTACTTCTTTGACACCATCGCCTAGGCGTAGATTATCATTTCGACAACCTTTTCATGGCCCTGCTCGGCCGCGAGCTGCAGGGGAGAAGAACTAACACCGCCAGGCTTGAACTTTGCATTCGGATCAGCACCGCGCTCAAGCAAGAGGCTAACAATCTTCTCTGACCCGTTCCTCGCGGCCATATGCAAGGGCATCCAGCCGTCCTCGTCAGCGGCGTTGACGTCAATATCTAGTCCAATTAGCACCTCCGCGATCTTCTCGTGCGTGTGAAGCGCCGCCATATGTAGAGGAGTCCTTTTCATATTGGATACCGCTTTCGGATTTGCGCCGTGTTGAACGAGATACTGGGCGATGTTGCCTTGTCCCCATCTAGCAGCAAGCAGTAACGGCGTCCAGCCGCTGGCATTCCTCGTCTCAATCTGGGCTTTCCCCTTTTCAACAAGGAGCCGGACCATGGATTCCCGCTTATTGTAAACCGCCAGCGCAAGGGGGGTCCAGTTGTCCTGTCCTTTGGCCTCTATATCACAGCCGCTCTCCAGGAGAAGGAGGGCTAAATCATCGTTCCCTTCCTCTGCTGCAGCATGCAAGGCCGTGTAGCTGGCGTGACTCTTTGCATGAATATCGATTCCAGAATTAACGAAGAACCTCGCGATTTCAAGGTTATTATACCTTGCTGCGATATGCAGTGCTGTACGTTTATCATGGATGGTAGAGCGAACGCTCAGCGGCTCCTTTGTCGAAATCACGAATCGAATGACTGACAGATGTCCCTGCCTGGCAGCTATGTGCAAGGCATTCCAGCCTTCATGGTTCACTCCCCGCGCGTCTGCGCCCCAGTTGAGGTAGAACTTCATCAGCTCCAGATGACCGCTCCATGCTGCGAGGAGATATGGAGACCAGGGCACCTTTTTGGGGTCTGACGGGTTGATTTCCGCCCCGGCCTTGAGAAGGATATCCGAGATGATGCGCAGGTTTTTGGATGCAGCGACGCCCAGCGCTGTCATCCCTTCATCGTTCACAGCATGCACGTCTGCACCCGCGATTAAAAGGCATTTGATAGTATCTTCACCCTTCTCGAGGTGATACGAGACCACCTTCTGCAGGGGCGTCCAACCGGTTGAGTCTGCACTGTTCACGTCGACACCAACTTTTATCAGCGTCTTCAGCACGCTGATATGGTTGTTCTTTGCCGCCAGATGTAAAGCTGATTCCTGGTCGGTTAGAGGGTTTCGCTTCGAAGCTGCCGCGCTGGTGCTCGGCTTGCTCTGTGTCTCTGCAGGCTTGCTCTGCGCGCTGATATTACTGTCTCCTGCCACAGTCTCGCTCGACGGGGTCCCGACTGACTCGGAGTACGGCGGAGGAGGAAGAATGAGGCCTTCCTCTGGCGACTGAGGGGGGTAGCTCGGTGGTTGGGCAGTCGTTTGCGACGCCGGCTGCTGTGGCTGCTGGGAGTGTCTGTTGCTTCGGCCGAATAGCGACTTCATCTTTCTGTTCTAGATGTAACCCTGATATCGCCGCCGCCGTCGTCGTCGTCGTCGTCGTCTGCGTCGTGGTTTCGCATCTCTTACCAGCAGAGACGGCGGCCATCGGGCTGATTGATGCCACCAGTGGCTGTGTAAATATCACGAACCTCGTACTTAATATTTGCTAGCCTCACCTTGGCGGCAAGAAGCCAGCAGTCTGGTCCTCGAAGGCCTCTTCATCCTGATTCATTCCACTGCAATTGCTGTTTATCGTGCTGTCCGCCGTCTGATATATATATACGGCCACAGAACAAGTGGTCAAGAAACTCCGCCCCGGGGAAAAAGCGCCGGGACCTCGGCTTTCCTCCCCGCCCTCTCGGCTCTCCGCTCGGCTCTGGTGGGATACACCCAGATAGATAGATAGAGGCCTTCCCCCTGATATCTTGTATAGACTCTACATAGACTTGCCGTTGGAAGTCTCCCAGGATGGTCCTCCCAGCCATCAGAGTCGCCCCGTCGGCGGCAACGAAGGCCTTCAACCTGCTCCGGACGGTCCAGTACACCCATCCCCCCAGCTGTCCATGCCACTCGAACCCGTCTCACCACCATCACCACCAGCCGAGCCAGATCTCTGCAGTCGCTAAGCATGTCCGCAACTTTGCATCGCCCATTGACGACTCGCAGCAGAAGGAGTACGCCTTCGAGGTGGCTGCGTCGAGCATACGGTTCGGGCCGGGAGCCACCAGAGAGGTCGGCATGGACTTCAAGAACCTGGGTGCTAAGCGGGTGTGCATTGTCACGGATAAGAATGTAGCCAAGTTGAATGCCATGAAGCAGGCCGTGGAGGGATTGAGCAAGGAGGGAATAGAATTCACCGTCTATGATAACGTGAGAGTTGAGCCGAAGGATTACTCGTCAGTCTGGCCTTATTCCCCCGAGAGACTGACAGTCAAACTGACGTCTAGATAGGATCAAGGATGCTATTGCCTTTGCGAAGCCTTATAATGCGGATGCTTTCCTTGCTGTTGGTGAGTTGCTTTGTCTCTAGATAGTGTGAAGACTACATCGCTGACGAGTCTGTGAATCCATCGCAGGCGGAGGATCGGTCATTGATACCTGCAAACTGATGAACCTCTACTGCGTCTATCCCGAGGCCGATTTCCTTGACTTTGTGAACGCACCCCTAGGGAAGGGATTGCCCATTGCCAGGACCCTCAAGCCGCTCATCGCCATCCCAACCACCGCGGGCACAGGAGCAGAAACCACCGGCACGGCCATCTTCGACCTGACCGACAAGAAGGCCAAAACCGGAGTAGCACACCGAAACATGAAGCCGACGCTGGGCATCTGTGACCCTCTCAATACTCGAACCATGCCGCCAGCGGTTCACGCTTCCTCGGGGCTGGACGTCCTATGCCATTCCCTGGAGTCATGGACAGCTATTCCATACAACGAACGCACCCCTCGGCCTACAAATCCTATCAATCGGCCAGCATATCAAGGCGCCAATCCCATCTCAGACATATTCTCCCTCCAGTCCCTTCGAAGTACGGTCAAATACCTCCCTCGCGCCGTAAGGGACCCAGAAGACCATGAGGCCCAGAGCCAGATGCTTCTCGCTGCGACACTGGCCGGTGTAGGCTTCGGCAATGCCGGTGTTCATCTATGCCATGGCATGAGCTATCCTGTCTCGGGACAAAACCCGGGCTATAAACATAAAGGATACGAGGTAGACCACGACATCATCCCTCACGGAGTATCAGTTGCAGTTACCGCTCCAGCCGTCTTCCGCTTCACGGCCGCTAGTAACCCAGACCGCCATCTGGCTGCGGCAGAGGTATTCGGGGTAGACATTTCGAATGTCAAGCGAGAGAGCGCCGGAGAGGTACTGGGTGAAGCCATTGCCGAGTTTTTGATCGGGCTCGGTGACCAGCCCAGAGGGCTAAAGGATCTAGGTTTCAACAGCTCGCATCTCGACATGTTGATTGAAGGCACCATTCCGCAGCAGAGAGTGCTCAGTTTGGCTCCCAATCTCAGCAAAGAACTCGAGGGGGAGAAGGAACAGTTGCGGAAGCTGTTCGAAGACTCGATGGAATACTAACGCTCTATATGCAGCCTTTCTATATCATTAGCGACTACTTTTGTTATCCGGGTGCATGAATAATAGCCCCTATACGGAGTATACGGGTACTCAGCTGGAAATATATATTTAACGGGTCTACAACTAGTTCTCCATGTAAGACCCTTGTCCTCGTCCACTATGTTATTTTTTTATCTAGAAAAAAAAGCTACTATGATGTCACTTAAAAGAACCTTGCGAGAGTAAAATCGATGAAACTTCCACGTCTCAAGCGATTAAATAGCTACTTTCCTTCAAAAGTACTTCCACAGGATGGCGTTTTTGTCACACCCAAGTCACCACAAAAAGGAATACGAACAGGAAACAGGATTCTGATCCAGCCAGGCCTATTCCTATACCCATCGACGAAAGACGGCGGCATGGAGAGTTCGAGCAGACAACGCCCCCTGAAGTGAAGCATCCATGTCCGGGTACCTTCGAAGTCGAGCATCGGCTTTTATCTGCTATTCCACTCCGCCGCAGCGCTTCTTCACTCCATTCTTTGAGAGTACAAGACGGTGATTGGCCTCTGGAGCGATACAACGGCCCATTAACTCGTCCGCCGCAGTGATGCTGTTACTTCGGATCGTGGAACAAGAGCTCTGCTGGCCCCAAAGGTGGTTTCCTCGCGGTCCTGCGATACTTCCGCTGGACTTCTCCCAGGCTGAACAGCATAAATAAAGGCCGAGTCTCCTCGCTCTCTGGCTCCTTGATCGTGCATCTTCCTCTTTTCTGGTCCTCCCGATCTCCATCTCGATAGCGTGGACTGAAAGAGTCTCAAAACTGCGTCAGGATGGCCTCCGCTATACGCAACGACTCAACCCTTCGTGCAAAGGTCCTTGTACCGGAAAAGCTGTCTCCAGACGGCCTCTCTCTGCTAAAAACGAGCCTGGATGTTGACGAGCGCAAGGGTTTAAGCGCAGACGAACTTCTCAGCATTATCCCAGACTACGAAGCGCTGCTGGTACGCTCGGAGACCAAGGTGACGGCGGCTGTCCTCCAGGCTGCAAAGAAGCTCAAAGTTGTTGCTAGAGCCGGTGTTGGAGTCGACAATATCGGTGAGTTATCATTCTTTATCTATCTACTGCCAGCTATCGACAAGAAACTAAACTGATATGTTTTGGTGGCAGACGTTGAAGCTGCGACTAAAAATGGCATCGTCGTTGTAAACTCGCCTTCTGGCAACATCGGCGCTGCGGCAGAGCATACAATCGCGCTCTTGATGTCCATGGCAAGGAATATCCCAGATGCATCCTCGAGTCTGAAGAGCAATAGGTGGGAGAGAAGTCGCCTTGTGGGGGTTGAAGTCCACGGGAAAACACTTGGAATAATCGGACTGGGGAAAGGTATCGAACTATCATCTCTTAACTTGACGTTTTAACAGTCAGATATTTGCTAACTCCACCGTACATTTAGTCGGCTTGATCGTAGCCCGTCTGGCTAAAGGGTTGGGCATGAAAATCAATGCAGTTGACCCCTATGCGTCCTCAGCCGTTGCCGCGTCTGCCTCCGTCACCTTGATGCCGTCCCTTTCAGTTCTGCTTCCGACTGCTGACTTCCTCACGATCCATACTCCCTTGATTGCATCTACCAAGGGAATGATTTCGACTGCTGAATTGGCCCAGATGAAGTCCGGCTCGCGTATTCTCAACGTGGCCCGTGGTGGAACAGTAGACGAACCTGCTCTACTGGCAGCTCTCGAATCAGGCCACATTGCGGGAGCAGCAGTCGACGTCTTCGCCACCGAGCCTCCTTCGCCTGATTCAGCCTCTGCAAAGCTCATTGCGCACCCACGAGTTATACCAACCCCCCATCTGGGAGCGTCTACGGTCGAAGCGCAGGAGAATGTTTCGATTGATGTATGCGAGCAGGTACTCCAGATATTGGGTGGAGCTTTACCACGCAGCGCTGTCAACGCTCCTCTTATATTGCCGGAAGAGTATAAGAAGCTCCAGCCGTTCGTTCGTTTGGTTGAAAAGCTTGGGAGTATCTATACCCAGCATTACGGCTCAGCAGAAAACCCTCTTTCCAACCGGAGCACCTTTGATTTGATATATGAAGGTGAAATTTCAGGGATGAATAACACCAAGCCGCTTTTCGCAGCACTTATCAAGGGTCTCACTTCCCCTATAAGTAACTCCGCAGGCTTGAACGTGAACATTGTGAATGCCGAGCTGGTAGCTCGAGAGCGTGGAATAATTGTCAACGAGAAGCACTCAAGAGATAACCCATCTCATTCTTACTCATCTTTGATAACTCTCGTTGCTACGGCAGCGAAGAACACTGCAAAAGAGGGTCCGGAGCCACAGGGACATGAATATGACCAGATCATCTCTGGGACGTGCTCTGAATCCCAGCCTCTGATATCTCGGCTAGACCGGTTTGCTACATCTTTTGTGCCCGAAGGTACACTGCTTATTTGCCATAATTTCGATTCCCCAGGTAAAATCGGCGTCGTCGGTAGTATCTTGGGCAAGGAAGGGGTAAATATCAACTTTATGAGTGTTGCACCGGTTTCTAAGGGAAAGCAGCAAAGGACTAACGAGGGTCAAGTCTATGATGAAGCTCTAATGATCCTTGGGGTTGATAAAGCAGTCGATGAGAGTGTGGCAAAGGCACTGGTACATGAAGGCGGAGTTTTGAGTGCCAGCGTTGTTTCGCTATAAGGCCTCTCCTCCATGCATGAGTTGCTAGGCACTGTTTCTTTTGAAGGGGTTAGTTCCTTGAGGTTGACTCTCGCTCTCGCTTTTATCATTTAACTATGACTTTAGTTAGTCTAAACTAATCTGCGTTATATGACTAACCTAAGCTACCACTTAAATGGTCAATAGTACGGCTGTCTAGGCGTTGGAGACGAGAGCCTTGTAGGAAAGGGAGCCATTTAAAATAAGGCCACACGGCCGTTATATATATATTCATTGACGAGAGGATAGTAAAATAAACCAACGCCTGTTTGTGAATAGAGACATAGCCGTTATATCGTTTTAAACAACAGCTTCATAGCCAACTCAACTTAATAGAACCCTAGTTCCGAAAGAACCGTACATGCCCATGACCTGGACCTTCCAGGATGCCAGGGATGAAATATGAATGACAATCGCTTTTCCCACTGGCTATATCAAGAGACCGGCTGATCCGGCCTTGTCACGGTGTTTGCCTGCTGAGAGAATCTATCCCTCGACCCGTAGGCGTCGACAGAGGGCTCTTTGCCAATATCAGTGGTTCTGTCTTTCGAGGCGACTCTCCCCTTCGTTATGGTTATATCGGGCCTTACGCGATTGCCAATCGCAAGCAAGTCGCTGGTAGGAGCACCGCTGTTCCCTGCAGTGGGTTTATCTGGAATTATTTCTAGCGGTTCAGGCTTTGGCTCAGGTTGACGTTTTCCTGATTTGCTCCGGGGAGGTTTTGTGGATTTTGCGCCAGACGGTGGTTCCTTTTTCACGGTGGGGACTGCATCTATAAACTGCCTAGCTTCAACAGTAGTCTTTGATAATATTGGCGGCTGGTGGTGGGGGGTGTTTGGCTTCGGGTGTTTGGTGAAGTGGAGGCCGTTATTTGTGAGCAACGGTGGTAGCCTTTGGTTGGTGTTGTCAACTTCACTAGATATTCTGCTGGTATCTGGGGCCCCCGACTCCATTTGGGCATTGGGGTGTTCGATATGGTTGCCGTGAGGAATAGTAATGAGCACATCGCCACGTACACTGGCAGGAATAGGACCGCTGGCCACAACCTTCCCAAACGCCAGGAGGGCAAGCAAGGCCGTCCTGCCAACGGAGGTGGTGATAATCGCCATGTTGAAGGAAATAAGTTCACAATAGCCTATGCTATATTGGAGAAACGATGTTTTGAGAGGAAAAGATTTATTGAGAACGGAATTTGGACCCGTGGACGGCGACTTGAGCAGTTTTATATATGCAGCAGATCTTGTACCCTACCCCTCATGATAAAGGAGGCTAGAGAAGAATAAAGAAGAACCATATATCTGACTGCAAGATGGTGAGAGAATTTGTCCAACATGCCGCATCAAATGCTGTGTACAGCTGCGGCAGACACGCGGATGGACAGCAGTTCTTTGTCCCTCCGCCTGTTCCGATACTGCATTGCATTGCAAGAAAGCAGGCCACCAGGATATATAACAGAAATAATTCATAAATAGGACACGATAAAACAGTGAGAGGCCCATTAAGGAAACTTGATGCTTTTATCAAATGGTCTTGCAGGGCGATTTCAGTTCGAACGAGATGTTCCAACATAGCCTTGGAAACCAACAAAATTGGCGCGAACCAAACAAACGATCTGCAGCCCAGGAGGAGGTATACGTCTATACGGCGTAGCCAGCGTTGCCCGTTGGGCACACTGTTGGCTTGAATTTGTTTGCCTCAACTCGGGGTCGCGATATTTATTCTCGATATATTGCGCAAATACAGGAAACCACATGATGGCCGATAGGTTAACAGGCTCTTTGCCTGGGCTGTTAGATGCTATGGAAATGGATCGATACAAGGTAAAAGCGAGGGAAAGTGAAATAGCTTTGAGCGGTTTATTTCTGTCCAGACTCCGTACTATGTACATATATGATGATAGCTATATATCATCTGATGAAAAACTGTTTTCATCACCCTGCCCGAAACCAAACGCAAAGCCATAACCAACAGCGAAGGAATAATAAAACATACCAATAGATACGATGGGGCATAAGCATCGTTAGGGCTGGAGGAACAGGCTACAGGCAAAGTTCTCTTTATTAGGCCCCCTCACGGCGGAAAACACAGTTAAATTCTTGACCTGGGGAGAGTGTCACATCAATCCTCAAGGCTGGATCCGTTCCTGGTGGCGGGCACCCAATGCCCGTTACCTCAGAGTAGTGCTGCAAAATTCGAGTGATTGTGTATCCCATTTCGATTGTAGCGAATTGTTGACCAAGGCAAATTCTTGGGCCGCCGTTGAAAGGAATAAAGTGCCATGGCTTAGGCTGCCAGCCGGAAGTCCAGCGTTCGGCGTGGAATTCAAGAGGGTCGTACCAAGGTTTGGCTTTTTCTTCTGGTGAGGAGGTTGCGGTTGGCGGTGGGTCATAAAGATCTCGCCTTCGCTGCATGGACATAGTCGAGTAGAGGATGCGAGTATCTTTCGGGACACCGATGGGAGATTTCCCATCTGGCCCGCCACCACGAGGTAGCGTCGTGTCGACGACAGCGTGGCGGACATTAAAGGGCACAACTGGATACAGGCGCATGACCTCGTTGATAATGGCGTTGATGTACTTCATCGCCTTCAAATCCGCGTAGGTCGGCTTATTGGTACCGCATGTTGCGGCAATTTCCGCTCGTGCCTTTTTCACAGTCTCTGGGTGGCGGGAGAGTTCGAACATGGCGAACGCAAGGGTAGCGGCAGTGGTATCGCGGCCAGCAAGGAGTATGGCTACAAGTTGGTCACGGAGGACAACGGGGTCACGAGTGAACCTGGCGAGAGCATGGAGGAACGTATCCTGCTTGGAAAGTCGGCTGTCTAGTTCCTCGGGGGTTAGAGCCAAGACCTGGTCGATAAACTGCTGGAGGAATTCGTTCATTTTTCGGATATTGATCTTGAATTCTCGTTCTGAAAGGAACTTTCGTAGGGGCCTGTCATACTGTTAATGTCCATAAACCCAGCGTAGGATGTGATGATAATTGCCAGGGAGAATGACGTACCCAGCTCTGAAAAGGACAGACTGCCTGTGTAAAACATATTGAAAGGATTCCGCAAAGACAGTCTTTGGATCATCCAAGCTGTCAACGCTCTTTCCGAGAAGATAATCTGTTGCAGCATCAAGGGTGAACCTAAAAAATAACGGTGCGACGTCTACAATACCCCCGCCGTCTGCATTTGCAGCCAGCAAGGGGATCAGCTTTTCAATGTGCTTCTCAAAGATTTCAGTGTCGACAAATCTCTCCTTTGCAAACATTGGGCGAATGAGATGTCGAGATCGTGACCACAGCTCTCCATCCGTGGCGAAGATGCTGTCTCCCAGAAAGTCTTTCCACTCTTTATGAAAACGCCAACCCTTCCCATAGTCGTTGAATTGACTTGTTAAAACAGCTTTGATGTTTTCTGGATCGGCAGTGAAGATGTTGCGGGCGTACGGGCGAACTTTCAGTTCAATGGTTGCTGACGGGCCATTCCAAGGCGACGGAGTGGTCAAAAGCATAGAGTTCCAGAATTCAAGGTCCTTATGTTTCTTTGCTGCCTCAACTGCCTTGACAATGAAATCGGCGCCTATGGTTAGGTGTGTTAGAATTCGGCTTTCTTTAATAGATTGGAGCATGGAGGGCACTTTTTCTTCAACGTACTAACTGGCAGGTAAGTCTTTATACGAGGAGCAAATGCTCCCAATCTCGAGACCTTATAATCTGTATAGAGATCATATCCCACGTAGAGGACGACAAGAGCAACGATGGACCACACGATTCCACCGCCCAGGGAAACTTTCTGGATTATTTCTTCGATCATTCTGTCGGAGTCGTTTCGCGCGTTTTATACTGTCTTGTCCAATTGTCTATCCAGACTTCAACGATTGTCGAACAGCCGCCTAATCGATCTCGACGCTGGACGAATTGTCATATACCTAGCACACTGCCTAGGCCAGCCTATAGTGTTCAATCGAAGAAAGAGGACGTATATATGAGGGATTCCATTGGAAGAGGGGGGTGAACGAGAGAGGAGCATTTATAAAACGGCCTTTTCCTACGATCCTAAGCTGAAACGGTGGAGACCGCGCGCCTACAACGGCCAAATAAATCCCCCGGGGTGCCGTTCTATGAAAGGCCGAGGGTGAGGGGAATGAGCATCGAGCCATCCATCCGTTCGGAGCATGTGGGGGAAGCATTGAGCGGCGTTGCCACCAGGGGTCAAGGGAGTAGCGCTATGTATAAAAAACGAACACGTTGGCGGCTCAGCATTACTGCGGATAGTAAGATGCCTGCTATGTTGGCCGCCATTCCCCGAGGACTGCCCTTGTTCTGGCTCCAAGGGTAAGCCCAACAGTCGGCTATTCTTTCAAAGAAAATATAACGGCAAGCGATGAGCGCCAAGTACGCCAGGCAGACGCCATTTGACACCAAGATTGAGGTCGAAGGTCGTCATATCTCAGCTAATCGAGGATACACATCCGCAAGGCCTCGGTTGAAATGCTCGTTGTTGCAGTTTTATTTGCTGTTGTTTTTGGCCCACGGAGCGAACTCACATGTGAAGCTTGGAAGTGCAGGGATGTGCTTATGTAATGTGCAACTGGATATGGCGGACGGACTCACACTCGAAACCAAGATCGCAGGGTCAAGGGCCTTATTTTTGGCCTGGGGCAGACGGGACAACATCGGGCCCGTCAGAAGATGCCTATCCATGCGGGGGATAAACTTGCATATTCCGTGCATGAGCCCTCAACCCAATATAATGGGTTCTAACAAAAGTCCCCAAGAGCTGCAAGATTCATCAACCTCCAATTAAACCTAGCCCTTAAGCTTGTCCCTAGGAAAAGGTAGAATATAAGCAGCCCTAAGAACGTTGGCGGGTAGACGGATGGTTGACGGATGATGCAGGCCTTATGCATAAATGATGATTCACAATTTTACAATTCACATCCGCTTTCCCGCATTAGACAGTATGTCATTTGAACCATTGCTGCGCCAATTCTCATATCGACAACTGCTCGTTCTCTCCATTCCGCCAATCTATATGATGCATCTTGAATGTGTTCTGCCGTTTTAGCACCTGCCCACAGAACTTCTGCTGCAGCCGCAGCGCGAGGCCAGATCATTTGGTCCATGTTTACTGGGTCAACAAGCTCAGTCCACATATGTGTTTCACCACCGATGAGTAAGGGCTGTAGCTCATCTGGTATATCCTCCAGTGGGTTATAAATGTACATGTGGCGCCAATTTTTTGTAGGTGCGCACCAGTCTAGATATGGATCCTGGATGGCCTTTGAACCTGGGCGAGGATTTAAGAAAGTACCAACCCCGCAGTCGAGGTACCAAGCATCACCTGAGCCAAATATAGTCCGATATCCCTTTTGGAGAACCTGTTTGATGGCGGACGAGTTTCGCCATGCTTGCACGATGACTCCTCGGTTTCCACCATCTGGTTCTGGTGTTTGTGACGGCAAGCCAAGGTCCCAATCAAGGACCAACTCTTCCCATACAATCGGGGTAAGGCCAGCGCCCCGAAGAGCATCGTGCACCCGCATGACCATTTTGGCAAGAAGGGGCGTGAGGACACGTCGATCGTTCGAGCCGAGGTTAGGTTCTAGGAGGTAGGTGTTGAGATTAAATTCGTCTCCTCCAGTATGGAAGTATTCTGTTAGCGGAGAACACGAGGGAGTAAATCTGCCATGAGCTGGTCAAGGAATTGATACGAGGCGGAAGAATTCAATCTGATCTGACCACTTGGTGGTTCGGCAGCGTATGTCTCCCACTTATCCATGTGGAAGGCCGCAACCACTTCGGGAAGCGCATGACCGATGGCAGCGGTGTGGCCGGGCAAATCAATTTCCAGGAATACCGACACGCCCCGTTCTAGTCCATACATTTGGACTGACCCCAGTTCGGCAGGGGACCATATCTGGCTCGGATGGTACGCGGCACGGCTTGCTAGATCCGGGATTGAGGGAATCTCTAATGGCCATGACTGTGAATCGGCAGCATGGATATGAAGCCGATTCAACTTTACGGATGCCATTGCATCAATTGTACGTTTTACCTCTTCGGGTCGAAATACGTTTCGGGATATATCGAGATTCAGTCCTCGATGCTGCCATTTTGGGGAGTCCAAGATTGAAACTGGAGCAAGGGATGTGTAGGCCTTTGAACCGGAAGAATGAGCGTAAAAGAGTTGCTGGAATGTTTGAAGGGCACGAATAGTGCCGATAGGCGATGCCGTCGAGATTTGTGCTTCGCCGGCCTCCGTGATTTTTATTTGGTAGCTTTCATTTCCATTAATATAGCTGCGAGGGGACCATGCTGGGGCCGTTGAGGTCTCGTTGATAACGATAAGTTTGATCAATGGAAATTCGATATCTGCCGAGGGTTCGAAATCCTGACGGCGAGGATGGAATTTCCAAGGAACAAATTTACTACTAAGGATGCTAGCCTTGGTGCGCATGATTGCGTCTTCAACAAACTGGTCCACGCTTGGGAGCGATTCTGTGAGGGGCGCCTGCTCACTGATCCAGGGGTATTGTAGCCACCCCAACCAGCCACCAGACATCAAGCTAGTGCTAGAATATTTGGTATTTGTGTAGCTAGTAGATCGATTGGCTCGATGATAGGAGAACTGAATGGATGGTGACAGCCAAAGGACTTTGTCCCCATGCGAGTACTCCGTGGGCTGTGGCCATAGAGCATAGGAATACTCTAACAGGCCAAGGGTGCTAACTACCCAGAGTAACCGCATCCTGTTGAATGTTAAAGGAGAAACAGAGCTTCTTTTTAGACCACCCGATACCTTGTACGCGTTCGACGGGGAATACGCTGCTTAAGCAACCGTTCCTCAGAGAGCCACTGAGCAAGAAATGGAATGAAAAGTTCTGTTGCTTTCAGTGCTTTGGTATTAGGCTTATACTGAGCCTGGAGTATGAGGTTGGTTATCAGAAGTGTCCAACAAGTGAAGGTAAACTGAGCCTAGGAGCACAATCTCACCCACAAGAAGCTGTAGGACTATGAGGCCCAGCCCTGGATGCCCCTTTGCAGCTCTGTGATAGAATCTTTTCTCTTGTAAAGAAGAAAAAGCGAGGTTGAAGTGTTGACATCAAAAGTTGCCTATTCGGGACAAAGCGGGAGAAGGATGAGTCAGCATATATGCTAAGTAAGCAAAGTCTTGGCATCGAGTATTTGCGATTTCGCGACAAGAAGAAGAAGAAGAAGAAGAAGAGATTGAGAACGCAGCATCCACGAGTCGAACAGATAGTGGATATCCCGTTATTACGTGCTAGACGGTTGTGGCTCCGGACAGATACTGCTCTTTTGAAGCCGAGTTTACGATATCACCTTTTTTAGCACCGAGAATCCCTTGCCACCCGAAACAACTTGCTCCCTGCCAAAGCTCTGGAAGCAGGCCCTTTGCCATGGGTATCTCTGTCGCACTGAATACGCCGCTCGCTGATGCTCTGAATGAAGTGGTGCAGCCGAAATTAGTCGAGGTCGGCTGGAGCACCGGCGGTGGGGATGATTCCGCGCTCGCTGAGTATGTGATACTGATGCTCGTCAACGGAAAGACTCAAGACCAAATCTCTGCAGAGCTCGCGAACGATCTGCTTAGTCTCGGACCCGAGGATACGGAAGCGGCGGAGTTTTCAAAATGGCTTTTCGAGCAAGTTGAGACACTAGACAGGCAGTTAAATGGTGGATCGGGGGAAGCACAGCAAGAGCAGCCTCCACAGGCGATACCGTCCTTTTCAGAAGATGGTAGCGGGGCCAGCGGAGGCAATGGGGATGCGACCTCCGCCAGTGCATGTATTCCGCAGCCAGATACGGATATGGGAGAAGGATCGGGGCCTGGAGCAGATACTTCTGTGTACGTTTGCTTACTTTCCGGTTCATTTTGTATACGCTTGGACACTGTGGCTAACTAATTAACTGTTTTTATAGGCCGACTGGACCTAGAAACATGCGGAATCAAAAACAGGGTGGCCGTGGTAGAGGTATACTCGGCCAGCTTAGTCGGGCCATGGACCGATCCCACGAATCCGTTCTTCACAGAGTTCGAAACCAACAAGGGACTGAGAGGATAAATTCACATAGGGATGGCTCGAAGGGTGGCAGAGGCGGCCGTGGTGGGAACCGGACGCCCATGGGGAGGCAGATGGGCAACAACATGCAGATGGGTATGGGTATGGGCATGAACATGGGCATGAATCACAACTCGATGCAGAATATGCCCCAACCTAACATGATGAACATGACCCAGCAGCAACAAATGCAGATGATGTCCATGTTTGAGGAGCAGGCGCGGATGATGTCCCAGTTCATACCCGGGTTCGTGGCTCCCGCGATTAACCCAGCTTTTCAGAATGGCCCGCCGCCACAGTCTCAAGGCCGATCCTTATTCGAGCGTGCTGAATTTCATCCTGGTCGACGGGCCCATGATAGACATCAGCCTCCCCAAGGGGTGGCGGCGGATGTTGAAATGGGCGGCGATGGAGGTGAGCAAAAACCGGAGGAACACCAGCAACGAGAAGCGCCGGGCCCGGACACACTCTGTCGATTCAACCTAAGATGTACGAACAAGGACTGCCCGTACGCCCATCAGTCTCCCGCGGCGCCCGAAGGTGCCAACGTTGACGTGAACGACAACTGTCCATACGGAGCTGCCTGCAAGAACCGAAAATGCGTTGCCCGGCACCCGTCTCCAGCTCAAAAGGCTGTCCACCAGTCGGAAGAAATCTGCAGATACTTCCCTCACTGCACCAACCCGAAATGCACATTCAAACACCCTAGCATGCCGCTCTGTCGGAACGGGGCAGATTGCACCACCGAGGACTGCAAATTTACCCATGTCCAGATCCCCTGCAGGTTCAACCCTTGCTTAAACCGCAGCTGTCAGTACAAACATGCCGAAGGCCAGCGTGGAGTGTTTGGAGACAAGGTATGGCGTGCAGACGGCGCATCCAAGGGCGAGACACCACACGTTAGCGAGAGGAAATTTATCGCAGACGAAACCGGAGAAGAAGAGCTCATCAAGCCTGGCTCGGCTCCCTCGAACGATGCTGGCATCATAACCTAACCCCTTAAAAGTTATTAACGTCGTCTTCTTCGTCTTTTTCTTTTCGCCCTCAGTAACAACGAATTCACCCCCCTTATTCCCCCCTATATTTCCCCGGAACCACAGTGCCTGGCGCGTCTAATAGTCACCTTTACTCCTTGTCAAAATATGTGCTTTTTACCTCTTTTTCTACGGTCTACTGAGCATGAGCGGCGTTGGATCAGGATGATGTTTTATCTTTACCTCACATCAGAGATGAGGCTCTTACGGCTGGTGTACCCATCGGTGAACATCTAGATTATGTACATTGTTTTGAATCAGCTCTTCTTTCCGTCGTCTTTGACTTTATTTTGTAGTAGTAAACGTGTATAAAAGATCCTGGATCGGACCAGCTGCACAGTTAATTTTCCGGCCTCGTATTCTTCTTGCACCCCCGGATTTTTAAGAAATTGACCACACGACGCAGAATTTATAGCTACCCCCCGACACGCAACGATAGCTCCAGTTACGGTGACGGTGATAGCTACAGGGGCAACGGCATGGAATTGATCTCTCCATCGAGTTAACTGCCCAGGAAAACGTACGATGGGCTCGCGACGCTGGCCTGGCCTGGTCACCGAGAGCTTCCTGCACCTACAGAGAACCGCCCTTCGCCGGCGATGTACAAGACAGCTTCTCTCACGGACGCAGTCGCTTCAGCTCTCTTACACGCCGGGCCTGGTTGATAAACAGGTGGCCGTTATAGGTGGTGGAATAACTGGCCTCACAACCGCCTACTACCTCGCGCAGCATCCAACCACCCAGGTCACCCTTTACGAGAAATCAAAGCAGCTCGGCGGATGGGTTCAGACAGAGACGGTCGAGACGGACAGCGGGAAGGTCGTCTTCGAGTATGGCCCGCGGACGCTGCGGTGTTCACTGCCCGATGTGATGCCTACGCTTGAACTGGTGAGTTCCTGGCCGATTACAGGTTTATATATATAGGATGCGATACTCATTGGACTGTATCTAGATAACACAGCTAGACTTGGAAAACACGATGCTTGTGACGAGCTCGGAAGCACCTGCGGCAGTCAATCGATACCTTTACTATCCCGACCATCTTGTTCGTCTCCCTGGACCACAGCCCGGCGGACGCACCTTGGCTGGTAATATCGGGAACCTCATACACGTCGCTACAGAACCGGTTTTCGGGGGGTTGATATGGGGACTGCTAAAGGAGCCATTCCGAGAAAGCCGTGACCCAAAGCTGCGCGATGAATCAATTGCGGAATTCATCACTAGACGAGTTGGGCGGGAGCCCGCTGACAACATAGCGTCTGCGATATTCCATGGAATTTACGCCGGTGACATAGACAAACTAAGTGCCAAAACTATCCTACCGTCGCTCTGGGAATGTGAACTAGGTGAAACTGGTGTCATGATAGAAATGGCGGAGCGGTCTGGCAAACCATCGCGGTATTCATATAACATGTTAACGGTACTCAAAGCTATACAGCGTGAATACTCAGGGGAATATTCCCGTGTATTGCCCAAGCTTGTCTCTGGTGGTAGCGTTTTTTCCCTGGAAGGAGGTTTGAACTCCATTGCAGAAAAAATAACCAAGGACCTCTCTGAGCTTCCTAATGTGAAGATAATTCCAGAGGCGAATGTATCTCACATTCAACATGATAAAGGCAATCAGTCACTGATGGTACGTTTTTTCTTGATCCATCCTCGCTTTGATAGCCATAACTAACTCCAATCTCAATGAAGCTCGTTTCCTCAAACGAGCCAGCTGTGAGATACGACTATGTTATCTCTACCACGCCATCCAAAGTGCTCGCCGATCAGCTCCGCGGTCCAGGGGGCCACACGCCTCCAACCGCAACCTCAAGACTATTAGCCTCGAATAACTATGCCGTAAATGTAATGGTGGTCAACCTCTTTTATAACGACCCCGACCTCGTGCCGGTAGACGGATTCGGGTATCTGATACCTCGCTCCGTGCCCATCGAGCAGAACCCCGAGCGCGCATTGGGTGTGCTCTTCATGTCGGAAGCTGTTGTCGGTCAAGACACAGCCGAAGGAACCAAGCTCGCCGTCATGATCGGGGGACATTGGTGGGATGGATGGGAAGAGTCAGACTTCCCGGACGAGCAGAATGCTATCGATATGGCCAAGTCAGTGCTTTCACGCCATCTAGGGATCAGCCAGCAGCCGACTATAGCTAAAGCCCGGATGTTGCGCAATGCTATACCACAGTATACTGTTGGGCACAGCGAGCGGATGGAGGAGCTGCACGACTCCCTCTCTCGGGAATACGACTCCCGTCTCAAGGTTGCCGGTGCTTGGTATACGGGAATCGGAGTCAATGACTGCATCGCCTCTGCGCGGGCGGTAGCCACTTCGATCCGTCAAGGGAGCCATGATGAGACGGGCCTGGAAAACTACGTACATCCTCTCAAGCCCATGGATTAGAGGTAGGTAGAAGAAGCCAGGCGTTTTTATAAAAGGGCCATGCGTTTTCAGCGTCCGGATTTTGTACTCTATCTACGCTAAGGGACATTGTATACAGGGATAACTAGAATGGAATTAGAATACAGGCAGCTACAAGGCTATATATTGGCTACATCTCCCTATTTCAGACAGGTAGGCCAGTGAATATAGTTTAAACCTCGTAAATTTGAGACTTATTCGTGTTGTTCGTAAACTTCGTAAGGGGGTTGTTGATAAATGCTGGCCATCGAGACGACAACGCCTGCCTAGGTATAAATATGGCCCGCCAGGTAGAACAATATCAGTATCTCCCGCTCCCAAACCGAACATCTATTCGACTGCTTCGCATCAACACTCGCGACAAGTTCTCGCAGCTCGAATGCACATTAAAGACGGTCGACCTCGACTCTGACTCCCCACCCTTTCACGCCCTTTCATATACGTGGGGGAATCCGCATGCCAAAGCCCGCGATGAACACAGGTTTACCCAGCATTACAATGCCCTAGATGCAGAGTATTTGTTCCCCAGCGCCGGGGTCCCGGTTAAATGTGACGGGAAAAGGCTGCTGGTCAGTCGCAACTTGTACGATGCATTGAGAGATGTGCCTGAGAATGCGTGGAAGACGTTTATCAACCGGCGGAACGACAGCAAGGGATGGACGAGGCTTCATACGAACTCGATCAACGGGGATGCCAAAAGAGTGAAGTCCTTGATTGCTTCTGGGGTTGACTTGGACACGAGAGACCATGAAGGCATGACGGCTCTGGTGTGGGCTGTACGGCTGCAGCGTAGAGAAGTTGTCAAGCTGCTTGCCATGGCCGGCGCGAAAGTCGAAATCGCAGATTATGAGAAGAAGACAGCTCTGGATTACGCGCGTGAGATCAATGACTGCGAGATAATAAGCCATCTGACAGCGGAGAGGAAGTCTCTGGCCTCGAGCCTGGAAAAGCCTGAGCAGGACGGGCCTGAAATCTGGCTCTGGGTTGACCAGATTTGCATTAACCAAGCAGATCCGGACGAACGGTCTTTTCAAGTAGATCTCATGCATCGAATATACCATGATGCTGAGTTTACCCTTATCTGGCTGGGCAGAGAGGACGGCTATACCAAAAGAGCTGCAGAGCTCATACCTAGATTTGCAAAGGCTGGGAATCAGTTCATTGACAGTGCTATCCTACCTTATGCGCAGAATAGCACGGAATTACATGCAAGCGAAGGGGTACCTTATATCTCAGAAGGGGAATGGGATGCTTTGGCAGCTCTATTTCAGCGACAGTATTTCCGCAGACTCTGGATTGTCCAGGAAATCATCCTGTCCGGCATTGTCCTGGCGTACTGCGGTGGAGTTGAAATCCCATGGAGGCTTTTCTGCATCACTGCTCAAATGCTTCACTACCACCAACAAAAGCTAGGTACCGAGGTCTCTGCAAAGTATGTCCCTCTGAATGAGGGCGGCCGTGGGATTGAACAGCCGATAGTGCAGCTCCTTGAATGGCAAGATAGATTTGGACCTAACCCCCCGCCTGATAAGCAGAGAGTAGCATCTCTAGAGAACCTCATCTTCGACACCTGGCATTTTCATGCTACTGACCCGAGAGATAAGATATACGGCATATACGGGTTGCTGAACAAGAAAGCCCAGTCCGGGGAGGGAAGCGAAGTCCGATGGCGAACTGACTACACGAAACCTGTCGAGCAAGTCTATGCAGAAGCCACGAAGCGGATCATCCTTGACGCTGGCGAACTTCGGATCTTGTCTGCCGTTCTTGACCATTCATGGCGCAAAATCGAATCGCTCCCATCCTGGACTCCAGACTATAGCGTCACATGGACGAACATGATGTCTAGTTATTCTAATGCGGCGGGAAACTTGCCCATTCCAACTCCATTGATCGAACTATCAGAACCCTGGGGGCATTTAACAGTGCAGGGTCTTCAGATTGATATGGTGTTAGGAATTGGCAAAACCACTTCAGGCCCGGCGGACCTTAAACGCTTCTTCGACCCTTCATGACTTGAATTGGCTCTCCTTGTGCCATCAACCTATCATAAGACAGGCCATTTCCGATCTGAAGCTCTCTGGCGAACACTTTGTGCCAACAAGGGCCCCGATGGGCTCTCTCCAGCTCCGCAATATTTCGGCCTAGAGTTTAGGGAAATGATTGAGAAAATGTTAGTTAGGGCGGCGTGGGTAGAAGAGGGCAACGCTCGCGCAAATCCTGAATTGAACTTCGCACCTAGCCTTAGACATGGTGTTGAACGAGTTCTTGAAATGTTCAATGAGCCCCCATTAGGGCATCTCTCAAAGGCAGAGCTCGAGTGTGAATTCAATGACCCTTCTCGGAATCTTAGCTCCCAGACCACTCAGAGACTGGTCTTTACCCTGTTGAAAGCCCATGTCCTTGCACTCACCGAATCTGACCACCCCTGCTCTATACCATCCATCAACTCTCTTCTGGACTTGGAAGAAATTTTGGCTTCTAAGAATGAAGACCCGTCCGTTGGTCTTTTAAGCTTACTCCGCCAGGGCGGCACTCTTGTGAGGACCCTACAAAGTACAGTGGGTAAAAGACGTCTTTTCGTGACAAAGGAACGCTTCCTCGGCCTAGGCCCTGCTGGCATGGAGGAAGAAGACGACATCTGGGTTCTACCAGGTGCTGGTGCAGCCTTTGTATTGAGGAAAATGGTAAGTGGCGCAGCTGAAGGCCATCCCAAGTACAAATTCATCGGCGAGGCGTACATACATGGTGTTATGGACGGTGAAGCGGCGGAGGGACGGGAGGATGAGGTGACAACTATCTCGTTGGTATAGACGAGATGCTAGTTGCCACCGGCTATCTTTATACCTTTCTTATTACACCACCCCCAATCTCATGTTTAGATTAGTGCTGCTCTCTCCGTTATAATCAGGAGTTATCCTCGAGGATAAAAGTATCTACTAAAGTCCTTCTGAATCAGAAGTTTTACTTTTATCTATGTATACCTAAATAGGATGTCAGGCGGTGGTAATGACTAGAAAGGAGCAAAGGTACAGCTGGACGGGTATGAGATTGTCACCTCCATATATATACTACAATATCTTACAAGTTGGATTCATTCGTGTCCACTACCACACTCTTCGTCGCTCTCTTCCTCACTGCTCTCTTCCTTCTTTCTTGCTGCACCCTTTCTCTGAGTTTTCCCTTTAGCAAACATGGACCGTATGTCCTTAGTTTTGCCGCCCTTCTCCTTTTCCTTCCTATCAAACATGGCTTGGTGTTTTGCCCGCTCTTCTTTTCCTTCTTCCGCTAATTTGGCTTCCAAGGCAAGGAATTCTTCACTTTCGGGGTCCATGCCAATCAGACTTTCGAGGAGCTTTATTTCTCTGGCCCAGACAGACTTATCTTCGATTGTCTTCTTGCCTTTGGCGACCTTTGTAGCCGTGGGTTTCTTTTTGCCCTTGGCCTTTTCCTTTTTATCGTTCCCACTTTCGCTATCTACTGCTTCATTTTCGCCCTTTTGTTCGTTTTCACTGGCATCCTCCATGGGTCTATCGATTGGCGTTTCTAGGATCATTGGCATCCCTTCAACTCTCTTGTCATTCATCAAGTTATGGAATGCCCTCAACCCTAGAAAACCTGTTCCGATATTGGCGTGGAGGTCTCTATTACTACCAAGCGGAGTTTTTGAATCGTTTAAATGCCATGCTCGTAAGAACTTGAGACCAATGGTTTCATCAAATTCGGTCATGAACTTTTCCCAGCCGGTGGGAGTTCGCAGGTCATATCCTGCGGCAAAACTGTGACATGTGTCGACACAGATGCCAAGTCGAGAGTGGTAGGATTCAGGGATTAATGCAAATAGGTCACGGAAGTGAGAAAGAGGACCACCAATGGTCGTTCCATGGCCACACATTGTTTCGAGGACGGGAATGACTGTTTCTGTGGCATCGAGGGCTGATATGAGAGACTTGGCTAGTCGAGAAAGGGAAGACTCAAGCGACGCTTTATTTGTAGCCCCAGGACTGGGATGAGGTTAGTTCCGTGTTATGGCAGCGAAAACTACAGCAACTTACTGAAAGTTATATAGTTTAATACCAAGGGCCTCGCAGCGGCGCAGGTCATCCAAAAACGAGGTATACGCAACCTTTGCTTTTGCTGGATCCTCCTGTGCCAAATTCACGAGGTATGAGCCGTGTGGGAGGATGTGCCTTGTGAAGTATAAATAAGCTGGGGATATAGAAAGGAGAACCATTGCCGAAACAAACATACTTTGATGCATCGTAGTTATTTTCTGCACATGCTTTTCTGAAGTGGTCTCTGTGCCCATCCTGGAGCGGAGGGTTATCCCATTTCCTTTGGGATTTAAGAAACAATGCAAATGCGTTGCCGCTAAAATAGTTGATTAGCCGCCTATTACTGTTTATTTCTTTGCACGGTGATTGAAAAAGGCATGGCTATATTTACCCAATATGCATGCTGTTTGAAATTGAATTTTGAACCCCTATATCAGCAAATTAGCCTATAATAGCACAAGACATCTGCACAATTCTCTGGCCCAGAAAGTCCACGGAGGCCCTATCATGAGTACTCAAGAACCCTTATATTTTATCCAGAGGTCGGACAAGCGCAGGTTTATATACCTAGCAGTTGATGAAACCATTGAGCCTGTCCAAATTGTTACCATTATTCAGGCCTTTCATGATAGGGTAGTGCTTTCATCTTAAACCGTGGAGAAAATATAAGGGCCCTTTGAGGGCTTATCATAGGGACATAGGGAGCTCCGTATTGACATCGGCCAGAAACACACCTTTTGCCGCGCTAACATGAGCTCCTACCAGCATTCGAAGTCCGGTAGCACGGGAGGCAAGGGGTGCCATCTCAGTGGATGTATCTTCCTTGACCTTTCGTTTCCTCTGGACGGTGGTTTTGGCTGGCACAATTTCCTCCTTTTTTCCGTGGGCCGTCTTCACTTCTTTTATGCTGTCTGCTTCTCTGTTCGTTGGTACTTTATCCTTTGAATCCCCTGTCACTGCAATGTCCGTATCCTCTAGATTTCCCTTGACACTGGGCTTGGAATTAGACCGTATTTGTTCGCTGGTGGAGCTTGGCTTTTTTGGTCTTTTTGACGGTGGAGCTTGCGCCTGGCTCAGTCCTCGTTTCCTTTCTGATTTCAGTGCTTCGTTGACCTCTTCCGCCGTGGTTGAGGCAGGTTTATCTTCGCGGCTCCGTCGAGACGAGCGAGTGGTGGATGGCATTGTCAACTACCGGCCAAGGATAGACAATACTCTGGCTTAGTGCTTGCCTGTGGTATAAACAGCCTCAAAACACCCCGCTAACACAGATAAACCCCGTGAATAACGCTGTTTGAGCTGTTCTTGAAGGCTTTTTGTAGCTGATTTGATCTCGAACGCGACCGCAGATTCAAGGAATATATCATATCACGTGACATGTTCCCCTGGCAACGCGTTTTGTTACTGGGAGAAAGCGAAATCTCTAGGACCAACCGAACAACAAACGCATGAATTCAAGGACTGGCTAGGGATACGTTGCTCTCGGCGTCAGTGGACTGTCAAGTCAAGGTAAGGGAACTGGTTTATGAGCTTAACGACTGTTTAATTGTTTTTCTACGACCACGCCTCAGATCGTCGAGATGGCACGACCTCCCAACGACCTCGTTGATTTTGACCTCATTGAAACACAAAAAGAGAATATCCAGTCGCTGCCTAGTGGGAGGTCGGCAAAAGCACTGGCAGCGGTGTTCTCTCCACGGCCGCTGAACCAGGCCTCGCGTTCATCCGAATTGGACGAAACAAAAACCTTGAACGATGCGATCCGACGCGAATATGAGGTTGAGCTTGACTCTATCGCGGAATCGGATGACCCCCTCGATATATATGACCGCTACGTGAAATGGACATTGGATGCATATCCCTCGGCGCAGGCTACTTCGCAATCGGGGCTGCTCCCATTACTGGAGCGTGCGACAAATGCATTTTTAACCTCAACCCACTACAAAAACGATCCACGATATTTACGACTCTGGTTACATTATATACAACTTTTTTCAGACTCCCCAAGAGAGACATTTGCTTTTCTAGCGCGACATGGGGTCGGTGGAAACCTGGCGCTATTCTATGAGGAGTTTGCATCTTGGTTGGAACGAGATGGGAGGGTCTCGCAGGCCGAAGAGGTATATAAAATGGGCATTGAGAAAGAAGCAAGGCCGATCGAACGACTCTTTAGAAAGTTTGGGGAATTTCAGAAGCGGTTGGAACAGCGGCCGAGCGGTTCGGACGGCCCTTCATCACCGGCTCTTCCCGCCATAAGACCCGCCCTGGCAGCGAAATTTGACCCATTTGCATCATCGACAACGAGTCAGGACCCTCAAGCTGCAACTGCAAATAGGGGACTTGGTGGGGGGAGTGGAAAGGTGTCTCGTAGTGGCAAGCCAAAAATGGCTATATTCTCAGATGCAAATGGAGGCGATGAAGCTCCAGGAACGAGCTCGAGCCCGGGGACAAAGGGATGGGAGAGCATTGGATCGTTGAAAGATCGTAAAAAGGAGAATACAGTTGAACCGACTCCATGGGCTGGGCAGACTTTGAAGGCTGGGAAGAAGCCTGTCGCTACTCAGAAAATGGCAGTTTTCAAAGACGAGGTAAGCCCAAATATGCTTTTCTTTGACCCTTTTGATATACGATGTTTATATTTACGATCATAGGACTAATTGCTGGCATAACTCCCTGGCCCCTTGTTGGCCTTTGTTTATACATTCAGTCATCTTCATTTTCATCGAATAGATCAAAACCAATACAAGCAATCCATGTTTCACGAAATAATAAAGAAAGACTCGACCCCCGAACAGGAAAAGTTGAACGTGTTATTGTTAACCTCGAAGCCATATACCCAGACCCTAGTAACCCAGCCCTTGAAATGAGCCTTGACGAGTTGAGAGCAACTAGTCGTGGCTGGATGAATAAAGATTGGTCACGACAAAGAAAGGGGCCACTGAGAGAAATACCACAAAATGCAGTCCTATGCAAAGACCCGCCGCTCAATGAAAATGACTGTGGATCAGATAAGTATTTATCCACGGCGTTGCAGGAGAAATTGCAGATCCAGGATGAGTCTCAACGGGAGATTCCTCGTGACCAGAGGGGGAAAGGCAAGAAACTAAAGGTTAAGGAAGTCAGGGGAGAAACCCAGATTGGTAGGATATCAGTTGATATATTGATTTTTTTTATATGCTAACGCCTGGAATTTTAGTCAAAACGAATCTTGATTCGCCTACGGGTCGAAAGATCAAAAGAAAAGGGTCTTCTGAACCAACAATGACGTTTCACACTAAGGCAGCTACAGATGAGATATATGGTATATTCAATCAACCATTGAAATCTGAGCTTGAGCTTGCCAAGGATATTGATAGTGTTTATGGCAGCGACTATGAGGATGATGATTGTACTAGTGCGGGAGAAAGCACTGCTACAGGTGTGATATCAGCCCCAGGTAGTGAATTTGGGGACGGAGAGACTAGTGCTTTTGAAGCAACTAGAGCTAGTATTGGGGATAGACTAGGGGACCAGACAGAAAGTGGTGACACTAATGTCAGTGGATGGACTGAATTTTCCCCTGAACAACACATCCCAAAAGCAGGCACAATAACACCAAAAGATAATGACAATAAAAATCATGACGGCTTGGGAACACTCCCTGGGCCCCATCAAGGGGACTTGTCAGCCCAGCAAGAGGAAACTTTTGTCCTTGTTCCACCAGAGGACTACAATCCACCAACAGGACCCTATCGAGATGCTTTTATAGCCGCCCAAAATCGGCTTCCTTTTATGACCCCAATTGTTGAACATACCGAATCCTCTCTGGCTTCGACAATGTTCAAGAACAAGCACTATATGAGCTCGAGGACCCCTTCGAAAGGATCGAAATTTATAATATCCGCAACAACTCCAGCCATTCCAGAGATGGACGATCTTCTCCTGGAGAGCCCATTCCGTGGCTTTGCTGGTCAAAACGACACCGATTTTGACTATCCCCTCGATCTTAACGATGGATCTCCTAGCAAATTGGCTAGTAAGTTTAAATCTCCGAGGAACTCGCTGAAACGAGGCATGGCACAGACCCGTGTGATCATAGAAGACGTACAATGCAACCCCATCGAGCTAGAAGTGAGAGAAAGGATTCTGAAGGGTATTCATCCTCCACTGCGAGCATATCCAGGTTACCATGACCATACCACGCAACTCGGTGGAAATGCGAGCGAAATAAAAAAATATGTTAAAGCTTTGGCAAAGTCCCCCAAGGCAAACGGTGGAGAAAAACAGTTTGCCATACCACCAATTATCTGCCTTTCAGGGGCCGCTAGAAGTTATGCGGTAAAGAGGGAGCTTGGAGAAGGTGGATTTGCCCCTGTGTACCTCGCAGAGAGCGTTGATTCCCCTGACACCTTTTCAGACTCGGAACAAGAGAGTGGTCCTCCAGTTGGCAACAAAAGTTTAAGTTTACCCTGGGCTTGCAGTTCGACAATTAGGGATCTTGACCGCAAACCTCTAGAAGCTCTCAAGGTTGAGTCCGACCCACCTTCAGCCTGGGAATTCTACATGCTCCAAACTGCTCGAGACCGCATTGAAAACTCGTCCTATTATCGACGGGCGAAGGACAGTATCGTACAATGCCATGAAATGCACGTTTTCAAGGATGAATCGATTCTCGTTGAGGACTACCTAAACCAAGGCACCCTGCTAGACCTCATTAATATCAGGACAGAGTCCAATGGCGGCGTGGCTCCATCAGATCAGGGTCTGGAGGAGGTGGTAATTATGTTCTTTGCGGCAGAATTGTTCCGTACAGTTGAGGCTCTTCATTCTTGTGGGATTCTCCATGGAGACCTCAAGCCAGATAACTGCTTGGTTAGACTGGGCGAGCCTACTTCTGCGACCTCAATTGCTACCCCTCGGGGTGGCTCGCTTTTGGAGGACGACGATGGCGTTTACCCTGGTGATGGCAGCATCGAATACTCTCCCTCAGGATTATATGGTTGGAAGGAGAAGGGCTTAACACTGATAGACTTTGGCCGTGGTATCGATATGCGTGTCTTCAGTCCAGATGTTCAATTCATCGCCGATTGGAAAGTCGGTCAGCACGAATGCACCGAAATGCGTGAATGCCGACCTTGGACCTACCAGGTAGATTTGTATGGTCTCGCGGGCACAATTTACGTCATGTTGTTCGGAAAGTACATGGAGTTGTCCCAAGTGACTGAGAGGACTAGCAACGGTCCCGGATCTCCCAGCGTTATTGGAGGCGAGCATGGCCTGGGAGCGCAAAAGACATACAGGATCAAGGAAACATTGAAGCGGTATTGGGAACGTGATATCTGGTCAGAAGTATTTGACCTATGCCTTAACCCGTCGGGCCCTAAGTGGATGGAGATCGAACGTGACGCACGGGAGAGGATTTCGAGTTGTACTACAACTGGTGATAAGATACCGACCTTCCCTGTGGTAAACTCAATGAGACTCATCCGCGAAAAGATGGAAGCCTGGCTGGTGGCCAACGCTGGCCGCAAAGGGCTGCAAAATCATCTTGATAATTTGGAATTGCTCATTGCACGGAAGAGAGGGAAGCGTGATATTTAATTTGATTTTGATTTGATTTGGCTGGACTCCGCGTGCTGGCAATTACTGGTTAACGACACTAATATACCCTGCTAATTTTACTATTTTCCCTTCCCTCACTCCATACGCGTTGTCCCCAATTCTCCATTTGCTGTTAGAGATAATATGGAACAACGGTGCCTTATGGAGTTTTCACCAGGTGATACCTTCATCAATGTTTATGCTGAAATGTAACTTATATGTTTATACCTACTCCTAATTCTACTCTCAACGTAAGCTTGTTTAATTTACACACTCCGATTGATAGATAAATTGATGCCGCATAATAAGATTGCCGTCCCGGTTTACGTATCTATAAATAGCATGGCTATAAAATCACTGTACCCTTGACCAGCGATAAGGTTGATAGTAATTATATCATATTTTAGACAACGAAGAAAGCATATAACAAGGTCATATAAGCGACGCCTATAACTAAACACAATAATCAACAACCTTTTCCTTCCAAAAGCTCGATAACTGAAGAGGAAAAAAAAAAAATCTAGAACGCGCTGTCGCCGCCTGATTATCCACCAGTAGATCGGCCGTCTATCGAAGTGAATATTTGTAAGAAGTGAAGAGGGAAAAGGAAACTGTGGAAGGGAGTGGTAATAGGGAGCCATGTCAAGCGTAGGGAGTGTTGAAGAAGTTCGTGGAAATTTGGTAGAGATGGGTGCGTGTTTGTTTCGCGGTGTAGAGTCATTATGCGTAAAATGGGGGGCATTCGTTAGGTATTTAACATTATATATAAACATGAATCGAATCAAGAACGGTTTTATTCCCCTTGATTCAGTAGCCAGAGTGAAGGATCTATCGTTGGCTCTAGGAATCCCCGGGTCTCTTCAATATCCTTGAAGATGCGCGGGAGGAAGGCATCAAGGGTTGGGTTGGCAGCCTTCATTTGTGCTTGATTAAAAGTCCGAAGGGTTGTTTCGATCGGGTCTAGGATCCTGGAATCGGGAGTTCCTGTCCTAATAACACGAGCAAGATATGCACAAGAAGTATATATGGCTATAAAATGGTTAGTATGCTATTGAGACCATCAAACATAACGGAGACACTTACATAAAAGAATAAAAGGATTAAAATGCTCAATATTATGCAGTAAATTGGTCTCGAGCATTACTCCAGAGAGTGTTATTATCTCCATCGCTGAATTTTGGCATCTTGCTTGCCACGATTCAATCAGGGCGATGGGTAGTCGAGCCTGTACAGCTGAAGTGATGGCGGTTTGATATAGTGAAATTGCTGCTGCGTGTCTGGCGGCGTTGAGAAAGTAAATTGTTGGATCAGCGAGGAGTGCAAACCGCCCCAGGTCTCCAAGACAGGACTCGACCCTATTTAGAGTGCTATCAAGAGCTTGGTGGCTGGCCCAAAATTGATGCCTGCTTTGGTCATCAAGCTCGTAGCCTTCGGACTCTCGGGCATGTTTAAGAGTTTTGGCCCATGTCGTAACAAGCATAATGGTGGCCGTATAGGGTGTCATAGGGGACAAGTCGGGGGACTGTAAAACATGATTAAGAGTGAATGGTTGTTGTTGAGCTAGCATCTCGGTGCTCGAATGGATGTACCTTGGAAGTCGAGTCGAGATCTAGTCGTTTATATTAGCATCAATATTTCAAAATTTTGGGTGAGGTAGGGTCCGTCTAACCTCGCGTTCTGAGAAGGCCAAGGAGCCGCCAAATGATATATTGATCAAGCAATCAAAGAGATAAGTCGCCCAGAATGTGAGCCTCCTTTCTTCTAATTCCAGCTCGTCTTCTTCGGGCGCACCAGCTCGATCGAGTTTCTGAAGGCCTAACAGTTGTACTAGCCTTGTACACCTAGCATGGGATATCCATGCTCTCGGTAGGTATGATCGTCGGAATTCGTATAGCGCTATCAATAACGAAGCCTGAAGAGTTTCAATCCTGAAAAATCGGCTTCCGGGCCCTCCCATATCTGAAAGCTCGAGTTCTCTCCTGGCACGGTGGTAGCAAGCTTCTTCAAGGGAGGGATTACCAGAGACCAGCGCCCCGTGAGTGCAGATAGCGTAGTAAATGCTACTTTTCCATGGCTCCGACTGGATTACCACTGGGTTGGCAAGATTTCGCCACTGATCTAGCATTGGGAAGAGATGGCTGTATGATTGAAAAAAGGCTTCTTGTCTAAAGTTCTCCTAGTAAGTATGAGAAGCTTTTGGCATATAACTAATAGATGACTTACAATTTTTGCGTATTTTGTGGAGACAGCATATGATCCTCGTAGTTTGAATGGGGAAGGGAGAAGGATGAGGATGTCGAGGAGCCCGAGGATGGCTGGGCTACTGGAGGGAGACCAGTAAAGGCGTCTAGTGTCCAGTCTGGCTGTGGTGACTCCATGTCTATGGGGAGCGCCATGTACGACGTAGGGCTCAGGGGAATAGGGCTCTGGATTGTATTGGCAGGCCAGTTGTTATAGGAGAAATTGCCTGGTGTAGAGAGGGGATCCTCGGTGATGGCCCAGCATCCTTGGTTTGCCAGCTGGGCTTCAGCCCTCCCTATTCGCTGTTTTGTTAGCTCTTTATCCAAACGGAGAAAGGCACAAGAATAGATCGGATGCCTGGAATCGAAGGTAGAAACGCACTTAGTCGATCATTCATCATCTGGAGCTGCGCTGTGAGATCGGAAGCGCCGGACTCAGAGCTTGACGGCGTCGCATAGACACAGGGCTGCGACTGTCCAGCACAGCGAGAACATGGCTGCTGTCCATCGCAACGGATCTTCCGCTCGCGACAGGTGCGGCAGGCAATATGTCTCGGGCGTTTAGACATTGCTCCTATTCTTGTTCTGATAGATAGGACCGGCAGATATAGGGAGGGTGAGTATGGCTGCTCGAGCTAGTACTGTTATTCCTCCAGGCGTATATATTGACGAGGAAAAGGGAGAATTAACATTAAATAACAATTGTCTGAAATCCTTTTGCAAGCCAGAGACTGAAGATAGGCCCACGAGAGCTCGTGCCTTCATATATGTATTCCCCTAAGCCCCCAGGAGAGATCTGTGGGAGGCTGACATGGGTATGGGATTTCTTACAGCCCCACTGGATATCCTCGAGCCATGCGTCTCCCGCTCTCTGGGAATTTGGAATTTTTTGAATTTGAATTTGGATTTGAGAGTTGTATTTTGCAACCTTCGATTCCAGCTTTGGTTTGAGTCGAGGGCCTCAAGGCCCAAAGTTTGACCACGAAGGAAAATTAGATACCCCTGCACCATGTGTTTTTATTTTCAAAAACCCCACTCCCTCAAGCTGACGGTTTTTTTGCATCTTGTCTTAGCGTGCATAATCCTGGGCTTGGTCGCAATATCGGGCCCGGTTGCGAGTTGGGTCGGGGAAGTGGAAAGATGCCAGCCCTCTTCTCCACAGCAGCGCTACTGGAGGAGGGAGATCGCAGGGATGGAGATACAAGACCAATCACTATGGTCCAAGGCTGGTCTCACACACTGCAGCTCGCATCCACACGTCTTCATTCTTGCAGCCGGCCAGTGCAGCGTATGGAGCCAAGCGGGATTTAAACACCATTCCTTCACGAGGCAACGTCTGAGCCGTCATTCAGCAAACAAGCTCGTCAACCAGCGAGGGCCATTAATAAGTTTAAAACTCGGCTTGTGCGTGCGCCGATACCTGTCGTTGTTGCGTCGATGGAGGGCGATAGAAAAAGCAAATTGAGAGGCCGAAGGAGATTTGAGATGTTGACGCACAGCAACCGTGGTAACCCTGTTGTTTCGATCATCCTATAGGCTATGACCATACCCGTGAATGGCCCGATCTCAGATTGTGTCTCATAGAGGGCGATGGTGGTTGCCGGATCGGTTTCCATGCTGTAAAGCGCATTCTCGCGGCGCCATATTGTACAGAGTCCTCCGTACAGGAGGCTCATCCTCTTCACTCCCACCCCTGATTTCCCTGTTTCATCCTCTCTAACTACCTGTAGGGGGACAGAGAGGCTGTGATAGCGTCAGCCATGAGAAGTCACGTAACCAGCTGTCAGCCCAGCTGATGGCGCTGATCAGTGATCCCGAAGGGGAACGCCGACACATCGCATTGGTGGGTGGCTCTTCCACAGCCTTCTGGCAAATGTTCCAGATAGATCGTAGAAGCCTGGCGAGTATGACAAATTACGATGCTGTCTCTGCGTGGTAACTATGAAGTTGTTGTCGACCTTGCAATGGTGGCATCCCGCACAGTTAAAGATGTCCCCGTTCTCCATCCACCCGAATGGTTGACTAGCTAGTTAGCTATACGAACGGCGGTCGTATTGTTGCTTATTCCACCTGTGAGGCCAACTAGGTCTACCACGTTGAGTAGGGATAGAAGAGCGTCTCGGTCTTTTCCTTTCGCATAGTTATACATACTTCGACATGCATGAGCACCGGATCAAGCAAGCGGCAAACAAGGGGGATGTCACATCTCTCCTACCCCAGCGTTATAGGCCCTCGAACCAGCCTGACGAGCTCCCCTATGCGGTCATCGATCGCGTTTCATCCCACTTCCCCAGTATGGGTCATGTCTGCTAACAGGCTGCGAGCACCGAAAGTGGGCGGGCGGCACTGTGAACGCACTCATCTCCAGAGCGAGTTGACTAGCTATATTCCAGCATATTCCGTACAGATGGTAGGACAACAGGAATTTCTTTTAGTGAAGGCTGCCGATTAACCCAAAAGAGATACGGAGTCAACGTTGAGCTACTCCTGGCCCTGGACAGTGAACTGCCGATCTAGGAAACAGGCTGGTTGCCCCAGATAAGATCCTAGAAACCGAGTATTGGAGAGAATACTCCTTCACTCAGTCCTGGCTATCACGATGCGAACTCCGCTGATCTCATTTCCGCTTTGGCACGTTCCCGACTGGAGGGCTGCTGTAATATGCCATGATGATTCATGCACAGCCGTCCTTGAATCAGATTAGCCCAAGGAACCGCATCCTCATCCTCCAAGGTCAGGAACATTAGTTACTGTGAAATCACGGCACTCGGAGGAAGGGCGTGGGGATGCTAGCTGGTTAGTTAGAGGTTTAATTTCGCGCAGTTCGCGCAGTTCGCATGGCTTAAGCCAGCATCCGACTCCCTCCCTGCACGCTACATCTCCTTGATCAGTTCTCTCGTCCACCAGTATACTCGAGACTTGGGGTCCGAAGGATCACAACGTGGTCGGAGATCATCTCGCCTTCACCAAAGAGGTTGTTGGAGGAATCGAGTAAGAAAAAGAAACCAAGAAAAAAGTAAATAACAGAAAAGGGGGGGCCTGGTTTTCGTGCTTGCGGGATGCAAGGATATAACATCTACCAGGCTGCCTGTAGAGGGGTCGACTGGGCCATGTGGATGAGGCGCAGGCGATCGACCTTGAGGGAGTGCTTTTATGCACCAAAATCAGGAATTCACGCCCAGTTAATGCATTATTTGGCTTCCTGCGATATACATAATAGGTTAGTTGCTGCCTGTACGAAGGAGATCGATAAATTGAAAAACTCACGGCAGCCTGGCCAATCCTAATCGTGGAGGACAAGACGAGCAGGGTCTTTATTCTGCATGGTGTATCGAATAGATTGGCCGTATGAGCGCATATAATCTATACTCTCACCTATCCTCCAGCGCCCAGGGCAATAGTTGGACTCGGCGCACCAGCAGCCCCTGAAAAAACGTGCCGAAAACGTGTCAAAACGGCACCAGGATTAGGGGAGTTTGCTGACCTCGTAATGAAGACTCTCAAGGGCTAGGATAAGGATATGATCCCTTCAAAGCTGCAAACCGGCAACACGCAGCGGAGGGATGCGGAGCTGACGATACCACTGGGGGGTTACCTGAATAGTTGGTTAATAGGCTATGATGTTGCCTACATATCCCATACACACATATCAAATCTACCGGGGCGTAAGCTTGCATGCATCAATCTGCAGTCTTCCTCGCCTATCCAACAGAATAGTGACCCAGAGACGCGCCGAGTATGTGAATGTGCTCCACGGTAATTAATATATTATACTCTCACAACGCTTGCTCAAGGAGAATTATCTCAATTATAGTGCTAACATTGCATCTCCCTCAACCATGCACGCAGTGGTCTTCGGACGTTGAATGCCTAGTACCCGAAAGCTCCGCCGTTTCACGCCTCCATTTCCTCCCCGATTAACATCTTCCTGGTTTCTGGCAATGGATAAACAGTCGAAGCCAGGTTTATCTCAGTGATACCAAAACAGTGGTGTCTAGCAGCCTTTACATGCTCTGAGCTCATATATCTAGGTCTCCTGCCAATTCCTTTCTCATGGAACAACCCCCGACATGATTGCGTATTAACGACTGTCGATATCCCATATTCCGCCAGTGAATACGTCCTATACAGCGGTTAAGCCGCATCGTTGGTATAGAGAGCTTTAGATCGTAAACAAGCAACTGGAGGAATATGGGTGATGGCCCGATCTAACTCCGCACAATCGAGAAGAGCCGCATATCGAACGGCCGTAGAGCTATACCGCGGGGTATCGACCCTAGCTCTTCATCGTGAAATGCCCCAGTTCAACGTAGAAGTAGCATACACTGCCATGCTGTCGTCGGCAAATAATTCCCATTCACGACCACATATTTATAGTACATGACCGTCTAAGCCTTGACCATGGAGTAATAATAGCACTTGATTGCGTGTTTCAACCCCTCTTGTTTACCTATTTCCCCTCTTCCGGCCTCATCTTTCTTCTCATCTCATCATCAGCGAGTTCTTCAGCTTTCTGTTGCGTCGCCGTTGACGATGACCGTTTGGAACTGTAACATGCGCAGTGCCCTGTTAAACCTGCCTCTCCGCCCCCAAAAAATGATGAAAGTCGAAGACGGATATGAGTTCACGACGTTCAGAGGAACAGACGCCGGAGTGGTAGCGTCTAAAACCAGACGAGCCGCCTTAACCAGAAACCAGGTGTTGGTCTCTATAACGCACTCCGGGGTGTGTGGAACAGACCAGAATTATCGGCGGGCTGGCTGCGTGCTTGGTCACGAAGGTATCGGCGTCGTCAAGGCCCTGGGGCCGGATGTCAGAGCTTTAAAGATGTAAGCCTGCATGATTCCTCAAGGAGCAAGATATAATCAGAAGTAAGAGCTAACAACGGGCTGATATTAATCTGACCAGCGGACAGCGTGTCGGTTGGGGCTATGTTCATGGGAGTAAGTTATAACTCTCACCCAAGCCTTGGCTGTTTATTGTTTACTTTTCATCCTCATATTCTCAATATTACCGACCCCAAACTCCACCTAAGTTTCTAAATATACACAAATCCCACACAAACAAAAAAAAGCACCCCAAACCCACAAGGAAAAAACTTGGGAGTCAAGTTCAGCTCACCTACTTTCTCCTTTTTTTAGCCTGCCACAAATGTCGACAATGCCTCGATGGATACGATCAGTTCTGCTCTTCGCGCCAAGTATACGGCGTGACAAATCTTGACCAAGGGTCAATGGCGTATGCAGCTATATGGCCCGAATCCGCTCTATATGCAATACCCGACAAGCTCGCATCAGTCGATGCTGCACCTATGATGTGCGCAGGAGCAAGCATCTTTGCCATCTATGATCAATGTGGAATAAAACCCAACGACCGGGTTGGAATTATAGGGCTGGGGGGCCTGGGCCATATGGCAGTGATATTCGGGGCGAAATTGGGTGTAGAAACAGTTGTTTTTACGCATAGTGTCACGAAGCAGATTGACGCCATTGTCATGGGTGCGACGGAATTCATACCGCTCGAGGATCTGCCGACTATAATATCTGCCCGGCAGAAGCGGCAGAAGAAAGAACGAGAGCAACACGCTAACGATGGGCTTGATGACGAGAACAAGCATGGCGTGGATAATGATGACAACGGAGATATTAGGTCGCTCGACCATCTAATAGTCACAACGACAGAAAACATCGTTTGGTCTACATTCTTTGAACTGATGGCCCCACGTGGTTCGGTGCACCTGTTGACCGTGGGATTGAACGAGAATCTCGTTGTTCCTTCAACCACCTTGATTGACTCCGGTTTACGAGTATTTGGTAGCCTAGTTGCTCCCAGGAGCGTCATGCTGCGGATGCTGGATTTTGCCGCGAGACACCGGGTGAAGCCAATTGTGCAAAAGTTCCCCCTCACAGCAGAAGGAATCAATACTGCAATGAGGAAACTAGATGAGGGGACCGTTCGGTACCGAGGGGTGTTGGAAACTCCGAAGGACAGTTTATACGAGGTTTCATCATAGCCACCTTGCTCTACATGTACGCAACATGTATACCTGTCTAACGCTAGTTTCGTTATTTTTATTCGCCAGCTTAGGTACTTCAGATGTTGGAAATGCATTTACTCGTTGCCAAGCATGACATCTGTCTCGGAATTAGTGTTTACCTACATACAGAGTGTCTTTATAGCTCACAGCAGAGTTATTTCCAGTATTGCTCTCCGCACAGCCCTCAGTACTTAGCTAAGCACCCTAGTAGTTCCATGCTGCCATATATCTAGCTCATTATGCTGATCTTCGACGCTGTGACCACATCTCGAAATAATTGCAGGCATGGATGATAGACTATAGATTCATGTGTTACAAGTGCCTGAATCATGCATAATATATGCCGTAGGATGCTACCCATATTGAGCACAGCTATAGCCCTTAACGCCGGGACATCCGCCCTATCTGATGCAAGCTAGGTGCAGGAACCGTATCTATATACCTAGTGGTTTGCTCTATATTACTTTCCTTGTTACTGGCGGATCTGCCAATGATGTCATGAGCAGCACCCATAAATTAAAGTCCTTACGCTGATTGGATAATAAAAGGTTAAGGTTCGATTTATGAATGATGATCATTATGCATTTTAGGACTAGCGCAACCCTATAACTGCAAAAAGGCTTGTGGGGCGCGCCTAACCTTAAGCCTGATAAACTCAAACTCTAAGTTGATATTTGCAAAAAAGTTTCCGCCTGTGCATAATACGAGCACCATGTGATGTCAATAGTAAGGCACGACTCAGCAGCAACAGTTCTGTTCTCTCCAGGCTCAAACGGAGAGTTACACTGCATGGCTAGAGCCCTATCGTGCCTTGCTTGGCTAGTTGGAAGATTGAGCCTAGCAAGAGGCGCACAGCGAAAGGGAACTCAATCTTCTAGATTTCGGTAGGAGCTATGCTTCTTGGCCATAATCGCAGCCGCAGAGGCTTGCATTTTGGGGGCAGCGTATAGAGTCCCCATATATTATTGCAATCGCATCGGCCTATAAGCTGTGAAAGCGGTGTATAGATAATATCCACGGTGTTCTACTCGTCGCTCATATCACAACATATGGTAGGCTATACGATACCCCACGGCGCCGCTTAGGCCAAATATCGCCCACGAGGGGTGCTCTGCAGGCTGCCGCTAACATTGTTAATCAACGTGGAATAGAAGGGCATCTTGTTTCAGAAGCTGAGATGTTGCTTCGCCACGTGGGTCTAAACAGTTCCCTGTCGCCATGTGTGGTACCTTTCTTTTCGTCGTTTGTCAGGTTAGTCCTTCTGATTATTAGAAAAAGGAAAAATACGGCAAAAAGGAAAGATAAACATCTATCATCCTTTGAGAGTGTACGGAGTAGAATAAAACTAAAAGGATTTGAGGCGTTATACTCCAGTAGTAGGAGATTAGCTTCAGTTAAAATTTATCAGCAGAGCGGGGGTGTATATCTATACGGATGAGGGTAAATGATGTAATGATCGCATCCTTCTTTTTATAAGCATATACGTATTGACCACTCAGAGGCCGGATTGGAACGTTGAATATACTATCGATGGATTATATCGCCATTCGTAGGACGTTTCGGTACCTGTTGGGAATCCTAAGTTGTTGTACGGGCCAGGGGAGATATCTGCATCCCTGGTTCAGTTGTGCGGCGATGAAGAACAGGAGAAAGAAGAAGAAGAAGATAAAAAGCAAGCTGTAGAATATAGAACCTCTAGGAAATATCCCTTTACGCAAGGATATTACTTTTCGTGCTTCCACCAATCAGCCTTACATCCAGCACGGGATAGAAGGCTGAAACACAGCCCTGGTTCCAAGAAAAAGAGAGTCCCGCTCCTCCCGAACAGGGTATAGTTGTATAAACGTATATAACGTGGCAAGCTCGGGGGTTGAGGTATATTGGCAGCTGAGGGTGGAATTGGCTATTGAAGTAACTTTATATTCTCCATTAGCTTATCAGTTCTCTATTCGGGGGCCGATTTCATGGGAAATTACTTACATCTCTCCGTCGATCGTATTAACCCATGTTGCCATGTGAAAATATAATTTCCAGCCACGTTTTTGTTAGATGGGTGTGCACAGTTACATATATTCTTCTGACCTATTCGAGGTCGAAATCTAGACAGTCATCATTACCAAGCAGTGAAGGATTTATGGTCCACCCTGATATAGGTTCACAGCCCCTTAGGCGGTTCCTTTCCCTTGCAGATCAAATGGGAAGAGGAGTCGCGCGGACCTGAGTCAAATATGTCTGAGACTGTGATACTCTACCCCTCGAAGATAACAAGAGGCTGAACTGAGGGCCAAACTCCCTGCACCTAGAGGCTGACATCCTCGTACCCATATATTGCACCAATTTCATGATGGCCCCCCCTGTCCACAGCATGTCAAAATATCTACGACGACATTCGGATATATTATTTATCGGCGCCACCCGCTGTGCACCTGTCATGTTACTGCAGGCCATAGATGATGGACATATCCAGGAGACGATGGGAGTGGATAAATACTCCAGCATTTCCTTGGACACGGGAAGGCAAGCCACTACAAGGAACGGCCGGTCCAGTCCAACGCTCTGATTGTCAGAAAAATAACCGGTTAACAGCAGAGTTACACTATCAACCTGCCCAACATCTCCTAGGCGATAAATGATGGCGGTCCTGCAACCAGCTATCTTCCCACATCTCCAGCCCGCGCTGTACATGAGAGTTCGTGTCCCCCATCATGTACCAAAGAGAATGTGGTTGTATAACTACGACCTTTTTCCATGGTTACATTCTCGGCTGTGTCTCGTACTCAGCCTACTTTTATCACGGCCAATGCTAACCAAAGCATCTGAATCCAGATTCACGTCGGCAAGGCAAGTCACCCTCCACACCAGGCGACACTGTTTCACCTGCAACAATCGTATAGTTGGTGCTTCTATTTCCACGCTCGTTTTCCAGGGCTGTGTCTACCACTGGGCGATCAGCACTAGATATTTAGCGGCCTGGCTATATTTCCCCAGAATATTGGGTATTGGATCTACAGTGGCTAACGCGGGATGACGCGTTTAGCACCCGCCTAAAGGATTCATCAGATCTGTTGATGGATTCAAACTCGATATCAATGCCACCATTACGTTTGGCAACGACTGGCTCTCGTCCAGCCCTCTAGATTCACTGCCACGTATGAACATGATCGGTCTTGCGCAGTGCGTTGGCCCCTGAAAGCTTCTCTGCCCCATCCAGCTACTTTATTTCTATTTATATTCCTCGCATTTTGCTATACTATTGCTAACCTTCGAGTTAGAAACCATGACGGCATTCCATTCGCATTCCGGTTTGACGGGATAGTAACTATCGCTAAAGACATGGCGACACCCATCTCTGCATGCCGTGTAGCGCCCAAGATCACCCCTTTTGGCTACTCCAGTAAGCACTTTGCCCCTTTTGTCACCCGCGGTTCCTATTTTTATATTGTGATTACACCCTCTCTCGGAGTCCTCTTCCTCGGGACAAAGCCATCCAACCATGCCTATGCTCAAACCAGTCATTTCACACTTGCTCGTTTATCATTTTAACCTCGTCCAGCTACGAACCACACCTTTTCCACTGGCCACGAATCTTTCAAGGAGATGCAAAATTACTCCTACGTTGGCAACAGCAGATATACCGCTTCCGGAAATAGCATCGTCATCGAATGCTTCGTATCTAGGCTGACACGAGTCTGCTAAATTGAGGAAAAAGAAGAGAAAACGAGGAACGGGTGAACAAAGCGGCCGGCCGCTCAACATTCATTTGCTTTCAACCATCGCATGGTCTTTTTTTGCATTTATATGGTGGGTGGAATTGTCTTTCGATGGCGTTGTTGCTAGATGGGTAATATCTCGGTTTTTCACTTTATTTCCAAGAATTTTGCTCAAGACAGGGTATTTTCAGTTGCTTGGTTTCGTGGAGTAGGGTAATTGTGGATTGGGCTGGGCCCTAGATCTCGGGAATGTTACCTGTTAATAGTGTTGGCATACTCTATAGATAGCGTTGCAACCGACTCCCCTGCCGGTTAGGTGAACAGTTATAGTTGGCTATATGGATGGGATACAACACGTTGACGGTTTCCCGGGATTTAAGCTTAGAGTAGTATCTGATAAAGCCGCCTCTGTTTATTCAATATGTGTGGAAGCGATATCTCTCCCCGCGCAATGTGAACAACGGCCTAAGTAGGTTTTTAACCCCTACCGCCGCGTATCCATAGACAACAGATGCTTCACACAAACACCTACCTAAAACAGTTAGATGCAGCGCATGGAACAAGATAAATATCGAGCGATTCATATGCATTCATTCGGCGCTTCAGTATAAAGTTAGGTGTGGTGTACGCCAATGCTACCGGTTCCCTTTAAGACTTCTCAAAGTCGAGAACCAACCTCCTTCTGCGATTCAAATCCACGGTTACTGTTGCATGTTGATCTATGGCTACATCATGTCAAATGCTGGCAAAATGAAGGCTGATACCTAAGCCATGCGACGGGAAGTGGAACCTTGAGGTATATGGAAATGATATTCAATAATTGCAACCATGTACATAGCACCGTAGCCTATACAGAGTACGTGATGCTGCATGGGAAGTTGTTTCATCTCTGCACGTCGGCAGACCATGTAGACGTTTTCAAAAGATCCTACAGTTCGGCCATGTGGGAAGTATATAGTTCATCCCCTTGCCAGCGCAGCGAGGGGTAGCCAGCGATAGTAAAAGACAGATTCCAAGGCGAAGTATCTAGGAATGGGCATCCCTGATGCATCTGCCTTTAGCTTTAGCTAGAGTATTATTGCGTATATTTTCTCTCGCGGAAAAGAAGAAAAACCACAATCGGCTGAGGCAGAAGTATAGCCAAAGCTATCGATAGATAGCGGGGACATAAGCTCCCTAGTTTCCCCGGGTGAGCATCCAGTCATCTTCTTCGTGGAGACGGTGAATTCGTCGGGTTAGCTAGTTGATGCTAAGAGTCGAGAATTTTCAGTTCGTAAAGAGTGCGCGAGGCCAACTCGGCTGCAGAAATGGGGCCAACTCAGCCATTGACCTACCAAAATGCGCCGGTCCACCTCGGATAGTGTATAGTAACAAGTCATACTCCGTAAAGATGACGGTTTGAGATCGTAAGTAATAGCGTAGATGTATTCGACGACCCCATTCACGCTCGATGGCCTTAGGATCGATTTCGCTCCTCCAGTCGGACATCGGTATATCCCCGAATCTCGCGTAGATAGAGCAGCCCAAAACCAAACACCGAACGAGGAATAATACGACAGCTGAAGCGTTCAAGTTGGCCCCCGGCCAGAGGAAAGTTTTCCTGGGCATCATCCTCCAGTCTTGTCTTCCAAGCCACGATACGTGTTGATATATGGCTCCCACGACCGCCAGCGATAGAGACAAGTCGAATCGGGACTCATGCTGCGACCGGCCCTGTCGTGCGGGGTGAAGGTGAAGGAGGATATCATAATTGCATGGTGATGGCTGAGGCCTGCGACAGGGGAGAACCCTGCCCAGCAGCGCCTGCGTTTCAGCTTCTAGGATCAGTATATCTCTCCGATTCCATGCGCATTTTACCGTCGTGGCAGAGGATTGCAATCGTCTTGTCTGTGGGCGTTAATGAGGTCGAGAAAGCCCTTGTATTCGTTCGTAGAGCGAGTTGGTCTCAGTCGTTCTCGCGGTGCAGTGTCTATTCGATATGACCCCCGCAGGATGGCATGGATGGCACTATAGGGGAGAACATGGCAAGATTGGCAGTTCTAGGGTTGCTGGCAGCCCGAATACATCCATTAAACGACTTGAGACTATATCTGCAAGCCGGCACTGGATGGTCGTCGAGAGGAGGCTGGGAGATTTCTTCGATCTTATATCCTGTCTTCGGTGTAACAAACGGGGTTATTCTTAACAATCATCCGACTACGGGCGTACCATCCCATGGAAGAAGAAGCAATATTTAGCGATGTGCGGGCCAATCGGCGATTTCAGATAGTTGTAACCGGGGGAACACATGGGAAGCATCGAATCTACATAGTATAGCAATTCTAGGAGGGAGTTTTATCTACTTCATTGACCGATATAGACCAGCAAGCCGAGCGCACCCTCAAAGTACAGAAAAGAGTAGACTCGTCTACCATTCAGTGCCCCTTCGCACAGTTGGCGTGAGAAATAGTTGGCCCTTGAGAGAAAACGGTAGAGAGATATGCCACGCCAGCAAGGACAAGGCAGGATCGATATATGGCGAGGGTCAAATCGTCTCGATATGGTACAGCCTGCGAGATCATCGGTTCAATGCAAAGCTGTTTTGTACCACGGGGAGGGATGCTCTGGTCGAGTTCCTGTAGAAAGACAGCTTAACAGCTGTACCGTTGTCCTTGAGAAGCGTTCATGGACCCGAGAAAAAAGCATCAGAAGCTCATTATGTGCCCTGCACTGTCTAGTAAAGACTGTCGTCATTACCAGGATGGCGCTATATTTGCCCTTGTGGCAGCACGTTTATCATGCACTGTTGATGAAGATATCACTTCACGTCAGAATATGTAGCCACGGTAGAGAGCTTTCCATATCATGTAGTTGCTATCATCCCTGCCAACACACCTGCTCCGATGATCGATCCGTCACTCGCCTCTCGAAGTAGGATACTCTTTCCTCCTTCCTGCGGTCCAGCTCGTAACAGCAGTCGGTCAATGTAACCTTGACATAACTCCTTGAAGTTGGGATAGTGTTGGATGATGCCGCCAGTGTAAGCCACAACGAGTTCTTCTGGCCCTCTCTGCCAGTTAGCCGATGAGCTAAGAGTCGGTATTAGAAGCGGATTCTGATATGTAGAAGCAACAGAATGCAGTTTGCGCAACGAAGTACACTTTGGCGGCCGCTCTAGTCGGATTTCATGATTGCATGCCAGCAGGGCGACAGATGCTGCTGCGATCAACGAAGCAGAACGAGTTTGTACTGCTGAAGCGGTGACACGCAAGACGCGGGCTGACGCCGGCGTCCAAACCCATATATTTTTAACCGGTGAGGCAAGCTTGCGAGTTAACCGAGCAGCAAGTCTGGTATCCGATCGTGACGTCGCAATGACGTCGGAAACAAAGTCGATTGTTAGGGAGTAGGGCTTGGTAAGAGCACAAGGCAGGACGGCAGATGAGTAGGACATGACGGATGTGAAATATTCGTAGACGATGATGCGAATAAGTTCCCCGACGAACCTGCCGCCTGTCATATATTCGAAAGGCTGGAACCCGGGCCTTACTGAATTGGCGTTTAACCGATCGTCCCATTTCGTGTTTATCCCAAGTTCCTTTAACGGCCCCTCGGTCCCTTGGAGCGTCCACTCGGTGCTGATAACCCCTTCAGTTGCCGTTGGGTTATATGAGTGTATCTGGCGAGCCTTTGTTTGATGGAGATCCTGAAGTTTCATGGGTATGGTCGCGTTGCAACCAGAGCCGACGACGATGCCCATCGCGACTCTAGTATTAGGCAACGACTTTACCGAATAAGCGAGCGACACCAGCGTTGCCACGGTGTCGTTCGTAATGGCCATGATGTTAAGGCCCGGGAGGGAATAGGTTTTCCGTCGTTTGGCGTGTGGCTGTTGTTGACCTGTATCCTGTCGACATGAATGGCGCTCATAGCCGTCCAGGACAGCCCTGCGAAGGTTGAGGTTGGATTTAATAGTGAACCCTTTACCGATCGGCATCAGGGTTGCTTCGTCCAACGACGTTTGTCTATATTTTACCCGGGTTAGCCAAAATCCTTTTCGTTGTACGGGGTAAATGCATGCATGCATGATAGAGGAACATACCTGATCGGCAGACTGAACGATATGCCAGTCTCTATCTCACGCGGAAGTTGAGTAGTCGATACATTAGACGTCAATTCGTCTGCGACAACTTCGGCAATGCAGCTCCCTATCCAGCCAAAAAGAGCCTCTTCCTTATCATATTTTAGGCGCTCCTCGATACGCCATGCCTTTTCGATTGTCCTTCGAACCCTTCGATCGGATACCACCTGAGAGATGGCCCTATCAGTATGGGGCAAATGATGACCTGACGAGCCGCCCAGTAGCTCAATAAACGCGACTCTTAGATTTGTCACTCCGACATCGACGGCAAGATAGACGCCGGTCTCTCTGCCGCTGGGGAGACGGGTGACGGGCGTAGGGAAGAAGTGGCCGTCCCCCGTCAAAGCAAGTGTCCGGTAGACCCTTGACAGGCGATAAGAAAGCTCGTACAGCTTAGTGTCATCGATAGTAAACGGTTTTAGGAAGTCGTCTATAGCCTGCGAGCAACGCTCATCGTCCTCTTCAGAAGAGGAGAAAATCGACATGACCGGCCAATTCGACTGCAGCGGAGCCTTCGTAGGAAAAGGAACCAGCTATCAAGGCCTACGCAGTCGGTGCGAGCCTGGTAGATATTTTTTTTCAGTAAGAGCCAGAGGCCTCAGAAGATTCGTCTGCAATCATAAATAGCCATCGACGAACCAGCTTGTCAACTCAGGGTGTTATCCCCGATACAACGCCAGAGCAGCCAGCCGGCGGCAGCCCCTTTCTTGCTCCCATCTGGCCCGTTTCTCCTGGCTGCCCGTCTCGTTACTGGCGCCTCCATCAGGGCCATAGTGATGTTACAGTGACTCTGTGGTTGCTTGATCACTTGCAGGGGATTAAGCCATGAGAACATGAAGCGTGCTTGGCGGTAACCAGCCATGTTACATCTGGCAAACCCGAACGTTGCAAGCAACAGGCAGAGGAGGGAAAAACCCGTCAAGTCCTCGGACTGTTCGTGCTGCGATTCGCTGGAGAGGCGTTGTCAGGACGTGTCGAGTGATATATACCACTGAAGTTGTCTCAGATTCTGTGTGAGCGGGTGCAGTTCGAGATGCGACTTTGGACCGTATGAACTTGATAACGACAACGATTGTCCAGCTGCCGTTACAACCTCGCCCCCTTCGCGGCATCCTCGACTATCAGAGTTATAGACTTGTGGGCTTGCCGGGGCGTTGATCAACTCTATCATCCTTGAAGACGGGTAGAGTTCATATTCAAGGTGTCACCGGGTGTTTTCTAGCTCCTTGATGCTAGAAATACTCCAGGACTACCGAATATGCGCCGGCGGCTTCTTTTTTAGTAACGTCGCATCCGCTGCAGCGTCACGGCGAAGATCATGAAGTGCTTGAGTGCAGAGCTTCGTTCAAGCTATACAATCAGATCAGAGACTCCACTCATATGTTCCAGAGGGTGCGGTGGCTTGAGGTTATCTCGCCGTTTTGATACTTATCGTCTGGCCAGGCCGCTCAATCTGCAGAGTTTCTTCGCCTCTTCGCTGACCGCTTGACAGTCTGACCCTCTGTTGCAGCTCTCTTTTCCCGGCTGGACTGCGGTGTCGATTCTGGATCTGGGATGTCGCAAGGTGGCACGTATCTGAGCTGAACACGAATCAATTAGACATGATCATCGCAATGTTCCCTAGCATCCTTTAAGGAAGAAAGGACCATTTGACTGAAGATCTGATGGACAGGCGGACCTCCATACCAGGGGCAGGCTTTTCACGTACATGAGCTGGTTCAGGACCCCTTTTTTCAGATACAGAGTCCTCGTCACTCGACCCGGACTTTGAGGGACTGAATGCGCCATAGAGCCTCCTGTGACGGCACTCGCTGGGGAACGTACAGTCCTCCCAGCAGCCTGGCGAGGGCTTGATATCCTTTCTCTCTCGGATATCCCTCTGCCATTCGTTCATATTCTCCCACCCAGCATAATCAAACGACGAGTTGCATGGAGTTCCCAACTTCTTTACTCCATCAGTCTGCATCCTCCTTCTCTCCTGGTTCCTATTTCCCTGGGCAATGCCGTAGCAGTAATAGTGACCGTCTCCAAGGCATCGATTTGTCACTGCGAGCGCGTAATACTTGTGGCACTTGTGGCATCTCCACGTCCACGAGTGCGGAATAGGAGGTGGTGACGGTAGCAGAGAAGCAGGCCCTTTTACCTCTGTCTCTCTGTTACCTTCATTATTTCTGTCGTTCTCATGCTCGTTCTCTTCCTTGTCAGCGTCTCCTTCTCCTTCATCAGCCTTCTCTTTGAGATCTATAACGGAACTCGATGCATCCACTGTCGATGAAGATGCTGGAAGTGCTACCAAGATAGTAGGCCGCGATCCAGGATCCGCAGGCGAAAGAACTGGGTCTGTTCCAGCACCATTTGCTGATATCTCTCTCCCTTCTACTGCCATGATGGAGTAAATAACCGAAATTTGCAGTTGGCCAACAAATATATGCCCCACGAGGGTGTAATGATATCCATAAACAGATAGCTTTGACGTCAGAATAACAAAGAAAGAAGACTCGGCAACATTAAAGATTCATGAGATATTGAAGGGAGAAGGGGTCCAACCTGACTATTAAGTAGTAACTGCAACCAAAAGATATCCAGAGAGTGAAAACATGAAATATCCTGCAGTATCTAGCATTACGCCTAGATAATAAGTGATGGTTCAAGGATGATTCAATAATGAATCCTCCATTTGCAGAATCATTGTTTAAATATTATGAATATAGAGTGTTTCATAGCTGTGTTATTCTAGGTGAATATTCGTGACCAAAGGAAACAAGGAGCTAGTGATACCAGGGACGCGATATATCTTTGTCCTTGCCGGTACACTAATGGAATATTCCGCTAGACTCCAACCCGTGTGAATGTATGCTTAGGTCTCCAAGGGCGCATACATAGGGCTAGAATACAACGATGATATCCATGATATCGGTTATATTATATGTGGATTGTCAACGCTCGAGTAAGAATACCATCGAAGGAGAGTATATACGGAAAATATTTGTATAATCCTCTAGTAGGGAATATGACAATGCATAACTATAATCCCAAATATAATAGTATAGATGCACTTCACCCTTTTATTCTGGAGCTAATAGATCTTTTCTACCGCATCTTTTCCCAACTATAGAGTCTCCCAACCACCATTGTTGACCTCCGCTTCTAGCCTTCTACTTACTGAAGAAGGTATGCTATGTGATAGCCACATGTCGCGGAAAAGGCGATCATATCGCTTCTGATTCAGAATAAGTCGTCTGCGATGCCTAAACCCAGGGTCAACCTCTCCATGGATATCTAGATAGGGTGCAAATCTCCAACATCCGTTGCCATTGTGCAAAAGCGCCACTGCGCATTTTCGAATGTTGATAAATATACCAGCATTTCTTCCACATCTATCACATGTCGGATTAGTATTAGTAAGGGAGACTCATATCAACAATAGCCAAAGGGGCAAAATTTAACAGGATGAGTGCTTACTTCGCGAGATGACGGTTACAACCACCCAATCTTGTATTCACCATGCAGCAGCTTGCTTGAGCGCAGAATATCTCGCCACAGAAGAGACAAAGTGTCGCATCAGTTAACTCCTTTCCAGTAGTCATGCAAGTGCGTTGAGTCGCCTCATCTAGCAACGTGTCGAAATATTGAGGGAGTCCTACTAGCTCAAAAATTGCCGGATGCATGAGAGAAAGCTGCGGCATCGGGTTACCAGCGGATTTGGCATCGTGCTTTGAGATACACCAATGCTCCATCCATCCACAAACGATAGCAGATAACGGATCACCGTCCTCTGCGGCGGACAACGTTTCGAACATTTCCGGTATGGTTGGCAGTTGTAGGAACGTAGTGAGGCGATCAAGCTCTGAGATGTAGTCAAGGTCTGATCCAGCATCTGGGAACTCAAGGCCATGTCGCACGTTCAGTAGGATGGCTGTTTTTCGAAGGAAGGGAAGGATATACTTGGGAACCACTTCATGGCAGCCTCTTAGTCGGTATTTCGGAATAAAATTTCTATCGATACCATCCAACAATATCTGCAGTCCTGGGTCTGCTACAAATGATGCACACGACCTATAAGCCGAGATGACCCACATAACGAAGTCTTTAGCCGAAGAGTATTCGTAGTCAGTAGTATCATCAACTGAAGCGTGATCCATATTTGCTTTCAACCCCTGAGGAGTGAGAAGGTATGCCAAAATGACCTTCACAATTTCTGCGGCATAGCAAAGACGGACAAAGTGCATAATATCAACCTGCAGCACGGGAACTAGACAGAGCGAGGACTCTGCTAAAAACACAAACGTGTCTGTAGAAAGTAAAGGTTCGATATCCATTGAATCACGAGCAAGATTCGAAATCCCCGAGAGCCTGGGATGGCCAAAGAATAGTTGAAGTAACTGCCGACGATGACTATCTCGGAACTCATGTGCAACCTTCAACGCGGAAGGAAATTCCAAGCCACCTAGGGAAGCATACGCAAGTGCAGTATCGCATAGGATTCGCAGGTGTGTTAACGAGATCTCCGATATACCATTTATCAGATATGTCCCTGATTCGGCTTCCTGGCCTCGTTGGGCAATTTCAACCGAAGTGATAGAGTAGGCAAATATTTTAAATAAAGAGTCAGTATGGACTAAATCCCCCTCTAGGACATGTGATGGCTGGTAGTCAAACCGAGATGGTATAGAATTGAACCGCATGGTATCGCGTAGTCTTGCGTAGACTGCGAGAAACTCAGAAAATGGGGACGGAGTGTCGGTGGGTGGTGCCTCCCCTCCTTCCAACAAAGACGCGACACTTGGTGTGCTTGTAGCATCTGGGAGATTCGCCAGGATTGGTGCACCGATCAAAGCAGTAAGGGTTGCTCCCGTGTTATGGGCGCCCAAGGGGTCCTCCGGCGGCGCCTGAAAGGGTCTACCTTCCGGCGACACTTGCCCGTCTGCAAATCCTACCAGGTCCCTAACTCGAGGGGTTGAAAGGTAGTCCTCTGCGAACCCTTGAGGATCCCTAATTCGAGGGGCTAAGTAGTCATCTGCGCTACGAGAGAGGGAGGGCATTAAATTATTCGAGAGGTACTCCACAAAGAACTCTCCGTAGCCTGGGATAAAGAATTTTTCATCTTCTTTGGCCAAAGCATGGCTGGTGAACCTCTGGAGGAGCTGGTCCACCTTCTCGTTCATGAAGCTCTGGAACGAATTCTCAGTGGACAGCACTCCAGGGTATACCACCTCCTGCCCCCTCCATAAAATGGGGAGAAATGCATTCCCAAGCGCTTTACAAAGCGGGCAGACGAATTCGTTCAAGTTCAAGCTTTCGGGGTGATTTCGAGCTACTTGTTGATTGTGTCGCCTCTTGGTAGCCGTGTAGTAGGTTTCAAAGCAATTATAATGCATGATGTGCCCGCAACCTGTTGAAACAGGACCTTGTTTGTGTTGCTCGGCTGGGAAGCCCTTCCCAAGACCTTGCTTTTCCGTAATTATCAGATTTCCTTTAGAATCTAACTGTTCAACCTGCTCCCGATTTTCACCAGCGATTCCAAAGGGACGAATTGATTCAGCCGATCTATCCAACGTAGAGGGTGTCGTCAGGACTTCTTTGACAAAATCCGGATCTTTCAAATCGGTTTCCCTAAAAATAGAGCTCTCTGTAACGAGAGCGAATGTGCCATATAATCTCGAGTCGTTGGTATCTTCCTGGCACAGTATACAGTTTCCCGATGGGTACTTCCGGATTACCTTCCCCGAGGTGCGCGATGGCTCTTCAGTCTCGTCTAGTTCGTCTTCATCCCCATCAATGTTTTCTTGGCTAACCCAGAAATCTTGTTGCTGTTGCTGGAACTGCGCCATGATTTTAGCCTGCCTCTCGAGGGCCCGTTTCTTCTTTTGTTCCACCTCATTGTCAGAAACGGGGGTAGAAGATGACTGGTAAATATTGCCAAATGGGAATGTATGATCATTTGTAGTGGAAGAGTATAACTTTGGATCTTTCTCCCAAAGGCACTTCAGTATGTGTCGGATTTTAGGCCCACAGGATTCAAAGGCGGGAACCTCTGATATTTTCTGGAATAGCCCAATGATTGTTAAATCCCCAAGCTGTGTGGGCTTGGTTTTAGTAAGAGCATGGAATGTGAACGTCTGCTCGCCTGACTCGGAGTCCTCGTCATCTGCTTTCGGGTCCTCAAGAACAGCAAGGAGCGTTAGGTGAAGAATAGTCTGTAGAAAGGGCTCAATCCTCGTCAATTGAACCGAAGGGGTGCAGACTTTGAACATCAGACAATACTCTAAGAACTGGTGGATTATTTGAGCAAATAGGGGAGTTCGAGTAAATCTGGTATACCCAGAAAAGAGTCCGGTAGGAATTGGCTCCAGTTTGGGCTCAAAGATAGCGTCTTGAATACTTTTCCCAGTTGACTTTGCTTTCCACTGTTTGAAGATGTGCTCGGCCTCATCTCGTTGATTCCTACTGTACTGAGTGGAATATGGGTCTATTAGGCCAATATACTGGGGTTTTAATTCAAAAGTTCCAGTATCATTGAGTCCATCGGGAGGGCGGAACGTGGCGACTTCTTCAAGTAGCTGTTGGAAATCCCGCGCCTCAACAACTTCATCCCGTATCCTAGCACTAAGGTCGGTATACGGGAGCGGCTTGAAACACAAAGTGTGGGCAATATCTCTTCTGATGATGTGGTGTTGAATGGTGGTTTCGTCGTCGCCTGGAGAAAGGGACATTCGTTCAGATATCAGTATGATCAGAAGATGCATAAATTCGTCAGCAACATCCACATGTTGCCCTTCGTCGTAACCAGGTCGATCAACGTAGCTTCCTTTGATCCAGTCCAATATCGCATATCTATCACATAAAGTTGCAAGCACACGACTCGGATCACAGATCGCCATGGCGGACTGTATCATGAAGATATCTCGACAGTACGCCACATCTCGCGAGATTACTGCTCGGTATTGACCCATTTGATGTCTGAGACTCATACCGTTCCTAACCCACATGCCAGCCTTCATCTGGGCAAGCCAGGCGCAGACCCTGATAGGGAAGTCAAACATCGCTAGAATGACGTCGTCGACATTTAGTGCTGGTGACGGAGCCAGGGCAAATTTTTCTTTCATCAAAGTTACAGCCCGGATAAGAAGACCCCTCACCCAGTCTCTCGGCTTGCTTCTGGCGCACTCTAACAACCATGAAAGAGTATAATGTAAAGCATGATGGAAACTCAGTGATCCTCGTTCAACAACAAAATCAACCACCGTATGGCGGCCACATTGGTTCAGTGCGTCTATCTCAAACTCGAGATATGGCACTGTTTTGAAACGAACTGGCTCTTTAATTTCAGCTTGAACGAAGCGCTTTCGCTCCATGCCCATTGAGTTGACCATCGTTGCAAGGGCAGCCTGCGTGATCGCGTCCGCGAGGTGATTATCTCCTTCGTCGAGTTTATTTGGGCGGAACGCTTCGCAAAATATCCTGCAGAGCCGCGTAATCTCTCTCATTAGAATGGAAGCTCCTATCCATGCATCTGTCTCATATTCCAAGTGTTCCCCAACGGCTCGAACATTTGGACAAATCCCCTGGGTAAGCTTAATGAGATCCATAAACTGCAAAAGGTATTGTCTCTCTGTCCTTAAATGGGTCTGGATATGGTCGGAGGCCAGTATGTATCGTAGATCAAGGAAGAAGTGATATAGCCTTCGATTGGTAATTGACCCAGAATCCATCGCAAGTGTGGCCGTTGGACTGACATCATGAGGCTCACCAACCTGCCTAGTGGTGAGGAAAGTATAAAGGATGGCCATTATGCTAGTGAGGAAGTTCCCACGGTCAACTACCTCCTTTGTGATAGATGGGGTCGTGAACAGCTGTAAGGAGAGTTTGATAATCGAATGGTCAGGTTCTCTATCCGCAATCAGATATAGCTGAGCCAGAGCGGTGTATAGGGCGGAGAATCGTAAACCAAGGACCCTCTTGAACTCCGGGACGTTGACAACTGTAGCCAAGTACAACTCTCGCACATCAGTCCGAGTCTTCTTCCACAAGCGCAGGTCGTATAATATCAACCAGTCTAACCGCGTTCTCTGTTGAAGGTTTTCATGAGGCAATTGCCTCTGTTCGTGAAATAGACGCGGCTTTTCTTGCCAATGCGGTAGAGACGTGTGGTTAGACTTGGGGTTTACCCCTGGTGTTTTCGGTATGGGGACAGGCTTCCTGGAAAACTGCGGATCGTCTGTAACTGGGAGAATGATGAGGGGATCATCGTCTCCGGGCGGAGGATTTTCAGGCGGCGGCGGAGGCGGCGGAGGCTGTGGTGGAAGGCCAAATTCTGCGATCTCCGTGTCTACTTGCGTCGTCTGCATGTCGAGATCAGTATCTTCCGGCGGGCCTTGGGCATCATCTAGCACATTTTGGGTGTGCATTTCGAGCTGTACCTGATCCACGTCTGCATCATCCATATCCTCATCGTCGTCATCCTCAGCAGCCCTTCTCATATCCTCAGTATCTTCCATTTCAGCGTCAGTAAAGTCGACCATTTCTGCAGCTAAGATTTCGGCTTGCGCAATTTGGACGGCCTGGTAGATATGTCCGTCATCTAAACTCTGGTCGTCGATTCCCTTGCTGCCAATTCCAGCGTTGGCGGCGGTACTTCCAGGGTGCCAGGGTTGAAGCATCTGCTCGCAAACCATGAGTCTCAGCAGCGAGCCATCACCTCCAACGCTACAGCCAGAAATATCGGAGAGCCAGTCGATTATGGTGGCACACATCTGCTCCCGGAAGGTATCCCTCGCGGATCGGACGGTGACGGTTACTCTGATCTGCTCTATGATCCTCGAGACATCAAGCAGGCCCGCGAGGTTCTTCGAGTATTTCACCACACTTCTGCCGAACTCATCCGATTCATTGGCTTTCTGGAGGCCGAACCTTTCACGCTCTCGACAGGCACGGGCTACCTGATTTGTGACTTCGTTAATGGTGTGTTTTTCGTCGTTCCATAGCACAAGCGCAAACTCAGGCTCGCTATCCTCAGGATCACTTGCATGATACCAATCTCCAGATAGCCTGGATACGACCTCATCCTGCCTGATGCCCGCTTCCGTCTTGGTGAGCCGCAGCTGTTCCGGGGAGCAAGATATCACATCACAGAAATAGTCGAGGACCCGGGCAATAGTCATCCTAATACATGCAACCAGCATTTCAGGGACCGGGGCCACATCTTTCTTCTTCTTGTCCTCGTCATCATCGTCCCGTTCCAGCGCCGTATGGATGGCACAGTGCACCGGCAGCCGGAAAGCTTCTTCGTCTCCGCAGTCACAGCATCCAGAATGCCCGCTCGAAACGAAGAAGGTGTATTTGTGTCCCGTGTGGTCGGAGGCATTGAAGCAGCGGTTGCATAGACAGCAAGTCTCGTCTATAGAGCACGTAACACAGTGATAGCCTGCGTCTCCGGACTTGAAAGTATGCCCACATCGCTTCCCCCGAGCTGCCTCAGAGTATTCCGCCCCAGCCTCCAAGCCCTGGGCTTTCGATAAGTTCCAGCACCCATTTCCAGGGCCGTCAGGGAACAGCAACTGTAGATAATCCTCGTTATAGCCCGACAGCGAGCGGAAGAGTATCTCTATAAGCTCGGTCCTGGCCCTGTCGTCGTATCGATTGTGGTATCGGACTGGAAACTCCACCAGCGCCTGTCCCAGTGATTTTTCGACGTCCGCTAGAGAACGAGGCATCATCTCTGGAGTGTGTTCGGGCAGCACATATGCGCATAGGACGGATAAAGGAACGACGGGCGCACGAGAGCTCTGCGGCGAGGCTGCGGTTGTTGATAGCGATGTAGTGGCGAGCAGTCTATAGTTGGAGTATAGCTAGGAGGGGGAATGTCAGCGTGGGACACCGCACAAGAAAAGGCGATTCAGCTTACAGCCGAGCGAAGCTGCCAGCAGCAGATAAATCCAGCTTACAGGAACGAGCTCGGTCGTCTTGAGTATTCTTCGTCTGGATAGGAGGGAGACAGGAAATGCGCAATCCTTGAGCGTGGAGTTTGTTGTTTTGTGCTGGAAGCTCGCCTGACTAAGACGGCGATATGCAGTTATTGGGCGGCCAAAGGCCTCTACTCTGCGAATACCGATATCACTTACACTTACGCTGTACGAGCTGGCGGCTGGAGTTATAAGGGGTTGTATTCAGGTTGTAAGTGTGGCAGGTCTCTGGAAGGAGTCGCAGCAACACTCGGAAAGCTGAAGATGACGCTGAAGACAATGCTGAAGACAATACTGAAGACAGCAGTCCAGCGAATAAAGTATTCAGGGTTCAGAGGGTTCAAACGGTATGAAACATTTTGTTCTCTATTTCTTTAACAAGTATCTGTACAATTGTCCCGGCCACGAATAGTTGTCTATAGCCCAACCGCCACACCGCAAGGAACAGGTTTACTCGTCGTCCTTGGTGATATATCGATGCTTCACGTCCTTCCATTGTCGCTATAAAGGTTAAAAGAAGAAAAGTCAGCGTGGCTCAGAGATAGAGGGCCGGAGGGTATGTATCGTACGCCGCTGTTTATGCAATCCCAGACCTTGGTCGAGACGGTGTCGTAGGCCCTAGATATAAACTGTCAGACGGAGATGCAAGAGGGTAAGGCTCGAATTGGACGGCTGGGAGCCTCCATCGACGAATCGTGGGTTGGTTGACGTACATCTCGAAGCCGAATGCGCCGACGAAGACGGTGGTCAGCATGATGCCGTTTCGCCTAATGAAGGTGCTAAACGGGCAAACAGGGTCAGCCAAACGGGCCTGGATCGGGCAGCCGGACAGGACACAGGCTCTTACTTGTAGATGGAGGCGGAAAGCTAGAGATAGTCCCGGGCGTCAGCAAGAAACGGTCCTGGCATGGGAGCAGCTGGGATACTTACAGCCATTGTGAGATGAGATCGGGCGAGCAGATACTGGGATCCAATGCAAGTGCAGAAACCGCGGCGTTCCTCCGGAATATGCTTGATGTACCCAGCCGGCGAGATGTGGGTGGGAGAGGCAGAAGTTCGTTTCGTCCTTTGGTCGAAGTTGCAGAAGTTGATGTTTCGCAGCGAGCGAGAAGGAATTTGGTAAACGGCGGGCGCTGATTGGTCAGCAGGCCATGTTGATGATATCGCGACCAAAAGAGAGAAAAAGTTCCAGAGACCAGAATATTTACCTGCACCGCGGCCTAGGACAGACACTTCTACGGATACGTTTCAGGCTGCTGGGCCACAGAGAGGGCCGTCTTGTACTCTCAGCTGGCAGATACTACAGGTCCGATACCATCTTCCTACGCCACCGCCATAACAGCATCATTCTATATATCAGGCTGCTCTATATAACCGGCAAATCAGTCGAGACAGCATGTCTGCCAACGAGAAGACACGCATATCGGGCATCACGACCAACAATCTCACCGGCGAGCGTCATATCCCGGCCTCCGTCCGCGCAGATGGCTCCCAACGCCGCGAAATCCGCATCCGGCCAGGCTATAGTCCGCCCGAGGACGTCGAGCTATATAAGAACCGTGCCGCGGCGTCGTGGAAAAACCGTGGCAAGGCAGGAGTTCCAGGCGCGGAGCCGGTAGCGAACGAGAATACTGCGTCAGCCGCCAGCGTCAAGAACGCAAAGAAGAGAGAGGCCAAAAACAAGGCCAAGGCGAACAGCGAGGTCACAGCTTCTACGGGACAGACCGACTCCCGGAAGAGCGAGAAGGACACTGCTCTGGACAAGGAGAGCTGGCGCGTAACGGCCGGCACAGCCGGCAGCGGGAAAGACAGAGAAACAGCTACGGAAAACGACGTCGATCCGGAAGCCGAGCAAGAGAAGAAGGCGAGAAACCTGAAGAAGAAGCTAAAGCAGGCCCGCGACCTACGTGACAAGAAGGCCAAGGGAGAAAGTCTGCTCCCCGAGCAGCTGGAGAAGGTTATCAGGATCAACGAGCTGGTGCGGCAGCTCGAGTCTCTGGGCTTTGACGCTGACGGCGAGAAGAAGGCAGACTCTGGGGAAGCCAAGTGCTGATATACGGGGGCCATGGAGCGAGATCACTTATGATTATGATAATGACGGATGACGGATGAACATTTCGCTCGAGCATATTATGCTTGAGCTACTGCTGAGTACGGTCGACCTTGAGAGCCAGATTTATATTGTAAACTCCATCCTTGTAGAAGTTATCTATTAGGCGTAAGGAGGTCTTATGTGTATTATTTTCTGAATCACAAGTTTGAGGACAAGTCTAAGGCTTTACTCTGCACAAGAGGGTAAATAAGAAGAACTTTGAGACTTTTAACATGGACCTTTGGTGTGTTCCAAGGGCGTAGTCTCGATTTAATACATTTGAACATTCTCGCTGTGACTCGTATCATATTATATAGGGAGACAGAGACGGTGTTTGGCCCTATACCTATATTTCTAAAAGATCGGAAGCGTCTCTACTACTCTCGTCCTGGCCCATAACAGAGGCAAAAAGTGTAAGGGGATTTAGTACAAACAAGAGGAAATGGCCCCAAAGCTCCCAGCTGAAGGGAGGTGCTGGAAGATGCATCCCCATTTAAGTTCCGTGGTCGTTAAACGCATATGCGCTAACTACAGCCACGCAACGTACAGGGGATGGAAAGGGGGAAATACAGATGGAAGCAGAATTAGAGCAAACAAAGCTAGCACATGCAAACCGCAAGAAAAATAAATATATTCCCAGATACGCCGTTGTTTACTCGTAGATGAAGCTGACATATTTCATGAATCCTGTTCGGACCACAGGTGGACGTTCGGCGGCAACAATCTCATCCAAACCTGTCACCATGTCGATATCTTCCGGACGCCACATCCACGGATCACTTCTGGTATACCAACGGTGGGAGAAGTAGACCAACAGGAAGGCAGGAATGCCAATGTATGCGGTCAGGAAGTCGGAGGCGTTAAATCTCGAGGGGAAGAGGGTGTGGAACCCGTTGATCAAAAGAAGGAAAATGAAGCCAAAGATTCCGATGCGCGCACCCCAGGGTTGGAACCTGGATTTATAGGTGAGCTCGATGCCTTGGACTTTAACTGCCTTGGTGAAGCGGAAATGGATGATGCAACAGCAGGTCCAACTTATAAAGGCGGATGTGTTGGTGAAGCTAACAAACCAGTTGAAGACGCGAGAGCTTCCGCTGCCAACAGCTAGGTATGCAAGGGGGAGGAACAAGGCACTGGCAGCTAGAGCCATATAGGGGAGACCGTATCGGTTACAGGCCTTGAATATATGCGGAGCATCACCGGCAACGGCGAGGGAGTAGAGAGCACGAGAGGACATGTAAAGGTACGAGTTTCCGGAACTCCACGCGGAAGTGAGAATGACGGCATTGACAATTCCAGGGAGGACGGCGATTCCAGCATTCTTGATACCGAAGACGAAGGGGGACGAGCCGGCTCCGGCACCTCCGTTAGTCAAGGCCGCCTCGTCAGACGGGCAAGTTACACTAATGGCGAGAGATCCTAGGATATAGAAGAAGGCCAGACGGTAGAAGAAACGACGTGAGGCGCGAGGGATGTTGTGTCTGGGCGATTCCATCTCACCGGCGGTCTGGATGATCAGCTCGGGCGCGAAGAGGAATGCAAAGGCACTGAGCACGATGCACTGTAGGAATGCCACGAAACGACCCGCATCGCCTTTGACTATATATTCGTTTGCCGGCCGCGGATGCGTCCAATAATGGAAACCAAGTCGCTGGCGAGATGGGCCACCACCCCAGAAAAGGATGAAAGCCAGGATGATCAAGCCGAGCATCATGATGACTTTTAAACTGGCGAACCAAAACTCACTCTCTCCATACCAGCGGACGGGGAGTAGATTAAGGGCGATGATGACGACTAGGAAAATAGAGATCCAGACAGCAATGTTGATGGAGTTGTTCCAGTATCCCACGATCAGCGAAGCGGCGACGATTTCGTTCGGCACCAATATCCCGAGGGAATACCAGTATAGATATCCGAGCGAGAAGCCCAAGCTTCGTGAGACGTATCGAAAGCCGTAGTAACTCATTGTACCACCGTGGACGGGCAGGTAGGTACCAACCTCAGCAATTGCAGTGACAACCAGATAGACGAGGACACCGATGATCAGGTATGCAGATACTAGAAACGCCGGACCACCGATGGCGAGCGCCTGGCCGGAACCGACGAAGAGACCAGTACCAATAGTACCACCGAGAGCCATCATCTGGACATGTCTCGACTTCAGGCCACGCTGGGTCTGGTTATACCGGGTGTCGTGCAAGCTGGCCTCGACCATAGCCCGCATATCGTTGCGTTTCTCGTCGCCATACTGGTAGGCTGGCGCGGGAGTATAGTCGTTGGCCTCGACATCGGGCCCTTCCTGGTGACCCATCTTTGTCAGAGAAGCTGTCTTCGACGTGGGAGGGAGAATGCGACGCCAACAGTCCAGTCAGATGGATTTCCGCCGACGTCCACGGGTATGACGTCGATGACGATGACTTGAACCAACAATTCTCCAAACTGAAGCTCATATATAAAAGCCCAGCGACAGGGAGGAAGAATTCTTGCGGTCCCCGGTCGTATATATATAAACGGGGGAGGGGGGATGTTTTTTTTTAAGTCGCAAGATGAAGGAAGGCGGGATTGCAGCGCACCTGCGGATAAAGCAGCTGTTATATGTAACTTGGGGAGAAAAATGGAGAACTCTGCGGCATAAGGTTAATCGTCCTCCCGCCAGCGAATCAGGAAATCCATGGCTTTATGGAGGCGTTGCTGATGTGCCTGGGGTTGGGGATTGAGCCTTCGACGGGCACAAAGCACTAATCAAGCCACCCTCCCGCACGTCATATCTCGTCTCGTCTGTTCTCACACGCAGTTCAGCCTCCTCCGGGACCCTCCCCCTGGTCACGGCCGTGAGCATGAACCGGCTGCTACCATCCATATCGTCGAGAGCCAGACGCAGACCAAGATACACACGGAGCAAAGTGTGGACACACAGCTCCCTCCGTGCTGGCGGATACGACGCTGCATTATAGCGAGCGAATAATAATGCTGGTTCCGTGGAGAACTCATTTCTGGACGTACTAATTACCTCATCAAGGTGTCAAAGAGCTTTGCAGGGCAAAGGCCAGGGTTTGGGCGGCTGCAGGCCCCGTCCGTGGTAGTCGAACTCTGTATACCACGGTTGGAGTGACGGAGGCGCTTCTAGCAAGAATTCCATGGCCCTCTTTCTCGGCGCCCCAGAGGATCGCGAGCCCTTGGCTCTTCTTCTTTTCTCATTCCTATCTTTTCAAGCTTTTCTCTGGGCGCCCGGTCAGAGGGCGCAATTTGCTTGCTTCTGCCACCGGCTAGTCCTCCACCGTGATAGGACAAATAGATGGCGAATCTTGTGTAAGCATGTCGAAGCTTTCCCTCCTTCATATGAACCACCATGCACCCTTCGTATACCAGTCGTGTGCCTTTTCCTGCCATCAAATACTCCGTATCAGTCGTCCATGGTACCGCCAACCTTAAAACCGCAGTTCCAGCAATATCTCCCGGGGTCCCGCAGTGAAATATTGAGAGAGACAGCTGATAGCGATTTCTGCGCATCTCCCTTCTTAAGGGCTATCTTATCTCGTTGTTAGACCTTCAAAGCAGTCTCTATATGCTCCGTACGTACAGAGGCTGGTCCCCTGTCTGCATACACGCGCCCAGGAGGGTGTGCGGGGTCCACTGCAGAGCGGATGTGCATCTCCACAGTGATAGAAGATGTTAGTGGTAGGGATGTCAAATAGCGCACATTGAGAACGCATATCGAATGCCTCAATTGTTTGAATATCCCTCGACGAGTGCCGCAAATCATGTTAAATTTCGCCTTCATGTCGGTCAATACTGCACGAAAAATCTGTCCGTACGTTACTCCGTAGCAAGTCCGCGGTATGTACTCCATGCACTGTATGAATTTGCGTGGGCTGTATGAATTAGACTGGGAGCTCTGTCGGTAGCTAGTTAGAGGACCTCCTTTGACTTTTTTTTCCAGCCCTTGATCGCTTGCCTAATCAAGCTTTGCCGTCCCATTGTTCGCCCTTTGTTTGACAGGCGCATATTACGGAGTACCTCTCGGACAGTTTCCATTTGGGTCGTCTTACGGCGCTCCGTCCATCCTGCAGGCGAGCTCCTGCTGAGGAGGCTGTGACAGGGCACACTGCATGCAAACTATGCTGGGCCAGTTGCTAATATATTCAGGCGACGCATGCACGCCCTCACCCTTGAAGGTGGCTGTGTTCGAGTAAGTGTTAGCGAAGAACGAAACATAGCGTATCCCGTCTCGGTAGGATGAGCGATGCCGAAATGACCTTTTGTCTCGTACCCGCCTTATCCCAGCTCGAGCTCGTCAGCTGTTCGTCCGCAGACGTGTAGGTCAACGTCATGGAAAGGAGGAGGAAGAGGCAAAACGCGTTTGGTTAGCTCTTGTCCAGCAGCATTAGCGCAGCGGCACTTGGCTGTATTGTCGTTTATTGTCGGGGATTGCCATATTATTTATCGGGGATGACCGTTGACGCTCCACAGCGGAATTTCCGCTAAAGATTCTCCATTATCGATGAACGGAGGACGTTGAAGCCATAAATATCTATCTTCGTCAAGTTAATTATGATATTGGAATAACCGTCTCGCTTATTTTTCATTAACTGTGCAGCTACTACAATACCTGGTAAAATGCACCGGGAATTGCAAGAGTTTACTTACAGGATTTGCATGACCGTCATATCGCTGGTAGGACACAATAGATCCAGACGTTTGATATACAGAACACAGGCACCCGTCTACTTCGATACCATAGCAAACAAAGGCGGGCTGGTCTTCCGATGAGAATTGATATTCATCGACGAATATAGGAGATAAATGCCAATGAGGACGAATCATCTCCAGGGATTGATGCATGCCATGAACCCTTGCTGTGATAACCGTTAGGATAACCCAGCCACTCAGGTGGTAGGATCAAGGACTCCTATATCAAGGTCAGATATACCCTGAGCGTGGCCATCGCCCGTCGACCACGTCTACCAACATCACATGTTTATTTGTTATCCAAAAAAGCCATGACTCGAAGAAGTATATTTAATATCTAATATCTTCTAAGGAATAGAGCCTGATAAAACAGTAACAGCCAATATCAAATGACATCAGGGATAATAAATCCAAAGAAGGCAAAAACAACAGGAAATCATGTGCAACCAGAGGAAGACAAGATCAGGAAAAATAGAATAGGGAAAAAAAAAAACAAATTATATCAAGAACAAAATGTTTTATTATTGTCTCGCATCGTTCATCGTGTCAGGTCATCAAGCAAAAAGCATCAAGCAAGCAAGCAGTTTAACGGTTTAACGCTGTATTCCAGACTGTTCCAAGAAAGAATGGAGAAAAGAAGAGCAAGAAAACCAATCAGAGACGGGGCCATCAACCATCAGCAATATCATGGGTGGCAGTTTCATTTCACAAGTCAATCATGTAGCGCGAGCCACTTCAAAGGAAATAAAAGGAGACAATAAGATAGAGAGGAGATAAAACAAGACAATTGGTAGAGAGTAAATGGAGTTTTTTTTAGAGTTTTGTTGGTTATTGGTACTTTTTTTTGTCGTTTTTGTCCTTTTTCGGGGGGAGATTGGATGAGTGGAAATTGAAATATGGTCGAAAGTAATTGTGGCGGATAAGGAGATGAGAACAAAAAAATAGTAGAAAAATCAAGTGAGCGTAGGTAGATATGGTGAGGCCATCCAAAAACCATGTCAGTCTTATCTATCTATATCATAATCAGATACGTATATAAATAGATAGACCTGATCATAGCACAGGCATGACGTTCAAAAAACAAAAGAAAAAGACGTCGTCGTGTCATTGTCAGTGTCGTATAGATTCGAGTTCGATGTAAATAAGAATACGTGGCAAAAAAATTGCGGGTGTGTTCGCAAATTAATTTAGATAGTACGTTTGTGTTTATTCATTTGCTCGTTGTCGTGGTCGTCGTCGTAGCTGCTGCGCTGTTTCATTTTTTTCATCGTCTCCTGCAAACTGCTAGAAGTATAAAGGGAAAAAAACTCCGTTCCGTGTTCGATAAAATCAAATGTACTGTACGGTAAGCTGCGAACCAAAATCAAGAAATAAGGTAAGGTATGGCCCGTTGATACGCTAACGCCAGGGTGAAATGGTCTTTCGTGTTCGAAGGCGAAGGCGCGGCATTGGGAAGCAAGAAATGATCGTGCAACACATTATAATATGGTATGGGATATCACGATAGGCACCAGAAATACTCCAAAAAACTTGCATGTGGTATTGTCGTTTCATATCATCATTCGTCGTTTAAAAAAAGAGGTATAATAGCGGAATATTGGCCAATGCAATATGGATGAATGGAAGAGGGGGAGCAAGCTATGCCTCCGGCGAGTGTAACGCCGTGGTTGGTGCTGGTGCACGTTCTATATCCGACGTGTCTAGATCTGCAGAGGAGGACAGGGTCGAGAAATGCAGCTGTCCCTGGGAATGTGCGTGCGGGTGTATCAGAAACGTATCTGATCGCGAGGGAGCATGCCGAGGGCGATAGTATTGCCGTGGCTGCTGCTGTGGGCGCTTGCTCGCCGGCAGATCGAGATTGAACGGGGATCCGAGACGTTTGATGCCTTCTCCTTCGCCTTCTAGGGTTTGGGCCTGGTTACGTGGATTTAGGTCGTCCATTTCGTTGGAGCCTGAGCCTGAGGGTGGAGTAAAGAGTTGGACGAGCCGGTGACGCGAGTTAATGTTAAGCATGTTACTGCTGCTGTTTGTGGTAAGACCTCGGGTGCGAGTGCGGACGCGGACACGGTGGGGAGTGTTTTCTTTAGCATCAGCTGGGACTGGGGCTGCTGGCAAATGCTGGTTGTTAGGGGTGAAGAGATCTGGAGGCATTCCCGAGCGTAGGCGAGAGCCAGTGACATGAACTGTATCATGGGCTTCGACACCGCCCTGAACCGGGGTGGTGTCTCCCTGAGTGACACGATTGCGCGAGGCCGAGGGGCCCCAGGTATGGTACATAAATGGAGAGCCTAGGCGAGGAATGTCGTCATTTGTCGATGTCATGGAGTGGACAGTGTTTGACACGATATTAGGCGTTGATGCTGCCTCTGGAGGGTCACTGGGGAGAGTGCCCGAGACGAGAGAGATGCCTAGATCTCTGGTGAATGGTGCAGGTGTGGTGGCGGTAGTGTAATTGCTGAACATGTCTGGAGGTGGAGACGGGCTGCGAGACTGCAGTAACCGTTGATAATGGGGAGCAATTGAGTATTTCCGTTTGCACAGCTCCTTCAGTCTTCTCCTGGTAGCAGCATCTGAGCGAGGCCACTGGACTGTCTTCGAAGCAGAATCGGCACCGTCTGCAGGTTGGGACTGGGGCTGCTTCGATCTCAGCCACGCTCTGCGCGCTTCTCTGGCCACACGATGCGATACGCCCAGTGGCGGCAAGCTACCGGGCAACATCTTGAACGGGGTGATGGTCGGGTCCTGCAGATGGGTCTGGTAGGTGTTCCATAGGTGGCAGTCCATTTCCGAGGACCAACGGTGAGTCTGGCTGAGATGAGCGGGCACGACAGAGTTCTTGACAGACTTGGATGGAGTGTCTAGGTTGTGTTTATTGTCCGGCAACGTAACTGCTAGGAAAGGGTCGTCTATCTCTGTTTCAGGGCTGGTACAGCTGCCTCCCAGGGAAGCGAACGAGTCGAACGAGGCAGCGGAGGAGAACGAGGAGTCTGAGGCATTGGAGCAGGCGGACGACGGTCTGCTGATGGACGCGCCCACGGGCGTAGTCGTTCCATCCGCGTGGTTCTCCAGGTCGGGGACGAGACCACGGATCTGAGCCGGCGGTGTCTTTGGGTCGGTCCTCTCGCGTCGAGGCACCTCCAGGAAGCCGCCGAGCATCGATGCGGTGATAGACTGCAGTTCGCCCGTCGACTCGGCAGGGATACGCGACAATTCGATTGACGGGAGCGGAACGTCAGGCGCGCAAAAGGGGATGGGTTTTCGTTCAATGCGCCGTCTTCGAACGCGATGAGAGGCGTGTTGAGGTCGTGGCGGGTTGGGAAGATCGCGAAGGGGACGGTCTGGCGTCCTGGGTTCGGACTCGTTAGGCGAGAAGAAGGTAAAGTCCTTCGGCAAGGTGTGTGCGCCAGCCATGGCCGGAAGCGAGTAACTGGTGAACTGGGTGCCGTCAAGGTGAAATGGTCATGGTCACCGCATGCAGAGGTGAGAGAGAGCGAGGGCGAGGGAGAGCTAGCTAGCTGTGTGGACTGGCATCTGTCAGGAAGACTGGTTGCTTGAATCTCGAAATGGGCTGGGGGCAGAGGGGGATGGGACAGGTCAGATTCAGACGCGCGTGGCGAGGAGGAAAAATCGAAAAAGTAGCCAGGAACCGCGACTTACCCGATCGACGACGAGGTCGAGAGTAGATATCAGACGTGGACGAGGCGACGGTGAGGCGGGAGATGGGCGAGATGCGGTGTACGGCGTATGCGGTCTCGAGTCGTGGCCGACCGAGATCCCTGAATTCTGCGTCTGTGGCCCTGACAACGCAGAGACACGCCAGCACGGGAGGAAGACAAGCGTCTACCACGCCGTCTAAACGAGGATCCTGCGTGTATCGCGAGCGTGGTGGGAAGCGAGACGAGACGAGAAGACGCAAAGTTGAAGTTGAAGTTGAAGTTGAAGTTGAGGTCGAGATGGCCGGATGGGGAAGTCAGGTGAGCCAGATCACGCACCCGAGTTACGCGCCGTATAGACAAGAGTAGACGAAGTAGACAGTATAGTATAGTAGAGTAGAGTAGTAGAGGTAGAGTAGAGTATATGAAGTAGAGTAGAGTAGAGTAGAGCAGATAAGTAGAGTAATAGATGAGGAGTAGAGGAGGAGTAGAGGAGTTGTTGAGTAGTTGTAGGTCGAGTATGTAGAGTTGTAGATAGAGTAGAAGTACTTATACACCGTCGACCATACAACTCTCTGTTTACAAACAAATATCCTCATTCACCGACGGTACAACAACGATACAACGATAACGAGAACGGTCTCCGCCGTGCGAGCAGCCAGAGAGCAGGTCAGAGAGACCAGAGAGACCAGAGACCAGAGACCGGACTCCAGAGACTGCCTACGACCAACCCAGGCCCGAAACCTGGCGATGGCGACGAGTTTCAGGCTTTGGGCTGCGAGGTGTTACGCAGGAGGAGGCAGCCGGGAAGAAGAGAGACATACGGAGAGACATACGGACAGACGAGGAGAAGAGGAAGAATAGGGGGAGCTGGCAGCGGCTTCGACTCGACTTCGACTTCGACTCGCTTCGTTCTACCGGGGCTAACGACGAGATGCAGAGACAGGCCCGCAGGATTGGATCGTGGAGATAGCATACGTGCTCTACAATGTGCTTGTCCACCTTACATACGTCGACGCTGCATGCTGACTGACGCCGAAAAACGTCGCTCAGTGCCCATCCCAGCGATCAAGGGCGGGAATCAGGGAGGCCATTGGGCCGCGGAGACCGCCAGGTCGACCGATCGCTGCATCTGCATCTTCCCTTTGGGCTGGGATGCGCCGGAGGTTACAGAGCAGGCAGGCCGGGTGGCCGGTCAGGATAGGCTGGAGGGCGCTGGCGCTGCCCCGATAGGCTGCCTTCACCTCCATCCTGCGCTCTCCGCATCCTCTTGTCCATACTTCATTGTATACAGCCAACGTATGGGACACGCTATGGGGGACAGGATGCCGATACTTGGTTTGTGCCATGTTATTTCCCGGTATCGTGCCCGCTGCATCGTCCGGCCCAACGACGCTGGTCAGGAGACTCTCTCCCAACGATAACGAGAATAACGGGCAGCAACAGTTTACCCTGTGCGCCTGTTGATCCTGTCCTGGTTCTGCTGCTGGTTCTGTCTCTGTCTCTGATGCTGGTGCTGGTGCTGGTGCTGGTTCTCTTGCGAGGGGCTGTACGACTTGCTGCTGGCTATATATCCATCCCCATCGCCGTCCCCGTCGAGCTATGAGCCGACTATTGAATCCCCATGGAAACGGTCCGACTCGCCTCTTCTACTGTGCCTGTGTAGATGTCTGGCCTGCCATGGAGGAGAGAGATGTGAAGACATGACCTCTTGATGCCGGTTCTGGCCCTGTCATGATGGCGAGTTGCCAGCAAGATGCGAGCTCCAGTCCTCCAAACCTGGCTCCTCTCCTTGGTCCGTCTCCGCAGTAACGTCATCTCTTCTTCTTCCCCTCCTCATCGTCGTCATCGTCCTCTTCTTTTCTTCTTTTATCATCCTCTCGTCATCTTCTTCTTCTCATTTTCTCCTTTTTCTCCCTCCTTTAACATATGTCTTGGCATGTGTCTTGGCGCGGATAAGGTTGTGCGTCATGTGATGATAAATATCACGTGATATATGGATTATATCATCTTATATAATCACGTGGGTTTAGAGCCCTATATCACGTGGATTCCCCTCCCTCGAGGTTTCTTCATCCAACAGAAGAAAGTCGACAAGAGATGACAATATATCCGTCGTTGGATATATAAGTTTATCATGGATGGAGCGGAGGACTACGCGCTCTTCAGTATGACGGAGGTACTCAAAAATGTCTGTCGCACGCTTCGGCTCTATAAAGGAACTATCATACCCAATTTTAAGGGCCAACGAGGGGATGCTAAAAGGCGTAACTCGAGCATAGATGAACATGATGAACTCCATGCTTACTCAAGGCGGTCGACATGGTTAATTATGCACCTCTTGTGTCATGAGAACAAAAATTGACAATTTTTCGGCCCCTACATATATGCAGCCCCCCAGTTACTTGTCCAATCGCAACCCGCCCCCGGTTTGTGTATAAGTGGCACACTGGCCTGGGTGGTTACGTTTCAGAGGTATTTGGAAATACAGCTGAACATGAATCCGCCTATTTCCAGGTGATACACCCAACGCTATGCATGTTATGGATCAGTAACAAGGCCATAAGTCTCGGCTGCAGATAAGAATTCTATTCGAGAAAATGGTCTTAATACTAGCTCCCCAGAAAGCACTGCTCACAACCACCTATGCAGAACTGCGGAGATTGCACTTGGTGTATCTGGCCAAGCATGATAACTATAACGTTACCCGGTATCCCCTTCCAGACCTTGATATTGCGGATCACCAGCGGCCAGACACTTTCATACCTCACGAGGACAAATGAAGGAGTATTGGACGTCGTCAGCAAAAGAACCTTGAAAGTTCCGTCTTGACTTGGACTGGGAATGATTTTTGTTTTCCGACTGTTGATACTGTTTTAACGCTCATATTGATTAGGAGACATTGACGCTTAAACATTGCGAGGCTACGGCGTAAGTCAAGGGCTAAATGAGATTTTATGGTTATGAAGTATTGACAATAAAACTTGATTTATCGACATTAGACCAAGGAGTCCTCTTTCCACGCATCTTAATAGGGATTTCTCGGTTTTAAATCAATTGGGCCAACATCGACACCAGTGTCTATCCGGTCCTGAATAGATCAGCGAACAAGGGATAACCTGCCGGCTTTGCATAAAACTTCGCCCCGTGGTCTTTCAGCAGCTGGGCCGCCTCATCCATCGTCACAACCATCTTCCACATACCAACCAGCCGGTCAACCCCGAATAAATCCGGACTATTCATTGAATACTCATAAATCCACACCCCACCAGACGATGGCCAGGCACACAATATCCGCCGTCGATCAGTTTGGTCGGATAGGTTGAGGATCGAGCCGTCAAGGCGTTCTGGTTCATATCCGTCTGCCAATTCGCTGAACGGATACTGGTCCATCTCATACGGGTCCAAGGGGTCCAGGTATACGATTGTATGGGATGACCGCCATAACCCCCCTACCAGACGCAGTTTACGGATGAATGCATCTTCATCGGTTTGATTCGATGACCGAAGTACTTGGGTGAAGCGATCTAGTCCGAGAAAGTCGAGTTCGGCGGCATTGGCACCGGTTTTCTCCCAGACGCCGCTGCCATCACTCCTATGGGGATGTCGGTAATCCCTCTCAGGAGGCCATGCTGAAAGAAGAGGACCGAATCGTGCGAACTGGAGTCGATAGCCTGTCACATTCTTATTTCGATTGCAGGAGCTGGGTTCCTGGTCCAGCGCTCGAGGATAATGGTATCTGTTCTCGGGGTTGTGGAAGTAGCAACCTCTATGGTCTCGGTCAATACATATGAGATACGTAGGCCTTCATCGGACATCATACATGAGGAATAGCCCAAAGAAGATAATCCCTCCGACCCCAGCAATCCACCTCCAGGATCTTCGCCTGTGTGCGATTTGCGCGTCCATAGTGCCTCGTTGGCAGCCAGCTGGCTGAATATGACCGTAGATATCAACATTCCCTGGGAGACCTGAGCTTCAAATACTCCTATCTCGCCTTTATTGAGCTGCCTGCTGGGCATTGTCGACCCCTGAAGGTCATCTGCATCCCTATGCATGTATCTTTTCCTAACTCCTGCGTCGACTGTAAGCCCGGAGCGAAGCCGGGAGATCGGGCATCAGCTGGACAAGCCACAGTAGCTGGATCTATATAACAGCTTCATCGTCTCACCTCTTCTCGTTCCCTTTCTTCTTCTCTTCTTCTTCTTCTTCCTCTTGAGGTCTTCTTCCCTGGGTGGCTGACTTCACTACGGCGGAACCTCGGCTCGTTTGCTGGACACAAAAACCCCTCTATCAACCTCCGTCCACCACAATCACGACTCTTGCTCCAGTAACACAGCTATCATTATTGTATATATTTAATAATGGGCGACCTTGGGCCACCGGCCTCGTCGCTGGAGGCCGTCTCAGTCCCGGCAGACCCTATTCCTAACCCCCAGGACGACGACATCCACGTCCTGGTCACTGGCTTCGGAGTATGGCCCCTCTTTACCATGTCCTAAAGCATCATTATACTGACCCTGTCCAGCCCTTCAAAACACATCCCTTGAACCCATCATTCCTAATAACTTCTCTGCTCCCTCAATACGTCCCATCCACGTCCAAAAGCCAGCGCCGTATCCGCATCCACGCCCATCCGCTCCCAATCCGCGTAGCTTACGCCAGCGTTCGGTCTGAGGTGCCATTGCTCATTGAGGCCTTCAGGGCGGCCCACGATGGCCGTCCGCCTCATCTGGTAATCCATATCGGCATGGCGTCGACAAGACAGTATTACGCCGTAGAGACTAAAGCACATCGAGAAGGATACGATGTCACAGACGTCGATGGCCGGTTTGGTCTGGCCTTTGACTCTACTTTACCTGCAAGTCTACAGCCCGGCAAGCCATCGTCGACGTCAATAACACCGCCAGAGTCGTCGATAAGGGTCAATCCGTCACCTCCAAATACTGAATTTCTGCAGACATGGCGCAAGAGCCTGCCTTCAGGTCGCTCGTTTGACGTGCGCCTCTCGCATGACGCAGGACGCTATCTATGCGAGTATATATTCTATACGAGTCTGTCGATGGCGTGGGAGGAGCAGAGACCCCGGGGAGTCGCGTTTCTGCATGTTCCCGGCTGGACGGACAAGGCAAGTGTGGAGATGGGGGCCGATGTGCTGGTGGGTCTTGTTAAAGCGATGGTGGAGTGCTGGATAGCTGATAGTGACGCTATATAAGGTGGAATTGACCTGGATTTCGGCTTTTTTTGGTATATATCCTTTTTATATTCCGTAGCTGATGCATTGAATGTTGAAGCTGAATACAGGAGTAAATGCAGAATAAATAGTTATGGCATGTGATCAAGACTCCTGCTGTTGAAGTACATCATAGCCACTCCCCTAACGAATGAATGAATGAAAATAACTATATTCACTGGAATACATCCCCTTCTACATCATAGATTTGAACCTTCCCCCGGCCAGGCTTAGACTTGGTATGTCGAGGCAGAGACGTTGCCTCCCCTCCCTGTCCAGTTGACGTGGATATCCTGACCCTCGGGATACTTCTCACTGGCACACTCGGGCTTGATCTTGAACGTGTGGGCTCCAAAGTAGTCTCTCTGTGCCTGCAGCAGGTTGGCTGGCAGGTCGCGCGATCTGTAGCCGTCATAGAAGCCCAGAGCGGTGCTGAACGCAGGGGTTGGGATACCCCATAGAGCGGATTTGGATACGACGTCACGCCATCCAGCCTGGGCGTTGTGGATTGCCTTGTTGAAGAAGTCGTCGAAGAGGAGGTTTTCGAGGTCAGGGTTGGTACGGTAGGCGTTTGTGATGTCCTTGAGGAAGACAGAGCGGATGATGCATCCGCCTCGCCACATAAGGGCGATGGATGGCTTGTTTAGCTTCCATTTGTATTCTTTGGCAGCCTAGTTGGAGTTAGCACTGTATTGGAACATTTGGAAAATAAAAAACTGTGTTAAAAAAGAATTTAAAGCTGGGAGCACAAACCTCCTGGATGAGCATGAACCCCTGAGCGTAGGAGATGATCTTGGAAGCATAGAGAGCCTGCTCGAGGTTGTCGATAAACTCCTTCCTGTCGCCCTTGAAGTCTGGCTCGGGCCCCTTGAGCACCTTGCTGGCACGGATACGCTCCTGCTTGAGAGAGCTAAGGCATCTAGCAAACACGGCCTCTCCGATTAGCGTGACTGGCATGCCCAGGTCGAGTGCGTTGATAGCAGTCCATTTGCCAGTTCCCTTTTGGCCGGCAGCGTCGAGGATCTTTTCGAGTAGAGCAGTTCCGTCATCATCGTTGTGGCGGAGAATATCACGGGTGATTTCGATGAGGAAAGAGTCAAGAACGCCGGTGTTCCATTTTTCGAAGACGTCACCGATCTCAGCCGGGGTCATTCCCAGGCCTCGCTTGAGGATGTCGTATGCCTGGTAACGTTAGCTAGAGTAGGCGTGTTTCGGGGTGTATATAGAGTAGGCGTGCTCAGGGGAGTAGGGATATACCTCGGTGATCAATTGCATGTCTCCATACTCGATACCGTTATGCACCATCTTGACGTAGTGTCCGGCACCTTCATCACCAACCCAGTCACAGCACGCCTCGCCGTCACTCTTTGCCGCAACGCTCTGGAAGATATCCTTGATGAACGGCCAGGCCTCCTCGTTACCACCGGGCATCAAGCTAGGGCCGTAACGAGCGCCTTCTTCACCGCCCGAGACACCGGTGCCGACGAATCGAATGCCCTTTTCAGCCAGATACTTGGTTCGGCGGTTCGAGTCTGGGTAGTGCGAGTTGCCTCCGTCGATGATGATATCGCCCTTCTCAACGTGGGGGAGGAGGCTCTCGATGAAATCGTCCACGGGCTTGCCGGCCATTACCAGAAGCATGATACGACGGGGTTTCTTCAGCTTAGAGCAGAACTCCTCGACCGAGTGCGCTCCAACAATCGATTTTCCTGCCATAACATTAGCTTAACTCTGGTATCTCAGGCATCTCTCTAAAGCTGGCGTAAGGGCCCGGCCATATCTCGGCCATATCTCAAGGCAAAGGCCTACCTTTGGCTTCGTTCTCCAGGAAGCGGTCGACCTTGGCTACCGTGCGATTGAACGCCACGACGGTGAAGCCGTGGTCGGCAACGTTCATGATGAGGTTTTGGCCCATGACGGCCAGGCCGATGAGGCCGAAGTCAGCACTGGAGGAGGGGAAGAGTTAGCATGGTCTCCGGCAGGGAGAAGGGAGGGGAAGAAGCCTACACTGCTTGGTCGGACATGATTGCAAGAGGTGAATTGGCAGAGTCTCTGGTGGTTTCTGGCCTGCTGGAGCGGTGCAAGATTCGCCGTGATGGAGGAGCAGGACGAGCAGGCAAATCCGTGGCGGGGAGAAGTGGTCGCGGGATGACTAAAGCGGAAGTCCAGAGCCCAACCCAAAACACCGTCAGCGTCTCAGCTATCCCTCTATACTTGTTTATACCAGTCTGCTCGTGTATAGTCTACTTGTGCCTACTTGTGTATACTTATACCCTTATGCCGGCGTATGCCCCTGTTTTTATGTTGCCCGCTGCGAGGAAAACAGCGCCCTCTGCGCCGGGATATAGGGTATATACGTCAATTGAAATGCTCGTCTATTTATACTCCGTAACTCGCCCTCCCACTCCCATGCGGCCTCGCTTGCACGCTTCCCACGCTTCCGTCGCCATCGCCGTCGCCGGCCTGGTCGTTGACGTGCTCGACGTGCTCGACGTGCTCGATGCCGCGGGGGGCGCGCAAGCATCCCTGGGCTGCACCATTATGTCACTGAGGGGGCTTCATCCTTGCGCTCGTCGATGGTTTGGGTGGCCTGCATAGCTAAGTCGGCGTGGGCTATCCCTGTATATCGCCGTGCCCCGGCTTGGTCTCATCCTGTCCCGGTGTCACGTCCTCTTCTTCGTCCCGTTACCTTGTCGTCGTCGTCTTCTTCTTCTTCTTCTCTTGATGTTTCTTTTGGAAAAACAAACTTGGAAGATGTAGATATTACGTAAGTGGCGGCTTACGTCATGAATTAGTAAGACGTTTCTGTAAGATGTGCTTTGTCATCGCCAAGAAAGGATCATTGCATGACTAAGCATACACGTGACGAAGAACATCCAAGTCCCAAAGAGGAAATAGACATCGCAAAGTTGAAGAAGAGCGAAAAAGACACGAAGATCAAGAATCAGCTTCTTCTCTATCCTGCTGCCAGGCTGTTGTTCTCGTTGTATACCACCTGCGGACGATACACCGCTTGATCTTGATCTCACTTCGCCACGTCTCCCCGGCGCATTCGCGGCAAGGACTGCGTCTGGTGCCCGATTGCTCCAGCAGACAGACTCAAGGTACGTGTGCTGCACAACTCCTGCAGAACACAAGGCTGCTTGCTGCTGCTGTTGTTTTCTGCCCATCTATCCATCTATCTCTCTCGAGCACCCGTTCATCATGTCCCTCCCACCTCCTCCAGGTCTCCAGCGTCCGCCATCGCAAACCCAGAGCCAGCAACAACCACCGGCCTCGCTGCCCGCGCGCCCACCGTCGACTTCAACACCGTATACCACCCCGTCTACCGTCTCGAGGGCGCCCAGTCATGGCCCGGATGCGTCTAGAGGTGCTGCCGGAGCTGGCTACGGCTTCCAGCCACGCGCGGTAGCTGCGCAGTCGTACCAGGCACCGGCACGTACGCACACTCCCGCAGCTGCTGCGTATCCCGCCGCGTCTACATACAGTGCTGCTCCTACATATAGTGCCGGCTACCAATACCCCCAGCAGCAGCAGCATCAACAACATCAGCATCAGCATCAGCATCAGCATCAGCAGACATATCAGGCGCAGCAGACGTCCTACTATGGACAGCCACAACCCCAACAGTCGTACGATGCATCTACGTACGGCAGCCAGCCCGCACACCAGACACACAATGCGTACCAGCCGAAACGTGCCAACAACGGCTCGTACGGGAATAGGCCGGCGCATGCACGGTATGGTGAATCCTCCGGCGACCCGGAGATGGACGCCCAGATCGCCCAATGGCAAAGTGCGTACATGAGCAAAGACGGCGGCGAGGCCGCCGCTGCCGCCTCTACCACCCAGGCTCCCGGCGCAGGTCGCCGCGACGGACCATCTGCCGCGACGGGCGCCAACACTGGCCCGCTAGGCTCCTTCCAACGCCTCCACGACCCCACGGCGTCGACAACATCGACTCCTCCAAACGGCGCGGCGACCACGGCCTCCACGACGCCAATTCCCGGCCAAAACCCAGCCACGGCTATTGCTACCACCCAGGAGACCACCGAGCCAACCAAGACCGTGCTCCGCTCTGGCGGAGGCCAGACATGGTCAGACACCACCCTGCTAGAGTGGGATCCCGCTCACTTCCGTCTCTTCTGCGGCAATCTGGCAGGTGAGGTAACGGATGACTCGCTGCTCAAGGCATTCTCCAAGTATCCGTCCGTGCAGAAAGCTCGTGTGATCCGGGACAAGCGCACGGAGAAGAGTAAAGGGTATGGGTTTGTGAGCTTTTCAGACGGAGACGACTACTTCCGGGCTGCGAGGGAGATGCAGGGCAAGTATATCGGATCCCACCCGGTGCTGCTGAGGAGGGCGATGACCGAGATTCGGCCGGTGAGTGCGTCCAAGGGGAAGCACGGCAAGGGCAAGGGCAAGGGCAAGCATGGCCACAGCAGCGGCAGCGGCAGCGGGAGGGAGAGCAAGCCGTCTGGGCCAGCTTCAGGCAAGGTAGCTGACGGCGGAGTGAAGAAGCAGAAGACCAAGGGCGGCCTCAGGGTTCTAGGATAGGCTACATCTACTATCAGCTATCTACCTACCTATCTACCTATCTACTCTAAAAGTCATCCCTACATCTGCCTTCTTTTCTCTCTTATTTCTTCTCTTCTCCTTCTTATATGTAGACGTCATGGTGCCTTACATAAGCATGCCAAAAGTTGTTCGACTTCGACTTCAACTTCAACTTCGCCTTTTTGCATCTTCGCAGTCGCTGTTCTTTTCTTCTTCGACCAGGCGCTTCTTGTGTCTGTTGTCTCGCGCCGGGCTCTCTCGCCTTGCCCCTTTTTCTTCTCTGGCTCTCTTGTTTTGCTCTACGAATTTAATATTGTTCTTTTTTTCGACGCTGGGTCTGCCGGGTTTGCTGGAATCGTTGTTTAGGTGTTTCGTTGCGGCTATAAGTATACGGGTTCTATCTATCTGCTGGGCTCATTGATATTTGCGAATTCGTCTTCTGCTGGACCCGGAATTATCCCATCATCTACGCTACTCCTGCTCGCCTCTGTGGTGAAGCTCCCACGCGACCAATTCGACGCAAGAAGCAAGAATTACGACGCAAGACACACATCCAGAGCGCATTGAGCATAAGCCTACCGCGCACTCATGATGGCGACTGAGAACAAGCGGCATGTTTCCGGCGCAAAGTCGCAGAGCCAGGGCGGTCCGATGAACAACCACGCCGGTCAGCATGGACATGGACAGGAACATGGCTTCGGGCCCTCGGGGACGGTCAGCTTGGAGAAAGCACTGAGCTCAGCCATTGGCGCCAGGTAAACTCCGTTGACCCTTTCTTTTATTTACAGTCGATATAGACGGGGCGTGGTAGCTGACGTCCCTTTAGAATCCGTGTCACAACCACGCAGCCAGCCTCCGTCACCGTCGAGGGGACTCTCTTCACCGCGTGTCCAATCACAAATATCATCGCAATCAACACCAGTTCCGCTGCCAACGCGGGCAACTCGCCAAATTCAGGAGCCAGCAGTGCAGCACCGGTCCTCGCCCTCTCGCAGCCTGGAGACTTTACCATCCTCCCCATCACCCGCATCCACAGCTTCAATCTGATCTCGCTCTCGGCGGACGGTTGCTCTCCATCAGCCTCCCCTTCGCCTGCCCCATTCGCCTCCGCTCAACCTTCCATCTACCCGCTTGACATCCGGGCCCTAAGGAACCGTGAAGCCTCCGCCATCGCACGCCTGAAGGAACATGAATCCTCGAGGGGCAAGGGCGTGTCCAAAGAAGCACAGGACCTGTTTGATGCATTCCGAAGGACGATGCCGACACATTGGAGCGGCACCAGTATCGTCGTTGCCGATTCCGTGGTGATTGCTGCACCGTACGGGGTGGGTGACTGTAAGACGCTGAACCTGACGGGTAGAGACGAGGTGGCGGGCACTGCACTGACGAGAGTCAGGAAGGTGGTGAGTATTTCCCCTCCCCAGTATCCAGCTCGATGCTGATTCCAACGTGGCTAGCTTGAGATGGAACGAAAGAAGATCGAACTCCGCCGGGCCAGCACCGCGATGGCGAACTCGGGAAATTTCCCCAAGAACAACGCCGATGCCTCGTCGAGGAAGAATTCCATGACCACAACCACGGCCACCGGAGCAAGCACACCTGCCACCACCGGCTCTACCACGGCCACTCCTGCGGCCAACACGGCCAGCACCACTCCACGAGACCCGCGGGCCGCAGTCGCAGTCCCGATACGCAGCAACGCGCCCTCCAGCAGTTCCCCCAGCGGCGGACAGCGAAAAGGCGGGTGATCAGGCCGCTCGCAGCGCAGCATCATAGGGTAGGTAGCGAGTTGATATGCCAGCCCTCGTATTGACTCTATCCCTTGTATTGACTCTAGAGACATCCGGGGGTGGAAAACATTCAACCGCCCACGCAGTTACGGTTACTAGTTACTATCTGTTTAGCCATCTATCCATGTACGTACCTGACGTTAGAGTACGACTGAACGACGTGATATACAGGCATGATCGTACTTATACATCTACTCTGCAGGGAATGCATCACGCGACATGAAGACCAGCCCCTGGATGCATATATCAGTATAATAAGACCGGTGACACCCATACTCTATCTAGACTGTCTCTGCCTATATCGTGCCATCTTACTGCTGTATTTACTCTTTATATCGCTGTATATCGCTGTGTATCGCTGTAGATGTCGCAGTTTGAGAGCAAGAGGTCAGCCTTGGCTCTTTAACCTCCGGCCTAGTTTGATACATGGAGAAAAAAGGATGGAGATCCAGCTTCATCTTCATCTTCAACTTCAACTTCTTCAACTTCACCATCCTCGCATCTCAGCGTCTCGGCTTACAACGCTCGAGACCTCATCGGTATAGCTGACCGCACTGCAACTGTGGCTGGCCGGCTTTTCTCCGCCTGATCTCGTCCGTCGCCTCCGTATCCCAGCTTCTATTCCAGCATCGAGGCAAAGACCAGCGAGCCATACCATAACCACCAGCTAATTCACGGCAACTGGAGCCCCGTAAGCGCGCCGACCGCCGGTGGTGGTCTAGGATGGGCTCTCTCAACGCCAGCCCATCCCTCACGGCGACGGTCAACGAGGGCGCAATCGACGACGAGGAGATAGGCCTCACGCCACAGCAGCGACAGCACAAGCAATGGCGCGCCCGGAAGAGACAGCAGCGCGAGGAGCTGGATAGCATGGTGCCCAACGGCGGCGGGTTTGGCGGAGGACTGCCCGTGGCGGATCGTGCTGTGGTAAAGAAGCTGGCTATAAATGCATTGTTCATTGGCCTCTGGTATTTCTTTGCCGTCTCGATATCACTCGTGAGTGCTCTACTTCTGCTATATTATACAGATACTAACTGGCTGATGTAGTATAACAAATGGATGTTCTCGCCGGGGAATCTCAACTTCAAGTTCCCTCTCTTCACGACCAGCCTACACATGCTCGTCCAGTTCATACTCGCGTCTACGCTGCTCTACTTCTTCCCTTCACTGCGGCCGCCGATGTCAGGCCCCGAGACCGCCCAGGGGAAGCCCAGCAGCCCCGGCTTGACCCCGATATTCTATCTCACCCGTCTCGTACCCTGCGGAAGCGCCACCTCTCTCGATATCGGGCTGGGGAACATGTCTCTACGCTTCATCTCGCTCAGCTTCCTAACTATGTGCAAGTCCTCTGCCCTTGGATTTGTGCTCCTCTTCGCCATAGTCTTCGGTCTGGAGACTCCCTCTATAAAACTCATCCTCATCATCTGCACCATGACCCTCGGAGTCGTCATGATGGTTGCAGGCGAAACCTCCTTCCACGCCATCGGCTTTGCCCTCATAATTGCTTCCTCCTTCTTCTCCGGCTTCCGCTGGGCACTGACCCAGATCCTCCTCCTCCGGCACCCTTCCACCTCAAACCCTTTCTCGACCCTCTTCCTCCTCACGCCCATCATGTTCGTCTCCTTGCTGGCCATTGCACTCTGCGTCGAGGGCTTCCATGAAATCTTGGCAGGTATTCAGGTCCTCGCTACTGATCACGGGTCATTCAATGTCCTCCTCTTCCTCTCCTTCCCTGGCCTTTTGGCCTTCTGCATGATATCGTCTGAATTTGCGCTCCTCCGACGATCTTCGGTCGTCACGCTCAGCATCTGTGGTATATTCAAGGAAGTCATCACGATTGCTGCAGCGGGTATCTTCTTCAACGAAGTTCTTAGCCTGGTCAACGTGATAGGCCTGGTTATTGCCATATCTAGCATTGCCTGTTATAACTACATGAAGGTGACCAAGATGCGCAAGGAGGCACTTATGGAGCGAGAGGGCCTCGAAGACGACGAGGACGATGGATATGATAGCCCCGGCCCCAGCTCGGGCTTGATGAACGACGGGCATACTCCGAGCTCCTTATCTCCACCCAACGATAGCGGCTGGGGCGGGCTCATCAACCATATCAAGTCTGCCTTTGGGAATAAGCAGAGTGTGTCCGGCCCACGGTATCAGGCCATGCATACATCTGCCGATCCATGAAGGGATAGATTTTCTCCCTTAGAAAGCACTACACATGCATGTACTAGACCCCCCTTAGCATAGAGTTGGGCAGTTTGGATCCAGGTCCCCGGACTCGGGCTGGCCCCAGCACGCGGATTGGAGGATAATTCCCCTTTTATTATTATCGTTTGTCTTAATATGGAGTACCTGATGATATATATCCGGCTTGTGGAACAGGGAAACAGTGTTTCTATATGTTGGCTTTGTTATTTTGTATTTGGGCCTTGCGCAACGTACAGTGAACCATATAATTCACCCTGTTTTATACCCTTAGACTTATCCTTGCGCAAAATGACAACACTATAGGCTTTTGTAGGTATATATGGTCTTTGCCTATCTTTAGACTTATCCTTAGAAAGGGGATAAAACTTAGGGGTTTCTTAAAAGTAGATGTATAACATCTATGCCAGTTGGCCAATATTAACGTAATTTTAACAGTTTTATAGTCCTATTTCTAACCCTAGCCAACATATTTATTTCCTCCACTCTAGCTATTCAATTCTTTAACTGTTTACTGGTAGACACACACCAGTTATTCCAATCGGAGAAGAACGACGCTTGTACATGACACTTATTGCTCAAAAGCTGCTTCTTGCGGGTATCGGCATATACATCCACAATTCCCAAGACAGACTCTGTATCATGAGCAACGAGAATCTTCACGAGTAGAAGACTTGTTTGGCTACACGATGAGGCGTGTAAATTAGACGCACTATGCGTAGCTTCGTTATGAACCTGCTTGAGAAGTTCCCAAATAGGCTCATCGGATTCGACTTTAGGAATAGACGAGCCCTTGCACAATCTCGTATATTCTCGAATGACATTTGCTGTTTTCTGAACAAGTTGCTGAACGCTGGATCTTCGCAGGAGTTGTAGAAGCGGAATGATAATGTCCAACGCCATAGGGTTGGAGTGGCACTTTTTCACGTATATTTCAAGCAGGTCAAGTGCTCTGTTCTTGAAATTGACCATGGTCTCTTTGGCATCTTTTGTATCCTTCTTCTTCGTCGACGCTTGGTCACGGGCCTGGAAGACTTTGACAAGCTGCGCGTCTAGAGCCTCCATCTCATCATCGCCCATGTCAGAGCCGTGGTCAGAGCCATCGGATGCCTCTAGATCCATATCTGCACGGTGAGTACCTAGCGCGGCAGCAAGTTTGGCATCGAACTCGGCCAAATTTTCATCGTCTTCGTCTTCCTCCTCGTCCTCATTCTCTTCATCATTTTCATCGCTTTCAGACCCAGACTCTAGTTCGGCGTCAACGATTTCAACGTCGGATCCGTCGATCATTTCAACATCGCTATCCTCTTCATCTTCTTCATTGTCCTCGTCTTCATTGTCTTTATCGAATAACTCTTGTTGACCCGCGAGACTTTCCTTTGCGTCGAGAATCTATATTAATTAGATTGTGCCGCTAGAAGCTATGGGAGATGGAACCTTACCGCAAGTAGGGATTGCAGGCCGGTAGGAGTCACCTTATTTGCAAAAGCTCCAAACACCTGCTCGCTCATCCTCCGGAACAATTGTGAGGGCTTTGAAGCGAAACTGAGGAGTATCTCTACTAAGGCGTCTGATGCTTGATCGCTCTCTTCATCGTCAGCCCTCTTGTTGCTTAAAAACTTGTTATAGCACAGTTTGAGCTCGTCCAACATGGAGACTGCATCCGCATCCCCATTATATACTTGGAGAATTGTCATAGAATAGAGCAGTTTGAGTCCTTGAGCAGTTGGATCCTGTCGTCCATCATCCCGTTTGCCCTATATGGAATTAACCGAATATCCGTACCACAACCATGAGAAAGGAAAATAGCCATACCTTTTTACTGATCTTCTTGAGCGTCTTGAATGCAGCCTGGACAGACTCCGTGATGCTTTCACTCATATCAATGATGAACTTTCCAAACTCTCCGCCCTCTTCCATGTCACGAATCTTTTGGACAATTTTGTATGCAATATCCGCAGAGCGCCCACGGCTACTGATCACGATATTCAAACAGGCCATAATCTTGTTTCTAAAGAGTTCTCTAGTAGCATCGCTAACTGGAGGTTTGGGGCTGTTCACAAGATTTCCAGAAAAGTAGGTGTAGCGAGCGAGAGTAAGAATAACCATCTCAATGGCTGCGTCCAGTTCCTCGGCATCACTATCCTTACCATTGGACATTTGTGATTTGGTGATTGTCTGAAGGAAATTGGCAATCTGCTGGCGCCTGGATGCGGCTATCTTCTCATCAGCATCCGGGCTGACAATCAAATTTTCGAAGAAAGGCATGAGTTGTTTAATAGCGCCATGGGATACATCGCTGATGATTTTTTCAACAACCTTGACTTTGGCGACCTGGTCGAAGTTGATAGCTCCTCGAGGCCCCATGAGCCCACATAGTGCAGGATAGGCGAATTCGGGTTCTTTCGAGGCACGAGCTTGTACCGACTTTGTAGTTTTAACGGCAATTTTATGAAGGTAGCGATCCTCAACTGCAAGCTGATTCATCAAGCAGCGCATGAAATTCTGTGTGAAGATCAAGCTGGCTGCCTCTATTGGGGCCTCATTCAGGACCTTCATAGACACGAGGAAGCCCCAGTATTTACGCTCATCCGATGAAGCCGCAGCAAACAAACCGCCTATTCAGATATACGTTAATAAGACTCCCACAGCGTTATATAGGGTACGAGGAAACTCACAGTCAACGACTTCGGTCCAAAAGTCAGCGAAAGTCAATTGCGTCGCCTTGCTCTTCTTCCCTTTACCCTCACCCTGGGGTATTTCAGTTGACGTAGTATACAACTTGGCGAGGATGGGGTCCCATGCAAAAGGGAGACGTGGGTTCCAGACACCTGAACTCTTGACCTTTGCGTCTTCTCCATTGGGCACGTTGTGTTCCGAAGACTCCTTCATGATTTTGGCCAAGGATGCCTTTTCTCGTGTATTCAATGGGTTATCATGGCTCCAAACACCGGAAGGAAACACGATAGCTAGAGACAAAGACAGCTCCATCGCCGCTATCCAGATAGCAACACCTTCAGGGGTTTTGGCAAGGTTGTTTTGGCATAGAGCAGCAAGTACAGAATCGACGTATTTTGAGCCTCTGTTTCGTGCTCCAGCATCTCGTACAGCGTAGAAAATGATATATCCGCACTCTTCTCTCAGCCATGACTTCTTGTTGGCCAATTCAAAAACCAAAGAGACTAGTCTTGTCCAGTTTTCAAATTCAACTCCAGGCTGGTAAAGAATCGAACTTTTCAAAATTGCTTCTGCTCCAAACAGTCTACCAAAATGACGGTCTTTCTCTTCCTATATATAAATTAGAATGTTATATTTAAAAAATGATATGGAAAGAATTCTTACCTGGCCAGATTCTGAGCTCGTAGTGTTCGTGTTCGACTCCAGGAGATCAATTGTTTTCGACACATCCAACCCCGACTGGACTTTCTTCTCATCACCGTCGGACTGGCCGAATAGCATGGACAAAAGCTCCGTCAGGGCAATTGAAAACCCAAGCCTCGCAGCTTTTCGACTGCTGCATAGTCCACGAAACAGCCTCAACAACGCCTTCTCAATGTCTTCAGGTGCCGGATTCGCATCTGGCATTAGGCGCGAGAGCAGGTCACTGGCAGCTTTGAGTCTGATCTCGTCGTTTTCGTTGCTCAGATCATCATATATCTCTACAAGTTTGACGTCCACATTTACTCTCTCCCGACGGCGTTTCTTGGGATTGAATGACGACATGGTGTTTCCGACTCAAAACTTCTAGCTGAAGCTTCTCTCAAGGCTCTATCCAGTTGCCTTGACCGCGTTGTTGTAAATTGTTCATGAAATTTCGCTTGAAATATTCGAAGGGAGGTGATTACCAGATGCGGTTAGCGTTGGGACTACTTGGGTTTAGCTTCTTTTTTCTTCGACTTCAATATATTTACAAGATATTATACGTAGATAATATAAATCTTCCGATATATACTCTGTATAAAGAGATATAGATATTGGAAGACGAGGTTGAGAATGGCTTGATCTATGTGGCCGTTACGAAGATGGTGCCTCGGGATTTGTGAAGTCGTTGACCGCATTAAGTTCATCGGCTTGAATAATGTATAATGTTCAATGCAGAGGCGTTTCTCCATTCCAACGCCTAAGATTCGTTACTGTTGTCTACTACGTTTCTGTTGATACTGTTATCCGCTGAAGCAAGACGTTCCAAGGGAGGTCAACGGATATTAACGAACATAAGCATTGATGAACCCGGGTGGTTGGGCTTGTGCATCGATCTCAAGTTTCTACAACGCCTTTACTTACAACAAGGCATGTAGGGCTATCCGCATCCGTTGGACTTTGCAGAGTACCATGCATATTATAACACGGTGCCCTCTACGCTGTAGAATGATTAGATGAACTTTTATGTCGGATAGTCGAGTCCGGCGTTAACTCCGGACAAGTCCCGAGGTATATGTATATATCTTGATTGCCAGCAATGGAATATATCGTTATACTCCGCAACTCATAAACCCATATTCGTATGATATCTAACAATGGCATCTTGCAATCCCTCCAGCACTAAACGATGTTACAGAATTGCTTCCATTCCAGCAGACGGCATTGGTTCCGAAGTCATCGAGGCTGGAATAACTGTTTTGAAGAAGCTGGCATCCACGCTGGGGACAATTGAACTGGATTTTGAGAATTTCGACTGGAGCAGCGAGTATTACAAGAAGAATGGGAAGTATCTGCCTGATGATGCCTTGACTACGTTGAAAAAGTTCGACGCCATACTGTTTGGAGCTGTAGGGACGCCTGGTAGGCCATCTACAAACCGTCTAGCATGATAGAGCACTGATATCTATTAGATGTCCCCGACCACATCTCTCTCTGGGGTCTACGCCTTGCAATCTGCCAGCCTCTTCAGCAATACGCCAACGTCCGCCCAACAAAGGTATTTCGCGGCACCCAGTCACCTCTCCGTGGCTGCTCCCCCGGGGACTTGGATTGGGTAATTATCCGTGAGAACTCCGAGGGCGAATACGCCGGCCAGGGAGGTAGAAGCAACGTAGGTAAACCATGGGAGATAGCCACGGAGGTGTCCATCTTCACACGACATGGTGTCGAGAGGATCATGGGATTCGCCTTTGAGACGGCCCAGAGCAGGAGCAAAAAACAGCTTACCGTTGTTACGAAGAGCAACGCCCAGAGGAATGGGCTGGTCCTGTGGGATGAAATTGCGGCAGAGATTGCAAAGGCATTCCCAGACGTGAAATGGGACAAGATACTGGTCGACGCAATGACGACTCGAATGGTGCTGAAGCCGGGGAGCTTGGATACGATTGTTGCTACGAACCTGGTACGCAATACCCACTCCTATAACTCCGTGCAAGCAGGAAAGAGCCAGCTGACATCTAAAACAAACCTCTCAAGCATGCCGATATTCTCTCAGATCTGGCAGCTGCATTGGCAGGGTCCATTGGCATAGCTCCCACGAGCAATCTCGATCCGACACGGGAGAATCCATCCATGTTTGAACCCATCCACGGCTCAGCATTTGACATAACCGGAAAGGGAATCGGTATGTAACCCCCACCCCCCTCTCTCCCTCCCCCCTTAGCCCAGTTTCTTAGGTGTTTTATATGCTGCCATCAAAATTGCTGACAGGCCAAGCCAACCCTGTTGCCACTTTCTGGACTGCGTCAGAGATGCTGGCATGGCTTGGAGAAAAAGACGCCGCAGCCAGGTTGCTAGAGTGTGTCGAGGCCGTTTGCGAGCAAGGAGTGGTCACGCCTGACCTTGGAGGGAATAATACGACCGTCGAGGTGACAACTGCCGTGTGCAAGGAGATTGAGGGCCGGTTGGGGAGGTAACTGCTAGGTAACTGCTGCTAGGAGACCAGCTAGGTTAAATAAATTATGAAGCGTGACGACGATGCAGCGGCCCTAGTAACGGTCAAAGAAGTCAAAGAAGTGAGGCGTATAATCCCCCTTTATAACTCACGTAATAAATAGCGTGCTGTAAAGAAAAGTTATTTGTGCCCAACGCTTGTAATAATGCAGGTCATATGTATACTCCGTAATGTGTTCGATGGACACCAGGCTTTGCTAGTTCGACGAAAATTTCTGCAATCGGCTTAAGACCAGGCATAATGAAACACCCCAAGACCAGAAGCGGTTTCTGGCGAGGCAAGGAAATATAATATTGCAATCCACCTGCGGAAAGAAATTTCCGATCCATGGTTTAAGGTGCTCCGTATAAGCTCGAGGTCTGGTTCATGGGGGGAGGCGGCCATGGGATAAAAAGAAAGTCGATATCTGAAGCTCTCTGGGTCGGACCGCGCAGCCTTTTATTTAATAACCCGGAGATGAGCTGTTACACCGTTGCCCAGGTATCTCATCCTGGCCGGTCTCCTGGATTTCGTTCCTGACCGCGCAGCCCATGGCAACAACCGCAGAAACGGAGGCCAGAAACGACCAGGTATTAGTAGTTTAATAGTTGTTACTTTTATTGTATCTTTTGTATGTTCGCAGGACGCATTATTGGATGACCACGTGACTTCGTGTATTTCTCGCTTTGTTTACACGACGCGAAGACGACGACGACGATGCGGCGAAACGAGGCGAGCAGGAGGAGAACAACGAGTGACAGGAGAAGAAAGAATATGATCTAGCTGTTGATCATATGAGACTCGACGCTATCGACGGCGAGAGACCAGGGGGTTCGCGCTCTTGGCTGACGACAGATTTTTGCATCTCCGTCCACACGCCATCGAGCGGATTCGAGACGAGACGAGACGGACGTTGAGCATGAAACCGGGGAGAAGAAGGACTTCCCTACGCTCTGACCCATCTGGAAGGTCGGCGAGGTGGTGAGGTCGGGTTCAGGTCGGGTTCATGGGTCGCGGGGAGGACGGTGTTTACTTTTTTCTTCCCTTTTCTTTTTTTTTTTTTCGTCTCTTCTTTTCTTCTTCTCTTCCCTCTGAGCGAGAAGCTAATTCCTTCGTCTTCAGGCATGATCTCGGAGGCTTAACCCCACCATGGCAAAACAAGGATGGGCCATGGTGTCCGACTAGCGAGCACGACGGCCGACGGTCTCGCCGATCAGGATCACACGTCATCATGAAGGAAGTGCTATTATTATGGGGCGATTCCAAAAAAAAAAAAAAAGGAACATGAGATGGGCCGGTGGGCGGTTACGCTGGCCATTTATATCGTTCAGTTGGCTGTTGGTGTTGTACTGGTGTTGATGTCGAGTCTACTGGCGGTCCGTATATGTGAGTAATGCGGCGGTTCCCTTTGCCTGCCTGCTGCTCATTGGCGAGCGCGGTGCGAGTCGTGTTTGTTCCTGTGACCGCAATCGATGACGATGATCTCCAATCGCGGGGCTGAGAATAGAAACCTTGGGATGGCCAGGGATGCCCCTCGCACTGGGCTTGGGATCCCTGCGTATGAGTGGCCACGCTATGATGCTAGGGGGCCGACGAATGGCAAGCTCCAGACGCCAGATAAAGGTTCATCCTCTCGCAACTTGTTGCTATGCAACTAAGAAAGGAGTTTACGCTATACATGCTGCAGCGCGAATTTATCCATACAGAAGGATGCATGAGCTAACCGAGTAGGGGTGGTACCAACATTTGTATAAATATAGACGACTTGTGTGAGGGAGCAGGGAAATGTCCAGCTGGCTTCTCAACTCTATTTCGCGGCTGGCTGCCCCGGTGATACGAAGCGCTAAGGCTTCCCTGTCCGTGAGGGGAGCCAATAAGACCAGATCTCACGCTGTCCGATTGACTTTGGTAGCTCCTGAGGCTGGCTGGAGAGGGAATCCTGACATCTGGGACCAGCATGAGCTGCATTCGGCATGTTTACAAGCGAGGATTCGCATGGCCTGAACTGAGGGGGGCCAAACGTCGAGATGAGACGTGGAAGAGAACTCCCGGGGAGAAAGCTAGACGACCGGAAGTAGCGCGTGTGTTCAAACATGGAAGTGGAGTTGGGTGGCCCAGGCCAACAGGGGGAAGGCCTGCACAGTTCAATGGCGAATTGTGTTACCCGGTGATGGTGCCGGACGGAGCACGAAAGCAGGGAGGAAAGAGAATAGTAATCAATGGCTTTTTCGAAGTATACTAGGTACGAAGGAAGATACATCCTCGGTTGCTGAACCAGTGGCATGGTACCTCCGTGGAAGAAGCAACGATGGTTCTACGAATATCTCTCCGCTAGCTCCAGCAGCTTGTTCGAGCTCAAACGGGGGCCCCAAGATGAGATATGAAGCCGGGTACCACCATGTCTTCATATATTATGGAAGATTCTTGGTCTGGGCGTGCCCTGCCTGGCTCTGTCTGGCTCTGTTCTGTTACGGCGCCTGCGGTCCGGGTTACATGAATACCAGGTTACTCCGCCGTACGAGAGATAACTCCATACCAGAAAACAACAGGGACAGGATTCCGATTTCCGTGACGAGCTTCGGGTGCCACCACCACAGTTTAATGTCACCGCGATCGATAAACAGTTAGAGTGCTACCTACGGGAAAAGCTGGACGACAGCTGCCATGGTCATTTATCTCCACCAGCAAAACAGCATTAACGATATGGGCGATACGGGGAGACTCATGGTCGGCGCACGCAGGACGGGATCCTGCAGGCAGGCGAACAAATAGTACAGCTGTACGGAGGTAAACGTGTATAACATACGATCTGTATCTCGATCTGGTACTGGGACTATTCTCATCCTCGTTCCAGTACCTGCAATCTGCACATCCCGTCGTCCCGGTTATCTGCATCGACATGAGCATAGATCTAAACCAGATGTAAACAAACACCCACGGTCAGCCTTACCACGCTGCTAAGATGGCTAACTAGCGAGCTGCCCCTGATGACGAGCGGCTTGAGTGTGATGGAGAGTGCAGTAGCTCGTCTAGCAGGGCGGCAACCATCGCGATGGACAGAGAGGGCGATGCGCGGGATTGGCTGAAAGATGGACAGGTACCCCGGCCCTGTGGAGTGGTACCTGTCTGTCGCAGGCCAACTATAGTAAAGTGCAGGTATCTCACCATGGCAGCAAGGTACCTTTGCATAGTACCACCCGTACATAACATACATGCATACCTCTTAGTACGCCGTAACTTCTCTCCACCTTTTTCTCTTTCTCGTTGCCCATTGCAACAGCTTCACCCTCTAACTCTTCTTCTCTTCTTCAACTCTTCTTACTCTTCTCTTCTCTCTCTCTTCTTCTCTTCTTCTCTTCTTCTTCTATCTACCATCCTTCTCTACCTGTATCGACGTCTTCTGCGTCGACTGCCGATTCCCCTCGCTACCATGGCGAACTAGACTCCCCACGACGCATATACGACAGTCCTCGCAACGTCCGTCTACGCTCAGTCGTCTCGATCTCGGCTTCAATCTCGTCTTCAGCCTCTCAGCTACTACTCAGATACCGTCTCGATCTCAGTCAGCAGTTCTGGTCTGCAGCCGAAACCATCTTGCACTCGCCGTGTTTCAATTAACGACCAGACACCCCGTTGGCTTTCGAGCCGTCTGCTATACCACGGCTATACCACGGCTCTATCAACAGCTCTACTCCGGCTCTACCAGCTACCCGACAGTGACGTCGTGTGGAGTGCGAGATCAAGATAGAATTTTCCCTGGACAGCATCCCGGTTACACTGGGATAGACATCTGACTGCCACTATGGAGCAGTCCTCGCCGTTGGCTGCCATGCATCCTCCCTCCATGCACTTCGGCCACTGCTTTCGAGCTGAGCCTGCCAGCTCCTTCACCCAGTTCCCTGCCATGGGCGCCTTTGGCCCAGACAGCTTTAACTTCAGGGATCTGTCGATGAAGAGGGCGAGGGCAGACTACTTCAATGTCAAGCCCGTCCGCGGACCCTCGCCCACCGTCAGCTTGGCTGCCGACCTCTCGCAGAACTTCCACATCGATCAAAGGTATACAAACATCCTTCTGCTCCATGGTTTGTTTGTTGTCTGACTTATTTTCTTTTGCTTTCAGTCCGCAATTAGCAACACCTCGCAGGTCGCTGTTTTCAGCTAATTTATTTTGCTCGGATAATGGTAAACACGAAAATACCCTCTTTGTCTATCCTGGCTTACGGGACTGATATCAAGGCAAAAGAGTAGAAGCTGACGTCTGGTTCTAGACACAATAACTACTCCGCCCATACCATCGTCCCCTGCGCCAACTGATATCATGGAGATGTCACCCCTGCCGCACAAGGCGCCATTTAGCCTCGCCCTGGACATGGATCTGGAGTCCCCCACCACCGAGCTATCCATGGCAAAGTCACAGCAGCTACTCTTTCTCCCAAACTCCCTACAGCAGTCGCCGATAGAGTCTAGCAGGTCTAATTCACAGTCTGAGTAAGAACTCAGATGCTATCATTTTTTGTTATTCTGAACTAAAGGCTAACTTACCTGCTGCAGACGACGAAAACCTCCGATGCTGAGGCCATCACTGATGCGCACCAAGGCGTACAGCTCGTCGTCCAGGACACCCCTGGCGCAGCCGCCGCAGTTCAAGTTCCTTGCAGGCGGCAGCAAGCTCTCCACGTCCACGTCGATCTCGCTGGCTGAGATGTTTGAAGACTCCGGTGCTCCTGACACTCCCTCTGCGCGAGGAAGTCCGGCTGCGGGTGCTGCCGTTGGCCCTTCACGGTCACGGTCTTTCAGGACACTCGGTCAGGTCCCGGAAAATGGCTCTCCTGGCTACGGCTCAATCCGAAGAGGCTCCAACCCTTTCTCGCGCCCACGCAAGCTCAGTAGACGATCTCTTAGCATGTTTGAGCACCCCGAGGACGTCATGAAGGATGAGAAGGAGGATACCACTATGCACACCAGCACAGCTCTACAATCCATCACCGACATGGAATCTTCTACACCCACCTTACATCTACCCCACTTCATCCCAGACGACCAGCCCGATTGTCTGCCGCGAATCGAGAATTCCGTGCTGGTAGATATAGTCAATGGGAAATATAACGACCGATATGAGAACTTCACCATCATCGACTGCCGATTCGAGTACGAGTATGAAGGAGGCCATATCAACGGGGCAGTCAACTACAATGACAAGGAGCAGCTCGCAGAAAGCCTGTTCAAGGAAGGAGAAATGAAGCCAAATACTGCTCTCATCTTCCACTGCGAGTACTCCGCTCACCGAGCTCCGATAATGTAAAACACCTCTTGACATCTCCCTCTCATATATCTACCGTTGCGCTAACCATCTGCAGGGCCAAATTCATCCGACACCGAGATCGAGCGGTCAACATTGACCAGTATCCCAAACTCACATACCCAGAAATGTACATCCTCCACGGCGGATACAGCGGCTTCTTTGCCGAACATAGCTCCCTCTGCTACCCCCAAAACTACGTCGAAATGGCATCCAAGGAACACGAATTCGCTTGCGAACGCGGCCTAGGAAAAGTAAAACAACGCTCTAAACTGTCCAGAGCTCAGACTTTTGCCTTTGGCCAACAAAGCTCCCCCATGGAGGACAGTCCAACCGGCCGATGCCGCGGAGCAAGTCACCGAAATATGACACTGGAGAGCCCACTGGGACGTGCCTTTGAACCCGGCCGTCCCCCAGAACGGCGCATGTTCTCCTACTAACCGCCAAATACCACTTACTATACCAACGACCTCCCCCCCCTCCAATTCTTCCAGCCCCCGCCAAACGGGTGTTAATGTTCTTGACGGAGTTACGCCTTAACCTGACTTGAAGTCCTAACGTTTGATTCTTTAACGCCTGGCGCATCAACCCTTCTTTTTTTTTTCTATTCTCCTCGACTCACGATTTCCCTCCTTAGCTCTATGGTCCGACTCAACAATATCCAGAAGACGGCCTTTCTCCAACTTTACATTCTGGTTTTGTCTGCCGTTACAACCCTAGGTGACAAGGCTCCGCTGCTACTCTGTGCGATATTGACCCAAGACGTTTGACTGCAACAAAAAAAAAGCGTTCAAGTTAAGCGAAAATTTCCACGTCTTTTGCTTTCCACGTTGAAGCGTCATAGCGGAATTTTATTTCATTGCGACCTTTTCGACTCTTTCCTTCTTCTTTCCCATTTTGAGCGATTGATTCCCAAACTAGCGCAAGCGTTTTCTCTTCTTATGATCACGTCGAATTGATTAACCCTATTAACCAGTACTCTGCACCATTACCCTTTCACCCTACCGTTTCATTTGTCTATCTCAATATACCTTTTCCTTTTACCCTTACCTTTCCTTATCTGTTACCCTTTAACGGTCTCCTTACCTTCCCTACTCCCCCTTTACCCTGACGGGCAAACGAGACAAAGGCTGAACCGACCCGAACCGACGACCAAGACTCTACCCTCTCTACCGCCTCGAATACCGGCGCCACATTTTCCTAGCCTCTATCCCTTACCCTTAGCATTCTCATCCTGGATCGGGCCCTAAATCTGAAACCAACCCCTCTGCAGATCCTCCATTTCTTTACGTGGTTTGCCACTCATCTTTCTCCCGTCCAAGGGGTCATACATCAAACATCAAACAACACCACACCCCGCTACAGCCGGGTCCCCGCGCTTTTCTTTATCGGGAGGATATCTCTGAACCTCTCTGTGTCCTAGTTTCTTTCCTCTGTTCTGCTAGAGTCGGTGATGGGCGGTTGTCTGCATTTCGCATTTTATTTGTGTATTCCATACCTCCAGATCCATGTTCGAGGTCTTATTTTGCATCTATTGTTTGGAAGCGAAGGAGCAGTCATTGGGCCAGTCAGATTATACACAGTTAACTACATCAAAAATATGAAAAAAAGAAGTATACTATTAAACTGTCCATGTAGTCTTCTATCCTTCTTTTCTATCCTTCTTTTTATATAAACACGATCGCGATCGCCAAGATCGACGTCATAACTTTTAGTCTCCGATCTTAGCAGTTAATTTTATCCCACCAAAAAATATCACACGAGACAAAGACACAGGAACAAGCCATGGAGGGAATAGACGACATCCTCGCCTCCGTGGACCGGGATAGCTTCTCGTCTCCCGAAGCGACGACCGTGGACCATCAGCAATTGACGCGGCTTTGGGTTGCTGAGCGGGCAGTTCCTGAGCTGTTACCATGGCCCGGCCCGCTGATGGATAGGATGATGGAGAGAGTCTCGAAGCAGGTGAGCCAGTCTCGGTTACTGAAGTGAGCTATTCGCTGATATATAGATCTACTGTGGTAGATATCGAAAATAGAAGACCTCTCGATCTCCGCGTCTGACGCCACGACGAGCGCGGGGAATACAAACCACAACCCAACATTGAATCTCACATTGTCTATCCTACAATCCGATCTGGCGCGGACACAGTTTCTTATACGCTCAATTCTGCGACAGCGACTATCAAAACTCACCCGGTACAGTATATACTACCTACGGATATCCATGACCCAGCAGCCATCGCAGGGACAAACTCCCAGGACCCTCGACAGGGACGCGGGCTCGCTTCTATCAGACAAGGAGCTCCAGTTTCTACGCACCCATCAGTCGCTATTAACAATGCATTACAATGCTTCGTTTCTGTCTACGTTCCCGCCCAACTTGAAACGACTGGACGACAACGTTGGCGGAACGAATATGGTTGTCGCACCGGAGAATAAGGAGGTGGTATTTGTCAGGTGTTTGGGCGAGGAGGTCAGAATTGTTATACCTGCTGTTGAGGGAGCAGGAGATGACGGTATGGCTGGGCTAGAGTCCTACGGGAATAGGATGGAGAGAGGAGAGGTCTGGGTCGTCAGGTGGGAGGGAGTTAAGGATGCGTGGAAAAGGGGGGATATCGAAATACTTTGAAGTCTGAAGATTACTGGGAGTCACTGGGATTCGGGAGGGAGCACGGAGTATATTGTCAGAGGATAAGGCCATTGATCATGGATTGGGTATGGGAGTTATTGTTGGCATGGTTCTATTTAGAAGTGCTCAATTTATGACTAGGTGTCTTATTGGATATTGTCAATTCTTAGATTGAAAATCAATATAAAGCATATACAAAGGCATTGAGTAATTGGGGAAACATCTATTGAGAGAAGTATGGTATCTGCGAGAAGAATATCACATCTAACCGATCCCGTATCCTCGAGCCATTATTGATCCTTGAAAACACCAAAGCAAGCCTCCCAAGCCTCCCATTATCTAGTGATGTATATGACGCTGAAGTCAAAAGTGTTGAAAGCAAACCCTGAATAACTCCCGGTAACCCCCGGCGTGTCATCGTATTATCGTGCATTATTTTTAGGGAGCTAAAGGAAGAGCCGCGCCTTTTCTCTCTCTAAGCAACGTATGAATAGGCAGGCGGATCAGAATCGGTGATACGCTCCAAATACTCGCGATCTATCAGACTCTCGATCCGTTTCTTGACCATGTTCACATCCGGCATGAAGCGAGAGGCAAGCTGGGAGATCACTTCGGTGATTAGCTGCGAGTGCGCTAGTTGTTTTCGTTGTCTGTGGAGTGTTAGTTGGATGGACTCTCTCACTCATTAAGGATGGGACAGAGTTACTTACTTCATGATTCGAACGATTGCAGCCTCGATGGTTCCTCCTCGCTCTTCACTAGTCTTTTTCTCCGTCTCCGTGCGTTCGTCTTTGTTCTCTACCTTGTTACCTCCAGAGCTGACGACACCAATCTTGAGTCTCGTGAATTTGCTGGTAAACTGTTCGTTGAAGGAGAATTTGTCCGTAGGTAGCACGCCTTTGCTCATAGGTTCCTTTCGCAATACACGGGTCTTCGGTGCAACAGCGAGCGATTGGAGATTCCTGATCAGGTCGTTGGCGGGAATCTTGGTTTGCTCTTGAATTTCTTCAAAGGTGAGAGATTCACCCGTAGGCAGGTCGTTGAAAAGCAGTAGGATGACCATCGCATAGGTTGAGACATTTAGGTCATGTCGTTCAACCTTGCCGTTAGGTCGGGTAAAGGTAGCTCGGATATCAGCTGTGCCCATACCTGACAGCCACGATAACTTCCTCCCGCTATGTTTGTCGAGGTAGAATCGCTCAAAGCTCTGCTTGAGCGATTCAATGTTTTTAGGGTAAACACACGGAGGCTGAACATGGCCATCCTTGTTGTAGCTGCTCATTATTTCCATTGGCCACATGGTACTTGTGAGGACGCTCATTTCCAATTCAGCTCGTTTAGGATCCGGATCACCATGCTGGGCTATGTAGTCCCGATAGCTAGATGTGAGGTCACTGGAAACAGCCATGTCTTTAAACATGGATTCCAGTCTCTGTGTGAATGTATTTCCGACTTCCATCTTCATTTTTGCAATCATCTGCCGTTCGGCATCCATGCTCACTGACCGCTTCATGAGCAGGCGGCGAGAGAGATGTTTCTTATAATAAGTTTCAAAGAGATCCTTGTCTCGAATGTATCGTAGTAAGGTAATCCCATTGTCAATAAGAGTGTCAACCTCCTCTTCAGTTTTGCCTTTGATACCCTTTCTTAGGTTTTCGTCAAAGAACAGGGAAAGATACTCGGTGCTGCGAGGGTTTATATTAATAAATTCCGAGAAGCTAGTGGTGAGGGAGGTCTGCATAGTCTGATCTTTCACGAAGGCTTCTTCCCAGATTCTATCAAATTTCTTCTTTAGCTGGAGGACATCGTCCACCCACTTTATCGCAGCGGCAGTTTGCAAGTTCATAGTCGGTTGCTTATCTTCAGATGCAGCAGGTTTTTTGCCTGCTTCCGGCGTTATAGACGCCTGTGGATTCTGTGAGAACTCCTTGGCTGCAGTATTGATGGCGGTCCCATACTCGACAACCGTTTTCTGCACAACGTTAGTCAATGCTGCCTTTTTTGCATCAATGCGAGCATTGAGAAGGTAGACGTTGCGTAGATCGTCAAGCCGATCGTTTTGGGTCATGTACTTCACGCCACTGTCGTCCATGCGGATGACTTCACCGATGTAATCCTTGATAAGGCAATCATCGATGACGGCCATGATTTTAGCCTCAGTTACAGGAGATAAGGTTTGCTGACACCAGGACTGTTCCGCTCTGATTCTATCCGTAACGCGCTTACAGAATGTGGCTGCGTCGGTGGTTGTTAGGAGCCGTTGGCCCTCCGCGGTATAGTACCTGCGGCTTGCCTCGAGGAACGCAGGCTCAAAGGTGGTATGGTAGAGCTTCCCAGCTGCATCATCGGTTCCGTCTTCGTATAATCCCTCGAGCATATATACGCAGTGTCGAATCAGCGCACGGTCGATGATTACTCCCTCACGTTCAAGGCGGATCATGAAAAGAATTGTGTTTTCGAATACGGAAGAAATAGTAGTGGCCTCGTCCCCGCCGACGTCCGATCTCAGGACACAATCGCGGAAGAAATACATTGAGGTATCGTATATTGATTGATGGCGAAGCTCTTGTATCACTACACGGTCCTATGATCATAGAGGCCTTAGTATTCAGGGGTAGAGGAACTTGGATAGAAGGTCGAAAATGAACGCACCATGTACATAAGGACGTCTGTGATCATGCCCATACAGAGCTGGTGGTCCTCCCAGACTTCCTTGAGCTTTGCCAGCAATCGTTCGCCAGCCGCCTTTCTTTCATTTGCATGGTCATTAGAATCGGCCGAGTCACCGATCGTAAGTAGAGCCGGAGTGATTAAGCTTGCGACTTGTTTGCGAACTTCGTTGTATAGCCAGTCTTTCTCAAGATCGGCTACTTTTCCATACAGGTCCATTGCCTGTTTGCGCAGAACCAGCTTGTAAGCACTTCGATAGAGCTCTTCAAATGAGAGTAGAGACGAGTTCTTTGTATGGATTTCGCGGATTGATGCTGCTAATATGTTCCAGATTGAGTTGAAGTCGTCATTTTCGTTTCGGCCGGTCATTCCCTAGTAGAGAAAGGGGTTAGTGACTGGAGAAGTTAAGCGGGATAGGTAGAGCCATGATGCCTCCGAAGCTCTCAAGGCTTATAACGAAGACATATAAGGCAAAATGAACGGTAAAGAAGCAAAAGAGCCATGGAGATGGTGAAAAGGGAAGCTCCCGGAAGTTCCATACCCGTCTTGGGACCCGGACCTTGGACCGTGGCTTCATGATGTAGTAGACTGCTATAGGCAAGGTGTTCCCAAAGATGGAGAATATTCAAATCTATACCGAGCTATAGAAGCCTCCGATATCACCGCAGTAAGGAGAATGATGGCAAGGCGAGCTGAAGATTGAATGCTATATCGACCTATAGTGCGGGGTGGGCTAGTTCACAGCCGCGGCGCTGAGCTGATGGCGTAGATTGGATAAGATGCATTATACGGAGCCTTGAGGGGAGTAATAAGACATTGACAAGGAACCTCTCAGCATAACTCTCCCACACCAGCCTCAGCCGACGGCAACTGATGCAGATTTGTATCTTGTCGACGTCGCGGGGAGCTTCAAACTGCGGCTTTTTTGGATGGAGCAACTCTTTTTTTAACTCCGAAGAGTCCGGCCCGGAAGAAGGATGATCCGGATATGTAAAAGTTGAAGATTGAAAGATAGATGAAGAAGACGAAGACAATATCAAGAACACTCTGGACGGGCATAAATAAAAGACATCACCATGGCTGTTGGACAGAAACTCCTCCGGGGAGCACTTACTGCCTCTTCTCGACTTCAGCACACCTCTCTCTCCAAACACGCCCTCACGAACCCATCTCTAGCTGCTCCCTTTCGCTATACTCCATCACGGCTCTGCTCGTCAACATCAACACTTCTCCCGCGATCAAGAGTCCTCTCCGCATCGTATTTAGGTAGAAAGGCCTATTCTACGACGCTCCGAGACCCCCACCCTCTCACAGACAACAACAGGTCTGCAACATCCGAAACAGAGGCCCAGGCAGCTCAGGCTCGACGAGACCAGGAGCCAGCATACCAGATCCATTTTACCTGCAAACCATGCACGCATAGGTCGTCGCATCGCATCTCGAAGCATGGCTACCACAAGGGAACCGTCCTCATAACGTGTCCGAGCTGCAGCAATCGACATGTCATCAGCGATCATTTGAAGATCTTCATGGATGAGCCTGTTACGCTGGAGGAACTGCTGGCTCAGAACGGCATGAAGATCACGAAGGGGACGATGGAGGGAGATATGGAGTGGTGGGATAAAGACGGCGGAATGATGGATGCCAATTCGGACTCTGCTACCACGCCTGAGCTGGCTCAGCCGAAGAGTGGCGAGAATCAGGAGGGAAAGCCCTAGGTCAGGACTTGTCTCGTACTCCGCGCGCTTGACTTTTCGTTTAGAAGTTACGTTGGGAGCGTTTTTATCCCTTTAGACTACCTGGTTTGCAATTACAACTTCGGACGGCGCCTGGGGAAGGATTTGGTTTATTTAGAGTGGCGCTCGATTGCCTGCTTTGGAACGGGTTATCAATTATCAAAACGATCTCCTTTTTTTCATGTATTATATACAATGTACAATTAATTGTTTCAATCCATCTATCATATACTGACATGCTAATGGTGTATTCAAAAAATCATTCTAAACGCCATATTTTTTTTCCAAACCAACAGTGCTTTTTATAACCAAATCCCCGGACTCCGTAATAGCAAAGCAAAAGAGCTTCGATATCTTAGTATTCGTGTCGTCGATCCCTATTTTCCAGGCCTCTCTCTTTTCTCTTCACCCTCTTGCGGTCATGTTTGCGCTTCTTATCACGGCCAAACCTTTCAGGGGCTGTGACCGCCTCGATCCTTCTTTTGACCCTTCGCCCTTCTCTTCTCTCCTTCACCCGGTCACGAGCCTGGCTCATTTGCGCTACAAACTCCGTGGTTCCAAGCTTCTTCTGAAGCAGATCTAGTATCTCCTGACTGCTCGTCACTAATGACTTGTATGTCGTCTGGAAGACTTCATCCGATGATCGGGGCGCAGGGATTGATGGGTCAGTCAAATGCAAAAGGGGCAGGAGAATAGTTTGCAAGTATGGTGTTATCTTCGAGACGTCGAGGTGGCTGCACAGCGCGGCAATCATTTTCATGCAGGCTACCTTGGCATTGAGTGATTCTGCTCGCGTAGTGATGACTTCTTTTCGGAGGATCCGAGCCCCTTGTTCAAAGATATATTGAACGGCGGTCTTCGTCTCACCGGCGGTTTTGGATTCACTGCCTTCCTCGTCCTCTTCGTCACTTTCATCTTCATCTGGTATCATCTTTGAGGGTATCCGTTTTAAGAGGTCGAGGTTACTCTTGCCGAAGCAGCGTCCAAGGAATATCACGTTTCGAACAGTTTGTGTTGCAAGATCTTCGGATAGGTTAGGCGTCTTGAGACAGAACATGCTTGAGCGGGTAATTTGAAGCATCAACTTGTCATCTAGCAATAGGCCTGACGATCCAACTAAGGGGATGGACGCATACCCTGCAGCCGCATTTGTCCTGGCTACATCAGCTAACCAGATACCAACTAGATTTGCAGCACACGACCGTATCCAAGCTTGCGGATAGCATAGACTTTGGAGGACCTTTGCCCAAATGCTGGTGCAGGACGGAGTTAACGTGGCGCCTGGGAATAACTTGGATAGTCTCACGAAGAGTTGAAGAGAATAATATAGAACCTCCCACTCGTTGGCTTCTCGATTACTCAAAGAAAGCTCCATGATACCCGGCAATAGGTCAGTAACGAATCCGACATAACGATCCTTAACTTGTGCATCAGACTCAAAGAATATCCTAATCGCTTGCAGCCCTGTAGTCGTAAGAGCGAGGTTCTCGGATTGTTCGAGCCACGACTCAAGTGGCGTGAGTATGGTCTTTAGATGCGCAGCGTCAGCGCGGGTAAAGATGTTGCCTAAAAGCGAACCTGCCATCTCCCGGCAGCTAGGTGCCTCATCGTTGGACATAACCATTACCAACGGAATGAAGAAGTTATCAATCATTTCCTGGGCCAAGTCTCCGTTTGTTTTCGACAAGAGTAGATGGATCGCTTCCATCACTGATTCTCTACCTTCTCTATGGGCATAATCCAAATTCTTAACAAGATAGGCTAGTTGCTTAGTCCATCTGCTCTTGGCTTGAGGGTATTCAATCAAGAAATGCACATATGTACCCCTTGCGAGATCCCGAGCATTTCGTGTGTGGTTTGTCACCATCATAGCAGCGACTTTATCAACAACCTCGTAAATTTCTGGGACCATAAACTTACGTGCCATGACGGCTCGAATGAAATTGAACACAATCCCCTGGCGATCAGGCTCGTCGATGTCTGCAGATACACGTTGGAGGAGATACGCAAGATAGGAATCCTTGATGTTAGTGCGTTTTCGTTCGCGGAGCACGGTGGATATGAGCTTCAAGGCCGCCTGTGATGCGTCAGTATTTGAGCTTGCTGATTCTTTCATCAGCTTGATGCATTCGACGATATAAACGTCGGCGTTCTTGTCAAGCTCAGGAAGAGGAAGCTTGATAATGGTGGATAAGAGCCTGATAGCTGATAGTTTAACTTCTTCATACCCTTGGACGATGGCGTCGCCAATAATGGGGACAAAGCCAGCAACATTGTCCGCAGTTAATAGGGAGCTATATTTGTTGAGCACTGAGCGAAGAGAGTCCAAGCTAAAGCGAGCCAGTTTGTACAAGTACGATGTGGTACTTCTGCCACTCTTCTTTCGGATGGAAGCAACCTGGATGAGAAAGCGACTTTGTGTTTTCCATTCGTTTTTGTCCAATACAACCGGCTCGGGGGTTTTATACGATTCTCTCACGACTTCGTAGCAGAACATCAAGAAATCACGGCTTTCTGCGCCGGGATTTCGCAATAATCCTACCGCGATACGCCTTAGCAATTCATCTATCTTGCCCACTAGGCTAGCCGTAAGCTTTTCCTGTAAGAGAACCTGCACTGGACGAATAAGGTTATAGAGATGTCGGATGCTAGCATTCTTGGCTAACAGTTCGGCGGAGTCGTAACTCTTGCTGCTCTTCACCTCCTTCATCTTACTGACGTATTCTTCGGCATCTTTCTGCTGGCCAATCGTGCCAAAAATGTCATCCATGATGATGTCCCCGAGGCTGCCAAGGTCTTGATCCAGGTCTCCAATGTTGAATTCATCGGCGGTTGCGACGAGAATCGAGTGAACGGTGAACGAGAGTACGTGAAGCTGGTATCCCCTACTCAAGGCACCCTTCAATTCCTTAAGGATATATCCAAAGTACGTTGGGCCAAGAATAATGGCAATATCGGCAAGTGTCTTTCTCGCGACATCTCTAGTATCCTGTGAACGACTGCGTAGAATATTTGACACATCTAGTAGCAGCGGAGGGAGGAGTAGTGCCATATCTTCTTCAGGCAGCAGTTTGAGTAATTTGACGGCGGCAACTGCTACGGGAAGACGTAGGGTTACCTCGGACTCGCTCCTTTTATTCGTGAATCCGGTCAAGAATGGAATGAAGTCTGTCTTGAGCTCAGTGGTTAGTTTCGTAACACCGGGGATGTATGTGCTCAGATTGCTCTGGACAGCTTTGTGTTCTTCCACAGTCGTCTCATCGGTCGTCTCTTCAGCTGTCTCCTTAGCTGTGGATCGTGCGGCCTTTATTGTAACAGCACGCGAAAGGGCATCCGTCATTTGACTTAGAAGTCGGATAACATTCTTTTCCAAACCTGGCTTGCTTTTCATATACCCCTGGTACCGACGAAATATAGCCTTGAACTGGTTCCAAGTTAGGGCCTCACTGAGGGCGCCGATGGTCGTAACTGTCCCAGCAGTTAAATTATGAGCATTGTCGTCCTCTGACTGTTGGAAAACAAAGTGCTCAATGAGAGGAAAGAAAATCGTGCTGACGTTGGTGGCTTGAATCTTGCCTTTTGCAACTTCAGTGGCAAGCCTTCGCAATGCACGAAGACGTCGATGCTGTTGGATGTGAAGAATGTTATTAAAGAATGATGCTTCTTCATCCCCTCCGGCTAGCAAGTCATGCATATCGCTGACCACCTGAAGGTTAACGTGCTCCTGGATCAAATAGCCGAGGAGAGAGACAAATTCCGCACGAACTGTTTCAGCATTTTGCTTGACACCACTGCGTAGGGCAGGGAGTAGCACTTTTGCGATCAGTTCATCGTATCCAGAGGCCTCAGTTCCTGACTGTGTCTTGGTAGTTTGGATGAACCGCTTGATGCTGAGGGAGGCACTCGATCGTATGGCAAGCTCTTCTTCGTCTTTCAGGTGGTAAACTATGTTAAACAAAAGAGGCCGCCACTGCTTCACGGTGAAGGTGGAATACTCTTCTTCATTTATGATGCTAAAAGCTTTAAGCCGCCGTTCGAAATCAACTTCGTCCAGCCGCTTCGTGGATATGGAGTTTAGGTCAGCAATGAGTCTTCCAACTTCAGCCAGCTCTGGGTCATCCTTGACGAATATGTCAAACACGATGGATAGGGAGACACGGTTTGGTTCATCCTTGAAGTAGTCGAAAAGAGATGAAAGGACCTCAAATATTCGCTGTGTGAGTTCGAGATCATCTTGACGCTGATAGAGGGGTAAGAAATGCTGGAGGACCTTAAGAAGACGGCCTTTAGTCTTTGGAGGTACTCGATCCGGAGGTTGCTGGAGTAAGACCGTGGTGGTGCTAATAAGTTTCGAAGATTCTGCAGATGACTCCACGAGGGACGAAAGCCTCGACAGAAGCTCAACCGCAGGCCCTAAAATTTGGCGAGATGGCTGCTTTCTAAGGAAGTCTTCAATTTGGACTAATATATACTCAATATGAGGCCCTAGGATCCTTCTGCGTATGACACCTGGCGATGGGGCTGACATATCGACGTCCCCTTCATCGTCCATCTTCTTTTCGGTGGAAATATTGACCAAGGATATTAAGACCTCATCTAATACAAAGACTTTTACTTCGTCTTTTGCAGATTCTATGCTTAAACAGTCGACGACTCGTGGGATAATATTGGTATCCTCGAAATACATTGCCGACCTTGGAGAAATAGCCCATGTTCGGAATAGATGGAGCAGCCCGGAGACGGCCTGGGCTGTCTCCACGGCGAAATTGTCTAGCCTTGGGTTGATGACCTCTGAAAGTATAATGGGAATGAACTGTTTCCACTCCACCCCAGGAGAGACATAGAAAATCAAATCAAGACATTTGACGCCTAACTGCCGGATATTGCGTAGAAGGGTAAGCTGGACAGTATCGTCGGATGTGATCACGTTGGTCTCAGTTATTTGCCTGTATGCTCGAATGAGAGAATACAGTACGACGTTCATCGCTCGGTTAACGTACGGCAACATTTTCCCTTTTAGGATTGAAAACATGGTTTCAACCATGTTCAACAAACCAAGCTGTCTCCTCAGGCTCATAAACTCTCGACTAACGGCATCTTCATTGATCGCGCCATCTTTGTCAAGTAAATTAAAACTGCCCAAAGACCCAAAGGAGATGTGGATGAACTCAGAAAATTGGTCATCTGGAAGCTGAGAAACGACTCGCAATATCGCCTTCCTTCGTCCCTCCTGTCGACCAAGTGATCCTCGAGAACCGGCCCGTGCAACCATCTTGCCATATAGTAGTTTTAAAATGTAGGGGAACGATCCTTCTATGTGTTCATTTTTGATTACACTGTTGTCCTGGCCCACGTGTACGAAAACTCCTAACTCGTCTTTGAATCGGGAATCGTCGACCAAGTTAAGGAGATTTTGCTCATATGGCCGGAGGGCTGGTAGTTTCCATGTAAACACAGCGTTGAGGGCCAGTTTTTGTATTTCCAGATCACCGTTACAAAGAAGCCCGGATATTGCATCGTGCGCCTGTTCAGCTTGGTATAGAACCCGAGGGTTAATAAATTTCCCGAAGAGAGTGAGCATCGATTTTTTGTCCTGCATACTCCAGCCTTGTCGTGGTTTGTGTGAGGTAGCATCATCTTCTAACGAGGATTCTTCATCTCCAGAGATAGGCAAAGCAGAGTCATCGTGGGAGGCCCATGATAGAAAGAGTGGAACTATTAGACGTGACCTCTTTTCCGCTATCTTAGGAACAGCGTTCAAAACCCTGAGTGCCTGACTTCTTGCATTTTTTGCGGACATAGGTAGCGGGGAGTGGGTGTATTCAAAATCTTTCAGTAAGGATGAACCGGCATCCTGAATCGTGTGGAATGAGTTGGATATGTCCGCCTGAATGTTGTTGACGTTGAAACATTCGTACTCGGTGGTGGTCGAGGAGGATTTTTGGATGGTATCGTGAGCGGGCTTTTCGGCCGTACTCTGAAAGGGAGCATCTTGCAGCCACTTCATAGCAATCTCGGTAACAATGCCCTCTCCAACATCGGTTTCGCAAATTACCTTCAACGCTTCACATGCGTCATCCCATATAGACGCAAGCCTCTTTGACAGCAAACCGAAACAGAAGCTTGGGATCAGCCGATCAAGCCATCTTTTACGAGACGATTCGGCATAGTGAGCCCCAAGGCGCCGCACGTCCATAGAAATTACTCTCGCAGATTGTAGGGTCAGCTCGCTGCTTTCAATGCTTAGTGCAAGCGATAAACATGGGTCGTCTATCTTGCCCCATTTGAAAATCAGCTGGAAGATTTCCAAGGAGAGCTGCCTTAGCTTATGCGATGGGCTAGCCAAGTTAGTAAGAAGGGCATTTGTAAATTGATCGAGGTCATCGTCGGAAATCTCAGGGCTACCAGGAAGGAGAGAGGCATATGCCGATATCGCCTCTAGGAAGACAGGAATCCTGGAATATTGGCTGGCTTTAGAGCAGAGTAAAGGCCAGAGTTTCTTGTCTAGCTGGTCTAAGCTGGTGGAAAAGCGAACATATGTCAACAACCCCTGCCCAAGGGAGAACATAGTTTCGGGGTCGTCACCCGAGGAGGCAGAGTCTAGTGAGGAGGATATTTTCTGGTGGAGGTTCTGAATAAGGTCTGGAATGATGGAAGGTTCGTTCGAGAAGCTAATGGAGTGAGGGAGTTTCGAGTACGCGTTCAATGTCACAACCTCCTCCTTGCTGGGATGTGGTTTGTTAAGTTTTGCGCAAATAGCCATCTTCCAGGCATTCGGGCAGCTTAAAGATCCCGGTCTTGTTGAGCTCGAGGTAACAGTACCAGAGGACTGAAGCCGGGGTAGCAGCACACAAAGACCTTCTTCGTATTCTTCCCATAAAGCCAGTATAAATCTGGAAACATGTATCAGTAACCGGTCTAGAACAGCAAGCAATCAAGGGCAACTCACTTTTGAAGATATGGATGGACAACGCTCTGAAACCTCTCTGACCCTAATCCAGCAACTAGATCACAAAATGGTATAAAGTGCGGATTTAATTTTTGGTTGGTAACAGCATCCATGATTTGTCGCATGTGCGGTAGTAGCTCATCCATTGGAGAACACTGAATTGCGACAGCCACTGATCCGAGAAGCTGTTCGACTGAACCATCAGGGAAGCCGTTGTTCTCAGTAGCCTTGTTGAGGAGCCTTAAAAGGACAGAATGGACTCGGTTCCAGTCCTGTACGCGAGAGCCTTTCCTCGTGACAATGCACAGGAATAAAGCGTGGCATCCAACCCGTGTAACCGCAGGTTTATCTTTTATCGTAATTTTTTTATTAAAATCGCAGACAGCGTCCAGGACAGGGCGAAAAGTTTCAGCAGTACAGTAGTGAACTAAATTGATCAGGACACCGCTGAGAACCGACTCGGAAAAGGTGCTCTGATCCTTATCCTTCACATCAACGGACTTCATAAGACACCGTAATATATCTATGCCATTGGAGTGGACTGCGCCCTTGATGCCTTTCGTTGCGTCGGCGAACACAGTCATCAGACCCTCCTGATACGACGTAACCTGGCGGCCTTCGGCGCTTGTTTTGGCTAGGTCCTCGAAAAGAAAGGTGACTGCACGCTCCAGAGGTTTCTTATCTTTGTAGTATACCGTAGCTGTCTTTCGGATAAGAAACGAGACAGACTCTGCTGCGAACCGTGCCACAAAGTGCTTCTGGTGTTCCTTTCCGAGATACTGCGTCATGATCGCTAACAACGGCCGCAAGTCCGGGACCAGGAGACGAGACAGAAACTTGAAGATCCAGGCAAGACAGGTGAAGCTCCATTCTATAACTTCGACGCTTGGGTGGGTTGCCGCGACGGCAGCGACCAATTGAACAGCAGCCGCAAAGTGTTTCTCGAATCGTGAGCCCAAATCCCGCGCAAACTGGGCCATCAGACTGAGGAGTGGCTCCATGCTCAATTCGTCCTTCTTCTCAATATATTCCATCAACAGGTTCATTATCGCATCCTGGTGGTATAGTATCTGTGGAAGGTTTTCGCACAGGCGATTCACACGCTGGGTGAACTCTGTGAAATTCTCGGATAGGTTGAGCTCCATCCAGTGCTCCAGGGAGGCCCTGAAGCAGGACGAAGTCTCGTCGGCGTCATCTTCTCCAAAACTCGTCCGGCGCACTCGATGGACCGGGTCGATCTTTAGCTTAACGACGCGCTGGGAGAAGGCTTCGAATCGGTGGGATTTACTAGTCGCTGTGCCGCTTTTGAGAAGCCTCGGAGGCTTACTCCGATGGCTGGAAGACGCTGTAACCATCGTGGCCGGCTGCGGTCGCTTCAACTGTCACTTCTCATAGCTATCTTCTCATATAAATTATTTTATTTCTTTTGAGCTTTGAAAAAAAGTTGGACGGACTTTCTTTTCTCCGATATCAACACGTGATATGCCTCTACCTTATGACTAAGCAACCTCCTTACCTCAGCAAAATACGTTTTGGCGGCCAAAAGTTGAAGCTCGATCAAACCAGCAAGAGAAGCCTGATACGAGGCATTGGAGCTGCTGCGTGCGAAAATATGGCGTCTAAAATGTAAGACGAACTGCACTGTATAAGGTCAATTGCATTTTGCTAACTGGTATGCATAGAATCGTGGTTGGAGGCGTAAACTCGTCATTTCGAGAAGTCTTTGCGAAGCTCCAAAAATTGCAGACTAAGCAACAATTCGCGTTTGCAATTATTTCAGGGGACCTCTTTGCAGACTCTGCAGACTCTGCTGGCAGTAATGCGGATGAACTCCAGGCGTTAATGCGAGGAACGATCCCGGTGGTTCTACCCACCTATTTTACCGCTGGGAAGAATGGCATCCCAAAGGTGGTAGCTGATAAGCTCTCCAAGGAAGATGAAGTCTGCCCGAATCTTTTCTATCTCGGGAGAAGAGGAGTGCTCACTACCTCTGAGGGGATCAAGATTGCTGCCCTCGGTGGTATTTCTGGGCCGGCACCATCGGATGCCGATGTGGATGATAAATATCTTCCATACCATACAGAGGCGGATGCAAGATCGCTGTATTCAGCCGAGAGCGCCGATATCCTAATAACCTATCAATGGCCAAAATCAATTGAGCAAGGCTCGAAGATCCCAACTGGCGATCTAACAGTAGCAGGGAGCCAGTGTGTTGCGAATACCTGTTTGGCCCTGAAGCCTCGCTATCACTTTTCATCCGCCACGGATACATTCTACGAACGCGAGCCGTTCTTCCATGTTCCGGCAGACGAGTACACTGTCGAGAAACATATCACCCGCTTCATTAACCTAGCGCCATTCTCGACGGTATCTAAACAAAAATGGCTCTATGCATTTAGTCTAGATCCAAAGAGCGTACTTCCTACCACAGTTCCGGCTGGGACGACACTGTCACCTCTTACCTCGATAACTGGAAAACGTGGAGGGCTACCCAGTCAGAAATCCTCGTTTAGCCGATTTGCTCAAAACGATGGCCAGCAACGTCCTGCTAAGCGTGCAAGGAAGGCTGCGCCTGGCCCATCGGAATGCTTCTTTTGCCTTTCGAACCCAAACATCGCTACTCATCTGATTACGTCGATCGGATCTGATAGTTATCTTACGACAGCTAAGGGACCGCTGCCGACTGCAGATACGTTCTCCACCCTGGGATTCCCAGGCCATATCCTAATAATCCCCTTGATCCATGCACCATCCCTTGCGGCGATCGATGACGCGGACTCTAGGCTATCTACCTATAATGAAGCCCATAAGTATCGGTCCTCCCTTCACTCGATGCTGCATGAGAAGGCTGGCGGGGGACTGGGGGCAGTCACATGGGAAGTCAGCCGGGGTCGCGGCGTGCATATTCACTGGCAATTCCTGCCTGTGCAGTCGGACCTCATTCACCGCGGTCTGGTTGAGGCTGCGTTCAAGGTAGAAGCCGAAAATCTAGAGTACCCAAAGGTCGAGAAGCGGGAGTCAGGCTGCGAGGAGGACGGCGACTATTTTCGCGTATGGATCTGGGCTCCAAAGCAGTCCTCCGATGGGGAGGCCGTCAACGATGCAGGTACGGAGACGACGTTAGTTCTGCCGCTTAACGACAGGTTCCGATTCGACGTCCAGTTCGGCCGGACGGTGATGGCGAAACTGCTTGAGCTGGAGGACCGGGTGAACTGGCGAGATGCGTCGCAATCGCAGGAGGAAGAGATGGCAGACGCAGACGCCTTCAAGAAGTCGTTTGAGAAGTTTGATTTCTCTCTTGCTGATAGTTGAATCTAGAAGATGTTCACTAAGCAGAGAAAGACACCTTTTAATATCTTATGCAATATACCCAACTTCACCCAACTTCTAGCATCACCTCTTATTCGCGATGTTTTCAAAGACGTCCCTAGCTATTTGAATATTCACAGGGACGTATAACCACGGTTGGCCAGAAAGAAAGATGGAAAAGTCTGGGTAGTGGTTTGACTTAGGCAGGCCCATGGGAGCAACAGGCAACTTCGACGTCATGTACATCTCTCTCTCCGTCTCGCTTCCATATCTCGACTTTTCTCTCACCAACAACTTTTCTTCGTTTTACGTCTATCAAGCAAGTCCTAAGCCAAAGACAAGCTGGAATCTTCCTTTTATCAGTTATATATTCACTGTTGCCATGCCTCACACTATGCGCGGTTTCCCTAGCTTCTCCTCTCGTGCTTCCAGCAAACGGCAAAGTTTTCTTCGCTTTAAAAAACGTAAGGTTCGAATGCAGCCTAATAAATCATCCAGCAGCTCATCGGCAGACTGTGAGACTACTGCTCTAGGGTGCGCAGAAGCCAGCCTCAACGCCCTTTTCGCCGCGACGACCCTCACGCGAGTCCCATCTAAAGGGTTAGATAGCGACAAGATCAAGGCAACGACAAAGAAGAAGAAGAAAAAGGACAACCCTGGTGAAATCCTGTTGGTTGCTTCTACTGCCAGCAAGGTAGTCTCTGGTACTGTCGATATGGATGCGAAGGCGGAAAAGCTCTCGCAGATGCATCCATCAGCCCGGAATGAATATGCTGCCCTACGCAAGGAGCACCCGAAACTGCCAGAGGAACCGGATCTGCGTGCTGGAATTTTGCTTCTTGTGACGGAGTCCAGCGGAGAAGTGAAGATCGGGAAATGCGATGGAGAGCCGGGGTGTGAGCCAGCCTCGAGGATCGGGAGTTTGAAGCGAAAGAAGAAATCTGACTTGTAGACACTATTGATATTACCTGCTTCTCCGTTCGTTATGACGCTTTTTCTCTTCGTTTAGAAGGCCGGTGGAGGAGTTTCGAGACGTTCTTTGTTCATTGTTTCATCCATTCGCTAATATTATTCCGATTCAAAAATTAACCCTTACCTCTATTTCCCTCAGTAGCATATTTCTTTTCTTGCAGGTGAGGATACGTCTCCAGGCTGTACAAATAGCATTGTTGCCAGCAGAGGCATGTCTGCAGCACGATAACAGATATATATGTGTTCCTACGTATAACATGTCCAAGGCTGCATACAAGATGCAAGCCCATAATTGCTTATTCTTCCGCTCTTCGCGTATCCGCGAGACAGCGAGGAGCCCGGCGGCCCAAACGCTGCATTCACCGGTTCCAGCTGCGGTATTTCTTTTCTCTGGCAGACGAGTTGAACAGTTGACCGGCCAAAGGCATAAGGAATGGCCGGCTAACCGTCTCCGGCTGCAAAAGTTCGAGCATCAGACGTCAAAAACCTCGAGCTTCGAGGTGCGGCCGAATGATGGACGCTGGCAGGATGGAGACCTTGCTGTCGATCGCACAGGAGAAGCCGTTATTGAGCGCTCGTTATTGTTCTCTCTCCGCCATCCCCCATGCAGGGAATCCCCAGACGGCGCAGTCCTTGTGCTCTGACTGGTGCTGCGTTGTATACTTATATACCTCTTGTCTGCCGAGGGCCTTGCCGTTGCCGTTGCCGGCCTGCATTCCCGCGGACTGGAGAAAGCTGGCGAAGCTGGCGAGGGCTGGAAGGATGTTCTTTTGTTCGACGCAGGACGAGCAGGGATAGGGGCTATGGGAGCAGGCAGATCGAAAGTTGCAAGCAGCAAACCAGAAACCAGGTCGAGCGTTGGTTTCGGGCCAGCGGGTCATGGCTGGCCGCTAATGCTTATAAACCGCTCTTCTATATATATATATATATATATATAGTTATCGGGTCTTGCTGGTGGTTGTTTACTCGGTATGCATTGCTCGAGATGCGTGAGAGTCCCTCTATACCATACCTACATCGGCCGACATGAGCTACCAGGAACGCAAGGACTGGATGGTCCAGGTCGAGACTGCGATCCCTTCACCCAGTACAGCAGAACTGGCAGCAAGAGATGCAGCAGATGCTGAGAGAGAGACATATCCCGAGGGCGGGCTCAAGGCATGGCTCAACCTGCTGGGGGCATTCTGTGCCATGGCCTGCACATTTGGCTGGATCAGCACATTCGGGTTCGTCTATCATTTCTGAAATAGTTATATTGGATTTAGCATGACGCTGACAGTGTATAGCGTCTTTCAGGCATACTACTATACGCATCTGCTCAAGGAAAACACCCATTCTCAGATTGCATGGATAGGCGGGCTGCAGGCCTTCTTCATCTGCACCACCGGCCTTATATCAGGGCCATTGGTGGATAGATATGGCCTCAAAGTCAGTATGCTCCTCTCAATTCGATATGGCAGACTAAAGATTTGTATAGCCGATTCTGGTCCCGTTCTCCCTTCTGGCACTGCTGTCAGTGATGCTCACCTCCATCTGTCGCGAGTACTACCAATTCATTCTCACCCAGGGCGTACTGGGCGGTTTCAGCGTTGGCATGCTCTACACTCCATCAATTTCCATCATGGGCCACTACTTTCACCGCCGCCGTGACCTGGCCATCGCCATAGCCTCTGCCGGATCCCCGTTGGGCGGCGTTGTCTTCCCCATTGCCCTGCTCCGGATGCTAGAGCATTCCCGTATTGGCTTTGGCTGGGCTGTGCGGGGTGTAGGAGTTATATTCCTTTTCTTCCTGTGCATTGCCTGCGCGACATTGACGCCTCGTGTTGCTCCGCGGAGAGGGCCACATTTCCTGTCTGCTGCCTTCAAGGATCCCGTCTACGTATCCCAGCTCATAGGCTACTGTTTGATATTCTGGGGCATATATACCCCCTTCTTTTTCCTACCGTCCTTTGCTATACGAGCGGGTGTCAGTGTTGATTGGGCGTTTTATATCCTTCCGATATACAACACCGGCTCATTCGTGGGGCGCATCGTCTGTGGACGGCTGACCACGATATGCGGCAGGTTCAATACCCTGCTGGCTGCAATCCTGGTCTCTGCCATTCTCATGTTCTGCTGGCTTGCTGCCACCACTCTTGGAGGCATCATCGTGTTTGCCGTGTTGTTTGGGTTTTCATCAGGAGCCATCATCGGTCTCTTCCCCGCAGCCGTGGCCGTTACCGCTCCCAAGGCAAACCAGATCGGAACATATCTGGGTATGACAATGGGCGTACTGGGGTTTTTCTGTCTCACAAGCTCGCCGATGATGGGCGCCATCGTGACGAGGTGCGGAGGCCGGTACACTGAGGCAATCGTCTTTAGTGCCGCCCTTATCGTCGTGGGCGGCGGGATGATTGTCTTTGCCAGGGTAAAGCATTCGGGCTGGAAACTGATTGCTTGAGTTTGTTATTAGTTAGGCGTTTGCTGGAGACTTATTGCTCGAGTCAAGTTCTTTTTGGGCATGTCCGGTTTTATAGGGTAAATATGTTCTTTCATCGCAGGTGCATGGCATGGAGCATATAGGAGAAAATTGTTTATAGACTGCTTGGTTGTGGTGTGCGTCAGTTCCAGGTGAGGGTGCATTATAATACCTGGGTGAAAGAGAATAGAGCCATATTAGATTATCATCAATATCACATATAGACTAAGGCATCCAACCCGCCCGCCAGCCTCCAATGCGCCAGTTCAAGTCATTAGTCGTCCGTCCCTCCGGATGACATGAAGTAGATGAGAAGAAGAGAAGAAGAGAAAAGATGAAGAAGAGAAAAGATGAAGAGAAGAAAAGGTGAAAGAAGAGAAGAAAGGTGAAAGAAGAGAAGAAGATACCAAGAAAGACAGCATGATAGCATGTCGATGAAGACAAAAGGCAGAAGATATACACCCAAATCCAGTTCCGATCCAAAAACATTCATACATCGAATACCGGCCGTAGCCATGCATGCCGTACCATGCCATAACCATAATGTAAGCGTTAAAAGACTCGAAACGACGAAACTATACATCCCTCCACGAATTTTCCACGGGTCGTCTGCCGGCCATCAGCAGGCTGGGGGCACGCGGACCCTGCCCCTGCACCTGCCCCTGCCCCTGCTCCTCGCCCTGTGTCTGGTCAGTCGCCGACCAAGGCGGTGGCGGTGTGGCTGTCGACGGGGAGTAAGCGGTATACGACCTCTGTGGTTGTTGGGGGTGCTGTTGCGGCGACTGGGCCGGGGAATATGGTCTGGTCGGATATGGCAGACCGCTGTGGTCGGGGCTGTATGCATGGACAGGCGATATCTGGGGTCCCGGCGAGGGAGTGGCTCGTGTCCGCTGGGCCGGGGAGCGGGTGAAGCTCCTTGTGTTTGCGTAGCCGTATACGTCACCGCCTGGACCGCCGATGGTGGACGGGGACTGCGTCTGATACCTTGATGGATAGATCTGGCCGGTAGTCTGGGGATCCATATAAGTGCTTCCGTGGCCTTGTCCGTAGGCTGGTCCGTAGCCTGGAGAGTGTGCGATGCCAATTGCGCTGGCGTTGGGGGAGATGGAGGGATCCGTCCCTCTGTATCCCGTCATTCCTGTTGACTGGTGGCTGTTGTGGTTGCTGCCGTTGTTGTTGGTTTTCGGGTAGAGAGGAGAGGCAGGCTGTGGAGGCACATGGTAATAGCCTGAGCCACGCCCGGCACCGTCGTCGACGACACTATGGCCCGTCACCGGGTTAAGATGCGACATCTCCATCTCGTCGTCGCGGCGGGACGTATCCTCGACTCGACGGGTGGTAGAATCCTGCCAGGTCGGCATGTTGGGCAGGGTGTCCTCGTTCATCCTGGTGGCTGGCACCGTAGGCTCCGGACGAGAGCCCAGGTTGTCGAACTGCGCATAGGTGGCTGGCTGCTGGTATACTGGCGGTGCTGGACGTTGGTAACCCGCATTGGGAGACTGATAGTGCGCCGGCGGTTCATCAGCGAACTTCGACCGTCCACCGCCGCCGTAAGATGGACCGCTCTTGTGAGAGGACGAGGGACAGCAGCATGAGCAGCATCCCTTGCAGCATGTGTAGCCGCAGCAGATGCACCCGACGAGACACCAGACGACGCTGAGCAGGATGATGCCGCCGATGGCGATGCCGATGATTGCAGGCCACCTAACAGAGTTAGTAAATAATTTATCTATATATATATATATATATATATATATATCTAATTCTCTATATCAGGGAGATACGAACTTGCAGTATGCCTTGGCCATGCACTTGTCCCAGCTGGAGAATGTGTCCTTGACATCGCCCGTTATCCCCCGCGGCTGGAACTGATGCCACGGCGTAAACTCGAGGGGATCCATCATGAACGAGGGCGTAGAGAGTGTTCTTATGTAGCGAGTCTCTTATCTGAGCGATTGGCGTTGAGCCGCAGTATAGGACGACAGGACCGGCGCATGAGCTATCACCAGAGTGAACGTCGAGCAGGAATCAGCAGCAGACGAGTAGAAGAAGTCGAAGCAAAGAGAAGTCGAATATAGATGAAGAGAGGAGAAACGAAGTAGAAGCGAGGAGATGTAGAGTCGAAGAGATGAAGGAGGGTCTTATCCTGGCGAGGCTGGATAGCGATAAGTCAAGTCGCACAGTCGAGTCCGGACGACCACGACCGAAAGACCAGGACAGCGAGAGAAGCGAGAGAAGAACGAAGAACGAGCGACGACCGACGAGCGACGATATCGAGCGATATCGATATCTAGAGGCCGGAGGTTTCGTCGTCGACGGCTTCGAGTTTTCACTTTCACTTACGCATGCGCTAGCGGGAGGAGTTTTTTCCGCTTGATGGACCGGACTCTCGTCTATATACTCTATTCCATGCGCCACGACATGGATGGTACATGGATGTTACATGTGTATACTGCTACGGACATATGCTAAACGGACTGGGGATGGCATTAGAGTATTATTGATATCTTATACAGTGAGACGAGACAAGAGAAGGCATAAGCATAACAGTACGGAGTACAAGCGTGAAAGAACATTTTATGGGTATCACATCAGCTTCCCGCTCACGCCTTGTGGCCGTATGGCTGTCCTCCATAGGCGTTGGGAGGCTGCTGCAGCTCGACGCCGGTCTGCTGGGGTGCGTAGTAGTCCTGCGCCGTACCGTACTGGGGCGGAGGGCTGGCAACGCCGCCTTGCTGTGGAGGATACTGCTGTGGAGGGTACTGTTGAGGATGCTGCTGGGGGTACTGCTGAGGGTACTGCTGGGGGTTCGGCGAAGGATACTGCTGCTGGCCCTGGCCCGGCGGCGGCTGGAACTGCTGGGGATGGCCCTGGGGTCCCGCGCCCGCCCATCCTGTTCCCCTGAACGGCTGCAGGCCTCGACGACGGCGGCGGCGGGCAGATATGCATCTTCTCCTCGGTTAGTATGTACAGAGTTTATAGGATAGAGGAATGGAGATAGACGTACGCGCAGATGAGGAAGAGGAAGAATGCGCCGACGATGATGACGGCGAGGACTACCCAGCGACCCCAGCGTTCCCAGGGCGTGGAGTAGTAGTAGCCGTTGCCATAGGAGCTGTGTCTTGTTAGTTTATGACATGACCGTGGAAGGGAGGCGAATAACATACTAGTATCTCTCTGCGATGGCGCCCATGCTGATGCCGCGTATCGTACAGTGGATGTACGAGTGAGATCGGACAGTAAGATGATGTGATGTGATGAGATGATAGTGATGAGATGATATCGTTGTATCGTTGTATCGTGTATATCGTGTAAATATCAGAGATCGTTCTTCGTTCTTCGTATAAGAGAAATATGGACGACTTGGCAGGTCACGTGGAGGATGTGGATGAGAGAGATGTAAGAGATATAAGAGAGGATAATATATAAGATATATATATATATATATATATATATAGAAGAGAGAAGAGGTAGAGAGATAGAGAGAGATAGAGAGAGATAGAGAGAGATAGAGAGAGATAGAGAGAGATAGAGAGAGATAGAGAGAGATAGAGATAGAGATAGAGACAGAGAGATGAGGCTCAGCCTCTCGGAGACGGAGCTTTATCCAGCGATGCGGCGAGGATGACGAGACTGAGGCTGTGCCCTTGATGTTGGGATATCCATGTACTATCTCAGTTAACCTGGATTCAGTATGATGCTCTACTCTATCTAATCTGCATCTAATCTGCATCTACTTTTACTCATCTAATCTACTTCTACTTGTATAAGCTAAGCAGACGTGGTTGGCTGGTGAATATGCAAGGCCAACGCATCAACATGTAAGACAAGGAGCTGGCGTATAAAGGGAGGCCCTACAGCGCGGAAGAACTACGCTCTCTATCGCCAGCTGCTCACTACAGTCACGCATTGCTCGAGTGAATCGATATTCGGATGTTACGGAGTACAAACGACCGACATGCGGTTCCGAAATAGATATTAAAGAGAGGAAGATGGCTCACTCTAAGACCTCACGTCGCTCATAAAACAGGAACAGAAGCAGACAGACAGAGAATACAACGACGGATCACCGATTCGACCTCGCGATGAGCCATCTCAGCACGGCGTCCAGGTTCGTCTCCTCCTTCGCGCTGATGCCGTAGCAGCTCACCTCCCGCTTCGTTATGCTCTTCAGCTCCATGGCGTCGATCAGCTCGTCCACCGAGAGCACGTCTGGCAGGTCGGACTTGTTGCCCAGCACCAGCAGCGGGATCCCTTCCAGCGTCGGCTTGCTCACCAGGTCGCGCAGCTCGTCCGTCGACGCCGTCAGAGACTGTCTATCCGCCGCATCCACGATGTATCTACACCAGTCAGTCTTGCACATACGCTCAAAGACCCAAGATCAGACTCACACGATGGCGTTGACGCCGCGACAGTATCGCTCCCACATGGGCCGGAATCGAGGCTGGCCGCCGAGGTCCCAGCTGCTCGGTCTGCGTTAGCCACCATAACCACGCCGGGTAGCCTTGCATCAGCACTCACCATTTCAGCGTTACATGGCCCTTCTGCACCCGTTTGGTGTTGAAGCCGATGGTGGGTATCGAGCTGCGAATCGAACCGTGTTAGCTAGAAGGGAAGAAAAAAAAAAGGAAAACCCACGATAGTCGCCACCCGCAAAAAAAACATACTCAACCGTGAATTCTCCGCCCTGCAACGAAGGAACAAGTCAGCGCCGTGCTACATCTTGCGTCGAGGCCGTCTTTAGCTTACCGCCAGCACCCGCAGAAGAGACGACTTGCCGGCATTCTGCAAGCCGACCATCGTCACATCCATCTCCGTCGCCCTGTTACCCGGCGGTCAGCCACACGTACAAAGACACACGAAACCACGAACCGCACACAACGGCCGCCGCTCGACCGCGAACTCGCTCTCGCTCCAACGTACCAGAACATCCTCAGCAGCCAATCATAGATACTCCTAAAGAAGCCCTGCATCGTGCTCTGCCCTCCGACGTCCTGCCAACTGCCGTGCCAACTGCCAACTGCAACCGGTGCACCGTGATGCGAGCGTGCTCTAGCCGAGGTCTGCAGCGGGAATATCAGAACAAGTAGACCCGTAGCGGCCGTTCGCGAGACAAGCGTCTATGCTGATATGCTGATGTTGATATAATATGCTGATGTCGATGTGATGTGATGCTGATGCTGATATATTGATCTGTGATGGACCAGATCTACTTCACAACCAGCGGTCTTGGCCTGTTGAGCGGCGCTAGTCGAGCGCTTTCAGTATAAGTTACCAGTCGTAGAGCGTAGATGTAGTATCTAGTATCGTGTAGCTGGCAAGAGCTGGCAAGAGCTGGGATTGGTTCAGGACCAGAAAGCTGAGCTGGATATCCCAAGGAGCAGAAGGTAAGTTCCGATGATGGGAAAGACGACGAGAAAGAAGCAAAGAGAAGAAAGCCTCCAGAGACGAGCGAGAGAGGGAGAAAAAGAAAAGAGAAGTCCCAAATAAGAGATGGCAGCGATGAGATATAGATGGAGAAAAAGAAACGGACAGACAGGCTGCGAAGGCCGTGATGTGACGAGAACTATCACACTCGCTAGATCAGCTCCGTCAGTACTCCGTAGAGCAGACAAGAAGACAAGAAGAAGAGTATACGAGCTGACTGTCGGGCCGTTTGACTGTCCAACGTCTCGAGTATGTACAGAGTCTGGGAGAAGCCTGCGACTTATGAGGTAATAGGTGACCAATAAATATAGCAACTAGTGAACGGCTTATTTGTTGCAGGGGACGAACCTTTGACCTTTGGTACGCCGCTCGTCCGCCCAACCACGTCTACAGATGTCTATTCCGATGTAAAGTGTTCTTGTATAGACAGATGAGTGCCAGCTCTGGCAGCGTCGCGATGCTGCAGCAGATATACGGCCTGCTCGTTCCTAGCGAATCATATACCCAGATCCTTGTCCTTTGACGAGGCTCCGGTCCAGGCTCGTTTCAGGGCGTGGTACAAGGAGGCTGGCTTACAGATATATATATGTGTGTGCCTGTATACGTATATGTGAATAGGGCTATTGCGTTGCATCGCATTGCATCCTGCGTCCGGGGATGGCATCTCGGCGGCCATGCTGTAAGACCGTTAATCTTCGTCCACCGAGTACTCGTTATATATTTATCTCTATGCGAGTTTTATACATGGTCGACCTAACCCCAATGCTAAACAGCCACGTTATATAGGACTAGTCGGTATGCTCAGAGGTGGCATGCTCAGAGGTAGCTGCCTTGACGCCGTGTTTGGCCATGAGGAGGCCATGAGCTAGCTTCGATAGCTTTCCGACGGTTCCTGCCTTTGAAATCTCCATCAAGCTGATCTCTAGCCTAAGATTACGGCGTACCCAGCCCTTGATCTCGATGGCCATGAGTGAGTCGACAGGAAAGTTCGACATCTGCTCGTCATCTAGATCTTGTGCATGCGCCATATTCTGCATAAGCCTACGCCCCAGCGCGCCTCGGATAGTACTTTCTGCCTCTGGGGTGTTCGGGTAGGCTGCATTCTGTTGTATCTTTCCGAGCATAATCTTGATCTCATCAATTTCACCCGGCTCATGTCCAACGCCTTCCAATTCTAGGTTTGAGTAGAGCGTGAATCGGGCATCTCTGGCCCATAGAGCGCGGACTCCAGGAGCAGAGAGTGGCTTCGTGTTTCCCAGCCCGATGATGCATGAGCTAGAAGTCATATCGTCAGGCGAATAGGCTGTGTGTGATTGACGTATCGCGAGCTGTAGCCCTTCTATCAGCTCCTTCTCGCTGACTAGACGCAGCGAGGCGGACTGGGCATTCTGCAGCAGGCTGCTGTTCTGGCTCACCATACCGACATCCTCCACTACACCTAGATCAAGGATGGCAGATGGCAAACCGAGCTGACGACGATATTGCGTGAAGCTGCCAAGGAAGGTATTCGCCGCGGCATAGTTGGCCTGGCCGACGTTTCCGCAAATGCCAGAGACAGAGCCGAAGACTACGAAAAAGTCAAGCTTTTTGTCCCGTGAAGCATCATGCAGATTCCAAGTTCCCTGGACCTTGGATTCAAGGCAGGACGACCATTCATCATGCGTCATCTTTTCAAAGGTGCGATCCTAGAATAATAGGTAACGGATTAGCGTGACCAAGGACATACAGCTTTACCGGAGACAAAAGAATTTACCTTCAAAACAGTGGACAATTGAATAATACCAACGAGGCGCTTGGGGCATTTTGAGATGGCAGACTTTACGTCCGCCATATCTGCCACATTGCCTGCTACGCAGGTCGCAGAGCAGCCTTGGTCTTCAAGCTCCCGCAGGAACGCCTGGTCTTTTGCAGATTTCCCAGCAGAACGTGACAAGTATACAATATGACGGGCACCATTTTCCGCCATCCAAGATGACACCGAGCGTCCTAGCCCGCCTAGCCCGCCAACTAGGAGGTATGAGGCATTTGGTGAGAATGTGATTACGGATGGGCCATCGGCGCGCAGTAAATCTACTGGGTCCTGAGGCATCCTGATTAAGATCTTACCTATGTGAACCCCTTGTTGCATATATCGGAAGGCATCCACGACCTTGGTAGCGTCATAGACTTTGATTGGTCGAATTGGCTGACTTTTGCCCTCGTTGAACCACTGTATGAATTGCTCGGTCGCCCTATGAGAATGTTAGAGATGTCATGGGAGGTGCCTAGTCGGAGTATACACTTACACCTTGCGCAAGTAATGTTTCGCCGTACCATATTGTGTTAGGTCGAAGCCGATGTACTGGCGATTATCTATAAAGGGTGCCATGTTGAGTTGCCCGTTACTTATAAAGTCACGCTTCCCAAGTTCAACCATCTTGCCAAACGGTGCAACACAGTCCCACGAAGCGTGAAGCAATTTTCCTGCAAGTGAGTTCAACACGACGTCAACACCCCGGCCATTGGTCTCGCGCATAATACCAGGCAGGAAACCAGCGTTTCTAGAGTTGAATATGCGATGACGCGGAATTCCGAACTGATCGGTGAGATACTTGACTTTTTCGTCATTACCGACAGTGGCGAATATCTAGATGCATCAAATTTAGTATTTGTTAGAAATTGATACCATGGCCCCTAACAAAAGTCCTCGAAGACTCATGATAGGGACCCCCCGTAGAGCAGAAGAAATAAGATGTGTACCTTTGCGCCCAAGGCTTCACAAATGCGGATTGCTGCCAGGCCAACCCCCCCGCAGGCCGAGTGTATTAACACTGACTGTATGCAAATTAGCATGTGCATAGCTGCAACATTGATAATCACTTACCTCGCCTTCCCTAACTCGCGCGAGATGAATTAGGCAGATGAGGGATGTAAAATAGCCACATAGCATCGTTGCTGCGTCTTCTAATGTAAAGTCATCGGGAATCTTAATAACCATGTGTGAAGGTAGAACGGCGCGAGTACGGAAAGCACCTGTAGAGATGACCGCAACTTTGTCGCCTGGTTTATAGTCAAGGCCTGGTGCCACCCGGCAAACGATACCACTGCCTTCTATACCAAATTCATCAGGGTCACCATATAGGCCCATTGCAACCATTATATCCTATCAGACCTGTTAGTCTAGTACATAATAGGGGGTAACAGTGAGCAGTACCCTGAAGTTCAACCCAATATATCGCATTTCAACCTCAACGTGGTCGCTTTCTAATGGCCCTTCCTCAAACCGGGCCCACTGGAGGGTATTTATTGACCCGCGTGACCCAATTTCTAGTTTTATCGGTGCCTCAAGTAATGCTTGGTCAGACTCCTGGATTTGAGGCAATTGCCAGTGGCACCGGCCAATATTTATAGTACCGTGATAGAAGCTGAATTCGTACTCCGGTTCGACATTGGGCAACTGCCTCGACCACTCGAGCTTTTCGAGGACCAGTATAAGTGCATTGGCTGCCGCAGTATCAAAGACATCGGTTTCAAAGGTAGAGATGTCGAGAGCCATTTCATGCCTGAGCGTTCGAGCGAGTCCAAATATCAAACTGAAACGGGGATCGATGCAGGCGAGCTGGCTTCTGCTTGTTACCCATATCATTTTGCTCTTGCTTATCTTCGTTAGGAATGCATGGAGGGCTGCATATTTCTGCGCGGGCATGGCGTGGAGATAGGGCCCATCCATATCTAAAAGAGAAACTATGAGCTGATCAACAGGAGGGTCTTCATTCAATGTACCCCAGTTCACTCTATACCCCCGAGAAACGAGGCTAGATTCAATTTCTTTGGCCCACGGGCCACGGACTTCGCCTGCCAAAAGGAAAACGTCTGTCTTATTATTTGGCACTTGAGCCATTTTAGACAGTATGGTGAAAGTGGTTGAGTTGGATGGTTCTAAGTCGTAACACATTACCTCATTTCCGACAAACCCGGCAGCAATGAGCTCCTGGTTCCATCTCTCAGGGGATACGTATGGATGTTCAAGTCTACCATCTTCATCCCCCACCCACCAGTCAGGCAATATACCCTGTCTTCTTGTTAGTGATGTATATTACAAACAAGGAATTTATACGTGCCATTATGTAGTTCATGTATAATGCCCCTATAGATGTGTTAGCACATATACCATGGCGCGAGAATCTAGTGGAGGTTCCGTACGTGGATGCAACTCATGGAGTAAAAATCGGCCATTATCGGCGAGCAAATGACCTATGTTTCGAAGAGCCTCCTCCAGCCGAGGTGTAGAATGCAAAACATTTGAAGCAATAATCAAGTCAAAGCTATGCGGTTCGAAACCCTGTTCCTTTGGATCTTTAGAAATATCTAGGACTTTGTATTCCGTGCATTGAGGGAACATCTTTTGTGCAGCCGTTACCATGCTTTCGGAAGCATCGGTAAAAGTGTATTGCGAGTATAAGTGTAGCAGCGCACCTTCGGGAGACTTTAAGTGTTGCAATACCACCCGCGTCGCACTTCCTGTTCCTGCACTAATTTCTAGTACCCGCATGGCTGGGTTGGAATGGCCAAGGAGCCTCAGAAAATGACTCCAGTCACACTGTGATTGAAGGACAGGCCAATATTTCTCCATGCAATCAATAGCCCGATCTGCCACACTCTTTCCGCAGGCTATCTCCTGACAGTGATCGTAGATGTGGCGCATACATTCGAATGGAACGGAAGACCCATCTTTCTCATCGTCGTACCGTGAAGAGATGGCGCTTGTGAGGAGTTGGCGAGCCTCCGAATTCATCTGGACCCAATCTTGCATCTTAGAAGATAAAGTATCTAGACTTTGGTGGAGTCTCGATGCCTCGACCGTGATCCAATTTTTCCACTTGACTAGAGATGGGGCCGTAGGAGTGATACAGGCCAATCGATCCGCAGTTTCCAGGATGTAAATAAGGCTTACTTGTCTGACATCCCTAGCCATTTTGTAGTAGCGTTCCTCCACTGTTGGTGTGGGAAGCAATGTAGGGGGAGATACCATATCAATATCGGGTGCCCACCGTATCTGCGAACCCAGGGGAACATTAGAGGCTTCTGTATTCCCCTGATTGTCGACTGGAAATCCGAAAATATCCTTGAGAGATAGAACCAGCTCATCATCAGCCATCACTATGGCTTGCCCGGCCCGGCCTGCCCCAAATCCGCCCTGAGGGATACAGGCTTCGATTTTGAGCTGCGGTGCACTCCCCCGAACATATATCTCTCCAATTATTGTAGGGACAATGAGTCCAAGACGGCGCGCAAAGCCGCGAGCCTGAGCAATTGGAAATAATTGAAGAACGTGATCCATGGTTGCAGGGTGAAGGTTGTACCTGCTTTCGAACCGGTCTTGAAAGTCGAGCACAGTTCCGGAGGCTTTGCATTCAGTCGGATGCACATTTATATCTTGAAAACGCCGGAAATGAGGCCCGTAACTAAACCCTTGTCGATCTACAAGTTTGTAGCAGGTATCCACGTCAAGAACTCGTGTCTGGTCTTTGATTTTATATCCCTTGGGTGGGTTTTCAGAACCAGCCCTCACTTGTCCCTGACAATGTTTCGTCCAGCCAGATCCATCATGTGCCATTATGGTGAACGAATACCATTCCGAGTCAACCATATCCGTTATCTTCACCGGCCTAAAAGCGGTGATAATTTCTGCCTCGTTTTTCAATAATAGCGGGTTTTTGATGGCAAAATTCTTGATCGTGTATCCATCCGCACCAGAATCGAGTTGACAAATGGCCTCCCCTGCCATCGCGACATATCCAGTAGCGGGGAAAATAATATTTCCTTGAAGGGCATGGTCAGTGAGCCACGGCACATCGTCCAAGCGCAAGACGTTTCTCCATGATGGCTCTAGATCCGAGCTTTCAACTACCCGTGCACCCAGTAGCTCATGGTGAGGATGACGGCTGAACCTCCAATCGTGAGTTAACCTACTGGCATGCCAATACTTTGCACCGTGCTGCCAGGGATAAGGGGGGATATTGCTTAAGGTTTCCCCTACACCGTTTATTTTCTTGAGGTCGATAGAAACGCCGTTGATGTGTGCAACTCCTAGAGTAGACAGAAGTTGAGTCTGAGAATTTTCGTCATTACGATTAAGCGTGGGTATATAAATCGGGGCTGATTTAAGGCCTGCACCTTGAAAGATTTGCCTGAGAGGCCCGGAGAGTGCACCGTGTGGTCCGACTTCTAAGAAGGCTTTTCTCTGTGGGCTTTGAAGAATCTTTTGAACAGTGGTGGAAAAAAGTACTGGTGATTCTAGATTATTCCGCCAATACGCAGCATCGAGCCTGGGGGGGTTTGTGATTGTCGTAGAGGTAACTGTGGAGAAGAGAGGTAGCATACGCTCATTATATTCGACGAACTGAGTGATGCGTGATTCGTACAAGGGCCCTAGCTCTTGCATATGGTCTAATATAATTAGTCGAAGCATCCAAAATCAGGATACAGTCACTTACGAGAATGGTAAGCAACGGACACGCGGAGCCGCCTGCATAAGACATCCGGAAGTTCATTCTTGATTGTTCCCACAACCTTATCAACCTTGTCCGCATCTCCTGATAGTGTCACACTACCGGGGCTGTTTTCGCAGGAAACAACTACGCCATCCACCAGGTACTGCGTGGCTTTATCCTTTCCGAGACCGACTGCCGCCATAGCCCCATTTTTCTTCAGCTCCTTTGCGACCATGCCTCGATAATAGGCGATAATGATAGCTGACCTTGCGGTTATGGCACCAGATGCATAGGCAGCCGCAATTTCTCCACTGGAATGGCCAACCAAAGATGACGGCTTGATACCCCATGTATAAAGGATATTAACAAGTGCAATCTGGAGAGCAGTGCAGAGCGGTTGAGAGAACTCTGCTTCATTGGCCTTGCTATCATCGCCAACCTTGGCAAGTTCCCCTAAGAGCCACGTTAATTATAGTAAGAGAGCGTTGCTTTCAGGTTCTTACCTTCTAGAGACCAATTAGGAGCATCAGGTAGACCTTGGAGTACCTTTTCCAGTGCCTGGATGTCTTTTCTAGCTTCTGGGAAAGCATGCATCAAGTCTTTCCCCATACCGACCCACTGAGCACCTTGGCCAGTGAATACAAAGACCAGTTCAGGAAATTCATCCTGACCATTCTGGAATGCGGTTGCACTAATTGGCTGACCTGGTTGTGCTATTGCGAAAGCCCGATGCGAGAGGTGTTCTCGCCTAACAGCAAGCGTATAAGCGAGGTCATGCAGCTTAGATGGATTTTCGTTGATGTATTGAGTCGCTATATTGACTCTCTCTCGTAGGTTCTCTGCGCTCCTTGCGGATACAACGAGAAGGTGCGAGCTGTTGTACTGCCCAACGCTGGACTTTGCTTCACTTTTACAAAATGAGGAAGCAGAATCCAAGATCGCATGCGAATTAGCTCCACCGATACCGAAACAATTCACGCTCACTCGCTTGCTACGGCCTTCTGGCCAAGGCATTGCATCCAATGGAACTTGAAGCTTACTCTCTTTGAACGGAATATTCGGGTTTGGAGACTGGAAAAATGTATTTGGCGGGATTGTATCGTGCTGAAGAGACATAATTCCCTTGATGACGCTGGTAATACCTGAGGCACCTTCTCCGTGGCCTAAATTGGGTTTTACCTGCGACTTGTTAGTCTAGCACCGTGTAGCGAGCATGGATGGAATATACTCACACTGCCAATTACTATCCCTTTCCCTTCAAACAGTTTGGCGACTACAGACGTTTCTGTAGTATCTCCCGCTACTGTCCCAGTTCCGTGGCATTCGAAGAACCCTGTCTGGCAGATATCATTGATTCCAGCTTTTTCGTAGGCTCTCCGCACAAGGGCCTCCTGGGATTCAGCTCCCGGAGTCGTTATAGTGGAGGTTTTCCCGTCGAAGTTGGTTGCAGTTGCACGTATTACACCCCTAATAGGGTCATTATCTCGAAGGGCATCAGCTAGAGTTTTGATATAAAGTGCGTTGATTCCTTCACCCCGCCCGTATCCATCGGCATCCTTATCAAAAGTCTTACATGCCCCGGATGGAGACAGGACATTGTTATCACACATTGTGGTCGTCATAGTAGGGGTAAATATCAAGTTCGTCCCTGCAACAATGGCCGCGCAACAGTCCCCCGCATAAAGTGCGTGGCAAGCTTCATGTAACCCGATTAATGATGATGAACAGCCAGCTTGTAAGGTCATGCTGCACTATAATGTTAATATACCAATTTGAATAGGAGAGATAAGCGGCGGTAGCCTACCTTGGACCACGAAAATCATACTCCCATGATAACCTGTTTGATAAAGCAAACTGCCCCGTTGCAAAAACATGATAACGGTTGGTATACTGAGGATCTTTACTGGCTAGGTCTAACCAATCTTCACCATAGACCCCGACGTAACAACCAATATTCTTGCCTTTCCAGTTGGTTTCACCTGCACTTTCCAGACATTCCCAGACGATCTCCATAAGCATACGCTGCTGCGGGTCCAGCTGTGCAGCCTCACTAGAACTGATAGAGAAGAATGGCGCATCAAAGCAGGCAATATCTTCTTCTAGGTAGTATCCATGTCGAGTTTTGAGGCAATGGGCCTTACTATCACTGTAGAAAGAATCCACTGTATAGCGGCTGCCAGGCACTTCACAAACCCCATTTTTCTTCTCCATCAAGAATTTCCATAGCTCGTCCGGCGATTTGACCCCGCCTGGCAGGCGCAAGGCCATGCCAACGATTGCAATCGGAGGACAGCCTCCATCGTCAATGTTTGTCTACAACATGGTTATCCTGGGTTATAAGCTTGTAAACGGAGTCTTTAACCTACATCTTTGTCATTTGTGAGAGTCTCATGGAAAGCTACGGTTGGGATCTCTTTTAGAGGATGTTCCTGTTGGTCTGGAATTGGCTGCAGCTGGGGCTCAACGGCCGCCACGTCCTCGCTTTGAATCACCATCGGATTGACTGTGGGTGTGTCTAGTATCAATTCAGGACGGGAGATGGAGAATTGATGAGGAGTTGCAAAGCGTGAATAATCCAGTCCTGATAATTTTGACCTTTACTATCAGCGTAAAGATAGTAATAAAAATTATTCGCGATACCTAGGTAGATGTGCCAAATCGACCTTGGGTCGCTCAGCATATATCGGAGAACTAACATCGCATGATCGTCCAGACTCAAGAAAAGGCGAGTTCTTAGTTCCGATATCCCTGGTCAATATTCAAATTTCGATTCCAACCGATTTCTCATTCGACGCTCATTTATCAGATTATGCAACCTGACTCGCGCGGCGTTGACAGCTGGGCCCATGGCGTTACTCTTGGGGATGGATGGCCCTCCATAACCCGCAATCTGGAGTATCAAAAAGCAAGCGGGCTGCATATTTAGGGGGGCGAACATATATCTTCATAGAGAGTTGGGCTTTGATCCAGTAGACCAGTCAGTTATGTATAGAGTGTAGTTAGTAGTTAGGGGCGGAAATTGAGTTGGCGAGGTTGAGATAATGTCGGCATCACGTGACTCTATACGGCCCCTTTCCCAGCTCATGTAGGGTTAGCCCTTTCCCACGTATATACGCAGTATATAGGGGTTCAAAATGGCCTAGATATCACCATCATCTATTTATGCATTTTGAGCTTCTAACTGTGTCGTTCCGGGTTATACAGCACGTTGTTGCTGTTCCGCTGTGTTTCGTAGAGACGCCACCTTATCGGTTGATTGGCCGCCTCTGAGAATATATCAACCCACAACGGAGGCAGGGCCTGAGCAGATCGCCTGGCTGCCTATAACAGGGGAACGATTAAGTTTATTATATTGTTAGAGAAGAATACTGCGTTTGTCTTTACTATAAAGGAGCTCAATGCTTTTCTCGATAAGTTTATTCAAGATGATAATCTACACTGAGCTGATACCAGAGAGAACCCTTGATCCGAATCTATCGACTCGTTTCTAGATATATCATTTTAAGGCTCCTCAACTTTTATCTCCCAGTCTGGTAGTTAACTTCAATCTTCGCCGCTTAGCGAGATGGACCTGGACATCTTGTGCTAAAATTCGGATCCGGTAGTAATATCTAGCGCTGGCTCAGCGTATACAGCTGGGATGGCTTCTCCCGGGTAATTTAAACCCCGTTAGTTATAAACACTAATAGGCCCAAGTAAGTCTATGTAGCGCGAGGAAACGAGCTTCCGTTGAGTATATATCTCGACCACCAAGGCAGTGGTGAATCAAAATGCCCTTAGGCGGTTCGAGATGCCGCCAGCCTTTCAATCTCCTTAAAGTCCCCTGACTCCTCACACATTCGTCGGAACCTAGCATCTTGCCCACGTCGTGAAAGTAAATCTCTGATCCGGCCTTCTTCAACCACTCTACCTTCATCCAGCACCACCACACGGTCGTAATCCGCGATGCTCAATATCCTGTGTGCAATGGTCAAAACCGTTGTACCCATATGAACGCTGGCGCGTAAACCCGACCGGATGGCAGCGTCAGTGGCATGATCAACAGAAGCAGTGGCTTCGTCTAGCACCAGTACCCGGGACCGACGTAATAGCCCTCGTGCAATACACAGGAGCTGGCGCTGGCCACGCGAGAGCGTCTCGGCAGGCCTGTCCAGGTCTGCAGAAGAGATATTGGATTCTGGGAACAAACGCACAGTGCGTAGAGCGTTTAGCAGGGCTTCGTCACTATAAATAGCCTCATCGCTATAGAGATGTTCGTCCTTTAGCGGCGCCAGATTATCACGAAGGCTGCCTGCGAAAAGCCATGGGTCCTGAGGGACAACTGTGACTGCGCGTCGTAGCTCATGAAGTGTAACTGAGGCTATATCCACCCCGTTGATCTCAATATAGCCGCTGCACGCCTCAATACCACGGATTAGTGCCATCGTAAGAGTACTCTTACCCGCACCCGTACGGCCAACAATCCCAACACGCTCGCTATGGTGGACTGTAAAATTGATATCTTGGAGAGCTGGCTCTAGCTCCGGTGCATACCGCGCCGTGTAGTTGTGGAAAACAATAGTCCCTTTTGATGGCCAGGCTGACGGGATAGGGTCGACGGCGGATTTAAGCGGACGGACCGGTTCCTGCTCTATCTTGGTATACTCTATAACGCGCTCCAGCGAGCTGAGGTTTTGCTGAATGATGGCATAAACCTGTACTAGCCACATGACATTTTCTGTAATCGAGGCAGCAAATGTGAGTACCAAACCAGCTGCCCCTGGAGAAACGGACTTGCGATCCCACAAGATGAAGACGCCGGTCAAAAACATAATCAGTGAGCTAAGTGTACCAACACGTAAAGATAACCATCCACTACTCGCGCTAAGTAGCAAGAATGGCCGTGTCTGACGATCAATGAGACGTTGACTCTCCTCGATGAAGGCTGCGGTATATGAATATGCGCGAATACTAACATAACCTGCCAGCGTCTCGCCAAACTGTTGGTATAGTGGTGACCGCTCAGTATTTTCAATACGCTTGAGATCGCGTGCTCCATGGATGTATATCATAATTACTAGCCAATAGGCTAGGAAGATGAAGATTGCCGCTATCATGAATCCAGGTAGAACAGTTCCGATGAAAATGACAACCATAGCTAATGAGGTAGCTAACTGGCACATACTGATTGAGAACTTGACTAGCAATTGATCCAGGACCTCGACGTCTTTAGACAACCGGTTAGTAATTTGGCCTAACGGGGTACTGTCAAAAAACGTAAATTTTGCATAGAGAATAGCGTCCAGGAGAGTCTTGTATATGCTACCAGACGCCTTAAGAGCACCAAAGAAGATACCCAGATCGCGTATAAAAGTAATCCCGGCATATCCAAGACAAATAATGCCATAGATCATAATATAGTAGCTAGCAGCAACAGTTGGGGCGGTGGGTCCCATTTTTTGGCGGCTATCATATTGAGAGGCCCATTCCTTGATCCAGAGATTGGTTCCTAGTGCAGCCAGTTGCTGTATTATAAATCCAACAAGAATAGGGACCCAGAAATTCCAGCCGCCCATGGCCACAAGATACGTTCGTACGACTGGCCAGCCCACCGCACCCTCAGGCCGGCTTTCTGTATAGCTGCGTTGACCATCGGGCTTCGTAGGGGTAGAAGGCTTAGGGGTTTCGTCATCAGCCGCCAGATCCCCTGACGCAGTATCCGCCGGGGTTGTGTTAGTTGCATGATCTTGGAGTATTTCGTTGTTTATTAGCCCCCTTGACACAAGCTCCTTCGCTGTCCCTTGCGCCTTCACTCGCCCAGCTTCCAACAAGACCACCCACTTACAATTAGGGACGGCTAATTGCGTATGATGCGTTGCTAGAATACAGGTACGCCCTCGCATAGAGAGTCCTGTAATCGCATGGCGGAAAATGTGGTTTGCTGTACGACTATCCAACGCGCTCAGGCAATCATCCAGAAGCATGTATCGGCAGGGGCTATAAAGGGCGCGAGCAAGGGCGACGCGTTGCTTCTGGCCGCCAGACAGACGGCTTCCATTCTCACCAGCCAAGGTATCGTCTCTATAGTCAAATAGAGCCAGGTCCGGTTGTAAATCGACTGCATGTAATACAGTCTCATATCGGGTGGAATCGAATGGTAGATCGAGAACAATATTAGCCCGGATACTACGGTTCATAATCCAGGGCTCCTGTGGACAGTATGCAGTAGCATTAGAGAGCGTATCCATGGAGAAGCTTTGCCTAGGGTAATCTGTATAATGAGCTGTAGGATAAGGGTGTAGCAGTCGACCGCCAACCAGATTCATCTCGCCGAGTAACGCCAGTAAAAGTGACGACTTTCCCGAGCCACTGGCGCCGCAGATAACATTTAGGCCGCCCGGTTGGAATTGGATATGTAATCTCCTCAATCGGAAGGGTTCAGTCGTTTGTACTAGTGGAATATCTTCCTCATCCTCATCATCGCTCTGCATATCTTTGTTGGTAAGGTTATTCGTTTGACCGGTCGTAGGCCACGTAAAAGTAGCGTCATCAAACCCAATCCGTAAGTCATGCGAGTCAGATAGCTGGCGGTATTTATTTGTCTCTTCCTCATCTAGGAACCGGCTAATTCGAATAAGGGAGATGTACGCCTGTATTAAAAAGGTGATAGAATCAGCGAGGCGATTAATGGGGATACGCAGAACTGCAAAGATTGCAAGAGCCGGGAAGGCAATTGCGGTCCCCAAGGGCTGACCCCAAACGATAGTATAGAAGAAGCAAGGCAAGATAGTGACGAGGAAGGGGAGCGTATGGAATAGGGTCATTGAGGCAGTCCACCAGATACAGCGGGTACGCATCCGTTGCATTTCTATACCACGACGTTGCAAGATGCGACTACGGAAGGGGGCCTCCCATGCACAAAACTTGATCGTATAGATATTATCCAGCAGCTCGTTACTGGCCTGAATTCTAGCATCACTGGCAGTTAGTACCTGGCCCTGTGTGGCCATAACCCCCCGGGAAACTAGGATGTTCAGCGGTACTAGTAGAATCATCGCCAGCACGCCCAGTATGCCGCTGATTCCCAATAGCCGGTAGAGCAGATATGTACCAAGTCCCATCTGCACAGGGAAGACGATCCAGATAAAGTACAAGCCTGAGCTCATACTACTAACAAGCTGCGCGTCTACTGACATTAGGTTGGTGATGGTGCCAGTGCTAGCGGAGTTCCCACTGGAGCCCTCATCCCCCTTCGCAGTGCTCTTGCGTAGAACTTTGGCATAAATCTCGCTAACTAAGACGATACGCATGCGCGCGTTCATCTGGCTGCCGGTCCAATTGCATTGGCACTCAGCGAGCGTTGCAAGCATCCCAGAGACCAAGAGTCCGCCAACGTATGTCCAGAGGCGGGAAAGGTTCGCGTCCCGAGAGTTGAGATCTTGGAGGATATAATGGATGAGCATCGGTGACACAAATACTGCAAGGCTATTCAAGGCTGCCCATAGGCCTTGCAGTAAGATCCTGTATTTGAATGCAGAAAAGATCCTCCATAGCAGAGACCACGACGGGCTGGTTTTGCGCTGGAACCAAGGAAGGACAACAGCAACGGAGTACTGTCGGTTAAGTGAACCCAGATCCGCGGGCTGTAGAGTCTTTCGGAATGCCGCCCATACCAGCTGGTCCATCCACGAGAATGTTAGGCTTGACAAGAGGCTAGCGAGTTCATCGCGGGACGGGGGGTTGCTCCCCCTATCGAGGGCGTGAGGCGGTATTCTGGGTACTAGGCAGTGTACCAAGCCAATGAAGGTAAATATAGAAAGGCGAGAGGCGGCGGCAACGATGTTGAAGCGATTGTGGCTTCGCTGGGACACATTCGTGTATGTTAAAAGGAGAGTATAGAGCCATTGCGCAGCGTAGAGGCAGATGGAATGCCATTTGAGGCCGAATTTAGCGGTATACACCCTTCCTACCAGCAGAGTGAGTATGTAGGCGGAAGATATAGTGGATGCAAATCCTAGCTGGTAGCCGTCGTCCTTTTCGCCGTGGAGGAATAGCAGCAGAGCAAGTACAAGATCGATAAGGAGGAGAAGTCCCTCTACAGCTGCTTGTAGGGGCGGGACGGTAGCTGTTTTTCGTAATGGGATCTCGGTCTCGTCGTCTTCTTCTCTGTCTCCAGCGGATGTAGAAGTGAACGGCGTATATTGGGGCCCATCTTCACGATTGCGGGATCGGAGATATAACGCAGCAAAAACCAAGAGCGATAGCAAACAGGAGACTAAGAGAGCTGGGTCAGCATGGCAGAGTAATCTGCTGCAAGCAAAAGCACCGCTGGCGGCGCACGGCAGAGAGAAGGCCATCGTTCAGGTGCTTATGAACGAGCTCGAAGCAACCTAGTTAAGCGACAGTGGTGCCCCTTTAAGTACATATGAAAATGAGCTCTCGGGGGGTATAACGAGGCCCTAGGCAGCAGTGTTTGGGACGATCGGTTGGGACCTGGCAAGGGCTGTTATAATTAGCAGCTCAATCATCTAGTCGTGCTACAAAGTCGATAGATACTCCAAGAAGCAGATTTCCCAGTCCTAAGTGAAGTATATAGTTGATATAAGTAGAAGATTGAGGAACAGAGCGGTTGACCAATTTACAATCTTACAATATTTGATTAATATGGCATCAGTTTGCCAAAACATAGGGAGAATTGTGTCCTTGAACCAACAGTTACTATTTATAATAATAAAAGTAAATTAGAAATAGAAATAGGCAGATAGATGATCAAAATCTCTCTCGCACTGCAACGCGAAGCAGGCACTTATATTCTTTCGTGTTGGCCCTATACATTTACAATGCCTTTGGGCTTGGGGCTACTCCTTATGAATTCAAACATATGCCCTGTTAAGCAGAGTCAGAGGTTGCCCCAACGCTAGCTGTCGCATTGTCAACTTGACCATAGATGCTGGCCATGAAAACCAGGATACAAAGCCAAGAGAGAGTAAGGATTCGCGGAATCTCAAGAACGGAGATAAATCCCCCGGCTAATGATTCTTGCTCTCTTATATCTGGCAGATAGAAGGGGAGAGATAGGCAAGGTCTCATAGTTGTACTCCATACTAAACGATGCTCAATCAGCCAATCTCTCAACCTTACTCTGCGCCGACCCTATCTGTTCACCCTACTGAGTAAATGTGCCGTTCGGAGAGATATACCCTGTATGGTGCGAGTCCTCGTATGAATCCTGAGAGGCGCATATTAATTTCAGGAGAGACAACAGCGGGTTCGGGCCTTTGTCAAGGGTCCATGAACACGCCTCCGAGATTAGCTGCATGAGGCAATCATATGAACGAGTATGAGGGGGCTTCCTATCCTCTGATTGGAAAGGGAATACGGGGTAATAGGATCTCGATGCTCGAGCGCAAGTATTCCCGAGGAGGAGAAGCAGTCCAGCTCGCCGGATCCGTGGCGAAACACTTCGTGCTCTGGGAGGCTGCCAAGGGCATGGCATGGGCATTATAATCGTATTGGAGTCCGGAGTAGGAAGACCAGGATCACAATACCGATCCTGCTATGCATGGCTGGCTGGCGACTCGCATGGGATGTGGCATCGCCCTTCTCCCCCGCATTAATCCTGGCTGTGGATGCCTCGGGAGGTGGTATACGCAGTTATCAGTTATGTTGGATATTAACGGACCATTGAACATGGTAAGGACAGTGTGCGGCTCGACAAGCAGCAAATGAGGCGATGAGATTAAATGTTGGTGATGGTCATCCTTGTTGCATCAACCCTCGACCACCGGGATTCAGGGGGCATACAGCTTGCATGTTGGGTTCTTGCTACATACTTCGTACATGCGTAAAGAGTGACGACCATTTCCTCGTCGAGGGAGGGAACCAGGGACAAGCAGCATACGAACGCAAGTTGAAACTATTCTGTTCCCTGTAGTTAGCATGCCAGTCAACGAGTTAACTAATAACTACTTTAGGTAGCTCCCTATGTAGCTATGTAGGCGGCGTTCGGCATACGGAGAATGTATGGCTAACAGACAAAGATTTTATCCTAAGGAACGGATATAGTAAGGATCTCGAAAGAGTTATCTATTACTAGTAATACATCCCTCCTTGGAAAGATAAGTCTGGTTATTTCTTCTTTATAGCAGAAAATGGCTGCTAAAAGTGTACACCTAGCGAAGGTTTACGAGCTATGGCAGCGCTTAGAACAAGGAAAAACGACAGGTAGCTATGAGCTAGATGGGAACAGTCTACACATTGGTGATGTTGTCGCTACTGCCCAGTGAGTTCGCTCTCCCCCTGTCCAATATCTCATGTCACCATGCTCATTCATGAACCAGTCACGGCTGCCGACCACAGCTATCGCAAGATCCCGAGGTCCTCAAGGGGTTACAGGATAGCGTAGATGTTCTCTACGACCATTTAGCTAAAGGATGGTACATCTATGGTATGTAGGAAGTCATATATATATATATATATATATGGGCAAACAGCATATTAACTTGCCGCCTTAGGGGTGAACACGGGGTTTGGAGGGAGTGCAGACGTTCGGACCAAGGAGTTTGCTAAGCTTCAGGCGTCGCTGATGCAGCATACACAGAGCGGTATTCTGTCTTTTGCACCTGATGGTGTGATTCCAGGACACGCAATGCCGTCCGCATGGGTGCGTGCTGCGATGGTTATTCGATGCAACTCAACACTCCGAGGCCATTCCGCCACCTCCTTTCCAATCATCAAGGCAATGGCCAGCTTGTTGGAACACAAGCTTACCCCCATTGTCCCACTTCGCGGTTCTGTATCCGCTTCAGGAGACCTAATGCCCCTAGCCTATGTGGCCGGGAGCCTCGAGGGGAACCCTGACATCTTGTTGGAGAAGAATGGTGAAGTGCGGCCGTCAGATCAGACCCTGGCGGAAGCTGGGCTTCCAGCCGTGGTGTTAGGGCCAAAAGAAGGGCTGAGCTTAATCAACGGGACATCGTCCTCTGCTGGTTTGGCAGCACTTGTGATCGCTGATGCGCACCAGCTCGCCCTGCTTGCCCAGGTACTGACTGGAGCCGCGGTAGAAGCACTTCGTGGGAGTTCAGAGAGCTTTCATCCTTTCATCGCAGAAACACGACCGCATCCTGGCCAGATTGAGTGTGCCCGCAATATCCATTTCTTCCTGCGTGGCTCCCATCTAGCACGAGATGTGCAGACCCCAAAGGACCGGCGTCGTGAGGACTTGGTTCAGGACCGCTACTCCCTCCGTAGCGGCCCGCAATGGATCGGGCCGCAGTTGGAAGATTTGATGCTTGCAGATCGTCAAATCACCATAGAGCTAAACTCATCGTGTGACAACCCGCTTGTTGACAGTTCCACTCATGATATCTACTACGGTTGCAATTTCCAGGCGGCGGTGGTAACATCTGCCATGGAGAAAGTCCGACTCGCCTTGCAGATGCTCGGTCGTATTCTCTTCGCGCAAAGCACTGAAATGATTGATCCTCACTTGAGCGGTGGATTGCCTGCCAACCTGGCGGCAGACAACCCAAGCCTCTCATTCACGATGAAGGGTGTGGACGTCAACATGGCAGCCTATATGGCGGAGCTGTCCTACCTCGCCGACCCGATGAGTTCTCATGTCCAGGCAGCCGAAATGCATAACCAGTCAATCAACTCCATGGCCCTTGCTTCGGCCCGTATCAGCGCAGACGTCGTGGAGGTTATGAACAAGATGAGCGCATGCAGCGTGTATGTGGTGTGCCAAGCATTAGATCTCCGTGCTCTCCATATGAGATTTGTTGCCAAAGCTGTGGACGCCGTCTCTGCAACCACAGTGCTCTTGTTTAAAGCGATATTGGATCCCGAACAGCTAGAGTCTCTACAGAGGGGATTATACATCCACATGGGCCCTGCATGGAGCACGACAGGAAAGCTTGATCTCCGGGCTCGCTGTGAGTCGCTTGTCCGATCTGCCTTACCCATTGTTGCTGCGTATCTCAGGACTCGTAATGTCGATATTCTCGAATGGCAACATCAGGCCACCGAAATGGTCTGGAATACCTGGAATGAAACATTTAGTGCCTTTGTTGCCGACCCCCACACAGTGTCTCTTCTTGGAAAGGGTTCGCAGACACTGTATCAATTTGTCCGCATCAAGCTGGGGGTGCCATTCCACCAGGGTTTTGTTGAGCACCCTACCCATGATGACCGCACGCTAAACGGGCGGCCAAAGAAAATAGTGGGTGGGTGGATATCCATCATCCATGAGAGCATACAGAATGGTTCCCTGTATAGCGAGATAATCACCATGGCAGAGAGAGGCTTGTTGGAAGAAGAAATTAGTAAGAATGGCAAGGAAAATGGATATTCCAATGGACATGCTCATGGGCATACCGATGAGCATAGAACTGGGTAGAGAAACTCCATCAGAAATTCAACTAGTTACGCAATACCTGCGACGGAACATGAATGCGAGTTCAATCACTCATACCACGTTATCTGCTAATGGGCTGTATCAGTTTCGGCTTCACGGCAATATTGCGGCCCGTTATGTGAATAACCCGTCGGACGGAGGATGCAATGTGACACCCGTTAAATCACCTCCGCAGTTACCCTTGTAGATGGTATGCCGTTATGATACGGCAGTGGCGGACTAGAGAGTGATACCCCCTTACCGGTCGTCCTCCCTGTCGCGTGTACCTATATAGTGGGGGTATTTTGTAAGGTATATACTGTTGATAGACCCGATATTAGTTATCCATACAAATAAAATTATAGAGCTCGAGATGTACCACCAAAATTGTAAGCCTCCAGGGGCCATGTGTGATTGGACTGGTAGCTGATAGGAGCCAAAGTTTGAGCATGTCTAGGTGATCTTGACATAAAGGTGGGGCCTAGAGCAGGATTTATCCTTCTCTGTATGCGGGGATCACAAGTCGTAGCTGGTTATGCGATGTTAAATATCCCCATCGTAGCGCATGTATGCAACAATACGACAAGAGAGGGCACGCGGAATTGGCAATACCGAACAGTCTACGGTTGAGCAGTAGACGGGATGCGGATTCCTAGCCCGGATAGTAATCGTGCAAGGGCTGAGCACCCACGGCGGAGAGTCCGGCATGGTACTCCTATCGTGCATGAGCGGCTTAACCCTGGGGCGGGATGCACCCCAGTCCCACAGAAACTTGCTATGGCTCAAGGATCAGACTCACAGAAGAATCCTAGACCTCACAGCTAGCTTGGATATGCACAGTCGCCTAGAATTATGCACAGTACCAACAGGGAGCTATTGATCCGTAAGGGTGCATTACACAATACTATACGGCACCAGATATTGTAATGCGTTTCATTACATGATTCCTATCCAGAGCCCAATAGTAGAAGGTGCCATGCATTGGATGGCCAGGATATTCGTGGTGGCCTATCTGGACAAGTTCCGCCTTAGGATCGACGGACATTCGATATGGCCAGCTCCCCGCATGGCTTCTGTTATCTGAATTAATTTTCAGCTCGTCCTCAGTTGAAGAGAGACTGTCGCAAAGCAAATCTCAAATTGACCTTGCCCCATCCTCTATATCGATATGGATACCGAAAAACGAAGTTATCAAGGCGAGATTGACTCCGAGTCATTCAGTAGCGAGCAGGACGGCCTAGTCTCTGGCTCTTCTCGTGTGCCTGGGAGGCGAACGAGGCCGAGAATGATGACTTGCTGGATCGTTCCGGCATTAATTCTGTGTTCTATCAGTTTGAACATTTTCCAGGTGGTGTATATTGCTGTTCGTCGTCCCAAGTGTCACTCGCTATATGGTATGTACGAGATCATGAAAGATACCCGAGTCGTAGCTAAGAGAGTCGCTTTTAGCCAAATTGCCGGAAAACGAGATCACGATTCCCTTCCACTACGCCACAGAGTACAGTTCGGACGAGTACACTGGCGAGGATAAAGATGCTCTCTGGAATTCTATCGATATAAGCGAGGGGTTTGTCGCTCTGACACACGAGGAATCGGATGCCTTGGGCTTACCACGGTCTCAAACATTCCCGTGGGATGTGAACAAGGGCATGTATGTAAGCCACGGCCATCATGCTCTTCACTGTACCGTAGGTGAATCCCGGCTCCTGTTCGTTCTTGGTAATGCTGCACAGTAACTGATGCCACTGCCAAATTAGGTGTTGCTACACGCGTTTACCTATGACAGCCACCACAGAAAGAAGCCACTGGTAGCCTATCATCACATAGAGCACTGCCTAGATCTACTTCGACAGGACATCATATGCCACGCCGATGACTTCATGGACTTCACCGGGGGCCACGGTGACGAGTTCCTGACTGGTGATAACCAGCCGCGCAAGTGTCGTGACTGGAACAAGCTGAGCGACTGGGTGAAGGAAAGGAGTGCCTGCTATAAGACAGTTAACATCACTCGCGCTGGGGAAGATCACGGCGTCACGCACCAGCTTGACAGGTACACGCATTGCCCTAAAGGGAGCCCATACGAGCCCTTGATTGAAGCCTGGAAAGACTTGGGCCGCTTTAATCCGGGGAATTTGCCCAAGGAGTCAGTTGATTCCCTTACAGAAACGCAGCGCAAGAAAGATGCCGAAGAATTAGCAGCCCATAACCACGATATCCTGGATTCCGACTAATGGTAGAGGTTGCCATCGAAGTGAAAATGCGTGAGTAATTGGACAGTCGGGGAGAGAGGCGCAGTTGATCCATGATCCCGTTGACAATGCATCGAGGATGATTTGTATCTCAGGCTCTGTTCTCGCTTTCGATGGTGCCTGAAGCGAGGAGGTTGACTTAAGCTTCGGCTGGTCCCACAAACTTTAAGATGTTCCGGTAGTCAACTAGTTATAACTTTCGCTCTCACAAACTTTAGGATGTTTGGTGGTTTAACTATAACTTTCGCTCCAAACGAACCATCTCCTTTATTTGGCTTACATAATATATCTAGCTTGAAACTTATCGGAGCGCGCTAATGATCGGTACGATTGTGGCGTCTCTACGGGACACAACGGAACGGCAAATCAATGCCTATAAGCCCAAGATACAATAGCAAAGAGCGAAAATAGGCCTAATATCGATGAATGATGATGATAACTAGGGAAACAGGCCATATCTGGCCTCTATATATATGGGGGAAGGCGTAGCGTACGTACGAGCCGTAATCAAACAGATCTGCAGGGGGGGGCGTGGCGTTGGCCTGATACTGCCAAGACGCCGTACACACGAAGATTCTGACAAAACTTAGATATGGTTGTTAGGGCGTGCAATTACCTACAACATGGGAGATTTATTTGTGGATGTGGCCTAGGATAGCACTATTGATGGGTTTCCCCTCTCGGGCCATCCATTCCTTCAGTCCGTCGTGGTTCCCATACGGCGTGAGAACCCCCTCTGGGTCGACCTCAACGATTGGATGGTCTGGATACTCCGTCCATTCTCCCTTGGTTTTCAACTCATTGGCCTCCTTCCACTCCAGTATGTCCTTAAAGTTACGACACATTTTGGTGCTCGCAAAATTAGCGTTGATACCAGGCCACCCTTTGAATTTCTGGAATACGGTTACCTCTATGTCGGCATGGCAAAGGAGTGCACGGAGGAGGATGAACTGGCAGTGCAACAGGTGGTCATCCCACCCCAGGGGTATATCTTTGGCCTTCTCCCTGAGGTCTCCGTAGTAGGCTGGCCATGCTGTCGAGCGGAGCAGATCGAGGCAATGGATCTGATGGAAGACGTTGATATGTCCATAATAGACGCCTTCGCCGAATTGGTCCTTAGGCGCCCGCCAAACCGTCGCGGGGTCGTAACCCAAGCGACGAACCTCATCGACACTGAGACCGATGGACTCCAGACTGCTGAGCCGATGCCACGCTTTGTCTACCTCCGGTGAGGGCCGTTGTTGGAAGATAGATGGCGGGTCGTCTGGCCAGAATGTGTCGTTAAAGTGGACCGGGGATCTGTGAATATCAAGCCGGTCGAAAATCGGTGCTGTCCGTAGTGTTAGCTTTGAGCGAAGCCCCTTCGCCTCTGCCCGACGTAAGGAAATTTTGCCATACATACAGTAAGCGCTAGATTGTTTCTCACTACACATAGCACGCTTTCTGGTGGATAGAAGCGTAGTACTGGAGATGAACATCAGGATATTCGCTACCACAATAACAATGACGCACACTCGATGAATTGCGGGCAATCGTTGCCCCTTTTCACATTGGCACTGTGATATACGGTGGTCATTGTAGTCGTCGTCGGCTTTTAGTCGTTGACTCTCATCTGCCTCAGATTGCTCAGGTGGCGCCTGATACTGAGAACTGCGCCTGTTGAGCCACTTGGAATATAAAAATGACATTCCTCTAGTAGTATCACTGCTCTCAGTACAGAGTAGATTTAGCTGTGGCAAATCTTTCACAATTAAAAGCAAGCTGAACGCCTTGGAACTAAGATGATGGGTGGGTGAGGGAAGAGAGAAAATGCGGCCACATTTTTTTGCTAAACCTGAAGCGCGTCATCTTGAAGGTTAGTCGGTAGGATTCCAGCTCTCACATGAGTCCTCAGATTCTTGTTATCGGAATCATCCTTAGACTCACAGGGTAGTGACGCTTCTGACAGGGGGTATATTCTGTCGTGCTGCTTCAGGCTTCGTTAGACAGCTGGGCTTCAATAAAATTACACCCGACGGCCGAACATTTCCGTGTAAAGTGATAATACATGGACATACGCACCGGAATCTGAATCCTGGACTGTTCCGCCCCCTTCGCATGCAAGAGTACAGCCCCGAGAGATGACGTGTAAATTTTGTAATATATGATGGGTCAACGTGCCCTGGTAAACAGGGAAGACACTTTGCAACCTTGATATCGTATTTGTGATGGGCCAGGAATATGCTGCTTCTGTTACTACTGCACATGTCCCCGTGCATTCCGCTTGACAAGGGACATCTCAGTACCAACTAATGTTAGCATTTCGCATATAGTATACATGTCCAGTTGGAGATACATGCGGGAATATCTTATCATAGAGAAATATTCCATCATGGCGGGGGGGGTAACATCATCATCACCGCCAAGAGAGCCCCGCTGGGGGATCTCTCTATGTTCGGCATGATAAGAAAGAATAAAGATGGGGCTGGGTCTTGCCTTTGGGAGATAGCACAACAATCCTCAGTCGAGAGAACCAATCTTGTGATAAGTCCCTCCAGTCTCAAATAGTCGAATACAAGATGCGTTTCACTAGCGCGATCCTTGCCCTGGTGGTCAGCGGCCCCATGGTGGCAATGGCTGCACCCACTGCATTCACAGGTGAGATTTTCGCCTTTTTATCTACGTGATAAAACAGTAGTTGACTCGCACAGAATCCCGTCGCGACCTACACGCTGGAACTGCCGAGACCGTCGGCCCTGAGCCAGAAACCATGCGCCGTGGCATTCAGAAATTGAACGCTGGAACTGCAGAGACCGTCGGCCCTGAGCCAGAAACCATGCGCCATGGCACGCAGGGACTCCACGCTGGAACTGCCGAGACCGTCGGCCCTGAGCCGGAGAGCATCAACGAGCTCCCAGTGCGCCGTAACTGAATATCATTAAGCCCATTCAAGATTCACTTGTAAGGCTTGATTCGCCGGTAAAGGCCACACTTTCCCCTTACCTTTGTTAACAGAAATTGACTATCGAGTAGTTTTCCTAGATGGCAGTATACTTTGTTAGCAAAGGGGGAAGTATCCAAGGAGAGGGGGTTAATCCATTCGTCCATTTGTTCATATTTTGTCACTCGTTCGGATTATCTGTAGCTAGCCTCGCATATTAACGATTGCTGGTTTGTCTATCTTCGTTTAACAGTAGAGTAGTTAACTTGACGTCGAGAATACCAGAACAGGACACGGAAGATATTTATTCCATGTCCGGCATGCCCTAACTACTAGTTACAAAGACTTCAACCAACGTCAAGGCCTACGCAGGTTATGTTTAAGAGAACAGACGACGGGTATATAACATGTTTGCTGACTTCCATAGTGACTGCTAGTCGGAATGCTCGCCAATCTTAGCCCAATCTTCTACGCCATGAGCCACGACCCAGTCTTGCAGTTTCGTGAAGTTGCGACACCGGGAGTGGGTACTGAAATCAGCTCGCCAACCAGAAACCTCATCCCGTTCCTTCGTAACCAGTAAGGGAGTCATATCGCCTTGACACATTAGACGTTGGCGAAGACGCTCGATACACGAGTCGACATACTGGCGATTGTTCGTGGGCGATTTTTTTAGTTCCTTAGGGATACGGTCTTCTGGGTAGCCTCCCATGAGTAGCCAGGTATACTGCCTGATGAAATTCTACCAGCCGCTCGTTAGGTTTGTCGACTGGAGGCGGTATGAACATATGGAGTGAAACTTACCAAACACTCGAGCTGGTGGTGGACTTCCATCCAGGCAACATACCCATCGCCCTTTTCTGGGTTTACTCGCTCGTATTTTTCGAGTCTTGTTCGATTCAGCTTGGCCATGGCCCAGGATGGGACCATGACTCCTTCGTCTGTATAGGCCGCTGATGTTAGTGGCGATCACATTGCAGTCAACTGAAGCAAAGAGGGTGCATACGATTCCATAACTCCCGCCAGGCTCTTTCTCTCTCCTCCGTAGGAGGGCCTTGGTATGTGCTCTCATTCCCGGAGGAGTAATCTAGGTCTGTGTCATAATACTCAATTGCTTCAAGAGCGGGCGCTAGGGATCCGTCAACGATTTGTGCAGGACGAGAGCAAGCATGAGATGGTACCCACTATAGGTTGAAACTTGATGGACGCACTCTTGAGTTGAATTGACTGCCACTGATGATGGCAAAACTTGGAATCTGTCAGCCATATGTATGGTGGCACCATGGGGGACAACTGATAGACGAACGTTGTTGGGAAGGGCCCCAAACATGAACATCCTCTTGAGACCGTCGATAGAGGAAGAAAAAGAGACCGAGATTTGATGATAGCAAGACAATGCAGAGAACGAGCATCCACACCACGAATGGGTAGCTCTTCCGCGCCCGACAATAATTACAGGCCCGCGGGAGGTCACCGGCTTTCGCGGGCTCAAATGCCATTGTCTAGAGGTCTATCAGTTCGAGCGGCAAGCATCGTCTATTCGTCTATTATGAATGGGGGTACTTTTCAGTTATGGTCTGGTTGATAGGAGGGTAGTAGCAGATACCGAGCTGGGTTAACCTGCTTTTCTTCTCGGCGATTTAACCCCGTCACTGACAGGGCGATGCTACCAGCGACAACCGATTGCGGGCTACATATGCATTGTTGACTAAATATGCATTGTTGACTACATATTTATTGTTGACTACATATTTATTGTTGACTACATATGCATTGACTACATATGCATTGACTACATATGCATTGACTACATATGCATTGTTGAGACAAGTTTGCGGCCAGGATCCAGGATCCCACGATAAATTAATGATCGCCAACTTGGCTGCATGGTGTGACGGGATTAGGCGCTCTTCTGACGGTGGTTACTGACTGGGATCTTGCATGCGCAGCATCCTTGCCCGCCTATCCCCAGGGGAAAAATACAAAGTTACCAAATGCTAACTATCCCATGCAATGCTGCATGCATTAGCTAACTAAGTGTATTGTTTCTCTATTATATTTCCAGGCTGACAGAAGAACGAACGTAATACCATAGGAGGTAAAATTGATTCACCTTGGCCATCCCATCCCTTGTCGGTCATTCAGTCGAACACCCGAGTTCCCGTGCTTTGACAGGCTGGTGCGACGATAGGTTCGGCCTGCACAGCGAATATTCCCTAGACAGTGACGTCCTGAAATCACCGGGCGGCTTATCCGAATATACACAGCACGTTCTAACACGACCGAAGATACTCAAATATCCTGCATTAGGGAACACCTATTACCTCGAGTTATCAGACAATCCGGATGCTATTGTATACTGTTGAAACTCCATCAGCCAACAAACCATGCGCATTACACATTCTGTACTTCAAAGTCCATTGACGGCGCTGGAGCTAGCTGCGGCCTGGTGTATCCTCCTCAAGGACTATGTGGGCTCCTCGGAACTTTCGTTTCTACTGACTGATGTGACTGTCGGTTGGCCTGGTATACAAACCAAGGCAATTGATGTCGTCCTACAAGAAAAGGAAACATTAGCCCAGCTATATGACCAGATACAACCGCAATTATCCACGAAGGCAAGACTGGAAGAAACCAGGCCTAGAACACCGCTTCGGACCCATTTGTATATCTGGTCTCAGGAGCGACACTTTGGGGGATATCTGACCGTGGAACAAGAAGCAGATATTGATCTACAGATTCATTGCGCTCTTCAGAAGGATGGAACGGAAATTAGTATTGTTATTCCTTCTAAGTTTCCTACCAGCAAACCGTTCATGACGAATTGCAGCATTAGCCGCATGCTCTGCCAACTTGAACAGGCTCTACGACAAATACTGATACCCAATAACACACAAACACCCATATATACAATCAACACCGCAAGTGAGCAAGATCTACGTGATATCTGGACCTGGAATAGCCATGTCCCTAATGCCAGCAAAACAACTGCTATTGATATTTTCTTGACGCACGTTCAACAGCGGCCCAACTCCGTCGCCGTGGATGCGTGGGACGGCAAGCTAACGTACCAATGTCTCGATATCCTTTCAACAAAATTGTCCATCCGTCTAACACATTCTGGCGTGTCTCACGGAGATATCGTCCCTATTTGCTTCGAAAAGTCACTCTGGACCCCCGTCGCGATCTTTGCTGTCATCAAAGCTGGAGCCGCTTTCGCCCTGCTGGACGAGTCATGGCCACAGGCGCGTCTCCAACAACTGTCATTGGTCCTTGGCTCCAAGGTAATTGTGGTTCTCTCATCGGCGGCACAGCAGCACCGTGCCCAACTTCTTTCATCGAATGTTATTGTGGTGGATTCTCGTTTGCGCGATCGTGAGTCGTCACTGAACGCTAGTATCAAACGGAGGCAGAGTTCCCCCTCAGATTCCATATATATTGTCTTTACTTCGGGAACAACGGGTGTCCCAAAAGCAGCTATCATCTGCCATTCAAATGTATGCGCCTTTGCCACCGCAGTAGCGCGTTTGAGCGGTGTCTCTCAGAGCTCCCGGATCCTCGCTCTTGCATCATACGCATATGATGTCTCATTAGGGAACGTTTTTTTAAGTCTATTATCCGGGGCCTGTCTTTGCGTTCCATCCTCGTGGGAATGTAAAAACGAAGTTGGCATGCTCGTTGCACACTATCGGAGCACACACTTGCAAACAACACCCTCCATATCGAAGATGCTGAACCCTTCGGATGCCCCGACGCTAGAAGTGTTGGACCTTGGTGGAGAGCCCTGCACTGAGGATGCCATTTCTAGATGGCGGACAAGCCGAACACGAGTAATGAATGGCTACGGACCGGCAGAGTGCACAGTGCTCTCCGTGGTTAATACAAACGTACTTCTATCTCCTCGACCATCGATCGTTGGTAATGGGCTAGGCGCGTGTTGGATCATGGATCCCATTGAGCGGCAACGTCTGAGCCCGATTGGGGGGATTGGCGAGCTGGTAGTAGAAGGGCCTATGGTTGGCGCGGGTTACCTCCATGACGAGAAATCCACGACGGCGGCCTTTTTAGACAGCCCTGAATGGTTGCTTGGCGGTCTGCCAGGTGTAACTCCCGGCCGCCGAGGCCGCTTATACCGCACTGGTGATCTAGTAAGATACACAGATGAAGGTCTGATTGAGTACATTGGCCGGCGAGATTCACAGGTCAAAATCAGGGGTCAGCGAGTTGAACTTGGGGAGCTAGCTGCACACTTACACAGTTTGATTCCTTCAACTATCCAGTGGTGTCCAGAAGTGGCTCAGTTACATACGGGCATAGAGCTACTGCTCGTCTTTTTGGTTCCACCGCCATCTTGTGGAGATGGTAGCACTGAGACTCTACAAATCACCGTGGATAGGGTTGACCACCAGCTTCGGCAACGACTGCCGCCAGCGATGATTCCTGGAGCTTACGTAGTGATCAGCCAAATTCCACTGTCACCTACAGGAAAAACAGATCATCGAAAGCTGAAGCAGATGGCTCTGGAGCTTACAGATAATGAGCTGTTGTTTCCTTCAGCTAAGCCGGTTGATCCTGTTAACCAAACTAATGGATATGCTAGTACCAGCACCAACGAGATGAATGGCCATGCGCATTCGATAAATGAATCTGATCTGCCATATACCAACGGGCACAACGTAGAGCACACCCAGAGGCTCGACCGTGTCATTATGCGCCTTAAGCTTCTATGGAGTGAGGTTCTTAATATTGACCCTGAAACAATTCAATCTTCGGATACATTTTTCAGCCGGGGCGGAGAGTCGCTTGCAGCTATCCGCCTGGTTGACCAAGCAGCACGGGAAGGAATACACCTCGACGTCGCTATGATATTCAGACATTCGCAGCTTACCAAACTTGCGGCCGCTTGCCAGTGGTCCACCGTCTCATATAAAGCCCCTCCACGTCCATTCTCACTGCTCATCAACCTCTCCATTCTGGCTCAACTCTGCAATACAACTGTCGACAATATCGAGGATGCGTATCCATGTACTCCGATGCAGGAAGGGTTAATCACTCCGGACGTCCAACGGATGGCGACGTACCAAGGACATGCCGTACTGACACTGCCTCACCACATTGACGCAGAGCGTCTTGTACATGCCTGGCAACGGGTAGCTGCTGTATACCCAATCCTACGGACACGTATCGTCGACGTTTACCCGAAACAGCTCCTACAAGTGGTGCTGAAAGAAGCCCAGCTATACTCTGACAACAATAACCTTAACGATCTTGGTCTGTATCTTGAAGAGGACAAGCGGCAGCTGATGGGGCTCCGGACCCCATTGTGCCGCTGGGGCATTGTGCGTGAGCTTGGGTCGACGCATTTCGTCCTCACAATGCACCACGCGATATATGACGGGTGGACAATATCTCGGCTGGGAGCTGAGGTGTTCCGTGTCTACCAAGGGGTACGACCTCCCCCAACCTTGGGGTTCAATGTCTATATCCAACACCAAAGCGCCCAGTCTTCACAGGCGGCTCGAGAATTCTGGGAATCCCAGTTTGCGGACCCAGAGAAAACAACGGTGTTCCCAGGCCTGCCAAATGAGAATCGGCAACTGAATGTGGATTCGCTACACTCCAAGGCCTTCCCAGTTCCGTTAAATGCTCATAAAGGCATTTCAATCCCTTCTCTATTGCGGGCTTCCTGGGCGTTACTGGTTGCCCGGCTTTCAGGTAATAACGATGTAACCTTTGGAGCCACAGTGTCTGGCCGCAACGTTCCTATACCTGGAATTGCTGACCTTATGGCACCCACTATCTCTACTATACCCGTGCGTGTCAGGCTAGATGGAGTCGAGACAGTGGAGAGTTTTGTGGCGCGAGTACAGGCAGAAGCGCTGGATGCCATACCATTCGAGGGATTAGGTCTACAGAACATCCGCAAAATTTGTGCCAACACTAGAAAGGGAAGCCAATTCCGAACGCTTTTCATCGTACATCCTCCCACCCCTACTAGGCTAATGGACTTGCCTGCCAATGGACCTGCCGAAGAGGAATTGAAACGGATGCTAGACGGGCTAGATTTGACTACATCGTTGTCCAACTTTAACGAATATGCCTTGATGCTACTGATTACACAACAGGAGGATAGTTTGGTGGTAAACGCTAGTTATGATTCCCAGGCTATTTCTACAGAACAAATGGAGTGCCTCCTAGAGCAGTTCGCTTACACCGTGCAGCTAATTAGCCGCCCGGAATACCTGGGGCGCAGTCTAAAGGATGTCAGTGTCACCGGCCCCAGTGATCTTGAGACTCTATGGTCCTGGAATGGTACGCCTGCCGCCATGGTACACGAACTTATTCATGACAAAATTGCCCGAACGATTGCCCTTCATCCAGATTCCCCGGCTCTCTGCTCTTGGGATGGATCAATGAACTTTGCTGAAGTAGACGCAACTGCAAATGGCCTTGCCCGCGTTCTCCACGCAAAGGGGGTTGGCCGAGGCAGCCTCGTTCCAATCTGCTTGCAAAAGTCTAAGTGGGCTGCAGTTGTTATGCTAGGAATTTTGCGTGTCGGGGCTGCCTTTGTCTGCATGGATATCGGACGGCAGTCGCTGCAACGGCTACGGGCAATTGTAGCAGAGGTTGGGGCCTCTTATGTTGTGACAGTTTGTCGAGATGCTTCCCTCGCCCTCCAGCTTGTCAAGGATATTATTATATGTGACCGTCTTGAAGAAGCTCCATTCCTCTTTCCCCCTAAGCTGCTGGTTCCTCCGATAAGCTTGTCATCTTCCGACACGGCGTTCGTCATCTTCACTTCTGGTAGCACTGGCGTCCCAAAGGGAATTATGATCTCACACGAGAGTTTCTGCACTACCATCCCCCATCACTCCAGAGAGTTACGACTATCCCACCACTCTCGGGTTTATGACTACGCCTCGTACAGCTTTGACATAGCAGTCCACAATGCTCTAATGTGCCTTGTTTTGGGGGCGTGCTTATGCATCCCAAGCGAAGATGACCGCTATAACGAAATTGAAGGATCTATGGAGCGACTGCGCGCCAATTGGGCTAATTTCACCCCTACTGTGGCACGGCTGCTCGATCCTACCACTATCCCGAGCCTTCAGACACTTGTGCTCAGCGGCGAGGCCGTAGGGAGGGACCTGATCATACAATGGGCGGGCAAGGTCGACCTCATCAACGCTTACGGCCCCGCAGAATGCCAAATCTGCACTATCCGGACAGGACTGCTCAGTCCGCAGGATGAAGCTAACATCGGTCGTGGAGTAGCATGCTCCACATGGATCATAGATCGCGATCGTGATGGGCTGGCTCCGGTAGGCGCCGTGGGCGAACTCTGTATCGAAGGGCCGATTGTGAGTTCAGGCTACCTTAATTTTCCAGATGACATGTTCATGCAGGACCCCCCCTGGCTGCGTCAGGGGCCTTCAGAAATTCAAGGCCGAAGTGGGCGTGTGTTTCTCACTGGGGATCTCGCACGGTATCAACCTGATGGCACTATCCGCTATCTTGGGCGAGCGACCACGCATTCCAAAATCAATGGCCAACGCATAGAGTTGGGCGAAATCGAGTTTCATATTCGTCAATATCTTCCCGCCTTCAGGGACGTGATAGCTGAAATAATTGCTATTGAGGAAAGTCGGTTAATTGGCATATTTCTCCACTCGTCCACGATGAATGGCGAATCCAGTGACGCGATCCAGCTGATACCACCGCCGCATGGGCTAGAGAACTGGGTTCAAAGTTTTATGTTACCTTCCTTGAGTTGGCCCGTATTCTTTTTCGTTCCCAAGATGCCTTTAACACCGAGTGGTAAAGTAGACAGGAACATCCTCCAACTCGCTGCGGCGAGGTTTTCCCTTCAAGATTTGATTTCTCTGCGCTCCATGGAAAGCCAGGATGAGGATGGCAGGAAAGAGTGGAATGGCCTTCGACAGAAAATGAGGTCTATATGGTCTGAGATACTCAGCCTAGACCCGCTGAACATCAGCATCAACAGCGATTTCTTTCAGCTGGGAGGCGATTCAATCTCCGCCATGCGCCTAGTTAGGGCAGGTCGCAAGCATGGGTTTGTATTTTCAGTGCGAGACGTGATGCGTTGCTCGCGATTCGAAGATCTTTTTCTAATAGCCAAACCTGACATTCAAAATGAGGAGCAGCGTCTTGACATACTCCCAGTCGCTCCTGTTTTTGCTATGCCAGTTGTCAACAGAGATGAAGTCATCGCATCAGCTGCAAAAGTATGCATGCTCAACCCTGACGACATCCTCGATATCTACCCTTGTACAGCCTTTCAAGAAGGGGTGTTCACTCAGACGGTCAGCAATCCATCAGCCTACGTGCAGCAGACGAGCCTCCGGGTACCGGGCCATTTGAGCCTTGATCGGGTGCTGGCTTCCTGGGACGCAGTCATTGCTTCAACCCCGATTCTGCGCACACGTATTGTGCAGGTCGAGAAAGCATCTCTCATGCAGGTAGTTATCCGCGAGACGCCCGCATGGGAATCCCATGAGACAATGGAGCAGTATTTACACCACATCAACCAAACGCCTATCGGCCTGGGCACGCCACTCTCCCGGTTTGGCCTCATCCGTCAAACTGCCCAGTCATCCCAGCGTCCTATCGTCGAGCACACATTAATCTGGACCATCCACCACTCCCTATACGATGCCTGGACTATCGAGCTTATCCTCCAGGATGTATCTACGCATTATCATGCACCCCTGCATATTAAGGACCAGCTCCAGATTACAGGGCTTTCGTGCACTTACTGCAGAAGCAGCGTACTGCAAGCGAGCAATTCTGGCAACGCTATGTTACGGGCGCGTCGGATATAGCCGTTTTCCCTAAATTTCCCTCAACGGCTGCATCATCCGAGCCGACATCCATTCTTTGCAAGGATATTAGGCTGCCCACAACCCTGCCACCGGGCTACACAGTCGCTGACCTTCTCCGAGCTGCCTGGGCGATGCTGATGTCAAGACAAGGGGGCGATGCCGTTCTTTTTGGTGAGATGAGGCTAGGTCGAAATGTTACTCTCTCTGGCGTGGAACAAATGCGGGGACCGACCATCGCAGCTGTACCTGTCTTATTATCTATCGACCGAAAAGAGACAGTGGGATCTTTCCTGAGCCGTGTTCACGGCAATAGCCTAGATATGAGCGAATTTGAACACCTCGGGCTGCAGAATATCGCTCGGCTCAGCAATGATGCAAAAGCGGCCTGCAATTTCCAAACACTACTAGTTCTGCAAGGCCATGTAAACAGCGCAGCGGTTGCTGAGTCTATATTCCATGTGGATGACACTCTTGATGACATTCGCCATTTCAACAGCTGGGCCCTTATGCTTGTCTTCAAACGCAGCCCTTCTGGCTTCGTCTCGCACGCTGTGTTCCGAGAGTCAGCTGTCTCATCCCATCTAGTAGAGCTGCTATTACAGCAGGTTCAGTCACTATTCCAGGATCTATGTACGATGCCACTTGACACGCCTGTGGAAAGCCTTGATCGGGCGAGCCCTGAAGACCTTATTAAAATCTGGGAGTGGAACGCCACTCCTCCAGAAACTGTTGATAAGCTTGTGCATCACCTCGTCTTCGAGCAGGCACGGAAACACCCAAATAACTTGGCAGTGTTTGCTCATGATGGCCAGATGACCTACAAAGAGCTTGACGAAGCGTCTTCTCACCTCGCTGTACAGTTAATTGCTTGTGGTGTCGGCGTGGGCTGCTTTGTGCCATTATGCTTGGAGAAGTCTGTTTGTGTGCCTCTAGCCATGCTAGCGGTGATCAAGACCGGGGCAGCCTTCTGGGTCATGGACATCTTGTACCCGGAAAATATGTTACAGAGTACCACGCGGTCCCTAGAAGCAACGGTAGTCCTCGCTGGCCCTGGACAACTGGAGCTGGCAAAAAAGCTTTCTAATGATGTCTTCATTGTTAGACACTTGAGTCTCACCCAGGCCGGGGAGGCCCGCCACACTTTAACACCTTTACCTCGTAAGTCTCACCACATTATGTATATCTGTTTTACGTCTGGGAGTACTGGTGTCCCAAAAGGGGTCATGGTTACGCATCGCAACCTAGCCTCTGCTGCTGTTTCCCAGACTAGCAGTTTAGGCTTCAGGCCCGATGACAGAGTATATGATTTTTCATCCCACGCTTTTGATGCGAATATCTGGCACACCTGGCTTACCCTGGTAGTCGGTGCGTGCCTTTGCATCCCCTCGGAAGCCGACCGCATCGGAGATCTCTCTGGAAGTATTGACCGTTTGGAAACAACCGCTCTCTTCTTAACTCCATCAGTCGCTCGGACACTTGACCCAGGCAGCATCCCCACTGTGAAGCGGTTGTATCTTGGGGGAGAGGCTGTGACACCGCTAGACGTTTCCATGTGGGCACATCAGCTGGAGCTCTGGGGCGCCTATGGGCCAACGGAACTTACACCCTTATGTATCTTCACCCGTCTTAATCGGCCTGAGTCCGCTTCCAATATCGGCAAAGGCGTCGGTGTCTTACCGTGGATATGTAACCCGCAGAATCATAATGATCTTGTAGCGGTTGGAGTTGTGGGAGAGATGGTTGTGGAAGGGCCCCTGGTGACCCTAGGCTATCGTGGGCTTGCAGAACGCACCACGGCTGTCTTCATTGAAGACCCTACCTTCCTTACCGCAGGTTCCCAGAAACAGCCTGGACGCAGGGGACGGCTATATAAGACTGGTGACCTCGCTCGCTATACTCCAGATGGCACGATCGAATACATAGGTCGTGCTGATAGTCAAGTCAAGCTTCGGGGGCAAAGGGTGGAATTCGGAGAGATTGAATATCATCTTAAATTTGCCCTTCCTACAGCTGTATCAGTCTGCGAAGTTATCACGCATTCTTCAGGGCAACCCCTACTTGCTGCCTTTTGCGCATTGCCGTCGGGCATGCAGGACCTAGATGTTGTCAAAGCCCGGTCCTATCTTAGCAAGAGGCTACCACGATTTCTTATCCCCTCCGCATTCTTAATTGTTCCCGGGATTCCAAAGAATGTAGCGGGCAAAATTGATCGGCTGCAGCTTCGCCCGTTGGGGCCAGAACTTTTACTTCGCCAGAATACCAGTGACTCGGAGGCAGTTATACATCCCTACGGTCCATTTACCGAAATGGAAACCAGATTACAGAACTTCTGGGCTTTGGTACTAGGCCGGGCAGATCAAATATACTTTCTTGATAGCGACTTCTTTGACCTTGGCGCTGATTCCATTACGGCCATGAAACTATCGAATCTGGCGCGCAAACACGATCTTAGTCTCACGATCCAGGACATAACCCATCATCGTTTAATCGCTTCAATGGCGCTGTGTGTCCAACCGATTGGCGCTCTATGGAAATCCCCGGCTCCCTTCTCTTTAATTAAACCATGCAAGCTTAACCCAGTCTTGGCTCAGGCGGCTTCAATCTGTGACATTCCACCTGAAGAGGTCATGGATATATATCCCTGCACGCCATTACAGGTTGAACTATTTGCTCTAACCATGAAGCAACAAGGAGCTTATATCAAGCGTTCAGTATTCGACGTTCCTAAGCATATTGACTTTGTCAAACTTCGTCAAGCATGGGATACTGTAATTGCTCTCCACCCGGCTCTAAGAACGCGCTATGTAGACATCAAGGGTCTAGGACTGCTGCAGGTTGTAGTGAAGACCCAGGCATGGGAATCTGCTGATACGATTGAATCCTACCTAGCTAAAACCCCGATACGGGCTGAACTGGGAACTCCTTTGTCCCAATTAGCTGTCATTTACAACAAGTCTGCACCAAAGATTGTGTGGACGATCCACCATGCCATGTATGATGGATGGTCAATTCAGCTCATCGAGGAACAACTTTACAGGGCGTACCAAGACCAACGGGTACTCCCATCGCCATCCTTCAGCTCCTTCGTCCAGCACTTGCTGTTGCAGGATCCCAACAAGGCGAAGGAGTTTTGGAGGTCTCGGCTAGCAGGATGTGCTTCAGCAACCATTTACCCTAACTTACCCTCACGGCCCTATCAGGTGCAGCCGAGCCAGACGTATAGCCGCACTATAGACACCTCCGTCGCTACAGGAGTAAACTTGCAATCTAGCATCCATTTAGCTTGGGCCTCGATTGTCTCACAGCTCACTGAAGCAAATGATATTGTGTTTGCCGCAACCTTGGCTGGGCGCGATGCGTCTGTCCCCGGGATCGAGCAGATAGTAGGGCCAACCATCGCCCCTGTACCCATCCGCATTCAACTGCGTGGTCCAGAGCAGGCAGTCCAGGACCTGATAGACGAAATTGAACGGAAAACAGCCAACCTTGCTCCCTACCAGCATATAGGGACCAAAAACATTGCACTTATTGATTCTGATACTTGCGCAGCCTGCCGCTTTCAAACCCTTGTCGTTATCATTCCTCCAAACACCGCAGAGTCTAGTCATGCCATACGGACAGCAACGTATGATGTGGCTGGCGCAGAGAAACAAGCATTCCACACATTTGGGCTAGTATTCTTCTTCACGCCTTCTCAGAAAGGATTGGATCTTGAAGTTGTCTTCGACCCTGTTTTGCTTGATCAACGGGAAGTGGAACGCATGTGCGGACGCTTCCAGGCTGTCCTCTCCTCCTTGGTCGAAACTGACCTTTCGACCCTTTGCGTAGGTGATATCGAATGTCTCAGCAAAGAGGACATGCAAGATATACGAAGCTGGAACTCTCCATTGCCAGTGTCCAGAGAACGCCTTGTGCATGATATCATCCTTGATAGCGCTAGAAAGCGTTCTCATAAAGTGGCAGTTGATGCTTGGGATTGTAGCATAACGTATGCTGCTCTGGAAATGCAATCCAGTCAATTGGCAGCACACCTGCATGGGCTTGGAGTGAGGCGTGGCTCCATTGTGCCCATCTTGTCACCAAAATCTGGATACGTTGCTATAGCCACATTGGCCGTTCTGAGAGCTGGTGCAGCGATTCTACCTCTAGATACCACCCAGCCTTCACACCGTCTTCAACGTATAATCGATCAAGTACGCCCGGATGTTATATTGGTAGCAAAGTCCTTAGTCGCCGTCGCTGCTCGTCTCGCAGTTGCCTCAGTGGTGCCTATTGAGGATAGCCTGGTAGTAGGCTGCAACAAAACAACCACGGACAACCTCTCTATCCCCAAGCTTGAAGATATCGCCTGTGTGCTATTCACCTCCGGCACCACAGGAACACCGAAAGGTGTTCTACAAACCCACCGTGCTCTATCTTCAGCCATCATTAATCAGGCTGTCGCATCCGGCTTTGAGGAACAGACACGGGCATTCGAGTTCGCTTCGTACAGTTTTGACGTGAGCTGGAATATGATATTCAAGGTCCTGTCGGTAGGAGGCACGCTGTGTGTTCGGGACGAGAATGACAGGCGCAACGACCTCGCCGGCAGCATAAACCAGGCCGCCGCGACACTAACTGAGCTCACGCCATCTGTCGCGAGGTTAATCAAGCCAGATCAGGTCCCTACACTTTGTACCCTGATATTGTCAGGGGAAGCCGTGGATCCGCGCGAGTTTGAAACTTGGGCCCCCAAGGTTCGCATAGTGATCTGTTATGGGCCGTCCGAATGTACGTCGGTTGCTACAATCAATCTCACGGGTTCGCAGGCCCATGGAATTGGCAAAGGATTATCTTGCATGACCTGGATTGTCAATCCCCAAGATCATAGACAACTCATGCCCATCGGCGCCGTGGGCGAAGTTGTCATTGAAGGACCTATTGTTGGCAAGGGTTATCACAACAACGAACCTCTAACCAATGCATCATATGTCTGCGGTCTCCCTTGGCAGGAAGGCCGAACTGGCTTCGCCTTTAAGTCCGGGGATCTTGCGCGGTATGACTCCCACGGGAACTTGCACTTTATATCTCGCAAGGACACTCAGGTCAAGCTACGCGGCCAGAGGGTTGAGCTAGAGGAAGTTCAGCATCATGTCAACCAAATGATGGGCGGACTCGTCGGGGCTGTGGTTTGTACAATTGTGGAGCATAGCAAGGAGCAGACCCTGACCGTCCTGATGAGTGACAGAGACATGACAACAGCTCCGGTGGCCTGCGCCCTTGCTATGCCAGCACCAGCGGTGCTGGCGTGTTTGGAAAATTTGGATGAGCGACTCGGAGCGGTGCTCCCTAGCTACATGATACCAGCAGCGTATTATTTTGTCACCTCCATCCCCCGCACTACCAACGGGAAGATTGACCGCCGGAAGCTGGTGGAACTAGTTTCACAGGCGCCGCCGGAGTTGCGGTATCGAGGGCGATCGAATCGCCCAGCTGTCCGCCACGTGCCATCTACCCCGGCCGAAGTTGAAATGCAACGGCTATGGTCAGCGGAGCTGGATATCGCAGTGGACTCGATCGGGGCTGACGACCACTTTCTCGACCTGAACGGCGATTCTATTTCCGCCATGAGACTTGTTGCCGCTGCCCGGCGGCAAGGTTATGAACTGCAGGTGGCGGATGTTTTCGCATATCCGAAACTGTCTGACTTGTCGCTGAGGCTTCAGAAAATGGCTACATTTAGCACACGAGTCGACCCGCCGTTTGCCCTGCTCGACAGTCTGGACGACCTTGTCGTAATCCGCGGTGAGGTAGCTGCGCGATGCTGCCTTGCTGATCCTACCATGGTCGAAGATATCTATCCCTGCACACCGTTGCAAGAAACGATGATTGCAGCTACCATTAAAGACCCTATGGCCTTTATCAGCCGGCGACTGTACCGTCTTCCCTCGGCTGTGGATAGGAGGAAGCTCTACTCGGCCTGGGAGACTGTGGTCGCTCGCAATCGCATTCTACGGACACGTATAGTTGACGTGAAGGGTCAAGGGCTACGCCAGGCCGTTATTCATAGTCAGTTTGCATGGGAAGCCTATCCGACCATGCAGGCCTTCTTCAATCACGAGCTGGCAAAAACCATGGGCCCCGGGACCCCCCTAACAAGGTGGGCTCTCATTGAAGAGCCTACGGAGAATTATCTGGTGTGGGTTATCCATCATGCAACATACGACGGGTGGATTCTTCCGATCATCGAAGAGGAGGTCCGGAAGGCGTATTTGGGGGAGACCATGTTACCTTCACAGCCAGATATCCGGCCTCTCGTAAAATATCTCCTCAATGAGAGGAAGAATGCATCCCTCGAGTTTTGGGAACAAGAGTTGAAGGATGCACAAGAAAGTTCGATCTTTCCGACCCTATTGAGCCATAAACATAAGCCCTGTCCGCAGGCGTATCTAGAATCTAGCATTGCAGTGGTGGAGAGAATTCCTACTGCAAGCCTTTCCGCCTTCTTGTATAGCAGCTGGTCGATTCTTGTCTCACGTCTCACAGGTAGCCAGAAGATTGCCTTTGGCACAATCCGCACTGGCCGTGCCGCCCCAGTTGATAATATCGATCGACTCATGGGGCCAACAATTACTACAGTGCCCCTCGTCGTGGACGTTGACCCGTCACAATGTATCCAAGATCTCATGCATCGATTGAGCAAGCAGCTTCTCAACATTGTCCCGCATTAGCATCTTGGAGTTTCGGCCATTCGCCGTATCAGTGACGATTCAGCTCATGCTTGTAGCTTCCAGGCGGTGCTCGTCATCCAGCCAGGCAGCGGCGACGATATAAGTGAAATTCGTACAATCATGGAAGAGGTGGATGAAATGAAGGTAGAAGGATTCCCTGACCAGCATGCGGTGCTAAATCAGTATGGTTTGATGGTGGAAATCCTTCCAGCAAGCACCACACTGAAGCTGAGAGTCAGCTTCGACTCAGCTATCATTTCTACCATACAGGTAGAGCGTCTTGTGGGACAGTGGGGGCAAATCCTACAACAGTTAAACATTGCACTCTGTGAAGCGCCCTATACACCGGTGGCTCAGTTGGACCCCCTGAGTGATAAACAACTTGACAGCATCTGGACGTGGAATCATGTAGTTCCTGAGCCGGCAACTGACTGCTTCGTCCATCAGATAATATCCAAAGTCACTTCGAAGCAGCCGGACGCGCTCGCCATTGACGCATGGGATGGTCGTCTCACCTACAGAGAACTAGATACCCTCTCTTCTCGACTGGCTCGTCAGCTAGTTTCAAACGACATTGGACCCGGCTGTTTCGTCCCTGTCATTTTTCCAAAGTCTCTTTGGGCAAATGTGTCTATGCTAGCCGTCATGAAGGCCGGTGGTGCGTTCGTCCCGCTAGATGCCTTGCATCCGGAAGGCCATCTGCGTGCAATCATGCAACTTGTGAGCCCAAGGCTCATTCTATGCTCCGCCGTAACAAGAGACCGCGCCTCTCGACTAGCACCCGCTACTCTTGTGGTAGGCCCATCCCTCCAACAGGGGCAGATGCTGCCAGACAATCAAGACACCGGGTCAGCCATCACTACCGCCGACTCCCAAAGGCGCCTCCATGCAGAGGACCTTGCCTATGCCGCCTTTACGTCTGGTACCACAGGCATGGCGAAGGGCGTTAAGATTACCCACGCCAACCTAGCCGCCGCGATTCGCTATCAGGCTGGGCCACAAGGATACCAGATTGTCTCACAGTCCCGGACCTTGGACAGCTCATCTTATGCCTTTGATGCTTGTGTGTGCAACTGTTTTTATACCCTCACACAAGGCGGGTGTCTCTGCGTTCCGAGCGACGAAAGCCTGTGTGGGGATCTAAGCGGCTTCATGCGCGACTATAGGGTTAACTGGGCACAGCTTGTGCCGTCAGTTGCACGATCAATCAAGCCATCCAGCTTGCCTGACCTGGCCAGCCTCGTACTTACTGGGGAGGCTCTTCTGCGGAGCGATATCGACACCTGGAGTAGTCGGGTACGGCTAGTTAACGCCTATGGGCCAACCGAATGCACTATTCTATGTGCAATCTCTTCTAGAATCACTACGGCCACCGTAGCCGGAAATATTGGCTGTGGACACGGTGCTAACCTATGGCTGACCGAGATCGGAAACCCGAATCGCCTTGCTCCCATAGGTGGGATTGGAGAAATTCTCATCGAAGGGCCAATTGTTGGTGCTGGCTATCTAGGACTAGATACCTTTCCACTCGTAGTCAATCCGCCTTGGCTACTTGAGGGTAGCGGACGAGTTCCCGGTAGGCAAGGCACGCTATTTCGAACGGGTGACCAGGCACGATATTCTGATGATGGCACCGTCATCTTCATGGGCCGGATAGGGTCAGAAGTCAAGCTACGTGGCCAGCGGGTAGATATAATGGGCGTGCAGGACCTTGTCCAGCGATGGGCGCCCAGTGGACTGGAGATCATAGCCGAAATTATTTATATGGAGTCAGCGACAGCCCAGCAACATTCCCGGCAGATACTACTGCTTTTCGCCAGTCAAACTGCTACCTCGTCTACTGCTGATGATCAAGGGCCACTGGAACAGCAAGTGCGGTCTCATATCCGAAAACTAAAGCATGCCCTCGACCCAGCCCTTCCATCGTACATGCATCCAGAAGCATTCGTCTGTCTAAACAATATCCCCAGAACGCGATCTGGAAAGACTGATCGTCATCGCCTTAGGGAGATTGGCAAACGATTGCATCTCGCGCAGTTAATCTGGATCCGTGAAGATGGCCTGCCAGCCCTCCCGTCAAGGCCAGCCACCCACGATGAAAAGGCACTGGCTAGGCTTTGGGCGGATGTACTAAAGCTAGACGAACGTTCAATTTCATACGAAGATGATTTTTTTGTCCTTGGTGGTGATTCCCTCGGGTTTATGAGGTTGACCACGGCCGCTCACGAGCGTGGCATATCTCTCCTAGCAAAAGAGGCATTTGAGTACCCGCGTCTTGCTGACATGGCACGTAGAATGACTATTTTCAATACCCTTCACTGTGAAGAAAGCAACATTGCTCGCCCATATTCGCCTTATAGTCTCACTCAGGATATACCTGACATGATCAAGTTTATCCGGGATCATGTTGCGCCAGCCCTGAATATTCCTACTGACCAGGTGCAGGATATTGTACAGGCTAATGGATTCCAAGTGGACTATATCAACAATGAAGAGGAGCCCCTCGGCTTACAATATGCATATCTCGATATTAGCCCCCAAGTTTCATGGCCGAGACTAGTTGCTGCTTGCCGATCTATCATAGAATCGTTCCAAGGTCTTTGTGCACGCTTTTTTGAGCATAAGGGCCAGTACTATCAAGTGCTACTCCGTGACGCCCCCCTACTAGTCGAAGAGGTTGTCACTACGGAGCAAATAACCGCCTTTTCCGGCCGTTTCTGTCCTCAAGATGCCCGTCGCGCGGCTATCAGTGATATCTTCACCAAGCTCACCCTCATAGACAGTGGTGTCCACCTTCGGCGGGTGATTCTACGAGTCTCCCACATGCAACACGATGGATGGTGCACCATAAAGATTTTGCAGGCTATCGCACGAGTCTACAACGAAGATGTATTCCGTCGGTACTGGCGAGATCTATTACAGGGCAGCTCAAATATAACACCACCCCTTGTGTTCCGCCCAGGGGGCACACAACCTCGCACACTGCGGACCTTTGCTTTCCGCAACTTCCACAACTTGGCCGATAATCGGCGTACACGGCCGACTGTGGTAGTTAATGTAGCATGGGCACTTGTCCTTCGACAGTTGGCCGGCCACGAAGAAGTCGTCTTTGGCAACGTCACCACGGGCCGCAATGGAGATATGTCGGACCTAGACTTGGTCATCGGGCCATGCGTCAATATGTTGCCCCTAAGACTCCGTGTCAGCGGCGACAGCTACAGCGATAAATTCAGCCGCCAACAGCACCTCTGTGCGCTTGTTGAAGAATCAGCGAGGCAGGTTAACGAACGCACCATGTTTGAAGGCCTAGATTGGGAGGAGCTGGTAGAGCACTGCACAGACTGACCAACAGGAACCCCATACGCGTCCGCAGTACATTTCCGGAATATGGCATTTGAGCCACAGCTAGACCTAGCGGGCGAGCAAGTTGTAGTCGCCTGGTATGAACTTGTGGCAACGCCGCACTGGACTACTGTGCTGGTATACCCAGAAGATGACATCCTACGGGTGTGGCTGCTGGCAAACCCGGCAGAGATTGGGAATGATGGCGCAGATGAAATCCTGCGCATGTTAGAAGCCTATATAGATGAGATGTTGGTGGCTCTTAGAGAGGGTTAATTGATGGTTATATGTATATAACATCTAGGGATACCATGTATCAAGTATTACTAGTTAGAATTATTATATTATAGAATTATTATATTATCTTACTTGTTAGTTAATACTAGCATTTGGCTCGGCAACTACATGTAAAAAGCTCAAACCATATAATCAGCGTATTTGCGTGATTTCGATGAGAGGACGCATTCCGTTGAGGTAGAACATTTAACATTGTATTTTTTTTGATAAATACTATAGATGACACTACTTTCCCGAAAATGAGTAACGCCACTGCCATTTAAATCGATTGGTAGAATGAAGACACGAAATGAGAACAGCCAAATCATACCACTTCATGCAATGCAAGTTTCCTTTATTAATCCATCATAATCGCAAGAAAAGAGCGTGTGATGCCGGGCGTATCTAAGGTATATACGTCTCAAGATGGAGACTTTTACTACCACATGATATTCGATCTATTTAAAGTAACTATATATGATTGGCCGGCTGAATTAGCCTACCTTGGCAAGATTAGTAATATTATCGTTGCACTTTTATTGGTTTAAACTGATGACAAATAAGAACGTAAAGCAGCGAGTGACTTTGGCCGTGAACATTATGAGAAATAAAGGCGGCGTCAGAAGCGTCCGCTTTGGCTCTATCTCCACGTGATGATAAGAAGTGCCACCCAAACCTAATTAGTAATCTGAAAGGAAGAAGGAAAAAAAAAGCTAACCATCCACCAAAGAGCTTAAGAAAAAAAATCCAAGTAGCGACGGCGAGCTGTCGCAACATCAACAACGTCGATACCAAGGCCAGGAATCGGGTTATTCGCCCTCGTTGGACCCAATTGGATTTGGTAGCGGCCTTTGAATTGCGCCCAGCTATGAAATTTTAGCTGCTTTTCTACTCCATCTCTCGTCTCAAAAAGAACACACCACAGCTATGGGGCCACAAAGTGACGCCGAATGGTCTGTCGAGTATGATACTCTCCGGCGGGAGCGGCTTTTTAGACACCCTCCAAAGGACGAAACAGCTTATCCTGCGCTCGCGGCTGCCATCCGGCCACACATAGACTCTTTTAACGCCTTGTTCGAAGATAGTAAGGTTTTGGAGGCAGCTCTAAAGGACATCGGCATCAAGTCCTTCATTGACGGGAACTCGGAGACACCAGAAGAGAAAGCTGCGCGACGGCAGGAAGGAAGAAGAGCGCCGAAGAGAAACAAGCTTAGCCTGCGGATAACAGAGTTGTTCCTCGAAAAGGCCGTTCTCCCACCATCAAATAAATACAGCACCCGCAACCGTGAAATTTACCCCGCGGAATGTCGTGAGAGACATGCAACCTACCGAGGCAAACTAAGGGCGAGATTGGAATATAAAATAAATAATGGAGATTGGAAGGAATCCGTCCGGGAACTGGGACAAGTTCCGATCATGTTACGGGTAAGCTGGATTTGAATATGTGTGCATAGCCACGATAGATGAACTAACCAGTGCCTAGTCAAATCGATGCCACCTCGAAAAGGCCACCCCTTGCCAGCTAGTGGACCGCAAAGAAGAGTCGGAAGAGCTGGGTGGCTATTTCGTTGTTAACGGTAACGAGAAACTCATTCGAATGCTGATCGTCGCAAAGAGAAATTTCCCTACTGCCATTATTCGAAACTCCTTCCAGAAACGTGGTTCGACGTATACCAAGTTTGGTATTCAAATTCGCTCAGTCAGGCCAGATCAGACTTCCCAGACCAATGTACTTCATTACCTCAGCGATGGGAACGTCACGCTTCGGTTTTCATGGAGGAAGAATGAATATCTTGTGCCAGCCCTGATGGTCTTAAAGGCACTTATTGAAACCAATGACCGCGAGATATTTGAGCGTCTGGTTGGCCGGGAAGGTTCCTTGGGCATCGAGAATACCTTCGTCACAGACCGTGTGGAACTGCTTCTGAGGACATACAAGGCATATGGCGTCCATTCTAGGTCCAAGTGCAGAGCTTATCTGGGCTCTAAATTCAGGTTTGTCCTTGGAATGCCGGAAGATATTTCAGATGAGGATGTTGGCACAGAATTCCTTCGAAAGATTGTGTTGCCGCATCTCGGTAATCAAAACGTTACTGAATCGCAGGATAACGACAAGTTTAACATGATTTTATTCATGATCCGGAAGCTTTATACGCTGGTTGCTGGAGATTGCGCTCCCGACAATCCCGATGCTGTCTCTAACCAAGAAGTTCTTCTAGGAGGTTATCTGTACGGTATGATATTGAAGGAGCGACTCGAAGAGTGGCTTAAATCCGTTGGCCCTATTGTCCGGGACTGGAGAATGCGAAGTCAGGACGCCAAATTCACAGACCCCAAATTCGAGAGAGAATTCCTCGCGAAGATAATTGGCAGAACGAATGAAAATATCGGTGGCGCCTTGGAATATTTCCTATCCACGGGTAACCTAGTCAGTCCTACCGGTCTCGATCTACAACAGCCCTCGGGTTATACTGTAATGGCAGAAAAGATCAATTTCTATCGATTCATCAGCCATTTCCGAATGATTCACAGAGGAAGCTTCTTCGCCCAGCTTAAAACCACTACTGTTCGAAAACTACTACCCGAAAGTTGGGGATTCCTTTGCCCTGTCCACACCCCCGATGGTAGTCCTTGTGGCTTGCTGAATCATCTTGCACATAAATGTTTGATATCAACTTCAAACCTGGACGTATCAGGTGTTCCTGGGGTTCTTGCTGGGCTGGGAGTAACATCCGAATCCTCATGCTCGACAGAGGAAAGCATTCCGGTCCAACTGGATGGAAAGATCCTTGGATACTGCACACCAAAGCAATCTCGTGCCATTGCTGATACCCTACGATACTGGAAGGTGCAGGGCCATAAGCACATCCCTGTCGAGCTTGAGATAGGCTATGTTCCAAGCTCCAATGGCGGTCAATACCCGGGTGTCTACATGTTTTCTGAAGCGGCCCGCATGTTCCGACCGGTGAAATATCTCCCACTGGATAAACTAGACTATGTCGGTCCATTCGAACAACCGTACATGGAAATTGCCTGTATTGCCTCCGACATCAAAAATGGAGTGTCAACGCACATGGAGTTTGACCCAACGCATATCCTATCCATCCTGGCCAACATGACCCCCTTTTCCGACTTTAATCAGTCGCCCCGTAACATGTACCAGTGTCAGATGGGTAAACAAGCAATGGGGACTCCCGGTACCGCCATAGATTACAGAACGGATAACAAGCTCTACCGACTACAAACCGGTCAAACGCCAGTTGTCCGGCCACCTCTCTACAACGCCTATGGGCTCGACAATTTCCCTAATGGCATGAACGCGGTTGTTGCCGTGATTTCATACACTGGTTACGACATGGACGACGCTATGATAATAAATAAATCTTCTCATGAACGTGGATTTGGCTACGGAACGATTTACAAAACGAAAGTATACGCGCTAGATGATAAGGAGTCTCGCGGACGAGGGAGGGCCAAGCGATCAATCACAAAACTATTTGGCTTCGCTCCCGGTGGCCTGGTAAAAGCCGAATGGAAAGCTCAGCTCGACGATGATGGCCTGCCGCATATCGGATCGAAAGTTAGCGAAGGGAGTCTTGTGGGCGCGTGGCATACCGTTCAATACGATCCGGCAACAGACACCTATTTGAACGTGGATAAACAGACCCATTTCCTCAAATACAAGGATGGCGAAGAAGGGTTTGTGGACAGTGTCCGTGTTCTTGGATCAGAGACAGGAAATGAAGTATGCCAGGCGGTCAGCATCAAGTACAGAATTCCTCGAAAGCCTGTCATTGGTGATAAATTCTCATCCCGCCACGGACAAAAAGGTGTTCTGTCCCAACTCTGGCCATCAGCCGACATGCCATTCTCCGAATCAGGAATCCAGCCCGATGTTATTATCAACCCGCACGCTTTCCCCTCTCGAATGACAATAGGTATGTTCGTCGAGTCACTGGCTGGTAAAGCAGGTTCTTTACATGGCCTCGCCCAAGACTCGACACCCTTCCAGTTCTCCGAAGAGGCGACAGCAGGCGATTTCTTCGGCAAACAACTGCAGAAGGCCGGCTACAACTTCCACGGAAATGAACCCATGTATTCTGGAATCACAGGCCGAGAGTTTGCAGCCGACATCTATGTCGGTGTCGTCTACTACCAGCGTCTCAGACACATGGTTAACGATAAGTTCCAGGTCCGTACGACCGGTCCTGTTAACGCCTTAACTGGACAGCCGGTCAAGGGTCGTGCAAAGGGTGGTGGTATCCGTGTCGGTGAGATGGAACGTGATGCCCTCCTAGCTCACGGTGCAGCATTCTTATTACAAGATCGACTGATGAACTGTTCCGATTCCCAGCGTGCATGGATATGTCGAACCTGCGGCTCCTTCCTATCCACTCAGGTTGCTGTGTCGCAGTTGTTATCACCGCATAAGAACCCTGCAATGGAAGCCGTGGTCCAATCTACGGCAAATGCGATTGCTAAACCACTTAGCGGAGTGAGTGCTCTAGGTGGCGTGGCTGGAATTGTACGGTGTCGAAGGTGTGCTAGGGAAGCAGTATTCGACGATGCTAGAGCGGAAGTGTGGGAAGACGGATCTGGCAAACGGTTCGTCGGTGGTAGCGATACGACCGTGGTCGCTGTGCCAGGGGTGCTAAAATATCTTGATGTCGAACTTTCTGCGATGGGTATCAAGATGAGATTTCACGTTGATAACTAATGCCTCGGTAATTGACTGCTCATTTTGTTTCTTGGTTTAATTTTTATATAGAATCCAAGCATGATACGCCTGATTTCTAAGGCCCTATTTATACCATTGTTCCAGTAAAATTTTACATCAAAATACGACAGCTACCTTTCCGTGGTCTACTCGTTCAATTTATATGTATATATATACACTGAGAAGCAAAAAAACACGATACCGAAGTGCCAATGCAGAATGAGCCTTTGATAAAAAAATATCCGTAGTCTTGAGCTCCAAAACACCTGCAACTCCTTGCTGATCTTCTATTAAGCTATGTAATATTAACATCAATAATGACACCGATTTATCAAATTACCAAGGCTCAACTATAATGATCTGTATCCCCTGTGCTGGGTACCTGTTACATAGCGTGCAGAGTACATATTACTAGAGATAATGATACAGTATATTAATCACCGTAGATTTATCGAGTTAGTCGTCTAGCCGACGTCCCCATGTATGCATCGAATACAAGATGGTAAAGGTAAAAAGACAAAGGGTTTAGAAAAGGAGTCCCAAGTGGAAGGGAAGACCAGTGCGATATGGAATACAAGTCTTTTATCTCCACCTCACGCACCACAAGCACACACCACGCCAGGCCAGGCCGTTCTAGTTAACGATACTCTCGGAAACATTCGAAAACTCGCCCTGCTCTAGCTTCGTTCTCCAGAAGATGGGGTTCGTGTCGCTGAATCCATGCTTCACCCATCCATCCTCCTTGACGTGGTATAGGTTGATGAAACCACCAGAGTACGCATCCCTGTGGGTGGCAGCAAGAATACTTCTGGATCCTAGCGCAAGGGCCTCCTCCTCCGTCAAGTCATATCGGTACTCCGCATCCAGCACGCCGTATGCGAAGGTCTGACCAGATCCAACACAAAACAAGTTTCCTGCCAATCGAGTACCGTCGGAGTCGATGTAGTATAACGCTGGGCCTTCTTCAGGCGTAACACCGGCGCACATGGTTCCCATGCTGAGACCCATTCCCTTGTAGTTGTAGACTAGGTTGGAGAGGATCTTGGAGGCTGCGGCAACGGAGATGCGGCGTTTGTGTCGGAGCTCGTGGAGACGGCACTGCATGCCTAGGTATGCGAGCCAGTATTGGCAGTCCTGGACGAGAGATTAGCAGGAGAAAATGGACGAGCGAGTGCGGCAAGTAAGACGTACGGCAGCACCACCGGCCATGGTCCCCAGTAAACAGCTGTTGATCTCGATAACCTTCTTGACCGTCTGACTGGCTATCCAGTTTCCAGCTGTGGCTCTCGAATCTGTAGCTACGATTATGCCTCCCTGGAATCTGAAAGCGAGCGTTGTTGTGCCGTGGGCGAGTTTGATTGGGCAGTCGGGGTTGGAGTGGTCGTCTGTTGCTGCTCGTAGGAAGGCGGAGGGCTGGCGAGCAGGTCAGTCGGCGCCTCTGCAGCGAGGGACGATAGCTTTACGGAGGAACTCACTCTGTCAATAGGTGGGAGAGAGAATCTGAGGGACAGCGGAGGGGCTCTCTCTAGAACATCCTGCTGTTCAGTCTCATAGTCGTCCTGAAAGCTCGACGGCCGGGAGTATTGGGCGACGAGGGCGTCCATTCTGCTATCACGGGCGGGTGTAAGGTGTGAAGACCGGGTTATCGAAGCTGCTGGTGTTGTGCAATGTCCAAGGAGAGGTGTTCTGGTCGTGCAGCGGCGGGCGGTTGGTCTGGAGATGAAGCTGTTCTCTGCTTGTTGTTCGGAGCTTCAACTTGACTGCGAAGCTTCGCGTTCCAGCAGCCTAGGTCACGTGATGGTATATATATATAAGACTCCCCAGGAGATATATCTTCACGAAGGGGACAAGTCTATGTTCGAAGTGTCATTTTCACGTATAGGTACTGTTATTGTGCTATGTTATTATCGGTTAGAAGTACAAGGACAAGAGACGGCTCCAAAACATCCAACGCCGTTTCACGACTCCGACTCCGACTCTGACTGTCCGCCATTATGATACCAACTTCCACTTGGATATACAAATAGACACTCTTTTGCTTTTTTCCATGCCAGGCCCCCTGAGAGTACTATCTCTTTTTAGATTGCATCGATCTCGTCCTTTTCTGCGTCTCCATTCACGCCGTTGCCGTTGGTCTGGGCCCGGATTTTTCGAGGGATGAGCCCTTCAGACGCCATCGGCACAGGCTCAAGCTCGGCCTCCCAGGACTTGAGATCTGACTCGGCGTCTTCCATTATCTGGCGGCTCTCCTCGGTCTGGTCGAACTGTCCTCGACCCTCGCCGGGGACGACTGGGGTGTCGTCTATGAGAGCTAGCAGGCGGCGGCCGTGACGGGCAAGCTGGGCTTGCTTCTCAGCTCGCTCGATGGTAGATGCGAGGTGCATGTCAAAGGCTTGCTTGAACTTTTGGCGGGTCTATAGCTATGCATAAGTATATCTCTTTCAACTGCGCGAGAGGGTGAGTTACCATGTTGGTCAACTGGGCCTCAGCCACCAATGCTCGAGCTTCTGCCCGAACAAGTTCCTGCTCCAGGCCAGTGACCTTTGCGCCGTCAGGGTCACGCAGCTTGTTCTTCTGGATCTCGTCGATGATCTTGGCCTTGTGGTCTCTGGCTGGCTGCACTGAACCCTCCGTGTTCCTGATATGCTTCAGAATGGTCCTTGCCTCCTCCAGGTTATATGTGAACAGGTCCTCCTGCTCGCCGATTTCAGACAGGAGAATGCCTAGCTTGTCGGATATCTCAGAAACGGCTGGATCGCCAGTGTTGAACCCCCAGTCCGCCAATTGGGATGCCACCAGGACACGGTCACGGCCGGCATTCTTGTAGGAGCTGATGGCGTGGCTTTCAGTTTTGATCACCTTGTACAGGTCCTTGCTGAGCTCTGGCTGCTGGACTCCTCGCAGAGTCGCCATGGTGAAGCGGTGCCTCAAGGGCTCGGAGCCCGTGGTATGCCGCGTGCGATTCCTATAGCTATCAGCTACTGCCATTGTTACTTTGTATCTTTTGGAACCCTTACATCTCGCTTGTAGATAGCTGTCCAATTCTCCTTTCGTCTCGAAATGCTTTGATCCTAGCCCGGTTCAACTGCGCCTTGTATAGAACCAGTTGGTAAACAGAAAGCAGAGAGCAGGCGAAAGTGGCTGCATGTTTCCTTCCTGTCTACTTCCATCCAGTGACGTCATGTGCCACTTGCAACGGTTTCTATGAAGCTCGAGACGTTGCATAGATCGAGCGTAGAAGACGCGGTTCCATGGTAGATGGCGAGTTAGAGCGTTGTTTCATCGTTGTCACTAACGGTTGAAGATATCACTAATCACTGCTTGTTTATCAGCAAGTCTACACAACCATAATATACCTTAACCATAATATACGAGTCCGATCTACGAGTACTATCTAGAGTACTATCTATGGGTCTAATCTATGAGTCGTGGCTATATACACATCTCAGGCATAGTTACATGTCTTCAAGATCATTAGGGGACGAGTTCATAAAACGATTGTTACAAGTACAAAGATAAAAAGACAAATGAACAAACTCTAGCTATGAAAAACGATGGTGAAAGGGTATATGTCAGGCAATTTAAACCAACAACACTGCAGAATAGCCAATATCAAAACAAACACAGCCGAGCGAATACTCATAAATCACTCCAAACCCCATGCACAGAAATGCACCACAGAGAGAGAAACAACTGCTGGACTCTCACCATCGATCGTCCCCGAAGCAGTAACCGTCTGGCCGGATCTCCCTAAACCTCGATGGATAGCACGCCCTGTAGCAGGGCTCCCTGTACCTCCTGCTACCATGAGAAGGCGTCTCGTAGCGGCGCTCCCTGCGTGAGATACGGAGCCGTTCCCATTCCATCGTATAGTGGGAGTATGTGGAATAGGCCGGGCCTCCCTCGCTGTATGGACGGTCATCGTCGAAGTCGTCCAGATCTAGTTGGCAGGGGGGTTTAGGCATGAGATATGATGGTTGTCGATGGAGTCGAGTCGGTCTCTTGTGTATCCCCCTGTGCGGCTCTATGATCGTAAAGCGAGGCAGGCACTTGCAGATGAAGATACACCGGCACATCTTGACTAGCTCTTCCTGGCTTCGTTCCTCGGGCTTGCTTGGCTGGATATGTCTGGGCTGTGGTATTGAAGTTGAATGTCTGTTTGTAGTTGGTCTAAGGCCGGTTAGAAAGCGTTTGATGACGGCCAGGTAGAGGTATTCACCTTGGTATAGTGTTATATATGTATGGTCTCAGGTATCTTGGGACGGGGAGACGATTAGCAGTATTCAACGGGTATCTGAACAGTTATATAGTCAGTCTATATCTGGTCGTGACCTGGTAGAATAAGCAGTTGATGTCTGATGAATATAGTAGAAAAACCACGGATCATGAGGAGCTATTTATATCAGAAGATACAAGGTCACTTCCTACACCCATCTTGACATATTTTACTGCTCTCCTATACAGAGCCTCCTCCGCATCAGACACGACTCCCCGTTCTGCCTATCCTTCACCAGCTGTTCCTAGGCAGCATAAGGCCATATGGCGGCCGGCAAGAATAATAAGCATATTGTAAGCCTCATCGAGAGCCCAAAGATTGTGGCGTATCTCTGCAGGGTCGAGTCTGCATGAAATAAATGTTCGATGTCGATGTTGTGATGACATCACGAGCGAGGCCGGGATGATGCTTTTTCCTCCTCGAGCGCCGCCAGCCACACGATCTCGGGACCCTGCAGCATGGCAGTGCAAGGGACGAAAGCCGCTGCACTTCTATCGCGGTATCACTGCATGAACAGGTCGCTTGACGGCCGCTAGGCTCCAACCACACCCGCCGTGCGTCGAGCATCGCTGCCGTTCAGGGGGGATACGCATAAATGGTAGGAGGTGAGGCTCGAAATACCCGACCCTGCATCGATCTGGACGTTCGAGTCTCTTCTAGACGGTGCTGTTTGCATGAAGTTATTACGATACCCGGACGCTGCCTGGAGTCTGCCTTCAAGTTTGTCTGATATCACTCTTGATATATCTACGTCATGTGGTGGTGCTTCTCTGGAATAACATAAAGATTCAACGTAACGACGTTCACGGGTACAAGTTACAAGTACAAATAAATAGAACGATGATGTAAAAAGAACCAAGATATGAAAACAGGCGCACGCTCCCGAGTAATTTTCCGACTCCCAGCCCTCTCCTCTGTTGTACAGCTGACTGTTTTACGCGATCTCATCAGTGTCGTGATGATGCTCCCCCAGATCCCCCTCGGTGGCGTGGAAGGCGTCTCCAAAGGCAGAGTCGTCCAGGTCGCCCATATCGAGGCCCTCGACGTCTCCATGGTAGTCTGCCAGTGCTTCTCCGGCGGTGTTGATGTTGTCATCCTCGAATTCTCCAGATACTCCCGGTGTGGCTCCCGATGCCGCATCCGGTGCGAGTATGGGAGCTGGTGCAGCCTGGAGAGTCGTGCTGGGTGCTCCACTGGCCGTTTGCTGTGGGTTGATGCCCGGACTGACGCCCTTGGATGGCGATGGCTGGCCGTCCTTATTTACCATCACCCAGTCAGCATCCCCTTCGACCGGTGCTGGCTGCGCGGTTGCGGCATGTGACTGAATAGAGTCAACACCACCCATCACGACGTCCTCGCCGGTCTGTGGCGCCGCTGAGACGGGTTGTGGAGGTGCAACCGATGACGGCACTGGCTGTGCGGCTGCTGATGTAGGTACCCCCTGTGCAGATACCGTGACTCCAGGGACTCCGGCAGTGGAGCTTACTGTTCCGTTATACTGGGTATACGGTGCTGTGCTGATCATGTTGACCTCTGCTAAGGGTTGAGGTGGAAGCTGCTTCACCCGCTCCTGTAGGCCTCCCTTTTCTAGACATTTGATATCGGCGACTGGCACAACGATCCTCCCCCAGCTAGCTTGTAGTCCCTTGACGATGTCGTCTACCTTCTTCTTCGGCGGTTTCTCACTGTAATCAACGGGAGACATACCCTCCTCCACCTCCTGGTGTAGACGTCCCTCGACTCTCCAGATTTCGTCACCTACGTCAGATGGGTCAACAGCCGCATCCCGCAGGTTCAACTCCGCTTCCCTCAAGGCTGATAGCTTCTTTGTTTTCTCTAGCTTCCGGGCGTGTTTTTTCCTCATACTCTCCATCTCAGCGTTCATGTCGGCGAGCTTCTTCGCGACTGAGCTAGCAAAATCTTCCGCCTTCTGGGGGTCCATCTTGCCCGTAGCTGGTGGAGGGCCTTCACCTCCCTCTCTGGGCTCCTTTCGCTGGGATGCCAGCGCGCCTGGAGCGTAGAAGAAGCCCTTTGTTAGACTTTCCAGCTCCCCCTTGCGACCAAGCCCGAGATCTACTGGAAGTATCTGGTCCATCCGATAAGGCGACGCAAATATCTCTTCCATCCATTCGTGGTGGTTCCTATAACGCATGCGGCTGATGTCTCTAGGTGTCAGCGCGTCGAGAATATCGCCTGTCGACACTTCCTCCTCGTCTAGTGAAAAGTCAGGAACGGCAGGTATTCCGGGAGCTGGGCCTCGATGAGTGCGAGGGATCTTCGCCTGAGTACCGGGATAGCCGACAACTTGCTGTTGTCCGGGTACGTGTTGGGGCTGTTGGCGCGCGAGCATTTGAGCAGCATATGCTTGCGAGTAGGCCTGCTGCTGTCCATGCGGGGGTAGATTAATGGTGGGCCAGTTATTCCTGTCATGGAGCATGAACTCTTTCCGAGCGAGCTGTCCTTGGCTCTGGATATAGCGACGTTGGCCGAGAATGTTCTGTGTCTGTGGAGAGACGGGGATGCGAGACGCTGGAAGCTGGTCGATGGAGGGCGCCTTGCCGTAGAAAACGATCCATAGCGACGGGTCGCACTGTGGGAGGTTTGGATTGGGTGTCTTCAGGCCGGTGAGTCGGAATCTGCGACGCGAATGTGTCGCCATGTTCTCGTTAGGCGGGTGGTATCCGGTCCTGTGCATGTAGATTTCCAGAATCTGCGCAAACCAGTCAGCAATGCCCACAGCTCTCTATATAGCCAGAAATAGACCCTACGTAGCCCCGAACTTCGACCGTATAGGCCTGCTCGACATCAGCCCAGACATAACCGTCACTCGCGAAATTGGTACCCAGGTGGTTCAGCGGCTGCCAGGTGAGCATCACTGTGTTGTCCGGCGGGCCATCGAGGTACATCCAATGCATAGGCTGGAGCTCTCTCACGACCTTGGGCGCCGACAGGAGGTATTCCACTGCCGTCTCGTGTGTAAATGCGGCCGTTGCGGGATACCGGTAGGAGGAAACGAGGTGCATGTGTGGAAGCTATATCATCGACTATTAGCAGGTCGCGCAAAATGAAGCTGCGCGGGCTCATCACGTACCAACTGCGGAGGGACGCCTCCAGCAGGATCCTGCATCCTCGCCGTCGGGTGCGGTCGGCTCATCTGGGCAAACTTGATCGGTGGTTTCGTCCTTGGATGTAAGCTGGCTGAAGGGCGCGTCGTGGTGCTTTCTTTTGTCTCTTTTGATAGCTTTTGAGGCCATCGCGAAGGTGAAGTTTCTAGGGTCACGTGGTCAAGGACGTTGATATAAGACAGATCAATATAACACAGATCAATAAGCCAGATGAATATAAAAGACAGATCAATATAAAGAGTAAGGACTGGTAGAGATTTCTGTCTCCGCGATGAAAATGTCTAGTCTACAAATTGCATTTCTCCCTGGGATTTCCATATCTGATACCCAATACAGACAGGAGACTCTACCCTAAGTAGGTAGAGTGGCATAAGAACTAGGAGCAGGTGAGATTCTTTGACTCTATGCTTATACTTCGACTGTTTACCTAAATATCGGCGTATATGTATACATTGGACTTACCTTGGACTTATAATTATCCAACAGCTGAGCCATAGTCCTATTTGTGAACGGTATCTCATTCAGTCATATCCATGTATTGAGGAGCAAGTCAATATCAGAGAACATATCTAAAGTTTGGACCATAATTCTCCTCGCCAGCGATTCGCTCGTTCTCCCCGAGGTTGCTCTGCAACTGACGCTCTTCCAGCGTTCCATATAGCTTGTCAAGCTGGCGGTTCTTCCTGATCAGCAAAACCATCGGTATATAATACCAAGGATGCACTGGCTAGATATAAGCGAGGCGCAGATGATGTTACCTCTCACGTATCGAGGCCCGTCAGAGAGCGGATATATTCTTGATCCTAGCACTGTTCCGCTCAGGCCGATAACGCCGACGACGACCATGGTGAGTCCGCGCCGACTATCAGAACCTTGGTTGTCTAGATGCCATGTGGTTAATCAGCGAGAACAACATATCTTGTCCTTATGGGAGATACGCACTCATGATCCATGGCGAGAAGCTCGATGAGCCTGAAAATAGGCCAGCTGCAGCTAAGAATATTCCAAAGTAACGAAGCCAGATCGACTCGCAGGCAGCCATGAGTGACGAAAATGCAACAGCAATCCCTCTCTGCTGGTACTTGTCCGAATACCACGATACTGTTATAGTGACGATGGCGGCAAATAAATAAGGCGGTGCGGTAAGTCCCTGCGACTTGGCTGCTGCGAACCCCATACTCTTGATGATTGTTGGGAGAAATATGGGAAGAGAGCCCCAGCAGCAAGCTGAAGTAAACGACATGACCTTAAATCTTCTAGTTAGTGATAGTAAGACAAAAACATGCATATCATCACATTATGGGGGATCACCTTACGGTTGGGATCCAAACGTTCATATCCCCAAGGGTGGCCCAACATTCCCCCCAAGCAATGCTCCCTATGCGCTCTGAATGCCCTACCTGACCTTTAAGCCTGGCTACCGCCACCTCCTTCTCCTCAGGAGTAAAGAACTTAGCCTTTTCAGGTCCCGGCGGGAGAAGATACAAGGCCACCGGGGCCATTAAGATACTTGGAATACCCTCAACCAAGAACAAGACCCTCCAATTTGCAATGCTGAATTTCCCTGCTGTGATAGCATATGCCAAAGCACCGGCGAATGAGCTCGAAATGGGTGCACTGGAGAGATAAAGGGCACAGCGAAGACCGAGCTCGTTTCGGCGGTAATAAAATGTGAAAACATATTAATCCCGGTTGAAAAAATAGATTCTGCTATTCCAAGGAAGAAACGAAGGGCCATTGCGCCTTCCCAGTTTTGAACAGCGGCCTGAAGAGTTGATGATAGACCCCTATATAAGTATGTTAGCACGCTCTCTGCCCGTCCCCAATGGAGCCTTACCTACCACCCTAGAACCGTGGCGGCAGCCGTGTAATCGTGTCGCCAACTTTTCCACATTACCACCTGGAGATGAAATATAACGAACGGAATGAAGAAGATGGTCGAAGGCCAGTCAAAGCGATCGCCGAACAAGTTAAGGTCCACGTCCATTCCAGCGATTCGCGCATTTCCAAGATTCCCGCGGTCTATATAAGCGAGGATGGCTATTTCAGACGAATTAGATACATAAATCTACCCTCGATTTTTCTGGGAACAACTTACAGAGGAAACATACTAGACTTAGTAGTCGGGTATCTATTTTGCGCACAACACGGCGCTCCAACTCGGGATCGATATACATCACTTCTGGTGATGGATGAGCGTTTTCATGAGAGCCGCCGCGTTCGGCGTCAACAGCGGCCACTTCGACCTGAGCTGTTTCTGCCTGTTTTTCCATTGTAAAGGTATATCTTTATTTTTCAAAGGTAACAGTGTTGTCCAAGACCTTTATGTGTAAAAACTGGAAAGTAGCCTGTACAATGGGGTATGATATCCATGGAATGTTCTCAGCCCTTGGACTATATATCAGCTTTCATGGCCTCTTCCTCATCCCACCAGTTCCGCCTATTATTCTTGGGGGCAGCGAGCCAGAGACATGGGAGGCCGGTAACATGTTGTGACGCCTGTTGAAGTCCACCATACCAGCATAAACAATTCACGTAGTCATTCAGCATGTCAAACATCCTCGAGTCACGGTGAGTAGCACGGGATGCACGACGGGCAGCAGGAAATGCCGAGTAACATGGTCAACTGGGCATAGGGAAGATGATACGGTCAATGCGGACCTGGACCTGAATCTTCCAGAGAGACCTGTAGCAGTAAGGAAGCATGAAAAAGCGAAGACATATCTCTGAACTGTTGGGTGACGCCAACATTTAACCAGTGGGTATAAAGTGTGACAGCACTGAGAACCAGCAGGTCGACTGGATCACCGTTCCGCATATAAGAGTGCATAAATCCTGCGCCAGTATACGGGGATACACAGCTGCTAGTCGAGGCCAAGTGTGACTACTTCTCATTCAATGCATCGGCGAGATATAACATCTTGGAACCGTGATGGCCGTACGAGGGTGCATGCGATATCTTTGTACGGGAGTCGCCGACGGACCTGGTTCAAGCAACGTTGGACAGCACGAGTAGATGATACGCGACCTTTGATAGAAGAGCAGGCGATTGAATGTTGTAGAGTAAGCCATGTTGAAGAAATACATCGCAAATGTAGTTCATGGGAAGTGTTTGTATTGAAGCGGAAAAGAGTATCTCCGCATAGAAGATTTAGATGAAACTTCAATACTTCAGCCGCTCTTCAATTAGAACGTCAGCTAGGCTTAAAGATCTGAGTATCGAGACGAGGGTCAAGCAGGGATTATTACCTGCTCCTATTACTAGCTGAACAGTTTATACGCATATATATAACCGCATAAAGAAGGGAGCTAGAACAGGCGCAGATACGCTACTCCAAGTCGTAATTCTCACATTGGCTGACCAGTGGACATATCAACCATGTCGTCCTCGGCGCTGAAAACCATAGACACTCGGGATGTGCAATATCTGCATGCTGTCGTTGACATGGGCAGGTATGGTTGCGATATCCGCCCCTTGCTGAGAACCACAGAGGCTGACAGCATAACAAAGCAACGGGATTCGCTTCTCGATCTCTGATTTATGCCCAGCTACGCAGAGAATTATGCCAACGGTTTTCCAAGACCGAGCCGGAATTTCTCTTTATGACGCGCAGTTCGGGTCAGAGGGTAGCACCAGGAGACCAATTCCTGATGAAGTCCGGGATCAGATTGTTTCACGGCTTTTGCGATTCAAAGTGACGTGCGAGGACTTCGGGGTGCCAGCTGGAAATATCCAGATACTCGCCACCGAAGCCACAAGAACTGCGCCAAACTCGGCTGAGTTCAGAGCAGCGATCTACGAAGCCACAGGATGGGAGATAACCATGCTCCCGAAAGAAGAGGAAGGCCGAATCGGGGGACTAGGAATTGCATCCAGCCTGTCCCGCGTAGAGGGCCTGGTGATGGATCTTGGGGGCGGGAGCGTACAACTCTCATGGATGATATTCACGCACGAGAGTGCAGAAGTAGAATCATATCCGGGCGGATCTATCAGTTTTCCGTATGGGGCGGCTGCTTTGACAAGGAGACTGGATGAAGCACAAAAGAATGGCGCAGACGCCGTACGACAGCTCAAGGACGAGATGCTACACTGCTTTCGAGGCGCTGTCGCTGACCTTCAGCTTCCGCCCAGTTTACAGGCAAAACTGGAGGGAGATGGTGGGCTTGATCTCTATCTTAGCGGAGGAGGATTTAGGGGTTGGGGATACTTACTCCTCAGCCAATCACTCATCAACCCGTATCCGATTCCAATTCTGAACGGATTCAGCGCCGACAGATCGCAGTTTCTTGATACATCCGCCGTCATCAATACCCTGAGCTCAGAGTCTACGATATATGGCGTCTCGGCTCGTAGAGCGACGCAGGTGCCGGCTGTGGCATTTCTCGTCAACGTCCTGGCAGAGACCATTCCATCGATAAAGAAGATACATTTTTGCCAGGGAGGAGTCCGCGAAGGCATACTATTTGATAAGCTACCACCTCAGGTACGACGGAATCACCCTCTAGTCGAGGCGACGTCCCCATTTAAAACCAGATCTGCTTCGGAGATAGCTCTTCTGCTGCGGCAAGCGATCCCAGACACCAATGCTGCAGGAAACCCCTATGCACCGCCACCGACAATCACGACGACTGGGTTTATTGAAGCCCTCGCAAATTCCATGTATATCCATTCCTCGGTCCCGAGAGAGTCGTACGCAGCCGCGGCTCTACACTCGACGACTACAGGAATCATTGCATATGCACACGGCCTCTCACATGCAGATCGGGCCATGTTATGTCTTGCCCTATTTGACCGGTGGACAGGCGATGTATCTCCTTCTGATGAAAGATTTCTGCAGAGACTCCGAGAAATACTCACCATGCAAGAGGCATGGTGGTGCCAATATATTGGTCGCGTCGCAGGCCTCGTGGGCAGCATTTACCCAGCAGGATTCATTGGAAGCCACACCCGAATTTCCTTCATGGCCAGGTTATCCCATCGTCAAACTAAGAAGGGCATCACCAAGCATTTACTGAGTTTAGTGGCCAATATTCCAGATTCAAAGAACCCGTCCTTTGACAGTGACTCCGTGGCGGCGGGATTAAAGAAGATTAAGAGGACGGGGAAGAAAGGCGAGTATATACGTAGCAGCGAACGAATTGGATTGCCGCAGCCGGGGGAAGAAGACTGGCGACTGAAAGTCGAGACAGACATCTACTGTGTTTGATTCTCCTACATGTCGAGACCCGGATTTGGGGCAAGCGGGTTGCATATATTGTTGAGCTTCATGTTAATGATTTATAGTTACGGCCGCGCTTTAGGTTATATGAATTTTAATTAATATCATGAAATGTCCTACCATTGAACGCTGCTCCGAACTGGGGCAATGTCGTCTCCCTGTTTCACCCCTGTTTGCATTTGAGAAAAGCGGTTTCTATAACAGCATCTCCATTCGGAATTTGAAAGCAAACAAATATACCCAAATTATCTCCAGTGCAAATAACTCGACGTCACAAGAAAGGACTAACCAGGCTTCTCTTATCTAGTACAGCTCACGAGCCCGCCATCCCGCTATTTATGGGCGACTTCGAGCACCTAGATTTCCATGAACACTGGCCCTCAGATTCGGAGGCGAACCAGGAGGAGGGCCAAGCGAATCATCAGATTCCTCAGATGAGCTATCATAATCATCGTCAAGATCGAGAAGAGGTAGCGGAGTCTGTCGAGCAGAAGCAGCAGCCGTATCAGAACCTTCCCAGGCTTGTTCATAGGATGGCAGTCCTGGTCCATGAGCCGGGCCTGAAGAAGAGCTGCTCGCAGCGACTGCTGACTGATGTCCGCTTGATTCGAGTTTGCGCCATTTATCCATGCATTTCTCACAGATTCCTCTTACATCATTGATGAGGATAGCTGGTGCATCACCTTGGGAAGCGTCGTGCTCGATAGTGGTGACTACCGGGTCGCCCTCATGGCCACATTCCCACCTATCCTTGGACATATAAAATTCCTTCTTTCTCCCCGGTACAGGGTTGGCGATTTCTGGGTTCTGCGCGAGAATGGTATCATAGTCCTCCCACTCTGCTGGCTGAGGAGTGACAGGCCTCAGGTCCGGGTTGGCCGCGATGGCCGCTTCTAACTCCGCAATGGCCGCTGCTCCGTCATCTCCAGTAGGAGCTGGAGTTTTTTCCACACGGGGACCAGGTGTATCTATACCGGACTCGGAGTCGTCAGAGGAAACGCTGTGGGCTCGAGGCATCATTATGGCGATGACGATGTTATCAGTGGTCTAATGCTGTATGGAAAAACTGCAAAAAATTTATCATGGATGTTTTTGGGGGAGATCTGAGGGAGAAACGCTATGCAGAAGAGTCCATGGGAAATATATAGAAAGGGCAAAGCCTAGTCGTTCACCTCCTGCTCCATAGGAATGGTAGCTGTGAATATCAATAAATGTCTTCATAGAATGACACCGTTTCATATAGTCACCCAGCCGTACCTTCAAGCGAGGAGAATGAATTTATGACTTCATAAGAGGGGGGCCGAAGTTTCGTCAGTACAATAACCTCTGATAAATGATATTTCATACCCCTTTGACATACTTTTAAGTTTGCCTTTAGACGTATCTTGGGGGAGAGGAACAAGACACAGAACCCTTTGAAAATCTTTAATGGAGAACTCCGGATATAGAATTGAATTCTTAGATACCCTTTCGGTTAACAGTGTATCACCACCTCGGGGCAAAGTAGATCAGACTCTGTGACAACTTGTACCCTGGGTCAGATCTCCAACCCATTGTCACGTCGGGACGCTAAATGTAACCCTCGAAGGAAATCGAACTGCCTTGTGAAGCTAGTATTCGCTAGGTGGCTGGCTGAAAGATATGTCATCGCTATCCCATCACTAAGTCGCCATCGCTATCCATATCGGTGCCAGCCGGCCTCAAATTTGCGCGTTGTTCCCCTTCTACACTATTCGGGGCGCCAGCATTTTCTACCCCGGCGTCAGACTTCTCGTCAGTGCCCTTCTCTTCGGCAGGTTTGTCCTCCTCTAGATGCTCGATCATTTCAAAATCCCTCGGGCCTTCATCCGTTTGATTTGTGTCTCCCTCCTTCATTTCTTCCTGGCTATCGTCCTCCAGTTCTTCCCATATCCTGACCGTTTGGTCCAAACCACAACTTGCCATCAGCCTCTTCCGGTCCATAGTAGGGGGAGTGAAAGCGTCAACTCCCAGGACAACATCGGAATGGCCTTCCAACGTCTGTAATATCTTCTTGTTGATGACATCCCAGCATAAAATTGTGCCATCCTCACTTCCACTAGCGGCATAAGCGTACTCTTTGGCACTATTTGAGTGTTGGCCTGCTAGGCCAGGCCTATCTTGAAAACTGCCGGATGATCGTCGGTGTCCATAGGACCCGAACGCGCCTGTTATGCTGTACTTCTCATTTGTATGACCTTGGTAGGTCTTTATACAACGGCCTTCAACATAATTCCACAATCGAACGCAACCATCCAAAGACCAGGCAAGAATGAACTTGCCATTAGGAGAGAACCTGACGGACGAAACTGGTGGGTTATCTTCATGGACCAAGGTCCGTAGACATTGACCGGTTGCTGAATCCCATATTCGAATAAGACCATCACCCGCACATGACACTATTAATGTGCCGTCCCTAACGAAGTCGACGCCTGCTACTGGGTCTGAGTGTGCGGGGAGCGAACGCATAATTCTAGCAGAGCGCACGTCCCATAAAAAGACTGCTTCATCGTACGAACCGCTAACGAGCATGTTTCCCTTCGGGGAGAAGGCGATGGAATAAATATAATTATGGTGGCCGACAAAAGGGTTAGGATATGGCTTTCCCTGTTTGCGCAGCTCATAGATTAGCGGGATGGTTAAGAAAACTAGAGATAGAGCCAAACAAACCGTGACAACGTCCCATAGTCGTATCGACTTATCGTCGGACCCTGAAGCAATAGTCCCGCCGTCTGGACTCCAAGATATTGTAGAAATACCTGCAAGGTGCCCCTCAAAGGTGTGGATTAGACTTCCTGTTGCTGTATTCCATATCTTTATGGTAGCATCAGCAGCTAATTAAGAAGTTAGTAACCTACGTATTATAAGTAGACTGCCAGATTTGACTTACAGCAACTCGCTACCATAGACCCATCAGGGGAAAACTTCACAGCAGAAACACCCTTTTGGTGCCCCTTTAAAACGAACTTCTCCTTATAATGCAGACGTTCTGGTTGAGGTGACGGAGGAGGGGTTGGACTGGGCCGGGGAGTGGCCTTGGGCGTCCCCTTCCGCCTCCGTGACTTATGTCCTTCGCTGTCTGATCCACTATCTATAAATTCCCGGCTATCTTCTGATCCAGAATTGGCCTCTTCCAATTGTCTCTCCTTAGACCGTGATGTCGACCTGCTCCTGGTGCGGCGGGAGTGGTTGGACTGGGAACGAGAACGAGATCGAGATCGTGACCGAGACCGTCGCCAGGATGGCCGTCTGTTCCTTACCAATTCATCTTCGCTGCCTGACGCGGACCGTGATCGAGACGACCGCTTACTGGCCTCGGGAGAATGGTAGCTTTGTGATCGCTGGCGTGAATCTCTGGTCCAACTGCCCCTTCGCCGTTCAGTATCTGGGGCTCCTCCAAGCTCGTCCGAGGAACCGTCTGTAGATCGAGGCGTGCCGTCGTCTAGCCTGCGCTTTTTTGTCGGCGGGATCTCTTCATCCATGGCCACCACACGTCTTTTCCGTCAACCTGCCGCTGTGCTTCAATGTCCAGTCCTTTCGGTCTTTCTATCGGTCTTGTTTTCGTCTTTGCGCTTTCTTGATAACGGCAGAATCATGCTTCACCCAAAAGCGGCCAATCAGATCACGTTATCTCAAGGCGGTCCGTCTCAGTTCAGTGTGGTCACATGATGTTTTGCTCCAGGGGCATCTCACGTGATCAGTGGCTCTTTAAGCCATTATATGGCCGAAAAGGGAAACAAAGCGGACTTCACAGAATTTCATACATACTGCGGACATCTTGCGGGCGCATCTAAGAATTGCGGGTGTAGTCGAGCGCGAACGACGTCTCCCATACGAATTCCTAATCGTGAGGCTCTGTCTTCTAGCCCTCCTAAGCCGCAGCCCCGTTTACCTGTGCTACGAACGACCCAGTGTGGTGGAGACCTCATCGGTGTTTCGCGCACAGTGAGCCATCATGTCCACCCAGCAGCATAGCGATGAGTCGCCCCATAAGATCAACATCACCAGCTTCAACTGCTGGGGCCTGAAGTTCATCTCTAAATACCGACGCGAACGGCTACTGGAGATCGGGAGACGACTCGCCAATGCCGATTTCCCCCCTGAAATCGTGGGACTGCAGGAATGCTGGACACAGGAGGACTACAATGCCATCCGTAACGAGACGAGGCATATCCTTCCATATGGCAAATTCTACCACAGCGGAATATTCGGCGGAGGACTCGCGATCCTGTCCAAATGGCCGATCGAGGAGAGCAGTATGTTCCAATACCCGCTAAACGGTCGGCCCACGGCGTTCTTTCGAGGAGACTGGTTCGTCGGGAAGGGTGTTGCATACGCGAGGATAAGAATTGGCCCTGGGTCAAAGGATGTCGCTGCCGTCTTTTGCACGCATCTACATGCACCGTATGAGCGGGAGCCGCACGACTCGTACATCTGCCATCGCACCGCTCAGGCGTGGGAGATTGCGAAGCTGATGCGTGGTGCCGCGGAGAGGGGCCATTTGGTCATTGGTCTAGGAGATTTTAACATGCTACCCATGTCCTTTGCGCATCGCTTGATCACTGCTCACGCACCAGTGAGAGATGTATGGCGGTATCTTCGCCCGGAGTCATCCGTCGGCGCAGCGATAGACGAGGTCGAGATCGCCCGCAACAGGCCAATTCCAAGTGCAGATTTCAACATACTCGAGAACGGTGCCACCTGTGACGGCTCCTTTAACACCTGGCGGTGGAATAAGGCAGACCAGAAACGAATAATTCGAGAAGGTCATATCAGCGTCGACGGGAGTCTACCCGACCCCTTCGCAAAGAGACTGGATTACATATTCATCGGAGACGGTTCATATCTTAATCGCGACGGCGAGGGCCCTTACTCGACTTCATCATGGAAATGGAATATCCATTCCGCCCGAGTTGGGATGATGGAGCGACATCCAACACTCCACTGCTCGTTGAGTGATCATTTCTCAGTCGAGGCAACCGTTGTTCGAGCCCACCCGCCTGTGCACCGTACTGAGCGCAAGCTGTCGAGCGGAACGGAAGATGACGAGAATGCCCCATTCCTACCGATCCAAAGCCATGCTGGTCGAAATACAAGCATCAACGACTACGCCATCCTAAGGCAGACCTCGACCTTACCGCCCGAGGCTACCAGGCAGCCCATACCGGCCCTGTCTGCAGATGTATACGACGATATCTTAAGTATGATATCCGTCTACATGAGCCGTGAACGGTTCCAACGACGAGCGAGAGTGGGCCATTTCCTCGCTTCCATAGCGCTGTCTATTGGATGCTTCATTGGGATCTGGTGGGCGCCCTACCCATATGTGTCCTTTATACTCTGTCTTGTCAGCACGCTTAGCTTGTCCGCTGGCGTTATTGACGGCCTAATTGGTGGGCTATTCGTCAGCAGCGAAATGCGCGCACTAAAGGAGTTTGAATGGGAAATAAAGAACACTAGAAGGACAGTGTTGGGCCTGGGTCTTGATATCGAGCAGGATCTAAGATCGCCGACCAAAAATGCTCACTGATAGCGTTCGAAGGCGTTTCCAGTATACTTGAATGCGCCGCTTTTGTCTTATGTGTGTTAATGGCAATGCTAGTAACTCTTAATGATATGACCGGAAACGGTTTACTAATGATATGATATCAGGGCAGCGAATATTTAGATAATATTGCTAATGAGCGTATATAGCTGTTTCAAATAAACTTGGAATGACTTTAATGAGCTAGCCACACCACCTATTTTTGTCGATCAACGCGATACACTTCCTCTTCTCCAACCATCATTCAAATTCATAGTATCATCGTCACAACTCATAATTACACGATTGAGGCGCTTATGCGGCACACTCCTTCTTTCTCTCCTCGAAGACTTCGAGGGCGACCTCGGCGGCCTTGAAGCCGCTGAGCATCATGGCAGAGAAGATTGGTCCCATACGGTGCCACCCATCAATCTCAGAGAGCTCCATTCCACCAATGATCAAACCCTTGGTGACTTCACGGGTGTTCTTGACAATGGCATCCTCGGCAGAGTTCATATCCAGACCCTTCATGCCTCCGAGCTTCTCGATAGCAGACATGGAGACGAGACGCTTGGCACAGAAAGCTCCGAAGGGACCGTCGTGGCCAGTGGTGCTGATGATTAGGGGAGCGTTGATGGTGTTAGGGTCCATGCAGGAGTGGTCGTCGTGGTGCTGGGTGACGAGGGTCCAGTTGGTGACGACACCAGCAATTTGGAAGCCAGATGGCTCAGAGGCGAGAGGACGGGTGATCAAGTCTTCAACGCAGGTAGCGTTGAAGAGCTTGATGTTGGGGAAGGAGAGGACCTTGGAGAGAAGGGTAGAGGTGAAGAGAGCGGCGTGCTTGATAACGACGAGGTTTGGGTTGGAGGCTTCTTCCTCGTATGGGACACCCAGGTCCTCCAAGAAGCGGTGGGCTGGCTTCCTTAAGACCATGGCGGAGAACAATTGACCACCGAGCCAGGCACCACCACCTGTAAATATTGTCAGTGGTGATATCAAACTGACACGCACATTATAGGGGGGCCATACCAGGGGAGACGGAGGCTTCGATGAGAGCAATCTTCAGGTCAGGACGGGCCTTTCCAAGGACATAGGCGGTGCTCAGACCGCAAGAGCCAGCACCAACAATGACGATGTCACTCTCGGCATAGGTGTCCATGTCCTTGAAGTAGCGGCTAGTCATAGCACGAGAGACGTGGCTCTCACGGATAGGGGCAAACTTGAAGTCTTCCCATTTGCCGGCGAATTCGTCAAGCAGGGCGTAGCCAGAGCCGGTGCTAGGCTGGGCCAGGGTGTTACCCTCGCCAGCAAAGTTGTCTCTCACAGCATTGCCGGCAGAGGCCACAACCTCGGTGATGGTAGCAGTTGGTGGAGCCATTTTTTTGATATTAGGACGGAAGACTAAACGAGGTTAGATTTCAACAGCATATTTCCCTCTTATTCAGAGGGAGGGGGAAGGGGAAGCATGATCCTTTCGCTGGTATTATCCAGATCAAGTTCGGACCGTATAATTTCAGAAAGATGTCCGCGAGCAGTCATTCCACCAGTGAAATCATCTCTCCCGCCCTTCTCCTCTATAGAAGATACGGCGAGAGGTGGATGACCCCAGCAGGCTGATGGAAGAAGTCACAAAGAACAACGAACACCGGTTCATGCACACGACTGTTTCTCGAGATACCTTGACCATTTATTGGATATTCTTCCCAGCGTCTGGGGATTCATGACCTCCATCTTGAGAGAGATGTACCGGTGGTTTATTGCACTTGAACGGGTCAGTAAGTCCACAAAAACAGGATGTAAAAGGGAGGACAGTCAATGCTCAGTCACCTGCAAGTCTCGTTATCAAGATGCTACGGAGAGATAAAATGCAATTGATATTTTGAATGCAGACTCTGTATTCCGATGGATGGATGAAGAGAAAACAGGAAGAAAAAGAGCTGCGGGGTTACGCCCTGCTTTATATATCCTTGCATGGTGGGGGTTTAGTCATCCAAAAGCTTTCAGCGAGTTGATATTTCTCTTTTCTCTTAATATGATGAAACCAACAGGGACAAGGAGCACTGGTTGGCCGGCATCGTTAGCTAGCATTGTTAGTTCAAAGTTAGGCAGATCCTGATGGCTGTCCGTGGCAGCTGGTGAAGTTTGTATGGCCGCTTTGTGCGATACTTATCTCGCTTCACCAATTCCCCTAATAAGAGATGTTCAATGCTGGCCTGGGATATTCAACGCCAATTGATTGCTTCACTAGTTACAAGCATGCCTAGTCTAATAACAATGAGTATTCTATCCCTTACGCAGCATCAGCTCCTATTAACCCAAGTAAGTATAATGCATAGACGGTAGGAATGAGACAGCACTAACCATCGATTATAATTTCAGAATTTTGCTTATGGCCTTTGGCTTTCATGCCTGCTACCTTGTTCTTTGCAACCTCTGATTCAATCTGCTCCTCTGTGACCAGGCCAGCAAGTTTAGCTTGCTCCTCCACACTCAATGGCGCGATGACATTCTCTTCGGTGAAGTAGTTGGTTTCTTTGACATAAACTATCAGGACGTAAACCATGCCGATGATCCCGATGACATAGAGGCTATTTACTTGAGGTCAGCTTTCAGGTAGGACGGTCGAGGAAGAATGGCCACTTACGAAAACTGCAAAGACAGCTGGCCCACGAAGGGCACATTTTCCGCAGCCATGACGAAGGAGATACATATACCCAAGCTTAAGGTCCCCTTGAAGACTCCTCCGAACTGTGCTAGCCTAGACGGGTCATTGGTTAAAGCGCTGAGAACCCATTCTATTGTCATCTGGTATGCGGAATAGATAGCACCAAAGAGGACAAATAAGGCAAACATGCCGCCAAATTCAGGGTCAGTCCAGTCTTTAGCCTGAGGTTTCTTGAGTGAGCCGATATTGGTGATATCCAGCCACGCGTATAGGCCGGCGCTCGCACCAACGGACACTGCTCCAATGAACGCAACTCCCACGAACCCCCTGATTTTACGGCTTTGGATCTTGCGATTGTCAAGGACGAAGACCATCAGCCAAGGCATGATGACCTGGATAGAATGGAATGCCAGGTTGTTCAAGGAACGAGTCCTGAGGTTGAAATAGAACGCTAAAGACAGGTTAACCCTCTATACTATCGAAGGCCGGAAAATGGACTCTCGACTAACCGTTGATACTGCTGACGAGAGCAAGTGACATCTCGCAACCAAGGATGGCAGGGAAGAGGATGAACATCCTAGGGTCGAAGAAAGTCCTAACCATTGATTTTAATTCGACAGAGAGTTTGGTGGGCTTGAAGATGGCAATGTGTGTCCCATCCTTACGGATGACTTTCTGTGGATCAATGATGAAGAAGAATGCAATGAAGATTGGAAGACAATGAATGGCTGTAAACGTGCCGTAGACAGCGCTTGATACACCGACAGCTTTCTGTTGATGATAGTTGGCAGCAAAGGCGATTATTGCCCCAACCGTAGCGCCAGTCGATCTGAGCATCCATTGAATACTGATGAACTATACATAATGGGTGTCAGTCAATATCAAGGACCACATAGAGGTCTGGCACTCACCTTTGCCTTATCCTTCTCCTGGGGATAGGCGAACTGGATGAAAGCCGCAGCAGTCCAGAGGGGGCCACACAAGGAGCCGAGTACTGCGCCTGAGAATAGCGGAAACCAGCTGTGGCCTGTTCGATCGTAATACCAAAGCCCTGCAACATACAACGGGTATCCGATTGAGCCGATCATGATGCTCAGTTTGGGCTTGAGAATGTTCAAAGCAGTGCCTCCAAACCAGCCACAGATGGTAAAGAGGCCATAGATAATCACATTCGTCAACGAGGCCACCTGCGCAGAGCTGGGCTTTCCTCCTCCTGCCCCGAGGCCGATGACGGCGACGTATATACCTGGAGCACAGAATAGAACACTTCATGGTGTCTTAGCGAGCGTTCCATCGACATCGACCAAACCACCAACGGAGAGAGCTTCGGCGCCATACCATCCCATGATGAAATTCTGGGTCTGAGGGCGGTTAAGCCGTAGCAGGTTCTCCATCTTCGTCAGTAAACCCATATCGGCGGCTTTAGTACTAGAGCAAGCTGGACGTATCGGTTCTGCTCATGCTGCGATTCTACTTCTGCCAGGCCTTTCTATATACGAATATATCTCCCAAAAGCTGGACGTTTCCCCGCGTCTTCGTGCTGGAGATAGCGCCGTCGAGGATCCTATTATCCTATAGCAGACGAGAACAAGGATCCAGCTGCGGAGTCTCACCCCACACGATATCGTGTTCTACCGGCGCCTTGGTTATCTTTCGTGGGAGCGAAGGCTGTGGAGAAGAAGCTATCAAGGCATTGCCGAAACCTAGGGAGCGAGGAGCAAGGCTTTGTCGGTAGAGATAGAGATGCCAGCTCGAGGCCTGCAGAACAGGGCCAGGTTGTTGGATAGCTAATGCCACCTTGTTTGCTATCCTGGCCTGATGGCAGTGATTATACCCTACGATGCCAGGTTGGATGCAGTGATGTTTTGTGGCTGGCCGGGATCAAGGCCGAGATACAGCCGGCGCCCTAGCATGAGCTTCCGGCTTTCTTGCGCGGTAGATTTGATACGGTTTATATCTATCGGTCCTGCGCCAGCTTGGAGACATCGCTGCTTGTTGTCGAGTTCAACTCATTGGAAGCTGCAAGGAGACATGCTGGATATTCAATTACGTACTGTATAACTATACGGTACTATCTCATTATGAAAAGAAACAAAACATATGTACAAGGGATATAGCACCGGGACCATCGTCACCTTCACCTTCATCTTCGCCTTCATCTTCGCATCAAAAGGAGTGCCAGCCTATGCCTTGAGGTGCTCCCCGTGTCCGACTCGCTCACATAGATCCTCCAGCATCCTGCCAGCCCACTCAAAGTCGCTGACTTCCAGGAACACTTGCGCACTCGCTCGCACCCACCATGCGCCCTGGAAGAAGAATACCGGCATCATGGTCTCGTACTCGATGGCCATCTTCCGCATCATCCAGTCGACGACGGTGAACTGGATCCCTGGCCGGGCTCTGACAATATGTTGACCCTCGGACTTATCTCCGCCCAGGGTGAGTGGGAGCAGGACGTTGGTCATACAGGCCGCCGACATACTCTGTGACTCGTTATCTAGGACGCGGGTTCCAAGTATGTTTGCAATCTTCTTCCCTCCTTCGCGAGCCAGGTTGACACAGTATGTCTGGATGGCCTTCTCGCCCCCGCAAACTTCCTCGCGCCACCTGATCGACTCCGGGATACAGAGGTATCCGAAGTTGTCCATGGGTGCAACGAATTCAAAGTTATGGACGAACGCGTTCTTCCCGTTGGCGAGATCCTGAGCCAGTTTCCCGTCGACCTTGCGTTGGTCGAGGTCCTTGGTAGGTATAAAGCCATGGCTTAGGGGGAGAGTGCTTCTGATCATCCACTGGTGGCGGGTTGGCACGTACAACGCCGCACATCCTCGGGGTACAAACAGCCATTTATGACAACAGCTGACGAAGAAGTCTGGATCTAAGGCGGCCAAGTCCACGTTCAGGTGCCCAACTGCGTGTGCACCGTCGATGAAGCTCAGCACGCCTTCTTCACGACAGAGGGCCGTCAGTCTCTCGAAGGGGAGACGGATGCCAGGAATAGACGAGATGGTGTCAAAGATACCCAGCCGTGGCCGGAATCCAGCATCACGAGAAGCTTGAATACCGGCCTTGAAGAGAGCAACTACTTCGTCGTCTTCAAGGGGATAGGTAAGCTGTACCTGGCGGGTGCGCACTTTGCCCGGGTTCAGCTCGCCAACATAGCCTGTCATCTTGCCCAGGGGAGCAAAGATGATGCTAACCTGTATGATCTCATCTTTGCCATCGGGGTTCCAGGCGAAGTTGCGCATTATGGTGTTTGATCCCGTGGAGCCATTTGCAACCAGGACGATTGTTTCAGGAGGGGCGTTGAGGAGTCTGGCCACTGCTTCTCGAGACTTATCCAGACCAGCTGGGTATTCGTATCTGATAAACGCGCAGGGCCGTCCTTCGCATCGTTTACGCAGTTCATGGGCCTTGTTCAGGATGACGGTGGGGACGCTGCCAAAGGAACCTATATCCGTCAGAACTACTGGTCCAAGCCCAAACATGGAGCTAGGAGGGAGAGGGGAGGAATTGCTGTATTCACCATTATTCAGCTCTGTATAGGTAGGGTCGATGGAGAAATGCTTCAACATCTCCTTTCCAAACGGTGTTCGCTCATAGCGACGAGCTGGAGTCTCGATACTACCCATGACCAAGGGGGTTTTCTTTCTTCTTTCTTTCTTTCTTTATGGATGAATAGAATGCTCGGTTAAAAAATTCTCAATTGGGCATCGACTATAGAAATAGACAGACCAGCCAAGTGTTTACGCTTCCTCTGCCATATTTTTAACACATCCGGGCCATCTGGCAATGACAAATCGGCCATCAGGGGCCCATGGGCTAGAGCGGAGAAGTTTTTGACAGTTACACACCCCACGGGGCAGATTCTTTGAAAGCAGGCTGGAAATAAAGCTTCCCAGCCTGCAATTCCGGTACGTAATACTACCAGGAAGTGAGCTGTGGCTTTGATTTCCCCGGTGTTCTAATATATATCCCCATGTCCAGGTAGGACACAGGGAGACCACAGGGATATATAGTTCACGTGACGTGCAGCTGTTCCTTATATTCCTTGCACTCCTTGCGACGGCGACGGCGACAGGTCTGCGGATATGGGAAATGCTTGATCGAGTAAGATTTGGCTTGGGTCTCCTCACATGCGGACAGGGAAGCGTCTGCACACACCGACCAGAAGGCTATTCGGATACCTCTTCCTGGAGACAGCCGGTAGCTCTGCTATGACCTCATCGTCGCCGCTGATATCGCCTCCAGACAAGGTATAAAGATATAGCTCTTGTAGTAGCTGTGTAAATGTAATGTCATTGATAAGGATATCTAAATACACGATGGCAGACTACAACCCGTACAACTTCGCCAACCGTCCCAAGGACGAGGTCGCTGAGATCGCAAGGAAGGGCGGACAGAGCAGCCACAACAGCGGGTTCGCCAGCATGGACCCTGACAAGCAGGTTTGCATGACCTTCCCCCTCGCGAGGAGAGGGTTAAGATGTGTATTCTCTCGCCCGAAGCATTCTAATATACCGTGCTAGCGCGAAATCTCGTCCAAGGGTGGGAACGCGTCCAACTGGTCTTTCCAGCCAGGAAGCGAGCGAGCCAGGGAGGCCGGGCGGAAGGGCGGATTGGTTGCAGGAGGCAGCAGCAGGATGTATGCCGACGACGAAGAGGAGGAGTTGAAGCCCGACGAGTAAAGTGTTATATGTGAGACGAAACCGAGGCGTTGACTGATGCTGGGATGCGCCGTGACGTGTCTGTTGAAACAAAAGTACCATAACCGCTTCATCTATCTATCCCTGCTATCATAATCCTATATCTTTCAGCGTTATGTGCTCGTCGTGTCCATGGCTATGCGTCGGGCACGGGCTTGTCCTTTGCGACTCGACGGCGGAATCCAGCATTGTAGAGGGCGTTGCGGACGGCGAACTGGCCGACTCCCAGCTTGAGGACGGTCGCGAGCTCATGGTAGGTGAGCTGGCGGTTCTCGGGCGACGCGCACACGTAGTCGATCAGGGTTTTCACCTGCTCCGGCGTGAGCTGCGACGGACGGCCGCTCCGCTTCTTGGGCGTCGGATCGCCAGACTCGCATGTCCACTGGACCTGGCGGTGCGTGATGCCCTTGCGCTCGGCGATTTCTTTGTACGTCAACCCTTGGCTGCGCAGCCTGAGGATTTCGATCCGGGATTCCTTCGACAGGTGCCTCGCCATGGCAGCGGCATGCAGCGTGTGAAGGGGCGGGGGACAGCTGATGGGATGCTTGAATAATGCTTATGGAGCAGCATGGGGAGAAGTTTTGGGATGGCTTTTGGCAGGCCAACTCTGTTACTAACTGGGCCTCGAACGTAAGTTTTGTCTGCGCCCGCGGCGACCACCTATATATCTGGCAGCAGGGTTTAACGTTACTTCAGTACATCAAATCCTGTCGAGCTCGAGATGGAAAATGTCCCGGCAGCGCGCTCCCTGTCCCTGTCTCGATGTAACACTCCAGCGCTCCGTCGCCGAATCACACTGACAACCCCGGGTTTGCTGGCCAATTGGCAGCCTACAGGCTGTCCCAGCACGTCAATCACAGCCGTAGTTGGCAGTGCTGCCCGGCGTCAAGATATCGTCATGGCCAACGGTCAGCTGTCTGCCATCACACGACGTTGACTGTTAGTAGGCCGGCCGGCCGTGCAACAGCATCCTGGACGGACACGTCGATAGTTAAGTAAGTTGAAGTCGAGGTGGAAGTTGAAAGTCTACTCGCGAGAGTGAAGCGAGCGTCATGGGGGATATCGAAGCCACAACCATCACCGAGAAGGACAACCATGTTGACGGCTACATGAACGATGCAAGTGAGGACCCTAAGCGCGCGGAGATCGAGCGCAGGAATGTCGGCACCCTGCACCGCCGTCTCAAGTCGAGACACATCCAGTTTCTCGCCCTGTCCGGCGCCATCGGGACAGGTCTCTTCGTGGGCAGCGGCCAGGTGCTCTCCCTCGCCGGCCCTCTCTCTGCCTTTCTGGCATATCTCATCACCGGCGCGAACCTCTATGCCGTCATCAACAGCCTGGGAGAGATGGCGACCTGGCTGCCGCTCCCGGGAGCTGTGCCGGTCTACGCAGCTCGCTATGTAGACCCTGCCCTGGGCTTCACCCTGGGCTGGAACTACTGGTATCAGCTCGCGATCGGGGTGCCCATCGAGATCAGTGCCAGCGTCCTCGTCATAGACTACTGGCCCAATCCGGTCCCCAGGTGGGCGTGGATCACCATCTTCCTCGTTGCCCTCGTCCTCCTGAACTGCATGCCGGTCAAGTTCTACGGGGAGACCGAGTTCGTCTTTGGCGCCATCAAGCTGAGCACCATCCTGGGACTGATCGTTCTCATGTTTGTCATCATGCTGGGAGGCTCGCCTACCCATGACCGCATCGGGTTTCGATACTGGAAGAGCCCCGGTCCGATGGCTGAGTATCTCAAGACCGGCGCCCTCGGACGGTTCCTCGCCTTCTGGAAGGTCTTCATCCAGGCCACGTTCAGCTACGGAGGCAGCGAGATGGTTGTCATTGCTGCTGGAGAAACAGAGAATCCACGCAGGAATATACCCAAGGCCATCCGCCGAGTCTTCTGGCGCATCCTGCTCTTCTACGTTCTGGCCATCTTCCTCGTGGGGATGTGCGTATCGTCAAAGGATAAGAGACTGCTCAACGCGCTGGAGACCGGTGCGCCAGGCGTTGCCGCGAGTCCCTTTGTCATCGCCATTGCAAACGGTGGCATACCGGTGCTGCCACATATAATCAATGCCGTCGTGCTCTCGTCTGCGTTCTCGGCTGGAAACACCTTCTTCTACGCTGCCACTCGGGTTCTCTACGCCACAGCTCTAGACGGCAAGGCCCCACGCTTCCTTCGCTACGAGAGGTTCGGTGTACCCTATGCCTGCGTCGGGATCACCACCGCGCTCAGTTTGCTGGTATACCTGAACCTCACCGCCAGCGCGAGTGAGGTGTTCTTCTGGATCAGCAACCTCAGCTCCGTGAGTACGCTCATAGTCTGGGCCTCGATATCAGTCACCTACATCCGCTTTTACCAGGGCATGGCCAGCCAGGGCATCCCTCGCGCAGCACTGCCATACCGAGCACCGTTCCAGCCATACCTGGCCTGGTTTGCAGTTTTCTTTTGCATGACCGTTGCACTCTTCAATGGCTTTGACGCTTTTTTTCCAGGCAAATTTAGTGCCAAAACATTCATACCTCCGTACATCGATATCCCCATTTTTGCAGGTTTGTTTCTTGGTTATAAGCTCATCTATCGTACTAAATTTGTTCCATTGCATGAGATGGATTTCTTCTCGGGCAAGGAAGACGCTGATCGCCTTGAGAGCACATGGGTAGAACCGGTTGCTAGGAATTTCCTCCGTAAGTTACCACGACTCCTTACTTGTCTAATTTCCGGTGGTTCTGTTGTCTGTTTTAGTTTGATGACGGGGCGATGCTAATCTTGGTGTCTTAGAGCGGGTGTGGTTTTGGATTGCTTGATCGGCAGCAACGGCTGACACGGGGCTCTATTCTATTTCTTTGATGCCACAGTTAATATCCAGGGTCACGCCCCAGGTAGGAGTAGGCATGAATATAGTATCGGTGACTTGATATTTATGAAAGATTCCTTGGAAAATTAACGATTCCATTGATCGTCACATAGTTGGATGTTTGAACTCCATCACTTCGTATTCCGGGCTTCGTTATAGGACGCCTCTTCATGGTGATTCCAACACCTCCATCCACTATTTCTCGTCTTTGAACGTTGGCTCATCCCGCCCCCTCCTTTCATCGTCTTTTTCTCCTTTCCTCGTCTTCTTTTCTCGTCTTTCTCGTCTTTCTCATCTTTTACCATCGTGGGATCTTCTTGGCATATCCATGCTGACTAACCGCAACTAAGACCTGCTATTGGCTGGCGGAGATGTCATATTGGCGCTTTTCAGTGTTTGAATAAGTCGCCGAGTTGAAGGTATGGAGGTATGCGAGTGTGTGAAAGGGAGCAGTGTAGGGGTAGTTAAAGTCCTTTACTATCTTCTTGCTACCATACTGTCACAGTTAAGGGATACAGTTTTATTCCATGCACCATTAAAATCGGGTGCTCAAGCTGGTTCCTCTGGAGATATCATCGTTGCTACTGTCCGGATATCTTAAAGATGGATGAGCTAGAAAGCTGAGCTACTAATAAGAAAGACGCTCTCCTACTCATCAACGAGCACCTGAGGAATATGCTAATGTTGGATGAGTGAGAGTCCAACTATGACGATACGGAATAAACGAGTGGTAGTTGATACTATCCCTGTAATATTGCGATGCCATCTTGAAGATATCAGGTCTTTACTAACAACCCTGTGTACTTCAGACAACTAACGTCTAGATGTTAATATATTCTCATAACAGTGCCACGTATGAGGTGACAGACCAGGATAGGCCAGGTGTATCAGCAATTCAAAGGCTGTCTCGTCTTGTGGGATTCCTGAGCGATGGAAGGGTTTGTTCTTAGCTAGGGACATCGACATAATCCTAACCATGCAACTGAGTATTGCCGTATCTCGCAGCTATAAGTGTGCTACGAGACGTCTAAAGACGAGAAGTTTATGCCTGCTGACTAGTTGTTTAACTAGTTGGTTAACAGCCGACTCTGCGATAAAAGTGACGCTCGCCGCACTGAAGAACATCCATATTGTATAGGATGACAGTCGACTCTACACAAACACAAACTATGGACAGCATCCTACGCTCTCTCCTTTGCAGAGTTGACTGACGCCTGCATCGTCGCTCCCAGAGACGTTACGATGGCCAGCGCCGTCGTGGCTTCCTGGCCACCCGGCATCACACAGCCATGGCCGCTTGACCATACATCCATATCCCCAGGGCCAAAGCAAGCAGAGAAAGAAAACAAACCAGTAAATAGTCCTTATCCAAAGCCAGCAGCAAAGCAGAACGCGGAGACCAGCGGAAGTTATGAACCCGATCGGCTCGTTCCACAGCTGATGGGATGCTAGATCTGGACCGACAGATAGGACGCGCTGGTTATTCGCCTTTGCTTCTTCTCTTTTCCCTGGATGCAAGCAATTAGTGGCAGACATTCTGTTATACCGCATACCCCAGATACGCCGCCGCTCCTGACTGGCGGCCGAACGGTCAAATTCAACCTGCGTTCCACGAGCCGAGCAGGGGGCATCCAGACATATCAGATATAAGCTACCGCAGGCGTTACACGCAAGCGGGGAGGGTATCTATATAAACGCTTGGTTCAGATTCTAGCCTAGAGGCTGCTTTTGTTGCTTGTTTATCTTCCTCACGTTATACAGCCTCGATTGCCGGAAAATGACGCCCTCCATGCTGGCTACTGCTCTTCTTGGACTCTTTGCGTCTGTCTCCGTTGCAGGGAACATAACATCCTCGCCATCATGTGTACGTACCCTTTTGGGAACCACCGACAGGCAGACAGTCAGTCAGGCTGTCTAACATCTGCTCTTTAGTGTTCAATGCTCTCGGGGCTCTTCCCTGACGCTGTCTACAGCAAACATACCCAATCGTGGAGCTTTGAGAAGGACAATTTCTGGTGTTAGTGCTTCATTATACCTCATTCACACTGTCTACAGCTTGGAGTCATGGTATCTTACAAGTTCAAAATAGCATCCACCGCCGTTCTCGATCCGGCCTGCGTCTTTGTCCCAGACTCTACAGAAAAGGTTGCCCGAACTGTCCGACTGTTTTCTCAAAACGAGTGCAAGTTTTCGATCAAGGGCGGTGGCCATTCAAGTATTCCCGGAGCTGCGAATATCGATGACGGCATTATGATGGTTATGTATCGCATGAAGGATACGGAGATAAACTTCAAGGAAGGCTACATCCGTGTAGGAGCTGGTCTGCTGCTACATGAAATCTACGCTGTTCTTGACCCTTATAAACTGTCAGCAGTTATCGGGCGGTACGGTGAGATCGGCCTGGGCCTCGCCGTTGGGGCTGGAATTTCCTTCTTCTCCAACCGTGACGGCCTCGCTGTGGATAATGTCCGCAACTATGAGGTAGTACTCGCCGATGGAAAGGTGGTGAATGCTAACATTGACAAAAAGGAGAACGAAGACCTATACTGGGCTCTCAAGGGGGGCAACAACAACTTTGGAGTTGTCACTCATTTTGACCTTAACGTCATAGAGACCAGGGGTTCTGTATATGGGGGCCTTATTCATTATCCAGAGTCATCCCTTGATTATGTGAATGACCTGGTGTACGACTATCATACACGCCAGGCCGTGGACGGTCTCCTTACCCATGCTATGCCACAGTGGGTATACAACGGCACCACCAACAATACCTATAATCTCACTCCGGTTATCTATAACGACGATGTGGACGAGCTGCCCTCAATTCTCCAGCCGTGGCTCGATGTGCCCCACGTATCCACCACTCTCGAGAAGAGAACCTACTCGAATCTGTCAATACATCTGAACGAAGGCTTTGGCGCCGGGCTGGTGTAAGTGGCCGTTACCATTCATGTTCCGAAGTGGCCATGTTTGCTGGACTAAACGTTGTATGCATACAGGCAAGAGCAGCGAGTGTTCACCGTCTATGCAGATAAGCAGTTCTACCGGGAGGTGCTCTTCAAATTCCGGCAATGGCTACAAGGCTATCAAGACATTCCGGGGTTCCTCGGTGCGCACCTGAATATGCCCATTACTCCTCGGCAAGTCGACCAAGGAGTGCTGAAGGGCGGGAACGCACTGGGCTTGGAGGGTGCCGGAGATAATACCTTAGCAAGTGAGTATATCAAAGCCGTGCTCACCATTGGACCAACCCCAGACTTGGGTGTTGGATTGTCCAGCCTGCTTGCATCCGTGGATTAGATGCTAACCACGCCCCCGATATACAGTCCTCTTTTTCGGCGTAACATTTGAAGATCCACAGTATAAGGACCGCGTCCTGCCAGAACATGACAAGTTTGTTCAATCAATGATCGAACTGGCCAAGGAGAGGGGCGTTTTGCATCCATATATGTCTGTCTCCCGCCCCTGAAAGTTACAAGTTACAACATTTGCCTCCTCCTACGTGGCCTGGCCTTACTAACGGCCCATATTCTCCAACAGAATGCTCACCTACTGCGGCTACAACCAAGCTGCTATAGCAAGCTACGGCCCAGAGAATGTGGAGAGACTCTGGCGGATTCAGCGCAAGTACGATCCAAAGCAAGTGTTTCAGCGTCTTGTGCCCGGGGGCCAAAAGCTGCCTCCCCAGGACGGCTGATCGAGATCATCTACAGCCTTCTCTTCTCATAATCCGGTTATTCATCGTTATTATTATTAGTAACCACGCTTCTAATCAGGTCCTGCATGCTTGGATAAGACGAGCCAGGTGCAGAACTGAATAATGGCCGCTCTCATCCCCAAGTCTCGGATCTTGTCTACGTCAATTTCGTATAGGCGATCACTCTCCGGCTCTTACTTTTGTCTGTTGATGTTATACTAGAACGCCGTCATGCAACAGTCCAACTGTACGTAGACACGGCTTTTTGCGCTGAACGTATTTTTAGATAAACTCGCAGTACGGAGTATTATATGTTCATAATTCCCCTTTTCTATAGCATTAGCTCAGGGTAAACCTGATAAACCTCACAAACACAGCCTTCGAGCGAGACTATTGGACTTTCTCTCGAGATATTCCTTGTCGAGGCCAACGCTATGCAGAAGGGCGCGTATAGACTTTCCACGCGCCCTTCTCCCGGTGCAAAGTCTTTTTTTCTCGTTATCCGCGCATACGAACTTCAAACAAACCACATCCTATACTCCGTTCTGACTGTCCGTCTGGGGTTCAGCTTGACTAACCACCCCCATCGTGTGTTTCATCTTGCCGGCCCCTCGAGCGTGGTGGTGGGAGCTTCTCGCGAGGGCCACATCTCTCGCCCCTTCAGCCTCAACCTCCACGGTCAACCTCCCTGGCTTCACACGAAACTCGATGCTGATCGAGGCCTTCGGTTGAGGGCGGCAGAGACTGGACACCTGGAATAAAACAATAAAATGGGTTCGTATCGGACGCATCCTGCTCCTATTCGTCTGCGGGCTGCATGGCTGGAGAGAAATCCACGCCATGTCGGCTGCAGAGAATAGTTACGGTTAGCAGGGCCGCGCTTTGCTGGGATCCCGATGCATAACTTGATCAGCTAATTCGTGGGCCTAGGTCGTCCTAAAATGACTGCTGCATACGGCGCTCCTCATTCGATGGCCCGTTAGCAGGCGTATGGAGAAGGCGTGGGGTGGTTGCTCCAGGGGCCCGGCAGAGATATCGCTCGAGAAACCAGGGCCGGAATGGGAGAACACTTCAACACCCGTTTCTGGACTCCTTTCACGGCACCGTGCTATGTACGGGGACTGCTGTCACGGCTGCGGCGCTGGCAGCTGTCCTCTACTCCGATCCAAGCACGCTCGTCAAACCTGAGGCCAAACCCGGGAGGGTATACGCAGTGCAACCGCGAAACAAATTGGCGGGCGGGCACACAGCAGAAGGACAAGCCGTGCACTAGTTACGCTGCCTGCAGGTTGCAGCTTGCCTGCCCAGACCCCAATTGTCAGGCTTGCGGCACCTGTGACTAACCGGCCTACAGGATGGACATGTGTGTTGTCCGGAACATCGGTTCGAAGCGTTGACGCAGCACAGGGAACAAGGATATACATTCTACCCGGATATTCCATTTTGCATATATTTATAGCAGTCACACCACTGTGGTTATGCATGGTGATGAGTTTATGGGGGTTAAGCCAGGGGTTAGCCTGGAATTAGCCCCCTATATTAAGCGCAATTACTAACTGCCTGGCGGGCTGCGCAAGACCTTGGCGCCAGAATTGTTTTACCAAGGGCAAGCAGGCGCCGGGGGGGGGGGGGGGGGGGGGGGCAATAATAATGAGAAAGGGAAAAGGGAAAAAAAAAGAAACAAAAAAAGAAAACCGGGCCACTGACAGACGGCAGATGAGGCCTTTTTTGGGGCCTGTAGCTGAGCTGAGCTCAGCGCAGACTACCATGTGCTAAGGCACCACCCATGCCTTTACTTACCAGGGCTAACGTGGGAGCCTATCGCTTCAGAGCTTTGGAAAGCCCTGACACATGCCGATTGGATGCTGATGTGCGAGGAGCAGAAATGCTCGTTTGCCATACAAAATACACGAGTGATGGCTTTGCTATCTGCGTCTCCCTTAGGTGTTGGCATGCTCCTTCTCGTGTTTGAACGACTTTGATTATCTATCAAGTCTGACCAGGGTACTCCGTGTGTGCAACGGAGACAGGAGCAGAGGTGCAACACAAACCGAGGCGTATGGTTCTTCAAAAGGTTTTCTGGCCTGCGGCTGCCCATGGCTAGAGACTGCCACGACCGTTACATCGGTAACTTTCCAGCCCGCCGGGGGGCCTACAATGCTTGGTCTATCCCCAGGCTATGGGCTGTGCGACGACCTTTCACCTTCCGAATCCCTGCCTCTATGCATTTAGCATAATATATACCTACACCCACCCGCACCATCCTAGTGGGATCCACAGTTAACACATTGGAATCCGTCTACCAAACACATTGTGCTCTTCTCCGTTCGCTATTCTTATAGGGGATTAAGGCACAGCAACGTGCATTTGCACTAAGATGCTAAGTCCGAAGACGCGCCGGGGTAACGTTGATTTGCATACGCTGCCACATTCATCGCATATGGGGGCCTCATATTATGGGTCATACGATACTACCTCTGTGGGATGGGGCAACAGATTGGAAAGATAGGCCCCCTTGATGGACAGAAACACCCTGCAGATCTGCAGCCGGGGGTGCTGCAGCTAATATGAATTCCAAGCAGCTTTGGTTAACGATTGACTTCTGCGATCTCGAGTGTTCTCTCAAGATATATAAAGCATAAGGTCCAGAGAGTTTCGGTGGATTTCCATTCTTCCGATCGACCAACCTTCTACACATCTAAGTTTTACTCCAAAAAGTCAGTCACACTATATACTCCTTATCGCTACTAAGAAATGGAGCACGTTCGCAAAGTGAATAGATGGACTCAAGATGAGGACGCAATCCTCATCAAACGGCTATATGAGCAAGAAGCCTGTATTCGCCCCTCTCCTGTCCCGACTCTACCTCCTGATCCCAACGGTATGGCTAATATGTACAAAGGCGACCCTACTGGAACTGCGGCTGACTGGCAAAAGGTTGCCGCTGCTCTCCCTGGACGATCGAATAAAGATTGCAGAAAACGATGGTTTAATGTTCTCAGTGGAGGGCTACGGAAGGGGGCATGGACTTCTGAGGAGGACGCATACCTAAGGGACGCAGTACGAATCGAGGGCAAATCGTAAGCTCCCCCTGAGTAAATCCTTTGAGAGACGCAATAAAAGACTGACAGATCTAGATGGATGCGTGTTGCGCAGCATGTTCCCCAACGCACTGCAGATCGTATGTTTACCTTGGATAAATTTCGATATGAAACCTCTGGCACAAACTAACTCTGCTTGCTATCAGAATGCGCAAAACGATGGCAGCATTTTTTGGACCCTACCCTGGATCGCTCAGAATGGACTGCCGACGAAGTATGGCAACTCACTCTCATTTTTCAAATTCTCATGTGCTCTTTATACTAATAGTATTGGGAATTATAGAACGAACGTCTGCTTCGTGCCGTACAGCAACACGGACGACGGTGGTTGGATATTCGGAATCAATATTTGCCTTTACGATCTCCAAACGCCTTAAAGAATCAGTACGTTTTCCCAAATAGCGGGTTAACATCTGATTGAATACAAAAAGACCTTTTACTTACGGCCCCTTAGGTATTCTATTCTTTTACGTCGCCATGAAAAGAGCCTTGCGTCCATCGCAAAGAAGAATCAGAGCGCAATGGAGATGCCACAAAACAGCTACCATTACCAGTCATCAAGCGAAGGGCATGTGGCGCCCGCAATAGCCCCACAAACTCCTAATAACCGTTCAAGCGCAGGGAATACCCGAAAGCACCGATGCGAGGCCGACGGATACATTAAACAAGAGTTGGACGAGGATATCATGGGCTCCCCAATCTATGGGGACGTTCATTACCAGGCAAAAATGTCTCCAGCCATGGATTATAGTTTCATAGGCAAAGGAACCCCAACGCCTGATCCAATGACAGGTAGATACGCTGTGTTTCCTAAACAAGAAGACGTTGCAGTGGCTGAATATAACGCTGTGTGCTTTGGTTCTAGCATTGGAACACAGTACGGCGTGAACCCTGCCCAGTTCTCGCACATGGACGCTGGCATCTCAAACGGTACCGCCGATAAAGACATTTGGATGGCATACCCTACATCACCAAGCTCGACAGCACCCAGTGATGGCGAGTTAGGCGGCTTTCAACCACATGGAAATGAATGGGCCTATGGAATGGCAGGGATGACACTGCAGAACCCACCTACGCCAACAGTGTACGCATACGGCGGATATCAATGAAACCTTCATACCTATCTTGGCAATGTATTAGGCGCAATTCTTATAGAGAATGCTACCTACTCAGCTATGAAGGTTTCCGAGGGGAACTTATCTCTATTAATACTTACGCTCCCTTTGCCTGTCAGCTGGCTTCTCAGGTCTCAATACTCAATCCCCTCAAACCAGTCAATCGCATGGACGATACATTTCCTTATATCCCAGATTATATCATGGCTCCCCTTTGTTAAGTTCCTTGTTATTGTTGTTATTTTTTGGTCTTTGTTCTAACTTTTATGCCTAACGCTCAGGTTATGATTAATGCCTAATTTAGCAATGTTTTGAAAAGTTATGACCAAAGAAAACTAGCCTCTTAGATGAACTAGAAGCATGATCTTACCCTACTTTTTCGCAGCATGCCACTTTGCCCTTCCCACGTTCAAGTCTCATCACAAATGTAAATTTACCCCGAGTGTTGAATCGGTTAGTCTGCAGTGGGACATTACGTCGTCCAGAATGCTCAGCCAAAGGTCTGGCTCTGCCAAAGGTTCTGGTTCAGGTAGATTAGAAGAAACAGGAAAATAACCAAAACAGCTACCCACCCTATGAAGATCATAGGGATTCTAAGCCTCATAAATGTTTAAGGGCCAGGGCCCCCTTGAACTATCTAGGTAGTTATATATAGATCCTGGTCATTGGGAAACCCTGCATAATCCACCTTTCCCTGGTAGGGAGGGATATAAGAATTTATATTAACATCCAGCTTCAGACCCGCACTCTCTTCGATGGCTACAGTATAAGTGATTGCCGGCCTGTTTCTAGACGGTGGCTAAAAATAACTGACTCTACTCAAATCAAGTTATACCCTTGACACCATCCCCAGGGACATTGATCACCCTCAGTCCACCACTCATTACTTCTAAATGACAAACAGCGTCACTATCTGGCCATTAGGTAGTAATTTCACCTGTCTCTGGAGTCTATTTAATTCTCTTAATCATAAAGGACATGGATCCGCTACTTGCAGCAGTTAATAGCATTTTCCGGTTATCTTCGTCGCGCCCTCTTGTTAATTTGAGATAAACTGGAACATAGTGAGAGAAGACGTATTGAAAATGTTTATGGGGCGTACCAGGCACGTTTGTGTATACACTCTTTTGCGCCATAACCTCGATAGCTGGGTCATGCGCCAGCCAGCATTCCTGGGCTGCGTGGCGGGACAGATCCTTCGATATTGGACTCTAGACGAGAAGTTTGGGCTGTAAGGTGTACGTTAGGAGCCCTTTTATCAGTTCGGAAAAGTCAAGATGGCGGGCTGCATCATAGCGGATAACGCGCCGGATGTAGTACTCGATGATATTACACCTGACAGTTAGGGCAGCAAAGGAGTTTGGGGAATTGATGGAGACCATTGAAGAAGTCTTGAACTCGTAGACTGCTGCCCGAGAAGCAAAATTCAATTGAAGATGGACATCTGCCTTTGAAAGAGCTGTCGTTTTTAGCCGTGCGACGAGGAGACACCAAATGTATATACTATGTAACTACTAAATAAAGGAAATAAATGAGTTAAAAGTACGAACTAGCCTTATGGAGAATGGGTTTAGTTGGCTCTTCGAGAAGCTACCGAAGTTTGATAATCGTCCTCAATGACTTGTCTTTACTAGTCAGAATATGTGTATCTATGCGGAGTATAGCCGCAAGTATTCGGGGAAGTCCCCCGCGAAGAAGCCGAACGACGAGGCAGCCTCACTCTAGCTTGATTAACTACCGCATTACGGAGGGTATATTTCTCCGATATTTCTCCTAATAACTCCATTTGAGATGTCACTTTGACTCATTGTAATCTAGTCTAAACGCAATGCAGCTTCGCATACGGGGAATAGTATTGTTGGTGGTATTCCGAATGGTTCAGCGGTGCGCGCTTATAGCAATGCCAATCGGCTGTACATATTGGCTGCGGTGTAGCCAACATTATATGCAGCAATGGGCTATGAGCACGCTACCAACAATTAATCCATGAATTGTGTTGGATTTGCCTGCAGGGCGCATGGATGAGCACAAGTAAACAAAGTTGTTAGAGTTAAGGCCAAGGATTCCCAGCGCCACGGGACCGCGCGGGACAGAAATGGGGGCGGGCTCCACCACGTAAATCTTGACGTTTCTGATATTAAGTAAATCGATGCACTTTCTACCTGCCTTTGTCGCTATATCCTTGGATGGGCTCCGCGCTGATCTGTCCATGGATAGATACTCACTGCCAGCCTGTGAACGACAGATTGTGGATGAGCCTGTAGCTCATAACGCACGTTCTGTATCTGAAGCACTTAACTACCACACCGGGGAGAAGTTAATACGCCTCTAGAAGATAACCCCTTGATGCGATCAGTTTATGGGTGCATGCTGTCTGGCCAATGTTGTTATTTGGCCCACTTTTGGTTCATTGCCGGATTCTCGGGCTTGCTTCTCATTGCTATCCCCTATAAAAACGGTCATCCTCCTAGCTCGCATCGATACACTACCATCCACACTCAACCGGTGGACAGAGTACAGCGAGAGAATGAATGAGTAGGGGAATTCCTCGGTATCAGTTAACTCAGGCCGAGGATTAGAGTTTAGACACAATGCCAGCGGTTTATCAGCTATCTTTCGTTCGCTCCTATTCATGGATTACAAAGAGATATGTTCTAGGAACATAAACCAATCCACAATTTCTCTAGAATGCTTTTGGACTGACGACTGAAACTGTGGGTTGAGGTAGGCGACACATCTGGGAAGCCTACCAACCACCGAATGATAGTGTTTATCATTCTATTGATCGGTCTGATATAGAGGATGTCACACATACGATAGGGACTACACCTCCAACGCAGACCCTTTGCCGGGGGCAACTTGTTTCTGGAAAAGTGAAGGATGGATCTATATCTCTTTGTCAGTTTCAGTCGTTATCTGTGATGTGATTGGAATTTATTGCCCCTGCAAACGGCTTGGCCTTCCCACCAGATTGAGAACACGGCCTCGAGTAGCCCAGAGTCAGCGTGGTCAGTCGCATCGTATATTGGCCGATTCACAGTATTCGGCTATTCAGACCTCGAAAGTTGAAATTAGAAAAAAAAAAAAGATCAAATACTCTGTGCTGTGGTACGACTCAGTCCTATACCCGATAGTTCCAATTGGGCAATAGGCCATTTTGTTCCTTTGGTTCAACAGAAACGAAAACAGCGAGAGAAGCAAGGCTGAGATGCGCATACCTAACTAAAAGACAGGAGAGACAATCGTGTTCTCTTTTATTCGATATCCATCAACCTTGATGCCGCGTCATCGGAATCATCGGCAAGTGGATTTGTTTTCAGGCGTCGCACAAGCACCATCTTTAACCTGGGCTGTATATAGCTGCATGTCTCAGGTTCTCTCACCTTGAGTCTCCGAGACAGCCACGATGCTCTAACGTCAGCATCCACGAAGTTGCTGAGCCGGATACGGCATGTTTGAGATGAGGATAAGATATGGGTTAGTACTGTCGCTGAATTTTAGCACCAATATCTACGCGCCGTTTGAGTGAGTGAAGACGTGAACGGCATTTTACTTTGTCCTAATCCTTAGCATCGGACGAATTCGCTAATTCGCCAGAATGTTCTAAAGACCATCACTTCACGCGATAGGGCAAGCGCATCATTAACTTCTAGGCGAGAACGGCCACTACCTTAGGCTAACGCTTAGCGGGGGCCAACCTTCTTTATGTATACGTTGTACGCTAGGATAGTTGCCGAGTCTGGGCGCTCGGAGAATATTTCTCGCTCGTGTGAGATGTTCTAGAAATATGGGGAAGCGGTACACTACGGGCGGAATTTCTAGATAATCCTATATCGGGTACTTCGTACTTGAGATTTATTTATGTACCAAGGTGCCGTATCAAACGAGCCAGCTTAAATACATTTAAAGCGCGAAAACTGTAAGCGAGGGAATGCCCAAACTACTTTATTGGTTGGGCGAGCAAACTAAATACATAACTCCTTTCCATGTATAAACATAATTGCAAAGGCACTAGGAGGCACTAGGAGGCATAAACCTTGCCGACAGGAGTGAGTTGACCACCCTGGACGAGGTCATCGGCCATGAAGTAAGAATAACGGGCAACGCCAGCATTGCTGTCGAGCCATGGGAGGACTTGGTTCAAGAATTGGACCTGAGCGTTTTGGTCGCCATCTCCACGGAATTCGGTGAGCCAAATTTTGTCGATACCGTTGCTCTTGGCGAGGTTGACTGCATCGGTGATTTGTCTCTTGAAGGCGTCGACGTTCTGGGCAGAATCGTACCAGTGGACGTTGAGGAAATCGATGTTGCATTGTCCAGCACATCCGTCAAGGAATTTCTTCATCCAGCTAAGACCCATCTCACCGCCACCGTTGGAGACGGCAGGCGAACCGATAGAGGCCTTTCCGACAAATGGCTTCATGTATTGCTTGTGTGCTTGGACGGCATCAGCGGGGGACATGTTCGCTTGCGATGGAATATCGGGCTCGTTGAAGCTAAGAACGTATTTGCAGCCGGAAGATAGGATCGAGGGAGTGGATTGGGTCCATCCGCTGAAGAATTTCTGGCCCCAGAGCATGGGGGTGTAGTCAATTCCGTCCATTATTTTACCGGAATCAGCACCCCAGTTATATGCCCAAGAAAAGGCGGAAGTGCCCTTGAAAGCAGCCACGGCGGCAGGGTCATTGTAGGCAAGGCCACGTTTGCCGCCTTGCGTAATGGGGGCGGCGATGACTGAGCTAGCCAAAACTCCGGCGACGAAGAGAGCGTTGAAGGAAACCATTTTGGCAGTCGGGATATGGGATCGAGAAAGGCCCAAGCAAGTTATTCTGGTAGTATAAACAGGTGTGAATGAATGAATGCGATTTGCAGCAAGACAATGATTGGCACGCCTCAAGGAAGCGTAGTAAGGAGTGAATGGTAGACTTAAAGGAGTGAAGCCTGGTTTGTTAAGGAAAGTTGGGGTACAAAGAGGAAGAAAATCTGGGAGGGCAAACGGGGGAATATATATCTTTGAATAGGGTACCCTTTTCAGGTACCCCCTGCCCAAACTTTTTGCCCTGAATTTTTTTTTCTGCTGCCAGTAAACTATTGGACAGCACGATGGGCGCCTATCGTGGCATGGCTCGAAATAGTAGGTGTGGAGCTTCGGACGAGCTTCAAGGCTCCCCTTGTTGCATCTAGACCATTGGGTGTGGGACTTGGAGCGAGTTCAGCGCCCATATTTGTGGGCGTATCGCCCAGGTACCCCGTAGGTCGAGCCAAAACCACAGGGCTCGATCGCTCTAATTTAGAGCAGTCAAGCATAAACATCTCGACGGAGAAAATGCCCGGATAGTTTCTGTGATAAGTTGCATGATGTTTCACCGAAACAGAACAGGCCCTGGAAATCCTCCCAGAGAGTACCCGGAAAATCCGAGGCGCCAGCCTGACGGGGAAACAGGTGGCTGTGGCACATTGGTGCGAGAGGGAAATTGGGGAATCAGCGGTCGATACGACGGACATGTGGCACGACGGAGATGGCGACAGGAAAGGGAGAATGCGCATCCGTACTCTCACCGCACTGATCGCACTGATTCCTCTGGCTGAACACATCTGAGGAGTCAGTTTCGGCCCACGTAATGCAGCTGAAAAAGGTTTGTCCCTGAATACGCACCCAAGCAAAAAGGCGTCAGGTATGGGAATAATTCACTCAGGGCACGGCTGCTCATTGGCTGGTCCCTGGAACATGCATAGCACCATCGGTGAGCCAGAGAGGAAGGCGTTAAAAATGGGAGGCAAATTTTTCTTTTTCCTCCAATCGACACCCACCAAGATCCATGGATTCAGCCCGAATTAGGATGACAAAGCACGCCATAACCTAGGCTCACGTCCCTCCAGCATAACCGTGGTGAAAGAACAGGCAAATGCCTCTCGACCGCCTCCTTTTTCCAAGTATGCCATCCTGAAGCCTTCGGCGGCCTATATAAAACATTGCCGAGCTGAGATTGACGATGAAATAAGATGTGGCCAGTGGTGCCAAGAGTAGCGAAATTGAGTTACATAAGCTTAAACCTTATATATCGATAAATCACATGACATTATTCCGTATTCCGTACATATATCTGATGTAAAGCCGGGAGCCACGTAAGATAGCGAAGATCAAACTGACAGGATCCGCTGGGGGGGAAAGGAAGTATATCTGGGGAGGGTGTGTGGCTCGGAATGGCGGGGAGAAGCCTGCCAGCGTGCTCATGCAAGTCACAGTGATGTGCGAAATCGAGCTGGGAGAATCCTGCTGCGACTCCTTGCTTGGACTGGATATATGACGACATGTGGCAGATCTTGGATATGGCGCCCTGTTTTCCTACCATCACTGCTATATCGGGCCTAGATATTAATCATCCGTTGAGGGTTGAAATTAACGCACACACCATGAAAGTGACCAGGCAAGTTATCATATCGGCAAAAGTCGATAAACAACTCATCTAGCCGACCCTTGCCTTCGTTTGTTGTCACATCTAAAGTATACCCCTAAGCGTGACCCGTATATAGGCGCTGTGCCAGCAAGGTCGAAGAATAAAGAAGGCAACCTAGGATTGGACATGAGGGAGGCTGGGCAACGACAAGTGCGCCAATTGCGACCCCGTTAGATTATTTTGGCCATACGGAGTGCCGGCCAGGATTGCTATCCATTAGCGACGCTCAAAAGGCGTAAAAAATTCCGGCAAAGAGCCGTAAATGTAGGTACTCCGTACTGGGTAGGATATCGAAAGCCACCGTGGGGAGTTCTTCAATTAACCCTTTGTCCGCTTTTCCGTGTCTCCAGTTTTCCTCCTTCCCTTGAGAACGCTCATTACGTCCCCGACGTTGTCCTTATCCCCTTTCCTTTTCTTTGGCCCTCGTTTCCTCTTGTTACTGGCACCGCCTTGCTCGAAAAATTCCTCGTCATCGTCGTCACCAAATCTACTTTCACCGAACCCCATGTCCATGTCCAACGCATCTTCTCTCTCCCGCCGCCTAGCTTCCTCTAGGAATGATTTATGCTTCAGGGCTGCTTCCCTGTCTACGCCGTTTGTGTCGTCATCAGATAGTGGTTCCTTCGGTTTGATCGCCGCGGCTCTTTTCAGGGCCTCCATGATTGTAGGGTCGGATACAAATGGGTTAGAGCGGTCTTCAGGTTGAGGTTCAAAAACTTCCTGTTGGCTAACTTTACCGGTGGAGAAGTAATCACGACGTTGTAACGGTGAGGGTTGCTTTCCACCCTTCATTTCTGCGTCAGTTCCAGAGGTAGTTTCTTTCTCCGTGGGGGTATTTCCCATATCGCTCTCTGCTTCCGAAGAAGTATCCTCGTTTTCGTCGGCATTAGCCAAGGGGTTGTAGTCATCACCGACTCCTGCAAATATGTCATCATCATCATCATCCTCTATCTCTGGGTTTTTCGTAGTCTTCATCCTTGCTAGAACATCCGGGGGAACTTCCATCCCTAGGGGCTTTGCGTCCTTGTCCATAGCTAATAAGTGCCCGTTCGTTTCCCCAGGTTTGTCTAGCCATCTCGTTTTCCGCTTTGTCTTCCCTTCGGAGTCCGTGATGACTAATATCTCCTTCCGCCGCCCATTCGCGTCTGTCTCGATCCATCGTTTCTTGTCACTCTCCTTGGAGCCGATCTTCTTGAACTTATTTCCAAGGGTTGGTTCTGGTGGCGACGACGAAGCTAACCGAGTAGCCTTCAGTTGTTTTAAAATCTCGTCCCGGGTCATTCTTTTACTTCCCACTTGCGCCAAGGGCGCAAGATTGCCTTTCTTCTTCTCTTTCTCCTTTGATGCGGTGACCCTGACTTCATCTTTCTCCTTTTCCTCCACGAGACGCTCGAACTCATCATTATCATTAGTTTCCCCGGGCTCGTGGTCTTGATCCTTCGTCGTAATATCTTCTCCCGCTTTAACTCTCTTCAACAGCCGCCAGTCAAGACCCTTAATTAAATGCGTACTCGATACATCACCACCGACACCAATTTCAGCACGTAGTTTGTTAAACGTACGCTGGTCAATCTGTCCTAGCTTCAATAGCTCTTCCAAGGCGCGAACCCGTTCCTCTCGATCATCCCCCGCCTTGTCATCGTTACTCTGTCGCAGTGATGCTCGATCCTCGTATCCTGACGTATATTTGTATCCCTTTGGGCCAGTAGATGACTTGAATTTCTTTGTTGGAGGCCGTCCTTGTGATTCCCGTCTATGCTCTGCTAACTGGCGAGCGAAATCTACACCTGATACCGCGCGACTATTCATAACATAAAGTTAGTATACGTAAAATGAAGCTTTACGAGAATAAGATAACCCACTTACGGCGTCATAGGGATGCTAGATCGCATTCTCGATCCCAACGCACCGCTTCTTCCTGTCGGCGCCGCATTTTCGCCAGAGGACCGTTTTGACGTAGGACCGGCTTGCTTAGCGGAAGAGGTAGCCGCGTTATCAATGAGAAGCCGGCGAAACTGCTCATTGTTCATCTTGAAGTAGGTATATTAACCGTTCGGCAGCTTTCAGGCCGGTGTTCGACTTCGTACGCAGTAGACTTGCAAGCTCGCCCATACCTAGGTAAAGCACGTATCTGCTTATATCATCTTAAATGATTATATAAGCACATCTCTCATGTGATGTCACGTGTAACTTCTAACCTTCTCTGCGACTTCTCGTGTTTATCATCTTGGACGCCAGCATCAAAAACAAGAAAAAGGAGCATAGCACATCTCACTGGTGCCCGCTTGTACATGTATCATGTGTACGTAGTAGGGGCCTGGCTTCTTGTGCTTCGCTGCCCGACTCTTATCTCGCCGAAAACCCCGCAAGGTCGACGGGATCTGACGCCGCTAGCATTGTAACCTTCCTGCTGTATTCCATGACAGAGCAACCCGTCGGTCCGAAAATACTTAAGCTCAACCTTCGAGGCACTGGTCACAAGTTGCTTGCTATAGGCCAATGCTGAACCGGTTGTCACAATGGGCTCAGGGCGCAAACGTAATGGCTTCGTACGAGGGACTATGTCAACGCTTTACTCTATCCTAACACCATCACTAGAGTTTTATCTCCAACATAGAAGATGCCACCAGGATATAGGTACGCTCCTCCTCGACACTCCTCGGCACTCGCCCGGCGTTTGCTTTAATAATAATTAAAACGAACACCCCTGCCCGTGTAGGGTTTGGATTGGTGGTGAGTTCTTTACCCGCCGGGTTTCAAGTCGTATCGTAAAAACTGGAGCAGGTGGGGAGGTTTGGCTTGAGTCCCAAGGCAGATTTCCGTGGGAAGCTTGCATTCTTCTCGTGATGCCACAGTGAGCATACATATACTTACATTTAATATGTATGCAGTATATAGAAAAGCCTGTTGTTGGGGTTGTTAACCAGGTATACATACGGATGATCGCTCAGATCCCAAAATAAGTCTATGTATAGATAGAAGAAGTGAGTCTCGTCGCACAATAGTCATACAGCTCCAGATATCTGGGAGCATGTGTCCACTAGAGAACCGTAAAATCTTCTATTTCCAACTACTCATAGACTTGGTTACGCCGTATGATCAAGCTCTGGTGTTTAGATGCATAGTTAATTCTCTATGGTGCTTTCAAGATAAACTAATCGGCGATCTTTCAATTCGACTAATTTTGGGGTTCTTTGCCCAGCCTTACGTTTATCATTATGTTCTTCGAGGGATCATAAGGCGCTGCGACGGAGGTGAGGTAATCCGTATCTCCGAAATGCATTACTTTCTATGACGTTTTACAGGCTGTGACCGGGATTTTAAACTTGTATTATCACATGAGTTAAGACTGGGATAGTTAGTTCGGAAAACGAATGTTCCCGAGGTTCGGTTTGTGTCACCGGCGCCTCTATCCAGTTGTTAATGCACGTTATGCCGGGGCATTGCTGTCGATCCTGGACTAAGCTTAGACCATATACGACGTAGGATCGATGCTTTATACTTTGTACACATACGGAGTACATGTATATATATAGCGGAGTATGGGCATAAATATACCATCACTCTACCAGATCTTGGTTCCACATAAATCTCCACCACGGCAGTGGCCGTCGTTTTGTTGTCCACCTGTTTCTTCAGCGTGCAGAAGTATTGGGCTGGGAACCAATTCGAGTAGGGTGGCTCGTCGGCATGCGTACCGAATTGGCCTGAAGAACGGACTTGTAGACAGCGGGGGTGTTTTGAAAATGTATCTCACGAGCCCCATGGTCCAGCACGTAGCATCCGTCGAAGTGGGCTTGTTGAGCTGTCTGACGGCGGGGGGTATCCATGGACCAGCCAGTTTGCCAGATATAAATTTGCCCATATTCGCCTGCTGATGCGAAGGAAGATTGGAGAGCAGAATCCATTCTCCTTCAAGCTTCGAAGTCACCAGGAACTAGCCAGTCTAGAAAAGTAATCAACAGCTCTCGCCGCAAAGATGCAGAAGTGGATCCTCGCTGCCTCTCTCATCCTCCCCTTCACCGCGTGTGTCGGCGGTGTTGCTGTCCCAAGGGCTGCAGCAGCTACAGACTGCAAACAAGTGCATATGATTGTTGCCCGCGGAACGAACGAGGATCCAGGTGAAGGCCCCCAGATGGCCATCGCCGATGCCGTCGAGAAGATGCTCCCTGGGATTGCCGACTCTGCTGCCCTTGATTATCCTGCCTCCATCTTCCCTACCTATGCCAAATCCGTTGCCACCGGTGTCACCAACATGAAGAACATGATCACCGAATATGCTGCCCGATGCCCACAGAGCAAGATTGTGTTAATGGGATACTCCCAGGTGAGTAAAGCCTTTTCGAGCCAAGGGTGGATATGTGTGCTGTTAGGGACAATAGCTAACACACGACTTGAAACTGTGTAGGGAGCCCAAGTTATTGGTGACATGCTCTGTGGAACTGACGAGGTCTTCTTCCCATCCTCGGATCCCATCTCCCCTGCATTGGGAAAGAAAGGTTTGCCTCAATCACTGATCTGCAGATGGCAATTTCTGAAACGAACCGTAACTAACTTCCGTCAGTTGTCGCCGCTATCTCCATGGGAGACCCCACTCACGTTCTTGGTGTTCCATACAATGTTGGAACCAGTGACCATGCCGGAGTATGTTCTACCCTCTCAGCAATCGACCATCCGCCCTATACATACCCTTTATAGCTGTGAGACTAACCTGCATGAAACAACTAGTGGTTCCCCCGCCGCAATAACGAGGAGTGCGCTGGCTATGATTCCATTCGCCGCTCTTATTGCGATGATGGTGACGTGTATTGCGATGCTGGAAACGACGGCGATGTCCACGGCAGCTACTTTGCCAAGTACGGCGCCGACGCCGCCGCTTTCATTATTTCCAAGGTCCAGAGCTAAAGTCGTTCTTCAGCTGCAAAGGATGTGGAGGGGGGCTCATGAATCGATAGCCATGAACATAAGTACATATAATAGCAAAAGAGCTGCGCTCTGAGCAAATTTAATGGTCGATATGAAATATTAACTTTGTCCGTTATGAACGTGCTTATTCGAGATAACTCATCCCATAACCTGTAAAGTACAAGCCAACCGGGATACCTGCACGCCGGCGAGGAAGGAAATGTGATATGTCGGTGTATCGTCGCTGTAGGATGGCTTTGTAGATGATTAGTTTACCGGTAGATTTATCTACCATGCCTGGAGTTGTACACAATACAGCAGGATATAAGGTATTTCCACTTCCTCTTTATCAGGGATGGAAGATTGCATATCCGCACACTGGGTCGCACTGTATTGGACTTTGAATGCTTCCTTTGAGCTAACCCAAGGCCTGCTGGTGATAAAGGGTTGGATATAAAGGCCGTTCATGAGGGGATGCAAGGATAGAACGAAGTCAGAATAAGGCTTCACATCCATGGCGTCTAGTTCCGTTTAAACGGATATGTATGAGTATGTAAATCGCCCTGCGCCTGACCAGATTGTGGAGAACTGAATCCAGGCCTTTACCGAGGCCAGGCCTGTGGTTATAGAAGGTGGACGTAGTAAACCGCCACCAGTGGAGCCATCACCCGTGAACCATGTTGAGATCTGCAATAACTAATCTCGAGACAAAGCAGAAGGGAATATGGGAGAAGGATTGGCGCTTGGGGAGTTGGGAAAGCAACCCGAAACATGGGACGACTTGTACTCGATGTTTAGAAGCTTGCTAGGTAGCTCACAGCTTCCACCAACTCACCTACCATAAGGACCTAACAACCCGCATAGTAAACAAATAAGCTAAATCTGATTCCATCCGCTGAGGTCAGAGGAGGCTGAGGCTTGTAAGTCACGCGTATGGGAGACAGAAGCCGTAAGCTAATAGCCTGATACCGCCTGGCTCTGGATATTGGTTTGAAAATTGGTATATCAACTGATTTGACAACGAGGAGGGGAATTATATGCCAGAAAATAAGTCCACAGTATAAAAGCAAGTCTAGAGAGGGACCGACAACGCAGTATGAATGCTGCAGAGCTATACAAAACGTTATGTGCAAGTGATGAATATCAAAAAAGGTCTCGAGGTCGTTCCAAGGTTGGTAAGAGTCGAGGTCACGTGCCATCCCATGTTTGTCATGTTTGGATCAGATCACGTGGAATATATCGTGACCTCAACTTTGAGCTCTGGATAGCAGGTAAAGATATCTTGCTTATTATTGATCTCTCTATGCTAAGATCGTGATCTATTTGTCTAGATTAACAAAAAAGGAAGGGCAAAATTGACAGTTGCCCACACTCGGATTCGAACCGAGGGTCTCATCATGACAAAACACGAGTGATGCGCTTTACCAACTAAGCCATATGGGCAGAATGCTGGTCGTTCGCGCTAAGCGGCATAACTACCTACTTATTTCATCACAAGCCCGGGGATAACGATAACGATAGCACAATCAGGAGATATACAATCACACCAACCGATGCTGGATCCTTGAGTACTGGAATATCCTACACAACAACCAATTGCTGCTGCCGATGAAGGTGGATAGAAATATGTCATCCGATTGCCTGCAGAGAAGATGGCCTGGTCATCCTGGGGTGTGTTGAAACCCGTCATATGTTGGCCGTAAATTTCCAGCCCCCCAGCCGAATTCGCAGAGCAGCAAAGCCAGCCACTGAAATCAGGAAGCTCAAAGCAGAAAAGACACATGGATAAATGAAACTGCCGCCGTCTTGCGCCACAATTGCTCCGCCGATCGGGGGGCCGGTCAAGGTTGCAAAGGAGGAGATGCACAGTATTGTGCCCATTCGAAAACCAAACTCCTTCATCGGGGATACGTGTGCGATCAGTGGGAGTCCAAGCCCTATTCCGGCGCCAGAGCTGATACCGAACAAAGCCGAGAACGCGAAAATGGCACCAGTACTTCGGCCGGGGAGCCACAGCCCCAATACGAGTATTGTCGATAAAAGCGACATGACTATCATGACATTAAACCGGCCAACGCGATCAGCGATATAATTGGGAATCGTACGACCGAAGAAGCTACTCAGATGTTAGCCCAAGTCCTTCAAACATTTCTCTTCTTGTGGTATCGGCTTTTAGCTTACCTCGCGCCATTCAGAACTGGTACAAGTGAGTAGGCCAAGGTTTGAGGCATGCCATAATGTATCGCAGACACAACGATATAGTCAAAAGGCACAAACAACCCCCCTGCACGAATCGATCAGCTTCAGCTCTTGGACTAGGAAACCGGGCCGGTATCACTCACAAAATAGAAAGTACATGGAAAAGCACATGATGCAGAAGTTCAACTCCTTTAGAGGATTGAGATAATCCATAAGCTTGAAGGTACGCCGGCCGTGCTTGAGGTTGGACGTGATGGTCAAATTGGCAAAGATAAGCAGGCCTAAAATCAAAAAAGCGCAGATTCGCATTGTCCACCCAAATCCCACGCGCGGAAGGATATGTTGGACCATCAGAGGGAAGATAACTCCACCCAGTGACGATCCGGCGACTGTGAGACCGGCAACGATGCCTCTCTTCTCCCGGAAATATGTTTGAGGCTAAACACATAGTGAGCAATGACATTATTTGTTATTGAAAGAAGCCAGGGGGGTAACATACTGCGGCCATAGCAGGGTTGAAGATGAATGAGGCCCCTATACCCGAACAGATAGCTTGACTAAGCACGAACTGGTAGTATTTCGTCGAAATGCTAGCCATCATGAGGCCGAGAACATGTAATACTGTTCCGATAAGAAGCGGTATGCGCGGCCCGTATCTGTCGAACAATCGTCCTGCCACAGGCGACATGAAGGTCATGAAGAAAACTGCTCCGTTAGCATGGAACATATCCCAAGACGCGGCTAGTTCTTCCTCTTCACCTACATTCCATTGATGTGATCCATGAGATTGTAGAGCTTGAATACCCTTTGAGCTGGTTGATCTCATAATTGGCTTGAAACAGCCCGATGCAGTTGACCCATCCGAACGAAACAAATAATGCTGCTGATGCTCCCGAGACTGTCAACCATGCTTCAAAGCCGCCCTCTGGGAAGCTAGGAGGGGCGTCCTTTGGACTACCGTCAGCACTCGACTTGGACAGCTCCATATCTTGCGCCGTGGGCGGTTTCAACCCTTTCTCCAGGCTAGAGCCCTCGGAGTCTGATGTATTTGCTGAACCTCGCATGACGATTGAAGTTGGTCGAGTCGTTGCGCGGACGATATGGACTGGAATCGAAAAAAAGGCATTCCATTACCTGGCCGACAGCAGACCGCCATCCTATATTTATATCCAATTTCTTCCATCTTCTTTTGTCATTCTTCTAGTCTTATGCCTGGGAGGATCCTCTATCTCCGCCCTCCGAGATACGCCTCGGTGATAAACCAAATTTGGCCCAGGACAACGCCAAGGCCACGGATATAAGCAAAGAGCCGAAAATACCATCCCGATTTTTTCCTACTCGGATGTATTCATTTTATCCTTGGCACTCGTGGAAAAAAATACGTACAAATCATCGAGAAAGCCATCGAGAGATTCCACTTTATACGATGGCATGTTCCGGTGGGATCCGACGGTGAGCTAAAGAATGTCTTTCCCGGCTTCAAACATTCTCTAGCTCGACGCGGAGAAACACTCTACATGGCTTACATGCCCATAGGTGATAGATCACTGCATGATCGCACTTAGCGAACGAGAAAACCCCTGCCATGACGCCTAACATGACTTTTCATCGAGGCCTAAGTCTCTCCCAGTTTCCAAGCGTCCATGATAAACTTACAGAGCTCTCTCGGTCCATATCTGGTATATTATATATTATATAAAGGGGAACCCTGATGCGATGCGGTGCTGTTTGTCAGAACAACGCGGAACTGGTTACGTTCACTCAATCTTTGTACGCTGCTTTCCGTACAAGGCTACGGTGGACCTACCGCTGGCCTAGAATGAATAGTTGAACTACGCCTCTCTTCGGGTGCTATGCGCGGACCCTTCCTATGGCTGCATGTGTCCATTTCGAGCTTGACAACGCACCCTCTGCTTGGTCGTACATCGATCATTTGCCGTTCCTGGGGCCCGGGCCCTTAACCGATAACCAATCTGGATGACTGGGGAGCTCCTCCTTTGGGTTGCAAGGGAAAGAAGCACCTCGAACTACATGTGTCAGCTCTCGATAAAGCTATACCAAAGATAATATCGAGATGGACGTCCCTGTATGCACAGTCGGTAGAGAAGAACAAGACACTCGTCATCATTACTGGGCATTAGGTACACACAGGCGGGTAGGCACATGGCATCACATTGTGTACCCTGAAGATGCCGATTGATATTCTACAGCCCACTCCGGCCCTGCAGGTTTTCCCCTCAATCAATTTATCGTCCTTCATAAGCCAATCCTAACCAGGGGTCTACATTTGTTTTTTCGGCACCCAGCAGGTCTCCGTACCAAGCAAACATCATTGTTATCACACACATCACTTCCAGCTGATTTTCTACACCGCAGCGATTGCTAATAGCAATCCAAGATAATAAAAAAAGTTCGGCATTTAGCAGAGTTTGCTATATTTGGACGTACGGATAGTCATGTTCTTTTGACTACTTCTATACCGTCTTGGCTCCAATATAAAAGGGTCTTTCTCATCCTCGTTTAATTTACCATACCACCAAACAACATTATCTAGTAGGCTGAAGCCAAAGATCATCATCATGCTTTCACGTTGCCTCGTTTATATTTTATGCATCGCCTCCCTTGCCCAAGGAGAACTCATGGGGCGAGGGGGAAAATCCTACCCGAAAAGGCCCCTCAGTGCTCCCGACCTCGATCCTGATGTAGCTAATAGATGCGCGCTTTACCATCAAGTGCGTCAGGGGGAGAATTGTTTGGGCATCGCTTTACAATATGAAATCACACCCCAAGATCTTGCTCGCTGGAATAAGTACATCTATACCCTTACCGATTATATATTGTCCGGAATTTGTTAAGTGCCTATTACTAACTAATATGGCCCCTCTAGGCTTGGTACTAGGTGTTCGAGGCTTTGGTCAGGCCGGGTTATCTGCGTTGGAATAAAAGATGCATCGATTCAACCAGTCCCTCGCGCCTTACCAGCTGGAAACCATTTAATGGAAAACCATTTAACGGAAAACCCGCCAATGCCAATTCAGCCGGGTGTATCTAAAAACTGCGCAAAATGGTACAGAGCGGAGCAGAGTGACAATTGCAAAATCATTGCAGAAGAGAAGTTCCGGTCCTTCACGGTGGAGCAATTCATGGCTTGGAACCCTGCCGTTGGCCCTGAGTGCACCAGGCTATATGCAGGATGGTACTATTGCGTTGGTGTCTCGGGCAGCCAAGTTCCAACCACAACCATAATAACAATACCAACTGCAACTGCAACGGAGACGTGGCCAGTAACTACGACTACACCCAACCCTCCCCCGATTGACCCCAGCCCTCAACCCCAACAGCCCGGAACCACTCGTGCGTGCAAAGCGTTCCATTTCGTCAAAGAAAACGACAGCTGCTCAAAGATCGAAGAGATGTATGGAATTTCCGATGCTGATTTCCAGAAGTGGAACCCTGAGATTGGCGCCCGTTGTTTAAGTCTCTGGGCTAGGTACTACGTCTGTGTCAGGGCGTAGGAGGAGCTCTTCTAGACGGAGAAATGGTAGGTGTGTTCTAGCTATGAGAACGTATCTCATCAAGACAAAATACAATCTTATATTTAAGCTAGGCCTGCCGAGATTTCCAACTCCGCTTGCTTAATAAAACTTGAGCGTTTCAAACCTGCTCTTCGACAAGATAAAATCTGTTCCCTTTAAATTCTAACAATAGTCTGTAGTATCAACAGCAACAATCTTCCCACCTTCGGTCACTGTTCCATTTATGGGAAAGTTGAACCCACCTGAAGTTACAGCATACAAAGTATTGGTGTCACCGCGAAGCTTCCCGAACGCTGGCTGAACCACCCCTGACATGGTCAGCTCGTCCGGCTCACCCAAGACAGCGGTGACATTCCCGCCGGGTGAGAGGGTGATCAAACGGTTATCCGCATTGGTCGCAATCCAGAGAGTGTCACTGTTCCGTGGGCCGAAGGTGAAGTTGTCAATGAAGAACGAGCGGATTTCTTTAACGAGCTCACCCTTGGCCCCGGGTGCTGCATACCCTTGACGTGTCATCCGGAGGCGATAAACTGTGGCCTCGAAACTGTTCGTCCAGTAGAGATAACCCTTGTGGTACTGGATGCCATTAACGCCAAACTGCGTAGGTGCCCAGGCAGGACCGCGCAATGCTGGGTCTTCGATACCGAGTTTGTACTTGCGGGTGATGGTGTCGACATGCCATATCACACCGACTGTCGAGTCGGCCACGAGCAAAGTGCTCGGTCTGTCTGGGATCGGTTCCAATCCGGACAGGAGACCGCCATTTGGTATGTGTACAAGCTCCCTTACTATCGCCTTCCCAGGGTTATAGCGACGGCGGGTTGGGCGAAGGTCAAGCTCCCACACGCCAAAAGTGCCGTTGATACCGATTCCTAAATGGACTTGCTTGCCTGCGTAAAAGGCGTAGACGTCTGGCTGGGTTTCGATTATGCTGGTTGCAACGTTTACGATCTCAGGGTCAAACGTGTGTACCAGGGAGACTTTGGGCGACTTAGTCGTAGGCCCAGCGACGTAGTATATCGTCCCATTTGGCCAGGCAGTAGTTACTAGAATATCTCCGTTGGATCGGACGTAGAGACTCTGGAGGTATGTTGGGTCGGGAAATCGATGGAGGACTCTATAGGGAAGCGGAAGAGATGGCTGGCAGGCTGTGGCCGAGTTTACCAGGAATCCAAGCAAAGATACCAGGTTTATGAGGCCACCCAGTCCAAAGGCCCTCATACTTGCAAGCAACTCTGAACGAACGCTTTTGATATGCTGGTCAATCAAAATATGGCAGCACTTGGTTGCTACATCAGGGGGTTGGACAGTCAAACGGCTAAACAACCGAATATATAGTTACCAGACAGCGGAAGCTCCATTATCAGCTCAGGACCACCGGCAATGTTAGGTGTCTCCATCTTCCTCCGAATACTCTCTGCTGGTGCTATCCTCCGAAAGCGACTTTTTTGGTATACTCCGAACATCGTCTCTATTCTCCGAATGCTCCCTTCGAACTCTGTGTAGCACCATCCCTGTTGACCTCGCATGAAACCCCTGCTAGCTGCCATCAAGACTGCTTCCCTTGAGTGATTCGGGCCGTACGCGGTACTTCACTCCCTACATTCTTCCCAGGCCCCCGCGTGGAGTTGTTCTTTATACCAAGACGGGGGTCCTGGTTATGGCTCCTTTGGGACTCACTCCCCCGTAGCGGCCTTGACCGCTCGTCTGCCATATCAGGTCGGCTTTCCCGGTGTCGTCGCAGTTATGACCCATGGCTCGACGATGGAGACATAAGTACAGCGATAATCGCGCCGAATTTGATCTTTTCGCTCTGTCTCGTAGCCAGTATCACTTGGCTTGGTGTCATTGATATCGTCTCCTCCTCCATACCTCACCATTAGCTATACCTCGCCTGCGGTAGGACGAGCGGATCCAAGCATGAAGCTGACACTCCTCTCCCTCCTGGCCCTCGTTTCCAGCTGCTCTTCTCTTCCGGGGATTGCAATCAACAATGGCGATGTAAGACGGGCCGGCTCATGCGAGAATACACCAACATCTCGACACTGCTGGGGCCAATATAATGTTGACACGAACTATTACACCACGATACCAGACACGGGCAAGACCGTCGAGGTCTGGTTATCTGTCCAAGAAGGGACCTGCAATCAAGATGGATACAAACGCCCATGTATGACGTTCAATGGTACAATGCCGGGTCCACCTATAGTCGCCGACTGGGGAGACGACCTCGTTGTCCATGTCACAAACAACCTGAAGACCAACGGCACAGCCATCCACTGGCACGGCGTCCGCCAGCTTAACAGTGTCGAGCAGGACGGAGTCCCCGGAGTTACCCAATGCCCTATCCGCCCAGGAGAGAGCTACACTTACAAGTTCAAAGTCACCCAGTACGGCTCGAGCTGGTACCACAGTCATTTTTCGCTGCAATACACGGAGGGTCTATTTGGTCCCCTGATATTTAAAGGCCCTACAACAGCCGACTACGACGAAGATATGGGCGTGCTATTCCTCCAAGACTGGTCTCATACCTCTACGTTCACCGACTGGAATGCAAAAGAGAAATATGGGATCACCAAATCGTTGAACAGCCTTCTGATCAATGGCACCAACTCGTTCAACTGCACTGGCTCTCAGGATGCTAACTGTGTTGGCGGCGGAAAGAAATTCGAGGCTGTCTTCCAGCCAGGCAAAAAATATCTTATCCGCCTGGTGAACGTTGCGATGGACAGCCTGTTTCAGTTCAACATCGACGGTCACAAATTCAAAGTGATTGCTACTGATTTTGTGCCCATAGTGCCGTACGAGACCGATAACGTCTTGGTCAATGTTGGGGAGAGATATGATGTTATTGTCGAAGCAAATGCTACTCCGGGAGATTACTGGATGCGCGGCGGCTGGCTGAGAGCGTGCCAGGGCGTTGCCAACGATAACCCCAGCGCTATAACAGGCATCGTACGGTATAACTCTGGCAGCACCAAGACCCCCACGACCACCAGCACCATCCAGCCCCCCAAATTCTGCGCTGATGAGCCTGCAGCAAGCCTAGTCCCTCGCGTAAAGTTCGATGTCACAAATATCACCGACACGACCGTTGAGGATATAAACGTCCGGCTTACGCACACGGCCTTATTCCAATGGACTATTAACGGAAGTAGCTTGGCACTTGACTGGAACAAGCCGACCCTGAGACACATCTTCAATAACGCCTCAAGTTTCCCTACCCCTTACAACGTCGTGGCTGTTGATGTAAGATATTTGACATTCTCTTTCCTTTCTTGTTCCTCAAAACCACCAGTTGCTAATTCACATTATAGAGAAAGTCTGCTACCGGCGATGAGTGGGCCGTATTAGTGATTGAGAATACGGCTGCGGCTCTATTTTCAAAGTAAACATGGCCCTTCTTCATCTCAGATGAGCTAAGAGTAGATAACTAACTAACTGGATCTGCCTATAGCATCGCACACCCTATCCATCTTCATGGACATGATTTCTGGATTCTTGCCCAGGAAACCGGTAAAAAATGGGACGGAACGGCGAAATCGTTCAGGACTACGAATGCACCGCGACGAGACACCGCTTTGCTCCCTGCAAGGGGCTACCTTGCCATCGCATTCCGGCTTGACAATCCCGGTGCATGGCTCATCCACTGCCATATCGCGTGGCATAGTAGTCAGGGCCTTGCATTGGAGTTCGTTGAGAGTCCAAAGTCCATCTCGGTTGGTAGTGCGAATAAGATGGTTTTCGATGACACCTGCGCATCGTGGGAGAAGTGGTCACCCAGTTCACCATGGCCACAGGATGACTCGGGCATTTAGACGTTTGGCTCGCAGGTTTTGCATGTGGTTAATAGAACTGAATGTATCAATATTGTTCTAAATCATGGGTATGCTTTGGATACTAGAAAAATAAGTTTCCGTTTGCTGTTGTAGCGGCCCAGTGTTTGGCAATGTTTGACATACCCGTTATTCGTAACAAATTTTGACTAGGAAGTATATTTCGGCCGAAATTACAACAGGTACAATAGATGCAAAGTTATAATTATAGGCACAGGTTAATTATCGTGAGCCTAAAGATAGATCTAAGGGCAATATTCAGGCCAAGTCCAAAGCCAAAACTATGGATATGTTCAACAGTTATAAATAAGGTACGTTAGAGTGTATCTTTATTAAAAGTTCGGGGTCCTTGGGGACTCTTGGTTATGATCTCTGTAGTAAAGATACAATTTACAAGTTTACAACTCCTTTAACAAAAAAAAAACCCGGTTATTGCCGTCTTTCCCCTGCAACTAAGCATTCTCAAGACTGCATTCAGGACCAGTGTTGGGCAAAGAAGCGAAGTACCGTCTTGTAGCCACGAATATACTCTTCCTTGGATCGGGGGTTAGTGAGGTCAGCTCGGGCTGCCATCCAGCCGTGGACCTGGTCACTAAATGTCTCGACGTGGTTGGCAACCTTTAGCTTGCTCTCAAATTCCTTGATAGTCTCGGTAGGCTCTTCTTGAGATGCTAGGAGGAGGTATGGCACACGGATCTTGTCAGCATCCGTGGCGTCGACCATGGCCGGATGGATGCCTGCAGCGATCGTGAACGGGTTGGAATCGCGCGATGTTACAAGCTCTACGACCTTGCCTCCCCAACAGTACTAAAAAAAAACACAAGTTAGCAGACTTATCAGAGACAACGGTCGGTAGTTGGACTCACGCCAATGAGTGCCCAAGATTTGATTGATGGGTTGGCAGCCTTTACGGCCTCGATATACTCCGGCAACGCGTCGGCAACGGCATGGGGAGCGTTATTCCCAAACCAGGCACCGAGATCCTTCTGCTTCTGCTCCGTATCCGGAGGGTACCTGTCAATAACGTGTTAGAATTTTCCTTCTTCTCAGTCCGGGGCTAGGCAACTTACCACTCAGTCGGACATGGATTTCCCCTGAACCAATCCGGCATAAACACTTTATACTTGTCGTTGGACCCCAGGATATCGACCCCTTGGACAGTCTGATCAACGTATCCAAAGATATCGAAAACCGCGACGATACCCTTAGTAACATCATCGGCCCCGGTAACATCTAAAGTAGCGGCTTATTAGATTGGCGAATAACTTGGGGTAAATGGTTACGCTTACATGTCTTCAGCCCTCCGAGGTCTTCATAGCAGCCCTTTGGGGCATACCCCGACGTTACAACAGGGGGGATGTTGCAACAGGCCTCATTGTGGCCGTGGGTGGCAGGCATGGTAGACATGGTGGCGGCCTGGAGACTGTGTCTGATTGAGGGAGAAGGGCGTGATTCTGTCAACAATTGTGTCCGGACGTTCGCTGACTGCAAGGTCGAGATAGTCCTGTGTGAAGGGTGGAAAGAGGCAGGAAGGCGAGCCGGTGACTGTGATCTTATAGATGACGCAGCGGCGTCTGGTACTGATGCCGGATTTGCTGGATATGCTCTGGTCCCGCTCAACAAGGCAGAGTGTATAGCACGTCTTGACGCCCGTCCTGGCAGCTGTGAAGCCATCTCAACCTCGGACTACTAGAGTCGGCCACTTCGTTATATCGCGGTTGAGTTCGACAGGAGTTGGAGACCTAAGTGGAGGATTGATTCTGATGTTCTATAGAGCCTGGTAGAGGCAAAGGAAAGGCCCATCAACTGAGGAGAGCTTGCCCTGGCCGGAGTTTGCTGCATCGGAGCTCCGAAAGCGAAAGAACCATCCGACGGCCCAGGCCCTGCGCGGCCACGCACCGCGCACCATGCGCCATGCACCCTGGGCCATGGTTCACGACGCAGCATGAATGTAATTGACGACGTGCATGTCGGCTGAAAGGATATGCAACTTCGGATGGTCGGAGGTTCCAAGCGGGCATCGGGGTGGAGCCAACCTTATTTACTCTGCCTGTTTAAGCTTAAATGCTCAATGACCTCATATGTAAACAAACGGATACCATTTATCTTTAATAAAGTACGAGTCTCCATAAAGTGGCTGGATGAAGGTAGAAGATCCTGACGATTCCACTCTCTTGCTAGCACGTAAATATTTCCCGAGAAGAGTGGCCGGGAGAATCCTGTGTCGGAGTCGGAGGAAAGGCATAGGTGAGCGTTTCGGCGAAATCCCAATGCGCTCAACCAATCAACCCGATCCTACGGAGTAATGAGAGTGCCTCTTCAAGAATAGCAAGTTCTCTAGTGGCTTTATTTAAACTGGTGGCCGCGGTGGTCATTACAGCCAGTTGTCATGCGTAGGCAGGATATACAAATAGTCGTACGAGCTAGACAGCCTTAGCCGATAGATCGCAGATCTTTTCCGTCTATTTTATACCCCGTTCTACCCATTCAGCAATATATCCAGCAAACCACCGAATAACCTTTCCGCAATGGCTAGCCCTAGTGCGCCAGTGGGCGTTGCAATCCCCACGCCTACCTATCTCTTCAGCGCAACCGTGACCCTCGCCAAACCTCTCAACCCAATCCCCCTTCTTGAGGGTGGCATCCGCATTGTCGAACCTATCACCGGCGGCTCTATTCAAGGCCCAGCATTTAACGCTACCATCGAGGGCGGCGTCGCCTCTCCCATTATCGTCAAAAGCGACGACGGAACGAAGGCCCAGATGGCGTATATTTATGCATACGGCCACGCGAGCGACGGATCGCCATTTTATATCGAGGAGAGCGGTATTGGGTCAGGCGCGACCCAGAACACAAGGCTGATTATCCAAGTTGGCGGGAAGTACCAGGGCCTTCAGAGCCTGTATGTTCTCGGGCAGCCCACCGTTAACGAGGCAAGGACCGTGGCTTCGGTAGAGTGCTTCAGTATTCCGTTACCGTGAGGAAGAAAGGCCTGGAGGCCGGATGGAGATATAATGATAAAAGAACAGGAGCGGGAGCGGTCTGCTCATGGAAGTAGAGTAGCTTTTAGTTGGCCTCAAAATAAAGATAAAGCTCCCGTGACACCAACCAATCCCTTGAACCGATCATAATTAACTATACATCAGCTTGAAGCAACGAATAGTGGGTATAAGAAAAAAACCAGACATCATCATACACTCAACAGTTGAGCGATCGTAGCAAAATGTGGCCCCTTTCAAGCCGTTCGACTGCTGGCCGGATCTGATTGTGACCGGTGTTCATCCTGCACATGCACAGTCCAGTCTGTTGTATATCGAATAATTAGCTTGTCGGATCCATCGTCTCCAACCTGAGACCGACCGCTATCGTTGAGTACTCTGCTTTCCGAGAAAACGTCGGTGGTTTGCTGGCCGTATTCGTCAGGCCTAAAGGATCTCTGACCACCGCCGAACTTATCCCGTATCGAGCCCTTGACGTTCCTGAGAGGTCGCGGCCCGGATACCCCAGGGACTCGTGCGTTACCAACCCTTCTTAGACTGCTCAAGGCAATACCTCGTAGAGTGTTGTCGTATATCCCAGGAACCATTCGACTCTTGAAAGAAATACTAAGCAATCCGGTGTTTGCGCGGTCCATGAATGGCTTGAACCCTGGAAGACACGTTATTATCGTATTAAGCATCGTGTGACACTGCGTTGCGACATGGTAGGGAACACTGTCGAAGCTTCGGTCCAGCGAACCATTTATATCTTTGAGATATCTTGCTCTGACGATAGAGGCGGCAATGACCCTATTTAAATCTTATAAGCCGTCTGAAGTATACTGTACGGGGTAAGATGAAAACCTACACTCCTCTGCTAGCGAACACTCCAATAACGATTCTTTTCTGTGTCTTGTTCATATGGAGGTCCCAAACAATCCACGCTGGGACAACGATCAGACATATATCAGTAAGCACGTCTATGACCGTGGCAGCGATCCAGAATGCAACCTGAGTTCTCCATTAGCTGTCTTGAAAGGGAAAAGGACAAACGGACAACAGAAAGAAGAAAAAAGAAAAAGAAGAAGAAGAAGGAGAAAAAAGAGAGGGCGTCTGTCATGGAACATACCGTGTCGAAACACTTTGCCTTGGATGGATAAGCCCAGGGAGCTGAGCCTCCGCATTGAAATCCATAAGTAATTATCGATACCGCAGTCCAAACCAGCAAAAACACCAGCGCTCCTCGAATCTGGTGTCTGCACTTGTTGACTGGCACCACCCTCGCAATAAAGCTGAGTGTTGAGAGTTTGGCTAGTGAGATTGCTAAAATGTAGAGTATCGACGATGCGAATACACCCTATGACTACCGTATTAGATTCGCGATTCCAAAGGCCTTCTCTTATATGCGTGTCATAGTACCTTTCCAAGTTCCATTCTCTGCTCTGCGCTCAGCTTAGATTCGCGTCGTCCTAGTCCATTGTTGACGGCCGCGGATATCGCGATGACACCGCCGACATTAACAAGCTGGCAACAAAACACCCCCGGTTAGCATTCTCGGGACTGCTAATTGTTTGGGAGGCCGTGGTTTTCGGCATTTATGGGTGAGCTATTCGCAGTTTTACCATCGAGGCTACAACGATCACGTCGTCCATGCCCGGAATATGGGCAGTCAAGTATCGGACTGACAGCCGGAGCGTCGTTGCGAGAATCATCACCACCATGATAAACCATGTCACGATATGGATGATAGGGCCATGGTCGTCGGGCGTGACGACCGCATGCCTCATGCCGCCGGCCGGCATGATTCAGGAAGAGAGAAGGTGAAATTGTCGATATATCAAAGAGATGCTCTCGAGGCAAAAATATCCATTGGCTGACGATGCCACTCGAGGCAGAATATAATGCCAGACTCTACATGTATGTAGGATTCCGGCGAGTGACGGTTTCATAAATGTGACCCCCCCTCCCTCGAAGGGGAAAAGAACAGTCTCGACGATCGGGGCCCAAGAGCCAACGTATATTCATGGAGTCACCGACAGGTGTGGCGTGGGAGCGATAATGGCCGACCTTTTTTTTTTTTTTTTTTTTTTCTATGGCGGTTAGCTCTGCCAAAAGCTTCATCCTCTTGTGCAGAAGACGGCCCCTTATAGGCGAAAAACCTAAAGCCTCCCCCGGATCAGCCGCTGCATGATACGAAGAATCAGCACGACAGCCAGCGGTGCCTCTGGGAGACCCTTTTGGCTGCGGAAGACGGCTGACGGCCAGCCGAGCCCAGGGTCATCACACAAGGCTTGAGCCCGGGCAAGCCACCCTAGCCCCTGGCGTTACGAGGTCGGATACATTCACCTGTTTTACCTCGATCAAAATGGCCGCAGATATCTAGCTCTTCGGTACGGCATCAAAGTGGCTGGTAGAGAGCGAAAACGACAGTTAGCGATTCACCTCCATGGCAGACAGCTGCCAGGTAAAGTTGCCTTAGATTCCATTGGGGAATTCTTGCTGCTTCGTCTAAGTGTTCGCGAAGCCAAAGCCATCGCGCAGAGATCCGAGAGCAGACGTCGAGCGTTAACTCGTGTTTTAGGATTCGACGATCTCGAAATCTTGCTCCGTATTTTAGCGACGAACGCCCCAGATGCCAAATGGTCCAAACAGCGCATTTACTGGGAGTATTTGGAGGCTGCGCGGCGGACTTGGACCTCCGACCCGTCTATACGACCTTTTGTTCCCTGCAGATAGCGTGGGGATCCAATTTTTCCATATATCGTTATGGACCCGCAGAATTCCGCGGAGACGGCCAGTCTACGGAGTATATCTCGCTGCTAGCTGCATGGAGTACGCTCTTCCAGGCTAGAGATATCTCGTCGTCTGGCGCTCTGTGCATTTTAGTGGACTGCCTCGTCTATTTACCGCTTTTCTAGAATGCTGTTGGTCGAAGAGGCGGCATCGTGGTGTGGTTTTTTAGTTGTCTAAAATCTATACTCCGTACGAGTATACCGTCCCTGGTCAATTTTAAAAGCCACTAAAACTATACAGCGTGCCAGACGAAAGAGGTGGTAACTTGTTTTGTATTCATGACGCTTCCGCAGAAGGCAGCACAGGAATCCTTTATCTTATTAGCTGACAGGCAAGGGTGGTACATTACGTACGGGTTCGCCCTGTGGCACCCGTACAACGCAGTTTGGCTCTTTGGGCTCCAGCTGGAGACGTCGGTCTTGAGACATCACTGGCCGAGAGTTTACGCCGTCCCAACTCTAGACTGGAGGAACGTACTCCATGCAGCTAGCAGCGAGATAGTGGCCGCCTCCGATCGAAATATGGCGATCCAAGGAAATACGCGATTGATACCTCGACTATGAAGCGACAACTGAGTCTCGGCCCTCACGGAACATGCGCCTCGTAATTAGGTGGCGGGCCAGCCGTCGCAGTCTACGGGAGCGACCGCCAGGATGGAGGCACCATTGCAAGGCCAAGTTGGAGTCCAAGTAGCAGTTAAACGTGCGCCGTCTCACGCTCCCTCAAGCCGCCGAGAAATCCCTGAGGCCGCCAAGCAGCGTCGCATTTCCAGAATGCTGATAAACGGCTCGGCCGCCCTCTCGTTTGGTGGCTAGCGGCATGGGGGTATACGCCGGGTTTGTGACGAGAACATCAGCACACCACACGGCCAGCGACCAGGGTGTGAAACATACAGAGCTGCGCAACGTTTAAAGCACTGCCTACTCCATAGTTGGAGCTGATTCGTGTGTACCTCTCCATTTGAACGCAGGGCCTCTCGTGGTATATCGAGGTCTCAACACATCACCGGAATGCAATTTAAGGGGTCGCCAGTACCGCCATAACTCAATTGCAACGAGATATTACTTCAGACTCTACCCTGGCTTCTTCCTCGGGACACCAGACCAGGGTCCCGGTCTTGCATGCATTCTCGACCCACCTCTTGTCTCTCTTCCCTTCATTTTTCGCTCTCTCCAACCCTTTTCTCGACCCTATATTACTCTCTCAGGTGCCCAGGTGATTCTGACAAAGACACACTCGATACATCCACCTCCCCTTTCAACCAACGTCGACGGGAGCCCCTTTGTTGAATCAACTGCAATGGAGGGAGTGCAAGACACAGAAGAAAAGAGTGTGGCACGGGTTGAAAACCGCCCCGTCAATAACTACGATGGCGAGGCAGCGATGAACCGCCCAGACCAAGATGCCCTCGATATGGCGAAGCTGGGTATAGCACAAGAAACCAAGGTCGGTACAGCCTAATCATCCTCTACTACTCACACAATCGCTGGAATGGGTTCTGGAGTGCCTTTTGAACATTATAAAAGTCTAACTAGGCTATGCAATAGAGAAGATTCGGTTTAGTGACAATTTTGGGCTTCACAACCTGTATTATGGGCACATGGGAGTCATCTCTTCCGTACGAATTTCTTCATGACCCTTGCCCCTTAAACTATATGTATATGCTAATCGTTCTTCCAAGATTTTTCCTCACTGCCTATTACAATGGAGGCCCGGTCACCATGGTGTACGGGTTTATACTTGCCTTCTTTGGCTCGTTGGCGACATGTGCGTCCCTTGCTGAGATGGCTTCAATGTGAGTTTTATACAGTACAGCCATTTGATATTGTAAGTCATGTTACTAAATGCTAGAAGGTTCCCCGTTTCAGGAGGGCAGTACTATTGGGCGTCCCTTCTTGCTCCCCCCGGAAAGGTAAAATTCCTTAGCTTCTTGACGGGTAAGTATAATCCTGGAATTATTTCTTGGCTGCCCATAATAATGACATACGTCTAGGCTGGCTTTCTGTCCTGGGGTGGCAATCCGCCTCTGCTACGGGGACTTATCTTGGTGGCACGATCATCCAAGGGGTTGTTAAGCTGAACTACCCCGAGTATACACCAGAAAAGTGGCAGGCAACCCTTATGCTATATGCGGTACTTATTCTCTCCGTGTCCGTGAACGTCTCTCTTGTGAAGTGGCTTCCGGGCGTGGAAGGAGTTATCTTGATCATCCATGTGGTCGGGTTCTTCGCCATTCTGATACCATTAGTCCACCTTGCCCCTATCAGCCCAGTGGAGTTTGTTTTCACGGAATTCATAAACACCTCAGGCTACTCGAGCAGTGCTCTCTCCTGGTTGATTGGTCAATCCGCCAGCGCAGTCTTGTTCATAGGATACGATGGTGCTTGTCACATGGGTAAGTACAGCAGCTGAGATATCAATGCTCGCTGCCCCTTTCCATCACTTATCCATATCTAGGCCGTTAGTTGTCTAACATTATTATAGCGGAGGAAGTGCAAAACGCACGCATAAACGTACCAAGAGCTATGTTTTTCACCATGTTCATCAACGGCGCCATGGGCCTTTCCATGTACCTCGTTATCCTTTTCTGTATTGGAGACATAGACAAGGCTATCAACACTCCGACTCAAGTCCCCTTCATCGAAATCTTTCACAATGCCACCCAGTCAAAGACAGCAGCAACTGTTCTGACATCGCTACTAATCACAACATACATTGTCGCAAATTTCAATTTCATGGCATCTGCTTCGAGACAAGCTTGGGCTTTTGCCCGCGATGGTGGTTTACCATTTTCACACATCTTTCGAAAGGTTTTTATCCCATCCCTCCCCCCCTTTTTTTTTCCTGGACAAGAACTCATTCTAATTTGGCAAAAATCAACCAGATTGATCAGAAAAAGTCTATTCCCCTTTATGCAATTGCGCTTACCGGAGTGTTAAATGCTCTTCTTGGCTTGATTAATATCGGGTCAACGATCGCTTTTAGTGCAGTTGTCTCCCTCGTCGTAGGCGGCTACATGTCCTCCTATGTTATTGTCATTTGCGTGATGATTCACAAGCGGCTCACCACCAACAAAATCGAGTTCGGGCCTTGGAACCTCGGCCGATATGGTCTACCGATTAACATAATTGCGGTCATATACACTTTTGTTACGGTCATATTTGCATTTTTCCCTCCACTTGTCCCCGTCACTGCTGCCAACATGAATTACTCAGGTGCTGTATATGGCCTGGTTGTTATCTTTGGCATTGTGTACTATGTGGTCCGAGGCCATAAAACTTTTATTGGTCCAAAATTGCCGCGAAATGCCCTGTAGGGGGCGATGTATAATCTTTAATGCCATTATAATGATTTAACATGAAATGCTATTCAATACTGTACTATAACGTTTGCGGATACCACATACTAATTTGTTTGAAGTATAGGTACATTTCAGTTATCGCACGTGGAGACAAGCTTTAACTCAGAAGGTATAATTCTATGACGCTGTGAAGCACATAAAGCTAATTGAAAGGGCATTCTATCATCCCAAACTATGATACTAAAGGGAGGTTTTGACAATTTTTCCTGTATCCTTCTTTCCGAAGTAATACTGGGAAGGGGGAGGTGTTGAGATAGAGTCGTCATCGGAGATAGAAGGTGTGTCTCCTTGTGCAGGCGTGAAGATCGGGCTACCAGCTGATAACGGAGACGAGCTGGCTGTATCCTTGCTTGAGAGCACAGCCCTCTGTACAGCTCCGGTGAGTTTGCTTCGGCCAGGCTGGGTACTATGTGTTGGGGGCAACTCGGAGCTCGCTGGTGCGATATCATCTTTGGGCGAAGGCATGGTATCGAGGGCTGCCTTTGCTAAGTCCGCAATTGATCCACCACCCAATATCTTGAGAGTTGGAATGTCAACCTCTAGTTCCTTGAGAAACCACGAGCGGATGTCGACAGCAACGAGGGAATCAACACCCTGTTCAACAAGTGCAATTGAGTCTTCGATTTTTTGTTCATCCGTCATACGTAACATACGCTTGAGATGCGCTGAAAATGCGTCGCGGATGATAGTGTATGCCTCCTCTGTATTTTTGGCCGTTTCAAGCTGCACTCTGACACGTACTCCCGCCTTGACAGCCTGGACGTCCAAACCCGTCTCCTCATGGAGGATAAAATGGCTAAACTTGATGTCACGTCTATGCGCCTCCTGAACAAAGAAATCACTTGGGAGGAAGTTTACGCCCATAGCAACTTGGGCTTTCACTCCAGGGGCCTGGCCTGGACGGCCTGATACCACGGCCTCCGCGAATAGGGTATGTAAATCCTCCTCGCTGATGTTAATATACCCAACAGACTGAAAGTATTCAAAGTCAAAGTTGATAGAATTTGCAGCGTAGCCCACACCCACAACGGCGGGAATGCTCATGGCGGATGCGGCAGCTCCACGGTTGCGTCGCTTATACACTAAGGATGCCATATATTCGTTGGCTGCGGAATAGTTGCTCTGGCCACTCCAGCCGATGACAGATGCAATGCTAGAGGCGACAATAAAAAAATCTAGCGATGTATCATCATGAAAGCGCTCGTCAAGTAACTGGGTGCCCAGCACTTTGGGCTTGATAACACGGGCAAACTGCTCGTGGGTCATGTTGGAGAAGAGCTCGTCTTCCAAGATCATGGCGCCATTCATGACACCGGCGATGGGAGGAAGAGTAGCTGTAATAGCGGTATGCGCGTAATGAAGGGACTCACGCGATGTGATATCGAGCGACATAGTTTTGACCACAGCCCCATATCGCTTCGCCATATCCTTAATAAATGCCGGACTCACCTTGGGAGTACGGCTAGTGAGGACAACATAACGTGCCCCATGTGAAATTAACCAACCGGCAAGCGATTGACCAAGCTCACCTGCCATACCAACGAATAGATATGTGCGGTTGTCTCGGAACAATACACCTGAGTCGATTGGCTGCACCTTGGCCATAACAGATGCAGTTGCAGTCCATTCCACAACAGCCATGGGCTCTCCGACGACTCTATGAGAGGGCGCAGTGCCTAGGGCGATGCATTTAGTTTTGTTTGACACGGTTCCTCTTGTATCATCCCAAGCATTCTGTAACACTTGTGCCAGATTCATTTTCAGTTCGGGAATGGATATTGCGTTAATTTTGTGGCCTAGAACCGCCTCCTCATTAACCATGAGACACCCTGGCGGCAGGAATGGAGTAATAGCATCCTTAACAGCTTCGGAGGCAACACCGCGCGAAAAGTGGACAAAGACCGCTGCGGTGTTTGGTATGATGAACTTAATGACGTGCTGAGGGAAGTTGGGATGAAGGAAGACGGAAATGCCATTGTTGTTTTCTTGCAGCTCAGCTGTAGTAAATATAGCGCTGACATTCTTGTTATTGGCCTTGGATTGTAGAGCGGACTGTAAAGCTAAGTCTGCCTCGTTGACCAAAAGGAAGCCCCCTTCAGGAGTGATTGAAAGAATATACTCAGCGACAAGTTGAGCAGCCACTGATACGAGAGTATCCGCATCTGGCATTTTGGAGAGAAGAATGCACGATTGTTCAGGAATATTTGCAGGAGACTCCCCTGAGCTGGAAAGGGCCAAAACAATTTCTCCAGACTTAATATCGATTCCCACACAAAGTCTGAAAAAGCCCGAGGCTCCCACAACAACGCTTTGAAGCAGCGAGTGCGTGATTCTCACGGTACGGTACGCTGTTGATGGGATGCTGGCTAATCTCAGTGGTGAGACTTTATGCAGTTCCAGAGCCTCTTCCTGGCCTCGACCAACTCCTACGAGCTCCAAAGTCTCCTCGGCTGGCTTGGCCGCTGTAAAGACCTCCCTTCTCTGTGAATTGTAGCGCATGTTTTTCTCAAGGTCTGGTATCAGCCTCGTGATCAGTTGCCTCCCATCATGAATGAAGACTTCAGGCTCCACCGTCCACAGAAGGGACTCATCGTCTATATCCCAGCTTTGAAGAACTCGCTGTCTCAGCAATTCCTGGGCTACAATTGTAGCAGTATCAGGCTCAATCCCCCCAGGTGATGCCTTGGAATCGAGGTCAAATAGCTGGAAGCTTAGGTTTGGGTTCTCCGTTTTGATAGTACGGGCGAGGCCCATCATCATGTAACTATAAGGGGTATCCTCCCTAGATCCGCATGTAACCCAGACAACGGTTCCAGCGATAAAACATGCCTTTAGCGCCTCGAACCTATCTGCTGTTAGGTCTTCAAGATAGGGCTTGTCAAGATCTGTAAGTGACAGGATGGTAACCGCCCCCGAAACGGATACAGACTTGGCCATGGCTGAGGAGGCAAAATCTTCAACAGTGTTGAAGAATTCCTTGTCTTGAAAGCGATGAGAGAGCACGTCGGATATCTCTTGACCAAGCTCCTGTACGGGGTTTGTAGTTCCCCCAATAATAGCAAGAGCATCAGTCCGTACGCCAATGGGGTGTTCCTTGACTGCTAAGGGGTTTCGTAGTAGCGTGACCTGATCGTTGACGGCCTGGCCGACAAACACGCTGATAGGAAGTGATGAATTGATGTTAGGAGTTACAGTATCGATTCCTGCAAAACCAGTTTTCTTCAACACAGAGTCCCACTGGTCAAGGGTTAGCAAAGGGCCCCATGGACGACCGGTCTCGGCACCAATCCACCATCCCGGAAGTGTTCCAACTGTCATGCCGCTGAATAGGAGGTCCGTGGAAGTGAGCTCGCCTACTACAATAAACCCACCAGGCTTCAAGAGTCGGCGTATGTTGGACATCGAAGCTTCCATATCAGCGGACACATGCAGCACATTCACAGCCACAATCAAATCATAAGAGCCTTCTATGAAGCCTTGTCCTGCGGGGCCCTTCTCCATATCAAACACCTTGAAGGTCATACGACCAGATTCCTTCGCAAACCGCTCTTCGGCAGCCATAAAGAAGCCGCTAGAGATATCGGTAAACGTATAGGAGGCGTAGGCACCGTGAAGATTTCGAAGTACTGAGGATGTAGTGGCACCCGTTCCAGCCCCAATCTCAAAGATATTGAGACCAGGGAAGCGATGAGATATCTGAGACACTATTCTGGCAAGCCAGCGACTAGTTGGACCAGCACATATGGCATTCTCTTCGTAAAACGCTCGTAAAAGGCCATCTTGGTTCATATGTTCGAGCATAGAATTTCCTGCACGGATGACGGGGATTAAATTATCGCCAACCACTTCAACGAAGCGGATATCCTTGCGGCCCTCATAACGAGCTAAGATCCTGCTAATATCCTCACGAGAATCATCATTGCACTCAGGTCCTACCTTAGGATTTTCACCTCGACTAACCATACCTACCATGCGATCACACCATTTGAGGTATTTCTGGAAATGAGGGAGTAGTCCATGGCGGTCATCAGAAGGAATTGAGAGAGAAGCATGGCGTGTAAACCAGTAGGATACACGATCAACATCTTTATACATCTGAATCTCAAAATCCGTTACGGTCTCGCCTTCAGCCGCAAGTTGCGCATCTGGTGAGGCCACCCGGTATTGGAAGTGTGAAAACATGGGTAGGTCGTTCTTCGGGGTAGCTGGGGAGAATGGCACTAAGGTTGCACCCTCGAATTGCAAAACGGCATGGGAGCCATCATCAGTGCGTAGGTAGATATCTCCAACAACTTTAGAGAGCTGATTGCTTCTCATGAGTGTTTCGAACTGCATGACGTTCTGCTTACCGCCTGCTCCCAGTGCCGTAAAGTACGGATTTATAGTGACAGCAGAGATAGAAACAGGAACATGCAGTGACCATAACTGGGTATCACCGGGATATGACCATGCTGCAAAAACAGTTTGGAGAGCAGAGTCAAGCATACCAGGATGAAGAACCAATTTGTCATCCCATTCAAGTCCGGATTGATCGAATAGAGTACCCACGCTGTAGCCAGACTTGCGGCGGATATTAGATAATCCCCTGAAAGGATGGGAATATTCGTACCCAACGCCAGATAAGTTAGCATAGAAGTGCTCATCCCTGACGCCGACAAGATTGAATGCCTGCTCCTTCACAAGTGGCAGAGAGTCAGGTTTAGCGGGGGATAGATGCCCGGCCACCCGACCTTTCGCATTTAGGAGGATATTCCCACCGTCGACAACTGAGTAGCATGCCCATTCTGCCGTAACAATACTCGCTGAGTTGTGGACGGATGAAACACTGAAGATTGTCTCAACATTGGAGTCATCATCGTCAAAGGCAATAGCTCGGGGAATACTTATATCAGTTAATTTGATCATGCTAATGACATTATCATGGCGGCTATCAAATATAAGGCCCTTGATGGCTTCAACCGCCATGCTCACGTATCCTGTGGCAGGGAAAACGGTCTGTCCTTGCAGTCTGTGACCCTTGAGCCAGGGCATGTCATTTGGACGTAAGAAATTTCGCCATTGAAACTCGCCAGGTGTGGTCGCCTCCGAGCATGGTGCACCCAGAACTGGGTTAGGAAGATGGATAGCGCGCTTATCTTTGAAATGGTTCGCGAGACGACTATTTGTCCAGTAGTCGCGCTTATGTTCGAAAGGGTATGAAGGGAGATCCTTTAATGGCTTCCTGCTTTCGATTCCAGATAATAACCCTTCGACTGCAGAAAATCGGACACTCTCAGGACCGAGCTGTGTCCAGATAAAGCCTAGAGCATTACTGAGCTGCTTGATGTCGTCGAGCCCACGAGAAAGCAAGCCAGTGTATGGAATGCTGCCTATGGTAGCCGTTGCTGGGCCTTTAAGCGCAGGGTGCGGGCCAACTTCAATGGCCAGATCGAATGTACCGATTTGCTGCACCGCATTGGCAACGCCATCGGCGAAAAGGACAGCATTGCACATGTTATTAACCCAGTATTGGTTAGTGAGTCGATCATGGGTCATAGGTTCCCCTCCGTTGAGAGTAGAGTGCCAGATAGTGGTGGTATCTTGACGTGGTGGGTTCGACTGAATGGCACATCCCTCCAATGAGAAAAGATAGGGCCTCGCACAAGGAGCCATGTGTGCGCTGTGATATGCGGTGTCAACTTTCAGCTTTCGGGCAAATATGCCCTGAGATTTGAAAAGTGCCTCAGCTTCGTCCACAGCATCTTCATCACCGCTGAGAGTAACACTCGAACCTGAGTTCACAGCAGCAACTTGAATCCGACCAACGAAATTTTCTTCAGAGCAAATGACTCGTGCGTCTTCAACTGAGGCGCCGACAGCCATCATCGCGCCGCGGGGCCCATGGGCATTCGGGCTTGACGCCAACTTTGCGTGTACACCGCGAAAGTAGGCAATGCGGATGGCATCCTGTGCCGATATAAGGCCTGCTGCATATGCGGCACCAATCTCCCCGGATGAATGGCCAACCACTGCTGTAAATGAGACTCCGGCCCCTCGTAAGATATCTACTAGGATAACCTGGACAGCTGTACAAAGGGGCTGGGAAAGGGCAGCCTCCGCGATACGCGATGTTTCCTTCCCTACAAGGAGCTGATCTTTAAGAGTCCAAGCGGGTCGGTCTCCCAGGTTTGGGAGGCTCTGGAGAGCAGCGTCTAACTCGGAAATGCGCGATGCTGCAAAGAGCGAGGACTCTATCAGCTGGGCACCCATCCGTGGCCATTGAGCACCCTGTCCAGTGAAGATACCTAATATCTTTGCAGGCGTGGAAACCATGCCGAACCTGGTACCGAGTTCGATGTCGTCTTTGTTATCAGACGAAGCGTTAACTATACCCTCAAGGGACTCAATAGCGTCCTGGGTTGTCGCTGCAACGACAGCTTTGCGGTATGGAAGTGTAGACCGCCTGTGCTGCAGTGTGTAAGCAAGGTCTGAAAACTCGACAGTAGGATTTAACTTGAGATACTCAAGATGCTGGGATAACATGGTCCGTAATGCGGTCTCTGAAGCAGCCGAGAAAGGCAGAGGAGTGAAAATTGAGGTGATTGGCTTTTTTTCCGGAACATACTCCTCCAAAATACAATGGGCGTTAGTTCCGCCGAACCCAAAACTATGATGCAGGTCATGATCAGTATAGGACATTCAAGAACGAGAATACAAGTAAATCAAATCCTCCCCTGCTTAAAGCGAGTTGTGCGGGTACCCAATGGTTTTTATGTATATTCCACATACCTGTTAACGCTCGCCCTTCTTACTTGGCCTTCCTTAACTGGCCATGGCATTGGGGCAGTCGGAATTTTTAAATTCTTGAAAAACGGGGCGACTTTGGCGCTCAAGTTTGCGAAATGCAAGTTGGGCGGGACGATGCCATGCTTCAGTGCCATCATCGTGCCAATCACACTGGCCAACCCGGCCGTGCCTTCAGTATGGCCGATGACGGTCTTGATAGAGCCGACAAGTAGCTTATCCGCCTCCTTTTCTGCATGAGAGCCAGCAGGAAATAGGGCGCTCGAAATAGCTTCCGCCTCCTGTGGATCACCTGCCTGGGTACCTGTACCGTGGGCGTGGAAAAACTGAGGGCGATCCTGTAAATTGTTGGTGGGATCCAACCCTGCTCTAGAGTAGCATTCACGGATAAGATTAGATTGTGCGAGGTTGCTGGGCATAGTCAGCCCAGTAGTTCGGCCATCCTGGTTAACGGCGGTTTCGCGGATGATACACTCAATGGGGTCATTATCCGCAATTGCCTGGGAAAGGGTTTTGAGAAAGACTGCCGCAACACCCTCACCGCGTGCATATCCATCTGCTGAGGCATCCCACATAGCGCAACGACCTGTTGGGGAAAGCATCCCAAGGTTGCTCTCAGAAATATACATCGCTGGTGGTTTATAGGTTAGTATAAGTCTTTACATCTTGCTCTCACTGCTAAAAGTATCAACACGTACCTGGACTCAAGATTAAATTTGTGCCAGCGGCGACAGCGACCTTGGACTTGCCGCTCCGTAAGGCCTGCACACCCAGGTCCAATGCAACCAAACTGCTGGAGCATGCGGTATCGATAGTCATACTAGGGCCGTGCCAATCAAAAAAATATGACACGCGGTTTGCTACAATCCCTCTCTCAAGTCCAGTAGCAGTATATCGAGGTAACGTCTCCCAATCACGGGTTAACATGGTACTCCAGTCATCAGACATCAGTCCGACGTAGACCGCAGTGTCAGAGCCGCGAAGTTTCTCCATTGGCTGACCAGCGGCACATAGACCATCATAAACGACTTCCATCAGCAACCGTTGCTGAGGGTCCATGGCTTCCACCTCGCTGGGCTGGATGTTGAAAAATCCGGCATCAAACTTGGCGACGTTGCTCGTATCGGACTCCTCTAGCCAGTACGACTTGGTAGCATTTGTGGTGCCATGGTGGGTGCCGACGGGATGATAGAAAGCGTCGATATCGAAACGGGAGGCAGGCGGTTTGCTGCTGAGGTCGCGAGGATGGTGGATCACTGACCAGAGTTTAGATGGCGTATCGGCACCGCCTGGGAAACGGCAGCCAGAGCCGATAATGGCAATCGGTTCAACCATGGCTTAAGGGGCAAGATGAGAAAGAAGATGAAGTTGAGGCGGTAACGTTTAGGCGAGGCGGCCGATAGTGAGAAGGATCAGGGACGCCGGCTGGGATATGGATATATCAATAGAGTCTAGAACGAAAGAATGATATTGTAACAGAGCAGCGTGGGAGAAATCTATATTGGCCCCGAATCCGATTTGAATGAATGTTTGAATGATGAATTCAGATTCAGATAAGGGGGAAAGCCAACCCGAAGCAGCGCGAGGAGATGAATCCTGCAAGAGCTATTACTGAAACCAAATAATGGAAAGTGTTCGCACGTGGAAGAGCGTAGCTCAGGTAAAAGAGTAGTCCCAGAACAATCGAGCCATAACAGGCCCCTCCATGTGGTATATATATCTAGACACAACGGGGACTTGGCCTAGAATGCTCAGTAGCTAGAGATCAGCTACTATCAATCGGAGACGGCATTGCAGGTTCGGTACGGCAGGAAAGCTTGTACCGAACATAGGTAAAGGAACGCATAGGAGCCATCCACAGCTGACATTCGGAGGGGGAATATGGAAATATCGGGCAGTGGGCATCGGACAGCCGTAGACCAGAAAGGAGTTCGGAGAGAAGCAGCCATGGAACTTTCGGAGAGATCGCTATGCTCAATAATCGGCATTTATATTTTGCTGCACGAGACGGTTAGGTTGTGCAGGGCCGAGGCAGTCAAGGTTAAGCTTGAGAGTGTCAAAGCAATGCCGGACAGGAACCAGGGGGTACGGTGTGTTGTGTAGAAAAGCTGAGACAACCTGCCGAACTTATGCATATCGGAAGTTCCATTGTGGACGCCACGTTTTCGCGTGGCCTCCGAAGGAATGTGAGCCAAATCCTTGCAGGGTTGAGAGGAGGCTAGGGGTAATTAACTTAGCGAATAGGACGGCTGGCCGGAGTTTTGATAGTGAAGACGCTTTGCTCTCGTTGTATCTACATCCGACATGAGTACGATGGTAGATTGCGCGATTAAGCTGAAGCTGAGAACTCAGCTCTTCCGATTACGAGTAACATCAGCGTCACCATCCTCGTCGCCTGGATTGAAAGAAATCCCGGCATAAGTGCAAGATAAGGCGTCGTACGCATCTCCTTTCAGTATAAATAAGCCTGCAAGTATAGCTGGTACCTACACGAATAATGGATTAAGGGTATATCCGAATGCTACTGGCGATAATGGCAACATGCTGGGATTAGTAACCGATATACGTATCCTGCATGCCACGATGGGGGGTTCGGGTTTCTTCCGAGCGACACGGCTGCTATCTAGGCTCCAATGTCGCTACATGATAGGACGCAGCCAAAGTGCTACACACCTGAACCTTCAAGGGAGGGGGTAGCAGCTCGTCTCGCGACGGGCTATAACTAGCTCGTTGTTCCAGGCCAGTTCATCAGCATCCAATCATCCAGTGTTGTACCCCTATCCAAAGCATTTACATCAAAGGCAAAATGTTGCTGATCAGGAGGCGTAAAGCTTCCAAGGAGACCTGGCATGACAAATCTGTCCGCTATACCAAATTTTGTCAGTTCATCGTAGCAAATAAATGATGATCAATCTTGACTTACGCTCGTAGAACCCCACATCCATACCATTAGATAACAACGCCTGTCCGTAAAGGTTTACCCCCCCTTCGCTACCGGTCATGATGGAATGATCAGGATGAGCCAAAGAACTCTTTCCCTCGTTAATTCTACCGGCATCCTCGTCATCGGGATCGATTTCGGGGGCTCGCCCTTCACTTGTCCTTGCAAGCACAATGCTTACGGTCTCAGCTGCCTTTTTAGCCTCCTTGGAGTGGGTACTCCTTCTTATCCAGATCGACCTCGTTTTGTGCAGCGCTGCGATGATTTCTTCCTCTCGGTTCAAAGTCTGCCCACGATGCAGCAATGAGCATAGTATCATGGTGCCCGTTAGGAACTGATGGTTCATTATAGAAGACACACGCCAGCGCATGGAGTAAAGCTGGCCACCCTGACATGTCTCCTCGTCGAGGATGTGCTGGATACCTAGAGTGCCGAGGGAGGCCTCCACACAGGCGTTGCGTGAGTATGCGAACGTATCCTCTTCACGAGACGGCGACTCCATGTAAAGGAATCGTCGGTGAAGCATTATCTGGCCTTTATAAAACATATGGGCAATAAACAGGCGGGCCATGATAACTTGCGAGGAGTCGGTGACACTGGCCGCCATAGGTTTCATTTTTAGCGGCGGTGGGATACTAGCTGCAGCACTGTTCAAAATACCATCAACCCGCATGACTTCTGCATAACCACAGGGCTTGACGGCGTCCGTAAGATCCGAAATAGCGCCCAAGGCCATGAGCATCCTTCTTCGAGCGATGACACCTAATGCAGTTGTGTGTTCAGTCTCTGGTCGTGGCGGAGGAAGCTCAGCTGTATTCTCGTCTATGTCAGTATCGTTCAGGTTTCGGGGTTCAGCAGTATCGCACTTCCAATCCGAGATCATGCGCGCCATACCCATCTGGCTAGATGTGAGGATATCGCCCATCAGAACCGTCGCCCACAGTCTACGCCGCATTTCTCCCTGCAACGGCGATATGCCTGGAAAGTGGCTGGGGTCTCGGTGATAGCCCATGCGCATCGCCAGGTTCACTTCAAGTGCAAGCAGAAACCAATTATCCTTATCCGCATCAGGACGAATGTTTAATTCCACGTATACATACTGGATCATTGTCTCCAATACATAAGGTCCCGACTTTGTATATTCACCCATTAGAAGGCATTGAACTATCTTTTCACGGTACAAGTCGACTTGGAGTGCCTGCTGGTCGGCTTCATTACTACCATATGTAGGGCCAGAGGGATCTGAGGCCAGCACCGCAAGGCAGATCATGCCAAAAAGAAGGCCGACCCATACGATTGGGGCTCCGGAGGGATTGTTCCAAAATGCCTCATACTACCAACAGTCAGCCAAAGAATGAGATGAGGGATTCATGAGGGAATGATATCACTTGCCTGATTAAGAAAGCTAGGGCCATGGACGATTGCTGTTTAAAACCGAGCTAGTTAGCTATAATACCTAAGATATTCCGTTTTAATAGATACACTTACAAGAGGCTACGAGATCCAAGCAGTTGAAGTAACGTGAGATATAGCGGTCCACAGCACTCTTGGGTGGTAGAGCAGCGAAAATTTCAGTACGCGACGCTGGGAGAGGGCATCCGTAAAGAAGAAGTGCGTGAGGCGATCTGGGCCGCCCCATTGCATCACCACTCCCATCATCCTGATCCTGATCCCGATCAGGACTATTTGCCAGCCTTAACTGCTCTTCTCGGTCAAAGTGGTCTTTTAGGTCCGCAATGTTCTCTAAGATTGCAGCCCAGTGGTCACCGCCAACATAACGAAGCTCTGAGGCACTAACTCGCATACTCCCACATTCAGAACGTCCATCCATCGCTGCGTCCATAGATGGATTAGCACCACCACCAATCCCAGGTGAAGATATAGGCACATGCCCATGGTCAGATCCAGTCCCAGGGCCTAAGTCAGGCGCAGGGGCGGATGCGGGTGCTGGAGCAGAAGTCGAGCCGAAGCTGTGCTTCTGAGTTGGATTGGGCATGAGAGACATGACGAGACGCTCTAGCTGAACAAGGCGATCGTGGACTCCAGGGCCTGTGGTCCCTGTTGCTACTGCTGGCGGCGGCGGCGGCGGCTTTGCTATCGTCGCTGGGTGGTTTTCTGCGTAGATGCAGGCCTGTCCACGGGATAAGCAGGTGGAACATGGCTGTTGACGGTCACACCGCGATCTTAAATATCGGGACTAGTATTAGCTTGGAAAGTCGTGGGCAGAAATAACGAACTGGCGTACTCACTTGCGGCGACGACAGAGATTACAGGAAAGCTGCGGTTTGTCTCTACGCCGGCTGGGCTTCGGGCGCGGCCTCGACACGCCATCGATATCGGTCTCCTGAAATTCTAGCGTCGGCGATGTGGCTATGACAGGCCCAGCGTTCATTGGTGATTCAGGCATTACCAAGCCGGCTGTGATAGGCGTGCTGACTTCGGCAACAGGCGCCATGGCAAAGTCACGAATCAGTAAGGACTTGAGCAAGGTAAACGGCGTGTTGATAGCAGTTGTCCAATACTCTGTACTCCGTACTGGCGGGATATCAGAAGGCGAACGTAGAAAGGAGCAAGGCTTCACACCTATTTATCCCTCTGCTGTCAGTGATCGTCCTTGGATCAACGTTGTTTTTTTATAGAGATGCACTAGCTCCCTGCACGTCATTGCAAGGGTAAGCCCGCTCTGGCGTCCAGTGGTGCCTGTTACGTGATCCTCATGCTTGTTGTGCTGATGCGAAGTCTTCGTTGTCCAACGCTGAATGTTTTGAACCTCGCCTTCCAAGGCTGGACTTGCACGTGATGCTCCATTATCATGTGACTCTCTAGATGGCCGGACTACCTCTACACAAGGATTAACGGGGAGCAGGGCAGGATCTCGAAAGGACGACCAAAAGACATCCCAGGCTACGTTCAAGGCTTAAATTGTCAGCCTTCAACTGACACCCCTCTCGACTATTTAACTTGTATACGGGATGATGGCAAAGTTATTTAGCATGCGTCACACTCTATCTATACCACCGAACAAATACAGCGCATGCGGCCGGATGTCGTACAGTGTCCACGTCCTGTCGTCGGAAATAGAAATGCCACCCCGTTCGACAGCCTTCTGCCTAGCGTAACGAACCTTGATCAAATCGAGTCGGAGGCAGAGATATAGAGGGCAAAACTTGGCGAAAACGAGCTGAAGTCTTGGCATCGAATTAAAGCTTGTCCTGCCGAGGCTTGGCGGAGCGTCCATCAAAGCTTAGCTCACGAACTTTAAGCACACTTGGCGAGGTCTCACTGGATGGTCCGACCATCCGACCATCCGACGCTCCGCTGCGACCCTCCGACGATCCGCGGCCCCACTTTGATGCCGCTCCCACGCGTGCGGCTCCACTGGTCCGTGGGTTGATGTTTCCACGTTAAGGTCGAAGGCGGATTTAGGCGCGATGAAATCATATCTCCGTTGCCCCTGTCCTTCCTGCGTGCCTGCTCCCTTTAAACGGCTACATAAGCTCCTCGCTCTCTATTACTTACAGTCTCCATCCTCACCTACGTTTCTCGCTCACAACAACCCCCAATACTCGCCTTGCGTCAAACCATTAGTCGCCTAGATATAGCATCCTCCAAGATAAAGAACCCAACTATTTTTCAGCCGCACCTGAGCCATGTCGACAGCAGATACCAGCACGGACACTGTGCCGCTTGAGGCGGGCCCGACTGAGGAAAGCAAGGTCGCTGACCCTGAGCTGGTCGACTGGGACGGGCCAAACGATATCGAGAATCCTCACAATTGGCCAAGCCGCAAGCGGTGGGCGCACGTCGTTGTGGTTGCGATTATTTGCCTAGTTATGTATGTATACACGGTTATGCCAGCCAGTGGTGGTGGTGGTAGAGGGGTGTGTGTGTGGAGGGGCCTCGTATCTTGACGTCTGCTAATACGAAGTGCGTCTACCTGAACAGGAACATAGCGCCAACTATGTGTGCTCCGAGCATCAACCTCCTCGTTGCCGAGTTCCACATCCGCTCGTTCGTCGTCAGTACCCTTGCAGTGACCCTCTACCTCCTTGGCCTGGCCGTTGGCCCCATGTTCATCTCGCCGTTGAGCGAAATATACGGCCGTTTGCCCGTGTACCATATCTCCAATATTGTGTTCGTCGGTTTCGTCATCGGCAACGCGTTAAGCAAGAATATCGGCCAGTTCCTTGCTTTTCGCTTCCTCTCCGGCTGTGCGGGTGGCACCCCTATGGCCCTTGGCGGAGGAAGTATCGCAGATGTCACCCCCATTGAGCGTAGAGCAATTGCCATGGCCTTGTTCAGTCTTGGGCCACTAACTGGTCCGGTAAGCCGTACACCCCCATACTCGCTTACAACTTACAGCATGCAAACACTAACTTGATCTGTGCGACTAGGTTCTGGGACCTGTCATCGGTGGCTTTATCGCCGCGGGCAAGGGCTGGCGTTGGATCTTCTGGATTCTAGCGATTATCGGTGCTGCCGCGACCATCGTTGCACTCGTCATCCTACGTGAAACACATCCTGGGGTCATTCTCGAGCGCAAGGCCGCCCGTCTTCGTGCATCCACAGGCAACCCACACCTTAGATCTAAGCTTGCTCGTTCCCTGTCGCCACGGCAGCTCCTTGCTGGTGCTCTTGTTCGACCCACCATGCTGCTCATTCGCTCGCCTATTTTGCTCATTATATCCCTCTACGTGGCCCTGGTGTTTGGGCTCATGTACCTCCTCTTCACTACCTTCACTGACGTCTTCGAGGGTGAGTATGGTTTCACAACATCAACCTCTGGGCTTGTCTACCTTGGACTTGGTGTTGCATTGGTTATCTGCATGTTACTCTTTGGCGCCCTCAATGAGCGTGTCCAGGCTGCGTGCCTGAAAGCTGACGGAGCAACCCAAACACGGCCCGAGTATCGTCTGGTACTCATGATCTTCTTCAGCCCCTTAGTAGGAGTTGGCCTGTTCATTTATGGCTGGACTGTTCAGTATAAAGTACACTGGATTGTACCTATCATAGGCACTATGGTCATGGGCTTCGGGGCCTTTTTCGTTCTTGTGAGTTACCCCCTCGCCGATTAACAATTTAGTGTCGTTAATGTATGCTAATCATCAATTATAGATGCCTGCCCAACTTTACCTTGTTGACCTATTTGGGTCCGAGGCCGCTGCTTCAGCCCTTGGAGCGAACAACCTCATGCGCTACTTGTCAAGCACATTCTTGCCACTAGCCGGGCCGAGCATGTACAAGACACTGCATTACGGCTGGGGTAACACACTGCTCGGCTTCCTCGCACTCGCTTTTGTCCCTGCCCCAATCCTATTCTACAAATATGGCGAGTGGCTTCGCGCTAAAACTGCCATCAAGTTGTAGTTAACTAGTTCTTAAGATTAACCAGGAGGTTTTAACTTGGCCATATAATGGCACATGAATAGAAAATATTATCTCCCTCCCGCTTGTGTAAATGTAAGATAGTCAGATAGCCAATTTTAGTTTGGGGATGCACTACGTTAAGTCTAGATTAAATTCATCGTATCCCGCACCCACTCCGTAACACCCTAAGGCCATGTGTCAAAAGATAAGACAAGCTAGGGGGATCTTCAACGGGCCTGGCAGTGGCGTATCTTACTGCATAGCTCCCCACAAGTTCACGAGGCTGGTGAGCAAGCCCTGCAGTCTCGAATGGCAACAGGAAAGCCTGCTATATCCCACCCCAGCCAATAACTAGCTGGTCCCTAATTAATAATCTAGGCCGTGTGCCATGCAGGTAGGCAAAGTGGGGGGTCCCCTGGAGCCGCCCTGGTCCGGCAAGGGGGGGGGAGTATTGGGCCAGATGGTCATAGGCTACTAAATCCTTCTAGTTCCTTCAGGAGTCGGACAACTTCCCCATGTAGCGATCTCTACGCAAACCGTAGGCGTGCCAAAGTTTAGGACACGAGGAAGCCATGCAATGTAACTGCGACGGAAATCCAAAGCCTTTCTCCACGGGACTGCTGGACAACTGAACAACCAAGCCTCGCTTCCGTGCAGCTCCTAGCTGAAGCCTAAGATATGAACATTGCGAGTGCCTGTGTGCATGAAATGCCTCTCAATTGGCCATGCTGTCCCTTTTCGGCCCTATTAATAGTTCTAGAGCTTGTCGTCCCACCACGAGCGTCATTTGTTTTGGGACCAGGAGCGAGTTGGGGCTGGAGGATATGAGCGAGCTGGCTATAACTACCGAACATACCCCCTCAGACAGTGAAAACACAAGATTTTCAATCAAAAACAAAAAAATCTAGCCCGTCGATGAAACAGTTCCATCTTCCGCATATATAGCAAGAGCCGCCGTCATACTGAATAGTCAAGCATCTCAATACCGCATTTTTGACGTGTGAAACGAAGGTATTGGGCGCTTTAGTGTTTCATCCATTCTTTCTTTCTTTTTTTTGCGGTTAGCCGAACAGGACGAGTTAAGCATTTGTAGTATCGTGTTGTCCATTCCCGAGTTCCACCATGAGCACTAACATCGCTCCGCCTCTGCGTGCATCGTGCGATCGTTGTCGGGCCCAGAAGTTACGATGCGTGTCGTCTTCCACCACGGACGCCACGGCTCCATGCCAGCGGTGTTTGAGGGCAAAGTCGCCTAAATCGTGCGTTTTCAGTCAGCGATTACGGACGGGACGGTCCGTGAAGATCACTGGGGACGGCGAATCGCGGCAAGGCGCAGCTCGCAGGGAGAAGGATAAGTCGCCTGCGTTGCCGGGTATGAGTGCTTTTTCGTTGTCCACGCCATCGCCTTCAAAATGCGCTTCTATGGACACGCGGACGCAGTCTCAGACTCAGGCTCGGACTCGGGCGCAGACTCAGACCCAGAGCCAGAGCCATAACCAGGCGCATCATCGTGTGCCGCGGAGCGAGGGTAAGCTGGACGCGCTTGATCTTGAATGCGAAGATCTAGTGGCGTCAAGCTGCGAACAACGTCCAGGAGATATGATAGACCTATGGGAAGCCGACAATACGATATTGCAGCCTTCGAGCCTCTTTTCTGGCACCGACGAGCTCAGTGCCTCACCAGAGATGTCGGATTACACCTTTGACGTGGGTGCATACTTCGATGCGCAGGATTTCTTGCTGCCTCAGCCGTATCCTACGCCCATCGACATGGTCATGGACATAGACGAGTTGGCGGCGGAGAAACCAGGGCCATTGGTCGACCTGACGGCGCTTCTGGCGAAAATGTCGCATTATGAGAGCCAACTTTCGAAGTTAGCAGGCGGCGACCTGGACAACTATCCGATAGGCGATGCACTCTTCCTCTCCCAGCGATTCTACACAATACTGACCGAACACGACAATGTGCATTGTATAACTTCTTCGTCTCATCTCGATATGCCCACCAAACTGCTCACTCTCTCTTGTTATATGACCTTAACACGAGTCTACTCGTCTGTCTTCGGGTACCTGCATGAGCGCCTCTCTCAGCTTCCGGAGGCACACTTTGCGCATGATAGCAGGAGACACTCCGCTTCGTCCCTGATTGATATGCACGCTTATCGTGGACTACGCCTCGGCCAGATACAACCAATCTGCGCATGCGCGGGAAGGGAGTCTGCCACCCGCGTGAAAAAGGCAGTATCAATGCTGCTTGGGTCGCTAGGTGGTGCCGAGGAGATGCTTGGCCTTCCGTCGGATGTGAGAGTAACGGCCAGTATTCAGGTAGAAGCTCATGCCGGGAAAGGGATGTCGAGCCTAAGTGGACACTGTGATGAGAGGATTGCGCAGCCTGAGGATGGCCTGCTAGTTGGACTAACAAATAGTCGTTTGCGCGAGACTGTTAGAGAGCAGGCGGGGGAGCTGCGGGGGAAGGTTGACGAAGTTGATGACATACTAAAGGGACTATTTGAGCTATAGAAAGGCCCTTGGTTGTCAATGGTCAGATCTTCGTATATAACGGTCATTTCAGGAGTTTTGTTTTTTGTAGACACTTACCTTGGCTTAGTGAAAGCTGTTTCACGATTAAATTTGATACAATGCAGTATATAGCTATATATTATAATCCCATAGAATCATTGAAAAGTCCAATTGATTTTGAAGTGAACAGTCAACTCTCGCATAGTCCATCAAATCTTGTGTTTATGGAGAATACGGAAATGAAAACTCCGAGAAAAAGTATTAATTCACTATATGGTGTGGTGTATCTATGCTCTTAGAAACCCTTTTAAGTAGGGATCGGATAAAGGGTTTACACTTAATATAACTAACTATAAAAGCAAACGCAGTAACAAAAAATTTGAAGTAACGTCAGGATATCACAAGTTATGCCTATGTGTAGTCTTCGATACCAGATAGCTATATGTCTAGTCTACATTACCACTGTGCTGTGCTGATCGAGTCTGAATCAAAGTTGAATGCTTTGTCGGAGCTATTTGTCATCGGCTGCGATTGCACCGATCGAGAGAGAAAGCTCATTTTCAACACTACGCCTTACGGGCTAATGAACACGATCTCCATAGTTCCAAGAGTTAAGGTTATATAATCCCCGATGCTGGTCGGCAAGTCGGAGTTCCTGATGTAGTTGGCTGTGCTCCGGGTGCGATAACTCGGAAATCGGACATCTGACAGCTAGAAGGGGAAGTTCCGATAAAACTATGGCCCGGTGCATGCGACGATTAGATGGCCAACATAGATGAATGAGTTGAATATTATATGCCTTTGATTCCGCTGCCTCTTTTTTGTCAAACTATTCATAATAGCAAATACATCATGCCACCCCAATCTGTTGTAATTGTGTGTTGACCCCCATTCGACCCAAATTTGCGTGTCATTAGCTCATGAACATGTTACCGCTAGGTCGGAGGTTCCGTTGCAGGGTTACTGCAAGGGCTACAACTCAAGCGATGCGGTAGCAACGTTATAGTCCTAGAGCAAGACCCTTCCAAGGACCGACACAGCCATGAATCCGGCGTCTCCATTGGACCGACCGTCGTGCGCCTTTTAGATAAATATGATGCCACAGGTCGACCAGCAGCAATCCCCGCTAAATTCATTAGTGCTGCGTGGCACAAGCGTCTTAGGGTGATCAATACCCATTGGGCACACAGCATGAGCAACTGGGGATGCCTATACCTGATATTACGTGCGAATTTCGATGGATTCAAGTCTGAGACGGTCCCGAACCCTCCTGGGCCGCAGAAAGGGGATGGGAGCGTTGAGTATTGGCCGGGGAAGCGTGCAACGGGGTTGAAGTATGCTAAGGATCAGGGTAAGGTTCACCTCCAGTACGTGGACGTGTTGACTGGTGAGGAGAGCAGCGTTAGTGCGGACATGGTCATTGCCGCGGATGGTGTACACTCGACTATCAGAAAGATATTACAGGTGCCGACACGGAAGGATTATGCAGGGTATATTGGATGGCGAGGCACAGTGCCGGAACGCTTACTCTCTGAGGAAACGATTGAATATTTCTCAAACCGTCTCAACTTCTCGGTTTTGAACGGGATGTATTTTATAAGGTAAGAGAGCGCTCTTCTTCCCATTATATACTCACGCTAACTGTCATACAGTTACCTTATCCCCACGGAGAGTGGACACGTAGAGCCAGGCAAGCGTCTTATCAATTGGGTTTGGTATTATGTTGTGCCAGATGGTTCGCAAGAGATGGATTCCATTTTCACCGATATACACGGCAAGATACACCCAAACACGGTACCACAAGGGCTTGTCAACCCTGACGTGTGGGCTGCCCAGGTGGCACGCTACCTTCCAGAGATGACGGCACCGCTTGCCGAGGTGGTCAGCAACACTCCTAATCCATTCGTCACCAAGGTCGGTGAGGCACAATGTTTCACTCCCAGTTTCTATGACGGCCGAGTCGTGCTGGTTGGCGATGCGTTCACAGGGTTCAGGTCACACTTGGGCATGGCATCAGAACAGGCAGCGCGCCATGTTGTGCAGATGGATAAAGTCTGGCGAGGAGAGATGACAATGGAGGAACGGGATCGCGAGGCAATTCTATATGCAAAGCGGTTTATTTTGCTGAACAGGATGGTCGGATGGACAGGGCTGGGGTGGCTGTTCGCAGTTCTGACGGCGGCGGCGAGCTATGCGTGGCTGACTATCGAGCAGAAGTTGGGTATTGCTTGAGTGAGGGAAGGGATGTCCCTTCCTTAGAGTATACGAAGTAGAATTTCGAAATTATTATGACCAGACTGTTAGCCCTTCTCGTGTGTACTCCGTAGTAACAACGAACAATGGCTGTACCATGATAGAAGCAATGCCTAAAGGCCAGGAGTCGATAACCGAATGTCAAACCTGGCTGGAAATAATTTTCTGGCGCTTTGGCCAGTGAGCTTAAGAAAGTTAAATTAAGCTTCTATGAAATAAGAATGGCTGGGATGCACTAAACCAAAAAGAGCAATGAACGGTAAATCACGTGCCATTACTAAGCAAAAACATCCCCAGCCACCCACGGAAACTTCGATACGGCGACGTTGTTTCGTCTTAATGGTTGCAAATTGGGGGAGGTTGGGAAGGGGGCAGGGAAAAGGGGCCGAGACCTTACATTATATATTCATGTAAACGGTGCATATTCTGCATTGGCATTCCTTTCTCCCTCCACTTCTTCAATTGCTACCTGACATCTCTCAACACCGTGGGCACCCTTCCAGTAATAGGAAGCAGATGCTACATAGAGTATAGTGAGTTTTCCTACCTTTACCTCCATGGCGCATTGATACGACCTTTAAATTCTAACATCTTGACAGATATTTACCGTTCCATTCATACTTTGATACTCTCTTGTCAATCTTTTGATTTTCCACCCAGGCCGACAGTCTTGATCCCGTATATATACCCTACGAGCCCCAGAGCAGTATCGAGGAGGGAGTCCTTCCTTTACGCAACCAACAATTATCAAATCTCAGAAATTCCTCAGCTCGTCAGAAGTCGCAAGCGACAAGCTACAGACACGCAACAATGGTCCAGCGAAATGTCACAATCGCCATCATTCTCATCATCCTCTTCTTCCTACTCGCCGTTGTCGGATTTATAATTTTCTATATCAATAGTCGCCTGGGCTGGTTCGCTAGGGCAAGAGAAGTGGACGAAGAACAATAACACTAGCCACCGCTCAGAGATGGAAAAGGAACGGGCTTGATCGCGCAACGAGGAACTTAAATATACCCGCACGAAGGGAAGCATATTATATGTTCACGCATTTATGGGAAATTCCGATTGTTCTTCAACTGAAGCTGCAAGGATATAGCTTACGGCGTTACATTTTACACGGCGGGTTTTCTGCTTTAGAAAAGGTTGGATAAACAGCGGGCGTTGTCTGGATCAGACTGGATAAATGAGATGGCAAGGCAATAAATGGCCTTACCTTTATTAGTATCATCACGAATGTTAATAGAGCTGACGAAATGATTACGAATTTATCAACTATTTTTAATTGTGGATCTCTAACGATAGTTATATACATCGGTGGTTTTGCACATAGCTTTATAGCTTGACTATGACAGCACCCGCGTAAGTGTACATGAACAGCCAACAAGCCCAAGATTGTCATCGTTAACTGTCGTTGGTGTGAAAAATTTCCTATTAGTGTGGTTCTCGCGTGCCCGGTTCCTGCGGAGTATACTGCGTTTTAGGTGATGCCTCAACTCGCTCAGAGGTATTTCCGTCTGTCGGGCCTGATGCGTTAGACAGTCGATGTGGACGGGTGGAGCTATCCCCTGGACCGGCGGCTCTGGCTAAGTTTCCCGTTCCTGGGGGAGTGGGAGGGGTTGCAGAGCCAATTGGGAACATAGGTCCGCGAGGGAGAGTTGGAGATAGGACTGAGTTCGATCGATTCTGAGGTGCTGTAGACGACTCATGGACTGGTGGGTGACTCCAAGCGTATCTAGGTGACGAGGAGCCGCCTGGGCTAGAAAACCTAGGTGGGGGTTGGTCCTCAATCTGGCGCGGCCGTTTAGGGGGTCGGAAATGGTCGGTTGTTTCGTTGGCCTCCCTGCTTTCATGGTGTGGAGAGTGCTTCGCGGGAGACTGTGGGTGATGTCGCTGTTGATAAGGCTGATGTGGTTTTGGCGATGTCGCAACCGGAGGCGGCAGCGGGTTGCTTCGTTGCAGGGGCGAGGCCATCCTTGTTGAATAAGGCCGGTGAGCGGTGCCATGGGGGGTTGAAACTTCGGTATTCGTGTTATCGAGGCCACCCACGCCACTTCGACCCATTGATCTATCGTGCATTACAACGCGCTGCCACTTAGCCACTAGGTTATCATAATCCCATTTTGATGACTCGGGGGAATTTATTCTGCTATCGTGTTGGTCGAGCTCTCTAGCGACATCTGGAGATATTGGGAGTAGGTTGGGTGGGAATATCGCAAACTCTCTCGGCCATTGACATGATGCGAGTTTCTCAACCTGCGCACGTAATTGATTCGCCTCTTGTTGCGTGCGGTGAAGCTGGGCCTCGATCGTCTTCCGTTTCTCGGCTTCCCTTGCGAATGCTCGCACTATTTCTAGATGCCACAGTTCCCGTTGAGCTGTGGAGGAGAGCTCCATCCAATGCTGCAATGATAGCTCGAGATGTCGAAGGGTCATTTCCTCGTGCTGATACGCTATTTTTTCGACCGCGCCCGCATCACCCGCTGACGGCTTGGTCTGGTGCGGTGATGTAGAAGCTGAGGGCCCTTGATTTGGCGAGTTAATAGCAGCTAGCTGATCGTATTTCCATTGGAGAATTTGTGCGCGTAGCGCTTGCTGTACAATCTCCCGCTGGCTCACGGTAGGCGGTTCGATTGGGAAGGAATTCGGCGACGGAAATGGATGCGTAGAAAAGAGACTCGGCGGATGCGGTAGAGCTTGAAGGCAGAGGGCTGGGAAAGTTTGAGACTGGAGGTCAAAATCGAATGGAGATAGCGACGGAATATGGCTACTACTGTTGTTGCGTTAGAATAGAGCAGATCGGGGTGAAGTTAGCATGAGAGATATAAAACAACGGGCTTACGCTGCTGCTTTCACGCTATCCAAGACCTCCCTCAGGGCCAGTTCCAGCGCCTTTGTAGTTTCCGTAGAGCCCGAGCTCGTCAATCGGTTCGCCTTCTCTAGGGACGTTGATGGTATCCTCAATTGTGACACTGGCGACGAATTCGGAATATCGTTGATCACGCCGGTAGAGTGCCATGTTGGCTGATTGATGAAAAGGCGATATCCCTTCCCACCTGGGCCGCTCGAGTTGAGCTGCAACGGAGCAGCAGAGTGCGGATCTGGGCCTGCTGCGGATGCGGCCGCGGCTGCAGACGCAGACGCAGACGCAGAGCCAGACGTGACCTCAGGGCTTCCCTGCTTTGTCCCACCACGCGCCGTCCGCCTAGTGATACCGCTTCGAAGCTGTTTGATTTCTTCGACGTTGTGTACGCCGTCCGGTTTTTTCTTGTATAGGTACTGGTCCAAATGGCGGCCGAGGGAGGAAGAGGTGAACGTTTGGCTGCAATAGGGACACTGCTTGTTCTTGACGGCCAGGGCCTTGGGTCCCGCAGAAGTCTCACGCTCGTCCTTCGTGGAAGCATTGGACTCCTTCCCTTCCTCCGCCCGGTCGGGCGATGTCTCATTCATGGCTGAGTGTTTGTTTCATCGAGGGGAAGCAAAGGGAAAAACGGAGAGGACGAGAAGAGCTCGCGCGGCTTCGGCAATTCGGGTGAATTAAGAACTCACACCTGGCGCATAGCTGTTAGCTACGTATTATTCAAGTCTTATGGCTTCTATGCTTTGTATAAGCCGTGGAGGAGGGTGTGAGATTGCTTAATTACCAGCAGAGGAGGACGCGCGATAGGTCCTGCCGTGGGCGCATGCAAGGCTATCGCATGCGTATATAGCAACCCGATTTATCACCAACAGGAAAAAGCAAGAAAAAGGCTGAAAAGCATAAAAAGATAATTCTGCTAGGATGATTTACCCACGGCAAAAAGGAATGGCGTTTTATTCCGAATTGGTTGTACTGCTGGATGCTGGTCCTGCAGAAAATGTTTCCTGATACAAGCGCCGGCGGCAAGAAAATGAAGCCGAGGAGAAATTTTCTACTGGGCCCAAAATAGGAGGAAACGGAAACTCAATGCCAAAACAAATAAAAATAAAATAAAATAAAAACAATGCTTTCTTCTGCTCTAGCTCCCCCAGGGAGTATATGCAAGTACGGAGTTCTCAAGGCCAATATCAAATGAAAAGACTACTTCCTTCATCGACCAGCAAATCGGAATCGCATGGAAGGAATCCCGCAGTATGGCGGGTGATACCGTAATCCCGCCAGCCATGAGGGAAGAAGCAATTAACTATCCCAACGTTGGCATTACTTACGACTAAGAGAGGAAAACAAAAAAAAAGTACTGGGCCGTCGACCTTCCTCAACCTTCTAGTCCAATGTGATAGAACATTTCGTGTCTGTTTCGTGCAGAATTCACGGCCTAGGAGTGTATGGCCGGGGTCCCCTGGCCTGCGAACGGCGATGAGATGCGCTGTGCTGCGAGGAAAGCAGACATGTGGACATTGCTGCTCCACCGCTGACGGGATATAGATATCCAGTGGACTCCTTCCCGCACTTCTCAACATCGCCATACGTTGTAATTGCGGGTAGGCTTTGTTAGGGGCTGGGCATGCATGGAAATGATGCATATCAACCGAGTTCGTGCCTGAGCGCATCGCGATCTTCCTAATCGAACTAGCATCGCAGCGGGTTCTGCGCTGGCTGGCGAATATGGCGGCGGCAGCTTGCTCGGGATTTCCCGTCAGCTCGTCAGCCATCCGTGGCCGCTTTGTTGTGGCATATCATCAAAGCGCAATGGCACGGGCAGCAGTTAGAGCGCCATCGACCAGGATAGAGCGAGTAGCTAGAGCAGCTAACGCGACCTTGTTGGGCTTGCTGTCGTAGGCTTCGTGGAAACAGGGACCAGCGCCTGGCACATCTGGCCAGGGGTACTGCTCGTTCATATCGATGCTTCGGCGTCTCCGTCGTCCTCGATCGTGGAGTTTTCTGAGGGACCGGTCCCCTCCAGAGAAGCGACGAGAGGTCCGATCTCAAGCAATATAACTCCGTATGCACATATGCCCGAGTAGATGCGGATGCCCTGACTAAGTCTTGTGACGGGTTACACGAGGAGTATATAGTGCTGTACGAGGGACGGACTGGTGTATTGTATATCGGTCTGTGAAGACGACACGCCTCTCATGGCTATCATTGGCACAGGCATATCGATCCATGCTACAGCCATGTATGCGCCTTCGCCTGTAGCACAGCCGAGTAATAGGTTAATCAGCATTAAGGCGGTAGATCTCGCCGAATCGAGAATATTATATACGTTTCTCAACCGTGGAAACTCCACTCTTCTGCTCTCTCGTACGGAGTAAGCACTGTTCGAGATACCATCACGTACGGAGTACTCTCATCTGCGATATGGGTGAGCGTACGGAGTACAAGTATGCGAGCTGTTCGGCTTGCAAGGATCGTACTTCCTTGGCGTGTGCAGTGCGCAGAACAAGCAATATAAAAGCTCTCCCCGCCCACCGTCTGATTCCTAATACGGCGACCTGTACGGTGTAATCCCGGGGATCGAGGTTCCCGCATTTTTTTTTTTCCTGCAATCATCATTCCAGACCCATGGCCAGGGGAAGTTACTTGCCCCCGGATGGAATTGAAAGGACTGGAGTTGTAGGCCGCATTTGCCTCACGTTTAAATTGACTCGTTTCCCAGCCATCCAGCCTTTCCATTGCTGAAATCTGCCATTGCCATCTTCCCCACTATCCCCAGGCCAGTCCTGCAGCCAGTCCGGGCAGCTCGCCGGGACAATTCTCGGGACAGCATGCCAGGAAACCCTGGAGGCGCCGCCCATATACACCGCATCCCCGGAGCGTAGCCTAACAACAGCAAGATCAGAATTATCAGCATGGCCTACCATAAATAACCCTTCACAGCCGAAACTGATGCTAATTAGACCTGTATCACAATCCTCGCTGACGTCTCTGTGGATGTTTAGTGTATCTCCCGGAGAATAGACATTTACGATGGCCGCTTCTGGCTGGGTAGCGGGGAACATAGCGTTGAGAAGGGCGGATATGTCTGAGGGGAAAGGTGGGGGTTCGCCGGCCGGATAGCGCTTCTCAGTCCAGTTGTACTGTCCCCCAAGCGTCATCCATCGGAGCTTGCGGTTTAGGATGGATTGGACGGTGAGAGGCAGATGGACGGAGCTGTCCTTGGGGCAAATTGCGCGGTCCAGCGTGTCTTCAAAGAATGACGGACTGTGTCCATTCGGTATGGCCCGAGACAGGCGTGAAGCGTCCGGGTAGGTGACGTTATAATGCAGGTGAAGGTTCGTTTGGTGCCGTTGGTCGGATAGGTCACGATGGAGGAGCTTGGATAGAAGCTGTATCTGAACCTGCGGCGGCAGGATAGACGGGATGATCTCAAGACCTGTCCGGTATACCGTTAATGCTGTGGTCCCATATCGCATCTTCTAGACAGCAGGACGCAGGACTCACCAGGAATATCTCGATGTGTATATACCGGCAGCGGTCCGACCGATGTCCGCGGTGCCTGCTGAGAAGTGCATCCTCCTGTAAATCTGTCAAAGGCGTCACTCAACGACTCTGGAGCAAGCCATCTGTCCAGAAATATGGCATCAGGAAGGGCATCATGGGCGAGTCTCTGGGGGTCGATGATGGCGGGGTGGGCGTCGATATCAGAGACCTTCAGCGTACGATAGGCCTTGTACTGCTGCCGCAGCCTGGCCGGGGGGTATTCGTGGGCATCCAAGCTACCGATGGCCACCATCCCCGGCGTCCGTCGCTCCAGCACCGGTTCGTCCGCTTGTTCCTTTCTTGATTCGACGTCTTTTTGATCTATCTCTTTGCCTGTCACTTTTTTTTTTTTTGGATCTCGCATCGAACATTTTGCCTTAGGTAAGCGACACAGCTTCCTTCTTATGTAAGCAGGACTTCATCTCACGTGACAATTCTTAGTAAAGGATGACTAACATATTTAACTATGACTAAGCGGGATAAATTATATGGTTGGCTAATTAATACGGGTTTCTGATTGGCTAAATGACAATAACTCCCCCCTGATTGGCGGAAATACGCGTCGCCGGCTTGTTTGTTTGCACCAAAAAGCGCTTCCCCTAGAAACCGAAAAGGCGAAAGTCAACATACAAAAACCTCCCCACCACCGCCTACACCGACAAGCGACGCCCACCGAGGAGCAGACAGAAGACGCTGCATTCCAGCAGAGAGACGAGCAGAGAGACGAGCAGAGACGGCCAGAGACGGCCACGCAATGACGTAGAGGTCGCACCACTCGCCATATATCTCGAGACAGCTCAGTTGCTCCTCCTAGTAACCTAGCTTCAGCAGCGCCACCACGGTCTCCCGCAGACGCTCACAGCACACGAAACCCGCGATATTTGCCTCCTTGCCGCCAAGGGCTAGCCGCAGTGAGGCTGTGGTCCGCAATTGGCGTTTACTCTCCTACGTCCATATCTATACGTGCCGTTATTTGATATATCTCGCTCGCTCTGCTAAATAGTGGGTTGGCTCTACTACACACGGTAAACTAACAGGATGGAAAACTACCAGAAGATCGAGAAGATCGGAGAGGGTATGCTGCCGTCTCCACCAACCTCGTCACAGACCGGACCGAAGAAGCTGCAATTTGCTGACTGTTGTCGTCTAGGAACATACGGTGTGGTCTACAAGGCCCGCGACCTGTCCAACCATGGTCGGATCGTTGCTCTCAAGAAGATCCGGCTGGAGGCCGAGGATGAGGGTGTCCCGAGCACCGCAATCAGAGAAATATCCCTACTCAAAGAGATGCACGACCCAAACATCGTCCGGCTATTCAACATCGTTCACGCCGACGGACACAAGCTCTACCTCGTTTTCGAGTTCCTCGACCTCGACCTGAAGAAATACATGGAGGCGTTGCCTGTGAGCGAAGGTGGACGAGGGAAAGCTTTGCCGGATGGTTCGCTGGAAATGGGAAGACTCGGCCTGGGCGAGGCCATGGTGAAGAAGTTCATGGCCCAGCTCGTGGAAGGTGTACGGTACTGCCACACTCATCGCGTACTACATCGTGATCTGAAGCCTCAAAACTTGCTTATCGACCGGGATGGCAACCTCAAGCTTGCTGATTTTGGACTTGCGAGAGCGTTTGGTGTGCCCCTGAGGACTTATACACATGAGGTGAGGTTACATGTCTATTTTTGGTGTTGTGCTAGATTCTAATATGGCGATGCAGGTTGTTACTCTCTGGTACCGTGCTCCCGAGATTCTTCTAGGCGGTCGTCAGTACTCTACTGGTGTCGATATGTGGTCTATCGGTGCCATATTCGCTGAGATGTGTACCCGTCGACCCCTTTTCCCCGGTGACTCAGAAATTGACGAAATATTCAAGATTTTCAAGTAAGAGCTCCTTCCTGATCATATGATATAGCCCTCAAGATTAACACTCGGTATAGACTCCGAGGCACTCCCGACGAACGCATCTGGCCCGGCGTCACATCATTCCCGGACTTTAAGACCTCGTTCCCCAAGTGGAAACGCGAAGACATCCACAAACTAGTTCCTGGCCTGGAAGAAAACGGCCTCGCTCTGCTAGACGCCATGCTAGAATACGATCCCGCCCGCCGAATCTCGGCCAAACAGGCCTGTGTTCATCCTTACTTCCAGGCTTGCAGTTCTGCGTATTCGGGCCGTGGTCGAACGCCAGTATACCAATGATTTTACGAAGTGATACCTCTCAGTTCCATGCCTTTCCTCTATTTGCCGTCCTCCATTCCTATTCCTTTTCTTTTTGTCCACTTTACGTCTAGAAGCAATCGCCTATCTCTACACCCCCTGTCCTTGACCCTCCCCCCTTTCCCCCCCTCTCTCGCAACCTCTATCCTCGTGTTTTACCTGGGTGATAACCACTGGAGTCCTGTGTCGTGGGATGCACACGCTATCCACGATACCATAATCACTGTACTCTAGTCCTCTGTTATTTAAATCCGCCAGTTTAATCTATCGATTGCTCATTTCGGCTCCATTTCATGTGCACGTTGATTTTCACGGTCACATATGTATAGAATCCGTAGGTATAACAATTTGTACCCCAGAATCATCCGGCCATGTTAGAGGATGATGTATCTATTGAGAAATATCCATCAGCGGAGGAAATGTTGATATAATTTTGGCTTTTGTACCTATCCGGACGAGTTCTTGGCGGCCTAAGCAACAACAACACTGAATTCTGTCTGAAGGTCAAAGTATTTATCTCTACAACTCCATCACATCATGGCGCAATGCGCCTACAACTCATTGCTGCCTCCACCGCTCTTTCGTTCCCATACAAACAGCGCATTCTTGTATCCCGATGCATTGGTCGCAAGCTCTCGAGCGCTGCCGCCCCTTACCTCCACGAGAATGTCGTGAACGTCCCAGTTGGTAGCAGCGGGAACATCACGTTGAGGTATGTATCTAAGTATCGCTACCTTCATATCGTACAGAGGCATATCGGCTCACTTATATATACAGCATCCTCTCGCCAATAGACGAATCAGTGTCCTGCCCCTCGAATGTTATCATCTACCTACCTCCGGGGTCGCTCTTCGAACGACCACAGTATAGAAAGAGGCATGGCTCATCTACCAGTCACGGCGCAAACGGTACAGAGCGAGGACCCTCCTCCCTTCTACCGCAAGAGAATCTCGCGATAACGACTCTATCGACCACTGTAACGATAAAATATCGTCTCGGCAGGGTGAGGGTGGACGGAAAGCAAAAGTCGTATAGATACCCTACACCAGTCCACGATACACTGGCTGGGTTTGATTGGGCAATGAACGAGTTTCAACCAGATAATATCTTTGTCTTTGGAAGGCATATTGGTGGTTCGTTGGCGCTTATGCTAGCATTGACGGAATCCCGGCGGCTGAAGGCTGTTGCGGCAGAAGATCCAGTGTGTGATTGGGTGGGACTAGATGATTATTGTATCACTGATATCGATACAGATGGCAATCATACATTTAAAGATGATGCAGAAGAACCCAATATCGAGCATGATACTTCCGTCGGAGATGCAAACGCCAACGGGCGGAAACGCGGCCGCAAGAAGAAGGACCCTCCACCAACTCCGTCGGACCTAGTTCCCCTCCTAGAAGCTAGGAGGAGATTCTTTCCTACGCCAGAGAAATACTTCGATGCATTCTCCTCTCCAACGTTATTTCTCCGAACCTCAGGGAAATACATCCCACTGACATTCCCGCCATATTTCACAGGCCCAGGATACCCTACTCCTATACTAAAGAGGCAACCCAAAACTGAGGCTGATGCATTATATATGACGGATTTACTCTCATCGGCGCCACCTCCAAGCCCATCTTCAACGATCGCGGATAATAATGGAAAGACGGAAGAGAATGAGCCACCGCTCACTTCTCTGATTAAGCCTGTGCGTAGACGGAAGGTTCTTTCTCGTTGGCCGCCCTCTGGCTTGGACTACGGACTAGAAGCATATGAATCGCAGAACAGATGGGTGAAGCGAGAGGAGACAGTGCTCCCAGATGTTCGGATATTCGTACATGATCGGGATATAGAAGCGATAGGCCAGAAAGAGAATTGTGACGATGTTACGAGTTCAGTTGAGGAGAAAGAGGGCGATGACCTCAGTGCTCAAATGCAAGCTATCAATTTAGATGAGTGTCATACTGAGCATCAGCATACATCCCAGCGCCCACAGTCAGGCCGTGGGCCCCAGTCCTCATCACGCTTCCGAGGATCCCTTCGAAATATAGGAAGAATAAGCGGTGATACTGTGTTAGCCCGTCAGGGTAAGGAGATTGTTTCCCTCATGCGCAATGCGTGTTTTTGGGGGAGAGAAAAAGGAGCCGCAGAACGATGTGTAAAGTTAGTCCCGATATTACCTCCTAACGAACATCAGACATCAGACGCTACGGGTACCGCAGCAGATCAGGCTGTCGACATCGTCGGAGATGCAAATTCTATTTCCAGGAAGCCCGACCCTGTTGAGGTGCAAGCTGGGCAGCACTTCTTGGATTTATTGGGTAAAGATCAATCAGGGTGAGCCTAGGGCTTTATTTTGAAATGAGACGATAATATAGATGCAACGGATTGATTATGGGTATCTAAACGCTAAATATATATACGTAATCATTGCCCGAGTAAATGAGCTGCCAAAGTCAGTCTAAGTATTATACGCCATGCGTTCCTAAATTCTTTCACGTTAAAACATTGAACTCCTTTTTTTTGCAAGGGTGTTCGCTGGAGCGCTAGGCTCTTTCTTTCGGAAGCCAAATATACTCCTCTTCTCTTTCAATTGCGGCGGCGGCAGCTGCTGCTGTGGCGGTCTCAAACCACCAACGACCGACTGTGGTCTAGGAGATAAAAATTGCACCTGTGATCGCGGCGGTATTGATGGATGCTGAACCGGCAAATGTGGCTGTGCCGGCCTGGGAGCAGGCGGCTGTTTCTGCCGCAATTTGTGTACCTTACTTTCCTCCTTGCCGTATAGCTTCTTTAGTCGTTCGGTTTCTTTATCAATCTGTGCTTGGCGCTTCCTGGCTTCCTTTTGTTCAACCTCGAGGAGCTTTTTTGTTTGTTTTTCGGCATCTTTTTCCTTTCGAAGACGTTCGCGTTTCTCACCCTCACTTTGCTGTTTGAGTACGCGGGATTCAGCGTCCAGCTCCCATTGGGTGCGAGGGTCGGCCGGGGGGATGTTTTGGCGCGGAGGTGGAGTAGGTCGTTGAGGAAGCGGTTGAGTGGCTGGCTGAGTGGGCGGTTTGGTTCTTGATGGTGGGCTAGCCACTGGAGGTTTATTAGAAGAGCCGTTCGAGAGAATAGTGGGTATGGTGGTGGGTGGCCTGTCTATTGGGCTGCCAGGATTTGAGGGAGGGTTGACAATGTTGAATGCTTCTTTCATTGGGCCAGAGTAGACGTCCCGGATAACCATGGCCCCCAGCATAAGAACAATCTCTAACCCTTTGTAATCTTCCATCTCGACCCGGTACAGGTTTGGTTCATAGAGAGTAATTTCCCTCAAAGCACCAAATATCGCAATAGTAATATCGGGCTCTCGGCTTTTCTTGGAGTTCCCATTAGGACTAACGACTTTCCCAGACAAGTAGCACCCAAGTTCTTTGGACCCCATTCTGCCATCTTTCCGCCAGTTGAAACGTAATCGGGACGTGGCGTCCGATGTTGCGGGTGTGGTGAGCGTCTTATCAAGTTGTGACTTGGAGGGCTCTCGGAAAGTTTTCTGCGGCATCTCAAACTCCCATGTCGCGGGCGTATTCCATGTCTTTGGTTTATGGCGGACTAGTATTTGTTGCTCTGGGTTATATAGCTGGATGGTGAACTCAGTGGGCAGTATAGGCTCTGGTGGCGGCTGGACCCCACCGTTTGTTCTGATCGCCTCCTGTGAGAAGGTTGGCAGCGTCCATTTTGGCACTATGAGCACCTCTCCATATAAAGCGTCGGGACAGAAAGCATCGTAGAGGGCGACCGCGTATCGATTCCGAGACGTTTGTAGCGATGGGTCTAGATGTCGGAGGGTATATGCGGGCTGTGGCTCTCTTCCATGCTGAGAGATGAAGAGCGTCGAGTGAGATTTGGGGTTTTCGGTGGACGGCTTCACGAAGAATGCTAGGGTGAGTCAGTATAAGCAGGAAACGTACAGTGAAACAGGGCGCCTCGTACTGGGAAGGTTCTCATCCAGCATCCTGAAGGTTGATAATGCAATAGACTTGGAAGCTAGATATTGTGGAGCGAAACTTGTGATATGAAATTCTCTAGGCCACCGACCGATAGAGAACCAAGTCGAGCGAATAAAAGAGAGGGCATGTGTCTCTAATGTGTATCCGCGTCGTATATATGTCGATGTGTCAGCCGCCGTGGTCTGCTGCGGCCAGCGAGCTTCGTCTGCGCCTGCGCGTCATCCCCCGCGGCGCCAAGGCTTAGTCATTCAGCCGCGTGGAAGCTTCCCGCCTTGGCGCAGGCTTGCCGCAGGCTTAGTTCTATTCTTAGCTCACGGCCACGCAATTCTTCAGCAACAACATGACGACTCGGCCACTCAGTCAGGGTCTTCTCCTGAAACCCCCCTGTTAAATCATGATTCAGGACTTGTTTTTTTATCTGTCTGCCTGTTCGATAAACAATCTTGGCGAAGTGAAACGAACCTCGCCTTTCTTGGTACATCCAATGCCTAGGAAGTACTCCGTACAGCATAGATATTCGTGGCTTGCTGATTTGCACCCCCTCCCCCTGAGAGGGTGCTGTTTAAACAGAAGGCCTATACCATAGTAAATGAAATAAGTTATAGGCGTATTAGAGATTAAATCTATACCTTCTATACATATTAATTCATAGTAAATCAACTTCGATGTTTGGGGTGATAAAATATATTTACCATACCGGGCGTCTGGTCTGCTACTGCCAGATGTTGAGGCATAGCCCGTCACTTGTCCATTACATCTCTACGCAAAGTACTAGTACTTTTCGCCCCTCCGGCCGTGCTCTCGGACCTACAGGTTTCATCACTGTAGCTCCAACTCACGCGGACATGTCCTATCCGGATGGCGCGTTCCTGTTGGCCTTTGTTTGGGATGCGATTTGCTTCGCTGTGACAATATTGATAATGCGCATGCCAAAGTCTTCTGCGCCGTCAATATTAGCAAGCTTTGTTTCAAGAAGCTCCGCGTCTCGCAGAAGCCTGCACATTGGTTAGCCAGCAACGATATGTTTTCGGGTAATGTGCTCACCTTGCTTTCCCGGCCTCGGTCTGTACCGCCGCACCTTCGAATGCATTGCCCCATTGCTCCCTGTAGCTCACAAAGACCCGTCGGAAAATGCTCCTCACACTCAATGCCGGCAGGTATTTGCTCAGCACCCGTTGTAGCGTGAGCACCTCTTTCGTGAGCATCTCAATGTGTGGAGTAGCGTTCCGCTGCAACTCGTCTTCATCGTCCCACCTGATCTTCTCCATCTCTCTAATGTAAAGGTTGGCGCGAGAATTCATTATGTCGATGAGCTTATCGTCGATAGCAGATCGATGGTCTTGGAACAGGCACTTCAGCCGATCATATTCTGCCATGCTAGAGGCTGTGATAGATGGTCGACGACTAGCACACCCGCGCAAGTAGGGTATCAGAGCAATGAAGAAGGATAGTGACTGCGAGGCCAGGGCAAGGTGCTTGGTATTAATATTAGTCAGCCCGGCTGTTATTCTGGCGCCGGCACCGAGAATAAGTTGTTGTATACGTGAGTTATACAGCTTGAGATAGTCGAGAAGGGCCGTCGAGATCTCGTTGGCCATTCCGTGGGTTGATACCAGGAGGATTGCGTATTGCTCGATGCCACGAAGTGCAAATGCTGTCGAATCGACGAGTCTAAACTGCTCCTCCTCGATGACCGCCAGTGTCGGGCCATTCTTGTTTTGCTTGGCAGCACTCGTAGGCTCCGTGGCAGAGGCGAGGTTTGTTTTTAAACTCTGTTCACCTATTTCCTGACCTGCGGTATTAACGTCCATGTAACGGAGCCATGCTGGGGGGTCAGCAGTCATGGGCTGGACAAAGTGCGCCAAGATCAATGCGTCCTTGGGCTTGAAATCGACGCGTTCCCACTTCTCGGACTCCAGCTTTTGCAGTAGCTTTTGCTTTTCCACTTCGTGCAGAAGCGGGATAAAGTCGTACATTTGGTTGTTCACGATGCCCTTAAGCGCCGCTCCAGAGTGTCCAGAGACTGCCTCGCATTCGTTAACAAACAGACGATTCAGCGTGAAGAAGCTCAAAAAATCGGCCAATCCGAGACGAACCGTCTGCTCGGCTCTGACATGCAGCACCTTTGCCATCTCTGACTGTGCCTTGTCCACTGCCTGTACGAGGAGGCTCGACATGTCAAGCGTTTGGGTCATCTCTGGTAAATTACATCCGATCGAAAGGCTGGGCGAATGGACAGCCGGATTGCCCATGCTTTTCGGGGTTTGGATGGGCGTGAGTACATTGCTTCGAGTGTTCGTCATGCCGCTTGTGATATCAAGGAGAACCTTGATCTGTACATGAAGTCTCCGTAATGCTTCGCCTATCCCGCAGTAGACCTCGACAAAAAACGCTTCGGCGTCCTCGGGGCTGAGAGCACGCATGTTGCGAGATAGAATGCTCGACTTCTCCTGCTGGGTCAGCCGCCGGCCGCTTGTCCTTGTGGACTCAGAGGCGACAGATTCATCATCGTCGTCGGTAGAGCTCGGTAGATGCCGGCGGATAAGAGATTTCATTTCTCGGATGACAGCTTCACGAAACGCGGCACTTGCTGCCGTTAGATACTGCGACTGACCAAGTCCCTGAAGGACAGGGATGAGTTCTTCGCGCAGCTTTTCTACAGCCGTCATAAACGCGGGTGTTGACAGGGAGGCATCCGTTGCGCCCCGTCCGCGATTTGCGGTGTCAGCCCAACGCGCCAGGGTATCTCGCGGCGGTACACCGGACACATGTCGGCGCAAGTCGCACAAAAGAACGTCCAGCAATTGGGCTTCATAACTCTTCCAGATCCGCAGGCGGAGCTGATTGATGTCCTGCGACAGTCCTCCAAGAGCGTGTAGTCGGCGTAGATCGGTGAGTTGAATGAATGGGCCCGGCAGAAGCCAATGCAACTTGCAGCCAATTTTCGGATCCAGCGTTCCGCATGCGAGCTGTTCGACGTACGAGATATGTTGTTTGGCCGTCTCCAGCTGTCCAGAGTCTACGAGTTTTTTGCAGTGACTGGCGCCGCCGAGGACACATTGAAGCTGTTTGGTGGCCTCGCCCAGCATTCTCAGATTGTCCCGTCTTCGCTTCATGCTGATGATCTCAAACCCGCGCACCACCATCTCTTTGCTGAAATGCGCGAGGCCTTCCCTCAGCTTCTGGATCTTTGCAACAGAGTCGGCCACCTCGGCCTGGAGTCGACGAAGAGAGCCGAGCGCGGCGAAAAAGGAGGCTGACGCTTTGGAAATCGAAAATACCAGTTGAATCTCTATAGTGTCCATGTACCACGATAACTTCTCCTGCAAGATAGCATTGGTAGTAAGCGCCTTCCTAGCAGGCTGCGGGTTGAGATCAGTAGCAGAGCCATTCGCGCTCTTGTTACAGTCTTCAATGGCGGACAGTGGCTGTTTCATAACCTCCGCACGCTCACTGACAATATCGAAAGTGCGCGGATTCTCAAGACGAAAGTTTTCATCAAAATACACGGCGGGAATCGTAGACAGCGGAGCAGGCACAAGCTGGCCGCGCTTTGAAACACGGTTCTTCCGCCCTCCGCGCCGCGCAAGTTCCTCATCTTTGGCGGCAGAGATGTCCTGACGAAACACCTGTGCGCCGTCGTCTTCGGACTCGAGCTTCGTGCGTTGGAAGGTGTTAAACAGGGCTCCGACCTGGCTGAGATAGTCGTTAAAGATCGAGGATTCGACATCGACGCCGGTGGTGAGTGTGACGGGAGGTATGTACCGGGAGGTAGGCGGCTTCTGCGAGGGAGGGAGAAGCCCGGCGCGTGAGGTTGGTGGTTGCAGGAGTGTAGATATCGCTTCAAGAATCGTCAATACAGCTTCATGCGGTTGTGCCTATGAGCTTGCCCACCATTCTGACCCGGCTCTGCTACCGCGCTCCTTCGCCTTCGCCTGTGCTTGTGCCTGTAGGCTGTACCATCCAGCAACTCGCCAACAGAGCCGGGCCTTGTTGTGCTCGCATCTGAGTCTCTTGCCGCATCGTAGCCGGGAAACGGGTCTTCCGCCATTGGTGATGGTCAAACTGCAAAGGAACGCAGGCTCCGTGGCTTGCTGTCCAAGGGTAGCGTTGCGAGCGAAGGCGTCTTGGGGGTCGTCAAGGGGTATGGGTATGGGAAGTTATATACTGCTCATGCTGGCGGTTGGCGCGTTCTTGACGTTGGATTTATTGTCACATAACGGAAGGAAACCAACCGTATAAGGATGAAGCTGTTTCTCAAGTGTCTAGACGAGAGAGCGACGTGCTACTGGCTAGTTGGATGGCTGACATCAAATACTTGCGCTAGTTCGGGGATCATCCAGGTGTTTTTTTTTTAACAATACCAGCATTTTAGACGCCGTACTTCTGCTTTAACCGTTAATTGTCCAGATCAATATATTGATATTCTAAGAAGTGCTAAGCCGTATATAAGGATTAAAGACAAAGGCGAGGCTACGTATGGGATATCCCAATCCATGAATATCTAGGGGGTATAGTATTTGGTAAAATATTGTCATTAAACGGGATTTCATAAGCTTAATCTATCGCAGTGACATGAACATAGAGGCATTGAAGGCATAAATCATAGCATGAATCATGGAGTATCCGGCGGGGGAGAGGCGTTTACTGGAGAAGAGGATCCTATAGAAGGCGTTAGCAAGATATAAAAACCTACAACGAAATAATGAGCGACGACATACCCTGAAATGTTTCTGGCTGTTGCCTCCCTTGTTGACTCGCCATTCATATAGCCGCTGCGATCTTTCTGCCCTTCTGCGCTCCCTCACCTCGGCTCCGCGTACTTCTTTCTTCTGACTGTCCGACGCCCCGATCATGCCCATCCCACCGTTAGCCCTCGACATCAGGGCGCGGTTCTTATTCGCATCGCCCGCCTGTTCGCCTGTCTCGCCTTCAGCGTTAGAACCTGCCTCCTCAATCATACGCTGCCGCGTAAGACGTTCTTCGGGGGTGGGGTAGTTATGCAGGTTCTGACGGAAGTACTTGGCCATTGAACGGTGACCGGCCGTGCGGCCGGTTGGTAGATGGAGTTCACCGTCATGTACGAATGCAGCGTGGCCGTGGCTGTGAGCATGGGAGTGAAAGCCGTCTGCATTGCGATGTCGACGGGGGTCGGTGTTTGAGTGGTGGCCGTGCCTGGAAAGTTTAGAGTATTGATGTGATCGATCATCGATGGGCTCGGCACCTATCTCATCGGAGTCGAGCGACGAGACCGAGGTGTCCGTCTCCCAGCCATCTCCCTGTGCGCCCTTCTCTTCGTCGTCCTCATCCTCGTCGTCAGAGTAGGTGCTTGTGAAGTCATAGAACTGGCCAATCTCGATCTGCTCATCCTCAGTCTCGAATGCGATCATACAATGGCCCTTATCCTTCATGTGCGTCTGGACAGCCTCTGGAGTCGCCTTCAATTTATGGCAGTAGAGACATTCGCTGTTCTTGTAGATCTTTGCCTGTAGGTATTCCAGAAGCCCCTCTCCGTCGGTGAGATATTCTTGCTCTGGGACAAACATTCCATGGAATTTACCCATGTGCAGCACATTGAGTTTGATGTTTGGCGAGTTGTAGTTGCAGAACAGGCACTGGGTGAGCGGAATTTCGACCTCATCCTCATTCTTCCCTTCGCCGGTCGAATCCACCGGCTCCTTCTCTGTGCCATGGCTGGGGCGGCGAGGCCGGATAGGAAGCGGATCATGGGCATCAATCTTTGTACCTTTGATTCCGCTGATAATGTCTGAAAATTCCTGCTCTCCGGGCTCCGCATCATCCTGCGCTGCATCAGCAGACGGTCCGTTTATCGGTTCGCCCATCGAAAATGTGCCACTCATTATCGACGCGGTTTCGTCTTTGCCTCCATCTTTCCGCCAGGCGGCCTCTCTCTGCCTATGCTTCTGGCTCCCGATGTGGTTCTGAAAGGCGTTCTCGCTATAGTACGTCTTCTGACACGCGACACATGACTTTTCGAAGGTGGCTTTGGCGGCCGCTGCGGAGTTGGATGCCTGCGCGTTCAGTACCTTATCGGTGAACACCTCGGACGATATGGGAGGCAGGGTTGCAACTCGACGTTTTAAGTTGTATCGGCTGTTAAAAAAAATCGGATGGTTAGCCCTGTCATTTCGTTTCGTTTGTTATAAGCATTCTAGTACATACTGCCAGTCACTTCGCATGTGTCCTCTCTGTGCATCGCTGCTACGGAATGCGACCTGACAAGTGTTGCAGGTATACGGATGAGTGTCCATCGTGCTAAGCTGGCTGACTATTGCAGAGACAGCCGTCTGAGATATTGTTTATGCTGATTATAGGATGGCGGGGGTGTGTGTGTGAAAATCGGGTAGGCCTTTCTGTCCTTTAGAGCGAGGATCGAAAGACCGTAGAAGCGAACGGATAGTCCGAGGAGACAAAAGACGAGTCCCGTAAGCAGTACTTATAGCCTGCTAAAATCCCTTTTTGTAGTCGCAGGTTGTGATTGATATCGAACTTCGTCCCGCTTGCTTATCAAGCGCAAGATTTCCATTTGTGAGGCGAAAAAAGTGGAAGAAAAAAGAAAATGACGTCGATGCCGCATCGCTGACGTAAGCCTGACCGTCGTTTCAACATCGCCCTGGACATCTTCGCCGCAGAAAAGACGAGATATCAAGCAACAAGCCACGCACATCCACAGGGCCGGCTTGAAGGGCGCTGCCGCTACGTGAGCAATCGAAGACGGATAGCACTACGACTCGACGGCCTGGTATAGCTGGATATGTCATATCGCGGGACAAGATGACGAGGCTGCAAGGGGCGTCGCACGGCGAATCCTCAGAAAGGACCGCCTACCACTATGCACGCCTGCCACCAGGAGCGCCGGAGGTGATCTCGAAGCATACGGTGAACGTTACTGATCCGACGCGGGTGCTCTCGTGGGCCAAAGAAGAGCGGCAGAGGACTTTCAATCATCTCGTCAAGAGGTAAGTCTGGCAATTATCCTTTACCTACCACCCCCCAAAACGCGATATTACCGGCGTTTCCTGCTCAATAGTGTTGTTCGTTGCTCATATTTTGCATATTCTCATAGGTACAAAGCCCAGTTGCTCTATGGCTGCCAGGAGCCGAACTGTATGACCCCTACGTGTCTAAGCTTCCGTCGTCGAAACACCAAAGCGCCGTTGCGCAGATTCACCGACCTAAGTGCCAGAACCGTTGCATGCTATCTGGCGAGCCAAGATGACGCGGAGACAGGACTTTGCCGTCATCCGTCCGCGGCGATTTCGAATTCTTTGACTCCGGACATCGAGCGAAGAGCTCGACACGCAGAGCTCCTCAGTACCACCGAATCCAGCCATTCTCACCCAATCACAAGGGGGCATAGTGTGTCAGAAAATAGGCCGAGGAGGCCGTCAAATTTGCCTCCAGTTCTGCCAGATGCTGAGCATGGAGCTCCAGAAGGTGGTCCGAAGACCAGGAAAGACCCAAAGTCATTTACGCAGAACCTCTTTGACACGCTGTCGCTGCGTATGGTGGAGTGGCTACCGCTCAAACGGACATCATTTTATGGCTCTAGGCCCGAGGAGGAGTCAAATGTAACCTCTGCTATCACACGGCTGGAAAGCCGTAGACCAGGCATGAAGCATCATTCGACCAGCTCAACGTCTTGTGATACTGGAGATACTGACTCGAAGTCCTATCCTTTATCTAACCAGTCCTCTCCATCATCGAATCACACTCCATCAACCATAGAGGTCAAAGTGCCCGGTCACCCCGTAAAACGCCTATCCCTCGAGCCACTTGAGCCATGGAAACAACCCCAGCGCCCCATGGCAGACGATCGTTCGAAAACTCAGCGGAAAAGATCCAAGAAAGTCTCTGTCAACAATACACCTACCACGACGGTTAATCCATCCCAGCCTCTCCCTTCCCCGCCCGCCTTGAAACACAGATCCCAGAAGCATCGCCGCATGACGGACGGTACCTCAAAATCTAACGCACACGTTTCATGGGGCGACCAGGACACCGTACGATGGCCAAGGCCGGAATCAAATGGGGATTCGCCCACAGAGCCTAGAATAGACACATACTTCCCCCTTGAACGTCAGGGAGTGGTTTCAAAGGTCCAAGAAAAGGAGATCGACGACTCCCCGGCTGTACAAAGTCTCTCCCTGCTGTCAAAGGAGATTGTTGACTTGCTGGAGAAGATAATGTTCGAGACAGAGGATGATGAAGAAACATGGAAACCCGAAGTGGCCCAGCTAGAGTCCCGTGGTTACTCTGAGCCATGGGACTGGCAGTATGCTACGCATCGACAAAGGACGGCATATCCATTTATTGCTCAGAGTATATTCTATGTTTTGAGCAACCCCCAACAATTACTACTTTCCTTCCGAGATGGCTCCATCAATACGCCGGCGTCCTCCCGCTTAGACATTCATTCGCTTGAAGACACCTTTAGAAAATTGCACCGCATCTGCCCCTGGGAAACAACCATGCACAGCCTCTGGCTCTGCATGGAAAAACTATTCATCCCCCCAGTAGAACTCTCTCTCCCAAAACTTCAGCGCCGTCCGCCAAAAATGCTAAATATAGCATACCCTCCCTCTCCCAGGTTCGAATCGCCACAGAAAAATGAATACATCCCGGACTCAGACGCTGCGTATATTGCAGTTGTCGCGATGCTTGCTTTATCCAGTGCCATTCCCCGTACAGACGCGCGTACTTGGGAGGTCATTCGCCAGGTTAGGTCATCAGGATCGGTAATGCCAGACACCGTGATGCGAAAGCTCTCCAAGTCGGAATCTAAGGTCATAATTGAAGCCTCTGATAGACTCGAGCACGACCTAAGCCTACGCCTCCTGAACAGGTTGGTACGCGTTGTTTCGACCCGGCTTGCTCTCCATGAGGTCGCTAAGGCGAAAGCATCACACATCGCTGACCTAGGGAGTAATGATAAATGTGAACTCATAGAGCAAATTATATCGACTCTCCAACAGTCTCAGAAGGCCATATCCAGCGGTTATCATAGCAGTGATGCATGGCCCGCTGAAAGGAAAACCACTGCCCCTATCTTGATTGTAGAATGGCTAAGAAGTGTTCTGCTTAAAGAGTGGGATGGTAAGCCAGAGTTGTCGAAAGCAAGCGCTGCAGGTGGCGCGCTTCAGCTACTCAGTTTTCTCTATAGAGACCGAGTGAAGCTTGGCTTACTCCCGGAGGATTTCCATACGCCTTTCTTTTCGGAAAGACTAGACCCCCTCGAGATGCCGACTGAGTGGGTAGAGTTGCTTTATAACAACCGAACGATGCATTTGCTCTCCTGCTCCTTTATATTTCCTCCATCAGCCTTGGTTATATATTTCCGAGCGATAAACCATGCAACGATGTCGAAGTCATTTGAGGCTGCTGTGATAGCGTCCAAGCATGTCACGGCGATGGCCTTTTCCGGTACCGTCTCTATAGATGATGATATAGCTCTGCTTGCACGAATGAGAACCGCACTTACGACGTTCCTCGTTATTAGCGTTCGACGAGAGCATGCCCTGGTAGATGCCCTGGACCAGCTGTGGAGACGTGAAAGGCGGGAATTGCTGCGGCCCTTGAAGGTTCGGATGGGCATGGATGACGGTGAAGAGGGCGTTGATCAGGGTGGTGTTCAACAGGAATTCTTTAGGATGGTGATATCAGAAGCTCTAGATCCGGCATTTGGAATGTTCACAGTCGACAGTCGAAGCGGCATGTATTATTTCCAGCCTTGTTCCTTCGAGCCACTCTATAAGTTCGAGCTTTTAGGCCTCCTCGTCTCTCTTGCGCTTTATAACGGTGTGACTCTTCCGGTCGACTTCCCAATCGCACTTTATCGAAGACTTCTTGGCCTCAAAGTGAAAACTACCGATCACATTCGTGTTGGTTGGCCCGAACTTGCCAAGGGACTAGATGACTTGTTGGCTTGGGAGGATGGAGACGTGGGGGATGTCTTTATGAGGACGTACGAGTTTAGTTTCAACGCATTCGGAACTGTTGTTACAGTTGACATGGAAAGGACGGATCGAAATGAACCCTGGCCTGCGCCAGAGAGGCATGCACAGTGGGAGAAAACGAAACAGAAACTATACGACCAGCGAATTGCCACTAAGAGATTAAGCAGCCACGACTCTTCTGACGGGAATAGCAATATCTCCATGTTACAGGAATATTCTTGGGATTCTCGACAGCCTCCGAGAGATACACATGTCATTGGCATCCTAAAGGGTGCTCCGTCGAGGCTACCGAAACATCAAGTGTCCACAGAGCCACAACCCGAAGCATCCGTTGTGACCAACGACAATCGGAAACAGTTCGTTAAAGACTACATATTCTGGCTAACGGATAAATCCGTTCGTCCACAATATGAGGCGTTTCAACGTGGCTTCTTTACCTGTATTGATCGTACAGCTTTGTCCATCTTTAACCCTGAAGCACTTAAAACCGTCCTCGAAGGGATTCAAGATATTGACCTTTCCGAACTCCAGAAACACGCTCGATACGAGGGTGGTTGGGATGCTACTCACCCACTGATCAAAGGCTTTTGGCACATTGTGATGCAGTACTCCCATGAAAAGAGAGGCCAGCTGTTAGAGTTTGTCACTGCGAGCGATCGAATTCCAGTTAATGGGATACCCAGCATCATGTTTGTCATCCAACGAAATGGTGTAGGGGATAGCGTACGTTGCACCGTTCAATCTACTTAATAACCATTGTGATACTAACTTTTCTACCAACCTTACAGCGCTTGCCGACTAGCTTGACTTGTTTTGGCAGACTGCTATTGCCGGAGTATTCTTCCACGGCAGTACTTGAAAAAAAATTAGATAAAGCCCTGGAAAACGCCAGGGGCTTCGGAGTTGCTTGACACTGGGGCGGTGGTTTGCATTTACGCAGTTTGGAGCATGGGCTCCTCCTCTTCCGTTGTACAGCGATGTTTTCACTTGTTTCCAATCATGCCCTAATGACCTCAATTGCGCAAAAACCTATCTCTCAACCTTCTATTTTTCTCCCCATATTCTATCTAGATGGCCCGGCTGGTGTTTAGACTGCGAATTGGCCGAAGGAGAGTGGAAATGGTTCTTCCTTTTTCATCTTTTTTTTTTTTCGGGAAACCAGCATGCGAACTATTCACGGCGAGGTGTTTTCAGTGTCATCTACCTCTGGGAGGGAGCGACATCTGCATTCATGGCAAGCCTGCATACTCTATACCACCGCATTTTATTCTTAGCCTTTCTTGTCTATAATTCCGTTGCTTGATGCGGAACCTGGGAGTCGAACATAAATCCAAAATACCCTACCAGTAAGGAACCGTTCTCTATTCTATCCTACCAGTAAGATCGTTCTCTATTTGTTAACCTTCCCTGTCCTATCCTCTTCTTCCTGCCTCTGTCACACCGTAGAACACCGCTCTGTTCTTTGACTTATATCTACCGTCCCGTCGACCTAGATACCGTCTTCCTCAAGCATTCGTCCCTGGCTTCTGCCGCCGAGACAGGAAATTTTGCCGACACTGACTAATCATCGGCAAAATATCCGCGGGCATAAAGCCGATGTGCCGAATGGCCGAAAGGGAAGGTGTGGCGAACGATCCTGGACTTCCTGAGTCATCAAACTTGTTGATACAACGTTTTAGACAGGACAAGTCCGATATTCTTTTTTGATATCTGACATCGTTGGCCTCCCTTTGCCAGAGTCATTCTGTATCTCTTTTTGCATTGGTGCCTACCGAGTGTAGCTTTTATTGCTACTGCTACCACCCTGGTTACCCCGCCAGCATAACGGTTAATTATCATTATATATTCCCCGCGTCAATAGGGAAGCCAACGATATGCCTCCTGTCCTCCACTGCGTGCGCCACGCACAGGTTCGTTGTGTTAAAGGGCTCTTAACTCCTACAATTGATACTAACAGCCATCGTAGGGCTTCCATAACCTCAATATTGCGAACCATGTCATCCAAGACCCCCTGCTTACCCCACACGGGGAAAACCAATGCCGCACCCTCCACGCCAATTTTCCATATCATTCCCAGATTGACTTAATCGTTGCTTCACCGCTCAGGCGCACTATTTACACAGCGCTGCATTCATTTGAGGATATCATTCGGGAAAAGGAGCTGAAGATTATTGCGTTACCGGAGATCCAGGAAACGAGTGACGTTCCCTGTGATACTGGGAGCGATCTCGCTGACTTGAAGCAAGAAGTAGAGGAGAAAGGGTTGCCTGTTGATTTGTCATTAGTCCCGGAAGATTGGAATGATAAGGTATGAGATCTGGATATGTTCTCGGGCTGGCTTTACGGAAGCTGACTGGATCACCATAGACAAAGGAGAAATGGTCGGCAAACGCTAAGTCAGTCACTGCCCGTGCTCGCGAAGCAAGAGGATGGCTGAAGGCTCGACCGGAAAAGCATATAGCCATGGTATCTCACGGCGGTGTCTTACACTACTTTAGTGAGGACTGGCAGGATAGCACACTCTATCAAGGTACGCCCCTACCCCACCCGTTGTTCCCATTTACGCGCTGCATTCGCCGAGGTCCTCCTCATATCCCCTTTCAATGACTGCTCTTATTCCTTGTTAAAACGAACAATCAAAAGTCACCAAAAAGAAACCAAGCCCGAAGAACTATACTAATGTTCGTCCTTCGCCCACCTACCCAGGCACCGGCTGGGCCAACACTGAATTTCGAACCTACGAATTCACCGATACGGTCGACGAAGACGATTTATACGGGAACAAAGTTGGCCTCGACAACGCAACTATTCGGGAGACCATCGATTCTAGGAAAAGGAGAGGCAAGTCGGTACTTGAGCCCCCAACGCGGGATATGCAGAAACAGTTTTTCGTCCAGGCGATGACTGGATGGGAAAACCAGGTTGCGCAAGCCTTGGCTGCAGATAAAGAGATGAATGAAAAGGACGAGGCAATAGAAGTTACGCAGAAGCCGTCTGTGTCCGTCACTGCTGAATAGATTGTGGAACTTAGTGGGATTTAGAGGAGTGTATGGCATAGAAATCTCTGGTAGTTCATTAGATTAGACGAACCGCTAGTTGAAATTAAAGAGACGACGGACGACGCTTCGATTATGTTAGAGTTTCTATATATATTGCTTCTTGTTAATAATAACAACGTGGACTTCACTATACTTGATAACGTGTATTTTAAAAGCAAGAATTTAGCAGTTGTATTGGGTGCCCTATGTAACTAACTCGTGCCTTCTAATTTATAACTCATTCTTTTCTTTGCGAACCGCGATAGATTCTATTAAAAGCGCAAAGTAATATAATCCAAGCCCTGAAATAAGGGTGCTTTTCAATATTTAACATGATTAATACGAAGGCTGGTATACAGGCATAACAAATTACTGCATGGATAGCTATATCCATCCAGCACAGAAGGTTAAACTCAAACTCAATCATCGAATGAAATGGAAAAGGCCCCGTGAAAAAAGAATGCAAACTATCTCTTATCAATCTAAAAGTGGACGAGATTCGTCGTTCTGATCGCCCTGTTTCGAGCCGGTGGGTTTTCTCTTGCGTCTTCGTTTCTTCTTGCCCGAGGCTGTCGTATTTGTTTGTTGGGTTGACGGTTCACCACCTGTTTGATATGTTTCTGATGATCTATCTTTCGTGTCGCTGGCCTGTGAGGATGATGAAGGCCGTGCACTGTGGTTACTGTCACATTCAGAGAGGTTGCGATCACTTGTTTGGAGAACGACCTTGCGGATACCGTGGATGTCAATGACTTGTTCTGTTATACTGCCGCTTCTTGTTGGGCCACGAGGGTAAAATGCCACAGAGGCGGATGATGCGTCAGAGGTGGCGCTTGAAGAACGAGTTCCATTTCGTGATAATGGGGAGGGGCCGCGTGTTTTGGCCGGAGACTCGTGGGTGATTGTGTTTTGCGATGTTATGTTTCCCTGAGGGTCAGAAGTGACCTTGTTAGGGTCTTGTTTGGTGATAGAATTTGTTGAATGAGAGGATGGATGGAAGGTTTGACCTGCCGCAGCGCCATATGATGGTTTGGAATTAGCTGCGCTTTCGCTGGCGGGTTTCACTAGTAAGCTGTCGGATTCAGATGGGTGTACATCGGAAGGTGTAGGATATTCTGGATAAAAGTCCCGTGTGCTAGCAACTTGGGAGGATCTTGAGGGCGACATGCTAGCCCGTTTGATTTTGACCGCGTTGTATCGCGTTTGTCGGGGGCGGCTTGCGAGATTTGATGGACCGAGATGTTTCAGTTGTTCTTTGATTTCTGCTGTGGCGCCCCTTTGGATAATGGGCTGGCCTACGCCATCGGGTTTGTCGATAATGGGTGTTTGTCGTAGGTAGAAAGTGGGAGGAGGAGGTGATCCGAAATGGAAAGAGTTGTTTCGTGGTTGCTGTTCATTATGCAATTCAGTGTCTGAATGTCGTGTAGTAGAGAGTGTTTCGACGCCGATGGCATGCGCAGAGGGTGGTACTTCAACAAAATGTCCCTTTGGAAAGTTGAATTTGGGTGCCGGTGCCATTCGACGGATCGCCTTATGCACGTCAATGAAGACATCGGATTCATCGATGATTTCTTCTCCAATAAGCTCTTCGATCACGTCTTCGAGCGTGACAACGCCTAGAGATCCGTGATCTTCTCCAGGATAATCTGAGACCAACACCATATGCGCTTTTCCTTCTTGGAAAAAGTTGACAATATCGAGGCAGCTGGTTTCTGCCCGTGTTTCTGGGAGGGTGGCAAGTGCGAAATCTCGCACTTGTTTGCAATCTTCGGGATCATAGGTAATCAGCATCTTGACCAGGAGCATGCCGACAAAATTTTGACAGTTGTCAGGCGCGTGAATTGGGATGCGAGAGTAGCCCTGGGAGAGGATTAGATCCATCATCTTTTCATCGAGAACGGTGTCCGCGGACATGATGAAGACATCTTGCATTGGGATCATGATGCTTCCCACGGATTTTTCTTTGAGGTCGAGGACTGCACTGATAATGGTGACTTCATCGGAGTTGAGTTGGTCGCCAGCTGTGCCGAGGTTCTTGTGTAGCGTGACAAGGGTTTTCAAGCCAGCCTTTTTGTAAAATGTGCCATGATCTTCGCCGAGGAGTCTGTCGAGGAGTTTTGCAATCGGATATGAAAGAGGTGAGGTAATATACATTAAGCCAAGGACAGCTGGAGCCATCCACGCTCCAATCGGTAGACCATAGCGGACACATATCGACTGGGGGACAACTTCTCCGAATATGACTGCAATCTAATTAGTATCACATAGACGGTAGCACAGAAGGTAGAACGGAACGTCTCCTACCAATCAATGCAGTACTCCCAAGGACGGCGGGCCAACCACCTCCAAGAGAACGGTCCAGGACTATGGGAAGAGTTTCATTGACGATAACGTTGCTCAATAGTAGAGTGACAAGGACCCAGTGTTTTCCCTTTTTCAGCAGATCCAGGACCTTTGCCGCTTGTTTCTTTTCCCCTTCTTCGCCGGATGTCTTGATGACTTGCAGGTATATTTCATCCTACAGTAGAGTAAAAGGAGGAGGTTAGTTATCCGCTGCATAATGATGTTAATGGTAACTGATGTTTGGAGTTTATAGCCGAAAAAAAAAGAAAAAAAAAGGGAAGAAACGAGTGATGTAAGCTCACCTGGCCCATGAGAGCAATGGTCAGACCTGCAAAGGCACCACCGCTGAGGACCAGTGCGGCGGCAATGCTAAGATAGAGCCATAGGCTGAGCTCATCTGGAGGCTCGGGCGTGTGCCTTAACTTATCGACGACGGAAGATGCGAGCGGCGCGGCATAGAGGACCGGGAAGCGTGAGAGTGAAAAGAGGATGAGCTTGGTCAGGGCAAGACCAGCAGGAAAACCAGCACCGTGGCGAGTCAGAGTCATTTAAGTCGTGAAGCCAGTCGGTAGGGCTGCTTGTTCTTTTGAAAAATGTCCCCTTTGGCGACGCCTGCACAAACTGATAAGTCGACGTTCGGGTTCGTATTCCCGATCGCAGCTATTCGTTTAGCTGCCGTAAGATGTCGGTCGTAAGGACGTTGTCTCGACAAGGCACCAAGAGGTAAAGAGTGATCGGTGTTTCTGTGACGTCAATGGTGGATGAAGGAGAGTGATGCTTGGAGTTGTCGCTGTACGATCCGAGTAAAAGTGACCAGGAAGAGAGATGGAGCGCAGACGCAGACGCAGTGGCTGGCTGGTTGTGTTTTATGATGCTGGAGATAGCCAAGTTGCATTGCAGGACCGGCTTGCCGAGATGGTTAACTCAGTTGGGCCTAGCCGCAGAAAATTCTAGGCGGGCTCTGCTGAGTCAGCGGCGGCTGCGAGGAACGTCGTCCGTCGTTTTGATAGCAAACGGGCGACATCCAGGCCTGATATGTTGAATATCAGGCTGTTCTCGCGCCGGAGAAGGGGAACGCGGACGGGGAGCCGGTAGAGGCTATGCAACCCTTACTCCTCGCCCTTGTTCTTCTTCTTGGACGCCTCGTCGTTGGCATCCACTGCGTCGTTTCGACATCTCTTCTCTGGTTTTGGGCGCGTCGAACCCCCTGTGCTGCTTGCAGCGGCAAACCCTTGCCCTTGCCCTTGAGCCCCATGCAGGCCAACAACTAGAGAGTCGGACCTCTGTAGCTGCTGGCCCAGCTGGTAGATGGAGCTCTGGAGCTTCTCGTTAAAGTCTTGGAGTGTTTTATACTCCTTGTCCTTCTTCTTTATCGCCTCTTTCAACGTCTCAACCCTTTTCTCCAGCAACGCGACCTCCTCGTCGGGCGTCGCTGGAGCTGTCTCGACAGGGGTTTTCGTTGTCTTGGTGGCGTTGGCGTTGCTCAGGGCTTGTCGGGCTCGGAGAAGCTCTGACTCCAGCGATTGGACCTGGTTGGTGAAACGGATCTGTCTTTCGACGTATCCTCGTTCCGTCTGCCTGGCAGCTTGCACCTTCGTGCGAAGCTGGGCGTTCTCGTGAACCAGTCGCTCGTCTGGAGCCAGGCTAACCCGTTGGTTTGCCAAGTGCAGCTGTTGCTGAAGGTCATGGATCAGTGCTTCCTGTTCCATGACCTTTACCACGGAGTTTTCAAGGACCGCCTTCTCGACTGTCGTACCTTGCATTTTCTCCTGGTACTTTTTCAACAGCTGCACTTCTTCTGTAAGCGCTCGTTCCCGTGTGGAGAGATCGTTGATCTTGTGCACATACTCCGCAACCCGCTGCTCTATAGCAGCCGCGAGGGATGCGTCGAATTGCTGCATAAGATCGGCACGTTCGGCTTGGACCTGGTGCGCCAGCATTTCGAATTCGCCCTGCTTGCTCTCCAGGGCAGCGTTGACAAAGGCCACCTCGCTACCCAGAGCCGAGACTCGGGCAACGGAGGCAGCCAGCTGTCCCTGGAGTTCTGTTATCATGTCGGCGTTGTTGTCACTGACAGCAGGAGCAGCAGGGGCGATGGCGCCATCCATGGTCGTATCGTCATCTTGTGGCCCGGCGATGACAGGAAGAGTCTCCTGTGTCTCGTCGACACAGTTTTGCTCGAGCATAGTGGTTTGCTCAAGCAACTGCTTGTCCTCGGTTTAGACTTGCTGGGCTTTCTGGTTGAGCTCCAGCTGCAGAGACTCCTTTTCTTCCTTCAAAGCCGCGATCTCGTCATCTTTCTCTGCGAGGAATGCCTCGTACATTGCCTCCATCGAAAGCATATCTCCCTCCGGGTCATTCGAGGGAGAAGTGCCTTGCTTGGCACCCCGAATCTTGGTTGCGCTCCTCCTCAAGGCTGGAGATAGCGCGGTCCTTCTGCTCCACCAACAACTGGAGATTTCCAGCCGCGAGGGTTCGATCCGCAAGTTGTGCCTTGAGGTCAGCCACGACAGAGTCGTGCTGTTTCTTAAGGTCAGCATCTTCGATGTCCCGCTCGCCGCTTTCCATCTCCAGTGTAGCAATGGAGCGAATTTGCGCGCTGTTCCGAGCCGTAAGGTCGGCAACAACCTTCGATTGGGCCTCTAGCGCGATGGTGGCTTTGACGGTGGCGTTCTCTTGGGCGGACAGTCGTTTGAGACAATTCGCGTGGCCGGTTACGAGTGAGCGTCTGTGGAGGCGTCTTGCTCTGTTGAGTTGTCGCTTGAGCAGGACGGCCTGGCTGTTGTCAGAACGCATCTCATCGCATATGGCTGACCGGGTCGCGTTTGTCTCGTCCGACGCCGCATTTCGCAGCTCCAGGAACTGGGTGCTGAGCTGGGCCTGCAGGGCACTGTTGGTGGATTCGAGAGCTTTGACTTGCTCCTGCAGGCCGGTCATCCTGACCTCTTGGTCGTAAACTTGGCCTCTTTCAGTGGCCAGGAGTGACCTCAGTTCAGCACATTCATCTTGCGTGTCCAGCAGGGACTGTTGCTTGGTCATGAGCTCAAGTGCTAGCTCATGAGCCTCTCTGCGCAGGCGAACATCAGTCAATTTGGAATTGCTGCTGGCACGTTCCAGTTCCTGGATTCGGGAAGCCATCTGGGTCATCACGGCGAGGTGCTTGTCGGTGTCGTCGTTGGCGTTGGCGTTAGAGCTGCCATTGTCGCTGGCGTGGTCTCGCTTGGTGCCCTCGACGGTGCGGTTGTCGGCGCCGTGATGATGGCCAGATGGCTGGGGGTCGACGGGCATTTCAACAACGCTGACCGTGGCATCGCCATTGACTGCCGCAGCAGTATCCGCAAAGACAGAGGATAAGCCATCCATCCATACGAGGAAGTCACTCTCGACGTGGAACTGGATGAAACCCCATTCCGTAATGTGGTACACGCAGACAGCAGCCAATACCGCGGTGAATGCAACGAGTTGAAACATCTCCCAGTTCTAGAGACGACGGGTTAGCATCCATCTTTTGGGCAGCTTATCAGGGGTGGACATTGACATACATAGAGATGGGCCTCTTCGAATTCAACCCATCTGTCCACGAGTTCAAAACCAACGAGCTCACCCTCGCAGAAGAGCCGTTGGAAACTGACATCGCGTGCCCTCTGTAGGGGAGTGGGATGTTTGCGTATCCGTTGTAGTGACAGCCTAGTGACTGCACTCCTGAATTGTCCGTGAACGCGCCAAACATCCCGTACCAGAAGGCAAGCAATGGGGGGCCCATCTTACAACAGGCCACCACAAACGTGATCAGAAGCTATTTAACGGAAATGTTAGTATGAAAAACCGTCGTGATGTCACAGCGAGCAGAGAAGGTGAAAAAAAAAGGGGGGGGGGGGGGGGGGGGGGGGGGGAAGGGGATTGACTTACGGCCATCGCTCCGACTTGTGGCAGATCCTCTCGGATCGCAAGGTCGGAGTAGATGTCTTCGGCCCATTGAGGACGGAGCAGCGAATACGCCATGTCGTAGGCAGTCCCGATGACGAGAGCTACCAACCCCAGTACGTCTCCCGTCGAGAGTGCGCGCCAGATTGACGATCTCATGATGCCCCTGAGGACAGCACGAGCGGCGTGCACGAGGAGGGAGTTGGTACTGGGACCACTGCATATGGCGAATGCAGTGAGGACGATGACGCTGAACACCGTTGGGCATATTGTCGCGTAGTCTACGACTGACCACGCAAGCAGGGGCTTCTCCCAGCCCAGAAACAGGAGGTAGTTGTCGACATCGTCGGCTGATATGTTGATGGCGGCCTTGACGGCAGCCGCCATGGCAGCCGGAGAATCGATGTCGTGGGCGGCGGCAATGCTTCGGATGAAGCCTACCATCGTGACTAGCAAGCACAAGATGGTAAGGGACGACATCTTGAACCGTGATACTGTTGGCGTTGGCAGTGGGAGGAGGTCTTGACTTGAGTGGTCGAGTCGTTGATGTAGACTACGAAAAGAAGAACGTCGAGGAAGGACGGACGAGCTTCTTCTTCTCAAGTCTTCGGACTTCTGGCTGTCGAATCAGGGACTGCAACCTCGCGTTTTGATGAACGAGGGAGTCAACCTGGTAGGAGCAGGGGGTGACTTGGTTGTCGAAGTCGAAGAGCGAGGGCGTCTGGACGTTGGTAATGGTCAAAGACGCGTCGAAAGCGCGAAGAAAGCCGATATGGGGTTGACGGGATACGGCTTTGTTGATAATGTCTTCAGCGAGCTTTCGAGAGAGAGAAAAGAGGGGGGCAGTCTCTGAATCGATATGTGGGGTGGCACGATATCGAGCGAGGAGAGCAGTGCAGCCTGAAATTGATAGCTTTGAGGTAACGAGCTTTTGCAAGGAATGCAGTGAGGAGAGACTTGAGAAAGGAGGAGAGAGAGAGGTTGCAAGCGAGAGGGGAGGCTGGTGAGAGAAGATATTTATATTCGCCCAAACGGCGCTAGGGACTAGCGAAGATTCCTCGAGCCGGTGAAGCAGGACAGTGAAGAGGGGGAGGACAAAGAGACTGAGCTTGTGAAGTCATCAGAGTGAAGAGTTCTCACCTCACTTGGTGTTTTCACCTCACTTGGTGTTGTTGACCAGCGAAGCTTCTAGGAGGACAGGTCTATAACAGAGCACCAGCAGGACACCAAGAGCAGGACAGGACAGAATAGGGGCCTGGCTGGATGGGGAGATATACTAGTAGACTACTTCTATAGCTTCTTAGAGGTATATGGATAGGGGAAGGCCGCTGGCATATATATATATATATATCTTGGTGGACAAGGCAAGCTAGATATCAGGCAAAGTGATAGCTTTGATATGGCAAGTTGCGTCTTCCTACCACTGGTATTGGCAAGCTCCAGGGCCGTCACCAGCATATAAGTAGATGAAACAATACACCAAGGCACATTGTGGATAAGTACGAGCAGACTATCTCAAGTTCCAGACAATAAACAAGAGGTATATGGTTAGGTGGACAATCGCATTGTTTGCATATATAAACATCCTACGATAAAGGGATTTCCTCGATAAAAGCTGGCAGTATCGAACGCTCATATAAATTCTTTTTCTAGATCAGTCTATACATCTGCTACCTTATCCTTCTTTAAAAGAGGATTTGACCCGATCAGCCAACAAAACCCCATCTGTGGGGGGACTGGTCTCTAGTACATAAGATAGTGTCTTTTCAAGCAAACAAAAAAGGAAATAGTGATGATGGCATAAACATGTGCCAACTGCGCTCGGGCAAGCATCTTGTTTCCAAGAAGATGTCTATATACTGCTGAAAACACGATGGAGAAAGGATAGTCGATATATCGAGGAAAAGGGAGTCCGCGTCGTGGAAGGAGGACGTCCAGGTTGAGTTGGTCATGTGATCTTGATCTACGTCACATGACACAGGGTTTCGTGAGAAGGGCGAGCAAGATGATGTTGATAAGAAGGCTGGATCAGTAGTGGAGCGTCTCCTTGATGGCATCGTAGATTCCTGGCAAGGTTAGCGCAGGTCCTCTCATACGTAAAAGAAGGGGCGAGGGAAAAATCAGAAAAGAAGTGGCAGGGGAATGAACTTACTGGTGACGTCTGGCATGTTGAACCGCTCATAGATTAGGCCAGTGTGGACATCCCAGCCGGTGACACGCTTGACGGGGGCTTCAAGGCTCAAGAAGGCGCCCTCCTGGATGCTTGCAGCGACCTCGGCACCCACGCCGGCGTTCAGCATACTCTCGTGGACGACGATGGCACGGCCGGTCTTGCGCACGCTTTCGAGCACCGTCTGTCGGTCCCAAGGGTAGATGCAGCGGAGATCGATAAGCTCGATACTGGCGCCCTTGAAATCTTTCTCTGCGGCAGCAATGGCTTGGCTGCACAAGTACAACGGCTGGCCGTAGGAGATGACTGTGACATCGGCACCCTTTTTGATGACGTCCGCCTTGTCAAGGGGGAGGGTATATGACTCGGTGGGGACATGCTCGACAGCTGCACGGTAGAGGATCTTGGGTTCCATGAAGATGACCGGATCGTTGGAGTGAAGGATGGCGTTGAGCAGGAGGCCCTTTGCCTGGGTGGGGGAGCGCGCCATGACGACACGGAGTCCAGGGACATGGCTGAAGAGCGCCTCGGGAGACTGCGAGTGATATAGGGCACCATGTCCAACACCGCCACAGGGCATGCGGACGACCAGCCCGCCGATGTGCCCGCCCGTTGCGCCCTCACGGTACCTGAACTTGGCCGCCTCGTTGACGAGCTGATCGAATGCAGGGAAGACGTAGTCGGCAAACTGGATCTCAGCCACGGGCTTGAACCCTTCGGCGGCAGCACCGATGCCGAACCCAACAATCCCTTGCTCCGTCAGCGGGGTGTTGAAGACACGCTCTGAGCCGAACTCAGTCTGCAGGTCGACCGAGCACCGGAAGACGCCTCCAAAGGCCACATCTTCACCGAACAGGAGAACGCGCTCGTCCGCTGCGAGGGCGGTCCGGAGAGCGGCATTGATGGACTGGTACAGGTTGAGGCGCTTCGTGGGGGCGTTGGCGGGCAGCTCCTTGCTGGCGGAGAGCGAGGAGGGAGCGTGGTGGAGGAGCGGCGTGGTGCCGTAGTTGATGGGCAGGTTCATGGTTGCGCCAGGGGCATGGGAGGAGTACAGACGGGCGCATCTCTGCGCAGACGATATCGTCACTGGCCTTGACGATGCGGGCTGTCTGGCTAGAAGCTGTCTGAGGGCGGTTCGGGACGCCATAGCGTTAGGTGTTTGCGTGTATAGTCCTGCTACTCCTCCGGCGGTGGGTATAGGTCAATGGGCGGCCGGCGGCGAGGATGCAGTCTGCAGCATCTATCCCAGGGTCGAGCGATGGATGAGGAAGAAGATGAAGACGAGGAAGAAGACGCAGACGAACAGGCAGGACGAGGACGAGCAGTTGCTTTTTCCTCTTCGGGCGACGCTGAGGGCGGGCGGGACTGGGGGCCGAGGTTAACCGGGGTCACGTGGCCAATGCTTGGTCATGTTAATATATCACGTGATTGTTTGAATCATCATATCACGTGGTTTTCGGCCTCCGAACTCCGAACTCCGGGAAAGTTATTCCGGAAGTTAGTTTTAGCCCCACAAAGGTAGACCCTGGCTTCAAGTATATATACGAAGTTGCACTGTCGACATGAAACGAGAGGTGAGGTGCTAGATGGTTAGCACAGTCAGCGAGACCAATTTATCTATTGTGACCTTTAATATCGTTATAGAGGCTTCATTAAAATCGAGGAGGATGGAAATCCAAGCTACCGCCGTCGGGAATCTGCCAACTCCGGCAGGTGAACTAGCGTCTGAACAGGAGATCCGTGAACTCCAACATGTCTCAGCTCCTCTGTCAGTGGGTGTTTGGCTGGCCGCACTCGTTGGTTATGATTGAGCGGTTTGCCTATTACGGTACACAGACGCTTTTTCGTGAGTAGTACTCCTTGTAAGAAGTTTATAGAGGGTGCTGACGTCGAGTATATTCTAGAGAACTATATTCAGAATAGCCCAACAGATGTTATCCCTGGAGCAATGGGCCTAGGGAAATCTAATGCAACAACAGTGAATCTGGCATTCACTATTATGGTCAATCTACTTCCTGTGCCCACCTCTTTTCTTGTCGATGGTTGGCTGGGAAGATTCTTATCACTATAAGTATTTACAGCGTGAGGATAATGTCCCGATCTATACATATGATCAAGCTTTCCTACTAATAACTTATTTATATATATAGAATTTATGCCGTGGGCTCCACGGTTTTGTTCGCTACCTCATTTCCTTCACAAATGCAAATTGGAATTTCCACAATTGGATTTATCCCAGCAGTGATTCTTATTGCTATTGGGCTTGCGGGCGTTCAAGCTGCCGCACAACCCTTTATTGGTAACATATTTAACTCTTCTTTTGCGAAAGAGCAACTACCAAAAACAACGAGGAAGTCTCTGACAGAATATCTAGCGGACCAGTATACTGAGACAAAAATGCGGATTAGGGTGAACAAACGCGGCGAAAGGGTGGTGGAAGATTTGGCAATGACCATTCAATACATATATAATGTAAATTATTGGTATGCACGGGTGACTCTTGAACTAAAACCATCGCCCCGCTGGCTAATTAGCTTTGTTTAGGATGGTCAACTTAGGTTCGCTCGGGAGTATTGCCACAACGCTTATGGAGAAATACATTGGCTACTGGTCGGCATACTTGCTAGATGTCTGTGCCGTGGTTCTCTGTGTGATTATCATCCAATTGGCGCGACCGAAGTTTGGTACGCTGTCTACCTCAGCTTTGAATCTTAACTACTCGAGGCTATGACTAATGTATAGTGGCTTGTTGTAGTTCATCCTCCTGTTCATGGAGCGGTCCTCCCTCGCACAGCTCGTTGTTCATGGTATGCTGTGCAAAGTAGATTTGACCTCGACGCAGCCTTGCCAGAAAGCCAGCTTCGAACACACAATAGGGTCGTTCCATGGGACAAGGAGTTCATTAATGAGTTGCGAGATGCTCTATCCGCTTTTAAGATCTGGTATGTTATCCTTTGATTAATACCATAGCTTTAATGGTGTATAGAGGAAACACTGACCAGCGACAGCGTTGGATGGCCTATCTTCTGGGTTTGTATGGGTGAAGGCGCCCAAGTCTCTATATCCCAAGCTGGCCAGATGGAAACTCACGGAGTCCCTAATGATCTTATCAAATCCTCAAACCCTATTGCGTATATGATCATTGGTGTAATGGTACAAAAGTACTGTACCCATTGCTACAACGATACAAGATCCGATTCAGCCCAATTAATCGGATCTCCCTTGGATTTGCTATCATGTCCGTGGCCATGGCTTATGCGGCTGTCGTGCAGGCACTTATCTACAAGGCGGGCCCTTGCTATACATATCCTCTCGCGTGCGTTGCGTCACAAGGCGGGAAGATCCCTAACTACGTCCATGTGCTAGTACAGCTACCAGTATATATTATCATTGCGCTTGCGGAGGTGTTCTGCTGGCCTACTGGTTCCGAATACACCTACTCCCACTCCCCCGATAGTATGAAATCAATCCTGCAGGCCTGCTACACTGGAACGGCTGGTCTGGGGTACTTGCTCCGAATGGCGTTAACGCCTCTCACCAAAGATCCTTTGCTCATCGTGCTCTGGTCAGTTGTAGCAGGGATGATGTTTATAACAACATGCTGGTTTCGAATTGCGTTTCAACACTACTGAACACAATCTCCATAATGAGGGGGGTGTTCAAGACTTATAAGCGCGACCTCCGTATCACTCTCCCCATTGCTCCTTCTACACAAATTTGCTAAGATATATAGTTCCTTCCCCTAAATACATATACCCCGTGTCTTACCCTACTCGGAAGGCACAACCAGGGACCACTTAGGCATGTTTTCCACCATGGGCCTCTATCTACTATCAAATTTCAATACTTCAGGTTATCATCGTTAGCAAATTCTGCCTTGAAGATAATATTAGAGTTAATCTAATAGAGATTCTTCCATTCTTGTGGCCACGGAGCTAGAAGATATGCTATATCCATGGCCCGTTCTGAAGGATCTTATCTCTCCCTAGGAATGTTGGGCCTCAATAATTAGAGCCCTCTTACTCTTTTACAAAATACAACAAACATTCCACTATGGCGAATACCCCTCGAGCATCCTTTTGGTCCTCTGAACAGAAGGGTTTCGAATCTTATTGGTGACGTTATTCTGATTGTATTTGCTCTATCGTATTGTTTTTGGTTGAGATCTGTCTGGTTTTGGCATAATGCACGCAGTATATATTGATTCAAAGATTTGCTGCCAGCTAAGCTAAGCTAGTACCTGTTGACGCAATAAAGGCATATAAAACGAAAGCGACAGGTAAAGACAGGCAAAGACAGGTGCTAGTGTACTATGTTATGTACTTATAGCACGAACAAAAAACATTGATGGTCTAATAGGCAGCTTACACCACAGTGCTGTTAGAACGCCAATCATGAACCCGAGCGTAACGATCCGACTTCTTATAAGCTGCAGCAACGTTCACCGTACCCATCTTTGCGGTGGTAGAAACGGTCTGGGACTCCAAGTCAAAACAATCCGTGTTTTCACCCTTAATATCCGAGCAGAATACATACAAGGCCTTGGCTTCCATGTCACAGAAGAGCTTCTCCCCAATATGGACAAAGTCCGGACCCATGGATGAATCAGACATGCACAGTTTCTTGGCCGAGTGATGTTCGGAGTCGCTGATAACCAACTCAGAGTCGGCCCACTCAGGACGACGGGTAGATCGACGAGCGCGGGAAGGCGTGCTTCGCTTTTTCTTGACAGAGAAATTGATTGTGCTAGGGTCATCCTCCTCGCGCAAGCCAAAATCGATGTTATTGCAGAGTCTCTTTGGGTCCTTGTTGTTCTCATCATGTTGGTCTTCCGAGTAGGCGGGCCATCGCACCTGGAATCCAGTCTTTGGCTGGTCTCCATTCTTGTCAATCCAGAAGCAGTTGGGCTGGTAATCTTTCTTGTCACTTATGTATAGGTTGCTTGGGAACCAAGTGCCGCCGCATGGTTCGCTAAAGTCGCCTGTCACAGCGTATTTATTGCCGCCGCGGTCATCGGTCCAGGGTGTCGTCACCCAGGCAATGCAGATGGCGTCATCGTTGGCCGAGAATAAAGAGTAGACTCCCTGATTATCGTGCTGGACTTTGACTTCGCCCACATTTCCATTTTCAACTCTCCCAGGGTCGACAGTCATACCAACAAAATCCCCGACCTCATTCCATACTCGCCTGACTTGGTCTTAGTTTGTCTTCTTTTGTCTCTGGGGATCTCGAGAAGGGTCAATATATGAAGTTTAACGTACACGTTGGGGAGGTCACCGCCAGAATTGGAGACTTGCGGTCCATCAAGTGCAACGGCAACCTTGATGATCGAGCCGGAGTGGTCAGATCCTGGGGCGAATTGATCCAAACCAAATGAGATAATGCCCAATGCCCCAGAAATAATACCAAGCATGTTAACAAGAGCCATCTTGAGGATATCGAAGGTATATTCGGAATTGAAAGGAGACAATGGACTCTAGATTCTTGTGTTTTAGACTGCTTCTTGAGTGAATGGTTCACAACAATTGAGGTCTACGACTGCCTTTATATAGGCAATTCTCACAATGCCGCCACGGCCCTATGCATTCGTCCCATGCTTCATCTCTTGAATCCTTCGCCTATTGAATCACCCCAATGAACGAAGTATCAAGCCCAACGAAGCGTTTGTCTGAATCCTTCGAGGACAATCCTGTTTTTGTCCTGATACCATGGACGTGTGGGCAACAGGACGCTAGTGTGTGTCCGTTCGACTCTGGAATGGATAAAATGAAGCTAGAAAATATGAATCCTACCATGTATGGAGTGTTTATATACAGAGGACGGAGTATATCAAGCTGGCTTGCCCAATGAAGAATGTAATTTCAAGTTTTGCAAGGAGAAGCTATAAAAAAACCACGAAAGCAGGAGTTCAATAGTCAAAACGAGATTATTACATGAGCTAGTAGCTTCAGTTTCCTTATCGGGTATTCCGGTATCTCAATTTGACGTAAAATAGTACACGCCTTATCAGAAATAAAGTCTAACGCACGGTGATCTTGGCGTTTCTAGAAAACTTCTACCTTCATTTTAAGTTGTGATAGAACAACATGCAAAAGCTCCAAAAGCTCTAATGCTCCAAATGAGCTTCCGCCTTATCCTAGATACGGAACAGCTTTCCAAGAGACGATGTCACTACTAGGTGAGGGCCCTCACGGGGCCAAGCTGGTTTATTGTGGCAAAAATGTGATTGATACGTATGGAGTACTCCATTCAAAGTACTCTATATAAACTGATGCACATCGACAACAGAAATATCAATGAACATTGCAGGGGTATAGTAAGGTTCTGGACCTGAACATCGCCCGACAGGAACCTTGCAGGATGCCGAGTAACGCCCGAAAGCCGCATGAGGCCCTCCTGCCTTGGAAATTAGTAGCCACGTTCAGTAGGGCGGTGCTCGAAGGGTGAATCAAGAGTCATGGCTGGGTCACAGTTCATGCATCATGACGTCGGAAGGAAGCGCCAAGATTGCGGCCCTCCCTATCCGATGGCCAAGGCTCTCCGAGACTCTCCGCTATTGCTATATCAGCGGAGCTATATGTGACGCAGTGGTACAGTGGTATGTTATATGATATGTAGTGAGGGAGCAACAGAGTCCACCTAACAGTTACCTCGAATTTTCCAGAATCGTAAGACTGGCTCCGGACTCGCACCTTATAACCACATAAACATCAACAACTATCTTACCTACCCAAGTATTCTACCTACACAGAATCATCATTACTTTCCAATCAGGCAATATCCCCAAAGAAATCATGCTTCATCTCAAAACATCTACCTTCGCTCTCCTCCTACCTCTATTCCTTTCTGCCATTTTTGCAGAAAATTCCAACCTAATTGGCTGCAATAAAGTCGGGTGCCCAACAGTCAACGCCAACCACCGCTGCAAAATTGAAGATATCACTCATATAGGGGTCGGGGTAGCTCCTATCCCAAATGTGCCTTCCGCACTAGAAGGCTTCTCCCTTGTGAAGGGTGTCAACGCGACTCTCAGCGGTAACGACGAGCGGGGACGTGCCTTCAACTCACTCTACTACCTGGCTACACCAGAGGATAAAGAGACTAATGGCCTTACTGGCTGTGCTGTCATCTTTAACGACCCACCATTCAAGAAATTCGAATATCCTATGAAAGAAGGCAAAATTGGTGATATCATAGTTAATATGACGGATAGCCGTGCTGCCACTGGGGTTTGTTCCGATGTTGTTGAGCAGGGCTGCATTGACTCGATTACGCAGCGGGCTGCGGATCTGAAGTACGACGCTAATAAGAATGCCTGTGAGATACTCGAGCGGGAGCTGAAGAAGGACTCCTTTGATCGATGTGCTGGATTCGGGGGCCAAGGTCATTCTCTCGGACAATTTACTGTTAAGTCGCTCGGGGATCTTAATGCAGTGAGAAACTCTTCGGATTGCTGGCCAGTACAGCGGAAGTCTGATCGACTGATGAAGATTACAGAGGTTACTTCTTATGTGAGTAGAGTGCTGTTTCACCATTTCTTGGCTATGTATATGTATCCCTTATTTGCATTACTAACTTCATGGGTCTATAGGGGAATAATACAGATACCTATGATGCTTACACCGAACAAGCGTATAAGATTAGCCCGGTCCTCACCGTTTTCGTCGGTGGAGATGATAGTCTTGTCGACCATACCTCCTCCCAGATGACGTGTTTGAAGGTTGTCACCGCAGAGGAGGGGATTGACGACCCTAATCGCTCTGGCAATTTGGCAGCGACTCTACAGAGAAGCGGGCTGGTTGTTGCTAGTATTGCCGCGCTCGTGGGGATTTATATAGTCCTGTAATTGGGCCAATACCCGGCTGCGTGTACGGCGGACTATATCGAGCATGTAGATAAAATTCTTTTTATTACTATAATAAGATAGTACACACTGATGTCAAAGGAATGATTGTACTTTTAAAAGCCCTAGAGAAACTAGTCCCGGTGAAAGATATAGGCGGTAGTAGAAGAGAAATGGGGGGGGAAATGAAAGAAAGGAGTCGCGAGTGTCAAAGCCTAGGTCAGTTATCTCGAAGATTTCTACCTAGCTATTATAGAAGAGATCGTCTTTGTATAGATAAAAGAATACTATATATATAACTAGGGGTTATATAGAGGGGGGCTTGGCCGTATTATAATTTAAGTTACTATATAGGTTATACCAAGTCCTTTATAATTGATTATATAAGGTAGTTATACTTTAGTCTAGACTGGGGACAGGTACGAGTTTTTTACCTGAACCGAATTGAACCAAACCCGACCGGGTTGCTACCGATCAAATAATCCTTTTTAAAAAACTTATTTTGATAAGTTAGGTATCCTTTAAATATCCAACTAGATATTAAGATATTAATTACTAAGCCAAAATCTAATTAATAATTAATAATTAAGCTTTAAATTACTCTATTTAATTAGTTTAATATCTATAAATAGAAAAAAATTTCAAAAATAGGCTAATCTAATAAAATTAGGAACTAAATAAAAAAATTAATATAATTAACTTATACCTAATTAATATCTAACTTATTTAATACTTAAACTTGTGGATATAGAATAATATAAATACCCGCTAGATTAAAATAGAATAGATCAAAAACCTGGCCTGAATTGACTCATCCCTAATCTACTTTAGTATATATATTATATTACTATTTATATATATCTTTCTTACTTCTACTATATATTTACTATATATATAATTGATTAATTAATTAATTAAATAAATAGATAAATAGTTATTTAATCTATATTATTAATATTACTATTCGCGATATATTTAGTAATACCTTTATATTATTTTTTATATAGAATAAATTATATTATAGTTAATATAAATACTTTAAACTAATAGTCTAATATTAATATTATTCTATTCTAGAGCTAAAAGTATATATTACTATATATCTATAAAAATCAGCTAAAAAACATATAAATTATATATAAGGCTTAATAGAAGAAGTAGAAAGTATATATAGCTATTTCTTTCTATTATCTTCTATTTTTTATCCAGACTAGGGGCGGGTTAAACATGAGGATGGACGCGCATAGGTATATCTATAGATGGTTTTTTATACCCACTATAGGCGTGGGCATTAGACTAGGGACGGGTCGATTCAAACCGAGTTTTTGATCTCTTCTAACTTGACCTAGTAGATATTTATATTATTTTATACCCACAAGTTTGAATATTAAATAAATTAGATATTAATTAGATATAAGTTAACTATATTAATATTTTTATTTAATCTCTAATTTAGTTAGATTAGTCTATTTTTAGAATTTTTTCTATTTATAGATATTATATTAGCTAAATAGAATAATTTAAAGCTTAATTCTTAATTATTAATTAGATTTTGGCTTAGTAATTAATATTTTAATACCTAGTTAGATATTTAAAGGATACTCGACTTATTAAAACAAGTTTTTTAAAAAGAATTACTTGACTAGTAGTAACCTATAGACTGAGGACAAGTCGATTCGAACCGAGTTTTTAGTCTATTCTATCTTAACCTAGTAGATATCTATATTATTTCATACCCGCGAGTTTGAGTATTAAATAAATCAGGTATTAACTAAGTATAAGTTGATTAATATTAATCTTTTTATTAAGTTTCTAATTTAGTTAGATTAGCCTATTTTTAAAACTTCTATTAACTAAATAGAGTAATTTAAAGCTTAATTCTTAATTAATAATTAGATTTTAGCTTAATAATTAATATTAGAATATCTAGTTAGATATCTAAAGGATACCTAACTTATTAAAATAAGTTTTTTAAAAAGGATTACTCGACTAATAGCAACTTAGTTATAAAGGGTTAGATTTTATTAACATCTTAAGTTTATATATATCTCTATACCATCTTTAGGAGAGGAAGAGGTTTTAAGGGATATTATCTCTAAATATTTATAGAATTTTAGTATATATAACCTTTATACTAATAGCTTAAAGAACGCGCGCTTAATATAAATTACTAGCTTTCCAGCCTATACTAGAGAGCTATATCACGCTCTCTTTACCTTTCTCTTTCTTTTCTATAAATTTTGTCTTTACTATTTAATACTTTCTAATTAGTTAAATTAAGCTATATTTAGCTATTAATATTATAAAACTTATTATTATTTTATTAAAATAGATATAATTAGAATTAGTATATTAGAAATTAGTATATTAGAATAAATATAATATAATTAGAATTAGTATATTGGATATTAGTATATTAGAAAGAAAGGAATAGATAACTATTAGTAATATAGTTAATAAAGAGAAGAGATAAAAGGATAGGAGAATATACTAAGCTAGATAGTGTCACAAGCTGACGGCGCTCCTTGATTACCTAAAGGTGATCAGAGGTTTATATCTGCCGTAAGACAGAAGGTACGAAGGTCTTAGAGAAAGCTTAGATTAGAAGTAAGTTATTATAGAAGATAGCTTAGTACTAGGGTAAGATAGAATACTATAGTAAGACTATCCCTTAGTTCTAAGTGTGGCTTTAGTTAGTGCCTGGGTTAGATAAAGGCTAAAGGTCTTTATAAGTAGTAAAGACAAAGTTGACCTATATTAATAGGCAAAGGGGTATTTAGTGAATATAGTATAAGATAACTAGAATGGTGCTTTATATTAAGTAGTATAGTAAAACTATAGCTAGTTTGATCGCGAGTATAAGACTCTTAATTCTAAGGTAATAAATATCTTTATATATATAGTATATATCTAGTAATAGGTACAATAGTTCTCCACCAAGGGGTTCCTATTACTCCTATTGGTTATTATGATAGTATTGATAGGAAGCTGCTAAGCCTGTCCTATTGGTCCTATCGCTATTAGTTACGTGACTAGTGCCCTCAAGGTCTGGCCCGTGATCCTCCTGTCTAATGAGTGTATATCCTGGGGCTGCGCCGCAGATAGTGTGTAACATTATCCCCTCCTTTCTTAACAAGTCGTCCTAACGCGCGTATATATAAACCTAGTTAGTTTCCTTCTCCTTGATTTATTATTGTGTTTTTCTTAAGTATGCCTTGCTATAGCTTGTTCTAAGGGTGTTACTAATATTCTAAAGTCTTCTAAAGATTCTTCCTCTATCTATACTTATATATTAAAAGAAAATATTATGAAAACTAGTATCGCGATGCCTTCCTATTATATTTATTATTTAGAAAATAGTGACCTCTATATTATATTATCTTATTCCATAAAGTGTTTAAAGTATATTTATATAGGTTGTCCTTATATTTATAATTATACACCTTCTTTATCTAACTAGGCTAAAGTTTGGTATAAAAAGGAAAAGTTGGAGTTAAAAGAGCGTGAGGCTTATAAGGAATCTTAGTAAATTTGTAAAGCCTTTTAAAAAGTATTAAATAATTCTAATACCTATCTTAATTGTCTTACTTATTAGTGTGAGTTTCTTTAGAATTATATTAGTAAGTTTATTAAATTATCTATTAAGACTATAGAGGAGTTAGAAAAGCTAGAGGAAGAGGAGAGTTGTCTGGCCGAGCTTTAAAAGTATGACTTCTAAAAGCTCCTAAGTAAACTAAGTTCTTTATTTAACCTTACTTTGTTCCTAGATCCTACTCTACTAGTCTCTTCTCCTAATACTAAGTCTATTAGTAAAACTCCTTTACTAGGCGCGGTGAATCCTTTAGATATCTAACTAGCTTATAAATATTTTCTAAGAAGTTATATTCTTTCTATTTAACTAAGTAGTAAGTTTATCTACTAATTACTTTCTTATTTAGAATCTTTTCAACTTTATATTCTTTTTCTTAATTTTCTAGTTATATTTCTAGTTTATATAGTTTAGCGTTCTAGGGTACTTTTTTAATTAGTAAGACGTGAAATATTAGGTATATTTATATATATTCTAGAAGTTAGAGTTTATAATTAAGTTGTCTAATTTTTTCTAAAATCTTAAATAGTTCTAGTTTCTTATGGTCTAATTTATCACTTGGTCTAAATATTTTAATATTTTATTAAAGTAGGAATACTTTTTCCCCCTTTTTAAAGTCTAGCGCTTCTACGTGCTATTAGTTATAGTAGTATTTTATTCTATAGTTTAAGAATTTAAGATCTAATTATAGGTATTTATAGAGTTTATATATCTATTCTACTAAAATCTCTGCTTCTAAGGCGTACGTCTTATCTTCTTTTAGTATTTTTATTATTTCTATTTCTCTTTTATAGTTTATAAAGAAAGATATTATACCTATTAAGGCGTTCTTTACTCTATTATAGGCGAGCTATACTATTAGTAGTAGTAAAACTTAGTTATCCTATTTATAGTTAATATAGTATCTTAGATACTATTCCACTATTTGGTTTATCCTTTTACTTTATTTATCTATCTATAGGTAATATACCGTTGAGGCTTTCTATTTAATCCCTATTCTTTTAGTAAGTATTATCTAGAATTTATATATAAATCTTATATCTCTATCTAATATAATTTTATCTAGTAATCCTTTATCTATAAAGATATATTATAATAGAATATATACTGTCTTTAGTGATATAGTCTTTTTAATAAATAGTATAAAATAAGTATACTTTGTTAGTCTATTTATAACTATAAGTATTAAATTATATTAAATGCCCATTTATGGCTCTATTAACTTTGGTAGCTTGACTATAAAGTCCATTACTATTAATTTCTATACTATTTCCTTATATAGTATAGGCTATAGGAGTCTATATAGCGTGTGTTATTCTAATTTATTTTATTAGTAAACTTTATACTCCTAGATATATCGTCTAATCTCTCTCTATATTCCTAGCTAATAGTAGTTTTATATAATTTGGTCTAT